AACTATAATATATATATATATATATTATAAAATCTGAAATTATTTAAGGTTAAAGAGATTCTCAATAATAATAATAAATATTTTATATAAAGTTAAAAAACCACTTTATTCTTATATTATTAGCTAAGATAGAAAGCATATTGCGAGTAAACCTTATTATTATAGGAAACTTATCTTAATAATCTTTTTATTAGATTAGAGGCTGGGCATTTAAAACTATATTTAAAAAAAAGTGTCAGATGGGGTAGGTAGGTCACGAGGGTTGAATAGAAATTTCAAATGGCTAGATAGAATAAGGAAAATCGATCAGTCAGATGAAGTAAACAGTTCACCTGGACCACCTAGATCTGAAATAGATAGACCAGAGGTCCTACTATTTGCTATACATGTAGATAAGTGAAATTAATTAAATAAATAAATAAAATTTAATTAAATGAATTAAGTGGGTAAATTAACTTAATGAAAAAAATGAATTAATAAAGGTTATTAACTATACATTTATAGATAATTAAATCAGGGCTAATTTAATCTAGCCCTAAGTAAATATTATAAATATAAAATCATCAGATCCTTCTAGGCCTTTAGTTATAAGTCTTATTATTAATCTAGGCCTTCAAGATCAACCTTATAGATTATTATTAGATTAATATTTAATTATTTAAATAATATTAGAATAACCAGGGTAGCAATATTTACTTTATGGCTTATAAAATAAATAAGCGAGATATTCTGGACCCTTTATATTAATTATCTGAATAAAACCATTAACTGCAGTGGTTGAAACAAACTTTTAATTTTTTAAATAGGAAATTTATCAAATTATGTTTTCTGACTTCTATAGGATTCTAGCGATTAGTGATTTTTTAATTAGGAAGGTAAGCTAGTCTAAAATAGGAAATTCTTTAAAAATTTTTCTTTTTTTATTTTCTGTTTATATTAAGCTTAGTTTCACCTCACTTCTCCCATATAATTTGGTGGTGGAAGTGAGAGTTTAATAAAGTGAGAATAAAGTCGCAGTAAATTTCGGTTGTGGGGCTAAATCAGGTGATTCTGATGAATCAGGTGATGTCAGGTGACCCTAATTGACAAAAAGATTAGTAATTACTCTCTTTAATAAAGCTTAAAGGATATTTATTATTATTAAGATATCTTATAAGCTTATCCGACTATATTAATTATATAATTTAAAATTACTGCGACTTATTTAGCGCATAAGCTAGATTAAATTTATTTAATATTAGATTTATTATTAAAGTATCTAACCTTTAATAATCCTTAGTAAAACTTTTAAAATACTTTTTAAGAAAAGATTCAAGGCTCTAACAATAAGCTGCTTAATAATTAATCTTAGATTCTGGGTCTGGATCTTAGTTAGATATTAAAAAGAATTTAAGTTTATCCTATAGAGAAAGGATTATACTAATTATATAAATATAATTATTAATTTAGTTAATATCTTTATAATAAGCTAAAAACTTAAGCTTTATTACTTTAAAGGATATAAGCATTACCTGCTTTTAAGTAATCCTCTTTTATTAAAGCTGCTTAATCAACTTTTTAAAATAATTAAATAGCTTGTTATAGACTTTAAAAATTTAATAAATAATAATATTTTTTATTTTATATAAAAATATTATAAATTAGTAAAAAGGCTTAAAAATATAAAGAAAATAATTAATCTACTACTATTGCTCCTAGTTTAAGGCAAAATATCTTTAGTTATATTAAGAGTAAAAAATATTAAAGGCCTACTAAAGCTTTTTCGCGCGTGTAAATATTAAGAAAGTAAAATTTTATTAAATAATAATATCCTAAATTAAAATTAACTTTAATTCTTTTATTTATAAATTATAAAATGACTCCCGATATTAAGAACTTATATTAATATAAATTATAAGATTTTAGATTTAAGGTATTGTCAATTGGGGTCACCTGACATCACCTGATTCATCAGAATCACCTGATTTAGCCCCACAACCAAAATTATTCAAAATTCACTACAACTTTATTCTCACTTCATTGAACTCTCACTTCCACCACTAAATTGTATAGGAAAAGTGAGGTGAAACTGAATTCAAAATAAGCTGAAAATAAAAAAGACTAGATTTCTAATAAGTTTCTTAATTTAGACTAGCTTACCTTCCTATTTAGGAAATCCTTTATCACTAGAATCATATAAAACTCAGAAACCTAATATCATTAAATTTCCTATTTAGGAAATTAAAAGTTTATTTTAACTACTGCAGTCAATGGCTTTATTCAGATAATTAATATAAAGGGTCCAGAATATCTCGCTTATTTCCTTTATAAGCCATAAAGTGAATATTGCTACCCTGGTTATTCTGATATTATTTAAATAATTTTATTATAATTTATATGTTAAATCTTGATTATTCTGATTATTCTGATTATGAAATCTTGATCATTTAATTATTTAAATAATTAAATATTAATCTAATAATAATCTATGAGGTTAATCTTGAAGGCCTAGATTAATAATAAGATTTATAGCTAAAGGTCTAAAAGGATCTAATAATTTTATGTTTGTAATATTTACTTAAGACCAGATTAAATTAGCCCTGATTTAATTATCTATAAATATGCAGTTAATAACCTGTATTGATTTATTCTTTTCATCAAGTTGATTTACCCACTTAATTCATTTAATTCAATTGAATTTCATTCATTCATTCAATCAATTTCACCTATCTACATGCATAGCGAATGGTAGGACCTCTGGTCTATCTATTTCAGATCTAGGTGGTCCAGGTGAACTGTTTACTTCATCTGACTGATCGATTTTCCTTATTCTATCTAGCCATTTGAAATTTCTATTCAACCCACGTGACCTACCTACCCCATCTGACAATTTTAGATCTAAAAAAGGGCAAGCTTAATATTACTATATTAGTACATTTATTTAAAAAACCTATTTTAAAAAATTATATAAAGGGTGGATAAAAATTAATAAAATTATAATTAAATATACAGAACAGGTATAAGAAATAGTAATATATAATAATATATTAATAAATTTATTTATTTTAATTAAAAAAATATAAAATAATTATACAATTTAGAATAATCAGGGTTGTAGTTAAGATAATCTTAATAAAATTTTATGATCCTGAGGGTTAGTCCGGGTTATAAAGCTTAGACCCGGAACCGTCCAGGTCCGGGTCGCGAGTCGGTAGGAGGGACCCAATATCAGGGTCGTGGCGAGGTCTAATCTCTATAGTGAGTATAAAATGTTATTATCTATTAGTAATGCGGTTTATTAAGTTATGGTTTCTAAGAACAGACCTTATAGTATGCTGCTATAATAAAGATATAAAGAATTAAATCTTTATTATTGCCTTTTTTTTATAAGCAGCAGCTTAATAGGCTGTTAATTTAAAACTTCTCCGGTTCGGGTAGAGAAAAAATAATATAAAAGTATTGATGTTATAAGCTATATTTTACTCTAATTAAGATAATAGCCTCGCGATTCTTTAAAATCTCTATACTAGAGCTGTATTTAGAGAATAAGTAAATTATTTAGAGAAAATCTATCTTTGGGCATTTTAACATTTAGAAGATAAAGCTTATTTGTTAGGTCTGATATAATATATTAATTCTTATTAGTTATATTTGGAAGTAAATGAAGTTTAAGTGATTGAACCTCCTTCATTGTTGTGGACATAGTTTAAGGAATATTAAAGTCCCTATTTTAAGTTATGCCTGCTTTAAAATGCCGCTTAAAGCTTTTAATTATATTAAATATAGGTTTATCCTTAATTTACCCTTTTATGTTTCTGGCCATAAACTTAAGGAAAGCTTTATAAGTTAGAATGTCAGGTGGTGATCTAGTAGCAGGGTGCAGTATTAAGAATCTAGAAATATTAGTGTAAATCTCCGGTAGATTAAGGTTCTGTAATTACTAATTAAATATTTTAAGAGCCTTCTTGTATTCTGCCTCTGTTTATAGAAGAATAGATTGTTTTATTTCTTTATTATTATAGTTGTTAAAATTAGTAATACACGTGAATCTTGCTGCTAAATCCTATTATACATTAAATAAGTTGCCTGGAACATAAAGGAAGAAAGATGGGAGGATATAAATAAGCGCTTTTTATACTAATGTTAAAATGTTACTTCTGGTAGCTTGGGTATAAAATATTTAAGGGACTGAAGGCTTTACTTAAAGCCGCCGAAACAGCAGTGTCAAAGCAGTAAGGCCTTGGGCGCTGGAATGGGTGAACACTGACATATACAGGCTGTTGTATGTTTTTGCTTTCAGATTTTTCTTTTAAACTAGCTAATTTATAGAGTGTTTTTATAGTGTAGGTAGTTAGTCGGGCTGGACTCTTGTAGAACACAACAAGGATTGATAACTCTCTCGACTACACTAGCCTAGGGCCAGAATATGGTCTTGTTAGAGCTAATCATCTGCGAATGCGCTGTACATGTCAGGTAGATTACAAAAATAGTGTAGATAAATGAAGGAAAAGGATCAAAGCACTCACTTGTCTCTGGCTCTTCATCCAAGTACAACAGTACTCTGTGATCTCATCAGGGATTTCGCCCGGGTTACAGTCTATCCAGATGGGATCGAATCGGTTCTCATCCAACAGTCAATGATGTTTCCTTCAACCATTATTAGCAATTAATTCGCTGACATCAACCCTGACGGAGGCGCTGAGGCGAAATGAAGCGAACGAAGTACTTGCTTGAACTGAGATGCAGGCGAAGCTGCAAGTTGAGCGATCTAGACTGTGGGTCATATGCAAGGCTAAACTACATTGGGCAGGCGTAGTCCCACCTATGGAACAAGCCTCATCGTGAGACTTTGTCTTCATCTCACTGAGTGTCAAGATCAGATGTCGCGGATCAGAAGGTTGGCTGCCCAGTCACTTCATCCAACGAGGTCCGGGGCCTTTGGGCTCCTTCTTGAACGGGAGCAAGGGGTGGAGTGATGAGAAGGGTCTCTGTAGCTAGATAAAGACTGGAAGCTCGTAGAGTGTAACTAAGCCGACCTCGGGAATCCACGCACATTGCCTCGGTGCTGAACAAACCTCTACATTGCATTGGATTGTACTCTTTTCCGGCTTGATGTATTAACACGTGACCGAGATGTACACGTGACTCGCAAGGCGCCAAGCATTGAGTTTGGTAATGTTTCGCAAGTGGGACCTCGCCCGGAGCCTTTAAATCCAACCCAGCTCTCTTCTGCCGAATACTCGTTCGTCTTTCCCATATCAAGCCAGGGTCTCGAGGGTTCCGAACGGAACAACGAGTGAATATGTCGCCATGTCTCGCGCTCAGCCAGAGCATAGCACACTGCAACCTATCGGTGAGAAATTGAAGGCGTTTCGCGAGGGCTTTTCATCAACATGCAACAATCTGGGGTTAGAATCGACGCTGGAATCTTTGAATCGGTTTGATAATGAAGGTATGCATTCGATCCTATTCCATATATCGTACTCACAAATTTCTAGATCTACAGAACGTTTGCTTTGACCTTGTGTCAGCTTTGCGATCCATTCCTGACCTACGAACCCTTCCTTCTCCTAATCGCCACAAAAGTTTTCTCAGCGACATTTTGAGGCTTAATACAGTGATCAGCTCAGATGACTTTGACATTGGCATTCTTGTCCCGCTTCTGCGCGCCGTTCTTAATACCGAACCAGACAACATAATCCGGGACAGAATATACTCCACTGTCACTGCCTCCACGCCCTCTCCTAAACCCATACCCTTTCTTAACCAGACGCCGGTATTGCACACTACGAGCAGCTTGTGAATTCTTCGGAACATCGGAAGCACGTGGATGCAGTATTGAAGGAGGAATTAGGATCGATCTATATTGACATCCCGAACTTCTTGACGTATTTTTCGGCGAAATCGAAGGCCTGGAATCAGCGACAGAAACCGTTTTACAGCGATGTAAAGAAGGTGATAACCCACTATACAGCGACAATATCGGCTGGCGAGATTGGCCTAAGAGTGCACAAGAGAAAGAAGTTCTGCAGTGGCTTACGGGAAAGGTTGATATGCTTCGCGAACATCTGACGAGGGATCTTCTCATCTGTGGGTCTACCCAGGATAGGAATATCTTGGCTCGTCCATCCCAACCATTGGAGGGGTCGGTAGCAAGCCGGAAGCTGGATGTGGCAATCGTGAGCTCTTCACAGAACCAGCCGCTACAGAGAGCACATTGGTCGCATGTGTTGATCCCAGGAGAGTTGAAGAGCAATGGAGATCTTGACACGGTCTCGAAGACTTGGCGCGATTTGGGTAGGTATGTCAGGGAGGTTTTCACTGCCCAAGAGACACGTCGATATGTCCTTGCCTTCACCCTTTGTGGGACCACCATGAGGGCGTGGGAGTTTGATAGGGTCGGAGCCACTGCATCCAAGCCATTTGATATTAATCGGGACGGGCTTAGGTTCTTAACGGTATTTGCGGGGTATCTTCTGATGAACAGAACACAACTAGGGTATGATCCTAGTATAAAATTGGGACCCGACGGGACACATTACATTGAGATCACTCGCAATGGAAAGCCCGAGCGCCTTGTCCTCAACGAGCTTATGAAAAGGAGTCCGTGTGTCGCTGGCAGAGCCACGACATGTTGGAAAGCCCACCGAGAAGGAGATGAGTCAACGATGCCTCTTGTTGTCAAAGATTCCTGGCAATACCCTGAGCGAGATGAAGAAGGTGTGTTGCTGCAGGAAGCTCTGGAGAATGGGGTTACCAATATTGCAAGACATTACTTCCACGAGACTGTCGAGGTTGGTGGGCATGTTGACGACACCTCTGCCAGTATCCGGCGGGATCTCGACTTATCGTCTGCTAGATATCATAGGTCGGCGCGATCTGGTACAGCAGCGAACAATGAAGAAGATCCAGCTCTAAGAGGCCGCACTCACTTTACTACCGTGGGAAGAAAAAGACCGTCTAGTCATATGGCTTTCGAGACAGGCCTCCCCCCTCCCAAACGCAATTGCTCGAGCTCTCCGTCCAAGAGCCAGGGCTTTTCAGCTCTACAAAACAGGGTGCACCGCCGGGTAGTTGTCCAAGATTACGGTAAGCCGCTTTACAAAGCTAGTTGTCATCCTGTCATGCTGGCTGCTCTTCGATGTTGCTTGGAGGGCTACCAATCTCTGTACATGCGAACTGGTCTTTTACAGGGAGATATATCAACTGGCAATCTCTTAATGGGTGAAGAAAAAGATGCTTCTATTTACCCCGGCTTCCTTATCGACCTAGACCTCGCGATCCGAGAGAAGAGAGACCAACCTTCTGGTGCATGGGGAAAGACCGGCACAAGAGCGTTTATGCCCATAGGACAACTTTTAGGTGATGCACCCTCCTTTGTGCAGGGACTAGAGTCCTTCTTCTGGGTGCTCTTTTGGATCTGTATCCATTACAATGGCCCTGGTGATAGAGGGCGAGTGGTTGAAGAGTTCGACGAATGGAACTACGTCAGCATGGAGGAGTTGGCCAAGTTAAAACTGGGGACAGTCTCGGATGATGGCATTTTTCAAAGCACCATGGACAAGTTTACGGATTACTACAAGCCATTAAAGCACTGGGTTGACGAATTACGACGAGCTATCTTCCCGAATGGGAAGATACGGAGGAAGGAGGATAAGGGCCTTTTCGAATACTCCAAATATTGCAGGATGCACAAGAGGCCGTGAAAACTCCTTAAATCAATATCATCCCAAGCATACCTGTAGTCGATTCCTTTGTCCCGCTTACATAAACACATGTTGTCTCTCATCGGGAGAAGCGTTACTACGTCAACCCTCGTTCCACTGCCTTGCAAGGTACAACAATTAAAAGGATCTGTCCTGTCTTACACAGTCATTCACTAGAGAACTCTCATTTCACACCACTCGCTTCGCAGTCTTGCCTCTGGCTTGAGAATCCGGTCAGCACTGTCTCACACTATGAAGAACTCAATCATTCCGTATGTTTTAGTCCACTTCAGTGGTTCTAGAGGGGGAGACGCCGATGTGGTCCTTAAAGCCCACCAAACATTGTTTTGAATTCGACTTGCCCGCATACCTCCTACTACGTTTGACCAGACCAAAACGATCGAGGGGGATTTTCTTGGGCGGTTAGATTCCCATGACCTGAACGAGGAGGAACTAGCTGATTTCCTCGGACCGCTCTGCCAACCCTTTTTTGCAATACACGCAGCCCACCGCGGTGATGATCTGGCCTCCCATCTTAACATGCCGGAAATATGGCTGCAGTTAGCAACCCAGAACGGGACACCTAAGGTTTTTGAGCGAGAGAAACATATCTCGACCCCTCCTGCTGCTTTCCCTCTGTCGCTGAACGGTACCGATGCAATCCCACATTATCCGCTGTCCGACGCAATCGTTACACGGGCTATTATGGACGGCTATATCTACAAGGTGTCTATTTCTGGAGCCCCTTTCATTTGCAAATTGGCGATGCAGAACGATATCGCCTCGTTTGAACGGGAGCTGGGTCTTTTCCGGAAATTTTCATCTCTGCGACGTGCTGAGAATCTGCTGAGAGTGCCGGACTTAGCAGGAACCATCGGGTTTGAGGAAGGATTTCCCGGGATGCTATTAACGGATATTTGTGCTGCGACTTGCATGGACGACATCAACATGGGATCGGTAGATGTTGGCGAGCGCCGGAAATGGGCAGGCCAGATCCGGGCTACCGTGGACATACTACATCAAAACTATATGGTTTGGGGAGATGTTAAAGCCGATAATGTTTTGATTGATGCGCAGAGGAACTGCTGGCTTGTGGACTTTGGTGGCGGCTGCACGGAAGGGTGGGTTTCCGAAGAGCTGAGGGAGACTAAGGAAGGTGGTCTGCAAGGACTTGACAATATAGATAGGTTTTGGGATATCTTGCAGAAAGAATAAGCGACAATAGAGCGCATTCTCGACGAGAGACAGGACGCATGACAACCGAGCACAGAGAAGTCTCCCTGATGAGAAGCGGCCTTGGGCAGAGGTCACGAGGCTATTCTTGCAGGAAAGTCCAGGGACAAGTCCAGGCGCGATCCAGGTATACTGGAGTATGACCCTCAGCAAAGAAGAAGATTAATACTTTGCTGGAAAGGTGATAGTGTATTGGCATTCTGAACGATTTGCGAACTACAACATGCAATAATCCTTTCCCGAGAGCATAGTACGAACGATGGCGATAACGGTGCTCGACTACTTTGTAGCAACCTAGGTCAACACCATCACCCAGCTGTGTACTTCGTTTTCCAGCAGAGAAAGAAGTCTCCAGCCGGCCAAATTGACTGCCTTCTATTGCCGTGGTAACCCCTACCCGTTGATCGGGCATTTTAACATGAAGTGTCTACACATGAGCTAGATAAAATTTCCGCTGCTCAGGACACTGGGGAAGTAGAAATAAATTGGACAACAGGATGGAGCGTGTGATGATAGATTAACCAGGGATTTATTTATATCGACAAAACAGTGGATGACTCAGAAACATAATCTAATAAAAGGATGACAACAGAACCCCAGAGTGCTAGTTCTTGTCGGGCACAGGCGCCGCCTGAGGTCTATCAGAACCTCTTGTTACCCATCGGTCTCTATCACGACTTTGACGCTCAAGCCTCCTAGCTACTGATGACCGGGTATGTTCACTTTCTACCCTTCTCAAGCGTAGCTCCTCCCCATGGTTCAACGGAGGATGGACATAAATTGTCTGACCACACTCTTTTTCCGCACTGGCCTGTCGTGGCGCCCACTGAGGAAACCAGCGTAGATCTTCGCCCGTCTTTAGAGCGATTATCTTGAGCTCTGATGAGCCTCTGCTGTCGAAGAATTCTTTTGCAAAGTCCCGTGCTGTTTCCTTCGTCAAGACTGATGCGAAAACGTCTTCCATCGATGGTTGTCTGTCTTTGGCTTTTGCTGTTGGATCCCCCGACTTCCAAGGGCATCGTCCCTTCACTAAGTGCTATAGTCTGTCATTCCAATTTGAAACAGCTTTGTTTGCATGCAATCGAACCATTCGAAAACGAGCGAATCACTCTGAATGCGACTGGAATAACCGACTTGGATCGACTGTGTCCAAACATCAGCACTCTGGAGGTGGACATGAACCCTTATGATGGATGGGTAAGTGATGAGAAAATGTTTCCATTAGTGAGCCCACGTTAACTATTCCATTCTAGCCTCATGATGTCATCAAAGCCATAGCAACAGGATTCACAAACCTCAGATATTTGAACATCCACATTGCACTCGGAATGGTAAAGACGAAACACATGCAATTTTCAAACCCTTTCGCGGCATTCATGGGGATTCCAACGTGTGGAAAGAGGATAGAAAGGCATTCAACGGCTCATTTGACAGGTTGACATAATCATTACTGATTATAGTGAAATGTGTCAACCCATGTACACGGCCCTTCGCCAGGTCCAAGAAGCCCGGACAATCCTGGCTGCCCAGGCTGAGGGACCGCAGCTTGTGCCAAAGAAACCTTTCCCTCCAGAGGAGCTCCTCTCCTTGGATATAGTAACCACTTAGAGATAGACTTCGCAGAGGCGGAAAGGTTTGGTTCGTGGACAGCATCAGAGGGAATGGGAGATGGCGGACCACCGACCACACAGCCTCCCTTGAACCTGTTGATTGAAACTGACAGACTTTCAAGGTTTGGATACGCGGTAAAGAGCTCATGCAAATTCAGTGTCTCTGGCTCGAGGTCCCAAGGCCTAACATATCTCCTCGTGGCCCTTGGAGGGCGATGAGGGTAAGCGTGAGCATCCACCCGCGTATGCAGCGCACACACAAAAGACATCTCTTTGGTTACTTGGGTTCTGCCCTGTTCTCCCAATAGATGCAGTTGTGGAGATCTCTTGTGTTTGGACAGCGCATCCGCAAAGCTCTGCGTCATGGGGAATTCTCCGTGAAAACTAAATTCCAGTGGAAAGGAGTAAGTTAAGCTCATTGCACTCCACCCGGGGCTCATCCTACTAAATATGTTCCAGATTAGGTAGCTTCTCTACAAGAATGGCAAGGAGATCTCGAGGCGGCTCCAGTTTCTGCCAGGCTTGTTCCTTGTTATATCCATCGGCCATCCGCTCAAGAGCCAATTCACGAACAAAGGCTCTCAGCCACTTGTTACGATCGTCTAGTAATCGGTGAAGGAGGCCGAACGACAGGTCATCTACCAAATCCTGGCTTTTGACGTCTTCATCATCAGGGAGCCGATGCCAGCTCTGGCCGGTGATGCGCGAGGGGCGAAAAATGACGGATCGGTATAGAATTGGAGTAGCAAGGCATTGAAATGATTTGGATACCTGACACACATTTACGAGGTCGTTCTGTGTGGGTAGCTGGATGGATCATGATTGTAAGCACGAGATAAATAGAGCTGTACATGGAACCTACAACCTGAAAGATGAGAACCCAGATCTCTGGGCTCAGGTCTGGTAACTCCATGGTGTTTGGAGTTGGACGGATGGGAAAGAGTAAACACAGCGGGGTCTGTTAGGGCTTATATAAGTGGAATTCTTTGTCCGCATCTGCCAGGGGTAAGTAAGCACTATACATCCCTGTCTGGTTTAATACATGACTCACGCCTAGACCATAGAACGTGTCCCTTGGCCGTACAGTGGGATGACATTTGTCCGAAGGGACCGTGATCCATTAGGTAGCGCGAGCCCCGGGCAGGAACTTTTTTGATGATATTGATACTGTCGAGTTAGCAGGGTAGATAAATGTTAATCATATAGATGCGAGCGAGGGCCGTGATAGAGAGCCAGACTTATCGAGAGAACGATTAGTGGTTGTAGATGACAGATGTACCTAAGATATAGGTAATGCCATTTTGGACTCTGCGTTCTTTCGATTTAAATACAAGAGATCTTCAAGAGAATCCTCAAGCACAATAAACTGGAGCCCCATAAAGCTTGTTTCGGTTTACCGTCCAATATGAATATTCAGGAGAGCTTTGAATTGCCCCTCTTCCGCAATTGTTCGCGATTGAAGGTCCTAATGTGCAGACATCGACCGCAATATGCATGATGCAGATATATCTATCAAGATTAGAAGCGCAAGGAATAAATCACAGAGTAAATAAAAATAATAAAAAAAATCAAAAGCAAAAACATACAACAGCCGGGATTCGCTGGTGGTCACCCACCCTGGCAGTTGCTCATATATTCGAGGTATTCACCGTTATATCAGGTTATGTATTACATAAATTCGTAATATTCACAGAGCAGTGTTGATTTATCTCTGAAATACCACAACAACAGCTCTACCAGAGCCTTGGAGTTTTGGATAACTGAGCGGTAATTATCTATTGACATATTGTTTCGGGATCCCTGGGAGGGAGACGCCGTCCAAGAACCACTAATACATCCTCATTTGCGTCAACGATGCACGGTTTTCCAACTGATTCTTTTGCTGCATGTACATCTCCATTTGAATCGGCTGGCGCATCGTAAAAGGGTGCCCTCTTGCTGTTTTTTGGATGGGTATTGAAATAGCGATTCTGACATATGGGCCCGAGCTAATTAACCCCTATAGACGGAAATGATAATTCAATGGCCGGTAGTACTGTTGCCCAGATGTTGAAAGAGGCTAGTGGTCCAGCAGCTTCACACAGGACTCATGTCCTCCAGCTTTCGCGAGCTCCAACGCCGATCTGCCTTTTGTGTCTCTGATACTCGGATCCGCCCCTTTTTCCAGCAAGAGTTTCACCACCGCAGCCTGTCCCCGCCAGGCTGCCTCGCACAGCGCATTCTTCTCATCTCGTTCCCACGGCTCCTCCACAATATACGGGTTGACGCGGATCTCATCAATCGCCGCGCCCCGTTCCAGCAGGAACGCTACCATGGCAACACGTCCCCAGGACGCCGCCTTCTTCAGTGCGAAACGCCCCTTCAACACCGCCCCGGCATTCAAGAGCGCATCAGCCACCGGGATCGAACCAGAAACAGCCGCCATTTCAATAGCGTTATTAAATGCGCCTGACCAGTTACCTGAGTTCGGATCGGCACCGCGAGATAGCAGGAATTGGACCATCTCAAGACGGCCTTCATGTGCTGACATACTAGTGAATAAAGCCTATTAGAGGAACCCCTTCCGAGTGTAAAGTAAAGAAAAGAAAAGGAAGAGAATAAAGTAAAAAATAAGAGATTCAACTCAGTCTGACTTACATAAGAGCGTCGCCACTGTGCCCGAGACTCCCGTTAATATTCCAGTTATGAGCAAGGAGGCAATCTATGATAGCTGTGTGCCCTTGCGCCAGAGCGGTTATAACTGTATCTATATTTAGATTTAGAGAAGGTAAGTACAATTTTTCAATCAAGAAAGACGTGCAGGTGCTGAAGATGTGCTTACCTGGCATCACTGAACAGCCGCTATCCAGGAGGATACCCAGCGCTGCAGGGTTGTTACTGCGCGCCGCTGCGTAGCACGCGGCATCTATGGCCGGGGTGAGGAACTCGGGATTCTGCGCTATCTCGAGGTCCAAGAGATGACGAAGCTTGTCCAGATGGTCGGTTTGGGCAACGCTAACGAGGTCCTCTTTCATCGTGATAAATTGGTCCGATTTTATGCCAGGTTCGCATGTAGAAAGAGAGGAAGAGGGAAAGGAGTTGACGTTTTCAAGAGTATTTATACCTTGGGGATGTCCCGGGCGGGGCCTACTTATTAGTATTACTACAAGCCCTATCCTTGTAGTGAAACCCAGTGAAATTTCACATATGATTCTGTCAGCAGGAATGAGGTAATTTTACCGCTAGATCAATGCTCCATATAAGTTTACTAGGCAATACGAACATTTCATAAACCAACAAATCCTTGTCTAGATGCTAGTAGCTAGTACTAAATAATATAATACATTTCCAGGCTGTTACAAAAACACTCTATTCCGCAGCCATCATGCCTCGTCCAGAGGCTTGAGTTATAACAAATACGAAAGATAGAAAAAAGTGATTCGAAAATTGAAAAGAGCGTGATAAAGTAAAGACTGACTGGTAATAATAGACAAAGAAATAATAAGGGAATTGATTAGATTCAAATGGGGTACACTATAAGTTATATATATACAGAGCCTATTCGACCTCGCTCCTCTATATCTCTTAATCGGTATCAGCTTTAGATGAATCCTAACGATGCTCAAACATGTTGGGGGCGATCTTTCACCTGTAGGAGCTATATTATGATATTTAATAAGTACAGTCAGATCTGTTCCTGGTCCTAACTTTCTCAGGTTAGGATACTGGCAGGGCACACATAGGGCTATACTTGTGGGCAACTAATCAGAGCTAGTGATAGGTTTCTGGGGGTTATCCACTATACAGTGACGTTGGATATTGCCAAGATATTTCTTTCCTATCGAACTAAGCTCCCTGCACAGGGTGAGAACCACGATCGACTAGACCGGGGATAGCTAGGGCCGGACTTGGGGGATCGCTGGGGTCGGACCGGCACAAATACGACGGACCTGGTGCACATGGGGCGGACCTTCGACCAGATTCCAATTCAATCCCAGCTCTCCGTGCATTCATGTAGTCAAGTCAGGGGCCCAACCAACAGGGGCATACCGACCGGAAAATACGCTCAACCCAAATCTCCAGAAGTACGTTACACAGGTGAGATTTGACTAAGCCTCAACCTCGGTCGGAGAAAGAGTAATAATAGGGCTCACAGATCGCCATTACCATATGTTGATTGTTCAAGGTAGAGGCCAGTCGAAAGAATGCTGGAAGGTTCAGGTGGGCATTCGAGCGTTGGACCCGTAGATATCATTTATATCTAATCTCTCAAAACCGGCGGATGCCATCTGTCTGGACCACCGTGAATACATCGTCCCACTTTCGTCCATCATCCAGAAGGACCTCATCCTCTCCATCCATCCGAACCCCAATCTGCTGGAGATAAGATCGTACCTCTTGCATGATCTCCCCAGCATTTTCATATTCCCCCTTCCAGGCCTTAATCAGGATCGGACCCAAGCGTTCATCTTCTAAACGCTGTAGCTTGCCCTCTTTCACCCGTTGCTGATGGCGCTCCCATGGATTCTCCTCCTCGGACACCTCCTCCGGATCCAGTGGATCGGTAGGCATTGCAAACCTCTTTGCTTTATGAAAGGACGCATCCTGTCGCATCAATTGCCAGACAAAGGTCGCCCAATCCGAGAGATCGATCTTCGGAGTGAGCTCTGGCTGCCCTCTGAGATCGGTTGAGTAGTAGATCTCTGGCTCGTATCTCAATTCGTAGGGGGAGTAGGGGCATTCGTTTGTCGGGATGGTTGCGTTCACAAATCCTGATAGCGCAATCGAGAGATCGTCACGGATCCATATCGTGCTCGTACTGAAATCCATCAGGTAGACCCCATGTTCATGCAGGAAGGCTAGTATGACGAGCGATTGCAGTGCCCAGCGGTAGTAAAGCAGGAGGAGGGGCTCTCTGTCGCCGTTGTCGGGGGAGTCCTTGTCCTCGGAAGATGTGTGGGACGCAGGAAATGTAGTCAGAAGTGGAAGAGTCGTAGCGACCAGTGGGCCGGGTTCCAGCTTCTCCAGCCTATATCCCACCGGGAGAGGGCCAAGATATCTATTTCCCACCACGCAGAATTGCGGTGTTCTAGCGGCGATTGCAAGAGACGGGCAGGCAGAGAGGGAAGATTAACTCACTTGGCAATGCGGGGGTGAATATCAATCGGTTTTTCTATATCCACATTCGGGATATTGATGCTGTGTGCAAGGTGTTCATACACTCGGGGGATTCGCTCTGCAACGATAAACCACTCCTCGGGATCGACACGGGGATTATCTTTCTCGCATAGTTGAAAGGCCACGATGCAGTCTTGATTGACATGCTGCACAAAGTAGATCTGTTCATACAGCTCGTCGTAAAAGTCCTCATTGCGGTTGCCACAGACCGAAGGGACCACGTCCCCGTAACAGCGAGGGTATTTGGGCTGGCTGGGCGGATCGGGGGCCTGTTCTAGATCGGTAGCTGAGGATGAGGGCTCCTCAGGGCGCCCTGATGACCAGCTGACACCCATGATGGCGACTGAATCTCTAAATAAAAAAGCGTTAAAACAGAACGGGGAAAAAAAATAAATAAATAAATAGAGAGAGAGAGGCAATGGATGCCTGTTGTCGCTGCCTGGCCCCTGGCTGTTGAGCGGCATGACGTCATTGGCTCTCGCGGGTACCTTTTCCATCCCCAATCCTCCTCCTCCTTCAAGACTTCAACCCCTGATGGGGTTCAAACGGTGAGAATGAGGCGACTCTAATTACATTCCATACGTTTCTGCCCATACGGTAGATGTATAAGCTATATACAGTAACGTGACACCCGGATGCATATATCTCCCTGCTAGATCTAGGTAAGCTGAGTTAATAACCCTTCTAGGAATTATCGCTGGCTGGAAATTCACGCAGGTATGGTCCAGTTCAATCGTGCAAAACTGGTATAGGAGGTTCTGCGGGAAGTAGGTGAATAGTCCCTGTCATTTGAGCGTCCACAACCACCCCCAGAAGCCCGTCGCCGGCTTACGAGTCTTCTGGAGATATTGCGCCGATGCCTTCGCTCTCTCGACAATCCGCTTCAGTTCGAGCTGCTTGAACTTTTTCCACTCTCTCAAACTAGACAGCTCGGTCCCCGGTTGGCAGTGTACCTGTTGTCAAACTGAAGCAGCACGTCGCGCATCCCATTGATTCTGATCTATCCTGTGCTATCAACGGTATGCCAGGATCCTGAGTACTACAAATCGGCAGAGGGCTCTGTTTCTGTGACATGGCCGCCATGTGTTCATCATGATACCATGACTGGTGCCGCTTAAACGTATATTGCCTGCTAAAAGTCGCATTGCTCAACGCACATCCATACGGATGTTCATTCCGATATAGTGAAGAAATCAATATGGTTGTGATCTTAACATAAGTGTCGAGACAGACATACGCGAGAGTTCATGCCTGGGGCTCTGTTCCTAATTTCAAGTTCAGTTGAGTCACGTCCACCACTACCGTATTCCAAAAGTTCTCCTTTTCAAAAAGTGATTGAGAGGTTCTATTTAGGACTACGGTGATAGTGGGTCTTTACACGCCCGTTAAAGGGATAAAGCCGATCTCTGTGGAGAGTATAGCGTCTGCAATGTTATGTAGGATTGCAAATGGGCAAGAACCACGAGGCTGAATGAGGAACCGTTGGCAACGTCACCGTGGGTCTCGGCTCAGCACCGGATGTTCCGAGACATCGTAGCTGCGGAGTAACTTTCTCATTGCTTGAAAGGAGTGGATCAACGGTTCGGATCATCCCCGGGCACGGGTACAAAGTTGGAATACTCGCGACCTGATAAGATAATGTTAGGGTTGTGATTCACCTTCTTTAGTCTTTGCATTATTCTTGCAAGTTGCCATTCGATACATTCTCTATACTCAATCATAATGTGTGACCCTACTAGCCCCGTTATCGACCACCTCCTCAACGCTCTGACGCTGGAGGAGAAAGTCTCTCTACTTGCCGGCCAGAATATGTGGGAGACTGCAGCTATTGACCGACTTAACATCCCGGCCTTACGAATGACCGACGGACCCGCTGGAGCTCGCGGCAGCAAATGGAATTATGGCTCGCCGACTACCTTTATCCCCTGTGGCATCTCCCTCGCCGCCACCTGGGACCTGGACATGATAGAAAGAATCGGTACAGTCTTGGGCCATGAGACTCAGCGCCAAGGTTGTAAAGTTCTACTCGCACCAACAATGAACTTGTCTCGTTCGCCACTTGGAGGGCGTAATTTTGAAGGCTACGGGGAAGATCCTTTTTTAGTCGGTTCTATTTCACGGGCGATTATCCGCGGGATTCAAAGGAATGGTGTGGGGGCCTGCATGAAACATTTTATCTTGAATGATACAGAAACCCGTCGATTCAATGTGGACCAGAAGGTTGATGAGCGCACTCTACGTGAGGTCTATATGAAACCATTCGTCATGGCGTTAGACGCCGACCCTTGGACAGCAATGGTCAGCTATCCCCTGATCAACGGTCTTCATGCCGATGAAAATCCTGCAATCTTACCCCAGCTTCTACGCAAAGAGCTACAGTTCAATCGTCTGGTGATGAGTGACTGGGGTGGATGCAATAGTACAGTGGAAAGCCTTATCGCTACCACTGACCTTGAGATGCCTGGCCCTCCCGTCCGTCGGGGAGAACGACTAATCAAGGCAATCAAGGATGGCCACATTGATGAATTGCAGCATGTCAATCCTAGTGTAGTACGTGTGCTACAACTTCTGGAAAAGGCTCATTTACTGCCTTCACTGCCCGAGAACAAGGATTGTTCGACCTCCCTTCCATCCACCGAGGAAAGTTCAATGGACACACCGGCCTTACAGAAGATCGCACGGGAAACCGCTCAAGGAGGCCTTGTCTTGCTCAAAAATGATGATATTCTTCCTCTTCAGCCGTCCAGCATCAAGAAGGTTGCTATAATTGGTCCTAACGCCCGTCGACCAACAGCTGGCGGGTCAGGAAGTGCTGCTGTCAATCCGCTCTATATTACGACTCCGGAGGAATGCCTGAAAGAAGCGCTGGAAGCCACCAACCCCAATATTGAAGTCGGATATGAGCAAGGACTGCCCTTCACAATTCGTCCACCTCTCTTAGGAGATTCCGTTACGGTCGCAGGCAGCTCCCAGCAAGGAGTACAAGTCGACTTTTATGCAGGGCATGCATTTGAGGGACCGGTAGAGTCTACGAGTATATGGCCCAACTCTCTCGTTTACATGATGAGTGATGGGGATGTACCTCCAAGCTTAAAAGGCAAGCCCTACTGCTATCGCGTCACGGGTAATATTGTTGTCCATACAGCCGGCCAATACACACTTAGTGTAGGCAATACTGGAAAAGCCAAGGTTTTTATCGACGATGAGCTCGTGATCGACAATACGGAGTGGACAAAAGTTGCCCCCAGCAATGGATTCCTTGGATGCTCTAGCCCGGACGCAATAGTTGAATTGACATTGGCATCTAACCGCCCATACGCGTTGCGCGTGGATAATGTTGCTACTCTTCCACCGCTTGAAAAGTGTGATAATACACTTTTCCCAAATGTGTCAGGTTTGCGCTTGGGTCTTGCTCTCCATGAGGATGAACAGGCCATGTTTGACCGAGCAGTCCAAGCGGCAGGGGACTCTGACGTTGCTCTGCTCGTCATCGGTCACAACAAGGATTCCGAGGGCGAAGGAGGCGATCGTAAGAGCCTCAATCTACCAGGTCGCATGGACGAGCTTGTGAAAGCTGTGTGTGCACGCAATGCCAATACCGTGGTCATAATTCAAGCTGCCAGCGCGGTAAGCATGGACTGGGCTGATGATCCAGCTGCCATTGTCCTATCCTGGTATCAGGGACAAGAGAACGGGAATGCGCTCGCAGATGTGCTTTTAGGTGCATGTAACTTCTCAGGGAAGACACCAATAACTTTTCCGCGTCGATTGATTGACCACGGATCCTCCGAGTGGCACCCCGCAGAGGCAGAACAAGACCGATCTGTCATTGGCGAGAAAGTTCTTGTTGGATACCGGTCGTTCGAAGAGCAAGGGATTGAGCCTTTATGGCCATTCGGCTTTGGACTCTCATACACATCGTTTGTGCTTTCGAATATCCGACTTGAGAATTCTATCATCAAAGCTTCGGCCGATTCCAAGCTCACTGTCTGTGCTAGTGTGACAAACATAGGCATACTGGATGGTCACGAGGTACTGCAAATATATCTCTCGCCATCGAGTATAATACGCTCTATGGGGTTAGTCAGTTACCCAAAGACATTAGCAGGCTTCAGCAAAGTTTGGGTTCAGGCCGGAGAGACCCGCGACGTGGAGATCGAGGTTCAAGGTGATGAGCTGCGTTGGTATGATGAGGAAACGAGCCAGTGGCGGATTGATCCAGGGGGTTACACCTGTTACGTGGGTACCAGCGTTACTGATATTGATGCTCAACTTTCGTTTGAAATGCAGTAATTAGCGATTGATCTTGAATAGTATCAGTATCGGCTGAGAAGTGGTTGTACGCACCTGGACAGGAGTTATGATGCTTGGACCACGGTGAGGCTATGTTATGGATTTTCTGCTCTACAGATCAATTAGATCTAGACCGTCCTCTCCAAGAACATGCTTATGTAGATTGTTGCACGTTAACTAATTCACGGGGCGTGTTTAGATACGTCATTGAGAAGACCTGTGCGCACTTGAGTGTCTATTGATGCGCATTCTTTATATCTAGAAAGAAAAAATTGATAAATACTTTGTGACAGGTTAAAGAGTATACATCGCCATCCTGCTATTAACAAGAGCACAAGAAAAATTAGCGAGGGGAGTGTGCACCTTAGACTCAAGAACTTCCTGGGCCTTGACTCACAAAATCGGCCCCCAACCCCAGGCCTCGCATGCCCACGGACGTCATTGGCGGTACCAGAATGTCGGGATACACATTCGGATGTTCCCCGGTCCAATCAACCGCTAGCGATACAGTGGAGACAAGCATCCGCCACGGGGATTTTCCTTTTGCTCCCCAGCTATTACCCCGGCCGTTCGTTCTCCTGCATCTCAATATTGACGTTCCGTTGCATTAGCTTTGATATAGCCATGGCAATACAACAGCTTTCATTCAGGGCTATACCCAGTGAGGCTCCTCAATTTCTCTATGTTCAAACGTCCTCTTGTGCTTATGTACGCTACACATTTTAGATAACACCAACCAATTCTGGTATTGTGATTCAGGTCTGAGAGACAATATCGCACACTGGTGAGTTCGATCTACGGCCAAATCTTTGATTGAAATATTGTCTGACTGGATACCTTACTAGTCTTGGGCTTTGCCTAGTGATCTTCTACCTGGTGAGTCTTGCAGACTGGAGTTCTTTCGAAGGTGTGTGCTAAAACATCAGAAGGGATGTAGGTCTAAATCCGAACGATCTTGCGATGGCGGTGGTCTCTGATATTCCTAGACGACACCGGGCTTCTTAACGGCTTACAAGCTCTCGAATCATGGCAAGTTTATCTAAATCACCCTAAGGGCATGCTATTGGGATTATATGCCGCCACGCTATATCTTCCGACCATCTTTACGGCCTATATCGGTGACATTATCTCCCACCACTTTGGGAGGAGAATCGCCTTGCTCTTGGGGTCCTTCTTCGTCTTGGCTGGAGGTCTGATCAACGCCTTCGCGACCAATCCTGCCATGTGGATCATCGGTGAAATATTTCCGTTCCTTGGCCGTCTTTTAGAAATTCACTGACATCAATCAGGCCGTGTAGTCATAGGAGGTGGAGGTGGCTTAGCGAAGGTTGCAGCACCAGCTCTTATACAGGAGATTGCCCATCCACGCTTACGACCCATGATAGCTTCGTGCTATTATCCCTTCTTCTATTTCGGCACACTCCTTTCTGCTCTATTATGCTGTGAGTCATACTGCACCTGATATGAGGATTATGGATCTCTGTTGACCCGATAAACTTGTAGTCGCGGGTCTGTACCTCCCAGGCAATTGGTCTTGGCGGGTGCCATCAATAGCGCAGATAATAGGTCCTGCCGCAGTGCTTGCAACTGTGTTCAGTTGCCCCGAGTCTCCGAGAGTGAGCCATTCCCTTGTTACTGATATGTAAATCTTACTAATTGTAGGTCGACCCCGTTCTTAGTGGCTTGTCTCTAAGGGAAGGTCTTCAGAAGCTGCCGAAGTGTTGGGCAAATACCACGCCAATGGTCTCCGTGACGATCCCCTCGTCCGATGGGAATTAGCGGAGATCGAAGCTGCAATAGAAGAAGAGAATGACCGTCACCAGAATTCCTATATGGGGTTTTTTCAATCGTGGGGTAACAGACGGCGTCTATACATTCTCGTGTCCTTGTCGATTGGGCAGAATTGGGTTGGCAATGGTGTCATATCTTAGTCTGTTTATCCCTTTGTAATTTCGAGTTGGACCTGCGCTGACTGCCTCAATATAGCTATCTGACCCCTGTGCTGAAATCCGTTGGCATAGAGTCTCCGGTACAAATAACGCTTCTTACATCGGGCCTGGGTAAGTTAAAGTCCTCCGCCGCTCACTCTACCAACTGACGCCGATAATTCTAGCAATCTGGAACCTCATATTGGCTTTCCTTGCTGCGCTAAATGTGGAACGCTTCGGTCGTCGCACACTATTTTTCATATCCATAATAGGGATGTTGATTTCTTATGGTCTGGTGATGGGCTTCTCTGCTGGATTCACGACAACCCAAAATCGTGGTTTAGGAGTCGCTGTCGTGCCTTTCCTATTCATGTAAACGATTCTGTGCTGGCCACACCATAAATATTACTGACATCTAGCATTAGTTACTATGGCTTTTATGACATCGCTTGGACGCCTCTGCCAGTCCCATACACGGCCGAGATTCTGCCATTCGGGCTGCGAACTAAAGGTCTTGCTATTTTCGCTTCAGTTGGAACACTGGCAAACTCTTTCAATCAATTCGTGAATCCGATTGCCTTGGAAGCCATTGCATGGAGATAGTGAGTTCATTTCCATCATTATCATTCAATGGCAAACACGATGCTGAGCTACATTTAGTTATGCTATTTATATCGCTATACTGCTATTTTACTTGGCCTTTGCGTACTTCATGTACCCCGAAACGAAAGGCCGCACGGTCGAGGAGGTGTCGGCTGTGTTCAATGCTTTTGATGACAAGGAGGAAGATCCCCGGGAACTTGCTCAGCCGAAGTACGAGGACTCTTCCTTCGTGGGGGCCAGCTCACACCGCGAAAACGTCTAAAGTAGTTCGTGACTATCTGCTATGCAAAGTGAACGTTTGGTGGACGGCAAGGTTTGAGACGAATCTACACAATAGTGATACTTGAGTGCGTTATGGTGCTTGTCCTCGGCCTGAGGTGCAACATTACGATCATGAACTTGAATGCCTGGTAAACCTGCGGTTATAGAATTCTTGACTCTGACTTGATTCGACTGAATCGTCAAATCTCATGTGAAACACCAAGCTGTTGTAAATTAAATTCATTCTCATCATGTATGTATCGCTATTAGGCTTTCAACACGATTACATTACAAAATCATCATAATACTAAGCTAAAACGTCCGAATTTGACCCCGATATCAGATCATCAAAACTGCCTTGGACCTGGCGATGCAGGATATTGTAGCTGTGCGAAATCGAAGTAATTGCCGAGGTTGAGACCAAAGTCTGCGTCACTACCATTTGGGCCAACTGCAAAGGGTATACCAAAGTCCCATTCGAGCTCCGAGAAGCTAGGGTCCATACGAGCCGGGCTATTGGACAAAAAGAGCGTTTTGTCAGTTGGAAAGGTGTCAAGAAAAGTAATACGCAACCACTGAAGTAACTCACTTAGCCTCTCCAGGATCGCTTTCAGTATTCAGAGGAGCCCCTGCATGGCGCGCCAATGCTCGAATAGTCTCAGCCAGCGTGCTACATATCCCCGTTGTGGAAAAGTTATTTTGATCTAGGAGTCCAATGGCCGATTGGAGATAGTGTTCCAGCACTAGACGATCCATTGGAAGAGGCTGCTCCATTCGTGCCACGAGTATCCGTATTAAGAATACCGCACTTTGTGAAAGGATAAGTAGGAGGTACTGTTGGAGATCGGAGAGTGTTCAGCAGTTTTTCAATTGAAAGGTCGAATGGGCCGCTCACATGTGGACCATATCGAATGGGGGATTCCATTCTACCTGATTCAACAAAGTACTGCACAAGGGTTATAGCGGACTCGCAAGCCCGTGTAAGAGAAGATAGAGTCACTTGGAGCTCCCGAGTCCCATCTATTTCGTGGCTGGCGAGGAGATTCAGCGAAAGTGAGTTCAGGCATAGACGTGTATGTTCGCCATAGATCTTGCATAACACGAGATAGTTGCCTAAAGAGATAGTACCGTAGGAACCTAGAGGTGGGGCTAATAAGCGATAGGATCAAGCACTAGAAAGACTGGGCACGCACCATTCCAAGTCCATTGGCGTTGCCATTCATCCAACCGTGGGTTCAGATCTGACAAAAGGGCAGAAACTCTCGACCACACGGTATTCGACGGCGGAGCTGGTTCTCGACTTGGAGCGGTCGGTAATTGCGCCATGTGTAGACCGGAGATCAACTCAGCTGACACCTAGAGCCAGCTTCGATTAGCTTTTGGAAGGTCAAACCGCGTGAGAATGGCATACCTCCGAGAGTTCGGTCATACTGGCTACATAGCTAGCGACCCGAGAATCAATGACGCATGAGCGACCCAGCTTGCGAACTAATTTGAGGTATTCCCGAGCGTCGTTCTTATAGACTGAAACATGCGGACGACCGAATCCAAGACTCAGTGATGTATCGTAGCTATAACCGAATGCTGTTAGTTTATGGAAGTAGATTGCGATAATGAACTTAACATACTGGTTTATCATGAGCCAAGTGTGCCATTGGCTTAATATTTCATTCACTTCGCGAATGTCATTTGAAGTGAAGTGACTAGCGTTCTTGAACGTCGAAATAGCTGGTCGGCTATATGAATCGGGGACTCCAATACGGTATGCTAAGCGAGTGCATATACCAGTCACCATCCACTGGTCTGCGGACTGACCGTGACCACGCGGTATCCATACCGATAGGAGTAACGTAGCCTGGACATCGGATAATTGGTGTTGTTTCCGAAATATCACGAATCCAAGATGTGCGCAGGAAAGGTCGGCCAGAGCGTCAATGATGTCTTGGGCGATGGGCACCATTGCTGTTTCGAGGTTGGTCTTTTGATAATTGTTATAGTAGCAACTGGCGATGGTCAAAATTACAGTGAAGAGGAATGACGCTGTCGATCGGATGCGGTCGAAATCGCCGTCGATGTTTTCAGACAAGCCAAGAACTGGGAATAAGGGGTGGCATTTTTGACAGAAACTAGGTTATAAATGAGTCTTTGCCACTTTCGAATGGGATATCCACACCAATGAACTCACAAATGAAAGAGTGATCTCGCCAGCTGTTCACTGATAATGCCGTTCCCAATCGGCTCACTCCGCACGTTGACTTGTGCCGTGAAATGGGTCATGCCTGGAGACGACTGGCCGAGAGTATCTCCATCAGGCTTCGCTGGTTCTCTTGACCATGTAGAAGGATATGCCATCAAGGGGGGAAACGGGGCTGCGTTGTGCTGTACCGTCGCCCACCGAGATTGAAGTCCTTCTGGCCCTACTAGAGTGGATGCCGGGCCATGTGTCCGTTCAGATGGTGGTGCCGCATGCCACTGACTCTGGGAAAGTGGCGTGGCTTCAGATGGTGCAGTGTACGAATCGGAAAAGGCTGCAGCAGTACGAGCGAAAGATTGCGGCGTATCCATGGGCAGCACGGGCCCGCCTTTCTCAGGTTCGTGGCCATGATATTGAGGCGACGGCGACTCATTCAGCGGGTTAGATAGCGTCTGACTCTGACCAAAAGAAGAATCATCGGGTGGAGGGTGTGACTCGAGTTGTACGGCAGTAGACGACTGTCGGGAATGACCCTGAGACCTTGAGTTGGCAACCAATTCTGCGACCGTTTTTTCCAGCTGCGCGATACGTTGATTTGTGATGGAGATGCTCAGGTCAGAATTCACCCGATCACCGAAGTCACAGTCCGATCCGGCTCTTTCGCAGGAATTACACGGATGTCCGCCGGTGCATCGTAGCTTTTTAATCCGACATCGCTCGCATGCCAATGTCGCACGCTGAGATCGCTGTTTTTGATTCCGCCTTTCAATGCCAGTCACGGCAGAATTACGGAAATTTGTCCGACGATCTGCGGCTGATGAGGCCGGCGATATAGTAGGCATAATCAGCTCGCTTTGGGATGCACTGTGACACCTAGCGCAGGCAACGATAAGATGAGGTGACGCGAAATCCGGAGTTGTTCTCTCCACCGGTTCATTCTTCGGGGAATTCCCGGATACATGGCATTGGGGAAGTGGATACGCCCCAGAAAATTCTGACATCAAAACCCCAGGATGAGCCTCTCCACGACGCACCCCACATGCCCCCAAGTTCCCTCCCTGGGTAGGCGGTAGGCGTGCTGCGAGTGGCAGAAATGTTACTGTCCCTTCAGATTCTTAGTTCTTACTTTCCATATTAGAAGGGCTTTGAAAATTGAAAAAGTAAATTCCTATAATATGTAGACTCTAAGAAACATACGGGTCTAGATTTACCTCCAAATAACACTAAGCAATTCCTAAAGGGCCTGGATTTCTTAATTATTAAGGTACTAGACTGCCTTAGCCGGGGGTGCGCCGGTAGAGGGCCCCTAACTCAACTATGGACCGAGCCTCAACGCAATGACCCGGCACTTCCCCGTGGATTCAAGAGTCGGGCCAAATAGACGGAGGTATATTGGGCTTGAAAGAGCCCACAAAGTGATCGTAGAAAGAGTCAGGAACTCCGAACAAGAATCTTCGCAAATCATCCCTCACTATGGCTCCTACCGTGAAGTGGACTGATGTGTCCAGTAAGTGACTTCTTTCAAGGAGATTGTCCTTGTACGAACATTGCAGACTAAACCATGTCCACTATTATTGACTAGACAACACAAATCATATCTGGTACAAAGATGCATGCCTTCGTCGAAATGTCGCATTTGGCTTAGGTCTTTGTCTTGTGATTGCGAACAATGTAAGTTATCATCTTGACTTTGCTATGGGGGATTACGGAAGCTCATTTTCTGCAGGGATGTTAGTGAAATTTTTTACTGTCTAAAAGCCCACATGCTGTCAAGACACCCTTAAGTACTAACCCAGCTTGACAGATCAGCTTAGCTTGCTTACGGGTTTCCAAGCCATGCCGTCGTGGCAGAGGTATGTTTGTTGCTCTGAAGATCAACCAAAGGATACCCATCATCTAAGCTGTCCACTAGGTACTTCAAGAATCCCAAAGGTGCTCTGCTGGGAATCTATGCGGCATCTCTTATCATTCCATCTATCTTCACCTCGTTTGCCGGTGACTATCTATCCACGAGGCTGGGTCGCCGGTGGTGTATCTTCATTGCCAATTCTATCATCCTTGCCGGCTCTCTGGTCAATACTTTCGCGACTTCGATTGGAATGTGGTGCGGAGGTCGGTCATTCCTGGAGTTGAATATGAGATGAACCATGTGAACTGATAAATACCAGGCCGCGCTATCATTGGTGTTGGTGTTGGCGTAATCAAGGTTGCAACGCCCGTTTTAATCCAAGAAATAGCCCATCCGCGACTTCGACCCATTCTCGGCTCTTGCTATCAAACCGCTGCGTACATAGGGATCTGCTTCGCTGCCTTCATGACATGTGAGATTATATGCCTCTTGACAATGCATTTTACTAACTTGTCTCCTTGAAGTTGCTGGTCTATATGTCCCCGGTGACTGGGGTTGGAGATTCCCTTCCCTGCTCCAGGTAGTTGGTCCAATTGCAGTTTTTGTGGTGGTTATTTTCTGCCCTGAATCCCCACGTGTAAGTATCTGTGGATTTCAAAAAGGAATTTCACGAATACTTACACAACCTTCCAGTGGCTTATCAAGAATGGTCGACGAGACGAAGCTCGTGATATTCTCGCCAAGTTACATGCGAATGGTGATAGAGACGATGCCCTTGTTCAACTTGAGATCAGGGAAATAGAGCAAGCCATAGAGCGCGAAAGCTTGCAGCAGCAAACTACATTCCTGGATTTTGTACGGTCACCTGGAAATCGACGACGCCTGGTAGCTCTTATAGCAATGGCCTGTTCTCTGAACTGGATGGGTAACGGTGTTATTACATAGTGAGTTAAGGATTCCCAGTTTATCCAGTGGTATGGTGACTAACCTCAGATAATTAGTTTTTTGTCGCCAATTTTGAAGTCGGTCGGCATCACCGCTCCTGTCCAAATCACTCTGATTAACGCTGGTCTCGGTATGCACCCGTCCTACTCCCACTGCTCTCTCCTCAGCTCCCTCGGTGAATTTGATGGGTCACTTTGTCTAACTTCCTCGAGCCCTTTGGAACTTCCTTATCGCCGGTTGCGCTGCAGTGCTCTGTGATAAAGCTGGCCGTCGACCTCTATTCCTCGCGTCGCTTGTCGGTATGCTATGCTCTTATGCACTCGTCATGGGCCTGTCAGCTGGATTTTCTAATACCAAGAACCATTCAATGGGAATCGCCGTTATTCCGTTTCTGTTTATGTGAGGCCCCTTCGCAAAGTATTCATCGAGGCACGCCAGGATTAACTTTTGTCACGACAGTTACTTCGGATTCTACGATATAGCATTTACCCCTCTACCAGTTGCTTATACAGTTGAGATCATGCCGTTCAGTATTCGATCAAAAGGGATGGCCCTTTTCACCAGTTTCGCAACTTTGGGCAACTCGTTTAATCAATTTGTTAACCCGATTGCTCTGGATGCAATTGCCTGGAAATAGTACGTTATTCGGATTCTGCTCTTCGACTTTATCATTAATTCTGTTACAGCTACGGAGTGTACATTGCTATCCTGGTGTTCTATATTGGTCTCATCTTCTTCATGTTTCCGGAAACGAAGCGCCTCTCTGCAGAGGATGCGTCGAGGGTGTTCGATTATGATAAGAACGGGCACCTCTGGGGTCATCAAGCAGACCATTGTGAGACCGGTAGCAGTGGTACTGAAGACGAGAAAGAATATCCAGTGCGCACAACTGAGGATGAACGGAGGAATTAGGCTTTATTTAGAACCGACACTCACTTCACTAGGTAAGGAGGAAAGGAGGGAGAAATTTGGAAATTTTTCCTTTTTAAAAAAAAAAAAAAAAAAAAAAAAAAAAAAAAAAAAAGCTATATACCACTATATACCTCTTCCAAGTTCTATTTATGTACGGTGGATATCGGCTTCAACTTGATGTTGAAATTGTTCGACTATCCGAATCGTAGCACTGCACCTAGACGGAGGGCCCTCTATAGTAAGAATGTAAATCACCTTCCAGGGACAGCAATGATCAGAGCGAAGGCTGACGTCGTAACCTTGAAACAAGAATATCAGCTACCGAGGGTGGACAGTATAACTAACTACTAGCTATTCTGTAGCATAATTACCCACCCCGCGTACTTGTAGCAAGTCGCGGGACTGTTCCCTTATCCGCTGTCTTCTCCGAAGGTCAATACGGAGTAGCCTCCGCTCGGGTCTCCCCCGGTATCTCGCCCTAAGTTCACCACTTGGTTACCTTTGCAAGATCATCCTTTGAGATTGATTATTCGTGACTTCTTCATACACTTTCCTACAGGGCTCTAGATTTCAAGGTAGCACAAACTCCCCGTGCAAAGCATTCCACTATCTTTAGCCAATATTGTCCTATATGTTATTATATTTCTTTAGGGTAATTCAACTCTGGAAAGAGCTCACTGTTATTGCCCCTGCGTTGCTGTTTTTCTCGATTTTGCCATTGAAATGACAATTCTGCCACAGACGCCACGCGAGGCCCAGAAAACGCTGCGTATTATACTAGCGTATCTACACCGCATGAGCGTGAGCCTTCTCTAGTCGACATTAGCCGACATTTAACTTTGTGTGTTGACGATGGATCCTGCCGCGTGGGTAACTTTTGCAGCAGTAGCCAAGAAACTGAACAAGAGTGAGATGAGGGCCAAATAAGACAATAAGACTTGTCTCGATAGAATTAATAATCAAGCCACGATGCATGGCGATGCTGCCTCATAATCTACACAGCTATGTTATGCTTTAGATGGTCTCGAGCATTCATAGTATCCCTTAGGCTACATTTTTTGCAATCCGACTGGAGTACAGAAATACAATAAATAGCAAGGACCTCGCGTCTGGACGATGGCTTTCCCCCGAGGCCGCCTAGTGCTCAGCCAGGCAGATTCTCTGCCAAGAAATATAGAATTTGAAGTGAACATGCAGAATGTGGAAACATACCGGCAGACCCGTGATAAGGGCTGTCCGGTTAGTAACACACCCCTGTTTCCTACAGCCAGAATTATGCAAGAGCTTGTATATTTGAATGTGGGTCCAGACAGACAACGTGGATGGTTTGAACTTGACCACCTCCCGGCTGCACCGCACTAATCCTGACACTCCGCCAATGGGGTATCCCCAGCTGGATGGGGCTTAATATCACTAAGCGGAAGTTCGAAGTTGCCGGTTACTCCGTACGGCAGTTGAGCAATTACCCTCTGCGGTGTTGGAGTTGTATTATTAAAATGAAAGACAGAACAATCAAAGATTTGTCAAGTTGTTGCCGGAATTTATCCCGCACATTTGTAATCGTGGAATTGCTTCAACAGTAGCTAAGTTTCGATATATTAGGAGAGACTCTCGTGTCTGGCTACGTTCTCGTAGAAGGCAGTCCTGCCAATTCCCTGTTACTCGCGCGAATGCTAGAAATCCAACATGCACCAATCCCATAAAGTTGCAGTTATTGGTGCCTCGGGTACACTAGGGGCAGTCGCCCTACGAAAGCTCCTCGAAGCGGACACGTTTACAGTCACCGTGATCAGACGAGCTGGTTCTAGTTCCGCCTTCCCTGCGAACCTCAAGGTCATCGACGTGGATTATTCGTCCGTGGACTCGCTCAAGTCAGCCTTCAAGGACCAAGATTCGATCCTATCGCTTGTCCCGACTTTCGCAGTCGACGCTCAACAAGCTTTCATAGATGCTGCTGTTGAGGCTGGCGTTTCTCGCTTCATTCCTTCGGAATTCAGTGCCAATCTCACCCATCCAAATGCCCGCACCCTTCCAGTCTTCGCCCCCAAAGTCAAGATTCAGGAATACTTGGTCGAAAAGGCCAAGAATACGGGACTTACATACACCTTCATCTACTGCGGTGGCTGGTTAGATGCGGGATCACACCGAAGTTTTCTCATCAGCAGCACCGGTGACACCACCAATATTTTCGATGGCGGCGACGTCGCTTTCAGCGCATCGACCCTTGATACTGTCGCTTCGGCTATTGTCGCAACCCTCGCCCATCTGGAGGAAACCAAGAATCGCTCTATTCATGTCCACAGCCTCGTGACAACCCAGAACCATCTACTTGCATTGGCCAAGGAAGTAGCACCGGAGAAACCGTGGCATACAGTCAACCTCAAACTCGAGGACTTGACTGCAAAGGCTAATGTGAGACTGGCGAAAGGTCTGGTCGATTTCGAAACGTTTGCCCCATACATTTTTCGCGCCATTTTTGATCCTTCCTTTGGAGCTTGTTACGAGAGGACCGATAATCAGCTCTTGGGTATTACATATTCATCTGATGAAGATGTCAAGGATATCCTGCGGGATTTACTGAAGAACAGAACGAAGGATTAGTTTGCAGACATTCCGTGCTGTGTGTAACTAAAGACATCACATCACAATGCAGGGTTGCATCAAAAACGGGTGAGTCGCTCCGTCGGTGAGGGCTATTATCATATTTACGCGTAGACAAGGAGAAATACCCTGGAGCTGCCATTCTAGATTTCATTGGGTCCAAGGAACTATCTTGTAAAATCTCTTTCCTAGCTCCATATCCTACAACCTAATATAAAAGGTAGTCCTTTGACGAAAACGAGAAAAGATACCACCGGCAATCCGGTCGCACACAAGAATAGGTAGCTTTCCTCTCAGCAACTTGTCGTACTTCTTTGTCGACTCCCCTATAGAACGGGCCTACCGGGCCCGAAAACCGCCAACGGCTCCCGCCCATGACCTTTAGGCTATGACTGCGAACCACTGCCCATACGGGCCACCCCTTGGGCCCCAGCACCCCTTTCACACACCCTACCGCCGCCCAGCCATACGTAGGGCATAGGCGACAGATACAAGGCAGCTCGGCCATGCATTTGCGAGAACTGCTTTGTAGGATTCTTTCTAAGTGACGGAGTGGTGGCGGATTTCCGGGACAAGCGCGAACTCCCGGGGCTCGGGCCCCGGAGCATTCGCGGCGAAGGCTCCCATAGAAGTGTACATGGTACTCTTAGCTTAGCACGCCCCCATGCCCCATGAGAGGCCCTGGCCCTAGGGAGGCAGGCCATGCCTGCCATCCCGCCGGACGTTAATCTACTTTAGCTTAAGCTAATTAAACCTCTTCCACTCTCTAACTAGATTGCTCGGCCCCCTGTTGGCAGTATACCAGTTGCCAAACTGAAGTAGCACGTCATATATCCCATTGTAGCTGTCACAGAACGACTGCTACACCTCGGGATGGTCCCGAGCCACCATGTCGACTTCCCTCCAGGAAGTATTGTTCTGATCAGAGGCCTCTCTAGCCGTTATCACTATGAACCCCAGCATGGCGGGTTTCCATTGGCAGGCAGCATATGAACGAATTTTCAAGAAATTCCGTCATTCGATGCTAGTACAATCGAAGCCAAACGTGAAAAAAGCTCATAAGATGTCCGTTCGTCAGCCTGCGTGACTCAAGCGTTGAAGTAACAAGCAGCCGTCCTCCCCTCGCCCTCCCATTCTCCAATACCATCCGGGTAGTACCCACACGAGCCATCCTCCATCCCAAAGTCTTGCCCGTTATAAGTGAAGTACATCTCACATTTGCCGTCCCAAGGGTTCGGATGCGCCTGAATAAAGCCACCAGCTAGCTCGGGAGAGTTCCATCGACAGCCAGCATTGTCATCACATCCGTCGTTCACGAGAGGTGAGCCATTGCGCGTTGCCATGAAAAATCCTCGGTCAGCCAGCTGCTGGATGGACTGGACTATGGTGATCGGTGAGCATGCGTGGTTGAAAGAGCTTTGGGAAAGGTGGATGGGCTTACTGTTCTGGTCAGGCACCATGTCGCAAAAGAGAAGAACCGCCCATGGAGCTGTCTCTGCTGGGGGCGCGTCACCTCGCTTGGCAACGGGGTTCGCGGCCGCAATAATGGTGCCACACACGCCTGCAAGGAGAGCCATTTTGAGATTCATGTTTGGGGAGTGTTAAGAAGCACGAGATGATCTGTAGTATCAATATGTGGAAAGAATGCTTCAATGGTGGATTTTTCAAAACAGAGGCAGATTGACGTCTTCTCCCAAGCCCAGTTTCCATTCCGGGTAATTGGTTCTTCTACTCAGCCTCGGAATATCAGTCGGATCGGCATGCCAAGAGTGATTGTCATGGATCGGATTGCACTGCCCACGCTGTCCTTGTTAGATTCTCATCAACTGAAGCTTTGTCGATGCTCTCGCCCCGAGCTCGCGGCGGGTTCGGGATGCTAAAGCTTGTCTGTTCCGCTTTACACAGCGGACAGTGGGACTCGACTGAATTGTCTATTTGTCTCGACCAGATAATCGAGTGGATGGACAATAAGTGTGTTCGTGATTTTCACAATTGGATTTTGGCCGACGGATCTTTGTTCATTTATGCAGATAAGGCGACTTGCTGCTATTGTATTTCCAAGTAAGTGAAAGGACTGATGAAGGGGAGATATATTGATTGTTTTGTAAGTATACAGCATCAAGAAACAGCATGAAGTCCTGAAACAAGGAAAACTAGGGTCTGTGCTGCAGATCCTTATTCTATTCGACCAGACGAGTTTCCCAAGAAAGAAATGTCCCCGGACCCACGTGGAGATGGGGCCAGAAGACGTCAACACCAGCTGCCGAATGCGGTGATGCTCGATCCACTACATGCCATCCTATTGCTTCAATCGATCGCACATGAGATGACTCGTTCGCCATGAAAAGTCGATCGGTCGAAAAATCAGCCCCGAGCATCTGTCGTCTCCAGGGGGTTCGCCGAGATTTCACAGCAATGTCCAAATACTTAAGAAGCGAGAGTGCTCGATAACCATGTAGTCGCACGCAAACTTTGCATTTTATCTTTTGTGACCTCTCTCCTCTGCCAGCGACATGCCAGCCACGACGCTCTCGACCGGCGTGTTAATCGCAAGTGCTCTCTTTTCTGCCATTGGAGCGGTCCCGACTGCGTCCTCTCCGCAAAAGAGATGTGGCATCGTGGGAAGCTTCTACAACCAGCAACCGCACGACTATGATGATAATGGCACGGGAGATTGGCTGAACTACTGGTGGGACGGTCATGCCGACGACATGTCTGCCAATTCGGCTGGTTTCGCGGGTGCTTTTGGAGAGTGGGCAATCGGGAACCCAGACTGGTCCTGCAGAGACGACGGATCCGATTCCAACTGTGATCTTAACCTGTGCGACAACGCAGTCCTCAATAACCACGGTGATGAGGCTCGCCAGGCTTACTACGTCCTTGAATCCGTGAACCGTCTTCATGGGTACTTTCAGGGCCTGCGCGAGGCCTTCACGACCAGTGGTCTGGATGCAGCCTTGTCAAAAGATTCCTGGGCCGAATCCTTTTACGAAGGAGACGACGACAAGTCTCAGTCGGGTCTTAAAGAGGCCTTGAACGCAGTCGGTATGATTGTTGGCGTAGCTGCCGCCTTTGCTGGTCTGGCGGTTCCTGGGGTGGGCGAAGTAGAGGCCGGCGCTATAGCCGGTGCCGGAGCAGCAGAGGGTGTTGGAGCAGCGGCCGGTGCCGGGTCAGCCATGTACAGCGGCGGTGTTGCAGCCTTTAACCTGCTGGGGGGCTCTGAGTATGTTCTCCATCGGAAATTCTTCAATTATGTCTCGACTAACATACGACATCAAGTAAGGATGACACGTTCGAGCAATCCGCACAGCTGGGCGGTATTCTTGGGAAACTCGTGACCGGCTCGATCAAACAATTCACTTCGAACAACAATGACTTGATGGCGGGAAAGATTGTTGACGATCACGACATTCGATCTTACATTGCCGGAGGCGCCATGGTGGCTCATCCTGGGGTCGATAAGAACGCCGTCACGGATGCAATCACCACTCAGTTGATTGGCACATCCATCAATCAGCTGTGGCGCCAGCAAAAGGTGTTCATCATGGGCGGCGGCGCATGCGGCGACAATGAGGGTATCGGATCTGGACCCCAGGACACGATGGTCTGTCGGGACGGAAAGGCATGGTATCTCTACTACTGGAAGGAGAATGACGTTGTTTCGACAACTTCTCACCAATGGGGCTGGGTTACATTCCCACCGGGTGCTGAAAAAATGGGCCAGGACGAATTTTCCGGTGTGACTGTGCAGGTGAGTCGACCGGATTTCAATAAGAGTATCTCGCATTGCATCTTTCGCTGACTCGCGAACTTCCCAGGACGTCATCAACGCTTCGCTCGATGCTCATAACGTCGCCGGTCTGAACTATGACTCTCAAACGCAACAAGACCGCGCTTACGACGCCATCGCCAATGGCTGGGCCAATCCAGGTGAGCAGGGAGCTTCGTGGGAGGGTATCTTCAGTATTCCCGTGTGCGATGTTGGTTGGGCCAAGGACTCCGATCTGTACAAGAAGGAGTACATCTTGCAGCCGTACGGTCACGAGTCTCGTCCTGTCTGGTGCGGCTCTGTGTGTGAGAATGATCCCCAGAAGACGATTGACTTTATCAACGCTGCGGCCATGGGTGGTTTTCAGAGTCCTAAGCACTTGTGTCCTGAGCAGCCTTTTTAAACTCCTCAATACTCATCTAATAGAAGACAATAATGACGCCATTGAGTCTGAGACACAACAGTCAACAGATGAATTGATTTAAAAGGATTACAGTACAATTACTGAATAAATGCCGAAAATCAGTGTAAAGGTCAGCCACAACAATAGTAATATTGACGATCTGAAGAGTATTTAAAAAGAATTGTATCTTTGAGTGTCGGGGACAAGACTCTTGGCTTAATCGGCTCACCCGCACCATGATCTGCTATACATTAGCTAGGAATAGCATCACCCAACTCATCTACACCCAACTGGAATGCTAGTGCATTCTAATAAATTAGAAAGGGCGTAACCAGGCTTTGACCAAGCACATATACTGTGGCTTTAAGTAAGGCTGGGCGGACGGGAAGCCCTGTTCATCTCGCCCTGTGGTCGTATGTACCAAATCAAAAGAAATAATGGAATATATAGAATTCAAATTAAAGATAACACAATAAGCATAAGAATCTCACAGTTTCATAGAGTTCCAGAAGCGAATTGCCGCGGCTGAGGACCCATTAAGAGAAGGTGGACATGATTCCCGAAACGAGCACCCTTGGAAATCAACCGCCTGATACTTTGGCCACTGGTCGAAACGATTGGAACTTCTCAATGGCCGGACAGGGGGTAGGAGTACAAGTCCTTTCTGAAGAAGACCAATTAGTTATTTTGAGAAGTAAATTTTATATCCATATAGTTTAGAATATCCTATTTTATTAATTACTTTGGCTAAGCAACAACTTAATACTATTCAATTTGTCAGGCTTTTTTTTCAATATATATATATATATAAGGATATTGAGCATATAATTTAAGCTTACCCCATCTTGCTGTAGTTTGTTCCATATTCTGATTGCTTTGTTAATTTTAGTGCGGGGAACTGCAGGCTTATAAGACTCAGCTCAGCCTCTCGGCTGAAATCCAGCCGGCGCTTACGTGCCATTCTGGGATGTCGAATGCCTCATTTCCCAGGGTTCTCACATTCTTTCCAGCAGACAGGTAACATGAAGCGGATTCCATGATTAAGCTAAACAATCGCGACCAACAATAAACCATGTGGAGCCACTTCTCCAGATACCTTCCTCAGCGGACGGCCGCGTATCGCGAGACAAATTCCAGAGATCTTTTCGAGAGTCACAGCCAGAGCTTGGGATTCAGGCAGCTCGACAAAGTGAAAATCGACTGCTCTTTCATGCCGAGCTCGAAATGGGGCATCCTAGGTGATGACCCCAGTCTACCGGCCTGGGTCCTCTACCTCCAACTGCAGTTCAGCCAGCCGGCAGATTGCACGCTTAAAACTGCGAACGTGGAACTGTCGTTCCAGAAATTGCACCCCATTCACAAGGCGAAGCTTGGGCCTGTTGTTACGGAATATTTTGCGCCAAGGAGTGTTGCCAGCCATGTTAGACCTCGAGATTCGGAGGACTCGAAGGAGTTTCAGAATATCGTTGAATTTCGTTCCATGTCTGGTGGGGAAGAAAGAAATGATAATAATACGGACGACCAATGGTCACTACGTGCTTATACCTGGCCGATAGAAGGGGATGAGAGCGGACTTCATCGTCGGGTCGAGTGGATCGTCAAGGAGGCCAAACCGCCTTATCAGACGATTATGCATCGTGACCAAGTTCGTGTTGGACTCGTGGTTTCCCATGATAGAGAGCCATTCTTGATCACAGTGCGTATTGAAGGGCAACTTCAAGAGACCTACGGGGGGTTGCTTCGGTTTGGGCGCTCAGTGGACAATTCCACGAGATGCCTCTCAGTCCAAGTCTCGCCACCTGCCGATTCGCAAACACCGCTAGAGGAAATTGCGAAGCGGCTGAATGATGAAATGACGGATCTGATTTTCAGTCATGCTACGTCAGGGTCGGGGTCACGCAAAAGCACGGCACCGGGCGCCCGCCAGCCAGTTCGCGAAGAAAACATGAAGAGACTCAAGCTTGAGGACCGGCAGATAAAGCCCTTAATGAGGCCGTCGGTAGGGGCGAACAGGAGCACAGATGACTACACGGTCGGCTGGATCTGCGCATTGCCCCTGGAGATGGCCGCAGCAAGAGTGATGCTTGACAACGTTCACACTAATTTGCCGATCCCGTCAACCGATCACAACAATTACATACTGGGTGACATTGGGCCCCATAATATTGTGATTGCTTGTCTTCCGAACGGGGTATACGGTACCACATCAGCGGCCATAGTGGCGTCTCAGATGCAAACTACATTCAAGTCCATCCGGTTTAGTTTAATGGTGGGCATTGGGGGAGGTGTCCCCGGAGGCGATCCGGATATCCGGTTGGGCGATGTGGTTGTCAGCAAGCCCATTGGGAGCCTCGGGGGAGTAGTGCAATATGACTATGGGAAGACCACTGCAGAAGGTCGATTCATCCAAATGGGCGCTCTCAACAAGCCACCGCAAGCGCTTTTGACAGTGGTCGCTAGGATGGAAGCCGAATACATGGTGAATGGGGGCCGGCTGGACCGTTATCTTGCTGACATGGTGAGAAACCATCCACAAATGCATGACTTTACGCATCGTATCCAAGATCAAGACCATCTCTTCATTGCCGACTATGATCATCCGGCATCTGCACCCTCCTGCGAAACTTGCGATCCAGATAAACGTGTCTCGCCAACCTCGGACCACAGAGCTGCCGGTGATTCATTATGGGCTCATTGCGTCCGGGAATCAGGTCATGAAACATGGGCTGACTCGAGATCGGCTTGCAAAAGAGCTCGGTATCATATGTTTTGAGATGGAAGCAGCGGGATTGATGGACAATTTCCCATGTCTGGTCATTCGCGGGATCTGTGACTACGCAGACTCGCACAAAAACAACATCTGGCAGAAATACGCAGCAGCCACCGCGGCGGCATATGCGAAGGATTTCCTTGTTATGACACCTGCAAGACAGGTTGAGATCACCACGAAAGCTGGAGGATTGTAAAAATTCCTGTATTTAGTGAACAGTGATCTCATTTCTTTCAATAAGAATGAGAATAGGGGAAGTTCATCAGATGAAATAACGATAGCTATCGAACTTATCGAGGATTAGTCTAAGCCCCCTTTACCCAAAGTTGCCTCGGACAACGTGCTTAAGGGCCTCTTGAGGCAGGTCGTGACTGCTTTCAAGGTAGCCCTAGAAGTCGGAAAGTGACTTATGATTACCATGAGCCACTGCAGCTTTGATAGTCGACTGAAGACCCTTTCCATACCATAAAAAACGATCATTGAGATATCAACCCCAGTCAATTTTGTACAGAGGACTGCATGTCCCTGAATGTTGCTGTCCTTGGTGTTGTTAATATTGTGGGTTATTCGCTGGCACCGGATACACTCGAGTCTCCCAGTACAACAAAAACGGTGAGTTTAGGGCGAATATTTGTGGGTATAAATGAAAATGAAGTTATTCATGGCCCTGAGTGGCCCCTGGGAGGAAGAGGGGGACCTTTGGCGTGGTAAGGGAGATAGAGCTCTATGGCCGACGCTGGCCGTCGGAAACGTAAGACTCGGCTCTGCTTGGGTCATCGGCATCTGAATCGCGCATTGAGGACGACAGGGTTAAACTGGATGGCAGCCAGTTAGGGTTGATAGGGACCTGACTCGAATCTGATAGAGCTGACGGAGCGCCGAAGCTGGGATGCAAGGGGGCAGGCTCAAGAGGGTGGGAGTCATAGAAAATTAATCCAGACAGCGTGTTCTGGTATGGTGTTTCTGCTGTATCACGAAAGGGGAAAGGGGGAGGAATCCGTCAGTGGGGGAGCAAAGACAATATACAGCACGGAGCACACGGCAGGCAGCCCGCAACTCACCTATATCATGATAGCCCAGTCTGTCGGGCAGCATAGAAAGTTCTTGTTCAAGAACTCTTACTTCGTTTTCCATGGCCGCATTTTCCCGAGCAACTTCATCATAATTCCCTTCCATGATTTGCAGCATAGCCTCATTATGCTTCAAAAGCTCAATATCCTCTCTCCAAGCCTCCCGGTCATTCGCGCGTTTCCTCTCCGATTGTTCGACTGAGAGGGAATTGACGTTTTTCCTGCCAGCAACATTTTCTCGCTTCTGGGGCTGGGAGGATTCGGGTTGGGGGCTCATGCTGCGATTGAGATCGTCGAATTGCCCAGCAGTGATTTCAGAAGGGAATGGGGCGGTATTCGTACTAAACTCTGTAGCCTCAATGGGGCTATATCTGCCAGAGCCTATCTTCATAGGAGTCGCAGCTGCTGCTGGTTTATGAGCTGAATATTCTGACTTGATCGCGGATCCTTCAAGAGAGTCCGAGCCTATTTTGGAGGTCTGATTCGTCGTTGTCGTCAAAAAGGGCTCGGGCGCTTTCAACCTGCGCTCGTGTTCCTTCTCCGTCCATTGTATGGGCTCTTGATCTTCCGTTGCATGTTTCTTGAACTCCATGTTTTTCTCATCGTCCACGGATGCGGCAAGTTCCTGATTGTAGGTCGGCTTGACCTCGTCTCTGCTCGCCCGAGAATAATCCGAGTGTCGAATCCGTTCCACAAACTTGGATATCCGTGTTTTTAAGGTGACTGAAAGCCCTAGTAGCTCGAAGGCTTCTCGTTCAGATGGTCTTACATTCCCATTATACTCCAAGAGCTGTTTATGGTTACTGTCAAACCAGGAGATATAAATAGGTATGTCGATATGCAATGGGCAACCTTCTCTATACACATCCAAGGACAAATCATCTGGCGAGCCTTCGTAACGTGATCCCAGCTCTCGATAGTGTGACCGGAAAAGCTCTACCCACATCTGGTCTGACTTCCTCAGGGCCTTTATGTGGGCCAGAAAGAGAGAATCCCTATCGAGATTCAACATTTTCGATGAGCCCAATGTCGATAGGTCGAATGATGAAATCGTAGCTCCAAGGGTCCACGAGACGAATAGGTTCCAAGTATGTAGTGATTCCACAACATTGCCACAGTCGCCCTCCTGCAGTTCTAAGATGCTGTAAAGGTCGCGCCAGTCTCCGGATGACCCCAGATTACTTAGAAGAATTTGGAAGCGACACCGAATCTGAGTACGAAAATCATGCTGTGATTCTGCTTCCGACAGTACTCTCGAAAGGGCCCAAGACAGGTTGGGATCTTCGGCTCTGGACTCCGAAAAGAGGGCTTTTGCGCTTTCGTAGCTTATCTGCTCAATGGACAACCGTGGATTCGATGATAATGAGTCTCCATCTTTCGAAAGTCCTCTCCGGATCCTTTCAGCGATCTCGAGCTGACTTCTGCCGCTGGCGTACACTTCCCATGTTGCGGTATTGCCAGCTTCCCCAGCATTCGCAAACATTGCCACGTTTAGCAAGTATTCGGCCTGGAGCAAGTGAATTTCAAACAGAGCCCACATTTCTGGACCAAAGCCCGCCGTGCCTCCCAAGTCGTGAAGTGACTCAGAGTAACCTGGATTTAGTTCTATCTTTTGGATCTCATCTGGGCGAAAAGCGAGTAAAGGAAGAAGGCTCCGCAGAATTCTGAATGCTTGCCACAGCAAGCCCTCACCTCTCAATATATTATACCACGTAATACATCCCGATACCTTTGGCATCTCTGCAGAGTCCAATAACAGGAATGGGCAACTTATGAAGCTTTCACTGACCCACTCCGACCTTTGAACAGCAAACACCATAATGCTCATGTAGATCTCGAAGGTATATATCTGGCCCCTAGTCAGCGAACCATATATATTAAAACAAGAGTCACTTCATGTCCACTTGCCTCAACATCACTGGGGAAATCATCTTTGTGTTGTCGATCTTGCAAACCAATGGTCGGAAACGCCGTTGTTTTCTGCTCTCGCTCTAGAAGTCTCCATGCGCTCCTGGCTTCCCTAAGAGCTAATCTGAGTGTCCCTCTATAGTAAACATCAGCCAAAGCCTTCAGTAGCCGAAGAAGCTGCATCTCATCCTCCTCCAATGTGTCTTGCATTGCGCCGATGCGCTCTTCCAGAAACTCCGACAGCAGTCTGTAGCACCCTTGCTCGCGAAGCATATCCGCATACTCCACAACAACAGGGAAAAAGCCAATATGCCTTCTCAGAGCGTGGTTGAAGAATTCATGGGCTTTGGCGTAGTTGCGTGTGCGGCTGAGCTTGGCGAAGTGTTGGATCTCGCTTTCCAGGTCCTCCTCCAGCTCCAACTCGAGGGGTAACGTTGTCTCTTTTTCATGGGACTCATATTTGAAAGGCATTTGTAGTGACATGTTGTGTCAGCATCCATGGATTCTTTGCCTCGTCAGAATGGAAGGAAGTGAGATAGAGTACGGTAGGACCCCGCCTAGGTCGCGTTTGTTTGCCTGGTGGATGGCGGGAGTGGACGACATACTATTGGCTGATTCCATCCGACATCTGAGGCATGGAGTACTTTTTATTTCTAGCCTAGACATACGGAGTACTTCCTCATCAATCCACAGGGTCGAATGCACGCAGCAAGGCATCTTTATTAGGTCGATTGGCTTTTCTCTGGATGTACTTCCTCATTCCTTTCTAGATCCACCGAATCCAGCGCACGCAACAAAGCATCGGCATTTTGGAATCCTCCTTTAACCCAGCATTTTTCGATAATTGGACCGAGCCAAAGTCCATCAGTACTGGGAAGCGAATCCCTCGGAAGCCAGATCGCTCGGCCATCATCCGGAATCCCACCTTTGAAGAGATCAAAGTCACATCTCTGCCCAGTCACTACTTCATACATCACCGCCCCCAACTGTCCAATATCCGTCTGGACCGAGAACCCACCATCATCGGCTGTTTCCATAGCTATCTCAAGAGGTAGAAGAGACGCTTCACTGAAGTCGCAGATTTTGACAGACAAGTCTGCATCGAGAAGAAAATTGCGCGTCGCGATATCAGCCGCAAGGACGCGCGCTGCATGAACCTGTGTCAGGGCGCGAGCCATTTGACGGAACCATGTCAGTTGGACTGCTCTTGACGATTTATTTTCCTTTTTCTGTAAGTAGGTGCGTAGATCGCCGTTCGCCATGTAGATCAGCTGGATAGCATCCGGCAGGAGACCGACGCAGGGGACGATGCCGTCGACGGTCTGTTTCGGGAGGGAATTGAAACGGGCAAAAATGCCTTGTTCGCGCGCAATCACTTCCATATTTGCTTCCACGTCGGAGTCGCTGCTCCAAAAATATCGGAGGGGGGTTTTGATGACTAGGTTGTCGCGGCGGATCACGACCCCTGTTCGCCCGTAGCCTAGGACTGAGCTTTCGTGGAGGGGGTTGCCGTCGAGGTCGATGAACAGGGAAGCAGCCATGTTACTGGGTTAGAGTGGGAGAGGACCAAGGCAGGATAGTTGGTATAGTTGGAATTAGGGGAGTGGTCATGGAGGCTGGGCTCGCTTGGCATGCGTATGATATGGTTGGGGTCTGGGTGCCTAGGTGCCTGGGTTATGCACAAGCTAAGTTGAAAAAGAGAAACCGGTGCAACGAGTATTCTGGCCCTGTTACGCGGGGTTGACAAACAGTTGAAAGTCATGTTAAACGCAAGAAAGATTGAGGTAGTCAGAGGATACCCAAAAGGTCTGAATTGGTTGAATAAGAAAACAGGGGTCTCCCTTGGTGCTAAGGGGCCATGGACGGCAGTGCAACGCGAAATGACAACTCTGTAGAATCAGTTGGTATCTCATATCATGCTAAGATAAGATAAGCAGAAAATATGCGTTCGAGTAAGGTAAAGTAATGCATGAGCCATAAGTCCCCAACGAAAAAAAGAAAACGCCGTATATCCAATATAACAGGCAACGAACCAACGCAGGCTAAATATACTGATCATCAAAACGAATCTAAAACCGAACGAATCATGCGCGCCATCCCGCCGAGTCCCGACAATACTGGCACCCAAAGACAATCGGCAGCCCGTCCCACACCAAGACAAGTTCCGGCTTATGCTGCATCGCCCGTCTCGAGGTCAATTCCTGAGTTGCAACGTCGAACCAGACGTCCTGCGTGGAGCCGTGCACGTGAATGTGAGGGGCGCACTCGAACACCCGCGAGTTCATGTCGTCCTTTTCGTTGGATGTGATGTCGTTGTGGAAGTTGTGCATGAACTCTTTCCGCTGCATGCGCTGGCTGCCGCCGTCGCCGATTTCGGCGGAGAAATATTCCAGCACGCGCATGAAGGGCGACACGGTGAGCAACGAGCTTATCCAGCTGTCGTCCGCAGGTCCGGGCTCGTCGGGGGGCACGGTATATTGCAGGTATGAAACGAGGAGTTGCATGCAGTGGTGTGTGGAGACGAGGGTGGCGGTGTCTGTGAAGGGCGGGGATTGAAGAATCTGAACCTGCAAATCCCGGTATATAGACTTGCGAGCGTCGGGGGGTAGACGGACTGGCAGTCGTCCGGCTTCGAAATCGCGCAAAAGGGTATTGGTCTGCTCTCTTCTAGCAAGGGTATAGGTCTCAAGGAAGTACAAAGTATAGTACCTGTAACAAAGAGGGAATTGTTAGCAGATGGATTCGAGAAAGTCAGTGGTGGGCTATGGAACCACCTACATAAGCGGGGTCAGGTAGAACCAAATAGTCCCGATAGCTCGTTTCATAAAGTCACTGCGCTCGTTCCTAGAAGGGAAACGCGACTTCACAAAACCCGGCTCGCACCGCATGAAGCGATCGACGACTCGATCGGCAAGGTAATAGCATAGCTTTGAACAAAGTTTCTGGCGACGCCGGAGACTATGGATGTATCGGAAAGTGTAAAGATGGCCTCCTTTGGCGCTGGAAATAGGCGGAAACAGATCCGACAACAGCACTACATCATCTTCCGGGTGCCGAGAATACGTTCTTTCGCTGTCTATCGGGGACGGAAGAGTTCCATGACGGCGTTGGCGCAGGTACTGCCGGGTGATCCAGTGCTCCTGGGAGGTGAGGAGCTGGAAGAAGGATCGGCAGACCAGTTTCAAGGGTAGGAAATCGGCGACTCCGCAGTGGGCGAATATCTTGATCTGAAGCTCGACAGGGAGGAGGTCCCAGGGCGAGGACGTGGGTAGTAGGTTGATTGGTTCGACACTGGGATCTTGTTAGCGACGGAGCCAGCCGGAGACGCTCAGCGCAAAGAACGACACGATTTCGACATACACAGACGTTGACGACAGCGAGGACGGAAATACACTATGCCTGAAGGTGTGGTTGTTCCGCTTGGCGTCCGATCTGCTCCTCCCTCTGTTGAAGGCAGCGCGGGCTTTTTTCACATTGGTGATCAGCTGGGAGAAGGAACTCATTATCGGGTTTCGCGAGGCATGGAGAGATCAGCTCCAGCATCGGGGCCAGCGGAGCGAGAGAAGATAAGCGATCGGGTTGTGACCATGAGCGATTGATCTGGGATTCTGGATATCCTGGTTTCTCCGCCTTCCGCCATTCTGGAGGGGCCTGACTAAGCCGCCTTAGCGGCCGATTTGGTCCGCTTTTCTAGAGAGTGGCTTGGTTCTATTAAAAGCATCCAGGCAGTGTCAGTCGCTAACGGTCTGAAGACTGCAGTCATGCAGGCTGAAGAATGAACGGACGGAGCTGGGGTTGGAGTTGCCTCGAGGTTTCAGTCGGTCGAGACAACCACAGTATATCGAACAAGAACTGCATCGGAAACTGTCCACGATGCACGGCCCGAGGAGCTACTACAACTGCAGGAGATTTGCAGGATACAAGGAAACTAGTAAGAATCAAGGCTTTCTCTTCTTATATTAGGTGGGGGGAAGATACTGACAAGCATATGAAAGCATCACTCCCTCTAACCAGTATATTATTAGTTCTCTACATTGATAAAGTAGTCAATTGGTTGGTTTATTAAAGGAAATAAAAGTGAGAAATAAGAGACATTCTTAAGCCAAATGATTAGAGACAGCACATCACAAGCTCAAGGATGTTTTGGCAGATAACTCGCATCTCGGGAAAGTCCATAGTGATATATGGAATTGGCCACAGTCTGATGAAATTAGCCGATCTGAACTGACTGCCTACCCAAATGATATAATAGTGCAGACTGTCGTGCTTATGATCCCAGATGCTCTGACGTGCTGAGGTATTCGCTGAAGAGGATCATGCGATTGACCGACATAAGCCCGTCAGTAGGCTTTTTTCGGTCATCTAGTACGAAGTCTAAATGACCGCTTTCTTCCTGCTAGAGTTCCAGTCAATCCCTGAGCTTCTGCCGGTATGCTTGCGTTTTCCCTGGCTATTCCAAGATCTTCGTCGTTGCCCATTTTGAGCCCAAGAATGATAGATTTCTTGTCAAGATAAGGCCCTGACCGAAAGAAGAGGTGCACATTGCGACACCTCCGCTGGAGATTGAGACAGGTCAACAATAGACTGTAGGTCGATACCAGGATCTAGCAGGCGGCCTTTGCTTTCTCTCAAAACATGGATTTGCTCTGCTGGCCAGCTGACCCAGACGATTGACCTCTCTCGGAACAGGAGCCGCCACCCGGCGCGCCCCCACAGGGGTGATGATCAACTAAAAGAAAAGTCTCGAAGGGCGCCTGTTCCCTGCGATGTTGTCTCTCAAAATCCGCAAGATCTGGGCACCTTGGAGTTGAATGGACCCCCATAATCCCGCAGCCTTTACAGGGACGTGCCTCAGGTTTGTAAGACATGGCGAAGTTCTTGAAGCTCGGGAGTAGGAGGAAGGCAGGAGTTGGGCTCGGTTGCTGGGGAGGTGTATCTTTCTTGCGTTTTTGGGCAGATGTCGTAGCAGTATATCTCTTCTGATAGAAATCTAAGTCAGCTAAATAGTTTCAAATTGGAGATCAGTGCTTACACAAGTAATACAACTGCACTTCGCTTGGTTGAGGAAAGGCGCAAGACTAAGTCAAAAGCGAGAAAACAAAGCAGGGGATCTCAGAAGAGGGGCTTTGTAGAAAAGATATACATAGAGGGAATGTATAAAGAAATCAACACACGGATTGGTTGCTGAAGTAGAAGAGAGACGGGGTGGTGAGGACTGTTTTAAAGAGATAATCAGCTGACCAACGTCTCGACAAACAACCGGAGATTCCCACAAACTCATGGAATCTTCCGCATCCATGGATGGTTGCAGGGGATGCCTAGAACTTGTATAGGCTACCTTCAGAGCAGTTCGTGGGGCGAATCGAGGTGAACCAGATACAGCTTAGAACAAACCAAGCAGTGAAGATTACAGAAGCTGACAGGCTATCTCAGCAATAATGAATGAATTACTTTATATTAGGATACTTGTAGTTCTATGGAGTTAAGTGGAATAGAACGCTCTTTCTATTCACTATTGTAAAAAACGTGGTACGCTAGGCCTAGTTAGGCAGCGATTAGGACAGCTAGTTATATTGCTTAGCCCCAGGGACCGGAGGTCCAACAGAAACTGTGCCCACGTAATGGATGGAATGGATGAATAGGCAGTGATTTATGTGAGGGAATCTTTTTAAGCAAGCAAAAAAACAGAAAAAAGTATTAAATAATAACGAGTGTCAGTTATATTGCTAGGAAATGACGGAACAGAAAAAAGAAAGAAACGACAAGGACGCGATTTGAACGCGCGACCCCGAAGGGATAAGATGTTCTCTTACTCCGTAGAGATTCAAGTCTTACGTCTTAACCACTCGACCACCTTGCCTTTGTGTTGGTTTTTCTCTTAATTTTTCAGATGATTATTTTAAAACGTTGAACGCTGAATGAGGAAATTGCCCCTGTCGATGGGGTTGATGTGCTGTTGGTCGGAACCAACGATCTGGCCATTGAGGAAGATCGCGCGACAGCGCCAGCGATCGCCAACTGAATGAAATCAAAGCTAATGGGCAGACCTCTGGACTCAGTGCAGGCTTTCGGCTCCATGAATTGAATCTAAGAGCCGAGCTTTTCATCATTGTCCAGATCAGAAGCACGGGGGCTTCCAGCAGGTATACCATATGGATTACCAATGGTTTTATCGGGTGAAGGGGTAAGAACAGATACTAGGTACATGGAATGAAATCAGGAGGGAGTAGGTAGGCAACTGGACTCAGTATAGAATTTTGGCTTCACAAGTAAAATCTATGAAGAGCCTGTTTTGTCATCATCGTCCAGTTTGGAAGCGGGCCAGAAGCACCTTCTAGGGCCGGAAGCACCTTCGAGAGCCAGAAGCACCTTCGAGAGCCAGAAGCACCTTCGAGAGCCAGAAGCACCTTCGAGAGCCAGAAGCACCTTCGAGAGCCAGAAGCACCTTCAAGAGCCGGAAGCGCCTTCAAGAGCCGGAAGCGCCTTCTATAGAAGTGGTCGAAGTAGGTCGCAGTAAGAAGAACAGCTCGATAAATGGTTCCACTGGGGATGAACTCAGAAAGTATCTCTCATAGCTATACGCGGCCCAGGGTCTTTCGACTCGGTGGTATATTTGCTATTGAGGACGTGGCGCCACTGTCATCATCGTTCAAGTGGAAAGAGCAGAGAAAACCGAAGGGGTAGAGAAGACAGAGTGAGAGGATGGTGGTGATAGTGATACCGATGATGATGATTCTAGTTGATGGCTGCACGGCAAGGCATACTGAAGGTGGTGAGGGGAGGAAGGAGGGAGGATGGAAGAGGGTGAGGCAGGGTGATGGAGAGGTAAGAGGATATTCTTTAAATAATGGTAGGCTGATAGGCGAGCTCACCTTCGATTCACTATCCTGGAAGTTTCCTCTACAGGTGCCTTCAGGTAGGCCGGCACTTTCCATCCTTCCCCAGCCTTCCACTTTTATTCACTGCTAGGCAGCCACTGAGATCTCCCATTCTTCGTGGGATCTTTCGAAGAGTCAGGGAAAAAAAAAAAAAAAAAAAAAAGAGGCACGATGCGGAAGATTCTCATTTTGGCAAAGGGTGGAAGGGTATCAGGCCTGTTCTTCTATGACCTACTCACCCAAATCCACGTGGCCAATATTATTGCATGAGTATACTCCATCAACCAAAAACTACAAGATGGCCCTGTTGTAAGGCATGATAAGGTTCTACTTCGTCTTAGTAGTAGACCCACACTAAGTAGATGGGCGAATTAGTGTAGATCATTGAAGTATACAATCATTCTCGGTACACTTCTGTGCTATCTAATTTCTATTAATTTTCTCGGCTATCGTTGTCTACAGTACAAACGAGGTTCTCTCGTAAAATAGAACCGAAGTTCAACTGCCGTGGACCATGCATCCTGGGGATTGTAAACAACCCGACGCGGGGTTACGTCATTTGTTGATGCGGTTGCGTCAAGCCATAAATACATCATCGCGCCGCATTCGTCCAGCGCAGTCTGCTACTTTCTCATAAATAGCTGAGCCATCCCCCCATCGAGCATTTCTCTCACCAATTTCACCTCGAGTCAGATCTACACCCTACCGAATATCCACACACCATGAGCAACAACATCCTCATACTCGGCGCCACCCGCGGCCTCGGCGCCTCGCTACGAACCCTCTACGCCGCCAAAGACACCACCAAGACCGTCTTCGCAACAACTCGTTCCTCCTCCCCTGAATCCACCGACAGCCACACCACCTGGATCCCCAACATCGACATCTCGCAGCCGGACGTCGGCCAAAAACTCACCTCCCAGCTCCCCTCCTCGCACAAGATCCACACCGCCATCATCACAGCCGGATACTTCGGTTTCGAGACCTTCGACACCCCGGACTGGGACAAGCAGGTGAAGATGTACACCACATCTGCGATCGGGCCGGTCTTTGTCGTCCAGCAGCTCGTGAAGGCTGGGTTCCTGGAAAAGGGCAGCAAGGTGATCCTGGTGAGTAGTGAGAGCGGGAGTATTACGCTTCGACATGAGTCGGAGGGAGGGGGGAACTATGGTCATCATGCGAGCAAGACGGCGCTGAATATGGTGGGGAAACTGTTGAGTCTGGATCTGAAAGATAAGGGCATTGCGGTGGGGTTGGTACACCCTGGTTTCATGCGTACTGAGATGACGAGGAGCGTGGGGTTTGATAAGTACTGGGATGCTGGGGGTGGTGAGTTTCATTTGACTCTGCGAGTGGAGGGTATAGGCTGATTTTTGCACTCTAGCTGTTACTCCGGATGAGGCGGCCGGGTCGCTGGCTGATTTTGTGGAGGACTTTGATATCAGTAAGACGGGGGAGTATTGGGCACCCAGGGGTCCGGGGTATGAATGACCTTCTTTCCGGAATGAGCAATTAGCTAACATGCAACAGGGACATTGGAACTGCCGAGCCAGTGTTGGGGAAGAACCTGTCGACCCCGTTGCGTCTACCGTGGTAGGTTGTACGCAAATGCAATATACAGACCGGCTGTATAAATCACACACACAATATACTCGGCTTCTGACAGCCGCTTGATATGCTGTCAGCAACCCCGGATCATGGGGTGGGGCATTTGACGTCACTTGAAATCAACGCAGCGGATAATTATCAATCTAATAACTTCGAAATATTACTCTGATTAAATTTCTTTTTTTTTTTTTTTTTTTTTTTTATTTTGGCTATTTCCGAACAGCCATTTTGACTGCAGAATACCTCCGCCCCTTGCAGAACCAGTCCCTCCCCATATTGCGGAGACAACGCGGGGAATAGCCTTTAACCCATCCATTTAGTCCTGTCAATTATACCAATTGCGTTCCCGACCGTTTAGCCAAATCTTCGATAGTCTAGGCCCGTTGAATCATAACCAGACCAACCCGTCATATGTGGAGAGCTTAAGATCGGCAGTGTCTCACCTGAACCCTGACACCCACGACCCACTCTCGTATAGCCTAAATTGATTCGAAGGTCTTGGAAGGGGCGTCTTGTTTCGGTAACGTTTGAAGCTTGAACAATCTTGTCACTCAGGCTAAAGTGGATCGCGCAGCGGGTTGGACTTGCGATTTCGAGTATTATGGACGTGTCTCGTGTCGGACAAAGGGAAGTTGGGATAGAGTAGGTGGAGTCCGGTTTCGATTTGCTGCCATCGACGGCTGAGGAGTTACATCCGGGCCCTGTGGGCGTTCACATTGACGAATGCTGTCGGCTCAATTGACGGGATCCTACGACAGATCAAGAATGAAGACCGAGGATGCAACTGCGAGAACAAGAGCCTGATTCTGAACCAGCAAATAGCCAAGCTATGGGTCCAACCAAGGGATCAGCCGTCTCCGTCCGCTTTGACATGAAACATCCGTTGCGCCAAGTTCTGTCCCATCATATAAATTGACGGGATGGACTCCTCGACATGACATGACATCCATCCCAGCCCAGCAACAACTATCATTCAATCTCCATCACCTCCATCATCACTATGCTCTCCAAGCTCTCCGCAGCCTTGCTAGTCGGCACCGCCCTAGCCACCCCGGCGGACGTACAAACTCGCCAGAACAACTGCCCCAGCATCCATGTCTTCGGTGCCCGCGAGACCACGGCTTCTCCGGGCTTCGGCACCGCCGGACAGGTCGTCAACTTGGTCCTGAATGCTCACCCGGGCGCTACCTCCGAGGCCATCGATTATCCGGCCACTGGCGATAATCAGTACAATACCTCGGTTCAGAAAGGCGTCAAGGCCGTCACCAACCAGGTGACTAGCTTTGTGAACCGATGCCCAAATACTAAGGTTGTGCTGGTTGGTTATTCGCAGGTGTGTCTTCCATCAGTCATCAACTAGACGATATCGCCACAGGAACCACAAGAAGGGGAGAAAAGATACCCGCGAACTAACTGACCACCTCCACAGGGCGCCCAAATCATCGACGACGCCATGTGCGGCGGCGGCGACCCAAACATGGGAATCACCGACACCGCAGCCCCCATCTCCAGCTCCGTCGGATCCCACGTCAAGGCCATGATCTGGATGGGCAACCCGCGCCACACGCCGGGGGCCTCATACAACAAGGGGACCTCGAACTCTCCTGGGGTATGTTTTCTGCTCCGTGATGGGGGGAGTTGAAGTGCTAACAACGCAACAGTTCGATCCTCGGCCCAGTGGCCAGACTTGTAGCGAGTATGCCAACTTGATCCAGTCGTACTGCGACCAGGCGGATCCGTACTGCTCGAATGGGAACGATGGAAGCGTTCATCAGAGTTATGGTAAGGTGTATGGGCAGGCGGCGTTGCAGTTTGTGAATAGTAAGTTGAACTAGGTTGAGGGTTCCCATACGAGGTACAGGGGATGGTAGCATTTTTCGCCGAGTAAATATACCTTTTGTGCGTTGTATCAGTGTCGACCGTAGAGGGATCTAATTAGACCTAGAGGACGTGTCAGTCCGTTGTTGCCGGTCAAGAGTACCCGCAGGTGATTGGGAGCAAGCACATGTAGACAGCAAAAATCCATCTCACAGGAAACCCGATAAGGAAGACTGCAAAAAATCAAAAACAAAAAAGAATGCATCATCCGTGAATCGAACACGGGCCTCGTCGATGGCAACGACGAATTCTACCACTAGACCAATGATGCTGTTCTTGAGGTGGGAGGCCATTTTTGAGACTATGACCCACTTCACGGCTAGGTCAGTATTTTGTTTTTGGGTCCGGAAAGACATCGGCATTTGATGGAAGAATGACTATACTTGGGGTATACAGCTGTTTTTAACCAAGAGATACTGGTTTATATTTGACTGTTTGGTTTGGGATACCAGGGAGTAGGTTTATTTGCCACGGTTCTTCGTCGAAACGTCCGATTTGTAGGGGTTCGCGCATCGATGCGGGTTATATATTTAGAGTTAATATCTACGCCCATGGCTCAGGAACCAAATTGACTCACCAATAGGCACGGATGAGGCGGTTTAGAAGAGAGCCGACTAGACGTAGGGCGAGGCCAGGCGTGCCACCTTCTCACATCATCCGCAGAGCCGTGAGCTACCCCTTAAACTAGTGGTGATTACCCTTGGGAGTGGTTGCAGGTCGGATGAAGGTGTTTTCAAGGTCCGATGAGATGACCCACTTTAGTACTCTTTTTCAACTCACGCGAGATATGTATTCCTTACTCCCATACCACTGCGCGTGGAAGAGATTATGCAGAGTAAACCCAAAAGGACACTGATTCCTAAAGAAATTCATTGGTAAGAACCCCAACAGTAGCCCTCACAGTACAGGTCTATATCAAATATCTGATATTCAATAAGTAGAAAATGTTCTACAAGGAGGTATTGAAAACGGTAATAGATTGAAAAAGGTCCCGCAAGTTGAAATAAAAAAGGGTTCATCTCACCGGACCAAGAAATCACCCTCAGCCGACCTGCAACCGCAACGGATCAAGTGGCTTGACTCGCCAGCTCCCATGCCGGGTAACTACAGAATCATCGCGTCGCCAATCTGCAGTGATTCAAATGCCGCGATAACCGTAATGACAGCGTCGCGAGATGAAGGAATTGGAGTAAACAGATTGCTATTGCTATTCCGCGATAGGGATTCTCCCAATAAACAGTACCTACTTAGTAACAACACCAGCGCCAATGATCAAAGTGAGGTGAGTGTACACAGGTTGCGCGACCTCCAGGAAACACCCGCGCGAGCTGACCCCACCCTTTGAAGCGATCAACTCACGCGAGATGTGAGGTGGTTACAGCTCACGGGAGCTTGTTTTGAGCTCGCGCGAGCTCATCCGAGTTCTTGGCGTTGCGAAGAGCTCACACGAGCTCGTAATTAGTTCAGTATTCTACCGTATTCCCTCATAAAAACCCACACAAATTAGCCTCGACAAGGAGCCACCAAGGGTCAGAATTTCTCGTTGATCCCTAAGACCGTAATTGTAGTCCCTATAGTGCCTTAGTTCTTAATTATATTTATTAAATATACCAGGTACCTAGCATAAAGCACGTAATACACGATGGTAAGAGGTTGAAAAAGGTGATGTGAGCTGTAAAATCAACTCGCTCTTACTAGTCACTATTTTGAGCTCACCGGACCGAAATAACAACCCCATCCGACCTGTTATCGCCCGCGCAAGAATTACAAGACTGTTCACGGAGCACAGACTAGGGCTCTGTCTAGAAAATCAAGGTGGACTCGCAAACCTACTTGGCGCTCTCAATACTGTATATAGCCGAGCTCAGTGTTCGGCTGTATCTCGGAACATTGCTACATTGATAGCCAAGTTGGCGGAAATATGCGACCGACATTCCATTTGAGCAAAGTTCGACGCCGTTGCTATACGAAGTCGAAGTTAAACGGGCGTTTGGAGACGCTAAGAAACAACATTCAAGAACTCCGCGGATCGAGGCCGAGTTAGGGAATATTAACGCCGGAATCGCCCGATCTCTCCTTTTATGGAGTATTGTGAGTTCATCTAACGGACAAGGCCATGAAGCCTGAGACGGGCGGAAGAGGTCTACCAGGTTGGATCTGGTTCTCATTTACGGAGTACTCCGTACCATTTCTGTTCTGGAAACTATGCAGAAGGCGGCCCAAGGACCTAGTAACCCATTGTTTATCCAACTGTTTCTTGGCAGGGTAACACGCCCCGATTGCTTAGTCGGCCGCCACCCGCTGCCTTTATGTTCCCCATTCCATCCCTTGCCGTCTTCACGGCATGATGACCCCTCAACGTGGTTGCCATGGTACAGTCGTATGAGAAATGATGAGTCAAACGACATGACTGTATGCAGCTCATGCAGCGACCATGCCATGCCACTCTCTGCAGCGGCTCGTGGTGTCGGAATAACGGCCGAGGCAGCGTGGTTAGACTCCGCCCAGCCTTGGCCAAAGTTGCGCGAAGGAAGCACCGCCCCATTGCGCCCAGTTGCAGGGCAAAGGACAGTGGATCGGCCGAGACTTGAACTGCTTTGTGATTTATCAATCGGCACGTTTGATCCGATGGAGATCTTGGGATAGAGGCTAGAGGAGATGACTGCGAGACTGAATGACGTATGGTCTGTCCGGGGGTGTACTCCGATGGGGTAACATAATGATGAGAGATGGATATGCTATAGGGTCCAAGAGGAAGTTGGCAGTGCGTGAAGATCGAAGGAATAGACCCCCGAAGTCTTGAAACTTGTGACCAACACCAAACGGCACAGTCATATCAGAGTACAACCGGACGGTGCGGTGCGCCTTGAGCAGATGGCATGAATTACTACGGAGTAAGCTCTCGGCCGCTAGAAAACACCTGGAAGCAGTGCAGGAGGTTCGACCATGTGGATGAATGCACCCCGCAGGTGTATTGTAGACTCCTCGGAGATAAACGCCGAGAGCGACATCGAATGGCAGCATGTCCACTTTTTACCGGAAGCGGAGAGCTCGTATGCGATGACGATGCCATGGCGGCACCTGATCCTCCGAGCTCAGCCTTGGGCGGAAGGGGGCATTGGAAACCTTAGGCTCCATGCACGGCCAGCCTTGTAGACCAACGGGGGTCCAGCCTAGACTCGAGCGGGTTAGTGGCTCCCCGTGTAGGAGTTGCCCGCCGTGCGGAGGTCTGGGCAGAACCGCAGATCCCGGGATGCGCGACTTATTTAACTATCCGTCCCTCCTCGCCATTTCTCCTGCAACGACGTTACACTGTGCATTCCATCAGTTGTAACCTTACCCATATATATCACTATTGATCATCTCGATTTCTCGCCCATCCATCAAGAGTCCCGCCGCTCGATCTTCTACGTGCGGTTCCCCGATAAATACCTTGAAACTACCGTCTACAATTCAAAATGTCCGCCGAAGCACACCACCCGGACACCAACGGCAAGGCGCCCGCTCAGCCGTCCGGCTCTCACCATCAGGCCGGCTTGGTCCATGTTCAACCCGCGCGTCTCGGTGATTTGCAGCCCAAGTATGCGCAGAGACTGGAGCACAACGATGACAACCCCGAAGCCCACGGCTGGTATGCAGGACTGAGTGAGTGCCGCACTTTTCTGCCCTTGTCACATTCATCTCTAACAAATCGCCTTGTAGTCCATTCCCTCGGTGAATGTATCGGATTTCTGGGAGCGATTCCCTGCTGCTTCTGCTGCCCCAACCCATTCAAGCCTGTTGCTCAGGGCGAGGTTGGTCTGGTATCGAAGTTCGGACGGTTAGTGCTTCTGTACAATCCTTATTCGAAGGAACATCCCTAACATGGACATTAGATTCGAGCGTGCTGTCGACCCCGGTCTGGTGAAGGTCAACCCTCTGAGTGAGCACCTTAATACCGTGGACGTCAAGATCCAGATCGTCGAGGTGCCTCGCCAGGTCTGCATGACCAAGGACAATGTCACCCTGAACTTGACCTCCGTCATCTACTACCAGATCATCTCCCCCCACAAGGCTGCTTTCGGCATCTCCAACGTGCGCCAGGCCTTGGTGGAGCGTACCCAAACAACGCTGCGCCATGTCATCGGAGCTCGAGTGCTGCAGGATGTGATTGAACGCCGCGAGGAGATCGCGCAGTCGACATCCGAGATTATCGAGGACGTGGCAGCTGGCTGGGGTGTCCAGGTGGAGTCCATGCTCATCAAGGACATCATTTTCAGCGACGACCTGCAGGATTCGCTGTCCATGGCCGCGCAGTCCAAGCGGATCGGTGAGAGTAAGGTCATTGCCGCTCGCGCCGAGGTGGAGTCGGCCAAATTGATGCGACAGGTAAGATTGACCTTTGGATGGAATCCGGGATGAAAGCTAACGTTCACCGCTAGGCTGCCGATATTCTGTCTTCCGCACCTGCCATGCAAATCCGGTACCTCGAGGCCATGCAATCCATGGCCAAGACTGCCAACAGCAAGGTCATTTTCCTGCCCGCCCCGAACCAGACCGTGCAGCAACAGCTGCAGGCTGCTGAAAACGCCGGCGAAGGGCCCAGTCGGTATGGCGCGGCGCCCGGTGCTGGATCCGGACAGGCAGACGATGGATTCCAACGCGCAGTGAACGCACGTGTCGTTGAGGATATTTAAACGCGATCGCCAGACCCTCGCGTAAGGGGCAACATTTTGCTACGATGAGTTTACGGTAATGTTTGGTTATGGACTTCGTTTTGTTTCGTGTATAGGGGACTGGTCAACGTTGCTTCGTTGATACGGCGGTTTGATTTGTTTTGGTCTTTGGATTTGAGTGACGATACCCTCTTTCTTTGCTATTAATAACCGGCCCAATATGCCGGTATTGTATAATTTATCCAACACGAGGTTCCATCGAATCCCCCCAATAATTCGTAACTGTAGCAAAGGGAAACATTCACGGAGTAACAATTCTCTATACGGAGTCGGGCATTTCCTGAGCGGGCGGTGAGTCTCGAATGCTCCGCCAAGTTGGCCGCTCTCCAAGCCCCGGAGAACGGAGACCAACAACTCGCCCCGTCGCTCATCCTCCTCGACAACTTACCCCAGCATCCCATGCTATAAAGATTTCCACCCGGGCGACCCTGCCCCTCAATGCCTCCAAGACAGAGTCCCCCCTCTCCGATTCAATGGCTCCGTCGCACTCTCCCAGTCCCGCCCGCGTAGGCAGCCGGACTGTTCCCATCAACTCTCGTCCCTCTCTCGAAACCAACTTCACCGACCCCTCCTTCGACCCTGCCGACTTCCTCAACGATGCTCTCCCCCCGTTGACGCTGGCGTCTTCACAAGCGCATGGCCCCCGCAACCCCGGGGCCGTCTCCCTCGCCGAATCCTCCACCCAGGTCCAGTCCATCCTGACGCAGATCAATGCGCAGAACGTCCGCCTCTCGAATAACTTGACGCAGCTGACGGACGAGATCCTTCGCAGCGGCGGCCGTCTCGCTTACGAGGTGGAGGTGCTGCGTGGAGAAACGATCGGGCTGTCGGATACGTTGACGGATGCTTTGCGTGATGACATAGCGAAGTTCGTCCCTGAGTCGACGGAGAAGAAAGATAGCGGTGCGCAGGATCCATCGATTACGCCTGACGAGGACCAAACGCCCAAAGAAGCAGACGAAGCAACAGAACCAGAACCAGAGCAACAACTAGAACCCGAGGACCTCCCCGCCGTCGCAGACCCGGAATACATCACGAAACTACGAACCCTGAACCAGGTGCGCGCGCGACTGGAAGAAGTTGTGCAGACGTTCGGCGACGCCATGGAATGGACTCTCCCGCCGTCCGAGACCTCCCTGACCTCGTCGTTCATATCGGTGTCTGCGCCCGAGCCCGGATCCGAGAGCCACAGCCGCGAGGAGAAGGGCCAGGAGATCATGAAGAAGCTGCGGGCGGAAATCACGGAGCTCCTGGACAGCAATGGTGGTGGGGAGGAGGGCGTGGATGCAGCGACGCAGCGGGTGGATGCGCTGCGGGATTTGGCTACGGTGTGGAAGGGCACGGCGGAGGAGAAGGCGCGCGCGCGGTTCGTGGATGGTCTGGCGAAGATGATCGAGGACCGTCGCAGAATGCTGGAGAACCAGGGCAAGATGGACCCGGCGCAGTCGCAGGCGAAGGCGAAGGCTTCGACGCATCGGCGCCAGGAGAGCGAGGGACCTGGCGGTGGGATTTTCCGCAATCTACAGCGGTTACGGGAGGAGATCTACCTGGAGTAATAGACTGATTATATCGAGTGTGTATGGAGTATGTCCATTGTACAGCGGCAGACATGTATCTGTCCAGTGTCCAGACAGTTGATGTTAACTAAGATGAAACACCCGCGGAGGCAGGCCAAGACTGAGACGCAGCGAGAGTCAGTCGATGACGCGGCAGTTTGAAGACCAGATTTGCCTGGACTCTCAGGAGCGCTAGAATTAATCCACTGGAAACGGAGTATATATTAATACATTAAGAATCCTGAGTGACCGTAGGGCAGACGGACTCCCGCATACTTATTGTGATGAGTTTCTATAGTGGTCGAGCACTCCGGAGGAACTCTTAGTTCTACGGAGTAAGGACGGAGTAGTTCTGTAATCTCCTCTCCTCGACCAAGATTAATTCCCTTGGAGTCTCCACCGTCGACGTAAATCATCTCCCAACGCGTCGCCTTGTGCAACGTACTCTGTCTTTATCGCTTGTGGGATGTAACCTCCGCTTTCTCGCCCTCTTGCAGTCCTTTCGTCATCATTTTTACCGCCGACGCACCACTCTCTCCCCCCAGCATGGCGTCTTGCTGCTTTCATTGAACCACGCAGCGCCTCACTCCTTCATCCATGGACCCGACCGCCATCGCAATTCCCTTCCGATCAATCGTTTCGCAGCAGGAATGTCCATCCGGAGGACCACTGTGCCACGTTAGCTGAATTGATCGATCAGCCAGTTCGACTGCATTGAGCCTCCCCTGGATTGTTTCTTCTCCCTTGCTGAGAGACACATACGCCTTGTTTCAACTTTAAAGAGACATCTGTCTTACCACGACCGATCTCAGGACTCAGCATGGCCACCCTAGGCCGTCATAATGGCCCGTGGGCCGACCACTATCATTCCATCCAGTCGTCGACGACGACGCTGTTCCGGCAGCTGTTCAATCGCCGCGCCATTAGAGCGCGTCCGACCCGAGCGCTCTTTCTTACCATCGCCACATTCCTCGCCCTGGCCATCTTCCTACTCCGATCTCCCTCTCAAGTGAGTCGCTCGTGTATCCTTTGCATTCATTCGTCTTGAAGCGACAAGATTGCTGACCGACGTGGTTCACTAGCCACCTGTCAATTACTGGCTGAAATACCCTTCATATCACCCTTTTCGCCAACACCCCGAGGATGCGACGATCGTGCAAACCTCCCCTTCGACCCTGCGACGAAATGACACCCTCCCGCCGAGTCTCCAGAAATCTAATCCCGCATTCCACCTCGTCATCCCCGCCACGAAAAAGTCGCCCGCCCTCTGTCGCATGTTGACCTCCGCCATGATCCTCAATTATCCGCCCCCGACGTTGATCGGCTACGGGAAAAACCTGCCGCATGGCTCGCACGACTACGAGGGCCTGGTGGATCGGATAGCGGGCATCTACAAGTTCCTGGCATACACGCCGCATGTGCATGACAATGATTTCGTCTTGATTGTGGACGGAAATCATGACTTTTTCTTCCAGCTGCCGCCGGAGGTCATGATCCATCGGTTCCAGGAGCTGTTGCGGGAGAATAATGCCAAGCTGCAGAAGAAATATGGCCTGATCAACGTGGAGCGGCCGTCCCGGACGGGCAGCACAGGCGCGGCGGAGACGATGCAGAAGTACTCGCAGCGGGTCCTCTTCAGTGCTAGCAAGGAATGCCTGGCTAGTTTGGCGGACGACGCGGGATGCGTCTCTGTGCCGCAGTCCAGCCTGCCGCCGGACGTGTATGGCTGGAAAACTGACCTTCCTTCGCAGGGCCATCTGAATCGGCCGCGGTGGATCAAACCCGGTGCCTCGATCGGCCAGGTGGCGGATCTGAAGCTGATATACGCCGAGCTGATGCGGTTTGTCGAGCAGCATCGCAACGTCAAAGGCGACTACGTGGCGTTGACCCAGATGTTCGGGCGACAGGAATACGTGCGCGAGCTGGAACGACTCCGAACGTCCAGCGCCGTCAAGGAATGGCTGTACCACATGATCGGCATCTCCGAGGCCGCCAACATCACCAAGGTGCGCCCTCGCCTGGAAAGCGGACAACGGTACGAGTACGGCATCGGAGTCGACTACGAATCGCGACTCTTTTTCAACGGCTTCAACTCGAAAAAGGACGTTGAATTCCTCCAGTACTTCAACGTGTCGAAGACCTCCGCCGCGCAGATGCAGCATGGCGTTCCGCGCGAACACCGCCTCATGATCCCGTCCGACATCTCCCCCGAGAAGCTCAGAAACCCTTTCATCCAGCCCAAGTTCGGCAAGGATGAATGGGTCAACCCGCCCATGAACGGCACTCTCGACGCCCTCCCCAACCCGCGCAACCACACCTGGCTCAACCTCACGCTGCTGACCAACGTGCACTCCGCCTCCGTCCCGGCGCTGGTGCACCTGGACGGCGATCCGCTGCTGAAAGACCCCTGGTGGGCGAAGATGTGGTTCCACAAGTGGGCGCGCGCCCTTTTGCGCAAGTACATGCGCGCGCCGACGGGATTCGACGCCGCGCAGTCGGCCATGCTGGGAGGGCAGGACTGGTGGGATCTGCGCGGCGGCAAGGGCGGCGTGTGGACCGACAAGGGCGAGTGGAAGGATTACGCCGAGGTGTGCACTGGCTACGAGCGCGATGTCTTTGACGACGATCTCGGGAAATGGGGCAAGGAGGGCGGAGATGACGAGGAGGAGCCGGTTTACAACCAATTCGGCAATTTGATCAAGGGGAAGGAGAACTAATTGATCTGCCCACTTTGCTGGATCTCATCGTTCACCTCGTTAATCCGACTCACCTACACCTCTCGAGTCTGTCTGCACTCTCCGACATCCACCTCCCTCCCTTCACACTGCATTTTGTCTGCTTTTTTCTTTTCTTGCTCATATTATCCGGGTTGGATTGATTGAAGCGAAAACAACCCGCCATCGATTGATGGCCTGCATTCTAGTATGGCGTTCGGTGATTTCACTCTTTTTGCTTCCCTTCTTTCTCAAGTAGATTGGATTGGATGATCGCTAGACATTGACCTGTCAGCGCAATTGCCGGCTTCTTGTACGATAGTATTCTTAGGAAGGATACACGAGATACCAAGTTTATTTTTGTTTATGGGTTATTGTTAGATTCAAGAAGTAGTTCTCGATGGATTTTCTAAGGAGTAGTTTACTAGGTATGTTTGAAGTAAGCCCCAAAGGAACAGGAAATATCAAGTTCCCCCTTGAAAGTAGATTATCATGTCATATCGTATCATACAGACACCCTACCATTATGTAACACCTACAATGCAAAAATCTTACCCTTTACTCCCCAACGTCTCCCGAATAATCGCCAACACAGCCCTCACATCCGCATCACTCAACCGCTCATCCCGCTCCTCAATCACCGTATCCAGCAGCGCCAGAGGCCCGTAATCCTCCTCCGGCACCTCCTCCTCCCCTTCCCCTGCACCCTCTGCCCCTTCTGCCCCCTCAACATGTCCACCCTCAGCGTCAGCATCACCATCAACCTCCATCTCCTCCCCCGTCCCCGTGCCTGTCCCATTCGTCATCTCTGCATCTCCCTGCCCACCATCCTCAGCCTCACCCTCCCCTTCACCTTCACCTTCTTCCCCTTCTCCTTCTCCAGCCGGAGGTGCCTGCACACCAACCCCCAAATTCACAATCATCAGCACCTCGCCCTTCGTGAGTCCGTACGGCTGCAGCTGCGTGATCAGGTCCCGGAGCGCGTCGTCGATCGGCATGTGTTCGTTTAGGGGTGCTCGCTGGGGCGCCTGCTGTGTCGCCTGTGATTGTGTCCCCGTCTGCGTCTGCATCTGCATAACGCCCGTCCCTGAGCCCGTCGCTACTGCAGGCGTATACCGTGGATAGTCTTGCACATGGGGCGAGAGGCGGGAGATGTAGTTGTGGATCTATAGTTACAATCAAACACCGGTTGATTAGCTGGGTCTGGGTATTGAGGGTTGGAAGATTGGGGAGGGGACGCACCTCCTTCACGACGGTATTATGATCTCGTAGATCCGGACTGGGCACCCAGTTCCTGGAGTTCGGGGGTGGGTTGGGAGGTCGGCGGGGCGGGTTTGCCGTTAGGTAGGCGAGGACTTCGATGTTGGTGAGGACGGCGGATTGGGGGTCGACGATCTAGTGTATTTCGTTTTATGTTAGTTAGAGGGATAGGGATGGTACCTAGTCTTGGGTTTGGGATGGTTGGTTGGATTTGATGGAGGGATTGGCTGGGTATAGGTATGGGTATGGGGATGGAGGAATTGGATTTGGTGGTGTTCCGCTAGATTGGATTGAAGGGGTAGGATGACATACCCTCATTTTGACGGTGATGTGGTTTCTCTGATATGCGATCTTGACTGCAGCTGCGCAGAAAAAATGAGGGGAAAATTGGGCGGAATTGGATGGCAGAATTACCAGGCGGTGTGCGGATTTCTTCCGCTTGCTGTTTTGGTTTTTCTGGTCTTGACTCTTGTCCCTGAGACATGAAGACATGTTGATGTGCCCATACGGATCCATACTCTACAAGAAGTACTAACAGGTGAATGAATTATTTGAACTTCCTTGATAACAACTCGAGCACCGCTGCGCCGTGGATAGACCTGCATTCCATCCATAAATGCCACCCAAGAAAACATAGATTGAAGTGGAAAACAGCAATATAAAAAAAAATCACAAAGAAAAAGAAATTCCAAGCCCACAGATTGTGATATCATACAGGAAAAACGTAGAAGAAGCAACATGGCCCATCAGCTGTGCTTTAAAGGGGAACTTTTTCTGCCGGACTCCTCATTTCTTGAATCGAAAAAAAAACATTTAATCCTTGCTCTTGCTCTTCTTCTTCTTCTTCTTTTCGGAGTCGGCTTCCTCGGTCTCGTCTGATCGCTTGCGCTTCTTCTCGTCACCCTTGGATGACTTCTTGGACTCCTTCTTGGCCTTCTTCAGGTCCTTCTTGCTGACCGAGCTGGGGTTGCCGTCCGCGTCGAACTCGATCTCGCCGCGCTCGAGCTTGCGCTTGTACCGCTTCAGGCTGAGTCCGGCCTTCTCGGCCAGCTTCTCCAGGTCGGCGTCCTTGCTCTTCTTGGACTTCTTGGTCGACTCCTCTTCCGAGTCGTCGGACGAATCGTCGTCGGAGTCGGCGTCGGCCATCTCCTGATCCTCAACCTCCTGGACCAGCTTCTTCTGCTTCTTGGCCGAAGCAGGCTCTTCAGCCACAGCGTCGGCGTCGGCGTTGTAGTTCCGGGTTTCGTTGACGTTGAACTTCTGCGGCCCGCCGGTGGGGGCAATGGCGACACCGCGGGGCTTGAGGGGCTTGCCCTCCATGGCAGCCAGCTTGCGCTCGAGGTTGTAGCGGGCTTCCGTGCCCAGAGCGGACTTGTCCTCCTCCGTGGCCTCCTCGTCCCACTCGGCGAGGGCATCCACACGCAGACCCAGAGAGGCCTTGGCGGCCAGAACACGAGCCATCTTACCCTTGTTCTTGCCAGTGGCCTGACCGATGAGCGAAGCGTGGTAGATCAGACCGTACTTGGGCGTGTCGTGCTTGGTCTTCAGCGCACGGAACAGAGCCTTCTCGGCTCCGAGAATCTGGAGAGTACTGGCGGGGCTCTTGGAGAGGTTGGTCAGGCTGCCGGCGTGGGCAATCAGACGGGCACCGACCAGGTCGCCGACAAGGGCAGTCAGGTTGGGGGCGATGGCGTTCATACGCGCGGTCAGGTAGCCGGCCAGCTGCTGGCGGTACTCAGAGAAGCCAACAACCTGCTCGGCCAGGGCCTGGATGTTCTCCAGATCGTCCTGGCTGATCTCGGTACCCATGGAACGGTCCGCGGCGGCCTTGACGATGGGCTCCAGCTCCTCGGGAAGGAACTCGGCCAGATCGGAGGACTCCCAGTTAGAGCGCATACCCATCTTCAGGACAAGCTTGGCGTAGGCCAAATTGTCGTTCAGGATCTTGGCCAGTTCGGGGAAGTGCCAGCCGTACCATTCCTTCACACGCATGGCATAGTTGTTCAGCTCCTTGTCCAAATCATCCAGCAGACCGATGGCCTGCACGATCATGGTGTCGATCTTGTCGGGCGAGAACTTCAGCTTATGTCTAGCGAGGGAGTGAGACAGACCCAGAGACATGGTGGACATGTCCTGGGGCATGAGGCCGGGGATTAATGTGGGCAGGTGTTCACGGATGGCACGGTAGACGTCGGCGGTCGAGGAGTCGGCCACCAATTGCAGCGACAGGCCGGGAAGCTTGCCAATGGAGTTACCTTTACAGCAATTCGTGTTAACAGGGCACTATCTCTAATGGTCTTGCGATTGGGATCGATAAGATAGACATACCGAGCTTGGGGTCGGCGACGGCCAGAGAAGCCTTCTTCTCATCCTTGATCTCCTCAAGAAGACTGGCAAGACGAGGAGTCACCTTTCCCTCGACAAGGGAAGCGACTTCCTCCAGAGCGGCGGTGGCACTCTCGAATTTCTGGAAACTCTTCAATTTCAACCTAGGGAAGACGACATTAGTATATTCGTTTCCCTCGCGGGTAGAAAAATTTTTGCGGCGTGCCCTCGAGCATTCTGGACGCAAATCGACGCGACCATCGCCAGCAAAAGGAACCATAACAAGTCCAACTTACAAGTTCGAGACACCCTCCGGCGTGGACGCCTCCTCAGCCAAATCATCTCTCTTCAACAACTTCTTGTCCTTGGCCTTCAGCAGGGCGTAACCCGCGCTGGTTTCGGTAAGGATAAAAAGCGTCATGGTTGCGCGGCCTCGAGTCCCAGCTGGATGAAATACAGGCGAAATCACCGCTCGAAAAAGGAGGGGGAGGAATGAAAAGGAGGGGGTATTGACCGTGGACCAAACCACCAAGAGCGTGCTGGAGGAAGTAGTTCGGAGTTCTGCTGGCGGGAATTTTTTACTTTCGACCCTAAAAAAAGTGAAAAAACCGAAGTGGCTGGTGCTCGTGTGGCGCCGGCAGACGGTGGCCGTGCCGCTTACGTAACGGCGGAAGCGACAACTAAACGACGCTGGCGAAGCTCCGCTGCGGTTGGCCTCAGAGAGATCCGCCTGGAGTCTAGAGCTGAGCTGCGTGCTGTTCCTGACTTTGTTTTTGACCATGGAGGGCTTGTTCTTCAACGCTCACAGCGGGTAGGTTCTGCTCCCACATCCTCTCATCGTAACTCTGCATGGAGGCTCGCTGACTGGGATGGCTCTAGCTATGTCGAGGGCATTGTCCGAGGATATCGGAATACCCTCCTCACCAACCAGCATTATAACAACCTGATCCAATGCGAAACGATCGATGGTGCGTTATCCTGGCAATCTAATGGGATCTCCTCCCTGTCGTCTCCGTACTGATCTGATCTCTCGCAGATGTCAAGCTGCAACTCGCTCCCGCATACGGCGACTTCCTCGCCGCGCTCCCTCCCAACCCCTCCACCTCTGCCCTGGCCGGCAAGATGACCGAAAAGCTGGTCGCCGAGTTCCGCTACCTCCTCACCCAGTCCACCGGCTCGACCGCCAAGTTCCTGGAATACATGACCTACGGGTACATGATCGACAACATCGCTCTCCTGATCACGGGCACCCTCCACGAGCGCGACACCCGCGAGCTGCTGGAGCGATGCCACCCGCTCGGCTGGTTCGAGACCCTGCCCGTGCTCTGCGTGGCGACCAACATCGAGGAGCTGTATAACTCCGTGCTGGTCGAGACCCCGCTGGCCGGCTACTTCAAGGGCAGCCTGAGCCACCAGGATCTCGACGAGCTGAACATCGAGATCGTCCGCAACACCCTCTACAAGAACTACCTGGAGGACTTCCACACCCTGGTCACCACACATCCCGACTTCAAGGGCACCCCCACGGAAGAGGTCATGTCGGAGGTCCTGCAGTTCGAGGCCGACCGCCGCGCGATCAACATCACGCTGAACTCGTTCGGCACCGAGCTGTCCAAGCAGGAGCGGAGGAAGCTCTACCCTGAGTTTGGCAAGCTCTACCCCGAGGGCTCGCTGATGCTGTCCCGGGCCGAGGACCTGGAGGGCGTGACGCTGGCCGTGAGTATCGCGGCTGACTACAAGGCTTTCTTTGACGCTGTCGGCCTCACCCAGGGCGGTGGCGGTATCGGCGGGATGGGCGGCGCTTCCGACGGGAAGAGTCTGGAGGATCTGTTCTATCAGAAAGAGATGGAGTTATCGAAGATTACCTTCACGCGTCAATTTACTCCGTCGGTGGTATACGCGTGGATGAGACTCAAGGAACAGGTTCGTCTTACCCTCCCTCTTTCCCTCCAGTCGAACCCAACTAACCACCTATCCACCACAGGAAATCCGAAACGTCACCTGGATCGCCGAATGTATCGCCCAAAACCAGAAAGAGAGGATTGGCAACTTTATCTCTGTGTTCTAAGCGTTTCGCCATGTCCCCACCACCTCCTGTACCACACCTCCTTTTACATCCCTCTACTTCATCGTCCGGTCCGGTCGGTCCCGCCCCTTGTGTCCCCTTTCTTCAATCCTGTTCTTTCAGGGGACACTTTCGATCTCGCTTTTCCCTTTTCATCTTCGGTCTTCATGTGTCTAGTTCATTTGTCAAGTACCCAGTCTTCTCTGTAATGAGCGCATTTATTTAAATCGTCCGACGTGGCCATGGCCATCCTGTCGGGTTTTTTCTGTTTTATCCTTCCGGTTTTGCCGTCGGCGTTTGCTGGGGTTAGATGTTTTTGTGTGGGTGTGACATCGTGTTGTTTTAAGTTATAGAGCATTCTTAATGGATGTAACTTTACTGTTGATATTTGCCTGTAAGGGAGGTATTTCCTATCCTCCGAGGACATTGTTTGGGCTGATATTCAGACCGAAATACATGTAATTGATTCGGATTCAATATCATGCAGTTTTCATTTCCAATCCCCCAAAGCAGTAATTGTATCGATGAGCAATATTCAACGTATGTATGGTTTCACCCCCGTCCTTTCTGTACTCCGTAAATCCCGAGATTCGATAGTCTCTGATCCTGCAGGTTTGATTTGTGGGTTCGAGAGGCAGATATCCCCGCGCTGCAGTCGAAACATGAATCGTGTAAGGGAAGTAGACATGAAAAAGATAAATCCCAACGAAATGACAAAAAAAAGTAAATAAAAAAAACAATAATTCGGCCCAGCAGCCTATCTTTGTGTCTTGGCTTAACACCTTGAAACCCCCTGGCATATATCCAACGCAGGGAGAAAAGAAAAAGAATAAAAGAAAAATCAAAGAAATGATTGAATAAGCTTAGATATTGATCGAGGCTTTCCTGCCTTTGAACGTAACTCATAAACGGGCAGTGATGAAGATAATAAAACAATAGGAAATCCTAGATATACGGCTTAAATTCATCGCTGCTTTTCAAGATCCATTGAATGGTAGATGTCTCTTAGAAAGACTATAACACAAGGAAAATGTCTGGAATAGATTGGTGGTTATATCCGTTAATCGTACTGGAAGAGAACACTGATACTTTCACCATGGTGGACTCGGCGGATGGCCTGAAAGCTGTTAGTTTCTTACTTCGATAGCAACTGAATCAGGGAAAGTACCTCTGCAAAGACATTGCCGACCTCCAGAACTTCCAGTTTGGGGCATCGTCGCAAGTGGTCGGCCTGGTCAACACTGTTGGTCACGACCACTTTGTCGAGAGCGCTGGCGTTGATGCGGTCAATCGCATCGCCGCTCAGGATGCCGTGCGTGACCAGGGCGTAAACCTTGGCAGCGCCCTCCTTCTTCAAAAGCTTGGCAGCTCTCGTGATGGTATTCGACGTGTCCGCAAGATCGTCGATCAGGATCGCTGTCCGATCCTTGACATCTCCCACCAGCATCATCGTCGCGTTCTGACGTTCCGTGATCCGGGTCGGACGCCGTTCCTAGAGACAATTAGAACCAGATTATTTAATGCGCCTGAAGACACAAACCTTGTGAATTAGGGCAAACTCCATGCCCATGGAGTCGGCAATGGCCGTGGCGCGCTTGGCACCGCCGGCATCGGGACTGACAACCACGGCGTGCTTGTAGCTGGGGATGTTGCGCTGAATGTAGCTCTTCAGCAGAGGTCGCCCGTACAGGTTGTCAACGGGAATGTCGAAGAAACCCTGGTACTGAGGATCGTGCAGATCCATGGTGATGATGTGATCCGCACCCGCGCAGGTCAGCAAATCCGCCACCAAGGTACCTGCTTGGGCCACCCATTGCTTGTAACCAGGCCGGGGCTGGAAGTTGCTGATCTTTTCGGCGCTGTCATCGGTGACATTGGCTCCATTCGTAGTCGCTTCCGACTTCAAGGAGTCAATCGTGTCGCTGCGAGGGAGGCCATTCGCGGGACGTCTCTTCACGGGGCTGCCGTTGTTGAAATCATCGAGCTGGGCCTTTGCGAGACCCTTCTGCAGGTTGTCGACGCCATTGAGCATGCTTCCACTCTCGGGGTTCCCGGGGTGCGGGGTCGACGGAGTGCTCTCGAAAGTGTAGCCAGGGCCCCCTGGTTTCCCGGTGACGTGAGACTTCACCAGAGGAGCACCGGACTTGTTGTAAGGGATATCGCTCTGTCGGGAGTAGGGGAACAGCGGGAGGACGGCGGTGACTCGCCTGGCGGAGGCGGTTTTGCAGGCGGAGACGGTGATCAGCAACTCCAAGAGATGGTCGTTGACCTTTCCGCCGCCGGATTGGATGATGTAGACATCCTTCTCACGAACGGATTCTTTGATTTCGACGCGGGTCTCGCCCACGGAGAATTTCGACAAGAGCACGTCGGCGGGCGGGATGCCCAAAACGCCGCAGATGTTCTGAGTCAGTTGCGGGTGGGAGGTACCCCCGATGACGACGATATTGCGCACCATCTTGTCACAGTCCTCAGACGGCGAGGCAGTTGGAAAACCCAAGGGATGGAGTAGGAGGGGAGAGGATGACTGGTTTTGAGGTGGGGAGAAAACAGGAAATTCCGATGAGGCGGCAGATCTGGAGTAGGCGGTAGGATCGGCAAATTAGATTAGCACGAGGGTTATGCACCATGCAGCACCGGGACGAAGAAGCAAGCAAGCAAGCAGGTAGAGCACGGTGAGCCAAAAACTGGAGAACAATTCTGTCGTGCGTGGGACGGCCAACTACCTCATGTCGGGGGGTTTAGAAAGCGTGACGGGTCGATTGGACGGCAAAGACATTGACGGGGACTGGAGATTCGTTCGGTCGTGTGAGTCTCCGCCAGCAAATTGAAGGAAGAAAAGAAAAAAAAAAAAAAAAACCGAGTGGATCCGCCGGTGTCGCTGCCTCGTGGTGGCCTCAGGCTGAGAGTTGCCGCATGTGGATTAGCGTCCCAAACGGTCGGCCCCGCAAGAAATCGACGGACAAAAGAGAGGCAAAACAGGTCAACAATGAGCTTCCCCGTTACGATTGTGCCAGTACGAGATGAAGTCCCGGGTCTCCATTGGCCGGTAGGTACATGGAACCTTGTTTGGGTCACAGAAAAAAAGGAAAAGAATTTGTGATCAGAAGAAAAAAAATGTCAGGTTTCATGGCATTCCCTCTATGCTCCAGTTCCAGGTCCCAATGATGGTTTTTGTTCCAAAGGTCGTGACGGTATAAAAAGCAGAAAAGCAAATAATAATACAAAAGAACAGTATTAATCTCCGGTTCCGACCTCCCTGTAGAGAATGGTTAGTATCCCATGCTGATCTGATCTCCAAAGGGGAGAGGAAAGAAGACGATCTTACAAGTCAAGTTGAGCTCCGTTGGAAACGCTGTAGTCGGCCAGGGTGAGGAAGTCTTTGAACGGTCGTTCGCCCTGACGCTTCAGAAGGATCTCATGGGTGTCTCGTCCGATTCTGGCAGCCACCTGGGCCTTGAATAGCTCTGTAGGGATGTTAACAGCCGCTTTCAATGGATATACGGTGGGAAGGGAACAAACTGATTGGATCCGACGCAAGACACGGTATGGCTGCACGAGTTCCCAGACGATCGTTGACATAGACCGTAATCATGGGCTCTGAAGACTGAGGAACAGCTTTCTTCTTTTTCTCTTTCTTCTCTTTTTTCTCCTTCTTTTCTCGTCGTTCCTCCCGGTCGTCGCCTTCAGGACGTCGTCGCTCGCGATCCTCATCTCTGTATCGGTCCTCCCGGCGCCTGTCGCCGTATCGATCGGAGTCTCTGTCTCGTCGCGGCGATCGTGCTCGATCTTCTCGTTCCTTGTATCCGCGGTTTAATCGTCGGTCATCGGCCTCGGCTCGGTCGTCGCCATCGCGTCTTTTTTCTTTCCAGCGAAACCCTCCTGCAGGTTTTCGGGGCCGATCTCTGTCGCTGTCGAATCTCCTGCCGGGAGATCTGCTCCTCGAACGGTCGCCCATCGTCGAGAATGGTCGGGCAGCAAAAGGGGCGTCAGGACAAGTGATTATTGGTATGACAGAGCTGCGCGAGGTGCCGCCTGAGCCACGTGATGCTGTAGACGTAGCTCCCTGATCCAATCGGGACTAGTGCGGTCCAGACTCCGCCAAGCATTGATTGCGCTCGATGCAGTCCTTCTGGATTCATCCTCCACAACATTCATCCTTTCGGTGAGCGCTATTCCGGGGCGCACGCTGCATGTAAATGCCTGGCCGGCTCATCCTACGGCGTCCGTCCCCGACCACCGTGTCGTTCACCGTCTCCAATGCCTCCCGACACACGAGCACCCCGGCCAAGCTCCTCTTCTACTTGCAAATCCTCTTGCGCGCCCTAGTCTTCGTCTGCGTGGTGTTCTTCGACATCGCACGGCAGCGCAGGCCGTTTTTCTACCAGGATGGATCGTTTCTGCGCTGGACCGCAGTATGGTCCAGCCCGTTGGGATCGTATGTCTGTCGCATTGCGGACAGCTACAACCCCGTGGTTGTTGCTTTGGTCAGCGCGGTAGTGATTTACGGAGTCTTTAGGAAGGGGTACACGGGTATGTGGCAGCTGATGGGCTTGATTGGATCGCGAAACTAATTGCTGTTACAATAGAGGAGTCACTTCTAGTTATACGCGGCCTCGGCATTCAAACGTCGACCTCCTCCTTGACCTATTTATCTAAAGCTTCGACACGGTTTATTCCTACCACGCAGATTCAGGATATTGTAATCCATGAGGCGTTCAAAGGCTTTGAGGTTCGGTTTTATCTTGCGATCATCGTGGAGGGAGAGCCGGAGATGGTGGTGGTTTTCCCCGTAAGTGGAATCTCTCGCTCAGTCTTGGGAAGGGATGCTGACCGACCGGCTGTAGACCCTCTTGCCCAAACGCGCTATCTTGGAGGAAGTTTGGAGGGGCTCGCGACATTGCCTATATGATTCCAAGTCATAATCCGGGATCTTTTTTGGGTTGGAGTATACCAACGTCTATATCTAGATTCTATCAAGGTATGTATATACATGATTTTCTTTCTACATCTCCATTCGCTCCGCCTGAGCAGCCTTCAGGTTAGCCTTTCGCTGTTTCTCGGCTCGGTACCTGGCATTCTGAACGTCCACCGGGTCATTCTTGTTCAGTTGCATGACCGGAATGTACTTTCCACCGATGCGGGTTTCGTTACCACCGATGAAGACCTTTTGTCCCCTGTTCCGTTTGATTCCGCCCTCGTCGTACAGTTCACCATCGACAAGACGCTGATCTCCTTGGTTGATGCTCAGGTTTAGAAGCGCCCCGGCCAAAATCTCGTCGATCTTGCGCTGCCTCCAGACACTCCAGATCCCCTCCACAACCCCGCAAAATCCAAATTTGCCATTGCCCTTTCCAGTCGTGGCTTGGATCTGCCTGGGATCTCCGGCATACACCCAATCCAGGGCATCTTCACGGCTGTTGCCGTTGAGGTCCGGGAAAATGCAGTCCCACAGTACTAGGGGCGCATCGGAAGCCATTGTATACGATGGCTTGCGTGGGTTCTTGGTGATGTCCAGTAACTCGGAGACAACAGACGGCGATTCGAATCCTTGACCCACAAGGAACAGAATGCTCACCATGAGTCGAACCTGGTGCCACAAGAAGGCAGATCCTTGAAGGTGGAACACATAGACCGGGGCAGTATGTGGCTGAGCGCTCTCAGGCGTCGGCGGATCTTCCTTGGCAACCGCATCCCCGTGGATCGATAGTCCAGCCCGACCTAGAGTACCCAGCGGGATGCTCTTGGGGTCTACCAGCTCAATATCGGAATGGTAGATCTTCCGTTCAAAGGTCTCGAGCTGCTTGCTGGTGTCCAGCTTGCAGAAATTCCGGAAGTCGTGCACGCCTTCGAATAACTTGGCGGCCTTACGCATCGCCTCGATATCCAGATATCCTTCTCTGAACTTGGGGTTCTTGTTGCCCTCGCGTCCTTCGAGTCCTTGGCCCCCGGGCGTGGGGAAGAAGCCCGGCTGAGTGAAGAAGTACTTGTACTGGCGTTCCCGACAAGAGAACCGAGCATCGAAGCCTTCCGGCGGATGAGGACACCACGCCAGAACCCGAATATCCTCCGGCAGCACCGAGTTCAGGATCGTGATATACGGCAGCTCGTCCCTAATATCATCCCAGCCCTCATCCGGGGCCCTCTCTTCCTCCACCGGAGTATCATTCCCTTCCTTCATCGTAGTATCCGTATCCCCCGTAGTCGCCGCCGCAGCCTCCGGCTTAGCCACCTTCTTCTGCTTCGGCCGCGAACTCCGCACCCGGATCCCAATCACCTGCCCAAACGCACTGACTCCACGATCCGTCCGCCCCGCCTTCGAATACTGACACCCCTCCCAGTTCAGCGTGTACGCCTTCAGCGCCCTCGGCTGGCGCGGGTCCCCAAACTGCGCATCCGACGGCGTGTCCCCCGTCGGCAGAATCAGCCTCGTCCGCCGCAACGCCTTCCACATCTCCTCCTCGATCGTCGGCAGCGGCGTCGCGTTCCCCGTCGTGTGCTCCAGCCCATTATACCGCTGGCCCAGGTACGCGAACTTCAGCGCTATGAACCGCGTGTGGTATTTCGAGGGATCCAGCTCGCGCGCCTGCTTCGGGATTCGGGTCGGGGCCGGCGTGTGCGCGAAGTCTTCGGAGCTGGGAGGGTTCTTTTTCGCTTTCTTGTGCGGCAGCGGGTTCGGTGATGATGCGCCTGTGGCCTTTGCTGTAGCGGGGTCCCCAGCGCCTGCAGCCGGAGCAGTGGCAGGAGCCGGAGCAGTCGCTGGCGCAAACTCCGCCGTCCGCGACTGCAGCTGTTTCTCGAGCTCTGTGATACGCGAGATCAGATCGGGTGCGCTCCAGGTCGAGTAGTCCGGCTGCGGAGGAGGCATGTTCGTAGCGCGGCCCTCAGATCCAGACATCGTGGTTGGCGTCGAGGGGTCAACGACGCAGGCGTATTGCGGGAGGGAGCGGGCGTGGAACGGTCGCGAGGGTGTTGCTTTGGCGATTTGTGGTTGACGAGAAATGAGCCGGGTTCTGAGTTGGGAATTCCACATCCCCCTTTCGAACGGTGGGTGGTTTTTTGGCGATTGTCGGGCCCCGTTGGTTCAGGCGGAGGAGCGATGCAGTAAAATCTAATTCTAATGCGTCGGGCCGGGTTTCCTATTTGGGGGGAGGGCTCGCCGCTTTAGTTTGGAAAAGCCCTTGCTGGTTGGGCTTCTGTTTTTACAACTACAACGTTAGCAGTTTGGTGTCCGCATAGAATTCATTGCTGATGACAGAATATCCTGGTTTATCTTTCATTCTTTAATATTCAGGGGTGTGTGGTTGAGGTCAGGAATTACGTCGTATGATAGGTGGTTCTATAGGGCTGCGGGCTCGAATTCTCCTTGCCCTAATTCAGAAAGGTAGAATGTATGCAATTCGCCAGTATGTAGGACATTAACCCATTTTCTTTTTCTCTTATGTTCTTTTCTCAAGGAGGTACTGTGAAATAGCCTCGTATTCACCAATGTGGATCTAGAAAATCTCAATCTCTGGTGAATTTGGTCCGTTGATGAATACCAGAGATATAGATTCACCTAGAAGACTGGTGAATTATTGCTCTACAAGAATTCTGGAATATATTCAATCAACCTGAGGCTTTCAGACTTGTTCCTTACATCCTCCCACCTAGCTATCCTGCATTCTCCTCTGGAAAACAGACCAATCCCGACTGGTGTGCTGTGGACAGCCACAACGGTATAATCTGAAATCCAGCAAAAGCACTGACATACGGCCTTATTTCGGAGACGAGTGGCTTGATACTTAAGACATGTGAGTCTAGTTCCTCCAGTATAGATCTTGAACTAATACCGACTAAATAGAACATCTATCCAAGATGCCTCAAACGTCCAAATCAGCTTTCATCGTGACATAAATAGTCAGGACCTATACCGAAGATCAGCCCTTTGTAAAAAGGTGCAATGCCATGACTGATACAGAGCGATCGGAGGCGGAACATTGGCACAATGGCCAGCGGCCGTGGGTGGTCACTATTCGTGCAACAACCCAGTATTCGCTCGCAAACCATGCAAAACTAGAAGCAAACTTCCAAGCTTCGTGGTCAGGCACAAGACAATCAACCGGAAAACCTAGGAGCATACAGCCTGCGTTTGTGGTTACATTGATCATGTTCCAGGGCCGAAACAGTCGAGACATGGCAGAACTATCATTCTACAGGGTAGTCTTGTGGACGTCTGGAATGAAACTTTCTCAGCCACGTTCTGCACTCAGTGACGAGAAAAGAGAATAAGAAACCTACAAGGGCTCTTCTCGAACAGTACAAGCGATGCTTCTACAGGCGCAAGTTCGAGGAAAAGATCGAAAAGGCAAAGACAGATGGAACAGAAGGGATAGAGGGAGATATTATGCTGGAGGAGGCGGCGGATATCCATCCCGGCGAACTAGATAATGAATATGAGGTCATCAGCCCAACACTGACGCACTAGATGAAATGTACATACTGCCAAGGCGATGCTCAGGATTTGTACGTTGCCCTTGTCGAGTCCCACGCGCGTTTGGGGAGGCTGCTCGATCGGGAACGCTTCTACTGGAATACGATCCACCTCATGGAGGAGAGAGATCGTATCTACGGACTGCAAGCTGCCGGTGAACGGGATGTCGAGACCCTGTTGAGTCATAATCTCCGTCGCACTCCTCCTCTGCCTCCGGGTGGACCACCTCCACCACCGCCACTCCTGCCATTTTGATTCTATGGATCGCCAACCTGATTACCAACCATCCCCCTATATCGATATGAATCTCTCACGACGTCACTATTACAAAAGAAAAAAAGTTGCATACGATTACTCTCCGAGAGAGGTGTTGCTAGTCATGCGTTTATTGATTGATTCTTTAGGCCCTCTGAGGTCAGGAAAATAGTGTTTAGTTCCTGCGTTCTGATCCATCATGTCCCCATATCTAAGAAAAATATGGCGTTCTGTTGTCTTGTTTCGCATCCGGGTCAGGGGGATTCTGCTAAGGCAATGGGTGGTCCTTCTGACCAATCACTGAAAGGATGACTCCTTTGAAGTTATAGGATTGGCTTTATCCAAGAAGATCCGTTCCATTCCCAAGTGCTCCACACAAAAGACAAGACAAGATCCATCCTTCTAGCATAAGTCATTAATTCCGATCGATATCTGTTTACATCCCAACATATTACATAAAAGACCAAACCCCCAAAGAGTCCTCACCCCAGAACCAACGCCCTAACCTCGATACTCTCCCTCCCCCTGGCCCCCTCAGGGGTCTTCTCATCCCAAAACGCACTATGCGGCACCACAACCCTCTCGCTTCTCCCGTCCTTCCCCGCCCAACTATCCGAACACTGCAGCAACAACCTCTCCTCGCCCGTCATCCCAGACAGATACATCCACCGCTGGCCCTCCCGATACTTCACCCCCATGGTCTCGCCCACCCGGTGCGGATACCGATGCTGAACGGCCACGAGGTCCGTCTCGGGGTCGATGGACTGGGCGTGCGCGAACGCCAGCGGGTTCGATTCCACGGGTCCGTTCAGCGGGCGCCAGACGTTGATGATTCGGTAGCGGAGGGAGCCGGAGAGTGCGGCCTCGCGAAGCGCAGGGTCCGTGACGTGCAGCTTGACGCGCTCGGAGGCGGCGAAGCGGGTCTGGTCGACGTGGGCGCGGTGGACGGGGGCGCGGGGGGCGTCTGGGGAAGAGAGCCGGATGGTGTGGTCGAAGAGGATCACCTCGATGTTCTCGGGCGAGGTGCCGTCGGCGGCGGAGAGGTAGTCTTTCAACAGCGAGGTGACTTCCGGGTAGTAGTGGGCTTTGACCAGGGGGTCGGAGTTGAAGGTTTCCCGTGTGGTGAGCGTCGGGATGGATTGGAGGACGGAGAAGGCGGAGGTCGAGAGGCTGTATTGCGAGAGGTCGTGGGCGCGGATGTCGGTCAGGGGCACGCGGTGGGTTTCTTCGTTGTAGTTGCGCTGGGGGAGGCCTGGGGGAGGGGCCTCGACGTAGTTGAAGGGAGGCGAGGAGTCGGAGGGGGGAGAGTAGAAGATGAGGGAGGTGGTGGTTGGGCCGGAGGGGATTGGGGGGGTGGTTTTGGCGGTGGTGGTGGTTGAGGTCATTTTGATATAGTAAGTAGTATGTAGTAGTATGATATTCTGAATGTAGGATGGGGTATACTGCATCAGATAGGGTTATATACGTCGATCAGATCATTTGTCAGCGCATGACGTGCTTCGGCCTGCGGAGAAATTATTAATATGCCTGATCACGGCGTTGGTTCTGTTGCTGCATGAGTAACGAAGGCTGCAGGAGATGACGTCAATCTCGTCTAGAATCTGGCGATATTTATCAGATATCTTATAATCATCAAAGTGAACGGGAGTATCGAGTATGGAGTATAGACGACGGAATGGTTCTGGGCCGAGGTTGATAGTGCGGGGCTTATCTGATCGTCCATCTCAATCAGTTTAACCGGAGTCGGAGTCCAGGAGTACAGCGGACAGTTACAAGTATTCCTGTATTCATGTCATGCTTCGTGTTATACCTACTCAAATCCATCAACTATCTGAGCCGCAGTCGTCCGCAGTTCGGAGACTTTCTGATTTGCCACCAGTATTCAGCCGGTGATCTATTAGTCAAGACATGATAGCCTATTAATAATACTAGAATACTAGAACATAATACATAATATTACTCTAATCAGAACAACATCTGAATTCCATCTCTACCTATACACGCAGCAGTCTGCCCTTTTCTCGCATCCAACAAATAAACACATGAAAGTATATTAATGAAAGAAAGAAAGAAAGAAAGATTAGTGCTCCTCCACTCTCTAGTACACAATGCCCATCATCGCGGCAATTCCGACTCCCCACCAGAAGCTAACAGCCTTGGCCGGGGCGTCGTTGGACAGAGGGATGGTCGACGAGGGAGTAGGCGCCGCGGTCGAGCTACCGGCGTGCGTCTTGACCATGGTCGATGAGGCCCACGGGTTGGCGATCGTGGTCAGGGCACCGGGGTTGCCGCCGTTGCCGCCGGGGGACACGCCGGTAGGGGCGGGTCCGGGGATCAGGCCGACGGTCGTCTGGTGGCCGGAGGTGGCGGTGCTGAAGGCAACCTGGGGCACGGTCACCGTGTAGGTGGAGTAGGTGATCGTGGTGGCCGACACGGGGACGGGAGGAGCAGGGGCAGGAGCGGTGGTCTCGGGCGAGGTCACGCCGCCGGTGGGCTTAGGAGCCTGGGTGACGGGGGAGACGTCGGTGGTGCTGGGGACGCCGGCCGAAGGCACCAGGGTGATGGTGGACGGGATGGCGGTCACGATACCGGGGTTCTGGGGAACGTACGAGGCACAGATACCGGTGAAGTAGGACAGAGCAGCCTGGACCTCGTCGTCGGAGGCACCCCACGCCTGCACACAGCCGATGACCTTGTCGGTGAACTCGGCCGAGGGGCAGAAGCAGCCAGCCTCGCTGTTGGAGCCGCACTTGGGCATCTTGGTGAGCCAGGTGTTGATACACTTGGGCACGACGTTGGGGCAGGGGGTGGAGGGCTCCTCAGGGGTCGACGGCACCGACGAGGTGACGGGCTTGCCAGTGGGAGCAACGCCAGTAGGAACCACGACGCTGGCCGAGGTAGTGGTCAGGGTGGAAACAGTGGTGTAGACCGAGGTGCTGGTCTTGTCACCGTCAGTAACGGTCTTGGTGACGGGGCAGGTGGTGACAGTCTCGTAGGTCACGATGGTAGTCTCGGCAGGGCCGGCGGGAGTAGTGACGGGAGCAACACCGGTGGGGGTAATAACACTCTCCGAGCTGGTGGTCAGGGTGGAGACAGTGGTGTAGACCGAGGTGCTGGTCTTGTCACCGTCAGTGATGGTCTTGGTGACGGGGCAGGTGGTCACGGTCTCGTAGGTCACAACGGTGGTGACGGCAGGGCCAGCGGGGGTGGTAACGGCAGGGCCGGCGGGAGTGGTAACGGGAGCAACACCAGTGGGAGTAATGACGCTGGCCGAGCTGGTGGTCAGGGTGGAGACGGTGGTGTAGACCGAGGTGCTGGTCTTGTCACCGTCGGTGACAGTCTCAGTAACGGGGCAGGTGGTCACGGTCTCGTAGGTCACGATGGTGGTCTCGGCCGGGGCGGCAGGAGTGGTGATGGGAGCAACGTCGGTGGGGATGACGGGGGTGCTCTCAGCACACTTGGGGCAGTAGCTGATGGTCGAGGTCAGGGTGGCGGTCGACACGGTGCTGTAGACGGAGGTGGTGGTCTTGTCACCCTCGGTGGCAGTCTTGGTGACCGGGCAGGTGGTCACGGTCTCGTAGGTCATGACAGTGGTGGTGTAGTCCGAGGGAGCCGGGGTGAAGGTAGTCTCGGCAGGCGCAGCGGGGGTAGTGATGGGAGCAATGTCGGTGGGGATGACGGGGGTGCTCTCAGCGCACTTGGGGCAGTAGCTGATGGTCGAGGTCAGGGTGGCGGTCGACACAGTGTTGTAGACCGAGGTAGTGGTCTTGTCACCCTCGGTGGCCGTGGTGGTCACGGGGCAGGTGGTGACGGTCTCGTAGGTGATGACGGTGGTAGTGATATCCTCGTCACCGGTGGGAGAAGGACCAGTCACGGCGGGAGAGGTGATAGCAGGGCCGGAAGGACCAGGAGAGCTGCCGCCAGGGGAGACACCGGTGGGGGTCGGGACACCGCCGTTCTCACCACCGGTCTCGGTGACGGGGCAGACGGTGGTGGAGATGGGGATGGTCTTGGTGACAACGCTGGTGGAGTCGGCCGGGCAGTTGGTCACGGTAGGCGCACAGCTGGTGATGGTGATCTCACTGGTAGCATACACAGTGGAGGTGGTCATTCTCACGGGGGTGCTGGGAGCCGGGGTGGTGACGGCGCCACCGGCAGAGGTGGAGTGGCCGGGGATGACGGGCACGGACGAGCTGTGGCCAGAGACACCGGTCTCGTGGGACGGAGGGGTGGCAGTGAAGCTGGGGAGCTCGATGGAGTGGCTGGGGTTCTTGGTTCCGGGGGTACAGTCGAAGTCGATGGTGTGGATACCCAGGTCGCACTCATCATCCTCGTGGTCCTCGGGCAGCTGGAAGTGAACGGAGGTGGCACCACCGCACTGCTCGTTGCGGACATCGGTACCTTCGGGCGAGCACGAGGCGACCTGCTTGCAGGAGGAGCCGTCGGGCATGCCGTAGACGATGTGAACGTCGGACTTCTTGGAGGTAGCCAGACGGAAGGAACCGACGGAGAAAGCCTTGCTGCCGGAGTTGAAGCGAAGGCCGGACTTGGAGCCCTTGCCAACCTTACCCTCGATGCATTTGCCCTACGAGTCATTAGAACTGATATTTCTCTGCAATGTATGGACGTCAAGCAAGACTCACTCCGAAACCACCAGACACGGCACCGCTGAACTTAGACTTCATCGAGAAACCGGAGAAGTCAAAGCCGCCATAGTTGCTGAAGTCACCCTCACCAACACCGCCCCAGTTGAAACCGGTGCGCTGCTCCTCGGAACAGTCGTTGTCACTGTTCTCCGGGCTGGGATAGCAGGTATCAGTGCCCCACCACTATGCAAGTCAGCAAGATATACGAGGTAAGCTGGGGCCAAATGGATAGAGGGGAAGCATACCAACCCACGGGGGTGGGCCGTGGCCATGGCGGCCAGGGAAAAGAGAGTAACAGAAGTCGAGAACTTCATGATGACAGGAATAAAGCACGAAGCTTGAAAGAATAATAGAGAGAAAGAATAATCCGACGGGAGTGGTAGTAAACAGAATTAAGATATTATTATCGGAGACCAGCGACAACAATACAAGATGGGCGATGAAAGAGTGATCCCCAAATAGAACGAATGGTCTTGGCCCTTCCGGTCACAGAAAGGTTGCAAAAGACAGAAACGCAACTCAAAACGAGAGAAGCTATCAAGGAAAGAAAAAAGAGACACACAGAAGGAAAAAGAGAAACGAGAAGATGGCCCCATGTTCGGAGGCAGCAGGACCCTTCTTAAAGCATGGAGTCAGCCATCGACCACCCACAGGTTCCTGACGGACCGGACGGGCGTCAACAAAGCCGGACCCCAAAGGGCACGGAAAACTACCCTGACAAGCATTAGTCGGGAGCTGGATCCAATGGAGCTAGCCAAGCAGGAAGAAAAAAAGTAAGACAATCTGAGAAAGGCCGGCGTGCAACCAAAGACCAGGCCTCTCTCCAATGGCGACCAGCCGGCTATTCCGCTAGTGCAGGAACACCCTGACAAGAGATATGGGGCGCGAAATGGCCGCCAATCACGACGACGATGGAAGCCGGATGCTTGAGAGCTGCCCTGGGCTGGTGGCTGATGTGGTGGAGGAAACGAACTCCAGCGGCGCCACCCAATGAGACGGTGGAAATTGGGCAGGATCAAGGTCTGGAAGGCAGGGAAGTGGGTTCCTGACGATTCGATGGATGACAGAGGGATCAATCAAGGTGGGGGAGAAAAATCAGGGCAGCGAAAAAGAAACGAGGGCGATAATGGGGATGATAGGTGGAAGCGTGCAGAAAGCAGCGGAGGTTGATTGTGCGTTGGTTGTTGTTGACAGGCGCTTGCAGAAAGTTTGTCTGGCAGGCAAACCGTCACGCATCTCGTGACTGTCGGAGTCCATGTCCATGTCCATGGATATTACGGAGTAGGTCTCCTCGTACTCTACTACCATATGGGTATACTATACTTGAATATACTATCGGACAATAGCACCACGACCGGACCAGAATAATCGGACACTCACCTACAAAGTCAGTAAGTCCCAGTCTAAGATCCAAGAACACCCCCAACACGACCACCGCCACTAAACCTCTCGCAGTCTACGGCAGGACGCAGAAAACATCCTGCAGGCCCAGGGGCGACCGTGCAGCCAATGACCGGCAGCGTCCCGGTGGGCGTCTCGCTGAAACCCCGTCGGTGTCAGCCCATGGCTATTAATATCGTGGGTCGGGGGTTCTGGACTGACCAGGTCCCATCGAGACTAGGCGGTAGTCTAGTCTGCGAATAATCTCCCAGGGTTCGGATCCAATGATGGCCCCTCGCTAAGCACCCGGTCTTTTGGGCTGACGATGATTGTCGCTGCTTATTATTGTCATTGTTCGTTGGTGGTGATGATCCAAATGCTGTGAACCGCCAGCACTACAGATCAGGTCCTGCAGCGACATCCCCGCCGACTGGGACCGAAAACATGGCTGCCTCTGGCTTGTACCACTACTCCGTACCACTGACAATAGCCTTTCCCTCGGAGAGTCAAAGGAGATTAATTACCGACCGAGACATGGCAGACGCCGGCCACACGACCGATCAGACGACAGGCGGCCAGTCGCTCGGCCTCGCCTCTTGGCGTGTCGCACGATATTCTCATTGCCCCAGAGCGTTGCATCTGTGGCGGTGGTCCCTTCGACTATCTGTGACTATCTCCGACGTGGTCCACTTTCTTGGCTGTCTGTCAATGTCACCGTGCCTTGCTAGTTCTTAGTCCCTTCGTACGAAGTCCCTGACGGGTGGTCAGTTCTCCTCCGGCCCGACGCAGTCTACGCCCCCATCTGACAGAGCACAATCCTAACGTTTCAACTGTTTTTGCATTGGTTGGAGAGAGTCTGGTTTTTGGATCTAGTCAAGCTGGACATGGGGGATCGTCACCCTCGAAGGGGAAACAATACAAAGAACCCCTTGGAGAGACAAGAATAGAACCGCTAATCAAATCCGTTGGTCTTGGGTGAAAAAAAAAAAAAAAAAAAAAAAGAAAAAAAATCAAAACAAAACATCTGAGGTATATCCCTTTCTGCCAACAAAGGAAACACAAAGAAAAAAACAAATCATAGAACAAAATCCAAACTCCGATGCAAAGCTTCGTCAAAACTTTTCGCTCGTGGGGAGGGGGTCGGTCCCGGCCTTCGTGGCGGTTTGTTTAGTTTTCGGTAGAGAAGTGCAAATGGTAAAGGGTTTTTGGTCTTGGGAGATCGTTCCCCCCTCAACCTGTTCAGATATCGGTCTCTCCTTGCGTTCTCATCGGATCTAGAGTGTAGATCGGTCCGTCTATACGAGACTCGCCCTCGTTCGGCTACCCGATCATGCGGGTGCCATCCGCCTCTAGAGAGGTCTTTGTTGTCCACTCCAGACCCCGACATTTTCAAGGGGTGTACGAAGAGAGACTGCGACCAAGAGTGGACAACATGTGGGACAAAAACGATGTGGGGAGAACAAAATCAATAAAAGAAGCAAGGAGACAATTGAGTTTAGAACGTGCCAGTAAGGATCCGAGACATCGTCATCACAGACATAGAGGAGGGGGGAAGAGAGGTAAAGTATTGCATTAACAACAACGGATAGTTGCATGTCTCCGCATATTTTTCGGTCGCCTGCTACGACTTTTTTTTATCCCTCTCTTCAAAATGGAAGTTGGCTGCGTCGATGCGCATCCATCAACTTGCGTCGTACCGCTTCGCCGCCGGTGTAGCCATTGCCCTTGCGTTTTCGCGTTGGGGTGCGTTGGTCTGCATGTCTTGCATGCCGGAACACGCTGGCAGGTCGAGACGGCGAGTTGGCCGGCATGAACTCTCGATGTTGCGGTAACCGCAGCAGAGCCTGGTAGCGGTTGTGGTTACGACGGAACGCCGTGACGATCCCGCGGTCTAGATGGTTCAAGAACCGCTCGGCGCTGCTGGCTTGTTGGCTTTCACCGCGGTTGGGGGTGGGGGGTCCACTGGGGGCCATGGCCGATGGAGCAGCCGTCGTCGTGGGCGAGGTCAATGCATCCTCGTCGAAGACCTTATCCATCTCCTCGTCCGACGACCCGTCACCGAAGTCAATGAAGTCATTCACATTCAGGCCAGACTCGGGATCTACGTCGTCGTCGTCGTCTTCAAACGAGCTGTCAATAGCAAAGTCCCGCGATGGGTAGAACGCCTCAGGGGGGCCCATAACTTGACCGCCGGGCGCCATCTCGTTGCCCAGCGCGGTCATCATCAGGTTTGCACTGGAAGCCAACATCGGGCTGAGGTCGTTGCGATTCGGAGACGCCAATGCGTCCGTATCGCTTTCATCGACCAAGTGCATCGTGGTAGCCCGCGGGCTGTTGTTGGCTGTGCCACTGATGCTGTTGGAAGCCGACTCCAGCCAGTCATGGCGGGAGGAGGCATAGGCCGGGATGATCACAAGATGCTTGCCAGTGCAATCCACCAAAGCCACGGGCTTGTTGGGGTCCGCGACGAACGTTCCCATAATGGGACCTCGTCGCCGCGAAGTAGACTCGCTCTTTTCCTCCGTGGTCGGGGCCAGGGATGCGGAAGAGTCACGGCGCAGAATAGATCGCGGATGGGTGATCGTGGCGGGAGGGGGAAGGTCTTCATCTGTGGTTTCACCGTCATCGGCTTGGGAAGGTCAGCATTAATACACCAAAAAACTGGCAAGGCAATCCTGCATACTCTCGTAGCCGCTCGACTCGGACGCCTCGGAGCGGGCATCCGATTCCACGTGATAGATGTTCGAATGACCGTAGTCGGACTCGGCGAACATCTCGTCCGACTGCCGGCGATGGCGCCGATAGGGCTCGGTGTCGTTCTCAATCATACGACGCAGCTGAGGATCCAAGCTGTCTTGTTGGAGGAAATCACCCGGGATCTCATCGTCCGTGTGAGAATCACTGTCGGAGGAAGAGTCGGAATCCTCTTCGAAATGCACCCGGCGCGGAACTGGCGTCTCCACGGCGGTTTCGCTGGCCATATCGGTCTCACCGAAGGTCTGCATGGCACCATACAGCTGTTCGTCGTCAAAGAACGAAGCACCCGCCAGCAACATGTGATCGTCAAAGACGTTAGGGCCGGACCAGTCGTGGGAGCCTCCCGCACCAGCAGGGACGGCATTGGGGGTGGACAGAATGCCTCCCAGATCATGCTCATCCTCCGACTCTACGATCAGGAGTTCTTCTAGCTTCTCCACATCCTGGTCCTCGTCATCGTCGCCGTCACTAATGTAATCCACGGCGGCGTAGATATCGTCGGAGCTGTCAAACGAGTCGTTCTCGTCGCTCTGTCCGTCGTATCCGTCCATCCTCCTCTTCTTGTTTCCTTTCGTGGTCTTGACCCCCGCCTTATGGGGCCTGTCGCGACGACCATAAGACGGGGCCCGAACAGCCGGTTGGTCGTCCTCGTCGTCCGCATCTTCCTCGGACCCGTTCGCATCGTCGCTTAGTTCTTCAATGGACGAGACAGACGACACACTGGACACGGATGCCGCTCTTCGCTTTCTATCCGCATTGAGAGGACCCAGGGACACCGCCTTGTTGGATCGTCTCGGAGAATTCTGCACGAGACTCGATAGAGGACTCGAGTTGTGGTTGTGGTGGTCCTTGACGGCACCCATTGGGGACCGCTTCGGAGACTGATTCGTTTGCGTCATTGTCCAGTATTGACAACAATAGAATTGTAAAAAAAAGGGGGTAATAGATGTTGGTAGATCTTCTTTGCGGGACTCGTCCAGTATTAACCGGAACAGTCTGATACTTTGGGGTGGGACAAAGTTTGCTACCCGCCGGTATGCCACAAGTATTTGCGTCAGAGATTCGGAGGTGTAAGGCAAATAGGGAAAGTTTATTCTTCGACCGTCAATTCGTAAATGGCGTTAAGTGATGATATAGATGTCGTGATCGCAGGACGTGAGAGAGTGAGAGGAAAGTCGTGGTTGGTACAGGAGTTGATCGGACCTGAGAGGGAGGGGAGGAAGAGTGACGGAGGGAAGGTGATTATTTTTTTTTTCTCGTCGAGAACGAAAGCACCTCGTCCAAGAAGGGGACGTCAAAGTGCTTCTTCTATGATTGTAGTAAGGGGCAATTCCGACGCTTCAAATCGTGCGTCGAAAGAGAGGACCAGATATCGTCAAGTCGAATTCGAAATACTCGGAGCTGCTGGACTGGGGAGCAGGAAAAGGCAGCCGTGCTCCCCAGCGAGGGATCTACAGCTCAGCGAAGGCCATTTTGGCAATGAACCCTTGACAAATATCTGATATAAAAGAAAAAGGAATGGGAAATTTCCGTGGAGTGAGAAGAGGGGGAGCAAAGACTGCGATGAGGGATGGCAGAAGAATGAGGGGGGGATTGTTTAGAAGAAAGGGAAAAGAGAAGGGAGGCAGAAGATCAGCCCAGTCTAGCGGCGTCACTGTCCGTACAGCAGCCGCCCGTTACAGAACGGAACGGAGAGAAACTGGGGCGGCTCGATTTTTCCTTTCCGGTGGGGTGGCCTCGTGGGCTGATTGGCCAGGAACTGTCAAAAGGTGCATTCCCATTGGTCCGCCGGCGTTCACCGCATCTTTCATTTTTGTTTTTTCTTTTTCTTTTTGCCTGCGCCACTCGGGACCAATCATCATGGCGATTCTGCAAAGTCTTGGGATTGAGGCGAGGAAATCCATCGGTCATCGGTTTACTCCCGGCCCAGTCACAACGCTACAATTACTCCAGTTGACTCACGACTTTATATCGTGTAGGTTCGTACAACCCCATACAAGGAGGAGGGGAACATCCAGAGAAGGCATACATCTGACGCAGTATCCGTACTCCTTCATAGACTACCTGGAGCAGGCAGCGTTGTACCCTTCCTTACAGTAGTCCCGCTGTACGCATGGTTGGGTACCTTATTCTGCAGCTGGCGCTGGCCGATCCCGAGTCAAGCGCCCTAACTCCGTACAATCAATGGTCTCGCTGAGTCGTTTTCCCCCCTAGTGAGTCCCCGTACGAGAATTGCCAGCGCAGAGATACAGAGAAAGTGGATTCCCTCGTCGTGACTTGATCCGCTCTCTCGTCCGCAAAGATTTTCCTTTCCTTTCTAGAAGCGAGGTGGACCCCGGATCAAAATTCGGGGGAGAAGGAGAAGGGGCAAGAGGGAGAGAGAAGGGAAGACGAAGAAGCACGTCTTCGTAGAGGTCAACGTGACCTCTCGTTTCAGGCCGTATCAGGACAAAATCGAGTTCTCTGGCCCTGGCCCATCCCTACCTCCCTATCGGTCGAGATCTGGAGATTCAGCGATTGAGATCCCATCCCTCCTTCCCCTGTATTTCTGACGTACATACATACATTACACAGTTCCGACACCCGTGCAGCCAGAAATGCAGATCAATCCGACCTGACCCTCTGATAAAGAATGAGGGGATCGGGGTGGAATGCACGATGGGGATGGTTGCGTGTAGGCCGTCGTATAGTAAAGTACATGCGCTGCATGATACAATAAATAATATGGACCCTCAAACTGTCCTCCTATAAACCGCGGCTAGAAAAAAAAAAAAAAAAAAAAAAAAAAAATGAGAGAGAGAGAACAACATGACGAACTGGGAGGTCCTAGTGTCGAAAACCAACCACCCTAGCGATTAGTGAATCCATCATAGATCATCATCACATACATACATATTCCCCATCCAGTCGGGGACATTGGTTGAACCGTGCTTTTCTGCACGATCCTGTACTCCTACATCATCGAATGGCCAGGTCGCAGGGAGATCCAGGTCAAGATATGATTCATCGAGTGAGTCGATGAGATGAGTCAGAGGATCTGACCGATGCAAAAGCACAACACCAGGCATGACAGGGCAGCAGCTTTCTCTCTCTTCCAGGTACCTCATACTCCGTAGAAAGTTTGGAGTGCTTACGGAGCTAAGGCGTTGGTCCGCCGGTCGCGGTATTACCAATACACGACCGAAATGGACGGAATCCGATAGGATCTGTACGGCTTGGGATTGGCGGGTTCCGCCACTGGCGCCAAAAGCTACTGGTAACAATTAATATCAGTGGTCAGGGCAGACAGAATCGATATCATAATAATAATACGTGGGAATGGTACTAATAATAAGAGCTCGTTCATTTGCAGAGATTTCTGTTTTAATTTACTCCGGTATGGAGTATTCTGCCTCGGGTCATTGCCTTCCCTGGGGACGGAAGACTGTCCTCCCGTTTCTTAGCCTCTCTTGTTCTAGAGTATAGGTATTTTAGGGGCATCTCCACCCAGTGGCAAATGTTACAGGACAATCAGTTGACGGACGAAAAGGGTCGGGTGGTTCTCGAGAACACGAGCGCGAAGTGGAATGAGACAAAAAAAGAAAGGACGGAAAACCACATCACCCAGCTATATTGGCCCAGACGAACCTAGTGCACGCCTAAATGAATCGCGGAAGGATTTGGCATACATGATGCATGTGTTCATTGGTGTGAAAGAGCGGTAAAGGGACAGCTGGCTGCAGGGAGACTCCATCCCCTCCTGAGCGCGAAGCAGATGGCTCGAAGGGGTAATAGTTAATAATATCGAGGACTAACGGGAGGGTCTGAGGGTCTACTCCGGTGTCCTTCAGTACTCCTGAATGCTTTCGAACGACAATGCCTGGGGACTGAAAATGAAGACATGATATCAACCTGCCGAGGAACATCCCACCACCTTCTCTGCTCTGCGCTAGACTCTCTGCGGAATAGTGGACTAACACACTCTGTCCTAGCGGATGACATAATGCGCGCGATCGGCACGGACCCGGGGCTGTGATTGGCCAATGGATGCTGCACCCCGCAGTCGCCGATTTTTCTTATTCTTCGCTGCAACTCAACGGACTCCTGAGGCCACTAAGGCAGAGGTACCGCCTGGTATTCCTTGCCGGCTGCATGCGTGTCCAGTACCTGCAACTACATGTCCCCATCAACCACACTACGCAGTAGGTCGATAGATCCAGAGCCCTTCCCGTCTCGTGCGGTCCATGAAACGATCGACCCTTCATTATGACATTTTCACCTCATGGGTTCCGGGATTATGGCCGGTCAGATTCCCGGCCTCCCTCACCACCACCCAATCCTTCGGGACATAACAATCATCATTTGCTGAGGTTGCCACCGGAAACCCACTCTCCCGCAATCTCCATCCGTCCAGACTACAACCATGGCTCGCGTGATGACGAGGAAGTCACGGCCAATTATTAGATAGCTGACGAACCAGGTGGCCAATTTCAGCGTGGGGTATGGAAACGTGAGCTAGATTGACGCTATTATTGTTCCCGGGACGATTGTGCCGGATTTCTCCAACGGTAAACAAGAACGCCAGTGGTATCAAAAATTGCAAGACCAACCGAAAGGGGGAGAACACGCAAGATCGTGGAAAAATCTAGGTGATTCAAAACAAGAAATTGAGGGAGGGTAAAGAAAAGGAGAAAGGAAAAAGGAAAATCATGTCCCCGGGTATGGCTCGATCTTGGGTGCCGGCGCTGTAGATGCCCTCTGGTTGGACCGCCCCCAAATAGACAGTATCGACTTAGATCGTGCTGGCTTCGGGGGAGAGTTGTTTTGGGGTTCAACTAGTTCTCCCGTTTCGCTCGGCCCATTTATGGGTGTAGCAACGGCCGATTCTCGGGATTGTTCAGCTGCTTTCATTCCTTCGCGGATTTCCGCCGTCGAAGCCCCTTGGGGTGCTGTGGTTGTAGGCGTCTCCGTAGCGCGAATTCGCTGGTCCGAGTCTGTTTGTTCATTGAGCTGCTCGATTTCCGCCTCGGTGACGAGACGCTCATTCTCCAGGCGAACCTCCCGGCCTCGTTTATGACAGTACCACAGGACGAAGAGCAAAACTAGGGGAGGTCCTGTGTTAGCAGACTAAATTCATGGAAGCATTATCGGCTCATCAGTACTTACTAGTTAGGGCCAACGACCAGAGAACATTCATGCCCAATACGGCAGGGAATCGAGCCCGTAAAAAGGCCACGATAGACCGGAGCATTCCCACAATAGCAGCCGGTTTCCCAACCAGTTCTTTCAGGCTGGGCACCTCGATCCCCATCTTGTTGGCGGCAGCTGCAGCTTTGCCCACATTTTCCACGTTTATTCCACTCTTTCCTGCTCTCTCGCTTGCTGCTGCGATGATTTCAGGAGCCAGGCTCTCGGTCCATCGCTCGGGGAGCTTCTCGATAAGCTTCTGTAGGAAGCTAGGGAGCTTGGAGTATGTGCTCTGGAGTTGTTTGTTGCCGTTGGTCAGGAGCATCTCGAGGTCCTGGTAGGCAGTTGGGACACCGTTGATCAGATCCTTAAAGATCAACTTGAACTTGCGCAAGAGCTCCTGGGTCTCGTCGCTGATGGAAATCACTTTGTTGTTGTCGGCCGCCAGGTTCAGTCGCTCCAGGATCTCCGTCATATCCGCCGCGTCTTGCTTCGCCTGGTCATTGGCGGGAAGCTGGGTTTGGGGTTCGCTCGGTGTTTCTGGTCGCGAGTTTTCTTTATTCTAACCATGAAAAATGCATTAACCCGTGTTCTCCCCCTTGATGCTTGACCATGCGATCTGAACGAGACCTACCTTCTGCGTGCTCCTCCGTCGCAGCCAAGTCCATCTCTTTTTCTTCTCTTTCTCTATCGGCGTGGAGTTCTCAGGCTTAGAGGACTGCGAGGCACCACTCGATTGCTTCTGAGCCAATTCCCTTGCCTTGCGCCCTTCTTCGCCAAGCTCTCTGCCAAACTCTTCCACGGGCGACACGGGCGATTGGAGATTCGGCGCGCCGGGTCCCAGAGGACTCACCGGAGAACGCGAACCCGGCGCTTCCCCGGGTGGCGAGACGGCGGGGTTGCTACCATTGCTGCCGTTCTCAGCCATGATGTTCTGCATGAACCTTTCGTCTTCGGCGGTTAAGACAGGATCCTGGACGGGGGGTCTGAACTGCGACGAGCGCCTCCAACTTTTCAGTTGGTTAAACTGCTGCATGTTGAGTGGTAGATTAAATCGTATCTCGTTTTCCAAAGCACATGGGAGTAAGAAATAGAATCAGACAGGAACGTTGTGTGTCGGCACTGGGCTTTGTTGCCGGTCTAGGGGCTGAAGTGGAACGGGCGACGGAACAAAGAGCAGATCGAGGGGTATATTTAAGATCTACTTCCGCAGTAAGGGGAGATCAAGGACCAAGAGGCTAGGAATGGCAAATTATTCGATTATTAAGATGGACATGCATGCAGTATCATGAAACAGGAGTTTTTGCAGCAGGAGATCTCGGGAGAGAGGCTGGGAAATCGAATCCACGGCGCAGCTCTCGCATTCAGGAACTGCGAGCTGATCGACGGGCGCTTTGGCCGATGATGTCACGCTCGAGACACGTGAGGCGCCACTGTTTGTGCACCGCCACGTCTGTCAATCGGGTATAGATCTGCCATTATGATTATTGTCAATATAATTACTCTCGACAGATCAGCTAGTTGGTAATTATACACCACTTCGATGTCTTTGGTGTGGTTTATGCTCTGTTGAGCCTGTTTGTGACCGGGTCGTGTGGACCGTGGTGTTAATTTGGACTTTAACACTGATATATATAGTCTGCGTGGCGGCAATGAAATGGCAATTTATTCTTTTCAATAGTATTTCCCAGAAGCTAAAAACACCGCTATTGCTCTGATGTATCTGTCTGTATTCATAAGAAGCAATACTAACTAAGATGACCTTATAAAGTAACTTGACATACATCATCATGCAGGTATGGCCTTACTCTCACAAAACCAGTCCTTCCGTTCACTTACAAATGGAAGAAAATAGATCTGAATGCAGCAGATATGGCGGTAAACCTTCGAGAATTGAATGACAAGCACCATGTCCAAACCGTGGATTTTAGAATCAACCAAAGAACACGAGGCATCCATCCAGGCCGAAAGTACGAAATCAGGCGGAGATCCTCCAGTCAGCTGCCTGGCCATCACATGATTCGCCCATAGTCATCGATCATCTCATCCTTTGGCTTTCCTTTTCTTTTTCCTCTCCTCACGCTCCCCAGAGTCGACCATCCCCCGCGTACGCATCTCTCCTAACGGCTGTAGGTCCGCGTATGCGAAAGCCTCTTCCCCAGGACGTTGTTCCTTCTCGAAGGAATCGATAGGTCTTCATTCCAATGAAGACTTGCGATTACGAGAAGCTCGTTCTGGGAAAGCTTCCAGGACTCCTCCCCTCATGCGACTTGCATGACTCGGCAGCGTCGCTCTTTTTTCTCGACAAGTTTGTCCGTTCTTTTCCGCTCTTCTGGTTTTTTCTGTCGCTCCTTTGCCTCTATACCTGGTTGTCGCTGGTGTCTTTTCTGACTCAGTCCTTGGACGGGGACGGCGTCAACGTCCACACCATGACGGTCAAGCGCTCATTTATCTCCAAGGATCGAGTCGAGAAATCCTTCAGATCGGCTAAGAAGGCTTTTGGTGGACATGGGCGTGTGAAAGCGAAGAAGATGCAGGAGAGGGCGGACAGTCCGCCACCGGACAGGTAAGTAACTTTTCCTGATACAGTTTCTATATGTGAATCTCGGTTTTAGTTCTTCATATTGTCGCTCTTGTTGGCTTTACTATATCTATTTCAGACCATGTATCAATAATAAACACTAATGTAACTTCCGCCGCTCTAGTCCCCTCATGAGCCCTATAGTCAGCTTGATTGTAGGTCCGGACCAGCGTCTATTCGTGGCCCACGAGGATATCCTGTGCCATTCACCTTTCTTCGCAGCCATGCTCCGGGACCAGTTTGCAGAGAACGCCATGAACATGGCAATAGCCTTACCAGAAGAGTATGTCCTCGTAACTCCCCATGCAGTTAACCCCAAGACCTCAAACCGCTTACCCCAACCAGAGAGCCCGAAATCTTGTCCTGCGTGCTCGAATTCCTCTACAAGGGTGACTACTTCCCCCGTCTGCTCCGCAGCAGGGACAGCAACACCTGGGAACTCGAGCGCGCTCACCCAGACGGTTCTGAATCTGGATCTAGCGAAGCCACCATCTACCTGTCCGACACCGCCGGCCTCGTCCTCCGGGACACGGCGGTGTACTGCGCCGCGGAGAAGTACGGCCTGGAGGGACTGAAGCGGCTCGCGCTGCGCAAGCAGGGCCTCCAGAGCGGCATCCCAATCGACGTGATCCTGCGGTCTGCGCGGTACGCCTACGACAACACGCCGGACTCGGAGTATCGGCTTCGCGCTCACTACCTGGCCATGATCATTCGCACTCGGCATATCTTCAAGAGTAGCGGGACCATGCAGCTGGAGATGGAGTTGGGGCACTCATTCTTTTTTGATCTCTTTGTGGCGATGTGTAATCATATGGATGATCTTGAGATGAGGTTGGTCTATTTATCTTGAACTTGAAATTTGGGATTTTGCTAATTTCGGAAAAAGCGCCAACTCATCTAAGATGACCTAGACACGATCTTCACTTCGCCACAGACCAAACAAGAAAAGAAGAAAAAAAAATCCCAGACATCAGATTGCCATACCACAAAACGTCTGGCTTCGTCTGCTTGCCCTACCCAGAAAACCAAAACTACAAAAAAAGGACAAAACACAACAAACACCCACCAATCAAATCCAAATACCTTCCATTCTCGAGGTTGGCCAACCATTCAATCTAGTATGGTTTGTTCTCAACGAACAAACCATCCCTCATCGCGATTTAATACCAGCTTATTTCATTTGTGATGCGCTTACCTGCTTGCCATCGTCTGCATATCCACTCCTTGAGAAACGAAATGCAATTTGATTTGGGTTCTGGGCTCTGTTTGTTTTACCTGCTGTTGTTTTCCTTCCTGGTTTTTCATCTCTGCTCTGCTCAAGCCACTCCTTCGAACAAACTTGATAAGTGATTATTGACCAGTTATTTGATTGATTTTGGTCTGCACTGCCACTTGCGATTACGGGTTCCGGTTCGTGTACTCTGTCTGTTTCTTGTCTGTTTGTCTGTCTGTCTGATCTAGCTGATTAAATTCCCCTGGATAGACAGATCGGATCAGATCAGATCAGGGAAAGCCAGGTCTACAAACCACCAACCAACCTTGTCCTTAATTCTAGGGGAAATTGACCCATTAGCCAGGAAGATAGTGAGAAAAAGAAGAAACAGATTCGGCCGCCTCATTCTCATTCTTATTCGTTCTGATAGTAGTTCCCGTGTGTACATCCACCCTACCTGGACGAACCAACATCAACATGTCAGACTACCTGTAAATAGATACTGCCTGGAAGCATATACTCTATGCTCAAGGTAGGTAGGTCCACCCAAGTGTGCTAGGTCCATGCAAAACGAAAGGCCCTCGAGCCTATTTCACGAAACAACCTGAATACCCACACAAGACACCAAATCGATAGACAGATAGCACGGATAGAATAGTAAGTATGGTTCAAACAAGCTCGATCTATCAGTGATGGAAAAAGTCATCTCAAGGGCAACCAAAACAAAACAAAACAAACCAAGAACAAAAGAAAGGATACAACCACAACCGCAGACGCCTAGTAATTACAATCCCATAGCCATGCCATGGCAGAGATAAAAAAAATAAGATGAGAGAGGAAATTGAAAAAAAAGAAAAGAAATTCACCTTCTCAAGTAGGCCGACCAACTAGCCAGCAGCCAACTATCAACCGGTCAGTACTGTATAGCTGGATTTCCAAAATATCCATTACCTTATGGATTCAGGGTTCCCTTGCCTTAAACGCCACTGGTATTTAACCTATTTCCCTTCGCTGTACGTGTAACTTGTACTTGCACTGTTCGGACAGTACATCCTCGCGCCATGTCCTTGCACGCCATAAGAGAACAGAAAAAAAAAATGATAAGAAAGATATGAGAGATCAGAAAGATAAACGCCCGATAATGATCAATTGCATCCCGTTCAATCCGTATAAACCCGCAACATGCGGAATAAATCACCCCGTTCGTGCCTTTTTCGTCCGCTCTTGTCCGTAATTGTCGTCGCTGCCTTTGAGGGGATACAAGTGCATGCCCATATCGACGGGGAAGTCCGGATGCAGCAGGCTGAATCGGTTCGGGTTGGTCGGGACGCCGTCCGTCTCGGCGGGAAGGGGCTCCACGAGCAACTGCACCAGATTCTTGTCAAAGTATCCCGACGGTTTGGTGTTCAACCGCTGCAGGCGAGCCCAGTCGTCGTCGACTTCTTCGTTCATCAACGGGGGCAGTGGCGGCGCGCCGTTGTTGCTGGGTCGCGCGTGGTAGTTGGCCAGGATGTTGTACGGCAGGTTCGGACGGACGGCCGGCTTGTCCGACAACTCGGCAAGCGCATTGAGCGCATGGTTGCCATGTCCGCGCGTGGAGCGCGTCGCGTGGTAGTTCTGACTGGCCGTGCGAGCCATATCGGTCGCCGGAGTACCGTTGTCTTCCGCGCCAGTCCCGTCCACCCCGGAGGCATCCTCCGTATCGGTATTGTTGCCGTTCGTCGCCGTGCCGGACGGTTGGTCGCCACCGCGCTTGGAGGTCGAGAAGAAATGAACGGTGGCAACGTGGGCTTGGTTGGCATGAGCACTGAGCTCTTTTTCAGTAAACAGGGAATTAATCGAATACAGAGGCGCCTGCTGCTGTTGGGCCAGCTGCGCCTTGGCGCGCTCGGCCGGGAGAGACGCTGACGTTGCCGCCGCCGCGGTCCCTGCTGCTCCGGCGCCCTCCCGCACAGGCGACCCGACGTCCTCCTCCGGGGCCTTGCGCTTTCTCTTGTTGATCTCAGATATAATGCCATTGCCCAACTCATCCAGATCGACTCGGTGACGAGTGTGACGGGTCTTCCGGTTCCCGTGGATCCCGCCGGGGCTGGCAGGGTTGGTGATGCTGAATTGGTTGGGGTGTAATAGAAGAGCGTTGGTATCGGCGATGTCCAACTGCTCTTTCTCGCGCATCAGACGGGCCCGTTTGCTCGAGATGGCCTGCACGAGTCGTTCGCGGAGTGTGGACGAAAGGTTCTTGTATTCTTCTTCGGCGAAATGCACTCGAAAGGAATACTCACGAGTGAATCGATCCAGGTTACTATCATGTCGATGCTTTACAAAGCGTTAGCTTTTGATCCCGTGACAACAACCTCGTGTCCAAAACCCAAGAGAAAGGACAGAAACAAACTCACCGCCAACATCGTCAGATCCGCATCCTTATCCGCCTTCACCTGATTCACCTCCTGCACAAACCGCGAGTACCACATGCCCGCCAGACTCGCCATCTCCTTGGCGAACTTCCCCCCACCCACGGTATTCTCGATCAACGCGGCGATGTCGTCTGCGGAGTCGGGCAGCGGGCCCGGGGAGTACAGATCGGCATTGTTGATCAGGGTCATATCACACTGCAGAGCATGCAGCTGTTGGCGGAACTGAGTATCCCGATTCTGGCTGAAAGAGGCCGTCAGGTCCTGCAGACGCTCCTGGAGCGCACTGCGCCGTTTGTCTCGCTTGGATAGAGGGACGCTGGTCGGAGGACTTGTCGATCGGCCTCGCGAATGCAGACTATTGAGGAGAGCTGGGCCGCCGTTGCTGGGGCCCGGGGAAGCCGGGGCCGGCGAGTACGCCATTGCTTGTCGAAGAGGGTATACTAGCTGGCTGGCAATGGAGAGGAAGAGGTCCGGCTACCTCGAGAGGGAAGAGGGGGAGAGACAAGAGGGAGGAATAGATGGCTTAGTGTGTCTTTTTGGCAAACGCAGTAGATATTTGCATGAGCAGACAAAGATGGGAACGTAACGGAAGAACCCGCCAAAGAAGCAACCCAGCGAGACGGCAGGGCGAAGGGAAAAAGCCGATGAGAAAGTGAAGAAGTAGAGAATCACAACGGGCAATGGAGCAGAAAGCGGGAATCCAGCCGCGGGCCCGAAAGGGTCTAGCGTCGGGAACATTTTTGACCGCCTTCGTGATGCACATCCAAGGCTTCTGATTGGTGCAGCTCTCCTGACAACTCCGAGGCGCTGGATGCGTGCAAGATCTCTCTGTTCGTGCTACGCATGCTATGGATGCTCTGGATGCTATGGATAAGCATGACACTACAGAATATTACGAGTCTCGAGGCCAAATCATCACCGTCATGTCATCTGTCAGTGTCTTCATTCGGATCGTATATGTCCATGTTCTAAATAAGCCATGCTAGGGTTCATCTCGCTTCAATAACCATAAATCACAAACATCCTGGGTATTTATCCGATGATCAAAGAAATGAAAAATATAAAAGAAACAGCAAAAAAGCCGGTCCGACTTGCATGGACTCCCCCATGTGAACCGAGTTATATATGCCACAATAAAAAGACGCCGCCTGTTCCGCCCGAGCCACCCTTTTTCGCAATCACCATAGTATATCCAATGAAGAGAGGAAGATAAGAAAACCACCAAGCAAATAAAAAAATAATGTAAAAAAAAGGGGGAGGTAGGCCGGAATAAACAGTGACTGGCTTGAGTTGTTCGAACCACCCCGGAATGATCCCTCGGAATACTGTAGACCCGACCGATCATCCCTCTTAAGGCACTCACTCCTTTAGTGGGACCGACGAATCACAAACACCCCGAGTTCAATTCCATCACGAGGCTCGATCTCTTCGCCATAGGGTCGCTTCCGGATTCCATCAAGGATTTCACCCAGCAACATGGCTGACGTCACTTCCTTGTCTTGCAACATATAATTCGTGGTTTGGTTCGACACCGACTTGCTGGCGGGGAGCCGGCGGCCGTTCTGCCAGTACAGGCTGAGCACCTCCTTCATCCGTGTCTTCTCCTGGTGAATATACCACTCGGTCCATACATTGCGATCCGGATGGGCACTGCCTTTCCGGGCATCAGCAATGCTGAACCGCGAGGTCGACGAGCTCAGGCTTTCACATAACTGGGCCAGATTATTTTGCATGGTGTCGAAGTCTTCCATATACGAGACCGAGGCCATCTTGCCCAGATATCGTCCGATATCGGCGGACAGTTCGTTGACCACCACAAGCTGCCGCAGGAGAGGGTCGAGGATGGGCCCTAGATATTGTGACTTAAATGTCGAACCACCCCTTCTTGTGGGGTAGATGAATAATAGCGAGCCGCCATCGGGGGACAGCTCACACAACCGATCCACCAAAAACGACGGTCGGTGGGGTTGGAAAATATCCTTATATTCCTGTGCCGATGATGGCGGGAGATACCGTTCCAGAACCGAGATATGTACACTGAACGGCGGGACGATCGGCATCGGGAAGTGGGAGGCCTTGGGCTTGATAGGGCCTCGGAAATCGTGATAGGCGGATACAACGGCCGCACTGGAGAAGACGGTCGAGTTGAAGTAGTCGTCCGCCGGGAACATGGATCGGGGGGTGTTGGGAGGAGAGCAAGGTAGGTTTGAGAGGCTGAATTGCTCCGGAACGGCGTGGGTGATGTTGATATAGGGCGACTGTCCGTGTTGCAGTCGATGCTGAACGGCTTGGATCAAGCCACCGAAGACATCCTCGCTCGTGGGGACGGATTTATCGGCAGGCCGTGGATAGGGAAGCATTTGCGAGACAATTTTGACGGCTTCACCCCGGGCGTTTGAGTACGGCAACGACGATACTACCGAACAAGTCAGCCAAAACGATTCGAGTCTGCAATAATCGAAAAAAAACCTACCCGCTGCGTCGATACCATTCTCCAACCATGTGTTGTGGTCACAGTCCATTTCACCGGATGACCCCGGGCTTCCTCCCGAGCTGGAAGGCGAGACATTCGACATCTGGTCGGATGGGCTGCCGAGACTATCCGAAGAGGCTCCTGTGGGGGTGTTGTCCATGTTGGGGCCCTCGTCCATGGGCATGGGCCCAGGCTCCCGGGTCATATGAGGTTCGAACAATAACATGCCGGATTTGGGATTCCACGCTATGTTCTCTTCGTCTTCCGGAGGGGTGGGAGGGAGAGTGGCCGGGTAATCGCCTTGGTTCAGATCCCAAACAGTGGAGGAGGACTGGGTTGCTCGAGCCGCCAGCGAACTCGATGCCGTCGAAGAGGAAGAGAAGCGAGGAGGTTCCTCCGATTGCGTCCGCGATTCGATTCGACCGGCGGATTTCGCGGAGAGGCCGAGTTTTTCAAAGGAGGAGAGATGTAGGGAGGCGTTGCTCTTGGAGAGAAACCGAGAGACGGGAGATGGTTTTGTGAGAAGGGATCCTTGGGAAGCTCGCCGTTTCAGTCGGCTTGAGCCCGTGTCCCGGGATGTCGGCGGTTGTGGTTGCAGTGGTTGCGAGGTTTGCTGATCGGGTGAGATAGGGCTTAATTGGTTGGGATCCTGCTGCTCCAGGTTGGTCACGACTCCTTGATGCGAGGAACCGACGCCCCTGGGCAAGTATGAATTCCGGTTGGAAGAAAATTGTGAGTTGGTTGAGTATGGTGAACGCATAGCCGAGAAATCTTGCACCACAAAGTCAGGCCGATATGGTCCATGGCACTGTGACTGATTCATCCAGGCTGCGTTGACGTCTGGGCGAAAGCCGAGAAAGAGAGGGAGAGAGAGAAGAGAGGAAGAGGGAGGAGGGGAAGACGGTGGTGATCTGCAGGACGCCAAACAATTCTCTCCAAATCACAAGAGTCGAGCCACGGTGATGATCTGGCAATGACAGCCAAGTTCCTCCAAAGCCGTTTTTTTTTTGGATGGGTCGGATAGAGGAGGAAGACAAGCGGATATGATCGAACAGGGAAGAGAGGATTGTGCCAGTCGAGAAGGTTTGGGGGGAGAGAGAACAGCACGAGACGGAAAAGGTGTATATTAATCGCGGGAGGTCGGGCGACGGATGGAGCAGGGTTAAAGAGTCAGACGGCCGGTCGGGGGAAAAGCGAGAGCGAGTGGATGTGGCTTGAGTAAAAAAAGAGGACAGACGAGACGGCGCGGCAGGAAGAGAGAGGAACGAGAGGGAAAAAGAAGTGGAGGTTTGGGATGATAATGATGATACAGTGGGGAAAGACCAGGGAGATTGGAAGGGAAGAGGGAAGGGAAGAAGCTTCGAGGCCAAAAGTTGGACGGAAAGGTGTAAAATCGGGGGGCCAACAAGAGCGAGGAAAGCGACGAGAGCAGCAGAGCGCCAGTTACTAGTAGCAGCAGCAGAAAGAATGACGCCCAGGAAAAGGCGTTGACCCAAGGAGGGCAGAACCTGAAGGGCGAGAGGCCTCGGGCTGCGACTTTCCACCGGCGTTCTAGACCGGGCGGGCTTGGCCTGATTGGGGAATCCATGACACGAGGACCGGTCGGGAGTCACCATCTGCTGGGTGCATTGTGCGCAGTACCGTATTTTTCTTTTTGATTTTATTCATTCATTTTATTCTCGTCTCTCTCCATTCACTATCCTGTAGTATTTTATTTGATGAACATTCTCTATTTATTTGATGAATATTTTATATGGCAGCATTCATTCTGTCTGCCAATCCTTCCAGCCTGGCGACTCGAAATACGATGATCCAACAACGGGGACCCAATGCTAGTCATAGGCCCCTCCGACTTGTCTAGGCCTTCCATAGTGGCTGATCGGGGCTGGGTCGTGTCCGAAAGACCCAGCGATACCGTAACGGGCATTACACGGACCTTTTTTTTTTTTTTTCCTTCTTTCCTTTTTGTCTTTTTTGCCCCCTCCCAAACCCAGACCGCAGAGAGCAGAACGAGAGAAGGAAAAAAAAAAAAAAAAAAAAAAAAAAGACCCACCACCGCCTCGGCCTGACTGGAATAGGATCGATGGACCCTTGGAAATGGGAAGGCCGTTTGACAGGTTAGGGAAATTGGGGGGAAAGCCCGTTTGGAATAAATGAGGATGATTTCGACGATGATGAATTCGGCGGGGTGGAAAATCCAATCCTAAGGAATGAGTTTAATGGCATGATTGACACCCCTCGGGGTGGACAGCGAAGATGATCATCCTGGTGACAGACAGGCCGATAGATATGTGCCTTTGGTCGAGTGGCCAAAGCAGGCAAAGCAGGTACCAACACGACGAAAGAAAAAAAAAAAAAAAGAAAAAAAAGGAAAAAACCGGCAGGTGGAAAATCCCGCCTCTCCCTACGCATGGGGATCTGGTAAGGTATTCTTAGTTACATTGACATACCTGCTTTCCGCCGATCAGCGCCATCAGCGCCTCCTTCGAACGCCATCGCCGCCAAATGACTGATCCATATCATCCAGACAAAGAAACTCGGTCGGTCGTACAACTGGATTATAATCATCGCCAGCGTTATTGCCGACTAGTTTCCTGACGGTGTCGGTCGCAGAGGATGTGGGCGAGCTGAGGAATCCCGGAAAATAGTCCCTGACCCAATCACTAGTTTGCTGGCCGCATGGAATTGACTGACCCAGATATAATCAAACGACAGGGAGAGAAAAAAAAAGAAAAGAAAAAAGGCGGTCACTACGCGGTTCTCCGTAAAAAGAGTAAATAGTATCAATAGCGTACAAACTAGGTGCTCCGCTCAATGTAAATTGATCCCTACGTCAGTCTCGCTGGACCTTCACTACTGATGCTTCTATCCCGTCATTCTGTCTCCTGCCTCCTGTCTCAGGGTTCAGGGTTGTCAGACTCATGTAGATGTCCTGTACCCTGTAGGATGACGATGTCTCCAGGGAGAGTCTAGAATCTTCGCTTCGGAATCAGCCAGATAAAACACATTGGCAAATCAGCCGGCTCGGCTGGTTTTGACAGGGACCAAGAAAAGATAACCATAATCCTTTAAGCGTCAGGGTTTAATTTATTTAGCTGTACATATCTCCAACCTTCGTGCTGTACAATACCTGTCCTCCGTCGCCTCGGTAGACTACTACTAGGTAACTTCGCCGACTCCCAGCTCCTCCGTAATAATCAGAAAAAGCCCGCCCAGAGCGCCCGAAAACATGAGAAACGGAGGGAAAGAATGGACTGACGTCGACCACTCCATCCCTCACAGTCATGGGTCCCGCGAAAAGGGCAAAAAAATCGCCCTCTTGCCGGCGTGATTGGCTGTTATCCACCCAATAAGTTGCATCGCCCGATCAGAACCCACAGCCCTTTTCCGGTCCGGATTGACGTCTAGACCCTGCTCCGTGCTGCCGAAGGGGGGGAGGATCCGCCTTTTTGGATCTGTCGGGCCTTTGCACTGAGGGCCCTTTTTTATTTTTTTCCCTTCCTTCTGCCAGTGCCGACTCTCGCTGTCTCCAATTTTCTGGGTTCTGGTCTGGACTTTCAATTTCCATGAGGATGGGTTGGGTTGCCTTTCTGGCGGTGAGGTATTAATATTAATATGAATATGATTATGAATGAATATTCATAATCATATTCAGATGATGGCAGGCCCCTCACTCGGCGGACATTAATTTCCAGACGAAGCCTGCGTCAGTATTCTCACCACCGAGATTAATCTCGACAGCCGTGGAAAGTAAGGCCAGGTCACACACAAATCGTGACCCACGGCAGATCCGGAGGTTTCCTTCTTTGTCTTTGAGCCTCGATTCGGCCTTAGTTTCATGCATGTCTAGTGGGCTTCGGTAAGGACGATATTACTACGGTGGTCCTGGTGGTCCCGGGAGTATGTATCTACACCAGTGTGGTGGATGATGGATATACTCCGTCCTCGTAGGAAGAGCCCGCCCTGTGGTCGTACTCGTAGAGCACTCCCTCTCGCCAGCGGGATCTGGGATCTGGGATCTCTCCTGTCGACTCGGGCAGGACTCCCTCCTCTCCGCCCGTCCTGTCTATGTCAGGTAGGAGTAAGGCCACCACCAGGAGCATGTACGCAGTATGCAACTCCTTCTACACGGAGGATGTACCACCACCACTACCACCACCTCCCCTCTTGGGCAGAGCGACCGTTGTCCTCTTTGGGCAACATGCATGCAGCCAGTGGCTTTACGTGGTTCTGTTATTTTCCTTACACATCAATTCACGGAAACACCCTTCGTAGTAAACATCCCAGCCTATCAAATGGGACTCTGGGGAAAGGAAGGCAGAGGTGGGGGAGAAGAGGTGTCCGCGTACGTAGTCACAGTATGGTTTTGATTGCTTTTTCCCCCCCAATTTCTCCACGTCCACAGGGTGCGGTGGGAGTGGAAGTAGGTAAGTAATCTCCATACTGGTAAGTTTTCTTTATCCTTTTGGACCTTTTCGTTCTGGATATTAAATGAATCTCGCGCCTCCCAAACCCAGCCCCAATGCTTATCCCACAACCTCATTTAAAGTCGATCGATGACTATAAACCTTCGTCGGGGTCTTTCCATCCAGCGCGATGGAACTCATCTCAGCTTATTTCCCATAGGACACCTCTGTTTGCTTTGCGGCGCAATCTTATACAGGCGCAGTCTCCATGGGTCAGGTAGAGTCTGGCAAGCCACCCGTTCGAATTGGAAGAAGAAGGGGCAAAAAACTGAAAATACAACCAATAAACAAAATAATAAACAGGAAAGAAAAAAAAAAAAAGCAATCCACGGAGGAAAAACCTCGTTTCTCGCCTCTCACATCATCAAACAAAACCTCCCTCATCTTCAAAACAACCACGCCCATGAATCAAAGGAGAAAGGAGAAACCCCCGAAGCGAAACGGTTTGCCATCTGAGTTGAGTTTCACTTCCATCATGGGCAGCCTGACCCCTCTTCCATTGTCTGCGTATGTTTCTTCCCGGAGTTCTTCCAGGAAATCCCACGGAGTAGAGAAAACGGTGGGCTCAAAACCTGTTCTTCCTATCCCCCTTCACCAACCACTATCATCATCGATCAGCGGCGTGATCCAGATGACCAAGAAGGAACCCGCCTGATTGGGGTCTTCTCCCCGCTTCTGCTTTTCAGGGTTTGGTTCCTTCTACAGTATACGCACTTACCTCTCTGTCTTCTTACATGTTATCCTCCAAGTACGGGACTGTCAGTAGTTACTGCGTACTCCTAGATGTAATACTAATAACATCCACCTTACTAGATACATACAATCCATGCAGGCGTTCCCGTGTCTCCACTTTGCCTTGTCTCAAATAGACAAGGGTCGGTCGGTACAAGTCTTAGGAGGTAGTCGACTTTACTACGACTGGAACTAGGAGTGGTGAGCGGTCGGTCGGTCGGTCGCTTGCAGTTGTCTTCAGTCTGTTTATTTAGTATTTACTCCGCTAGTGTTAGTGTTCGGTACTGCGTGTCGCCCTGTCCTGTCGGTGGTTACTGGCCACTGGTTAGTGGGTGGTGGGTTTGGTTAGGGCTGGGTTTTGTTTGTGTGGGGGTTGTTTTTTGTTTTTGTTTCTGGTTCTGGTAGGGAAGTGAGAGAGGTGGTTCCAGGCTCGTCTGGTTCTAGGGGACGGACTGGTTTTTGGGTCGTCTTCGGCACTGTCCACTGTTGTTTTTACTTTTCACTTGTTCTATTGCTAGTTGCGAACTTTATCTATACATGGACTATGGGGGATGTGTTGTAGCACCGTGTCAATACTCTCTTACATCTTCGTCTTACAAAGAAAAGAAAGGAGAAAAGGCGATCTGGCTTCGATCGCACTCGCACTCGCAAGTGTGATTGGTCTTCGATGGAATGTTTTCTTTTTTCGTCACTGTCGATCGCAGAGTCTCGACTGCTGCCGATTCGAGTAGGTGATGGGCGTTGGCCACACCGTTCCGGAGGACGGAGGTCCTGTGACGGCCTGACGGGCAGATTGAGATTCAGGATCGATCGATCTGGCGAGATCATACATAGGGAATTATAGTGGAGAGAGGATACAGAATAATGTGAATGCAATGTTCAATGCCAATCTATGTCTAAGTTCTATTCGCTATCAAATGCCGTCTGTCATGGCATCCATCTCGATCTCTACCAACATCCTTGCATCCACAAACCCATCCCGCACCACCACCATGGTCGCGACCGCTCCCACCCCTGGATGGCGCGCCCGCCCCAGAATCTCCGAAAACCCCTCCCCAACCGCCGCGCAGTCCTCGGGTCGACTGACAAACATCCTGACTCGCACCACGCTCTCTGCCCCCTTGCCGCCTAGGGCCTGGATGGCTTGGATGCATTCGCTCAGCGCCACGCGCGTCTGCTGGCGTGCGTCGCCTGGAAAGAGGATCTGCGGGGCATCGCTGGGTGACGTCGGGTCGATGGCCGTGGTGCCGGAGACGAAGATGTGCTGCCCGTGTCGAACGGCTCGGTAGTAGCCGATTTTCTCCTCGAAGGGAGACGACGTTGCGAAGCATTGCTTGGAGGGTTGAGGGGTGGTGAGCGTGTGGGTGACGCCTCGGTCGGTGGGGGAGGTCATCGTTGCTGCTTGTTCGGTCTTTGAACGGTGGGACAGAAGTGGTCAATGAATCCTAGCATGTACGACCACGGTTGTAGTCCTAGAGATTCGGCAACTGTCCACCAGGCAGCCATTATAAGAAGAAACAGCATTGGCTATGAGTCATGCCAAGCTTGACTCGATCGCTTAGCTCGTATTTCGGATTCGGGAAGCGCCAGCCGTTATGCAGCATCCGGGATCTCTGGGAGATCTTCCGTTTGAATCCTGGTCAAACGTTTCGAATAATCCAGGAACCCTGGGCAATCCAGGGAAGGTAAGTACCACTGACATCGCTGACGTGCAATTGCCGAAGTATTTATGCAGTTTTGTCACCAAGACTTGGATACCATCGATCCAAGCCGCGTCCTCAAGAATATTAAGAGGTGACGGATCTTCGGCGGGGATCGCCATGTCGGCGGGCATGGAACCGTTGGGGACGGTCACTCCAATATGATTGCATGCAGCGGTTGACCGAGATTTTGGAAAACCGTCGCTGTTCTTCGGTGGTCATCACCGAGTGCTTCTGCGCACAGCTGGAGACCTTCACCGCGACGGGGTGCAGGTGCTGCTGGCGCGAGGAGTAATGCACGCTCGCGTTGTACAAGGTCTGGGACTGGAGCGACTTGCGGTCCAGGGCGGTGCGGAGCTCCAGGCACTGCAGCACCAGCTGCTTCACGCCGTCGGTCAGCGCACAGGCGCGGTACTCGATATCCGGCCAGAAGTCGTCGCCCCAGAACGGATCCTCGCGCACGGCAGATTCCAGGGCCTCGAACCAGAAGTCGAAGCTAGGCAACCGTCGCTTGGCGTTGAGAAGGTCTAGGCCCTGCAGATGGTCCGACAGGAGACAAGCCACCGCAACGAACCGGATCGTGGGCTCCGAATGCAGGACGTGCAACGCGATACAGGCGGGGCATCGTTCAGTCATGTACCAGTCATGCTCCTCGCGAAGGATACAGTGCAGCCAGGCGTAGGCACTTCGGGCTTCTCCGCGGAAGGCGCGCTCGGGCTCTGTTCCTCGGTGACTGGGTAGCACGTTGGCGGCGACACGCGAAGCTTGGTTGTGGAGTAGAAACAAGGGGAGGAGAATGGTGTGGATGATGTCGCGGTGCAGGCGGAAGGTTTCCTGCTCATCCTCGGAGCACGAGTGACGGTGGAAGGCACAAAAGCTACCGAGCGAACAAAGGTTAGCGATCGAATGCGCCGACCGGGAGGTCACAAGGGAGGTCCGAATAACCTACCTGGGAGCGTCCATTCCCATCTCCTGGCGCTTTAGATGCTCTCGAACAGCCTTGAAAGCCTCATTGCGGTCGAGTCTCTCTCCGTCCGATCGGGAGATCCGAAACGGCGAAAACGTGTTGTCCGTGGACATGGCGACGGGCCAATTGGGAGGTGGCGTGGCGAAGGGGATGGAGGGGACCCCTGAAGCTTAAGAGCGACGAAGTATAAAGGAGAAAAGGATAATTTTAATTACAGTCGACCCCAGGCGACGGGCGTGGAGCAGAAGTGGGAAAAAAACGCCTCCCCGATGCAGCAGAGAGAATCAAGTGACGTCGAGGACGACAGGCGACGGAGGCCGACCAATCAATTGGAGCAGTGGAGGTGCAGAGTGGTCGAGATGCGGGCAAGCACGAGAACCACGGATGGCATGGTCCAGAAGAGGCGATTGGGGGCGAAAACAGGCTGAAGAAACGAAGCAGCGAGGAAGAGAATCGGGACCGGGGGAGGGGACGGCGGCCGTATTAAAATATTAAGTTATTGGAAGGTTATCCAGAAGAAGAATAATTATTATTATTATAATAAAAAGGAGACGAGTCCAGACTCTGGCTGGAAGCGTACGTGTGCCAAATGGTTTAATTAGCAATTTTAGCCCGGGGGGACTTACGTTAGTCCTCCCAGACCCGCGAAATGAGAAAACCGGGCAGCGTCGAATCCCGTTTGCACGCATGCGGTGGGAGGCCCCGTCATCCACGCAAGCCCCGTCGATCCTTTTTTTAGTTTTCTGCTGCTCTTCTCCCGGCGCCCGCAGAGAAAAAGGAGCACCGTTACATCCCCGGCCCCTCCCTTCCCCTTTTCATTTTGATTAAATCATCTCCGTCACGACGGAGTACATACTAAATAGTGATAGACTTCGTTTGACGTGGGATTCGAATAGATTTGGGCGTCAGGGCTAGACTTGGCGAGGGAAGCCCTACGGCTGCTCCTTTATCTTCCCCTCTCGATAATTTCAATAAAAAATGAATTTAAAAAAAAATAATGCAGAATAATATTAATCTAAATCCTGCTTCCCCCCTTTTCGCGGCCCTAACGTGACCCTAACGTGACAACGACTGTCCCTCCTCCTCACCGGGAGCCAATCGTAATTATCGTGGGGTGGGGCTCCCCAGGGTCTCGATCGTTGCCAAGAACGTCGCCCATTGCGTTATTGCGGCCCCGATAACCGCCAGAATGGCCTCCTCATTGGCTCTGCTATGCGAGAAGTGACCGTGTGACGAAAGTGACCGCGGAGTGCCTGCAGATCGGCGCTGGTGCCGGTTCCCTGATACCCTGATCAGCATCAAATAGTCGGATCGCGTCCGTGTTGGGCTGCAATGGAAGCGAGCATCGGAGAGGGTTACCTTTGGACCGGGTATGGCCACAACCGGCGAGTATGGGAAGGACGTGGTGCACCCTCATAGATCTTATACTATATATAATTATATACTCCGGAAGCTATTGAACCCTTGCGGCGACACCAACATTTCTATATATCACTCCCGCATATTCAACGATGAAACAAGCCACCCCGGGACATTCAATCAATTCATCATTTCGATCAGCGGTGGTCCCTCCGCAGGGTCAAAAAGACGTCAGTGGGTAGAGATTAGAGGCTAGAAAAAATAAGTACGGGATCGGCCTGAAAACTACTAGCCTGAGAACAAGTCTCCTTTGACCTGTCCATAAGGACTTTGGTTCTGCTCCGTAGTCAACGCATACTCCCTAGTAGGACGAGGGATAAAGAAGCCAATCGGCTCACCCACTATACAATACCTAGAAATAACCCCCTATACAGAGTATGCTGCACTAATTCCAATAGTCGGTTCAATCTGATCATTGTGATCACTTGCTTGGTCTATTGTCATATGCATGAACTATAGACACCTGCATTGGTTAGAAAGGCTGCCCAATCCTCTCCGGAACGGTGTTGATTTTTTTTTTGTTGGTATATACCTGCCGATCCGGGTTTAGCGTGCTCGTGACTGACCCAGCCCTTACGGCTGGATCTTCTCTCCCAATCACTTCATCCACCTGCATCTTATCAAAACCATCGGAAAATAGTCAGGGCCTTTCATTTTATACCTGCTCTCTTAGACCCAGCAGCGCGGTTCAAGATCACGGTGCGCATGCATTCCTCATGCCTCCATCTATCCCTTGATTCTCACCCGCAACATTCCTCTCTTCCCCTCCCCCAGCAATAGCGTCACAGTCCTCCCAATGGCTTGGACCCCAGATCTCTATCCCTTCGTCAGCCCTGTTGCTGCACGATGGAACGGGTAGCATTCCTCATAAGCAATGCGCTTGACGTCACTTTCGCCTGGGGAACCCTACCAGCATACATGCCGGCGTTACAGAAGAAACGGTATCTGGTATGGCTGGGACAGGGACAACGTCCTGGATACCACGAGATGTGATCTGTGGTGTTGCAGTTGACTATTAAATGTGTGTTCTGCATCGATTGGATTTTTCCTGATTCTACTAGCAATCCACAGCTGCTGTGCAGTCGGTCAATCTATCACTATTCTATATTTGGCACTCAACCCAATCTAGCCTTTGGGTACTCTTTTAGCCTCCCTTGTCACATCCTACTATAGAAAACCACATCAAGATGCTGCCAGCATGGTCTTGGTCTGCAGCCTCCCTGCTGCTGGGCAGCTTGCATGTCCGGGGCGCAGATGCTATTGGACCCATCACCCCGGTGGGATCCAAGTTCTTCCATGAAGACGGAACACAATATTATATCAAAGGTGCATACATACAGATTTCCACTCCTCCATTCTCCAGAATCCACTGACCAACACCCCATTCTAGGCGTCGCCTACCAGCTCACGCCCGAAGACCCCCTCGTCAACACAGATCAATGCGAGCGCGACATCGCGCGCATGGCCGAATTGGGCACCAACGCCATCCGGGTCTATCATGTGGATCCCGATGCCGACCATGACGGCTGCATGAACGCACTTGCAGATGCAGGCATCTACCTGTTCGTCGATCTGGAGACGTTCGACACCGCCATCCGAACGGTTCGTCTGGTCCCGTGCGCAGCAATAAAGAAAACCTTGAAAACTGACCTATCCACAGGATGACCCGCAATGGACCCGATCGCAGTTCGACAGTTACACAGCCGTGCTGGACGAATTCCAGCAGTACAACAACACGGCCGGCGTCTTCATTGGCAACGAAGTCATCACGGCGCCGGATAACTCGGCTGCCGCGCCCTTCGTGCTCGCCGCCGCGCGCGACATCAAATCCTACCGCAACGAAAACCACTACCGCCAGATCCCCGTCGGCTACGCGGCCGCCGACATCGCCGAGCTGCGTCCCATGCTGCAGAACTACATGGCCTGTCGCCCCGACGCCGCCGACCGCCTGGACTTCTTCTCCCTCAACGCCTACGAATGGTGCGGCGACTCCTCCTACGAGGAGTCCGGCTACCGCAGGCTCCAGCACCAGGCCGCCGACTTCCCCATCCCCATCTTCTTCTCCGAGACCGGCTGCAACGTCGCCCGCCCGCGCCTCTTCACCGACCAATCCGCCATCTTCTCCGAGCCCATGTCCGACACCTGGTCCGGCTCCATCATCTACGAATGGATCCAGGAGACAAACGACTACGGCCTGATCACTTACGACGACGACGACGACACCGTCACCCCCGACGCCGGTCCCAACAACAACGCCCCCGTCGCCCTCGACGGCTTCGCCCGCCAAGGCGCGCCCAACCGCGTCGCGCCGGACTTCGACAACCTCAAATCCCAATGGGCCACGCTGAATCCTACCGGCGTCTTCCTCTCCGACTACATCCAGTCCACGGCGGCCATCTCTCCGCCGGAATGCCCCGCCTCCACGCCGGGCGGCTGGGCCGTCGACCCGAACGCCCCGCTGCCCACGCTGCAGGATACCTTCCACACCGCGGCGCCGACGGTCCCGTCTGCCACTCGATTCCCGTCCATCACCGTCTCGTCGGGCGCCGGTGCTGGCGCTGGCTCCTCGCCGACTCCCACGGCGTCGTTTTCGCCCCTGTCGCCGTCTTCCTTCTCCGCTACCTCGTTCAATTACACCCTCAGTAACGCTGGCAGCGCTGTCGCCGTGCCTGGACAGGGCTTCGGGCTCGCCCGGCTGGCGGATGGGTTCGTGGTGTTTGGTGCGGTGGTGGGCGCGTTGGCGGTTTGGTTGTAAGCCTACCTGTCTGCCTGTCTGGTCTTTCCTACATTGCTTGTCCTTGACAAGGAGGGAATGAATCAGTGATGTTTTAACGGCTGTCTTGTGTATGTTTCCATATCCTGTTTCTTTTTTGGGGTTTTGTCTATGGCGCAGGGCGAGCGCTTCTTGCTTGATTATGTTGTTGATTGGTTTGCTTCGTATTCGGATTCGGCTTCGGATTCGGAGGAATGGAGAGAGAAAAGGCAAACCGGGACTGGTGCTGGTGCTGGTTCACCGCGAATTGGATATTGGCTATTGGCTTAGATGGCATGTCTGTCTGCTTTCAGTAGAAAATAGACCAAAGACAATCTATGCATGTATGTAAAGTAGATAAATAAATGAGATGAAATGCAGCTCCATGCAGTGTGTTCTTATTAGTGAGTGGGTCTATCTGGTAGGTAGTCTATCTTATCTAGCCAACTAGCAATGGAGGGAAAAAATAAAAATAAATGAAAAATAATCAATGTCTCGGAGAGGATAAACTCTCAACCTCACGATGAACAGTCCTATTTGTTAGCCAATTGCGCCCCCGAGACGGATTGTTGATGTTGCTGAAAATGCTGAGCATATCTCAACGTTTGGTGTTTTAAATGGTCTGTTGGCGCTCCTGTCTCCCGGCCTAACATCAAATAGTACTTGAAACTTTTGATTTATTTAAGTATCACGGATATTAGAGGGCAAATAGAACTGGTATACAACGGCTGATGGGGAAGGAAAGAGAGAGAGAGGGATCAGACAGGCGCTGTCCTGGATTGAAAAGAAATGTATAAGCGGACTCGATGTACAACCGACCATGGCAGTGCTGGTAGAGATGAGCAATAACGCACCCCCAACAGGGTCCATGACAAACAAAAAATGAAAAGTAGATGGGTACTAAAATGGACGCCAAGGGTATTCACCAGGGGAGATAGAAAATAGAATAAGAACGTACATGCATACATACATGGACATAGCATAGCACAGGAACATGCAGTATGACCAGTCCGATAAGAGTACAAAAATTGACCAGAGTTGAACAACAAATCTGCATGCAGCAGCACGAAGATAGATGACTGCTCAACCCCGAAGCGTAAAGCTATAATCCCAAGCTGGATCGTTGACCGCCGCCGGGCTCAACGCTTGGTCGGGATCTCGCCAGGGCTGATCGGACTCACTTGTGTACCCGGCGCTCTCTGGATCGGTGTCACTGTTCTGGTAGCCGTCGAAACAGAAATTGAAGTTGGCCATGGATGCGGCTGGGGACGGGTATAGACTGTCGGATCCGCCCGGGTCGACGACGGATTGGTCGTGAACTATCAGATGTTTGCTCGGCGAGGCGGGCGCGGGTGTCGCTGATTTCGAGGGAACATCGAGTATGTGATGCGCTGGGCCATCCGTCTCTGTGAGCTTTCTCCCAGGCAGTGCGCTCTTGGATCGTTTCGTGGCGAGATGGAGATGGGACGAGCAGTGTAAGTTGGCCACGCCGCTTAGTTGTCGGATTGCGGACGAAAAGCAGTGGTCAACCTGGGAGGCTGACGGACGATCGGCTGGGTCTTTGCTCAGCATGGCTCGTGACATGGAAAGCATGGCCCGGACGGCCTGGAAGACGGGGCTCTTCTGCTTCTTTGAGTCCTGGTCTAATAGTGTGATCCAGGAGGTGACCTGGGCCATGTTCCGATCTAGGTGAAATGAGCAGTCCGCAACGCCTCCTCCACGACCGGCAGTCCGGTTCTTGGCCCCGCGGTGATGGACGAATGAGGATATCTTGCGTTTGCAAAGATGGGTGAAGATATCCACGGTGACCGCGCCGAGAGAGAAAATGTCTGATGCCTCCGGATTGGTTTGACGGGACTGCCAGGTGTGTACCACTGCGGCGTTGGAGTGCGCAAGCGGCAGGCTGACCGGACCTAGAGGAGCCTGGTGCGAAGAAGAGCCCGATGAGTTGGATGAGGTGATCGAAGGAGTGTAAAAGATGGGCCGTTTCACGGAAGATATAACGCGCTTTCGAGCGCTTCCGTCGCTTGACCCGGATGAGGAAGAAGGCCCAAAAGAAAATCGAGACGGAGAGCCCGGAGATACGACTCGGATGGCAGTTCCTTGTGAGAGAATGGACTCTGGCCGCGAGTCCGCAACGTCGTGATCCGCTTGATGCGATCCTTTGAGCATGCCGAAGCTGAGTCTGGATGGCCGAGATGACTGTTTGCGAACCGTGCGTCCACCAGATGGCAAGGGTGCCCGAGAGGGTCCACTATCCTGCACAGTGGCGGAGCGAACCCAACGTTCCGGAGCGCCATACTGATACGACTCAACATCGTCGATCTTCACCGGAGGTAGCAAAGTGTCCAGGGCCTCGAATTGACCCAGGAAGATTCTATAGTCCGCGTCGACGAAGATGTTAGACGGTCGAATGCCGCCGTGCACCTGGTTATGTGCATGTAGCCACGATAACCCATTCGCCAGGCAATGCGGCCAGTTGAGTAGTATCTCTCGACGTTGTTCTTTGGACAGGCGCTTGAATTGCTGGGGCACGTCCGTAAGAAAAGACATCAGAGTGCGTTCGTAGATGCCGGAAAAGAGAATGCAGACTGTATTGTCGACAAAATATGATCCGTATATCGAATAGACATGCTCGTGGGATAGCCTTTTCAGCGAGCGAACCTCTTCGAGGACCTCGTCTTCCTCGAAAAAATGCGGTGGCCCTCCCACTGTGACTTGCGTTCGCAAATACACCCGACAAACAGACCCGGCTAGGACCACCCTTTCCACTCCATCCCTCGCCAGGGCTGTGCCGGTTCGGAGCAACTCCACCGGGACGCCCTCGTTCTCCGTATATTTTACATGTTCCCCTTCGTCGATACCACGAACGACAAACCGCCACTGCGCAAGAAAGAACTTGGAGTCCAACGCGGGGTCCTCCGTGTCTGGGGATAAATGAAGACGGTCGACGCTGTGGGCCGCAATGGGCAGATCGGAGTCATCAAGCGACTCTTCCACCAAGGCGAAGATTCGCTCGGGGATCCCGATGTCAACGAGAATCAGGAAGAGTCTTCCCGCTTTGGCGAGAATCCATTCGAGGTAGGTCTCGCTCGTTAATCCCTCACCCCATGGCAACGGAGTCACGAGACGGTGCAGGATGTTGGAGGGCAGATGGTTGAAGATGTACTCCGAGCTTAGAGTGGCTTGGATCCTATCCTCGGGCCACCAGAGTGACGTTATGACCGACATCGTGTACACATGGCGAACCGGGCCGACGAGAGAAGAGGGTTCCGGCCGAAGGGAGAACCGAGTTTAATATACTGCTAGATAGAGGAAAGCTGATGGTATCTTTGTTTCTTCCGCAGGACTAGTTGTAAGCTAAAACACGCGCTGCTCCTTGCGGCTGTCAAAACGATTAATCTGGGCTAGGTTGGATCATCAGAAAGCCCATGAAAGTATAAAACAGTGACAAGACGGGGAAAACATGGAGATCGAGGACTCAGGACCGGAAAGACGGAGGGGACTGAACCTACTAGTGGACACGAGGCTTATCAGACATCCAGTAAGGGATACTTGCGGAATTATTGACAATCCAATCAATAGTAGTGAGGCATTGCAGACAGCCTCTTAGAATCCATAGGAAGAGGAGACGAAGAGGGGGGAAGGGAGCTGGGTTCCTTCATAGCGCGTCCCACAGTTCTCTCACTCTGTACGACCCGAGCAATTGGCAACGGACTTGGAGTGGCCATGCGGAAATCCAAGATTGGGCAACGCCGGCTTAGTTTCATGGCATCGCAGGAAACCAGGGTCGACGGGCCAGTGCGATGCTATTATGAGACGACAGCCTGATAAGCGACAGGGATCTCCATCAGCGTGACAACGGTCCTTGCAGGGGAAGCTCCGGACGGAAGCCGACGAAAAGGGATAGACACGCCGTTAGGTCAGTGGAGATTGGAGGCCGAGGTGGATAGATCACAAAAGCCGATGGAGACGGACGCATCATCGATGGAGGATAAGAATAACTCGTCGTGGAAATTGGAAAGGGAGAGAGAGACGCCCAATGAGGATACGCCGGCAACGTGATCCATCACGGGGATTCTCTCTCTCTCTCTCTCTCTTCGTCTTCATTATTTGGTCCCTTGTGAGCCATCATTCTCCCACCCATGCCGATCAGAATGGGCATTGTACTTCTGTTCGAATGCACATCATCCGAACAATACTCGATAGCTCCTGCAGGCTTATCAGTGACAGCTGAAAGGCCGCTATTGCCATTAGTCACGGCCGAGACAGAGATAAGGCCACCGGACCAGTCGTCGTCACTACCCACAGCCTTGGGACCGAGGAAATGATCGAACTGCAGAACAGAACCCGGGAACTCTCAGGATCCCAAGCATCCAAAAATGATCCTTCTCTTATCGTGTCTTTGCCCCTCTTCTCGGTGCTCTCCGTTCCGCCGGGTTACCGCTGGGGAAGCTGATAGTGACATGCGATATTCAATTGGAAAAAAGAAAAAAGGATAAACAGAGAATGTGATTTCAGGATCAGGCCGTGGGGGAACAGATTCCTGCTGGCCACTATCTCCCAATATTCCCTGTCAGTGCTCGACCGGACCTACTCGGGGATATCTCTTTCGATCCTCGATAAAGATGCCTCACCAAGTGGGCTTGAGGATCTTGATCCACGGTTCATGAGAAGTGGGACAGCCTGCCATGTTTTCTGATCGATCCTTCTTCTCTTACTCCATGATGTCGAAAGAGATAGATCCAAAGCCTACAATTCCAGGAAAGTTCAATGTCCATGCAACCCAGGATCTATTGAGGCATTGCGGAAATATCAATCGTAGCCATGCACAGGTGGCTTGCATTTCCTTAAGCCTCCGGTTTCTCTTTAATTAGGCCTCGTTAGTTAGTTCGGGGGGCGTGATAAGGTCTTTTGGTCTGCGGATGACTCGCGCGGCCGATGGAAAAAGAAACAATGCGATGGTTGATAAGACATGCCTTTTTCATGTGTCTTTTGGAGAGAATATTGGATTCTTCATGCGAGTATATACTTTCCTAGTTAATCCCCTCCTACCCACTTCATGCAGGCAAATAAATAGACCCCATACAATATTCGTCCCAGCAACCGACCTCGGTTCAATCCTTTTCACCAAATCATATTCACAAAAGAAAGAAAAACAAAAGAATGAATCAAAGAACCCATCAAAAGAAGGACCAGCCTTCCAATGTCCCTCCTCCCCCCCTATGTAGTCCCCTGCCTCCTCAGCCTCCTTCGCAATCGACTCTCTCCGTGACTCGGACTCGAAAACGACTGTCGCCTGTGCTGCTCATCGCTCGAACGTCGCCGATCCCACGACTTGCGAAACAGCTGCTGCTCATCATCCTGCTGTTTGGCGCGCTGGTGCAGGAAGCCTTCATGCGCTTCTTTTTCCTCCGTTAGGGCTTTGATCTATGCTTGGTTAGTCTTTCATCCTTTCTCAGCTCTCTTTCTCTTTCTCTTCTAGACAGATTCAAACAAAAGGTTGAAAAAAAGAAGGAAAAGTACAACCCACATAAACCAACCAAACCTCTTGCTCCGAGCTCCACGCCTTCTGACACCGCGCCAGCTCGCGCTCCGCGATCGCAAGATCGCGTTCCTGCCGCCTCGTCCACCGACACCGATGGCTTAGAATACTCGCCCAACTGACGACGCGCACCAGGCCTGCCCGACTGCTGGCCCCGACGCCGAGGGGATGCAGGTCCCGGTTTAGGTCCAGGTCCAGCGCGCTTTCGTTCACCGCCACCTCGGAATCGCAGTCCGAGTCCGAGTCTGAGTCGCAGGCCGAGGCGCTGAAGAGCGAGGGGCTGCCGCTGTCGTCACCGACATTGTTGACTGTGACGGTGACTCTGCCATCACTAGCAGGGGGAAGAGGAGGGAGAGGGAAAGCAGCAGTCCCGCTGGGGATGTGGTATTCGTTGTGGCAGTGGACGCTGCAGTAGTCGATCTCGACGGATTTGCCCTTCCAGGGTCGGGTGCGGGTTCGGGGGAGGAAGGATAGGCGGAGGATGTTTTTGAGGGGATGCATTTTCTTTTCTTTTTCCTTACAAGGGTAATATAAGGTAGGTGGTATGTATGTGTGTATGTAGGTGCTAGGTTCGAAAGTGAGGAAGAAGGCAAGGCAAGGCTGAGTTGCGATGTGATATCCGAGGATTGGTATCCCTTATATACCACCTCATTTCTACGGCTTAACTGACAGTCTGAAAGTAAGTTCCTCTCGTATACAGATAAATCAAAAATTCACTAACCAACTGACTAGTGAGTCCACGGTTCACGCCATCGCCATCCACCCACCATACAGATGAGGCATCAAGATCAGGTTAGGCGTCACGTCTCTCCATTCTCATCCATCAGGCTCAGGCTGGCTCGACTCTCTCCGACATCCCTCTCAAACAGGCTAAGTGTCACCGTGCCATGCAGCACGCGAGTTTCTGTTTGGCTGACGTTCCGAAAACCTGCAGCTCGGTCGAAACCGCAATGTGACCGTTCCCTTTCTTCTGCCGGAGTGGGAACCCAGCATTGGAGCGCTGTGGGTTCAAGCCGGGCCTGGACGAATAGACAGGCAAGAACTGGCACGGTTTATTTTTCTTCCCTGCCAGCGCAAGAGACTGGATCCCGGGAGCACGAAAACGTGGCGGCAAACCCGGTCTCATGGGGATGCAGTGTCGGGATGTTCGTTGTCGGGATGGACATGGTTGAGTCTGGTAGGTTTTTGGGCGTGTCTGAGGCCTGAATTGATGGGTTTGGAGCAAGGATGGGGTTGTTGCAATGTAGGAGGTTTAGTTATGGAGCTGTCCTCGTCAAGCAGTGTGGTTCTCTATGCCTACCTAGTCAACGCGTGAAGCACGAGGTCACGTTTCTCGATCGAACTCCTAATGAAAACTACTGGGAAGCGCCCCTTGGCGAGGTTGTAAATCGGGCCGAAAAGAAAAAAAACCACTGAATAGGTCACATTTGCTGCATGAACCAGTGATGCAGTGGCGGTCCACTCAGGAAGACTAGTATAAACATGAATAATTCCTCTCGCCGCTGACTCATAAACACCCAATCAATTCCTAGAACACCCTGACCCAAAAATGAAAACCCAAGGGGAATCATACATCAGATAACAATAGCCAAATCTATACAAAGCTGCCAAAATATTAAGAGACCAGACTGTGGGACTCGCCAACCCAACCAGCAGGATCCCGTCTATTGGGTTCATCAGCCCGCGATGACCCGCGAACATGGAACACTCAATAGTAAAAGTAAGCCACACTGGGTCTGTGCCAAAACAGGACCAGTAGACTCGAGTTTCTCGCACCAAAGAGGAAGCTGGGGTTGGAAGACCAAGTTCAACAAAAAAGCAAAACCAAAGGTGACTAGTGCAGTCCGATCAGTCAGCGCCACGATCTGGTCGCCGTGGCCCTGCTTCTCGAAGACTCTGCTCCCCACGGTCCTTTATGCATCCCGGCCTTCCTCTCTTTTCGGATCTCTTCACCAATAATGATACTGATCAGTCTTCGGTGCACATCGGCTTCCGTCCAGCCGACTTGGCCGGTGCCGCCAGCCTGTAAGTCGGCCTTGGCCAGCTCTTGCACGAATCGGTCGATGATCGCAAACTGGCGCTCGGTGATAGGAACCCCGTGCACCCCGTCTGAAGTCCAGATCCAGTCACCTATAATTCCAGTACGCTGGGCAGAGGAGTGGTAGGGAAACCGCTCGGGATAACTTTTCGCGAGGCGATAGAGACGACGCAGAAACGCGTAGTGATCGTCGGAAAAATACCCAGAGACAGCCAATGGAAACGGACGTTCGTATGTGTCACCCTTCGTACCCACGTCTGGAGATGCATGTTCGTGGTCAAGCATCTGGCCAGGGCGAGGCGTGGCAGAGCTGTGTCGTTCATGACTTGCCCTGGCAACTTGATACGGCGGTCTTGGCGTCTCTTCCATTTCTTGGTTGTCTTGGATTTCCCCGTCAGGTTCATCGTCAACTTCACCAGCGAATGACGCTGGTTCAACAGGAAGCTCCTCGTCTTCTTCCTCCTCATCCTCCTCCTTGTCTTCGGGCGCTACTGCTGCCGCCTCTGCCTCTTCGGCCTGCTCCGGTTCCTCGTCTTCGGAACTCTCTTCACGTACAGGGGGACTAGGTCGCTTTGGCGATCTCCTTATTGGTGCTTTCAGCCATCCGGGCGTGAGACTAGCGATTCTTCGAAACAAGGATGATGCCGGTAACTCAGCACTAGCGGGTGGACGCTCCGGAGTGATGCCATGTGTCTCGTGAGCTGACGGTTGGTCGGTTACGGCGGCATCGGGAATACCCTCGTTTCCACGTTCGTCTCGTTGCGCGAGAGCGAGTTGCCAAGCGTTCTCATGTCTTGTGGTTGGGTCAACTTGGAAAGCCTCGTCGTCGGACAACCTAGGACTAGACGCCAGAAAGCCATCCGACTGGAGCTCGTTTTCGGGTACGTATCCATGGACATCGTCGTCATGTTGGGACGCTTTGGTCGATGGGGAGCTCTGTGCAGGTCTGCGTTTGGCAGCGCTCATAGGACTGCTCGTCCCTTGATAATAGCGCGACCGTCTTGGGGTATTCTCTGCGCGATAAAGATTTGAAAGATCGACGTCCTGCTCACGCAGTTGTCTCACTCGCGACTGGCCGAGAAAGGGTACTTTTTCACGTTTAGTGATCCAGTAGTCCGGCGACGATTCGCCTTGCTCCCCCGGTGTAGTGGTCAGGTCATTTTTCCACGGACTAGATCCCTGGCCAGCAGCCATGTCATTTTGCTTGCCGTATGTGGCAGGCGAACGGTGAGAATGGGCGCTCTGGTTATGTGCTTCTTGCTGCCAGATGTCTTCATCGTCATCATCTTCTTCAGAACCACCATATTGATCTTGATCTTGATGTTGGTCCTCGTGCCCGTCCTGATCCTGAGCCAGGTCAGGGTATTGAACGTCATTTACATCCTGGTCTTGGCCTGGATCCCGATACTGATCCTCATTTGTGCCCCGTGCCAGATCAAAACCCCGATCAGACTCGTCATTGGAATCCGGACCTAGATCAAGCTCCCGATAATGGTCATAGTCATCGTTATCAACTCCCAGATCCAGGTCCCGGTAATATTGATCATCCATTATATCCAGGCCCTGAGACGGGCTCTGGTGCGGATGCTCAGATTCAGGTTCATGATGCTCATGTAGATCCTCTTCTTGATTCGGATCTTGATGATACTGATCGTGGTCTTGATCCTGAAACTGGTATTCATCTTGATACCTGCCTGGACTTTGGTCTTGGTAATGGCCATTGAGCTGGTCGTCATAGTGATTTTGATCCACGGCATCAACACCATCGTCAGAAAAATCATCCGCTGGATCCGCGAGTGCCTCAAAAGGCGCGGCCCGATCGAACTCGGGCTCCTGGTCCTGCTCTTGCTCGACCGATGGCTCGCGTGCATCATACTCACTATCAGGGCCCCGAGACCCACCATCGTCACTATCGATGACTATGACTTGGCTCGTGTTGGCCATTTGAATCTCCCGACTGATCGCCTCCCGCTCCTTCTGCCATTCTTCCATTCGTCGTTTCATCATAGTGCTCGGTGACTGAGGTCTTCTGTTGCTGTTTATTTGCTGTAGCGGGGTCGCAGAAGGTTGTGCAGAGTCTCGTCCCTTTGCTCGCGGTGTGTCCATCGTCGGCGATTTCGTGGCCTTCCGAGGTCTGGCTGTTTCCTTCTCCGCTTGCCTTTTCCTCCTGGCCAGCTCATGTCCGAATCGAAGGGCGCCACGGAGTTCATGATGCATTTCGGGATTGAAGCTGCTGAAAAGGATCTCCATGCGCTTTCGAGATGCGTTCATATCGGAGACCTGGTCACCCGAATTCGGAATATGCGGGGTCGCCATGATGCCTGGCGACTCGTATGCATGCCTCATGGTACCCTCGAGTGCAACACCCAAGCGGATCATTCTCGCCAGTCTAGATAATGGGCCTTTCTGGATCGTAGACTTGGGCGCTGACGTTGCAGGCGGCGATAGGCTCTTGGCTGGCTTGGGCTTGCCACTTGATGATCCTGGCTTGTGACTAGATTGTCGAGAGTGCCTCGTTCGTGGCTCCTTCGATGACTGCCTCGTTCGTAGCTCCTTTGACGACTGCCTAGATCGTGGATTTGATCCGGCATCTGATTCTTGTTTGCTAGTCTTTCGTTGTAGAGACCCAATGGTATCTTGATTCCAGACGCGCCTGAGAGCGCTTTTACCAATCTTGGAATCCCCATTCCCCTCAAGGCCATGTTGCTTTGCCGAGGGTAACGTGTCCAAAGAAACCATGCTGAATCCCTCGCTCTCGATGATGGAGTCGAATTCTCTTTGTTCATCCGTCGGGCCGTCTGTGGGATGTGATTCGTCTTGTCGCAGATCGCCGTTTGTTGTCGGGTTGTCCGACGGGGCCGATTCTCGCTTCTCCTCGTCCAAGGACGAGGCGGTGGGGGTAGGGTAAGTGCGAGGTGGCATGGGTGTATGGCCGGCATAGAGGGTATTGTCAGGGGAGATGATTTTTCTCTCGTGGGACGGAGACGGCATCTTCGAGGGAGTTGAGCCCCAGTGGCCACTTCCGTTGGCCATGTACGGTTCATCTGGCGAATCGACATGCGGCGTATCGAAGGTCTGCTCGAATCGCACTCGCGGCGAGCTTCGATTCTCCTGAGCGGCGGGATGCTCCTGGGCGGGGTTTTCGAATGGAGCACCGTAATCTACGTCGGGTAGATCGTCGTCGTCAGAATCAGCGTCTGCAGCCATGTTCAAAGGGCTGAAGCTTTGCTCGGGTTCAGCGATAGGGGCTGGACCAAACTCTTGGGTCCTGCGATCCCCAGCGTCCTGAGCATCCTGAATTATTGGCGCTTCTGGAATTTCCTGAATATCGTGTATATCCCCAATTTGCTCATTCTGATTGTCTTGAACGTCCTGAATATCATGGTCTTCCTGCATTTCCTGAATATCACGCATTGAAACCTCCGGGGGACTCGTATGCTCTGTCTCGGCGAGATTCCAGACTGGCGTATGTTTCCTCGGTCGGCCGCGTTTCCTCTTTTGCCCACTCGCGCCTACGGGGCCAGGGGTGTGTCCGGGACTGCCGGGGATCGGAGTCGCATCCTGCGCGATGAGATCCGATTTCCGAGGACGACCCCTGCGCCTTCGCGGGGTCTCCTCCACCGACGCCTCCTCCCCCTTCAGCGGTATCTTCGTGGTGGTGGTGGTCGAGGGCCGTAGCCGTTTGCGCGGGCTGTCGACCGCCATTTCGTCTTCGTCCTGCGTCGCCTCCAGCGTTACACGAATCCTCCACGGGCTCCCATTCCCGTCGATTGGCCCCTTGTCCGGCGACAGCGACATCTGCCCTCCATCTACCTTCATGGACGGCGAGGCGGGGAGCAAAACATCGTCGAAACGGATGGAGTGGGCGCTGCGACCGCCGGGAGTGAAGCTTGCGCGTGGGCGGGAGCCGGATCGCGGTGTTTGCAGCAGTTTGAAGTTGGCGGGCGACATGGCGCTCTGGCGGCCGGTGAAGGGCTTGATCGGCGAGGAAATCAAATATTCGGCGTCGCCAGGGGTCCCAAGAATGTCGGGAGAAGAGGCTGAGCTTTGGCTGTACATAGCGGTATGCCACGGGGGGATGCGATTCATGGGAGGGGCGGAGGAACCCCCGACCGCGTCTCGTCGATTAAAGTTGATTGAGCCGGCACAGCGAGTGCAATCAGGCGAGTTGGGACATTGTCCCAAAGCAAGGTAGTCCAATTAGCAGAGAAATCAAGTAGACCAAGAGGAGTAACCAAGAGAAAGCTGATAGCAGATGGCGGGGAAGCACAACAACATCGCATGTCCAAACAACTCTCCCGATGCGGCAGGCCGCGATGGATTACGTCAGCGCGGGATAATGTTGCTCCGGTCCGAGTGTTATGGAGGCGGAGAGAGACCAAGTGTGCACTTTCCCCGGATTCCAGACTGGGTTCAGTAGGAGTTACTCGAGTACCACGGCGAAGTCCCAGTTATCGAGGATGAACCATGAAAGCATACAGACAGGTCCCCATGCCTCTGGGGTCCATACCTCTGATTCGGTCCAATTCCTGAATCAAACTCAACTAGGCACATGCATACAGCAGCAGCACAGAGATAATTTCCCCGAGAAAATCCCTGGTGGCCTGAGGACGGCACCGTGGAACCGTGACTGGCGGCGGATGGGACTTCCACCGGCCAGTTGGTGCCTGAAAGTTTCTCCCAGCCACCTGACCGCGGGGAGGGAATCCTCCGCAATTGCCTCATCGGCTGTCAGAAAGGAATCCTACTACGGAAAGAAAGGAATCCTACCGAAGGCACTACGCCGTAAGAAAGGAGGATCTTCCCCGCAATCCGAACTTCCCATCCCCCACTGAGAATTGCCCCGTCAGGACTAGCGCCATCGCCGGCAGCCGCGTGGCTGGACGTCCTCCGATTCTTTGTCTCTCCAGTACGGAGTATTCGACCAGTACTCGACTCCTCGACCCCAGCTCATCCCGCCACCGAGGTCACTCCAAGAATTGGCATTCGGCCCAATTCCCACCGCATCCCGGACCTCCATTCCCTAGTGGCGGACGGGCCCATTCTCCAACCCCTGTTCTCGACTCTGGATCCCGTCATCCCTGAGCTTGTTGGCAGTTACACGCGCACTAGACCTCCTAGTCTCTGGCGACATTCACTCGGTGCTCCACTGTCTCTGTTCACTGTTGGCTCGGATAATTCACCACCCCGTCCCAATTGAACTCAACGCAACGCCATTGTCCGTTGGTTCCTGCGCCCTGGTTCCCACCCCCGCTTGCTGGTCAGGCGGTCGTCATGAGGTAGAGGGGAAAAATATTTTTTATTTTTTTTTTCTGTATAATATATAAGCCGTGCTATGCTTCCTCCCTCCGCCTCTCCCAGCCAGGGTTCCTCTCTCTGTCCGACCCGCTTCTTCTCCCCGCGCTTCTTCTACGTCTACTGCTTGATCTTCCTGTCCATCACTGCTCTCATCGGAGTCAAGATGCATCTGAAAAACTACCTCCCCGTCGCCCTTCTCGGGGTGTCGGCGCTGGCTCAATCCCCGACCCCCTCGCCCTCCGCAGACCCCTTCAAGGTCTACACCATCAGCGCCGCCAACATCACCGCCAAAGTGATCCCCTACGGCGCGCGTCTGACCTCGCTGCTGGTGCCAGACCGGCACGGTAAACCGCAGGACATCGTCGTGGGCTACGACGACCCCAAGGACTACCTGAAAGACACCAAGACCAACCACACCTTCTTCGGCGCCGTCGTCGGCCGCTACGCCAACCGCATCAAGAACGGCACCTTCGAGGTCGACTCGACCAAGTACCAGATCGCCACCAATGAGAACGGCGGCGCCGACACCCTCCACGGCGGCATCGTCGGCTACGACGCCCGCAACTGGACCGTCACCTCGCACACCAACTCCTCCGTCACCTTCACCCTGCACGACCGCGGCCTGGAGAAGTTCCCCGGCGAGGTCATCACCCACGCCGTCTTCGCCGTCGACAGCACCCCCTCCGCCGACAACCCGGCCGGTCTGCCCCAGCTCACCACCAAGCTGATCTCCCTGGCCCTGACGCAGACCACCCCCATCATGCTCTCCAACCACATCTACTGGAACCTGAACGCCTTCCAGAAGCCCACCATCCTCAACGACACCTTCCTGCAGCTGCCCCTATCCCAGCGCCTCATCGGCACCGACGGCATCCTCATCCCCAACGGCACCATCCTCGGCGTCGACGCCTACAAGGGCAGCCCCGACTTCACCCAGGGGAAGCTCGTCGGCCGCGACCTCAAGAACGCCCAGGGGCTCTGCGGCGACGACTGCACCGGCTACGACAACTGCTTCGTCGTCGACCGCCCAGCCCAGTCCGCCGCCTCCAACTCCGTGGTCCCCGTCCTGCGCGCCAACTCCTCCGCCACCGGCATCAGCCTCGAGGTTGCCACCAACCAGCAGGCCGTCCAGATCTACTCCTGCAACGGCCAGAACGGCACCATCCCCATCAAGCCGTCGCAGGCCAAGAAGAACAAGGACGCCAAGATCGACGGCGCCAAGGCCGTCAACAAGTACGGCTGCCTGGTCATCGAGCCCGAGGGCTGGATCGACGGCATCAATAACCCCGAGTGGGGCCAGCTGGGCGATCAGGTCTTTTCGCCGGAGAGCGCGCCGGCGGTCAATTGGGCGACGTACAGGTTCGGGACGGTTTGAGGATCGGTCTGGATGAAGGAGCAAAGGACTTGGACTTGGTCTGGAAGACTACTAATGATTTTCACTTCGCATTGTCTTTTATTTTGAGCGTTCTCAGCTACTCCGTGTACATACTCGTCGTTTGTCAATAATAGGGCTAGCAATTGAGGACTTTAATTCATGGTACTACTAGTCGGGTATCATTTCTATCATCGGGACCTGCACAAATCACAAGGAATGAATAAACACGTCCATCTCCCTGTCTCGTCTCTCCATCTGCCACTTTACATTCCAGAAAGATCCATCACATCAACAGGCCATTCAACCCCACCCAGCCAACGTCCAACTCGACCGATCCCCACCGGAGCGCAAGCCGGACCGTCGATCGGCGGCATGGCCATGCGATTCCAAGTCCCGGCTGGCTCCCGAAAGACCCTGTTGGAGGTACTTCTCTCGCTCGATCTCGACCAATCCGCGAACCTTGAGGCTGGAGACGAGACTGGCCCCGGCCCAGGGCCCGAGGGACTCGACCTCGCGCAGGACGCCCTGGATCTGCGGCTTGGTGTCCTTGTCTTTGTTGTTGCGGCGAATCTTCTGCTCGATGTGGTCGATCTCTTCTTCGTTTTCGGGATCTTCGTCTTGGCTAACAGGACGGGGCGAATTTTCGCGGTCAGGGGTTTCTGTAGGTGGGGGAGTTGATGAGATTTGTTGCTGGCTGAGTCGCAGGTCTTGCAGCTTCTGTCGCTGCTGTTCGATGACCTTGCCTCGCACCGGACTCCAGCCGTACCGATCGACGAGGAAGGCGACTTCGTCGAGAACCCGGCGTCGGATTCCCGGGATGTGAGACCCGCCGCCGACAAACACGATGCGCGACATACAGGTGCCTCGCGCATCGGGCGGCAGATCCAAGAGGGCATTGTAGACCAGCAACGGGACTGGTTTCTCCTCGTCGTCCAAATCGCAATCGGCCGCGTCCTCCGCGAAGAGAACCTTCTCCACCGGCTCTGCGAACGTGCCGAACGGAACGTCAATATAATCCGAGCTCGGGCTCGACGGCGACGGAATCGACACGATCCTCTCCTCTACCGGAGTCGCTTCATCCTCGTGGCTGGATTCCTTGGCCTCTCGAGGCTTGCACCAGGCAAACCTGCTCACCAGTTCCTCGCAGTATTCGAAATCCACCGTAATCTCATCCGACGCTCCTCCCGCCGACGAAAGACGAGTCATCGCCCTCCCCGTCTCCTGCAGCAGCGCCTTCATGGCTCTCGTGCTCCGCCGGGTCGTGATCTCACGGTACTCATACACGCCATTGACGACGGTCTCGCCCCATCCGAGATCGACCACCAGCGCCGAGCGCACTCCGGCCGCGGTGGTCGTCACCACGGGGCTCTGCAGCAGCGTGATGCTTGGGAACCGCCAGCGGCCAAACAGCGTCGACAGGACCGACGACAGCAGCGGATGCGGCAGGACCGACGGCAGGACCAGAACCAGCCGGGACGTGCCCGCGTCCGTCAACAGGTACTTATTATACGTCTCGCGGAACATGCGCTCGATCTTGTCCTCCACCAGGCCGAGGTCCACGTCGCGCAGATCCATCTTCCACAGCTCATACCGCCCCGTCCAGTCCTCCGGCGTGCGAGCCAGCGGACCCGACCCATCATCATCACTGCCCCCCTTCACCCAACCTCTGTAATCGCCCGCGCGTCTGCAATCTTCGGGGCCGCAGCCGACGACGCACACGGGGGCGCTGTCGCCCTCGAACCCGGCGCGGAGCCACCGCGCCCCGAACTCGAAGATGATGGCATCTTCTTCGCCGCGGAACGACGAGCTGGCGGACGAGGTGCTCGCGAAGGAGGAGTTGTTGGACCGCAGCTGGTGCTGCGGCGTGGACGGGCGCCCGGACTGGCTGTGTCGGAAACTCATGGATAATCGTGGATTGTGGGGGATGGGACGCTGGTCATCGAATGTGGGCGACGTAACGGTACTGGTCATATCTTGGGGGATCAGCGATTCAGGACTACCCCGGACTGCGTCGGGTTGGGCGCGTAGTTCGATTCAATTCAATTCAATTCAAGAACACGGAGGATCGGAGACGGGTGATGGACGGACGTGGGCGGGCAACGCGCGAATCATACTGTAACCATGCTGGTTCCCATGGGCGCTCAAGGACTGAATGAATTAATTCATGCCGATGATCGGGGCAATCAGTGAATTAGAATAGTCGATTAAGTCAAAGTCTCGCCGGCAGAAGGTAGTCGGAGAGCGCAGACAAGGAAGTGGAAGCAACGAGGACGACCGGATCTTCATCGGGCCGTCGCATCAATTCATCGGCGTCAACAAACCAACCAAAACAACAAGTCCAGCCAACGTGGTGTCTCCACAACTGTCCTGCAACGGAGTGCAGATTGGGTTTTTGGTGTTTTTTTTCTGGTTTTTGCGAAATCCGCCCGGATGGGGATCCCTGGGTAAGTGTGGCTGTTGTGGTGTCGGGAGTCCTGGATATATATCCGTACTTTACACCCTCTGTCAACCGCTCTCAACTCACCAACCCACTCGTTCTGCCGGACAAGTCACTAATGTCAACAGACTTATCAATGCGATCGGCACTGGCGAACGCATTTCCCTGTCCAGATTGGCCGTGAACCACCTGGAGCGAACAGCACGGCCGATCCGAATCGCGGTGGACATTTCGATATGGCTTTTCCAGGTGCAAGCCGGGCGAGGCGGCACGAACCCCGAACTACGCACGTTATTCTATAGACTGCTGAAGCTGCTCGCCCTGCCTATTCATCCGCTGTTCGTGTACGACGGGAAAGAGAAGCCGCCGTTCAAGAGAGGCAAGGCCTCGGGAGGCAGCGCCGGGAACCTCCCGATCATCCGCCTGTCCAAGGTCCTAGTGGATCTCTTCAAGTTTCCACGGCACGATGCTCCGGGGGAGGCAGAGGCAGAATGCGCGAGACTGCAGACCGCAGGGGTCGTGGACGCCGTGATGAGTAACGATGTCGACGCGTTGATGTTTGGGTCTTCGTGGACGGTGATGAATTTCTCGAAGGAGAGTGGGAGCGGGACGACGGCTGCGACGCATGTCACTTGCTACCGGATGGGCGATGGGGAGAAGAATCCGTCAGTTGCCAAGCTCGATCGCGCTGGGATGATCTTGTTTGCGATGCTGAGTGGTGGCGATTACCTGCCGTCGGGGGTTCCCAAGTGCGGGAACAAGTTGGCTGCGGAAATCGCGAGAGCTGGATTTGGGGCAGATCTTTTGGAAATCATCAATTCGAACAGGGCTAGTCTCGAAACGCAGCTGAGCGAATGGAGAGAGCGGCTCCAGTACGAGCTGGAGGAGAACGAAAGCGGTTATTTCACCACGAAGCACAAGGCGGTTCGAGTGCCGGAGTCGTTCCCGGATAAGACGATTCTCTCGTACTACGCCAAACCCGTGGTGTCTACACAGTCCGACATATCAAGTCTACGCAGCCGCCTGGTGAATGCATGGGATCAGGATCTCAACCCCCTGGAATTGAGAACATTCGCAGCGAATGCGTTCGAGTGGAACTATCGCTCTGGGGCCAGGAAGATGATCAGGCTACTGGCTGAGCCTCTCGTCTCGTATCGACTTCGCCTGGGAAAACCACCCTCCGCATTTGCGGATAATGAGCCGAAACTCTCGGATGTCGATGCGCCGATGCTTCAGAAAGTGTACAAAAGCCGAACAAGCTTTAGCACGGACGGATTAACGGAACTGCAGTTAGACTTTGTTCCCATCGACGTTGTTGGCTTGGATCTGTTCGCCGAAGAACCTAACCCCCCGCTCCCTTCGCAGGAAACGACGGCCAACGTGTCAGGCGATGAAGAGGACGCTCTGGAAGAGCCTGCTGCGCCCCAGTCGCCTGTAAAGAAGCGCGTGACGAAGCGATACGACCCTCTTGCTTCGGAGAAGATCTGGATCTTCGAAACTCTAGCCTCGATAGGCATTCCGCAGGTGGTGCAAAACTGGAAAAAAGAAGAGGCTGAGAAGTCGGCGCCAAAGAAGCCAGCCGGCCGGAAGACAGGACCGAGGAAAAAGGGACCAATTGATCCGGGCATGAAGCGAGGAAGCATCCTCAAATACGGAACCCTCACCAAGGAGCGCTCGGAGATCTCTCAGTTCAGGAACGCTTCACTCCTCGAGGCTGCTGTCTCGGGAACACCATCGAAGAATGGCTCGTCGACGCCTGGGCAGGCCAGTGGCTCGACCGCACCTTCTGGAACGTCGTATGGCAACGATTTTGGCTTTCGAATGCCGGCATTTGACCAGGATCTCGGATTCGACGACCTCACCGATAGGTTCTCCTTATTCTGCAATGTCTCACCTGATGCAGGCATCAAGCGACACCCGCTGATGAACCGGTCTCGTGGGCCAGGGCAGCGGAGAGCCGTTGCGCCTGGTGCTGAGGTAGAAGTCCTGGACATCATCGATTCAGAGCCTTTGGATTGCTCTCCACCGGCAGCCACCCCTCGACTTCGAATGAGCTACTCAAATTCCAGTTATGAGGAGCTATCGCTAGCAGATAGCACAGCGAATGCTGCGCATTCATCCTCTCCTGACCACACGGCTCGCCGCCCCAAGTCGAAACCCGCTCGATCGAAGCACCAAGAATCTTCCGAGGTGCAGGAGCTAGAACAAGCCGTATCATCAATCATTCTCGAAGATATCGACGGCAGCCCGAAAAAGAGCACCAAACCTCGCTCGCGTCGTTCGAAGATCGAACCAAGCATCCCCAAGAAAGAGTGCAAAGAGGCCAAATCCACCCCCGATCCATCAGACCACCCCACCCCATCCACAAAATCCAGCCCCTCTCGTGTCCAGGATCTTTTGGAAAAAGCGTCCCTTGACATGCCTTCTCTGCGAAAACAGCAACGCAAGAACACGCCCTCGAGCACGCAGGAATCCGACGCCAAACCATCAACCTTTCAACCAAAAACCACCACACCAGCCACCTCGAGTCGTGAAGCCCCTGCTACAGTTTCACACGTGGACTCGATCGTCGCGTGCGATGGGTACTGGACCGTTGACGCTGATCCGGAATCCGAGCTGGTCTCGAACGGCAAGAAGGGCGGTGCAAAGCAGCGCTTTCGACGCGTTAGCGTCTTGGATTTGACGTGATTGGCCGTATTTGAAAGTCTGGAGGTCTCTAGGTAGACCAGATGTGCATAATATTGGCGATTTCTTTTAGGCGTTGGGTGGATGATTCATCTGGAGTTTTATTTATTTCTTTCTTCTTTTTTACCCCCGTCCCTCATAGTATCGTATCGGTTGGATCCTTACCTTTCTCTACATACCTAATTATATCCAATACATACATACCTCTTCGAGCATATGCCCATGGTCCTGGGTAAATATAGATATAGTAGACGGGTCATGATTACCTGACGAGTTGCATGTCCCTCTTATGCACGATTGATGATTCTTCAAAGAACCATCTACGCTAATTCATTGTAGACTACCAATTCAATTATCTATTCTTTCCTATCCTTTCTATCTACCTATCTATCAAAGAGAACCAAGAAAGACAAAACAAAACAATAAAACCCAGCATGACGCGCCATAGCTAACCAGCCTGTCCAACCTAGCCTAACCATCCCATCCGGTTAATTTGATCCATGGTATTATGAGCGAAGAAAGTGCAAGAAGGAAAAGTAAAAAGAAGAAAAGAGAAACAGTTACCGTTAGAGGTAACATTAGACAGGGGTTCGGGTGGTATGGTGTGGTAGAATATGAGCAAGAAGAGCCAAAAAGAGGAGTCAGTGGAAGGAAAGCGTATGTGTTTGTTTGTTTAATAGGTGTAGACATAAGTAATAAGAATGGAAACGGCCTGGCCCTGATTGTTTAGTTATTGGACAGGGCCAAGAGAGTGGGAGAGTGGTATATTTGACCAAAAGGATGAGATTATTATCGAGGGTATATGAATAACGGGAAAAGGAAATATGAAAGGGAAGAAAGAGAGCCAAGGACGAGAGATGACCCATCCCCTCCGGTGTTGTATTTATGATCCTCCTATGTGGTCTCAAGACAGTAATGTGCAATGCAATGTACAAGGGAATCAATCGAATCGAATCAAAACGCCAGAAAAGAGAAGAGAGAAGGAGGGGGGGGGGGGGGGGGGGGGAGGAAAACGAAAAGAAAGTATTGTTCTATCCACTCTTAGCCAAAAACCTTCAGGAAACCCCAGAGTCCAACTCCACTCAAAATGGGGATGGTGAAGTTGTCATCCCAGCCGAACAGGTCCACGAACTCGCTTCCGGCAGCAACAAGGCCGGAGACGACGCTCATGACGCCCAAGGCCAAGGGACCCGTGATGACGGCTTGAGAAGTGTCGGCTGTCCAGCCGATAAGACCCTTGATCGAGTCTGGGATGAGGTTCAGACGACCGGTGAACATGAAGGCGTCTTCGGGGTCGTTGGGGAACGGGCCAACATGGGGCACGAAGTAGCCCCAGAAGGCAGCGGCAGTGATGACGCCGACTAACCAGGCACTCAGGGTACCGGCGAAGCTCTTTCCCTTGCGCAGGGAGAAGGTGTAGCGGCCATAAAGACGACCGAATGTGGAGGCGGCAGTGTCGCACCAACTGAGCAGAAGGACGCCCATGACGCCGACGTCCTTGGGGAAAAAGCGCAGGACGGTGTAGGCGCCCAGCAGGTACCAGATCACACCGTTGTATCCCGAAACTTCAGTTTCGCGCATCAGGGCTCCGACGCAGCGGATGTAGAGCTTGTTGACTGTTTCCGAGCGATGGCGGATCAGATCGGTTGCGGCGATCGGCACGAGTGCGGAGAACAACCATGGGGTGATCTGCAGGGTTTGTATCCCGCGACTGTATAGGTGGAGAGTCAGGAAACCGATCGACACGTGAAGGAGCTTCCGTGGAATCTCATGGCGATGGATGAAACTGCGGTACCGCGCATGAAGTGGGATCAGACCCAGGGGCGAAGGTGATCGAGAGATTTCGTGCAAGACACCGTCGACCTTGGTAGCGATTGGTGACAGATAACCGTTGGTCTTTCCTTGTCCATTCGTCTTTTGGTCCGGGTTGTCTGCCGGCATCATTGGATTTGACTTCCTCTTGCGCTGACGGGCCGATCCCGTCGCATTCTTCGGTTTGCGACTGGGGGTTCGCGAACGATTCAGCTCTGGATCCGAGTCATCGTTATCCTCCTCCACGACCTCCCCTAAGCGCTGTCGCCGTGCTGCGGAGCGGGTTGTCGGACCGGCATATCCGTCTCGGGAGGTTGACCGAGTTTCTGAGGGCGCAGGCGAAGGAGAAATGACTCGCGGAGTCTCCGGGATGGCATCTTGGGAGGAAGACATGTCGACCCTGAACGCGAAGGGCGGAAGGATCGGTCTCTGGACTAGCCCAGATAGAGGCCGCTGGCGCAGAGACAGGCGATCACAGGCAAGGATGCCGGAAAATAAAAAGTGATCTGCTTCGAACGACGCAATGGTGGGCGATTTTTATCGAGGAAGACGTTCCACAGGACGAAGGAGGGGGATCAACAAATAGGTGAACTATTGATGCGAAAGAGGACTGGGGGACAAGTTATAGATACAGCCGCGCATCACGTTCAAAATATAGACAGCAGAAATCGGCATAGCACGCAGAGCCCGAGTGGCAGTGGAGGCGACGAGTCTGGCAGGTTCTCGCGTGAGAAGAAAAGAAAACCGTCGCTCTTCCGCCGAATCCGTACATGGTCACGTGTGGCAGAACTCTCACCGCCCGCGGTATCTAATCGGCGATCTTTTTTGATAAGCATTTTTCTTTTTTTTTTTTTTATCTGGAATTGTCATGGATTGATCTGGATCGTCGCCGGAATTCCCCTCGTGTCCACGCCATCGTTTCGGAAGAGACCCCCAAGGAGTCTATTTCGATCTCACTGCCATGGCCTCCAAACCTCCATCCGGCGCATCTGCCAGATCCTGGGATGGCGTGAAGCCCCCTCTGTCGGAATGGGTGCTGGATGCCGTCGCCTCCATGGGTTTCACTCGGATGACCCCCGTGCAAGCCTCCGCAATTCCTCTATTTATGGCGCATAAGGATGTTGTCGTGGAGGCAGTTACCGGAAGTGGGAAGACTCTATCTTTCCTGATTCCCGTGGTGGAGAAGCTCCTGCGTTTGGAGGAGCCCATCAAGAAGCATCATGTCGGTGCTATTGTTATTTCTCCGACAAGGTAAGTTATTCCTCCAACATGGACACTCGGGAATGCAATTGTGCTAATTATACCCCCAGAGAACTTGCGCTACAGATCTACAATGTCTTGAAGTCGTTACTGGCCTTCCACCCTCCATCCGCCGCCGCCCTGAACCCTTCGGACGATGAAAATGCGCCGCGCAAGAAAGAATCTTCGTCGACCCTCAAAGTCGTTCCACAACTTCTGCTCGGGGGTGGAACTACTCCCGCCGAGGACCTCAGCACCTTCTTGAAACAATCGCCGAACTTGCTGGTGTCGACCCCGGGTCGTCTGTTGGAATTGCTCTCCTCTCCTCACGTTCACTGCCCTCAATCGTCGTTCGAGATGCTTGTGTTGGACGAGGCAGACAGGCTTTTGGATCTTGGTTTCAAAGATACTTTGCAGAACATCCTGCGTCGCCTACCCAAACAAAGACGTACGGGTCTGTTTAGTGCTAGTATCAGTGAGGCAGTTGATCAAATTGTCCGAGTTGGTCTGCGCAACCCGGTCAAAGTATTGGTTAAAGTGAAGGGGACTTCGGGTGTGCAGGATAAGCGCACACCGGCCAGGTCAGTGGATTCCTCTGTTCTTTAAAAGACCACCCCTTTGACTAATGTTGATACAGTCTACAAATGACCTACCTTACCACTCCGCCATTGCACAAATTCTCCGCCCTCAAACACATCCTCTCCACCGTCCAACCGACACCCCAAAAAACGATCTTCTTCCTTTCGACTTGCTCAGGCGTCGACTATCTCTCTGCGATATTCCCTCTGATCCTGGGCGAGGATTTCCAACTGATCCCACTCCACGGAAAGCACCCCGCGAACGTTCGCGAGAAGAACTTCAACCGCTTCGTCAACTCCGTCACCCCAGCAATCCTCCTCACCACCGACGTTGCATCCCGTGGGCTGGACATCCCCTCCGTTGACCTTGTCGTCCAAATCGACCCTCCATCCGACCCGAAGACCTTCATCCATCGTTGCGGCCGTGCCGGCCGTGCCGGCCGCAGGGGAATCAGTGTCGTTATGCTACACCCGGGACGCGAAGAAGATTACGTCTCGTTCCTCGAGGTCCGCAAAACTCCCGTGACGCCGTTCCCCCATCCCATCTCCGTCTCCGACGCCGAGGCCACCGCCGATATCGACACGGCGCGCAAAGCGGTGCTGAAAGACCGCGCCCTGCATGACCGAGGCCAGAAGGCTTTCGTCAGCTGGCTGAGAAGTTACAGCAAGCACCAAGCAGCTAGTATTTTCCGTGTCGCGGACCTGGACTGGGAGGGGCTTGGTAAAGCGTGGGCGCTGCTCAAGTTGCCCAAGATGCCTGAACTGAAGAAGTTCGAAGGCGATAAGACCCTGGGCATGGACATGGACTGGGACACCTTCACATACAAGGACAAGCAGCGCGAAAAGCGTCGCCAGGAAGTGATCCGAGAAAACGCCGAGAATCCCCAGGAGAACTCGACTAAGCGAAAGGCCAGCGAGAGCGTGGCATGGAGCAACAAGGCTGACAGCAAGAACAAGAAGATGAAGCGTCGCGAGCAGAAGCATGCGCGACAGGAGAGGAACAGATGGGAGAAGATGACGGAAGAAGAGCGCCAGAAGGTCCGGGAGACAGAGGACATGGTGGCCCAGATCAAGGCGAAAAATGACGAAGAACGCCGACTGAGACGGGAAGCAAAAGCTGGAGGAGGGGACAAGCCTGCTGGTGACGAGGATGAATTCGAAGGATTTGATGATTGAGAGAAAAATGCCTCATGTGTTGTGATCGATGATACCTACCTTCCTACCTGTACTCTACTTGATATCCCGATTCTTCCTCAACCTGGCTTATAAGATTCTCTCTTGTAAATAAAATAAAAGGCAATTTACACGATAGTTCTCCCCATACATAGCCCATACATCAAGAACCTCCACTTTAGACTAATATCATCAAACCTAGCCTACAGATCTACATGCAACTACAACTCATCTACAGGAAAATCATCACTAATTGAAATTTATTCATTGTTGAAACCAGTATGCAGTCCTTTTATGACCAACAGAAAACGCCTGGTGTACAAGCTCTCAAGGGAAATGCAAATGCAAAGGCTCAAACATGGCCCCAAGCGGGGAGATGATATCAATAACTCCTCCGCTGAAAACGAAAACACAGAAGACAAAAATACACTAGACAATGAAGGTTCCCAAATCCACAGATCCACATATCACCAACCCATCAAACAATTAGCCTGAGTTCGTCGAGTCAAGTGGAGGGAAAGAAGCAAAAGGGATGCGTGCTGGAGGAGCCAAACATTCAGCGTAAAGCCGAAAGAGGCTGCAACTTGTTAATAGGAGAATGACATTTAGCAGAAGGGCCTGCAAACTTCAACTAAGAGGCTGAAGGAGTCCACGACTGGAATGCCTAAGTACAAGACGAAGGCACTCAACAGAAGGGCCTGCAAACTTCAACTGGAGATTGAAGGAGTCCACGACTGGAATGCCTAAGTACAAGACGAAGGCGCTCAACAGAAGGGCCTGCAAACTTCAACTGGGATAGAAGAGATTGAAGGAGTCCACAACTGAAAATGCTCAAGCACAAGACGATCCATGCCCAAAGCCTCGAAAATCAAACGCACAGAACAGATTTCTGAACCAACATTCCGGACCCATTCGAATTTTGTGACAGCAAGAAGATGGGGATCCAGACAGAGGAGTCAAAGATAAAAAAAAAGAAGATAATAGTTAACAAGAGGATATGCATACATGCCAGAAACCAGAGGAAGAAACAAAACAGACAAGAAGTAGAACAAAGATAGAAAGCATAAAGTCAACGCTTCTTCATCACAATGAGTAAGAGGTCATATGGGAAGGCTCTATGCCTGCTGCTTGAATTCTTCGAAGCCTTGGCAGAAGATATCGTAGGCCTTGTCGACCTCGGACTCTTTCCACACTTGAGCAACGACGTCAATAACGGTTTGACTGATACCCAGGCTTTCCTGGTAACTCTGTCTAGCGGGCCACTGGAGCTGAGTAATGTCTCCGGAAGGACAGTTTTCAAAAAGCCACTTGGTATCTTCGGCGATTTCATCATCACCGAGATCCTCAAGAGACCTGCTTTCGATGCGAGCGTCCGGAGTGATGGTCATAGGACTAGAATAACGACTCGCGGTGCGAAGGCCGCTTGGGGTTTTGGGCTTGTATTTCTCTGCACGGGAGCGAGCCTTGGCGAGAGCTTCCTCATCAACCGCGGCGGCGGGGGTCGACGGAGGGACGACTGGAGTAGGACGAGGTGCAGGAGATGGTGCAGGAGATTGGATACTATCAAGTAAGAAAAATATGTTAGATCTATGGACTATAGAGACCCTAAGTCTTTCAGGTCCAACGTACCTTTCATCAGCCCGAGTCTCCGCGGCAGGAGCAGGGCTAGGAGCGGAAACGCTTGGGGGAGAAGAAGGTCCACTGGATTCGGAAGAGTCATCTGAGAAGGCGTCGTAGTCAAGCTGGAAGGTTCCCTGCGTGTTGGGGATGAATCCTGGACGAGTGCGAGGGTCGATAATCGGAGACGGCGCATACAGGTCTTCCTCTTCATCTTGGACAGTCGGCGCGTGGGTAGATGCGGTGGGGGTAGGCGACGAGGCATCAAGGCTGGACGAAGGGGATCCATTGCCCATCCCAATGAAATGGGATCCGGTGTAAGGGTCGGTAGCGCGGGCACGGGTGCGAAGCTTCGATGGAGTATCCTCGGGGCTAGCGTCAAATCGAACCTTTTTAGACGCTGGGCGATCTGAGCGGAGAGCACTGCGCACAGCAGTTTTAGCCAGGCCTTCAGCTTGCTGAGGAGCAGTAGACGGCCCGGGCACCTCAGGGTCGCTCTCCTCTTCGCTTTCAGAGCTGTAATAGAAGTAATCCAAGTCCATTCCATAGCTGCAGCCAGGGGGGTTGGGAATAACGTCGGGCGACGGCTCACGCTTGCGCTTCGTCTGCTTCTTGGAGCTAGCCTCCTGTGGAGTCTCGCGTCCTCTGGTGTCCTGAGCATGAGAGGCCGATGACGCGCCTTCGATCTGAGCAGTAGACTCCGAAGTGGCAGTAGTGGTAGTACCAACAGTAGTAGTTTGCTCATCAGGGCGTGTATCAGCAACAGATGGCTGCGAAGCAGACTGCAAATAAGAGGACTGCAGAGAGGATGGCTCAGGAAGATCCTTGAGAGGCGTAGAGATATCACCAAGATAGAGAGACTTGTCCATCGGAGGTGGAAAAAGAGACCAGTCACGATGACGCTTCGCAGGCGGCTCCGTGGTCAGGCGACGTCGAGGCTTCCATGGACGGAACTTGGCTTGAGCAGCGACGAATTCGGGTTCAGAATCCACGGTCCGGTTGATACGTTCAGAAGCTGGCTGCGTAATCGGCTGAGAGTTCGAAGAAGGCGATGACTGCTCGGACTGCGCAGTCTGCGCAGTCTGCGCTGGAGAACGACCAAGGCCCGGGATAAGTCGAGAGAACGAGCGAGGCACGGAATTGAGCAGACCGCGAATATTCCAGCCTCTGCGAGGCGTTTCAGGCAAGGTCGATGGAAGAGCTGTTTCTTGAGTGGGTTCAGTAGGTGCGTCCTCAACAGTCTGGTCTTGGTCGGGCTCTGCTGGGGTTTCGACATTCGACAGGGGGGGCTCCGGGCATGGGCTCTGACTTGCGGTCTCCGCTGCCTGGCGATCGGCTCTCTCCTGTTCGACGTACTCCGGCAGCCGAAAGACCGTTCGGTGAATCCTCCCCTGGTTCTCTACTCGCCGTCGCCGCAACCTCTCCGAGTAAGGCACAGAAGTAGATGATAGGCGTCGGGAGAGAGGGGGGAGTCTCCGGGCGAACGGCGTACTCCCTGGGGCGCCCAGATTCCGACGCTTGTTGGCAATCGGGGTCTCTGGCCCGCCAGCCGGTGTTTCCTCGTCACTAAGTTCAGAACGGGCTCGCTTCTTGTTGACTATCTTGTGCGTTAGCTTTTCGTTCGCAGGCCGATCGAGAGCATCCAGGCAGCGGAACGCCTCCCGGGGAACCATCGGGACTTGAGAGGCAGCCGAGGAGACCGACGCTCCAGCGGCAACCTCTTTTCCCGCACCGACCTTTGAGCCACTGGGGCCGGAACTCATCTCCGATTCCGATCGCTCTGGGATTGGAGAGAGTAGAACCGGCACCCGCGGCCGAGAACCCAGGGCAGGAGTTGATAACCTGACTGGCACCGACAGAATTTGCGATCGTTCTGCGGGTTCTCGAACCGCAGCTGGACTGAATTGAGGGCGTCGGACCTCTGCCAAAGCCTCCGGCGCCAACACCCCTTGCCGATCCCTGGCCCGACGACGCCAATTGAGCAAGGCCTCGTCAAGCAACGATCTCGGACTCTCATGGGCCAGGGAGAATGGGTTCGGGGTCTGCTGACTCTGCCGCCGCGCCGATTCCCCAATGTAGGGAAGCTCGAAGGGCGGTGGGGGCTCATCGAAAATCGATGGCCCCCGCGAGTCAACAGGGGCAACGGAGACAGCCACCTGCGAAGCGTGGTGAGAAGAATCACCAGCGACACTCACAGGCACGCCGGTAGGGGCTCTCGTAGGCCGCACTGTCTCCGGTTGCCGCGTTGGGCCGTTGGGCAACCCCGGGGAGCAGACAGCTGCAGGTCGCGGAACGACGTCCGCAAAACTCCACTTTGCAAAATGTTGAGCCAGGTCATCCACCTGATCAAACACTGCAACTGTCTCGCCCCCGGAGCCCACAGCGGAAGTCGAGAGGGAGTCAGCTTCGGGCTGCTGGCTGATCTCTTCGTCGCGTTCCTTGACTGCGACCGACTCCGTCGACTCCGCTGCGGTTGGCTTCGTCACAGCTAGTGATTCAAAGGTGCTTGGTGCTTCGGGCTGCTCCCAAGCAGAATCCTCAGTGGGCCGGACACGCTGGCCCGCCCCCCTTATCTGCTCAAGAAGAGTCTCGTCGATTTCGCCATCGGCGAACAACGGCTCATCGAGCGAAGGGGTCCTTGATCGTTCGGAGAGGGGCGAGCCAATGTCGCTTATGTCCCCGAATATATATTCGGCCCACGAGGCACCGGTGGTTCCAACGGGAGAAAGGGGGGTAGGGGGGTAGGGGGAATTCAAAACATCTTGGGCCCTGGGGATAGGAAGTTCGGGGTCCTGGGGGTGGGTCGACTCACTTTGGGCATCGTCCTTCTCAGCTAAAGCCTGTTCGGCAGTAGTGTTCTCGGACTCTGTGTTTCGGGTTGCGTTGTTTTCTTTGTTCTCGTCGTTTTCGGGAGTTGTCTCCGGGGTTTCGTCCTCGTGAGACTCGGGCTCCTCAGAGGTCGCCTTCGCGGTCTTTCGCGTGGATTTACGGGTTCCTTTTGCGGGGGCCTTTTTCGAAGCAGCCTTGGTCACTGTCTTTTTTGTGGCTGGAGCAGCTTTCTTCTTGGTCACACGCTGGCCCTTTGCGCGAGTCGCAGGCTGTGTAGAGGGTCCGGAGGGTTCTTCTTCGGTGGGATGGGGATCGGTGCGATCGGTGGTATTGGCAGTCTTGGTCTGCGAGGCGCTTCTGGTCGATCGAGTCCGACGAGACGTACTCTCGAGGGAAACGAAGTTGCCAGGCGACTGCTGCTGAGAACGAGTACGCATTTTGGAAGATTCGCGTCACTCAAGGGCGACGGACAGATGCGCTCGAGGTCAGAGGATGAAGGCTTAGCAAGAACGCTAGCTGTTTGAGTAGCTCAGATTTCAAAATAGAGTGGCAAGAGTGTAGAGAAAACAGGTTTGAGTTCAGAAAGGCTTGACAGATGTGGTGAAGACTTGAGATGGAAGTTGTGGTGGATGGAGTTGAGACGTGAAGTGAGATGGGAGGGTGGTGGAAAAGAAAGAGGGAGAGGGAGAAAGAGGGGTGTGGTGGACTTTCTTCAAGAAAATTTTGTTGTGGTCATGCGCGTCATGTCCCCTTGACGAATAGTGGCTGCGACAACATTCACTTACCAGGGACAGCAACTGTGAGGTGAAAGTTGGGACTGCGTTGCAACTGCCTGCCAGGTTTCGCGCTCGAAAATCAAAATCGGGGGGTGCCGACCGGCAAAATGAATGGCGGTCAGGTCGCAGGCCAATAATGGCGCCCATCCGCTGTCGACGGTTCTATACTTCCGGTCTTTCCTGGACGCGCAGACGAGAGTATTTCCACTTCTTGAGGGATTTACTGGAAGCCTCTTCTGGCAGATGACTGGCGCTTCGGTCCCTGATTGGCCTCGGCGATTCCAAATTGCAACCCTCCAAGGCTGAGGTGATTTGCGCCACGCCCTAGTGAAGAAATAGATGGAAGTTCCAGCTCAAATCCTGGATATGCGCAATAGGTAGTGGTGAATGACTATCGATCTGGACTACCCAGGGAAATCCAAGAAATAGTCCGGAGTGGCGGTGAATTACGTGAGTCATAGTCCCTAGATCAAGGAACCTCCCAGATTTGATGAAGTTTAACGAGGAAATCCATTTGATTTGAATGCTGTAGAGCAAGCTATATTTATACAAGGTAAATCTTTCCACAGGCATGAAAAGGAGAGACGCGGTAGGCCGTCCGCTCTGTAGCACACACACGCTAGGAGAATCAAATACCATAAGGTTACATGTAGATGTTCAGATGGAAAGAAATAACAAAAAAAAGGGGGGTGATACAAAACGCTTCCGATCCATTACATACTAATCTCGCCCTTCCAAGCAGCGTCGGAAAGTCCCAGGCTCTCGATCAGGTGCTGCCATCTCGGGCCACCCCGCTCCTTTCTTCGCACGTATTGGAGTAGCTTCTGTCGCTTGTGAACCAGTAGTCGGAGGTTGCGCTTGTTGTGCTTGTCCTTGTTGGATGTCTTCAGATGTCTAGTAAGGTTCAAGATCTTCGCGGTCAAAACGGCAACCTGGACTTCCGGAGATCCGGTATCAGGTCCAACGCGAGGGGTCTTCTCGAGGGCGGCGGTGCCGGACTGCTGCGACGGAGCTGTCGGCTTCGGAGGCAGCTTTTGGTCGGTGTTGTGGCGCCCGAACTCTTCGATGCATTTCTGGATGTTGAGGCGCATCCTGTCCTGGGTGTTGCCGTTGCGCACGCTCGCGATGCGGTTGATAGCATCCTCGGCATTCTTGTGGTCCTGAAGGTGCTTTTCGGCCAGCTCCTTGTCAAGTTGAGGGTCGGCGGTGTTTCGGTCGAGGTTTTCGATCGGGGAGGTGAGGTTTTTCGAATACTCCAGCATATTCTGGAGACCCTCGGAGTCCAGGAAGTAGTTGAGCTTGCCGTCCGATCCCGACGGGGTTTGGGGCCCGGATTGGGTATCCTTAAGACCCTGGATGAAGGTAGTTGAGCGACTTTCCACCGGGTCCCCCAACGAGCCTTCGCGTTCTTTGGTAAGAACTTCTTGACGGGACAGGTTGGCAGCTTTGCGCCGGCGCGATTGTGCCGTCAGGAATGGGTCATGTCGTCGTCTTTCTCTGGTCTCTGCGGAGCCTGCTCGGATCGATGTCTTCGAAGGGTTTAAGGACAAGGCGGCGAGCGGACTCTGGATGTATGAAGAACCTAGAGAAGCGCAGTCAGTAGCTGGGCAAGGGCTGACTGGACCAGCAGCATAGCATGAGACATACCAGTAAAGGCCTTCAAAGAAGGCTGGGTCAGGAAGCGAGGAGGCATGGCGGTTCACTAGTCCGGTGTCTGCGTGATACCCTTGGCCTTGGGGACACTCTCGAAGTTCTCTCCCGAAATCTCAAGACCGCCGACCGCGCTAGACCCGATCCGGGGCCGCGCTCCACGTGACTCTCCGGGCGGATCGGAGGAGGCTCCGCAGACAGAGCCCTAGACTAGCCCTAAAATTCACAAAACGGCAAGCGAAATTTCATCGATCTCGGCGCGGAGTGTCGAGGTTTCTCTTTCGCGTCGTCAGTCTCTTCCTCGCCATCACCACCGCGACAAGCGCCAGACGATTGATATCTTCAAATCGCCGTCCTTTGCAATATCAATCGCCCACCATGGCCCCTTCTCAGCTCCCCCCCATCTTCAACCCTACCTCGCAGGACATTGAGAACCTGCTGGCGGCCCAGTGCCACCTGGGTTCCAAGAACCTCCAGGTGCACATGGAGCCTTACCTCTGGAAGACTCGTCCCGACGGTGTCAACGTTATCAACATTGGCAAGACCTGGTACGTGTGGTCAAGCGAAACAACGGACAACACCGCGCCCGTGAAGTCCAATAGCCGTGCTGGGAGGAATTTCGAGATCTAACATGCGATTTTCAATTTTATAGGGAGAAGATTGTCCTGGCTGCCCGTATCATCGCTGCCATTGACAACCCCGCCGATGTCTGTGTGATCTCCGCTCGTCCCTACGGCCAGCGTGCTGTCCTCAAGTTCGCCGCCCACACCGGTGCCACCGCCATTGCCGGTCGTTTCACCCCCGGTAACTTCACCAACTACATCACCCGCTCTTTCAAGGAGCCCCGTCTCATCATCGTGACCGACCCCCGCACCGACGCCCAGGCCATCAAGGAGGCCTCCTACGTCAACATCCCCGTCATCGCTCTCTGCGACACTGACTCCCCCACCGACTTCGTTGACGTTGCCATCCCCACCAACAACAAGGGTCGTCACTCCATCGGTCTGGTCTGGTGGATGCTCGCCCGTGAGGTCCTCCGCCTCCGTGGCACCCTCGCTTCCCGCGAGGTCGACTGGGACGTCGTTGTCGATCTCTACTTCTACCGCGACCCCGAGGCCGAGGAGAACAAGGAGATTGCCGACGAGACCAAGGTCCCCGGTGCTGAGGAGATCGGCGCTGGTGCCATCGAGTCCGGCTTCGCCGGTGAGAACTGGGACACCCAGGGTGCCGGTGCCGGTGCTCCTGGCACTGCTTTCTCTGCTGCTACCGCTGCTGCTGGCGCTACCAGCTGGGAGGCTGACGGTGGCGACTGGGCTGCCAGCGGTGCTGCCCCTGCTACTGAGAGCTGGGCTGAGACCCAGCCCGCTGACGCCAAGTGGTAAACAAATCTAAAACAAAATGGTGACGAGGACAGCTGATGAGGAGGGACATGATATTTATCTTTTCTTTTCACAAGAATATGGCGAAATCGAGGGGGGAATCTTAACATTTGATCCATAACTTCGCCATCCTTTTTGACGAATACCCGACATCTTCTGCAAAGAAGAATAAATTCCCCTTGGCATGTCTTATCCTAGTCTCTGTTCCAAAAAATATTCAAAACCGAAAGTGAAAAAAGTGCAAAAGAAGCCTTTGATTGGGAACCGTTCAACTTCCAACACTTCCCTTTTTTCCTTTCCGCCCCACTGGTATGCTATCACGGTATCCTTTTTGTTTCCTTTTTGAAGAGACCTTTTTTATGTCGTGCTTATGGTGCATCGAGGAGGAATTGCATTGTCAAAAATTGACTGGCACTTACGAGGGAAAGAGATCCAGTTGTTCTGTTCGTTCCAGTGAACTTCTGGGGGAAAGCCCTGTGCTGTCGATTTCACAAGGTGTACTTAATCGTTGCCTTGGTTTCTCCTTGTGTGTTTATCATATTCGTACTCGAAAAGTGATGCTAGCTACCATGTACCTTCCATCGTGTTCTGTAGCTCGTAGTATGTAGATGTCAACGTGTAGTTAGTTTTATTGCATTGTATATGCGATTTATTCTAAGTACATTCCGAACCTGGTTGTGGCTAATCCTGTCCGATGGACGACACCGACGACATGTTCAGATCCTGAATTAGACTGCAGGTGCCATGAAGCAACTCCGATAAATCCAGCTATATACGGGTATCAATCATACAAGTCATCACATAACAATACAGCCTCCCTCAGTCTGCCCCCCTTTTTCCGTAGTCGTCATTCCTGCCAACCTTACCACGTCCTCAAACGTCTCTGCCAAAAGCTCGCCTGTAACAGCAGAACATTCCGCGTAGCGATCGCACCGGAGTTCCTGGGCAATGCGGTACGACTAGAGTCGGTCAGCTGCGGCACGTATACAAACATCAGGTGGGGATAGCGTGGCGTACCTCTTGCGGATAGATCAGGGTTTCGTCGTCACGTCTCAGGTCTCTTTTCAAACCTATCATCATGACGGGGATGCGTTCTCCGATTCCATGCTGAAAGTATCGGATGATATCTTGTCGCCACTGGATAGCATTGGATGAGTGAGCTGACTTCCTTGGTCAGAGCACAAGACTCGGCAGCTTACCTTTTTAAGTCCAGCTAGGGTTTCTCGGTTGGAAATGTCAAATGCTAGAAGGACCACATTAGGGTGCAGAGTGCTCCAGTGCTGGTTGGGACATGCGGTGTCGTATAATTCTAGGGTAAATGATTTCTTGGAGAACCGGATGTCGTAAAGAAAAGGCTGGTCTGTGTCCCGTAGAGGTTCTATGGTATTCCCTGCTTGTGTGGTTATTGGACTTTGTCCTTTGGTTGGATTTGGACCATTCTTCAAGCGTCTGTTGTATGGTTAGCAGACTGCAATATATATACGGAGCGCATGGACTCACGAGAGGAAAGTTGACTTCCCACATTCGGGGTCTCCCAGAAGAAGTATAGTCACCGTGGACTCAGGGTCTCGGGTCTCTGCATCAGCCATGAGAGAATGGGGGGTTGTACTCCGTACTCCGAAGTTTGAGGCTGCTGAATGATATGATGTTGAATAATGGACCTTATCGCATATTGAATTACATAATGTCCTTATCTGAGAAATGCACTAAGCCGCTTCCGGCGACATGCCCCGAACCAATCAGATCCGACCTTTACACACTGCAGGAGAAACGAAACGCGTGGGTGCTGCAGGTCAAACAAACACCGCCCTGTCATCTCCCTAAAGACATCTTCCTGACGCCCAGTCCAGGCAGCAACCGATGTTTCATCAGTAGACATCGCATCGGAAGAGTCCGAGCCTCATGGGTTTGTACTGGATTTTTGAACGACTTACCGAGCACGGTTCCTGATTCGGCAGACATCAATTGCCGTTCTAACCGGGATGCATGCGCCACGAAGGGCCATGATTTTGACAGTGAAACAGTTCCATATTATCTCGTGGATTCATGGATACAGCCTCATTTCCCCCACTTACCTGCTACTCTATCGGAGATTCGATCTCAGAGCGAACCACGTAAATCGGTGCTTGAATGTTATCGGTATCTCAGCTTGAACTGAGTCGTCTTTGCTCTGTTCTCCTTTAATTTTCGGTACACAATTTAGCGGCTGCGATAAGCGACGAGAAGAGAAGCCATGGCACCTGAGAAAGAAATGACAGGCTCTGCTTGATTCGCTGCAAGAAAACCTGGACCCTCTCGAACCAAGACCACGCTTGGCACGTTTCCACTCATGGGTTGTTGATGCTTCCTTCGAGTTCCTGACAGCCGTGCCAATGTCCTCGGCAAGTCTTTATACATCCGCGGTAGATCGTTATGCTCGCCAAATTCATCATAGCCCACCTGATATTAGCGTTGAGACAAACATAAAAGGGCTGGGTGGGAACCCGGGTAGATCGGGATCGTCCGAACGGAAATTCGGATACGCCACGAGATTCGTTGATTCCGTGATTCTCGGCTTCTATACCATGAGTTGAGGCGACGCCTAAAACCGAAAGTCTGCGAGGATAAAACTCTCGCTGCCAGGATTCGATATTTCCAAGGGCGATTCCCCGGCATATTATCAGCACCTCCCGAAATGTGCTCCTACGACAAAACCGTGCCTGAAATGAGATGGAGGGCGATGAGACAAATCCCTCACAATGAACTTCTCGAACAAGTCTAGAACGAGACCCACTGGGCGAGACATTGATAGCTGCTACCGGTGTCGAATCTGATGTGGAACATTCGAAGCGACCAATATGGTTTGTCAATATGCCAGTTATCATCTGTGGGCTTGGGGGAGGAGGTGATTGCCGATACCCGCGAGTATTCCTGTCCGCTGTACGGTCTCTACATTGTCTTTCAGAGTGACTGCGTACGTACTCGGCCCCATGGTGTCAGTGCTCCACCCACGGGTGTTCGGCCCAGCAGAAGACCAGATGCGAGCTATATAGTGTCTTCTCCAGTTGCTCATGGAATGGGTGAGAAACAGTCTTTTATTTTATTCTCATTCATCTATGTCAAAATCCAAATGAGAAGCTCTCCAGACAACATTCATCCAACAATCCCTCGCTCAACATGGAGAAGAATGACCTCTCTGACGAATCTTTGCTGCCAAAGCCACCTGTGGCAGAAATGAAAAGCTTTGAGACACTAGCCATCCCCAACACAGAAGTCCGAGAGGCCCCCAGCGCAGAAACCCTGACCACCCCTCATGGCGATATTGCCCCTCCATCCACCAAAGATACGGAATGGAGCATGACACCACAAGTGATACGCAACCGCGAACGTGATGCCGCCGCGGGTTTCAAGAAACGGGAACTGGGCGTGACATGGAATAATCTGAGCGTGGAAGTTCTCGCGGCGGAAGCCGCAGTCAATGAAAACCTGTTCTCCCAGTTTAACGTCCCTCAGCTCATTAAAGACTTTCGCCGGAAACCGCCCCTGAAGTCTATTTTGACGGAGAGCCATGGCTGCGTAAAACCAGGGGAAATGCTTCTCGTGCTAGGACGTCCTGGATCTGGATGCACTACTCTTCTCAAAATGTTGTCTAACCGGCGTCAGGGCTATCACACGGTGACAGGTGACGTGCGGTTCGGAAATATGAGCCCTGAAGATGCGGATCAGTATCGAGGCCAGATTGTGATGAATACGGAAGAGGAGCTGTTCTACCCACGCCTAACTGTCGGCCAGACTATGGATTTCGCCTCGAAACTAAAGGTTCCCTTCCACCTTCCGGATGGTATCAAGTCAGTGGACGAATATACCGCCGAGACCAAACAGTTTCTTCTCGAATCTATGGGCATTGCGCACACGGCTGATACCAAGGTGGGAAATGAGTTCGTCCGTGGTGTCTCGGGTGGCGAGCGAAAACGGGTGTCTATCATCGAATGCATGGCAACGAGAGGTTCAGTATTCAGCTGGGATAATAGCACACGGGGTCTTGATGCGAGTACAGCCTTGGAATGGGCCAAGGCTTTGCGAGCGATGACAAATGTGCTGGGACTCTCTACAATCGTGACTCTGTATCAGGCAGGTAACGGCATTTACAATCTGTTCGATAAAGTCCTGGTACTCGATGAAGGAAAACAGATTTTCTATGGTCCTGCAGCAGCAGCCAAGCCTTTCATGGAGGATTTGGGGTTTGTGTATACCGATGGAGCAAATATAGGTAAGTCTTCTTGACTCTTTGGTTTCTGTCAAATGGCAATGCTAACTACAGATAGGTGATTTTTTGACCGGAGTCACTGTTCCCACCGAGCGAAGAATCAGACCTGGATTCGAAAACACATTCCCTCGAAATGCGGATGCCATTCTCTCCCAGTACAAAAGCTCTATGGTTCATGAACGCATGACGTCGGAGTACGATTATCCTACAACTGAGATAGCCCGCGAGCGAACAGAAGCATTCAAGGAATCGGTTGCCTTCGAGAAGTCCAGCCATTTGCCTAAGAATAGCTCTCTCACAACGAGCTTCTGGAAACAAGTGATGGCTTGCACAATGCGACAGTATCAAATCCTATGGGGTGAAAAGTCAACATTCTTGATCAAACAATTTCTGTCACTCGCTATGGCTTTGATAGCTGGATCATGTTTCTATAATTCGCCAGCAACATCCGCCGGTCTCTTCACCAAAGGTGGTGCTGTTTTCTTCTCGCTCCTGTATAACTGCATCGTGGCCATGTCTGAAGTTACTGAATCTTTCAAGGGGAGACCGGTCTTGGTGAAACATAAATCATTTGCTTTATATCATCCGGCGGCTTTTTGCCTTGCGCAAATCACTGCAGACCTTCCGGTGTTGCTATTCCAGTGTACGATCTTTGCTGTCGTGATATATTGGATGGCTGGCCTGAAAGCTACTGCCGCTGCATTCTTCACTTTCTGGATAATTCTCTTTTCAACGACCTTGGTGAGCCATCAGCATTGATTATTACCGCGCTTTTCTAACAAATTAATAGTGTATCACGGCTTTGTTCAGATGCATCGGGGCCGGATTTAGCACCTTCGAAGCCGCTTCAAAAATATCTGGCACAGCCGTCAAGGGAATCGTCATGTACGCGGGCTACATGATTCCCAAGCCGAAGATCAAAAATTGGTTTCTGGAATTGTATTACACCAACCCCATGGCTTATGCATTTCAAGCGGCTCTTTCGAATGAATTTCATGGCCAAGATATTCCTTGCGTGGGCAACAACTTGGTTCCACACGGCAATGGGTACGACGGTGTCGATTCTGCGAACAAAGCGTGTGCAGGGGTTGGAGGTGCTTTGCCGGGCGCAGACTACGTCACTGGTGACCAGTATCTTTCTTCCCTGCACTATAAGCACTCGCAGCTTTGGCGGAATTTCGGAGTCGTCTGGGCGTGGTGGGGATTTTTCGCTGTCATCACTATTATCTGCACGACTTTCTGGAATGCGGGTGCCGGTGGAAGTGCTTCTCTTCTGATTCCACGCGAGAGACTCAAGCAACATCAGCACGGCGCGGACGAAGAGTCGCAGGTTAAGGAAAAGGAGCAGAACCGGCAGGGGGCGGTTGTCGATGCGTCTGATGATGATGAAAGTCTCACCCGCAATACTTCCATATTCACATGGAAGAATCTTTCATATACGGTCAAGACCCCATCAGGCGATCGCGTCTTGTTAGACAACATCCACGGCTGGGTCAAACCAGGTATGCTCGGGGCATTGATGGGCTCTTCGGGTGCTGGTAAGACAACGCTACTCGATGTCCTTGCGCAGCGAAAGACCGAGGGTACGATCAATGGGTCTATTATGGTTGACGGTCGCCCCTTGCCTGTTTCTTTTCAAAGAATGGCTGGGTATTGTGAGCAGTTGGATGTGCATGAACCCTTCGCCACGGTCCGAGAAGCCCTAGAATTTTCCGCTCTACTGCGACAGCCCCGGACAACCTCAAAAGAAGACAAATTAAAATACGTCGACACAATCATCAACCTGCTGGAACTCCATGATCTTGCCGACACACTGATTGGTACCGTGGGAAACGGCCTTAGTGTGGAGCAAAGAAAGCGGGTGACAATTGGCGTTGAGCTTGTGTCCAAACCCAGTATCCTTATTTTCCTGGATGAGCCGACTTCGGGTTTGGACGGCCAGTCTGCATACAACACTGTGCGATTCCTCCGAAAATTAGCCGATGTCGGTCAGGCGGTATTGGTGACCATCCATCAACCTTCTGCGCAGTTATTTGCCCAATTTGACACTCTACTGCTGTTAGCCCGCGGCGGCAAAACCGTCTACTTCGGCGATATTGGAGAGAACGGTCAAACTATCAAGAATTACTTCGGCAAGCATGGCGCTCGTTGCCCGACTGACGCGAACCCGGCAGAGTTTATGATCGACGTAGTCACAGGAGGTATTGAGAGCGTCAAGGATATGGACTGGCACCGAGTTTGGTTGGAGTCGTCTGAACATGGAGCGATGGTTACCGAACTTGACAGATTGATTTCAGACTCTGCCTCCAGACCATCTGGCACCGTCGATGACGGCCACGAATTCTCCATGTCACTTTGGGAACAGACCAAGATTGTCACCAACCGCATGAACGTGGCCTTATATCGCAATACTAACTATGTGAACAATAAATTCTCGCTACACATTATCTCCGCCTTGCTCAACGGATTTTCGTTTTGGAGAATCGGCCCAAGCGTGACAGCCTTGAACTTGAAGATGTTCTCTATCTTCAACTTTGTCTTTGTCGCCCCCGGTGTGATCAATCAACTTCAACCTTTGTTCATCCAAAGACGCGATATCTACGACACGCGAGAAAAGAAGTCGAAAATGTATTCATGGGTTGCTTTCGTGACCGCGCTGATCGTTTCTGAGTTCCCCTATCTCTGCGTATGTGCCGTGCTCTATTTCCTCTGCTGGTACTACTGCGTCAAGCTGCCCCACGATTCCAACAAAGCAGGCGCCACTTTCTTCATCATGCTCATCTATGAATTCATCTACACGGGCATTGGGCAGTTCATCGCCGCATACGCGCCGAATCCTACCTTCGCTGCACTCGTGAATCCGCTGATCATCAGCACGTTGGTGCTCTTCTGCGGCATCTTCGTCCCATACACCCAGCTGAACGTGTTCTGGAAATACTGGCTCTACTACCTGAATCCCTTCAACTATGTCGTTTCCGGAATGTTGACCTTCGACATGTGGGATGCGAAAGTGACCTGCAACGAGGAGGAATTCGCACGGTTCGACCCTCTCAACGGGACGTGCGCAGATTATCTCAAGAACTATGTCGCCGGTGATGGCTGGAGCATTAATCTAACCAATCCAGATGCTACATCGGATTGCCAGGTTTGTCAGTATAGACGCGGCAGCGACTTCTTGAACACGCTCAACATCAACCATTACTATTATGGATGGCGGGATGCTGCGATCTCGGTGATCTTCGCTATCAGTGGGTATGTGTTGGTCTTTGGACTGATGAAATTGCGGACCAAGGCTTCGAAGAAGGCAGAATAGATTGGGATATTGTGGTGACTGATGTGGGTGGTTGATTGATATGCCTGTGGGGGACTTGCCGGTTAGGTTTGATAGACTGGATATAGAGTATAGACTGATTTTGTATAGAGAATATAGAGAATATAGAGAATATAGAGAATATAGAGAATATAGAGAATATAGAGAATATTAGAACTAGGGAGTGACATTCAGTGAGGAACCCTCCATAGACCTGACGATCTTCCCGGAGTCCTTTTCCGGGACTTGGTTAATACAAGTCGTACCCTGTTCCAACGATTCGTTCGATCAAAGCCCGGGATAAATTTCGACTCATTTTTGAGGACCTTAATAACTCGTCCTCAGGCAGGAAAGGGGCATAAGGTAATCAAGTTCCAGCCCCTTGCGTCCTTGGGAATGTATGATGAGATCTCCGCATTCGGCCAGAATAGGGCAGGGGTTCCTAGGGTAGGATACGATCTTGTGACCGGCGCCATGTGTTTTCTCCCAGACCGACGCAGCGTCCAGACTTCTTTCCTCCAGGGATTTACCCCGAAAATACGAGTTCCAATGAGAGGCTGCTCACGTCGACGTGAAGCCTCGTATGCATCGTGCATCGTGCAAATTCCGGGTGGCATCTCAATTCCTGCTGTTTTTCGTTTCTTTTCTTTTTCTTCCCTCCCCCTTGTCTGACATCGGACATCGTGCACTGGGAAGAGGGCTGGAATATCCGGGTATATGTCAGACTCTAGCAGGTACATGGGCAGTTAACCACCCGGATTGACTTGCGTGGGGTTGAAAACTTTGTATTAAAAGAGACGGAGGTTGTCTGTTATATGCCAAAACGGTACAAAGGAAAGGAAGAAACAAAAGACCATCCGCCATGGGCCTGGATTATGTGATTTTGTGAGACTGATCCTCGTCCTATCTTCTGACTGAGATCATAAATAGTATTCTGACAATATCTTCCAGTCATGGCATCTACACGGTCCCCTTGGCAGTGATCCTCACCATTCTCTACGGACCGTTTCTCATCCGTCGGGAAATCTATGAAATCGCCACTCTCATCACTGTATCTTCTCCCCGGAGACACTGTTTCAAAGTACCCTGTCGAATAGACTTGCTGACCATGCCCAGATCGCCGTGGTCGCAACAATACCATGGGATTCATATTTGATCCGCAATCATATCTGGTCATACGCGTCTGACTCGGTAATCGGATATACGTTGTACAGCATTCCGCTGGAGGAAGTGTTCTTCTTCGCGATTCAGACTTACTTGGCCAGCGTGCTTTACTGCATTCTCACGAAGCCGCTTGTCTTGCCGATTTATCTCCGCTCAAGCTCGGAGTCGCAGTCGCGCCGAGTTAGACAGCTTGGTCAGGCGTTCCTGGTAGCTGCGTTCGCCGCTGGAGTTGCTCTCTGTCATTTTGCGGGGGAGCTAACGTATCTGGGTCTGATCTTGATTTGGGTGTCTCCTGTTCTTCTGCTTCAGTGGTGAGTTCTCCTGTCCGACGAGGTCGTTCAGTCGTACTCACTATTCAGGTCAATATCATGCGCATTTCTCATAGCTCTACCGTGGAAGGTGACGATAATTCCAGTCTGCATACCAACCTTGTATCTCTGGTTCGCGGATGCGAATGCCGTTAGTACTGGTACCTGGACGATTGAGAACGGAACGAAAGTGGGATATCAGCTATGGAACGGACTTGAACTTGAGTAAGGCCTGCTTTGACTTTCTAGACACATTGAATGTCTAACTAAATTTGTGCGATTACAGAGAGGCAGTCTTTTTCCTCGTCACAAATATTATGGTCGTCGGGGGACTAGTCTGTATGGACTGTGTCTTTGCGATTGAGGAATATCGAATTCTCTGCTCGAAAGAGTCGTCAACAAATTTCTCACTAAAACTAGCTTTGAAGAGCGTGGTGAGCCCGACCCCAAACTTTGATGCCCGTCTCCTCGATCACCTTTCAGAGGCCGTGGGTTGTCTGAGGAAGAAAGCCAGAGCATGTTTGTCGGGAGTGCACTCTTTCAGGGGAGTTTGAGGGTGGATTTGATATTTTTGTAATACTCTCCTTTCCCCCGTGCTCAACACACGTTGCTTACATACAGTACTGTAGGTATCACTTCTGCCGAGTAATGGACGATCTCGTCGACGGCGACATCGCCCCCGACTATGATGCCCGGTACTGGATAACGCAATGCTCCCAAGCCCTCGACGCCAAGTTCAACACTCCAACAGACCAACAAGTCACCCAGACATCCGATAATCCCACAATATCCCCCAGACACCAAGTCCTCCAGTCAGCGCTCGACCAACTCCCCCTCTCCAAGCTCTCTCAAAAACCTCTCTACGACCTCCTTCGCGGCTTCGAAATGGACTTGGACTTCAACGCCCACCACGGCAGCTTTCCCATCCACACAGAAGCAGACCTCGATATGTATGCGTACCGAGTAGCCAGCACGGTCGCCACGCTTGTTATCAACCTCGTCTATCACTACCACAGCAGCGAAAGCCACCGGCCTAGCAACGACGACCAAAGCCACCGAGAAAGGCTCACCCGCGCAGGCATCGAAATGGGCAAGGCCCTACAATGCGTCAACATAGCCCGGGACATCGGACGCGATGCAGCTATCAACCGAGTCTATATCCCTACTTCTTGGCTTGCAGAAGTTGGATTGACTCCTGAGGACGTGATTCGACGGCCTGCATCGAAGGAGATGTATGTTATGCAGGAGAAGATGCTCGACTATGCGGACGTTTATTATTGGAACTCTCGCGCGGCAATTGAGGAGCTTCCTGTTTGTGTTCGAGGGCCGGTGAGGGTTACAGTTGAGAGTTATATGGAGATTGGCCGAGTGTTAAGAGCCACGAGGACGATTAGGGCTGATGGCGAGAAATTTCGACTGTCGTTGTGGCGGCGACTGGCAGTTGCTTGGGCAGCGATGGGGGATAGGCCTCGGAAAATAGGATAGAATGAGTGTGGGATATACGGCATGCATGGTGTATATTATATTGCTATTGTATTATTAATCTAAAATAGGCAGAGACTGATGAGAATCAATGGAGATATTTCAACTTCCCCAAATCCGCAGCAACATCAACCCCAACAACGCCACCACCAGGGCAAGCATCCACCAACTCCACCAACTCCACCACAACTCCCTAGAACCCTTTCCTCTCACCATCTGCACAACCTGCTCAGCGACAATTTTACTCCCCGCCAAACAAACCGGCACGCCAGTCCCCGGATGCGTACTCGCTCCCACAAAAAACAAGCCTTCAATCTCTGTATGTTTCGTCTTCGGCCGAAAGCACAATACATTAAAGAACGAATGCGAAATCCCCAAAATAGCGCCCCGGTCGAGATTATACTTCTGCTTCCACGTCACTGGCGTCTCAACCCTCTCCTTGATTAACTTGTCTCGCAGATTCGTCATCCCCGTGCGCTCCTCAATCGCACGCAGAACCTTCTCTTTTGTCTTCTCCACCACCGCAGCCCAGTCCGTCAAAGAATCGTCCTCATCCCCCAGATGTCCAACAGGCACCAACACAACCAACGCGTCCATCCCCTCCGGCGCAGCTGACGAATCCAGCCGACTCGGCACATGCACATAAAACGAGGGTTCCTCCGGGATGCGATCCTGTTTGAACAAAGCGTCAAAGCTCTGTCGGTACTCCTTGCCCAGGAAGACATTATGACTCTGCAGAGCCGGGAGGGTAGTGTTGAAGGACCAGAAGAACGAAATACTACTGCAGGATGTACCTCGCGTTTTGAGGGTCCTCGCGAATCGCGAATCAGGGAGGAGGTTGTTATATGCGTATATCAAGTCCGCGTTGACAATCACCACATCAGCGTCGATGATCTCGTCGGAATCCAACACCACGCCGCAGGCTGTTTTCCGGTCGTCAGAAAGGCGAACAGATGCGACGGGGGCGTTGAATCTATATTCCACCCCGAGACGAGAACCGATCTTCCCGATTGCTTCCAGCACCTGCGTTGCATTAATTAGCCCCTGCACTACAGAGCCATTCCAGACTAGAAAGAGAATATAGCCCCACCGTCTGAAACCCCCCAATCGGATACCACACACCATCCACAAACTCGGCATACTGCAGCAACGAGTACGTCGCCGGCGCATCAAACGGACTCATACCCAAATACATACTGGCGAAGGTAAACGCCCTTCTCAGCTCCTCGGACTCGAAATACCGACTCACCCTGCTGTACAGACTCTCGAACGGATGCAACGCCCCCAACGACGCCACTAGGCCCGGTCTGAGCATGTTCCAGACGCGGGCGAAATTCGCGCGCAGCACATACCGGCAGGAAAGGCGATAGTGGCGGGCAGATTCGGCCAGGAAGGCCAGGAACTTCTCAAAGCCCGCGGGGCCCTCAAGACGGGTGAGTTCGCGGTTCATGTGCGCCATGTCACAGGATAGATCAAGGGGTTGGTGGTCGGTGAACCAGATCCGGTAGTTTTGGTCGCATTGGACGAGACGCAGGCCTTCGGCTTCCATGCTGGTGTCGAGGTCGTGGAAGACTTCGTGGAAGAATTCAGGCATCAGGAGGAGCGAGGGGCCTTGGTCGAATCTCTGGGGGTTGTTAGTGGATACGAGTAGTATCATCTGGCTCTTCCGGTCCCAGGTCCATGTCTGGTGGCTCGTGGTAGCAGGAAGATGAGAACGTACAAATCCCTCATCCTCCAGAGTTGAGCATCTCCCCCCTATCGATGCATTCTTCTCTACTACTGTCACTTGGAATCCTTTCTTTGCTAACCTAGCAGCGACAGCGACTCCTCCTGCGCCGGCACCTATGATATACCATTATCTCCGAGCAAGAAAAGGATTACGCGAGAGAACGGATTAACATTGAATGAGTACCTACCTACAACAACAGCCGTCGGAGCTGTAGACTTGGATTCCATGGCAGTTGATGAACGCAAAGTCGCAACGAGATTGAATAGCGCCGTGAAGCCAATGTATCACACTCTCCCCTTGGATGTAAAGGGGGGATAATAAGTCAAAGTATCTTCATCGCCATCTGCATCCCATCGGAAGGTCATGAAGCAGTCGCAAAAATGACCTAGAATCACCCAACCAGGTACCAAATAAGCTTGATTTCAGATCCAAACGAATCAAGGGTGCATTCTGCAGTGGTCCCCGGAAAGAAGAGAGAAAAGTCCTGATGATGGACCGTAGCTGGCAAGGCGGCTACGTAGCGGGTCCATGTTGGTTGATGACTTCATCTGCATTGTGTAATTCGCCGGAATGGGTATCCGCCGCCGCTTCTCCCAGTAAACAGAATTTGAGAACCCGATGGGAGCTTGACAATTTTCTTATCAATATTTTGCTTCACCGTAAACTTCCCATCGGAAGAGTTCTTAAAAACCCGCCCATATAGAACGAGGGGCTGCGACTGCCATGCAGTCTTTCCTCGATGCCAAAAGGATGTAGTTCAGCATCTTCCATTTGAGACTCAATTTCCGAACTCAGCTGTTCTTCCAGTTTATCATTGATGAATCATTATCTGGAGCTCATGAGGCCAGGCGCAATATTGAAGGCTCTTCAGGAGTTCTCACTTTCTCTGAGAACAGGATGCTTTCGAGGATTCGTTCCGCAAGAACGTCTGAGTAGACGAAAACAAGGTTTCTACCTCGTTCCTTGGTTTTTTATTTTGTATGAAAGTCATCAGTTGGTTTTGTTTCACTGGATTCGACATCATGATAGATGAGTTCCGACCCCTTTTAACTGGCACCGTCGTATCCACTGGGCAGGCGCTTCGAGCCTCGGCGGGTCTCGATTCAACCCCTCAATTGAATCACATTCCCTCCATCGCACCTTAACCATGGTGAGCCCAACGCAGTCGCTCAAATAATTGTGAGCCAAGCTGATCCTTGCTCTAGGCTGAACCAACCCTTGACGGTCTTCCCGTTGAGCTCAAGATTATCATTTTATCCCAAATTGACGACAGGGATACGCTCAGATGCCTCGTCCATGCATCGCCCGCTTACCACCAGGCATACCTCACAGCGAGACACCAGCTGCTGAGGTCCCTCGTGGAACGCCAGTATGATGGATTTCTCGACCTGGCAGAGGCTCTCACGGCCATACGGTCGAAAGGTGTGCTCTATGGCTTCCAGGACGAGAAAGTAATTTACCTGCTGGATAACTGGCGCCGCAGGGATGAGATCCGTCAGCTCAGCCCACCATCGTCGAGTCGACATCAGCTCGACCAGCCGGATGGTCTAGAGGAGATCATCAAGCTGCTTCAATTCCATAAAATGCTGTGCTTCTTCATCGAGGACTTCTCAACCAACGACCAACGCCCCCCGTGGATCCAGCCTGTTCAATGGGAACGCGAACACCTGCCGCTCCACTTGTCACCTGCCGAAAAGCACCGTTTCCTCAGAGCGATTTGCCGACTGCAGATTCTGCAGAATATCTTCGGGGACCCAATCCTGTGCTCGGACCCGGACTGTCCTTGCTCCAACATGCACAACTGGCAAGTCCTGGAATTGGACCGTGCAGTCGGCACCGAGGGGATTCGAAAAAATGCATACCGGCTATTCTACGGCCCCCTGTCCCTCTGGGAAATTGACGAAATGGGCAGCGTATTCGGATACCTCTATTCCAAGATCATGGGCATCTCCGCAGAGGTAGAGGACGACCTGCGACAACTCTGCAAGAACACCCCCTCCGGTATGTTCTGCGACATTATCCCTAAAGAGCAGCGCCCCCCTGCTTGCGAACTCGAAGCCGACTGCAACCTCGATCGCCTGAGCAACCATTTCACGGGATTGGCGGGCCTCGGGCCAGAATTTCTCTATCGCCTTCTCCATCTGGATCAACTCTCGCGACGGAATCACTTCTGCGAAAATGCTAGGAGCTTCTGGCCCGGCCCGTTTATCGGATATAGCAATGGCATGTCGCGAGATGCCGAGTTCCCGTTTGTCGATCCAGCGGATCGTCTTGAGGCTTCGGGTTTCGAACATTTCTGGTCCACCCTGTCGTCTCTGGATCAGCCGACGGTGGGGTGGAAGAAGGCATGGCTGCTGCCTCATACCCCGGATGATCCTCTTGAAGACTGTGTCGATTATAATCGCGACCCGGATAAGGACTGGGAATGGTGTTATGCTCTCTGGGATGAGACGAGATTGCGGGAGTGGAAGGCACCGTTGGTGGAGGAGGATGGGCAGTTTAATACCCCTGGCGCGCAAATTTCTAATTAAATATACTGTATATACAAAGGCGAATGTAGACTGAGATTATGTGAAATGGAGACTTTCGGTCCGCTTTACATGGCGTGGTCAGCACCTCTGCTGGTTATTCTGGTAGATCGCCACTACACCCCCTTCCTAGGTCATGACAATGGGTTGCTAACTAGAGCATTCATTAACACCCTCAGCTATTGCACCATGTTGGTTTACTGCCATGTCCCTTTTGGTCCTCATGATTTGATGCCTGATGGCCGAGGCAGAAAGACCCATCGCAGGTGCAGTCCGCAGATCATCTCCACTTGGGCGCAGAGCGGTTGATCAGTGCGCTGCGAAATGGAATCGGTGATTTGCGGTCTAGTCTTTCGAGATCTGACCTACTTAGCAAAGGGAAAGTATTACGGAGAAGATCAATTGTCAAGCACTGGGTGGAAGCCGAGGCCAAGGGAGCGCCTCATTGCCTGAGGGTTGATCAAAGAATGACGTCATTACAACCACCTCCGCCTATACTTCTTCCCCCTAGTCACGACTGTGGCTCTTCCTGGTCAAGCTACCCACACCGGCGCACAAAATGACGACGACAGGGAAAACGAAGCCTTTGAAGGCTCCGACGGACCGGAGCAATGATGATGAAGACTTTGCAGATCAGAATCAGGACATCAAGGCTGATTCGCCCACAGATAGCCATTTTCTCTCGCAAGTGGAGCAGGACGAGAAAGGGCTGGCGCAGAAAGCCGGCGCTACTCAGGATGTATCGGATGTCGGATGGGGCCAGTCGCGCGATGAATTCGAGGAGAGAATCGTGTCGAGTCTCTCTAATGAGGACCTCTGGATGCTGATCCGGCGGTTTAATAAGGTACTGTGCCGGCTGAGCGATGGAGAGCAGAATGCTAATCTCCAGCAGCAAATATACTACGTCAAAGCCCTTCCAGAGGCTCCGTTGCAGAATCTGGATCTTATTCGCTCCGAAGATGAGCAATTTTCGCCCGACAAGTTGCGCGCGACGATGGAGCGCTTCTATACGACTATCGTCGTGGCTGCGGCTAGCTCTGTCAAGCACATTGCGAGACTACGCTCGTGGAAGGAGACTCGTCGCACGTCTGCTTTCTGTGCAGTAGGTTTAGAGCTCTTAGAAGCTATGTGCGCAACTAATGTATGCAGGTCTACTTCGTCGCATGGCTGTTGGATCTCCTCGCTCCGACATTCTTCTGCTTTCTCCTCGCCCTGGCAGTCTACCCACCATGCAGAGCCATGCTTTTCCCGCCTGCCCCCATCGCATTAGTTGATATGAACACGGGCGGCGTGCAGAAGCCCTCGGCGAATGTCCTCGGCTCACACGATAGTATCACGGGAGCTCCGGAGAAACTCAAGGGTGAAGCGGCCGAGCAAGAAGCCAGTAACATGATCACCAGCGTCGCCAGCGTTGCTGTAGGCAGCATTGCTGGTAAGCATGACCAGGCTACGCCCGAAGACGCTCCTTTGGAGGCTTCTGTGCCTGATGCTACGGATATCATTTCCGATACTGCTGATGCCCAGGCTACTGCGCATGGGGAAGTTCCGGCAGACAGTCACGATAAGACTAGACAGCCGATGAAGGAGACGGTTCTGAATGGGGCGAATCAGTTGATGCGGATTCTGAGTGATGTTATTGATACTTATGAGAAGATTGGAAAGTAAGCAAGCGTTGTGAGCTATGCACCCTGATGATACTGACCTGGATGGCAGCGCTCTTTCGCCAACATCGCCGTTTCCTGTTTTTAGGCCGTATGTACGGTTTGCGACTGTGTTGACCTCCGCTATACTAGTATCTTTGGTCACATCCAGCTATCTCTTTGTCAAGGGTGGTACTTTCATCGTTGGATTCGCCTTCTTCGGAGACCCGGTATTCTGGCGAGTTACTGCGTACTTGGATCGCAAGTACCCCGGATGGAAGCATCTCCTGCAGTTGCAAAAGTAAACCTCTCCACTCCCACACATGAACCCTAATATTAACTCCAACCAGCTCCCTCCTGAAAGGCGTCCCCACCAACGCCCAGCTCACCATAACCCTCCTTCGCATCGGCGAAGCAAACGCTGCGCCCCTCCCCCCACCTCCAGACCACTCACAGACCAAAGCCCCATCCCACCCGGCCTCCATCCACGCCGAAGACCTCACCCTGGGTGCCTCGACCGAAGAAATCCACCAAGCCGCATCACCCAGTGCCCCAGCGCCCTCTGCCCTAACGCCCTCTGCCCCAACGCCCTCTGCACCAAAACCCGCCCACCCCCCTAAACCCCAGAAACCATGGATCTCCTCCATCATCGGCTTCTTCCGCGGCACCACCGCCACCGGCATCCAGAGCAAACTAGCCGTCGACCGGGTCCGCGCCGCCGTTGGGTCCGGCCACGCCAAAACGCGCATCGGCATCCTACATCGCAAAGGCGTATCCACCTCCCCCTCGGGCCCCGTCGAGTTCGACGCCCGATACAAAGGCAAGCGCGGCGCCCTGGTCATCGACTCCTCGCTGGACCCGGCGGTGTTGTACTTCACGACGGACGACACGGCGCAGCTGGACCCGCGCTTGAGCAGTCGGGGCAAAGGCGCGGTGCTGTTCACGATCCCGGTCACGGAGATCCAGGAGATGAGGAAGATCGGGGGGTTGGGGTGGAAGGGGAAATTGGTTGCGGGGTGGGCGATGGGGAGTAAGGAGGTGGTTGATGGGTTGGTGATTGTCGGAAGGGAGGCGAAGACGTATCGATTGACGGCGATGAGGATGCGCAATCAGTTGTTTAATCGGCTGGTTGCGATTGATGGACAGGTTTGGGAGTGTCTTTGATTTTTTATGGATGTTTGCTAAGTTGATGCAGGTTTGGAAGTAATCTGTCGGGTTTAGTGTTGTTGTATAGGGTAGGCGTGGGTGGATGGGAATGGAACAGGGGGAAATTGGCTGCTGAACAGGGATATTCCACGGTCCTTATGATGTTCAGGTGTATTATGATTATTGTCTATGATGATACTGTCTAATTGATGTGCAATATGCAATGAAGGAATGTTGATGCAGCCTTATATGCGGTATTGGACCATCTCTCGATAGCCCAACAGCCTTTGATTCTGTAATGGATTCTTTAATTAATCGTTTGATCCTATATGGATAGACTCCTTTGCGTGTCCCCATACATCCTAATCGCCTGAACGCCGACTTTTCTTTTTCGCGCCTGAAAAGAACACCCCCACCCTGGAGCCATAGATAGCATGAAAAGGAAAATGAGAACGAAAGCAAATAATATCGATACCCCAGTATCCTCGGGTTGAAAAATCAGACATCCATGGGCTCAGCCTCCGAGACAAGTTCGCTCGCATCAGGCTGTTCGGGTTCGGGCTCGGGCTCGGGCTCGACGCCGTCCATTTCAGCCATGTCGACGGTATCGTCGCCTTCCCTTTCTTCGTCGTCGTCCTCGCCTTCGAGGTCGTTCTCACCTTCGCCTTCGCCTTCGCCTTCACCCTCGCCGTCGCCCTCCATGTCGACATCTGCGGTTCCTTCTTCGTCGGCTTCGGGTTCTTCGTCTCCTTCGCCTTCGCCTTCTCCCTCGCCCTCACCTTCACCCTCGCCCTCGCCTTCGCCTTCACCTTCGCCTTCGACGTCGTCAACGCCTTCTTCGCCTTCTTCAATCATCGTCTCGCCCTCCCCTTCACCAAGGTAGGTATCGCCTTCTGTCTCCCCGACCGGCTCAATGGTGATGTCGCCGTCGACGTCGCCTTCGAGCGCGGACATCTCCGATTCCGGGTCCTCCTGCAGGTTGGGGAACATGAGTTTGCGGTCCTCCGCGAGCTTGGACAGCTTCTCGTCGTCCATCTCGCTGAGCTCGCTTTCGTCGTCGGCGCTGTCATGCACGCTGTGCGGGATATCGCTCTGCTGGCCGGAGGTCGGGTCATCGGGTGCTCCTGCGCCGGCGGCTGGAGCGCGAGACGCAGGGTCTTTGGTCTGCTGGGGAGCCGATGTGATTGAGGATGGGTCGATCTGGTGATGGGAAGCGGGCTCTGTTTCGACAGGGGCGGGCGCTTTGCCGGTGGGAAGGCGCGGCGCCAGTTTGCGGTTGACGATGGTCTCGGCGCGCTTTTGGATGTCGCGACGGGCGATGCCCTTGGTGCGACCGCGCGGAGGGGCAGGGGCTTCGGATGTGGGCGCAGAGGTTGGGGGTGTTGGTGTGTCGGCGGCGCCGTCGCTGCCCATAAGCAGGTGATCGACTTTCATTTTCTCCTTGTTTTCTTCGTTGGCTTGCTCGAGGACCTGGGGCATGTTGATTTCGTAGTAGCGGGAATAGAGGTCGGCGATGAGGTCTTCGAGGAGCGACACTTTCATGAGGTTGTTGTTGAGCTTTTTCAGCTCGACGGCGTCCCGGAGTAGCTCGAGAAGGGAGGTGCTTTCGGGGGCGACCTGTTGGAGACTCTCGAGGCGAGCGGTGTTGACGACGAATTCCTCCCACCCGATGGGCCGGAAAACGCCTTCCTCGTGGCCCTCTGTGATGTTGCCGGCTCGGCGGATCACGCGTGCATAGGTGAGGCAGACGTCTTCCCACAATTTGGTGTGATTGAGGAAATCGCCTTGCTTCTTCCGCACTCGACGCAGCAGTTGGTCAAGATTTGCGCGGTCGTTGAGCTGGTCTAGAAGGGCGACGAAGAAATACACGTATCGCGTGGTGTAGACAAAATGTCTACCCGGACGCTCGTATTCAGGCCTCCAGACTTGGATAGTCATGGTCTTGGTGAAAATCTGCTGCGTGAGCTCGCCCTTGGCTCCGACGGCAGAATCGTCATCTTTGCTCTCATCGTATATAATATGGGCAGCCTATCGAGGTTAGTCTGGAGGTTCAGAAAGTACAATAAGAAGTTTGCCTACCCTGACAGCCATGCGGTGGTGCCAATTCGACTTGTCCGCATGCCGCAAATTCCGGACTACCGCAAGAATGTATGTCTTCCACGAGGCATTGTCCTCGGGGGGCTGGACCTTCCGAGCCCATGGAGTGGCCACCAGGGTTTTGCTTCCCTCAGCGGCCTAAAACAGTTAGTCTAGGTCAGATAGAGATCAGAGTAGTTCGTACCGTCAATGTGCCCTTTTGGACCAGTTTATGCACGATGGAAACTAGCTTGTAGTGAGGCTCGAAAATAGGCTCTGCGCGCGAGTCTTTCTTCTGTGGAAGTGCGTCGATGGCATCGAGCAGCGAGTCCAACAAATCATCAAGAGTGATCTGCTTGGCTCCCCCTCTAATGCTATCGTCGGCGCTGAACATCTTCCAGAGACATTTAGCGTACATATAGTGAGTCCTATATTAGTTAGACGCTGCGTTGCTGCTTGAGGGAAAAACACTTACATCCAACTCTTGGGTTTGTCGACAATCGCACGTTTGAGAAGATAGCTGGCCAGGTTCCAAACAGAATACAGCCTCATTTCCTTAAAGGGCTGGGCTTCATACATCTGCTGGTTTTCTTCTCTGTTATAATGCCGAGTGTAATCACTGAGGCTGAAGGCCCCCATGGACAAGGGCGCTCGTGAGGAAGAGTATAGCCGAATTCCGAAATCAGTATAGAGCTCAGACATGAGCGCCCTCGTCTCTGGCGTTGGTTCCGCATTTCTAATGGCAGTTGAAACAGCCATGGCATAACAATGAATCGCGTAGCGCTGGTACGTCACCAGCTCCATGCGATTGTTGTTGATCTTTTCGGCGGACCAAGTGATGTCTTCTTCAAGTTTCGAGTCATACGTTTGGGCCAGTCGATACCACGTCTCCCACCTTGCTGTGCCATGTTCCAGGTCTGATCGGAACCAACTCACAGCTTCATCGAGGTCGTTGGTGGGCACCGGATTCAAGCGCTTCTGGGAGCGAAACTTGGTCAGAGCAGTATATCCTAACAGAAAGTACCATCCATTCCGAGCGATGACCGCGCTGTCAATAGAAAGAGGAATCAACGCAAGGTCTTCCACTCCCCGTACAGAACGAAAGATTTCCGATGGATTCAGTGGGGACTTGAGATAAGCGGTTAATACGCGCTTGTTATATGATAGCGGTGGGGATGACTTGGTGTTGCCAATGGCCTGCTGCATCTTTTCGATGGTATACTTCAGCTCCGACTTCGACAAATCCTTGATGTTCATCTTCTTGGCTTGTTTCATGACAAAGTCGATCATCATGACCGCCGTGGCTTTATCGAGCTTCTCGGGTGGACACCCATGGTCAAGCAAGTAATTATCAACCGTTGACAGCTTGATACCGTGGATGTCGTAGAGAACCTGGCAGATGTCCAATCCGTAGTCTTCCTTATCATCCAGAGAAAGCAGTTCAGACTTCATCAGTTTCAGGAATTGCTTGTGCGAACGCTTGCACATTTTTCGGATACCAAGGGCGTTATGCACAGCACGGAGGTAGTGGATGCAGTCATCAAGGGGTGTATCAAAAATATCGGCATTTTGCGCAATGGTTTCCTTAAGAAGAGTGTACTGTAAAATCCAGCAACGGACATACGTTTCGCGAAGCTTGTCCTTGAAACCTTCCAATGACTTGGCTAAAGAGCCGCGCAACTCGGGACGAGAAACCTGACCAACGCGGACGGAATCTTCGTACAAAACGAGGCCATGAAGGAGTTTTGTCAGACGAGCTATGGCGCACATCGAGGATTTTAGATGATCCATGTCAAAGCAGTCATATGCCTTGGCTTGCTCTTGCAAAACCGTCGTTACGGTCTTATTCAAAATTCCCTCGAGCATTTTGAGCCATCGAAGCAAGATCACTTGGCGGTGCTCACTGGGCTCTTGGAGATGTGCCGTACCCCAGAGCTCCTTCATGATAACTTCGATACTCCTGAAGTAGCAAGACACAACCTTCGGGGGATATTCGATTTCCTTGTAAGCGTCCTGAAGTCGCCTCCACAAGAACAGCCGCAAGGTGGCATCGCCTCGGTCCAGGAACGAGCCCATTTCATGAAGCTGCGAGTTTGGGCCGACAAGTTGCTGTTCTCCTGAGCCATCCTCCTCGGTGAAATTAACAGAAGAAGGCTCCAGAAGTGGCTCTATTGTTTCAATGAGACTCACGGGTTCCTTTGACTCGGGGTTGAAGATTTTTAGGAAAAAGTCCATGGACTTCAGTTTCGAGATCTCTTGATCAATTGCCTCAAGGGATATTTCCGGCATCACAGCATTATTGACCAAGCCAATTAATGGATCGTCTAGACACCCGAGCAAGCGCTGAAGTTCCTCGAGACAAAGCAAGGTATGGTCCCGGTGGGCATCAGTCGTCATGTTCGAATGGAATGTTGACGTCCAGATATGACGTAGAAGCATGGATTTTTGATGATCTCCTTGGGGACTGTGATCCATAAAATGTGTCAAAGCAGTTCGGGCCAGAGAGCACCATCTGTCTAGACGATCACGCTGCATAATCCGTCCCCCGGCATTCACCTCACTGTTTGGGTTGTTGATAGATGCATAAACATCGAGTTGCAGCTCGAATATCGTCTCAATCATCTCCAGATGAGCGAAGTGGTCCAGGGTGTAGTTAAATTGGGATCCAACGGCAGCGCTGATAACATTACGCTCAAGGTCTTCCACCTGACGGCACAATGTTCTATAGAGATACTCGTCTTCGTTCAGCAGAACCTGGACTACCGTCTCCTTCAACTCGCTGGGCCATTGGAATAGCGCATATGTCGATTTCAATAGAGGAAAGCTGGATGAATCAGGAACATGTTCTGCAGCGAATCGTCCGTACTCCGGCATGAGAAGGCACTTAAGCCACTCAAAGGCTACATTGTGAATATTCAAACTTCCATCGTTGACGGTATTGAGTAGATGGATCAGTTCTTCAACCCTAGTGAGGACTTGCTTGATGCCTAGTTTTCGAGCGGACTTCCTTGAATGCTCGAGGAATATCGCCAGTCCGGATTTACCCATGCCTTGAATGTCTTGAAGGGCCGAAAAATTGTCTCCCTGTAAGATTGCCTGGGTCTTCCCTTCATCCCAGCTTTTCAGAGCACTTATGAGATCTTGATGCAGTGAGCATTCAATCTCGCGGGCCGCGGAAACCGCCGAATCTTTGCCTTCGATGAGATGTGAATGGTGTTTCCGCAGCTCTTCAATGCCTCCAAGCTCTTCGACCCCAATCTTGGAGAACAATGAATTTGCCGTGTTAAACATCCATTCATCAGCCTGAGTGTAACCTTCTAGTTGATCCTCGTAGTACTTGGTCTGATCAAAGGCAACGTCCTCGGCTTGCAGCGATGCTTCCGCATTCGATTCCCTGAGCCGTGTTCGTCTGCTTTTGGCCCTAATACGCTCCGCCTGGTCTTCAGTTATGGCGGAAGCCGAGGAGCGCTTCCTAGGAGCGCTGGACGATTTGGGCTCTACTTCATCGGCGTTCGGAAGCTCCGGTCGATTCGGTATTTCGGGACTATGTGACGACTGCACCTCCAGTGACTCCATCAGCTGCTTTTCTGCCCGCTGGTCGATGGATGAATGATCATCAGTCTGTTCTTCGGGGGCTTCCAATTTTAAAGGTTGGCTAGCTTGAGTTGGACTTTGATTATCGCCTTCTGATTTGCTGACTTCCTTCTTGTTTTCGGCTGCAGCCTCTTCGTGTGACTTCGAGGATTGATCGTTGGTTGATACTTCTCGAGTTGAAATAGCTTTCATCTCGGGGCTGAGAGCAGGTAGGGAGAAGCTGATTCGGGAACCGGTAGAAATGCCATCCGCCTGTGCCTTGTCGCTGAGGGCTTGAAGAATGGCTCTTCCAGCAGCGGCCCATGTTAGGATAGGAATTTTGATCTCATGACCAGACAGATGTGAGTTAAGAGGGCGCTTTGTGGGGTCTGCATTCTCCAAGCTTTTCGGCAGGGCAGGCAGATAAGGATAAGGGTCACTCTGGGGCTTGAGGAACCTGAGCAGAGATTTCTTCGGCTTCCTCAGCGGTACCTGCGCCGCGGATATCTTGTCTTCTAACGACAACAGTGTCTCCCGGAGATGCTCTTCCGCAAAGGTCTCCTCCAAGCCCAATTGCTCATTCCGAACCTCCAAGCGATTCTCATCATCCGCCAGTACACTTTCCAGACAGTACCGCGCTAACCGATAGCTCTGCAGAGCACTGCACAGTCTTGCGCTCTGCCTCCAGAGGTTGAGGTCTGTGTCATCCCGCTCCAGAGCTTCGGCAAAAGAGCTTAAAGCTTTGTTCGCACGCTCAGCAATAGTCGTCGATAGTTCCTTGGCCGAATCGTCGGAGTGCGAGGCATCTTCGATGGATGCCCGCAGAGAATCCAGGGTGTACTGTCCGTGGTTCTTGTAGGAAAGGTAGATGGTCTGCAACAACGTGCTGGACGTCGAATCGTTGATATCGAATTCGGCTAGTGGCTCCGCAGCAGTCTCCCCAGCAAGATCCTCCCCTGCCAGCTGAATATCCGAGTCCTGCAGTGCATTCCTTTTGTAGTCGGAGAGGGACTCCGGGTACTTGAATATCTCCGAGTTGAGCAGCGCATCGTAAGCTTCGGCAGCTTCGTCGAAGAACGGGGGGCCTTGGGAGTGGAGCTTCAAGGCATTCTGGTAGAGCTTGAGGGCCTCTTCGATCTGGATTTCCTTGGTATCGTCGACCTCCTCCTCGATGGCCTCGTCCGGCTCGATGTTCAATGCGACCCAGCTCGACATTGCGCAGGTTATTTCGGCCGCGAAGTCCGGAAGCGGGGCGGAGTCGACACCATGTCAGGACAGCTGCAATCTGGATGGGCGGAAGTATGGGATGGGAACGGAGAGTCGTCGAATGGCCAAGGTAGGAAGATTGTGGAATGGCAGAATAGAAGAATAGAGGAGGAAGCCGTGACGGCAGACACGCATCACGCGTTCCCCCCGGAATCGAATTGCCCGATCGAGCCAAGGGCGGTGCCTGAGGACACAGCCCAGACTGATCGCCGGCCGTGACGACGACTTGGGCCTGGAAACCTGAACGGCCCTCGCTCTCCTGCGCCATCTGTCCTCTCCTGCTCGAATTGTCCTGCGTCCGACCTCGACTGTCTAGCCCCTTCTTTCTGCACCCCTGCGTCTTGTCTGCGCTCCTGCAAGCGCCATGGTTGCGCCAGCTGTCCCCGAGTAGGTGTCCCCTCGCCCCGGACAACAACAGTGAACCACTCCGGTCCATGCGTGCTTTGCGACTTGGTCTCTAAATCAATTGTGTACAGGATCTACGAGGAGGATGAGATCTATGCCGCTGTCGATGCGCGCACCGAGTCCTTGCAGAACCTGCGAGAACTAGGACCCCCCGATTTGGTGTATTTGGTCAAACAGCCCAAGACCAACTCCACTCGCCAGGTACGTGTTTACAAGGTTTGGTGGCTGTGGATGCCTCTGAACTAGCATATGAGATCACATTCAATTGAGATGGGACGAGTGAGCTGACCGATATGCGATGGAACAGACCGGTGTTTATCACCATGTCACCGGCATCGACGCCTCCTCCTCCGCCAGTCTAGCCGCCTATGTAAATACGCTTACCTTCTCTCCTCTTGATAAAACACACAAAGTGGTTTCGGGAACCTACTGGTCAGGAATCAATTCGAAGTGCTCTCCACGGGCCCCCCTGGTTAACGAATGCGCAGTTGCTACAATGCCTTCTCCCACCTGGACATGCGAGTCGACGTGAAGATCCCCGGAAGTCTGGAAAGTTACTGCATCGACGAGCGCGGCGATAAGCGCGTTGCGACAGAAGCACTATGGCTGGAGACATTCCTCTGCGGGGTTCTGCGGGCCTATACCTATGCTGACGACGGCAGCGGTGATGCGATCAGGAAGATTGTCGGAGTTCGTCGGTTCAACCCGGTCACAAACACGGAGATGGAGCACAAGTTCCTGGACGCGGCGGAGCGTCTCTTCTTCTTGGGTAGGTTCTCGACTTTTGATTGCAATGTTTGTACTAACGGCTATAGGCCGGCAACTTAGCTCCGACCCCGAGACACAGGTACCGAACACGGTCAGCAACCACCTCACAACCGGCCTTTTGAAGTACATCCAGACGACAGGACGCTATACATCGGGAATCAATCTCTTCGAGAAGCTGCGGACACGCGACGTGGAGGTCTCTTCGTTGTTGACGCGGGTTCTTATAATGGCGGATGAGGAGGTACAAGCGGTGCGGTTGATGTACGATGCCCTGCAGGACGTCCCCATGGACTATGCATTGCTCGATTGCCAGGCCACGTTCTGTCAGGAGAAAGGCGAGGGAGAAATGGCATTGGAGTGTGCCAAGCGCGCCGTGACCGCTGCGCCCAGCGAGTTCAGCACGTGGGCGCGACTGGGAGATGTCTACGTGGGACTCGAACAGTGGGATCTGGCGCTTCTGACGCTCAACTCGTGCCCCATGTTCACCTATCAGGACAAAGACACCCCTCGCATGCCTCAGCCGTCGCGCATCATGCTGCCTATTCTTGCCGAAAGTATGCTGGACGAGATCGACGAGGGCCAGCCCCGACAGGGAGACCCTCACGACTACGTCCATCCGTCGCTGCGCAGACTGCATGCTGCAGCATACCAGGGTACCTTCCTCAAGGCCTACAATCTCCTGACCAAGGTTGCCGCCGCTATCGGATGGGACCAACTTCTCAAGATCCGCAGCGAAGTGTTCGTCATGGAGGAGGAATACCGGGTCGAACGACAGCACTCCGTATCAAAGCCCGACGCCTCGTCTGTAGCCGAGACCAACGGCGATGGAGAGCACGAAACCGAGACCGATGCAGACGACGACCACGCGACGACCAACGGGACCAGTGAACAGGGCCACTCCATCGAGAGACCAGAACAAACGGTGGCATCGGAAGTGGTCAAATCAGGAAACGAAGACGTAAGCCATCCAAACCAATGACTACCACATCTCTCCTCTAACCCACCACAGCCCGACCCGTCACACTCGTCCTACGCGCAATTCCGCAACAAGCGCCTCTGCGAGAGATGGCTCGACAACCTCTTCATGGTGCTCTACGAGGACCTCCGCATCTACACGATCTGGCGCACCGAGATGGCCCAATTCCGCCAGCAATCCATCGAGTACAAGAAGTCCGCCACCGAGTGGGAGATTCTCGGCGAGCTGGCTGAACGCCTGCACCACTTCGACGAGGCCATCGAGGCCTACCAGCAGTGCCTGGCCATCCGGTTCTCGCCCAAGGCCATGCGCGGGCTCCTCAAGCTCTACGAGAAGCGCAACGATACGCGAGGCATGCTGGGTGCTCTGATCCGTCTCATTGCCTGGCAATACCGTTGGTATTCGGAGGTATGGCCCCTTTACCTTCACTCTCAACTACCAATCCAATCATCCTGACCATTGACTAACACGGACCAGTTCTCTCCCAACCTCCTCTTCCTCATCCGCAAACTCATCGAAGACGAAGGCGCCGTCAAGGTGCGCAGCATCGTCCAGGCCACGAATCTGCCCCAGCCCGTTCTGGACCTCACGCATCAATACTGTCAGCTGTGTGCGACGTTCCGCAGCAGCGGCAGTGACGGTTAGTTAGCTAGCTAGTGTTAGGCAGCGATGCGGACGAGCCCGACAAAAAGAAAGAAAAAAACTGAAGGTATACCACCGCCATCCTGTCCGACTGTAGAATTATACACATTCAACCCGTGCGGAGGAGGCGGAGTGAAGAGGAGAGAAGGATGGAAGGATGGATGGAGGGAGGGATTTGTCTTCTGCTTACTACTTATTACCTTTACCTTCTAACCTACGTATTTATTATATGAAATGAGGCGATGTGCTCTCATCGAGGTTGACGACTCTGTTCATGTCTTTTTCACCTTATATTTTCGATGTGTCTATTTATTCCATTCTATTATCTTTCAATTCCTAATTACTTCAACTTACCTAGTCCTAGTCCTAGTCCCCTTCTCATGTCGGGATCCAAGTCGTACGTGTACGTGGCTCGCTGGCAAGTGAGGGTCTTGTGCCCCCGGCGTTAGGGCTTTGTTACAGAAGCATGTAGGAATTTCTGCGCGAGGGTACCCCAATGCCTGTCTGTGCTACGTCTCTCCGGGAAGAAAGAATGTGAAACAAATTGTTCCTTTTTTCTCAGAGTACCAGGTACTACCTACCTAGCATCTATATAGTTACTAGGTCCTAATAGCAACATTACTCAGGACAAGATCACAGTTATCAAAACAGAACAAAACAAAACAGAATAGATACCAAGCCACACCAGCTGACCAGATAGGAAAAAGAATAAAAAGCGGGAACCCCAGCATTAAGACTCCTCGTCCTCGTCGCCGATATCAACCTCGGGTTCTTTGGGAACAGTGTCGCCCTTGGCCTTCGCAGCCGCTGCCGCGGGACCGCTGGTTTTGGACGTTTCTGCGGGCTCTTCTTCCTCTTCTTCTTCGGGTTCAGGCTCTTCCTCTTCCTCATCCGCTTCTGCGTCGTCTGCAGCGCCATTCTTGCTGGTGTCCTTGCCGTTTTCTTTTACCTCCTTGTCTTCGCCTTCTTCCTCTTCAGGCGCAGGGGCGGTCTTGCGTTTCTTAGGAGCAGGAGCTATAGATAGAAAGAGTGGTGTTAGATAAGGTCTCGCAATAGGTAGATCGAAGCGAGCAAGTGGCTTACCTTTCTCTGGAGGAGCTTCCTCTTCTTCTCCTTCGTCTTCTAGCTCATCCTCTTCAGAGGCAGCCTCCTCGTCCTCTTCGCCCACATCGCTACCTAGATCAGACTCCTCATATCTATGAGAATCAGTCAGCAAGTGTACGATCCCTGAGGTAGAAGGACAAGTGTTCGAGGGAATTTCTCGGGCGATGCGAACGCCAATGACGTAACGAGGTTCCGAGCGCGAAAAGAATAGTTCCCAACCAGGCGCGCAGCTGATAACAGCTATGCGACATGGATAAAGGGTGATATGAAGATAAGAAAGGGACAGGGAAGGGAGAAGAGAGATGGTTGAAGGGGAATACCATGGCGCGCATCAGTATGAGTGAGACAACTTACTCTTCTTCTTCACTCCCGCTCTCATCGCTGGGGAGAGCCTGGAGCTCTTCCGGCTCTTCGGCCTCCTGCTTTCTCTTACGGGTGGACATGGTGGTTTAAAGGAATTATAGTAGACGAAGGTAGGAAAATAAAATAGAGCGCACTTATGCGACACAAGACCCGGTCAATGGGCGCAAGATATACAATTAGAAGAGTCTCAGAGCCGAAGGCGCAATGGGAAGAAATTAACAATTAAGAGAAATCCGAGGGGGTGGAAGGGAAGGGGGAGAGGGAAGAGGGAAGAGAGAAATAAAAGGCGCAACGCAGGGCAGGGCAAGGGAGTCAGTCAGTCTACAGTCAGGTCAGTCGCGGCAGCCGCCTCTCCCAACCGCAGACGAGGGAAGGGGGGGAGAGATCGAACGGAATGGGAGGGAGAGAGCCGCTGGAGGGCGAGCGAGCGAGCTGAGAGGGGGAAGCAGAAGCCCACCGGTCAGCAACCACCAGAAAACATGGACCAAAGCCAAAGCCAAAGCCGGAGCTAAGCTGTCGCACATTGGCAACTTGGGGGGCCGTCGGGTTAGCCAGTCGATGGAAGTGCGGATAAAACCTCCCAGCGTGGATAATCATGACGACGGTGACGCGACGATCTCGGTACCGTCCACTGGGGAAAGGCCGGCTTGGAATTGGGGGCAACAGGAGCGATGCCCGGACCATTTCCCGTGTGAAGGACTGAAGCAGCATGGGGAAGTGGGCGAGCAGGGAGTGGGTGGAAACTGAGTGGTGAGTGCGTGGAGAATTGACGAGGAGTCTGCCAATAATGATGATGTCAGCTGTTTGCGACTATCCCTAATTGGGCAATCGAGGTGGTTGCCTCGGGGTAAATTACGGTAACTTACCGTACGGGCTGCGCGTCCCTGCGGCTCCGACGCTAAACCGTCTTGGGACGCGTCGCGAGCACGGACCCTCGGCTGGCGAAGTATAGAATCTCACGGATGAATCGGTTATTGCGCCAAAAAATCAAAGTTCGCCATGCTGGGATCCAGGAGGTTCTCGTCCAGCCCAAACCCATAGGTGCCGACCATGTCGTAAATCAAATCAGGCGGCGGGAAGCCCTGCGCCATCGCATTCGCGCCCCCAGGCACCTCGCCCCCCGGTCGCTCCGCAGGCCCTCCGACCGCGGTATTCCCCGTCTGCCACGAGGTCTCCCAGGAATCAAATCGCTCAAGCATCTTCCCCAGCCCCCGCGCAATGTGTCGCGTGAGGTGTCTCTCGCCGGCGGAAACGCAGTTCAGCAGTTCGATCACCCGCTCGACCAAAATGCGCACCTGTCGGCCGTCGAGACTCAAATACGCCGAGTTCCAGTTCACGGCCACCTTGAGAAGGAACACCGCCGAGAAGGTGACCATGGTATGGGTAAAGATGGGGACGCCTACAATGGCATCTCGGATGTCCTGTTCCTCCAGGACCATGTTCAGACACGCCATAGCAGACGAGATGGCAATGTTCGCGGACTCCTTGCGGTCCATGGAGAACACGGGAGTGTTGGATGGCGACAATGCCCGCAGAGATAGGGAATTCAGCTGAAACTTGGCAAAATGGTAGTGCAGCACCACCCCTTTCGAAGGGTACGTCCGCACATAGGGGCTATCGGCTAGAGTATCGCGAGGAAGGGCTAGTCAGCTAAAGTGCCAATCGTCAAGACCGGGCAATGGACTCACCAGATCGCGGTTGCCAGAGAAGCCGCCACTGATCAATGGCAACGTTGTAAACTCGCAACTGACCAAAGTCCTCTTCGGTTAACGCCTGTTCCGTGTCGCTTCCAAACATGCGATAGGCTTCGGTCAGTATCATGAACAAGCTGACCTGAGCCATCAGCCGGATATCGCCGGGGACGACTGTCGGGGCTTGCAGGAACGCCTCGTAATTCTTAATGGCAGCATCCTCGTGGATCACCGGAGGGCGCCCATATGCGATGCTAAAATGGTGATCGCAAACATATAGCAGGTACCACAGCTGGGCGCGCTCGTACTGATCGCTATGCCCGCGTATCATTTTCTGGTGACTTTGGTGGAGACCCAATTCCGTGGCAATTCGCACTGCATGACCCGATAGCTTCCAGCTTAACTCAGACAGCCAAAAAGCCCCCACGCAAAGTCCGCGGATATCGTCCAGGGTATGAGCCCTTGTTAGAGACATGCTCGAAACAAGCGAGACGTACTCGCTATAGCAGCGGTTGAGCGTTTCCGTACGATTCGGAATATGCAACGCAGCGACAGTAAGAACGGCCGCTGAAAGCAGGGTCGACGCTCGGCGCACGGAGGTCAGATCTCGATGAACTAGAATTATGCCTCCCCACAACAGTTGATTCATTGTCCGGCTGAAATACGCAAAGAGCTCCTCGGCCTCATGCAGGGAAATTATCCCTCGCGAGATGAAGTCCTCCTCCAGCAGAGTCAGCTTGGGCTGCTGGATGGGGTTACTTCGTAGATTTCTCAATTTGGTAACTTCGTACAGACTCCGCATGGGAGCCGGTACCAGCTCCGGGCTTTGAAGATCAGGTTCTTGGGAGTGCTCCCGCGCCACGTCCATCACTGCCCCCGGCCCATTATGCTCAGTGTGGTTTTGCGTGGGTTGCGGTTCATCAAAGACGAGCGGATGCTGGGATACGACGGGACTGGGGTCGTTGTGAATATCGCCCGATGCGAAAGCCGAGAGATCTTGTAGCCCTGACTGACGAAGGAGGTGGGAGACGGCCGCTTGGAGCTGGTGGATCGTGGCTGTTGCCTGAGACTTCCATCTAACACAAGATCAGAACCGGGAGCAGGATGCAAGATGACCCTCCACGAGCACTTACACTCCATCGTCATCAACAAACTTCTGCGAAAAGTCGTTCACCACGCATTTAAGCCCACTGCGTAGGCATTTGGTGCAACTCGTTTCGCCCGGTTTGAATTCGCATCGAATCTTATGACGTTTGCAATCGGCGCCTGCAGGTTCCTCCAATTAGTATGTATGCCTTTCGTGTGACTTGCAGGTCCGTCCCGTCTAATAGGGAACTGACAGGCACGAGCCTTGGAAATCCTCGGTACAGGACTTCGTCCGTCAGGGACCACGGAGGGACGACGGTCATCTCTCCGCGGAGAGTCTAAGCCGGCATCAGAGGGCGACCGCTTCATGACTGCAGCTTCTGATTGATTGTAGGAAGTTGTTGACTAAGATGATTCGATGGCGATGATCGGGGATACTCCGGCATCCTGCAGCGGCAATGCGATCGCAATTGGCGAGGGGAATCTGCTTAATGGAGATGGTGTGAAAATAGCCCGCCTCTAACTTTTCATACTCAATTGGATCCCATTCCAGTATGAATAGGTATGATCCGGCGATGGTGAGCAGGGCGATAAGGCGTAAAGGAGGGGAAGAAGGACGCGGGGAGAAGCGGCAAACAAAGCGAAACCCCGCATCGACGGGCTGGACTTTTGTCATCGCATGATCTCTCCACGACCGGGTCGACATTTACTTTATCTCTACCGTTACGATAGATCCATCTTCAATCTACCAAAGTCGATGCTCATACCTCGTTGATGAGACAGGAGAGTGAGAGTGATTTCTGCCTGATCCCCGATCGAAATGGATCCACCAGTACCCCTGTTTCGCTCGTACATCCATCCATCCCCTCATCACACATACACATCCGAGCAAGACGAGATGTCTAAACTCCCAGGATGACCGGTGCAAGTCCGGGTGCGGAGACACGCGAGCTAATTCAAACAAGTTCATTAATTTTCCTTTCACTGAAGGCCTCGGAGTTGGTGCGACCCCACCACGAACTGCAAACTACATCATTCCCTCGTCACGCCAACACTTGATCGCTCCAATGTAAACTCTCATTCCCAGTGCATCGCCCAGCCGACATGAACATTCTCATCACCGGAGCCGCCGGCTTCATCGGCCAATTGCTCGCCAAAGAACTCCTCAACGACCCCTCGTACCAACTCATCCTCACCGACATCAACGAACCTCCAATTCCCACAGGCGTGAAATATCCCCAGAATGCGCGCGCCGTGACCACCGACCTCCTCCGCGGGGCCGACTCCGTGGTCAACAAGTCCCTCGACGCCGTATACGCCTTCCACGGGATCATGTCGTCCGGGTCCGAAGCGAACTTCGAGCTGGGGATGAGCGTGAACGTCGACGCCACTCGCAACCTCCTCGAGAGCCTGCGCAAGACTTGCCCCGGGGTCCGTGTCATCTACTCCTCCAGCCAAGCCGTCTACGGGCAACCGCTACCCGAAGTCGTCACGGACAGCGTCATCCCGACGCCTCAGTCGTCCTACGGCGCAGAGAAAATCATCTGCGAGACGCTCGTCAACGAGTACACGCGCCGCGGGTTCATCACGGGCTTTGTGCTTCGCTTTCCCACGATCTCTGTGCGGCCGGGCCGTCCAACGGCTGCGGCGTCGTCGTTTCTGTCCGGCATGATCCGTGAGCCGCTGGACGGCGTGGAGTGCGTGATTCCGGTGGAAGACCGGTCGTTCAAGTCGTGGCTGTGTTCACCGCGCACGCTGGTGCATAATTTGATTCTCACGCTGGGATTACCTGCGGATGCAGTGCCACCTCATATCCGCCAGATCAATGTGCCGGGGATCTGTGTCACGATCCAGGAGATGATGGATGCGTTGGAAGCGGTGGGCGGGAAGGACAAGCTGGCGTTTCTCAAGGAGAAGGAGGATCCCTCGCTCAAAGCTATCCTGGACTCGTGGCCGACTCGGTTCGATAACGCGCAGGCGATCTCGTTGGGATTCAAGCGAGACGCGTCCTTCGAGCAGGCGGTTAGAGACTATCGAGAGGAGATGGCGCAATGAAGTGGGAGTCCGTTAAGAGGTTGATCTTGTTCAACCTTGGAATTGTACATATGCCTTCGTTTCGACTTGCATATAGCACATCAATTGGGCAGTTTACAATAGACACCAAAATGGCACGATAACCGAGAAAGATACTCTCCCAGTTACTTTCCCCCTTCAATATCACTCACAACGTATGGATGGAGAGTAAGCAGCGCAGGATCGTATGTGATCAAACAAAATTAAAGAATCCGTTAAAGAAAGATCAAAACATAAAAACAAAAATTGGTATCACTGATCAAACCCCCAAGAAACGCCTCCCATACTGTACAGGGTCAGAAGAAAAGAAAAAGGGAGAGCAAGAATCTAAATATCCTCCTCCGGAGCCAAGTCCCATCTCCGGGTGGCCATCTTTCTCTGCTTCTTCCCAGGAGAGCCAGTGGATGGCTGTGCGGGCGAAAACATGCTATCGGCCAGCTTCAACTGGTCCATTCTCTTCAGCGCTTGATCGATGTCGCTTTCGCGGCCGAGAGCGTTGGTGCGGGTGGGCTCGAGAGGCTTTTTAGCCTTGGACTTCTTCGTGGGAGATTGGCTGTTCAGTTCACGCTCCAGGGCGGCGATCTTGCTGCGGAGACGCTCGTTCTCGTATTCGAGCTCTTCGGTCCGGTCTTCTCTGGACGAGGGTGGGTCTTCGTGGACTAGGGGGTTTGTTAACATGGCTTGGGTGTCTGGGAGGGTGTAGCAATTGGAAACTCACTTTGGAAGCCCCGAGACAGGAGCTCGATCTTCTTGTCAATATGTTCGTCATTGTGATCGGCCTATGTTGGTCAGCGGCAGCTCAGATACTAAACAGGATGATGGAGTTTCTCACCTGCTCTTCCAAGGCAGTCTGCCATCTTCTCCTCTCCTCTTCCATGCGCTGATCCATTTCGGCCCAGCACTCTTCACGAACTTCTTGTTCGATCTCGAGACATTGCTCTTCGCTAGCACTCAGCTTCATTTCCAACTCGGCGCGCATGATTTCCTCCTCGCCGAGCTTCATGGTCAGGTTGCCATTCTCTTTCGTGAGCCGTTCGATCTCAGCCAGGGCGCTTTCGAGCTCTTCACTGGCGGCCATGTTGGGAGAGTTGCGACCGTGTTCAGATGACTTGTATGACTCGACAGAGCTGGAACGCGCGGATTCAGCGACAGACGGGACTCGAGGCACTGCGACTTCTCGAGCGAGAGCGGAGTAGCGCAGGATTTGCGACGTGGCGTTGTAGTCGCCCAGAGGGTCAGCTGTGACTACCATGATGGCCTTTTGGGGATGACGAGTAGGTCCCGACGATTGGTTAGACGGGAAGGAGTTGGAGAACAGCAGCTCGGTAAGCTTGCACTGTCTAAATGGCACCATCGCAGTCTACCGGTGTCAGCTAGTTTCTCCGGAGCCCAGGTCACGGCATACATACCTTGTTCTTGTCCTGCATATCACTCTGCATCTGCAGACACTGCCCCAGGTACATCAAACTTTCGTTGATCTTGCCTGCTTCAGCGAGAGTAGATCCAGCGGTCTTTGCGGTTCTCGCGCGCTCAGAACCTGGCAATGATTAGTATTACCGAAAATCGGCAAAATCAGTTTCTGAACATACCAGCAAGATCCGCCACCGTGAGTGTATTTCCAATCCAGGTTTCCTCGCCGGTTCTCTTGTTTCGCATTCTTCTCTTAACTTCAAGGCAGAAAAATCCGTGACTGCGTGAGCTGACGCTGTTGGCACCAGTCCCTGTGACCTTACGCTCGGTCAGACCGACCTCCAGAATCGCCAGGGCCTCTTCATAGGTGCTGCAGGCGATCTTGCGCAGACCAGCAACAACCTTTCGGTCAGGAGACCCTTCCGTGGACTTGAAGAACAGGGGCCTTCTTCGGTCTTTCTGGGCATTTCCGCCTTGACGGGACATGGTGCTGCCCTGGCCGGGGACGATGGCTGGCGACAAGAGGTCGAAGATGCGGTCATTGTACACTTCGTACATCGACACCAGAACAATATACTCCGAATGAGGGTTCAAGTCCACAGTGAGGTGGGTTACGTCCGGGGATCGTGGCAAGGCGTTGGAACGTTGGGGTAAGTTTCGACGAGGGAAGATAATCGCGGGCGTGGGTTCCTTTAAATTTCGAAGGGATGATTTAGCATAGTTCATACTGGGCAGTTGGAATCTTGTAGCAAGGGCTGATGGGTGAATCCATGTCTTTCTCTTTGTGGGGCTACCATTGGGACTTTGAGTACCAAAATAACTTGGGGTTGTGGGCGTTCTATGTGGGGACCTGTCCATTGGGGTTCTGGGGGTGCGAGGCCGCAGGGTATGGATCCTTCGTAAAGGAGTTTGGGGGAATGGGCAGCATACCGCCATAGGTGTGTTTGCTCTTCCCGAGCTCATGGGAGTTTGGGCTCGAGAGTTGCGGCCTCGATCGGCAGGGTCACCGTAGACAGCTTCCAGGAACGACTGGGCTGTGAACATCTGGGATTCGCAAGGGTCCGACGCAGAGACAGTCGAGAGAAGGAGAGGGTTGATGGAGTTGTCGGGCGGCTTGATCGTAGATTCCAAGGACTTGAAGATCACGTCGAGACTCATTTGAGTGAGACCTTTCTGAGTCTTTGATCCTAGAATTGTGTGACTCTAGATGGGGCATTAGTACTTTTCGTCCAGACTCTGTCAGATATCCTACCTTTCCACTTCCGGTCACGCCCAGCGTAGCCACAAGGCCATCTCTTCCCTCGGTAAGGACACCTCTGATGATAGATTCCAACCCGGTATCTTCGAAGACGTTCAGCTGAGAGGAAGACTCCTCAAAGACCTTGGTGAAGCCAAACTTCTCCACAGCACGCTTCCTGACATCACTGGGAGGCTGAAGAATGATCTGAGTAGGGCCCGACGGAATCTGATTCGCTGGCTCCGAGGTATCGACCGTCAAGCAACGTTCAACGTGGTCATCCTGTTGTTGCGAGATTGGAGGGCGCAGGCGGAGGTAAACCTGGAAAAGGGACGGCTGAGGGGGCTTTGCTGAACTCATTGTTGCTGAAGGTGCTCTGCCGCTGGTGTCGAAATGGCGAAAAGGCAGAGATTGGCGAGGTTGACAGACGAAGAAGCAGAGAAGAGTCCAGAGTATGACGGTCGAGGTCAAGTCACGTTGGTTCTGGTTGCCTTCCGTATCGGGTTAGCGCATGTTGGCCGGGCAACGCTTCCCCAAAGGGTAATCCGGGGTTTCTGCCTGCATAACCAGGCACCACTCTTGGGCCACCCCCTCAAACACCTGTCAGCCTTGTCCTTTCGAAGATGTTAACTTTGTTCGCCCCAAGTGATGACTCAAGTCCTGATACGAACCCTTCTGCCCCATGACAGGATGATCTGTTGTTCGGGCACTGGCACCAGGTTCGCAGTGCCCTGGACTCAGCCTTGCTCGTATTCGCTACGTCGGCGGCACCCAATCGCAGGCGATTCTGCGGACCCAGCCAAAGATGAAAAAGCTGGATAAGCAATTTAGCTTGCCGCTATATCTTATTGTCTCCACTGAGGTCTCGCGGTCTTCAGAGGCTTGGTTCTGGTGCAGAGGATCTCGTTTTCCTCATTAGGTAGTCTCGTGTTCGCTAGAGCCTGCGTCCATCTGAGCATCATGCTGTTCAGAGTATATATACGGGCATCATGACTTCGACAGTTGCTATCCTGTACGATTAGAATTACAACTCATATACCTTACTTTACCTGGACTACAAATACCCATACTGGCTGCTGAGCTGAATATATCTATTTGAACGACCTGCCGCAACGCATCATGACAGTTGAGAAGCGATCGAGTTACCGTGGGTCCCAGCCATCTATGGACATCATAGCCAAGGCTAACTGCGCACAGAGGAAGGGAGTCTCTGGTTCTATGCACCCAACAAAGGCGCACCCATTGCCTTTGCTATCCTTTTTGCCATCTCCGGGATTTTACATGGGTACCAATGCCAGTAAGTAAAGGAACCCCGAATCCATGTCATAACTAACAGAGTCAATGCAGCAAGTACAAGTCCTGGAAGGTGACCGGCCTGCTGCCGTGGTCTGCGCTGCTTTTCACGGCAGGGTTTGTGATGCGCACGATTGGGGCTTTTGAGCATTGGGATGACTTGGGTATTTACATTTCCAGCACCGTTCTATTGCTAGCAGGGCCGTAAGTTCCTTTTCTTCTCTTTTTTTTTCTCTTCCCTTCTCTTTTCTTTTTTATCGATCTTTGTCACGGAAAACTGACCATCATAGACCCGTCTACGAGGGAGCCAACTTTTTCATCTTGGGCCGCATCCTTTACTATATTCCGTATCATTCGCCCATACACCCCGGCCGCGTCTTCACCACATTTGTTGCCATGGGAGTCATTATCGAAGTCCTGACAGCCAACGGAGCCGCGCTGGTGGCCAACACGTCGAATCCGGAGGGCACTCAGAACACGGGCAAGGCGCTGCTCAAGGCAGCCCTCATTCTCCAGATCGCATTGATGGTCGGGTTCATGGCTCTGGCCTCGAAGTTCTACCACAACTGCTCTCGCGCGGGTGTTTTGAATGTGAAAGTCAAGCGGGCTCTTCACGTTCTATTCTGCAGCTGCGTCCTCATCACCATCCGAACGATTTTCCGGACCGTCGAGTATTTCACGGCGGCCAGTCTGAACACCGGCAATATCAAAAACATCAGTCCGCTGCTCAAGGAGGAGTGGTTCTTCTGGGTTTTCGAGACCGTGGTCATGTATAGCAATACCACATTGCTTAACGTGCTCCATCCCATGCGATGGCTTCCGCGATGCAACAAGATCTACCTGGCAAAGGACGGGGTGACAGAAGTTGAGGGACCCGGCTACGAGGACCCTCGGCCTGCCATTGTGACCTTCTTCGACCCTTTCGACGTGGTCGGTCTTATCACGAGGCGCGAAAAGCCGCAGAAATTCTGGGAAATCGACGAAGCAAACAGTGCTCGGCCGGTGGGCGTATAAGGCGCCGCGTCTTTGGAAACTTGGCATTGATCTGATTTTTTGTTTAGTTTTGTTCTTGTCAGTTTATGCATCTCAGCAGGATAGATTGTATCAATTATCATAGAACGAGGTAGTGAACTACTCTGTCGTGGCCCAAGTACATACTTCCAGTACTCCGTAATTGATGCCTGAGGCAGACACGCGCTCTCTCAAGGCCACCTAAACCGTCCCGACCCACTGCGCGACCTCATCAGCACCAGTACCTTCAAAGAGCACCAGACCAGATCACTCATTCAATCACCTACTCCCACGCTCGTCACCATGCTGTCGTCTCTGGGAAACCCGAGGCAAAGCCTCGCGCAAGTCCTCAATTTCGCCCTCGTCCTGTCCACGGCGTTCATGCTCTGGAAGGGTCTCTCGGTGTTTACTGCGTCTAGCTCCCCCATCGTGGTATGTGTTGCGGCCAGCTAAGCTCTTTGTTTCCCTGTTCGACCGACCCTACTAATGCTTGATGTCGCTCTAGGTCGTCCTATCCGGCTCGATGGAACCTGCCTTCCAGCGAGGCGATCTGCTGTTCCTCTGGAATCGCAGCCCCCGGGCCGAACTCGGCGAGGTCGTGGTCTACAACGTGAAAGGAAAGGATATCCCGATCGTGCATCGCGTGGTCCGCACGTATCCCGAGGTGGAGGGGAAGGCGAAGAAGGTCAAGGAGGTTTCCGAGTACGTCTGCACCGTTTCCCTGGGGTTTACACCGGTCGCAGGACAAGACAGCTAACCGGTTCCACGCCAATCCCAGATCCTCGCCCGCGCCGAACAACATGCTTCTCACCAAGGGCGACAACAACCTCGCCGACGACACCGAGCTCTATGCGCCCGGGCAGGACTATCTGAACCGCGCGGAGGACATCGTGGGCAGCGTGCGAGGGTATATTCCCGGGGTGGGGTACGTGACGATCATGCTGAGCGAGTATCCGTGGCTGAAGACGGTGCTGCTGGGGATCATGGGCGTGATGGTGATCTTACAACGGGAATAGGCGTTTTGGCGGGGGTGTAGAGTATTCAATGCGAGCCTTATTGGTGTTTATGCTGCAGTAACCGTAAATCTGTTGACCGCGACCGAGCGAAACTGACGTCGACTTCCGCCCCACCTGATCCGCCGCTTTGTTGGACGCAGCCATGACTCTTCCTGCTCTCTGCGACTTACGCTGTACTCCGTGCTGTACCCAGAGATCTAGTCGGGCTTAAGTTAGCTAGCTCCATGTGCTGTTCCTAGCGCTCGTGCCCCTGCGCGTGTCTGTCCCAGGTTTCTGCTGGCCAATGAGCCGGGCCTTGATTTACCTTTCTTTCCCCAGTGCAAAATCCCTCGTCCTGTTAGATCCTCTCTCCTCTCTTTCTCTCTTTCTTCCCCTTTTCCTCTGTTTCCTCGACTCTCTTTGGATTTCTCTGTGAGAGCCAGCTCTCTTGACCGTCACCATGGGAAGCCAGAAGCGCATCGCCAAGGTACGTGCGCCCTCGAGAATCTCATTCCCTTCCCCCTCATCCCACCCCAAATGAGGGGTTATAAAGCTAGCTAGCTAACAACGACCCGAAAAACCAGGAACTATCCGAGCTCATCGAGTCCCCTCCCGACGGCATCTCGGTCGAATTAGCCGATGAATCGAACATCTACGAATGGAAGGTCTACATGGACGGACCGGAGGGGTCACCATACCACGTACGCCAGCCATGATCCACCCTCCCTGCCAACTCTTCCTGCCCAGGGCTCAACCCAGACTAACACCCGCACAGAAAGGCCGCTTCCTCATGAAACTCAGCCTCCCGACGGAATACCCGTTCAAGCCGCCCGCGGTGTCGTTCGGGACGAAGATCTACCACCCCAACGTGACCAACGACGAGAAGGGGAGCATGTGTCTGGGGATGCTGAAGTCGGACGAGTGGAAGCCCAGCTCGCGGATCGGCGCGGTGCTGGAGTTTGCGCGCCAGCTGCTGGCGGAGCCCATGCCTGACGACGCGGTCGAGGGGCGCATCGCCGAGCAGTATAAGAATGATAAGAGTCGGTATGAGGAGATCGCGAAGGATTGGACGAGGAAGTATGCGACGGCGTAGGATCATGGGTGTTAGTGGAAGGGGTGGGTTTGGACAGGGAAATACCTATAAAAGGTCCTTGGGTCGGAGCAAATGGAACGAATAGGAGGATATACTTGGGAACGCAGGGCAAACACGGATGGATATGGGATGAGATCTCTTAGAAATAGAACAGATCGATCGGTGATCTGGGATGATCATGCAGAGATGGGCTGAGCTGAGCTGAGCTGAGCTGGCTGGCGTAGGTGTGAATACAGATCTATTACAGTTCTACTGGCTGTCTATCTATATCTAAGGACACAATAACCACCCTCCCAAGTCGCCAACAAAAAATATAACACAAATCACTCACCCCAAAGCAAGAACACCATCTCAATGCATCGCATAGAAATCATACCTCATAACACCCACCTTGCCCTATACTACCCTCCAACCCAACCCTCACCTTCTCATCCCAACCCCAACCCCAACCTCTCTCACACATCGACATCCATAACTATATCCTTTCCTGTGCACGACTACTCCCCCGACTAGGCGCATGGCTATAACCCACCCCCCTCCCTCTCCCCGTCCCCACTAACTCCCTCTGCACCGGCGTCGCGATATACTCCCTGCTCTCGGACACGATCTTTGGTGTGCGGTGGCGACGCAGAAGCCACATCGCAGCGACGAAGAGGAATAGGGCGGCGATGCTGACGGCCACGCCGATGCCGGCTTTGACGCCGTTGGAGATGCCGGGGACGGGGGTTGAGGGGTCGGATTTGGTGGATTGTTCTGCTGGTGTTGGGGATGGTGTTGAGTTTGAGGTTGTTGGTAAAGATGTTGCTGAAGTTGATGTTGTAGATATTGTTGAGGATGAAGACGATGATGATGAAGAGGTAGAAGTAGAAGTTGATGTAGAGGTCGAGCTGAGTGTAGATGTAGACGCAGTAGTCGATGTAGATATAGATGTAGCTGCATCTTTTTCTTTATCTGCAGCCGCAGATATCCTCGATGTCGTGACAGGAACACCATGCTCGCCCAGAACCGCCGCGAGGGTGATTTCCTTCGGCGTGCCACAGCAATCGGTCGTACCACCGCAGCACCAACCCGTCGAGTTGCGAGTATTATCGCAAGGAGTCATCAGTGTGGAGGAGTTTGAGCCCTGAAAGTAGAAAAGCACGTCAGTCACACACATCTACCAATACCATGTATGCATACTCCATGCAAGAGCAGAAATATACACGAGAATATACACGAAAAGAAAAAGAATACATACCGACCCATCAAGACAAACCCCCAAACACCCACCTCCCTCCCAATCGCGACTCGTACAGTACCCGCGCCAATAACTATAGTTCCGCACCGTCTGGCCCTTGATCTGGGACTCGGCGACGGTTTGACACAGGCCATTCTGAAGACATACATCGGCGGGCTGGTCTTTGGTGCCGGTTAAACAGCACATGCCTTTTGCGTCGGTCTGGGGACATAGTTGGTAGTCAGAGTTGGGGGTGCCGTTGAAGGAGTAGCAGGTTGGATCTGTTGTTGTCGAGGTCGATTTTGAGGCTGCGAGAGAGGGGCAGGTGAAGGAGGAGAGGAGGAGGGAGAGAAGCCATTTCGAGGATGAGGGTGAGGCCATCGTTATCTGTGCTCTATAGAGATGGGATAGCTCTGCACATCTCAGCACCTCAACGACAGACGAACAAGAGCGAAAACCAAAACAGAAGCAAAAGGAACTACGCAAAAGTCCGTCCACCTCTACATATGTACGAATTTACCATTTACCAACACCATCAGCAGGCCGACTCATTCGCGAGCATCGCCCCATCCGAGCCGTTTCGCAGGTCCGAGTAGTCCGAATACTACGTGCCGACCCGCTTATGGACTGCAGAATTCGAGGTGTTCTGTGCTGACGGCGTTGCTTCTGACTGGGCTGGTTAATATAATATCTGGATGATAATAGGCTTGGCCGTTGGTTCTCGAAAACGGCCCCCCGAGGTTGCGGCCTCAGCCCCAACTTAGCGTGAGCATCGACTGATTAGTAGGGCAAAGAGAGACATGCTCTGGTCTGGGCCTGATCCAGATCGAATTATTTATACTCGATTATGGACGGTGGGATGCACGTAAGACGCCTTGTCCTCGAACGGAACAGTCGGTCGGCATCAAGCATTTTGTCGTGTGACAGGCACAGGCACAGCGACAGGAACAGGAACGAGGCGGTGCATGCTAGACCTTATTATTATTGGGGTGTTTAAGTGAGTCTATTTGGAGGATTCTTCGATCCACTCCGTGACATTATCACATGCCTCGGCTGGTGGCTTCTTGCACTGCAACAGAAACCCCTGCACTTCTGCTAGGCTGAAGTGTCGCTCGGGCGGATTTTATTTTTGGGCAAACTGTTCGGCGAGTCCTTCCAGGGAAACATTTTTGCTCTTCTTTATAAATGCTGATGTCGGAAGATGTGGTCATTCATCCATAGGATGGTGCCCGAGTAGAGTGAACCTTCCTCTCTCAAGAGCGCTCTTTCGGCATAATTATAATCCCCCGTCGTCCATGTTGAGTGGAGAACGCAACGACCGCAACCAATGCAAGTCCGATATTATAGAGAGGCCTTTAGGCCCTGGGAAAATGACCCTACAGCAAACTCTGGGATAGAAATAGCGTGTCCCACCCCTCGTAATCAATTAGACGACACGATGTGTGTAAGTATATATACATATAGTATTAAGTGAAATTTACGCAATTCAACTTATAAGAAAAGTCTTAAGGACCTATATATACTAGTATGAATAAGTAGATAGACTATACTAACTCTACTAATAGTAGTACTAGTTATAATCTTTCGTTTCTGATATATCCGCGTTTATTTTCATCTTATTGACTCTATACAATACTTAATAGAGCGATTATGGAAATAACGCTATGCCTTTTTAATTTCTACTATACCCTCTCGGGACAGGCTCACCTTTGCACGGTGCAGCGTTCGCTTAGCATTCGGAGCGGCTTCCCAAAAGGGTTGAAACTATTCCCATCTCGTTGCTGTAGGCTCATTTACAGCCTCTAAAGGCCCATGCCCTCTGCCAGCTGAAACTACTCACTTTCTTTATCCTCGCACAGCCTTTCGCAGCCGTGATATACCGCGAACAAAATGACAACCATCGCGGAGAAAGTGCAGCAGCTAGTTGCCAATGAATTTGGCCTGGAACGTGATGAAGCAAGTGCCCCGTCCGCCTATTAAACCCTCCAGAGCTAACCCTGTCTTGTTAGGTTACTCCCGAAGAAACCTTCGCTGATGACCTGGACGCGGATAGAATAGAATGGGCTAAGTTGATCATCTCTCTAGAAGACGTACGAACCAGGGCTTCCTTTTCATAAATCCTACGTTTCCATGCTTTGTTGACTCGGTATGTAGGCATTTGATTTTGAAATTCCGGATGAAATGGCTGATCAGTGGACGATCGATAAGTATTGGAATGGCCTGCATTTTTTCCTCCGGTGTGCTGATACCGTGTTTCGCGGATAGTTCAACAAGTTATCGACTATGTAAAGAGCCACAAGTCATAGAAGACTGCCTGGGCTTCCTTTATGGTGGTCACTCTAGGCTGTTGTTTGTTGACAAGCCATAGGAGCTTAGAAGATGCAATAAAATGCGTCAGTTATGATCTGAGTATCATGATACTATGTGTTATTTGTCATTGTTAGATATGATGATCTACCCCCTCGGGTTACTATAAGTTTGAAAATGTCTTTCGGCCTATGGAGCTATTAGGCTATGGTACAATCGTAGTAGCGCCGACGACATGACCATCGTAGTATTTATCTCCTCATTATGGCGCTTAAATTCCTCATAACTACTCAGCAAGTCAGCTTCTGAAGGTCACCATTTTCTCTACGTCATTGTGGGAATAGACTGGGAATTGTGAGATAACCTTGCCCATTTAAATCCAGGAGAATATATTGGATAGTATTATGTAGTAAAAAGATGGCATGCCTTACTTTTTCCGCTGTGGATAGTACTAGTAACCTACTCTCTGGCAAGCCTGTCAAATTAAAAATCGAGACATCCTAGGCGAAAATACTAAATCTGGTTCCTTTCAAGCCACCTGTTCTACCTAGCGACGGTTCTTACCATGTCCACACTTTCTTCTACAGAATCGTTTTCTTAGCCTTATGCCAGAGCCAACTATCCTAAGGGCTAAAGTTAGGGCACCGGAAGTGTAGATTCCCAGGGTATTCGTGTCGGTCGGTGGCCGAAATCTTACTATCATTACTGACACTATCAACCGCAGCAGCAGTAGCAACAGCAACAGCAGCAATAATTTCTTTTAAACTCCCCCCAATGAGTACTCACTTACCAACCTGCACTAGCCCCTATTCCTAACAAAACAAAGAGGGCTGGGCCGTGCCTAAAGCCTGGATATCATCTTATCTATTCCATCCAAGCCCCTTTCGTCGTGATTTTCACATGCTTACGCTTTTCAATGCTAATTAGAGTACGTAAATGTTTGCATTTTGTGTTCATATTGTTTTGGCCATGACACATTCTCATCCTTGACGGCTGCTCTGACGGCATCAAGGTGGACCATGCATCCGGGTGTCTATAATATGAAATGAAGAATAGAGCTATAGAATAGAGCTATAGAATAGAGCAATATTGTGAGATACAAGAGAGAAAATAGCAAAGAAGAAGAGAAAACAAGGAAAAAAAGAACAAAGAAGGAGGGGAGGAAGAAAAGAAAAGAAAGGCCGATTCGACGCCGCCCGTTCTCGATAGCCCGCGGAACGCGCCAGAACCAAGAAAGAGCTTGACAAATCCACCGACATAATCAACTCTGCCGTAACAATGTCTATCGAACTTTTCCTGACCCAAAAGGGTAAATCCTCCTAGAGCTTGATCAATCGTCCTCGGCGACAGGGTCTTGTAGAACCATGCCTGAACAGTGCTTTGGCTCGGAATCTCGGAATTGCTCGTCTAGAGTGCTGTTTTGGGCATCCATGTCAAGCTACTGAGACGTGAGACACTTTGTCGGCCCATCTTTCACCCTAACTACTACATTCTCCGCGGGGGCAGGTGGAAGACGAGCCCAACTAGTATATAGTAGGGTCTGTAAATGAGAGTTGAAAATAACCTGTTTGTATGATACACACCATCCGGTAATGTAATGTATTATCTTATCTGATCATCACCTGAATGAAACATGACCAATTTGAGATGGCCAGCGCTCTCTTTTACATAATTGATTGTAACCCTACAACTCGTGCAGGTCGTGTAAATTTCTGGTATAATCGGAGTCTGCATTGACCATTCGAAGCGATATCGGTCAAGACAGCCAAAGAGTTGGATGTGCCGTTTTCCTTGGTCTTTCTGATTCTGCGGTTGCAGTGAATCACTCTGGCAGAACGCAATGGCAGTGTCCGAGTCTTCAAAAGGCGAGCTGTCTGAGGGAGCAACAGAAGCCAAGAAGCAGACAGCGTCAATAGTATGAAGAGTCCTGAATAGACCGATTCTGCAGAATCGCTGACTGGAACAGACCCGACTGGTGTCACGATTTGTCCCCAAGGCAAAAGATATCAAGACCGCCTTCACCTTCCTCCGCTTGCTATTTTCACTCAACTACACCTCCGTCGACGTTGCCCTCATATCTGTCGGGACCTTCTTTGCCATCGCAGCTGGTATCCCAGAGCCATTACTCGGCATCGTGCTCGGTCAACTGATCAACGAGCTCAATGATGTCTCCTGCTCCACGGCGACCTACGACCCGTCTTCGATCCGGACGAAAGTCCTCTACCTCATCTATATCACCATCTTCAATTTCGCCGCCATCTACATATACGCAGCGTGCTGGGCTCTCGTGAGCGAGCGCCTGGCTCGTCGCTATCGAAAGGCCTATTTCCGCAGCTTGATCCGCCAAGAGGCTGCGTTCCACGACACACTACCCTCGGGACAGGTGATATCTCGACTGGTGAGTGACATCGAGACGGTGCAGTCCGGGACATCCGAGAAAGTGGGCATCTACATTGCCACTCTGTCGTATTTCGTCACCGCCTATGTCGTGGCGTTCATCAAGGTGCCCATCGTCGCGGCGATCCTGATCGCCATCGTGCCCTGTTTCTTCGCGATGGCTCTCCTGGGGGGTCATTTTACCTCAAGGTATGGCAACCGCGTCGGGAAGCATGTCGATCGTGCGACCTCTATTGCGTCGTCGAGCTTGTCGCATCTTCGCATAGTGCATGCGTTTAATGCGCATCGGCGGCTGGAGGAGCTCTTCTCGTCGAGTTTGTTCAGTGCGCGTAGGGACGCAGTGAAAAAGGCGGGGGTGCATGCGGCGCAGATGGGGTTTTTGTTCTTCATTGTTTATTCGTCGAATGCGTTGGCGTACTGGAAAGGCGCGCATTTGATTGCGAATTATATTGATGGTCTGGGGTCTGGGGTCTCCCTTGGCGCGGTGTATACGGTCATTTTCATCCTTATTGATGGTTAGTTTTACACCTTTTTACCGTCAGGTCTGGGTACTAACACAGGTATAGCTTCGTTTATTTTGAGTCAGGTCGCGCCGTACATGCATGTCTTCAGCGCCGCTGCTAGTGCTTCCGAGCGTTTGCTGGAAGTTATCAAGCGCGACTCCAATATTGACGGAACCTCGGGAGCCGGAGACGACAGCGCAGATCTCTCTAATGTCGATATATCCTTTGAGGATGTTCACTTTACGTATCCGGCACGACCCTCCAACACAGTCTTGCAAGGCGTTAACTGCGTGATTCCCCCGAAGAAACACACAGCGTTTGTTGGCCCCTCAGGCGGTGGTAAATCAACTATAGTGGCTCTTCTGGAGAGATTCTATGATCCATCCTCCGGAAATATCCTCCTCGGGACCCAAGAGATCCAAAAGGTCAACGTCGCCAGCCTTCGCGGGCAAATGGGATTCGTGCAGCAAGAATCTCAGCTATTGGACAGGTCTATCTTGGAGAACATCGCATACGGCCTCGTCGGATCTACGGCACATGAGGACTTGGCCGAGGCTGTCCTAGACATGAGCCTTGCAGGTATCGTGGAAAAAATCCAGTCGGGCAGTCCCGAAGCAGAGGTTCTTGCCAACAGTGACGCTAAGATTGTGGAGATCGTGAATCGGGCAAAGGATGCAGCTGAGAAGGCAAATGCGCTGGCGTTTATCGAGGCCCAGCCGTTTGGAATTGCAACTAGCGTCGGAACTGCTGGAGGCCAGCTCAGTGGCGGCCAAAGGCAACGGATTGCACTTGCTACTGCGCTCATTCGTGAGCCAAAATTGCTCGTCCTTGATGAAGCGACTGCTGCGCTGGATTCGGTCAGCGAGCGGCTAATTCATGAGGCCTTGCTCAAAGTATCTGGGACTACCACGATTGTCTCGATTGCGCATCGTATGGCCACTGTCAGGGACGCCGATCAAATTATTGTCATTGAGAAGGGTCGAGTGGCTGAATATGGCTCGCCCCAGGAGCTACTCGAGCGTGGTGGCAGGTATGCCGCCATGATCGGACAACAGAAGATCGACCAAGGGGACATTCCTCACCTTATGCCAACATCTATAAACCCGGTCGAGCTATCTGAGTCCCAAGACCAGCCTCCCGTGACAAGCGAGAAAGCCAGCGTCCAGGGGAACGAAAAGACCGACAGCACTGTAACGCAGACACCTGTGCAGGACGAGGGCCCTTCTGGATCGAAAACACTGACAATGAAGATCTGTTTCTCCTTCATCCGTCCCAATCTCCTGCTTATAGTTCTCGGTCTGGGGATGTCCGTCATAATCGGTGCTAGCTATAGTTCCAACGCCGTTTTGTTCGGCAACACTCTCGGCGCGCTCAATCCTTGCAAAGGATCTGCCAGCATCCGTCACAGCGGAGGCTTTTTCGGCCTCATGTTTTTCATCGTCGGAGTGGTCGAATTGTTTGCTAATATCATCGGAGGCTGCGCGTACGGATTGGCTGCAGACCAGACTCTGTATCGAATCCGCGTGGCCTCATTCCGATCACTGCTCGGCCAAACTATCACATGGCATGGCACCGACGGTCGAAGCCCTGGAGCCCTGATTTCGTATCTGACTGGAGATGCAGCCGCTATCAGTGGTCTGACCGGGACGACAATTGGCCTTCTCCTGGCGACCACGGTCAATCTTTTCGCAGGTGTTATCATCTCGTTCATCGTGGCCTGGAAGATCTCGATCGTCCTCGTCCCTACAATCCCGGTGCTTCTTGCAGCCGGAGTCATGAAGCTCAGAGTACAAAGCCAATTTGCCGAACGGCATAAGAAGGCATTCTCGCGTGTCACAGAGCTCACGGTAGAAGCACTAGGAAATCTACGTTTTGTGGCCGGCTTTTCGCTTGAAAAACAGCTTTACCAGGAATTCATATACTCCATCCAGGGCCCTTATAAGAAGACCATGAGAAACATCGCCTGGGGCAATTTCTGGCTAGCCACAGCCTTCAGCGTCAGTAACCTGATCAGCGCCCTGGCATACTGGTGGGGTTCCAAACAAATTGCCTCCGGGTTATATTCGCAGACTCAGTTCTTCATCGTGCTGCCTGCGCTTCTCTTCAGCACCCAGTCCTGTGGCCAAATGCTTGCTCTCGCGCCTGATCTCTCCAAAGCAGGCAAGGCAGCATCGCGAATCGTCGACCTCGTCAACACCGATTCCGCTGCGAAAGAATTCGGCAGCGACAGCCACAAGCAGGCGATACCATCCGGAGAGAAGTCAGAGGTAGACATCGAAGCATCCTCAGACCCTACATCGCCCAGAGCAAGCTCCACAGCCGTGGGCGCCGAGCTCCGCGCCGTCCAATTCTCCTATCCTACCGCCCCCGACGTCTCCGTTCTCAAAGGCCTCGACATCACCTTCACTCCCGGCGGCTTCTACGCCCTCGTCGGACCCAGCGGATCCGGCAAATCGACCATTTTCTCCATGCTTGAACGCTTCTACTACCCGTCCACCGGATCGATCTTCATCGACGGCCTCGACATCACGCAGATCCTATCGACCAGCTTCCGCGACGACATCGCGCTCGTCCCGCAAGAAAGTGTCCTCTTCGAAGGCAGCGTCCGGTTTAACATCGCCCTCGGCGCAAGACCAGGCCACTCACCCAGTCAGAGCGAGGTCGAAGAAGCATGCAAGCTGGCGCAGATCCACGATGTGATCACCGAGTTGGAGGACGGGTATGAGACGATCTGCACGCACGGGGGGAAGCAGTTCTCGGGTGGTCAGCGGCAGAGGCTGGCGATTGCGAGGGCGTTTATTCGGCAGCCAAGGCTGTTGCTGCTGGATGAGTCGACCAGTGCGTTGGATGGGGACTCCGAGAGGAAGATTCAAGATGCGTTGGCGGGGTTTATGGGCCGGACAACAATTATTGCGATTGCACATCGTCTGAGGACGATTTATCGCGCGGACCAGATCTTCTTGATTGATGGGGGGAGGTGTGTGGCGAGGGGGACGCATGCACAGCTTATTGAGAGAAGTGAGGTATATAGAGAGAGCGTGGTGCACCAGTCGCTGGATGTGTGAGTTGGGTTTATTTTGGGGTTAACTGATGGAATTGGTTGTATCTTGATGGGTTTTATTAGTTGAGAGGTAGCTGGATTAGATAATAGTATAGTATAATATAAGAAGAGAGAGAAAAGAAGCAAAAGCTCATTACAGAAAACATCCACCATATCGTATCCCATCCTGATCGTATACCAAACCCTTCACCTTTCGTCCAACGTCGAGAAAGTATCTCCAAGCTCAAAGCTCTAACACTCCAACCGAGATCGTCTACAGCATCACACCCTTATTCTGATTCTTATCCACACTCAGATTCTTCCAGACCAGAATGCACGGGAAACCCAGAGCCAGAACCGCCGTCGTAGCAATGCAGCTATACTTCTGGCTATCTCCCCAGGCATTATTGATCGCGGTTCTGATCTCCGATCCCATCGGATACGTCATCTGAGACAGATATCCACCCATATAGATATCGACCCAATCCGACTGCGCCGAAGCCGGCAGCCCCTCGACCAACTTATTCGGGAACACATTGGTATAGACTGCCGACGCAACGGCATTACCTCCAGCACCACCCAAACTCGCAAACAGACCCAGAATCGACAGCATCATCGGCACGCCCTCATGGTCCGCTGCAGCCATAACGGCCATATCCTGCCCAATGACCAGGGTGCCACCCGCAAAGGCGATGAAAATCTGACACATCACGATATACCCGATATTATCGTGCTCACCGCGGAAATGGATCATCAGGCCCGAGCCCAGGATCATCAGCGGCAGTCCGAAGTAGAGACACGCGTTCTTGAAGTGGCGAGTCTGCCGAATGTATATACCGAAGAGGGGGGCCCAGAAGCAGGACCCGATGTTATAGATCTGGTTCATGTAGCCGCCGTTCGAGACGCTGAGGTCGTACACCACCATGCAGAAGTTGAGGAAGTAGAGGTCCCAGGTGGCGTAGCCGAGGTTGAGGATGGCGGAGAGGAGGCAGGCGCCGAGGACAGTGCGCTGCTTGAGCAGATCGTAGCGGATGAATTGCTTGCGGGCGAAAAAGCGCTCCCAGGCGATGAACACGAAGAAGAGGCAGAATCCGACGACTAGCATCGCGATGAAGGTGGCGGATTTGTACTGCGCGCGGCCGTAGGTCGCCAGGCTGAAGGGGAGGAGGAGCAGGATGAATGTCGCCATGAGGAGGAAGGCGCCGATGACTAGATCAGCCTGGTTAGTGGTTAATCTCTTGAAAAGGGTTGCTATCACTTACCATCAAACTCGTGAATGTAGTGCATGATCGACTGCGTCCAGGTCCGGTTGCTCTGTTCGGGCACGTACAAGCCCATCTTCTTGGCTTTGCGCTCATAGAACTTGAAAGCAACAGCAAGCGGCACTAGCACTACAGGGAAGATAATCGCAAAAGCACCATACGCCCAGCGCCACGTCGACATATTCAAGAACGACTGCGCAGCCAATGGGCCCGTAAACGCCGTGCATATGAAGGGCGTATTCGAGAATCCAAACGCAAACGCCCGATTCCGAAGACCCGACGTATCAGCCAGAAAGACGTCAAGGATCAGGTAGATCGCATTATACCCAACCCAGTACAGCACGTATCCCGCAGCAAAGCCACTCGGACCAGTGCAGGACGCCAGGATGATGATTCCCAGCAGGAACAGACCCGTGAAGATGAGCATGCCCTCGGCACGGCCCCAGATGTTAAGCACCTTGGCAATGGGAAGCTTCATGACGCCGCCGACGACGGTGGCCAGGATAGCGGCGGTGGAGATCTCGGGGGCGGTTTGGAAATTGGCGTACGCGTGGACGAGCACGTTGAGACCGATTGAGGAGTGGAAAGCCAGCATGAAAAAGCACACCCAGATCCTATGTAGTTGACGGTCGTTAGTCTTTATCTGGCAAATGGACGAGAAGCAAGATCTCGCAGAACATACCAGGCGTACATGGCATATAGAGCCTGTTTACTCCAGACCAGCGCCGCCGCCTCGGCCTTGTTGACTCCAGTTGACTTTTCCCCGGGAGTCTCATCCAGACCCTCCTGGGAGTGGTTCTCGTTGGAGACAGGGATGCCATTTTTCTCAGGATCGGGCGCAGGCGTCGTGCTGGCGTCCTGTGAAGGATCCAAGAAAGGCTGAGGACGATTCATCGAGGAAAGACCCGCCATGATGCCGTTACTTTCAGACTGACGGATAGACAGCAAGAGAACAAAAGAGGTGATCTTTGCTGAATCCTGTTATTCCGGTCTGGTGGTCTGAGACCTGTTAAGTAAGCGAAAGCCCTAACTAATTAACTCATTCTCGCCATCATACTAAGGTAAAAGCGTCCTAGAGCGGCTGGACGAGATCCCTTCGGAGTAACTCGGCCTGGTGGCCTCATAAAACTCCAACGGCACTAAAATCTGATGGCTGCCATGTTCTGGGCCAAGAAGGAAGGCTTTTTTCCGCTATTGCAGCGCTACGGGCTAGATGAACGACGGAGTATATCCCGTATTGCCTGGTATTGGCCGGTATTGGCGTTTGCAAAGATACCGGTGGGGCGTATCGGGACGGAACGGCCGGATTGGCCAATCAAAACCCAGCGTGGTCCGCGGCCCGTCAATCTAATCTGATAATCTGCGAGACCCTGTTCTGGCTGGTGTGATGGCAATTTATTTGACATTTCACCCGGCGATTTCGGTCGAGAGTAGAGCCTTCCTGTCCAATGGTCGACTGTGCCCAGCCGGCGAACCTAAAAATACTCGGAGCAAAACCTCCGTGGATTTGGCCATCTTGTCGACTGGGTGGCACGGTAGCATCCTGATGGGCGCTAACACGCCACCTTGGAATTGCCCAGCCCATAGGGTTTCTTGAACACGAGCAACGGCGACAATCCTTTCCGCATACGCAGGGGGAAACGCTTAAGCTTTTTTATCAATCAGATAATGGATGATGGCCTTGGGCAGCGTCTCGGACCCTGGAAGCGCTTGGCGTGCGGTGACTTGATCATTAATCAGGAATCACTTCAGGCAGTTTTCCCGCCCAGCACACAGTGGGACGAGAAGCACCATGTAGAGTTGGTCTGCTAGGGTCCAGCAGCCAATATACAGTATGCGAGCAATATCAAGCCAGTGCAACGTGAGACAAAGGCACTGTCTGCTGCTCGTTCAAAGCCTCAGACTTCCCATTCTAGAAATTGGTCATATGCCATAATCAGTGTGGGCTCAGAATCCCCAAACTAGTCCTACTCTCCTACTCCGACTCGTACGTAAAAAGGATTCTGCTAGCCACCAACAGCTAAGCTATCGGACAAGACCGCTTGCCAAACGCACATGTCTTAGTTTTTCTTGGCCCCGACGCGTCTTGGCAGGGTTGGCCTGTGTAATCTGCGTTTTGAAAAATACCATATCAAGCCCTAGGTAGGATCCATGCTGCAGTAGGTATACTACGGAGTATGCGCATGACTTGCTCGAATTGCCGTTTTCAGACAGGCCCTGTTTCAGGGATAAGGGTCTTGTCCCGTGAAGAAAGGGCTATGCTAAGCCATTGTATGGGTCAAAACATAAATGCAATGGTGACACGGACGGCGATAAATAGATAGACATTATCTGTCCTGCAGACTGTTCGTGAACACACCAGTACGCGATATTTTTCGAGCAAGGCTCCCAACAGACCCCTCCTTCACTTTGTTCAGTATGCTACCAGATACCGATCTCTGGGAGCGACTCCTGCGGCCGCGAGACACCTTGTCGAAGGTGGATATTCCCGCAACTTCACTACCACGGCAATATGAGACGCTACAGGAGCCGGGTACAGGTAATGGCTTCTGTGAAGTAGGCCAGGTGAAGGGTATAGTCAATGGGGACGACATTAGTACCCTTGTTGATGGCTTTGCGCGGGGTATAATGGCCGTGACTGGTCAGAGGCGCGTTGCGTTCTGGGTCGCCATTCCCTCTCATACCTCAACGGATGAGCGCATGGTAATAGCTGAATGTGCAGAAGTCATTTCTATTTTGAAATGGGATGCTTTCGCTATTCCAGATGAATATCCCAAAGAGATCATAGAGGCCGTGGAGTTTGAACTCTGCCTTGTGTGCGAAGGAAAGATACCGGCGAATTCGGATGGGCATGTAAGAATTCTGGAAATGACAAACCTTGAGCAAAGTCAAAGCTAACAGACGAATCGCATTATCTAGACTCGCTTAGTCTTGTGTATCGATACCCTATCCTCCACCGCCAGATTTATACATCAAGGATCCAAGTCGAGGATCAACATAACAGACTTGAGCCGGCAGCTGGAGTCATATATACCCCGAAGACATGAGAAGGCAACAACAAAATACTGGGAAGATGCATTGCAAGGGTTCATCGGGGTTTGCGAGCGACAACATCCCGTTCTGTCGTGCGCGCGCATAACCCTCGAACCAGACTACCCCTCGACCTTGTCACACACACTGCCGTTGCAGACATCTTGTGACGAGCTGAAATGTTTTGCAGAGCGGCTTGGCCTAAGATCAACTGGGACGGTTTTACGCACAGCGTTTGCCTATATCCTATCAGAATACCTTGAGCTCGACAGAGTGATCCTGGGAGAAGCGATTCCAAGTATCAGCTCCGCGGATTCCGGCTCGATAGTCCCAGTACGCGTTGTGCTTTCTCTTCAAGATCAAGCAGAAGAGCTTTTGCGCCGAGTTGATGACTTGGTTACAGGGCCTAACTTGATGAGAGTCATACCGTCGGAGACAATTAGAGACATTTTGAAATGCCCTCCTTCACAAAGTCCCTTCAACGCGCTTTTTACACATGAGGATACCTGCCATGTTGCTATCGAGCCCACTCTGCATCACCCGCAATCAGGACAAACAACGCCGCCCATATCGCTAACCGTTGGACGTACCGAGCAAGACACGCTATCCTGCACACTTTCTGTTCGCGCCGACTTGATGGACACTGCCCATCTCGAACTGGTGTCGCAGCAGATCGAAGCTTTGACAACCGCCATAGTCGCGCATCCCACCGAGCCAGTTGGAGCTCTAACTGCACTCTTTCCCCAGCCCCTCCTCTCCATATTCACCCCATCGGTGAGCAAACAACTGGAGAATGCTCCAAATCTATCCCCGTTCCATTGGGTAGACCACTGGGCCACCTCGAACCCGAACTGGCCAGCCGTGGAAGTCATCGAATCGATCAACGAGGATACGATGGATTCTCGAAGCTGGTCATATGCAGAGCTGGCGCAAACATCCAACCGAATCTCCAGCTGGTTGGTTCGCCGTGGCTGGCGCAATAGCATGATTGGGGTATGTCTAGGCCGCTCGTTCATCGCGTATGCGATCGTGTTGGCGATTTGGAAAAGTGGAAACTGCTACATACCAATTGCGGAGGATCTGCCTGAGGCGCGCCGTGTGCTTTTGCTCAGTGATAGTGGTGCCACGGCCTTGTTCTCGGATAAGGAGGTCTTGGGGGACGTGGTTCCCCCTGAGGGGTGCGAGGTGGTTGATATTAATAGCGATGAGTTTCGTGAGAAGATTGAGAGTATCGAGGAACTGGCTCCAGTTGATGCACTGCCGTCTGACAATTGCTATCTTCTGTATACCTCTGGGTCTACGGGGTTGCCTAAGGGGGTTTTGGTCAGCCGTGGTAATCTGTCTGCTTTCACTGAGGCGCAGTCTGAGTATATCTGTCGGGATGTACCGAACACGCTCACGCTGGGTGGTACAGGTAGCTATCTAGCCCATGCCAGTCGGGCCTTTGACGTCCATCTATGCGAGATGGTGCTGGGGTGGCGGCATGGACTTCGTCTAGTGACAGCGCCACGGACGATGCTGCTCGATAACCTGCGTACAGTGCTCACACGATGCCGCATATCACACGCCGGGTTTGTTCCTTCGCTACTCGAACACACGGGCGTCAGTGCCGAGCAGTTGCCCGATCTTCGATATCTAGGAGTCGGTGGTGAGAAAATCTCCGAGACGATCATTGAACGCTTTGTCGGGAAACCATCCATTGCCTTGGTGAACGCATACGGACCAACAGAGGTGACAATCGGCTTGACAAGCCACACGGTGACGACCTCTTCGACAGTGCGAAACATTGGCTCAGCTGTGGGCAAGATCACACTTCATGTGCTTGAGCCAGAAACCAACAACTATGTCAAGCGAGCCCAGGTAGGCGAGCTCTGCGTTACGGGTGATCTCGTAGCCAAGGGATACCACGGAAGGCCTGGTGCAAAGGGCTTCGCCGACTTCCACGGCCAACACATGTATCGAACAGGAGACATGGTGCGACTCATGGCCAACAACTGCGTTGAATATCTCGGCCGACGAGACAGTCAAGCCAAAGTCCGGGGCCAGCGTCTGGAGCTTGAGGAAGTCTCCATTGCAGTTCGTCGATGCGCGAACCGTCCAGCAAATGTCACATCCATCGTGACGCCTTCGCCTATCACGAAACGGCCGCAGCTGGTAACCTTCATCAGCCCTGCCAGTGATAGGCCTGAGAAAATATCCACTCAGCCAGAGTTTGTGAAAGAGGAGTATCGGGATTGGGTTCCACAGGTCCTGGAGCGTTGTCGTCAGCAACTACCAGCTTACATGGTTCCCAGTGTGTTGCTCCCTCTTAGCTTTATACCAATTCAGATATCTGGCAAGGCAGATAACCGTCGCTTGGTGGCTCTGTACGAGAGCATTCCTGCTTCAGACCTTCTTCACGAGGCGAATGGGAGCGCACTTCATGGTCAGGGTTCAGGGCCAGATGATACACCGCTCACAGCGGACGAGCAGCAAGTCTGTGATGTTGTTTGCGCAGTTACGTCGGCAGATGCTCGAGATATCACGAAGAACACAAGCATCTTCAAGCTGGGAATCGACAGCCTCAGCTCGCTGGGTCTGGTCGCTCAGATGCGCAAAATTGGCTATGTCTGCTCTGCGGCTGATATTCTGCGAAACGATACGATTGTGCAATTGGCGAATCTACCAAGACGCACCAACGGCTCAATGCTAAGAAGCGTGGATTCTGTATTCGAAGCTCAAGTCTCTGAAGCTATGCACCAGTTGGAGGAACTTGATCAAACGTTCCGACGCTTACCAAAGTCCATTCCAAACTCCTCGATTGCCATCATTCGGCCCTGTCTGCCTCTCCAGGAAAGCCTTGTCTCCAACTCTATGGACAATCCAACCCCATTGTATGTCAATCATATTATGCTTCGGTTAGGTCCCTCAACTTCGCTTGAGCATTTGAAATCAGCATTCGAGGATTTGATCCAGGAGAACGAAATATTCCGCACCTGCTTTCAGGTCATGGACGATCAGGTGGTACAAGTGGTCTTAAAGCCTCGAGTCGTTCGCATGCCATGGGATGAAATCGAAAGCTCTGACGAAGAAGACGCCCGGCATCAGTTCATGAAATGCCAGGCAAATGTTGCGTCCAGGGTTGTGGGTGGCATTGAAACACGTCCTCCGCTTCATTTCACCGCCGCTTCATCAAGCGATGATGACCACCCAGGGTGGCTCATGCTGTCCATTCACCATTCCATTTTTGATGGTGCCAGTATGAACATCCTTCTTGACCGGCTATACTTGCATTGCACTGGGGAGAGGTCTATGTCTCGTATTGATCTCACTCCTCTTTACCAGCATTTTATGATTTCGACCGAAAAGGATGCTGAGAGGCATTGGTCCCGTTATCTCGCTGGCTATAGACCTGGCATAATTTCCACAGAGGACACAAGCGATGTCCCATATACCATTGTCACGGAGAAGGTGACATCGACTTTATCCGCACTCTCTAGACTTGCCTCCAAAATCTCAACCACCACGCCCCTAGTCCTAGAAACAATCTGGGCAATCGCACTCGCAAAGTTCCTAGGCCATGGAGACGTCATGTTCGGCCGGGTCATGAACGGACGAGCGATACCCGTGGACTCAGTAGAGACGATGCTGATCCCTCTCGTAACGACGGTCCCTGCTCGACTTCGCATAGATACATCCAGCCTGGTCGAGCTGATCAAAAGACACACCCGAGCGAGCCTGGAGTGCCTGCCTTACCAGCATACGCCGCTCCGCGCAATTCAACGATATGTTCGGGCATCGGGTCCGTTGTTTAACTCTATGTTCTCATATGTCGCGATGCGACCGTCGCCTGTCGAGCCGTTGCTGCAGGAAATAGACAGCGTCATGGAGGTCGATTATCCTCTTGCGTTGGAGGTTAGAGCCGACGCAGAGACGGACTCTGTTACGCTGCGGTTGAGAGCTGCTGGCGATCCTTCTGTGGCTCAAAATGCCCATGCGATCATTAGTACCATGTTGATTCTGCTGCAGAATCTAGAGTCTAGTGGAGACGCACCGATCGATGTGGGAGAGTTTGGCCAAGAGCAAGAACAAAAGCCAACCACTTGGGACGAGAACTGCTGGGCTGAAGGCGAAGCGGAAATCCGCAGCGTCTTGTCCGAAGTCACTGGTGTGTCGGAATTGCAAATCTCCAAAAATATCTCTTTCTTTGCCTTGGGAATTGACTCGGTGATCTCCATTCGGCTTGCTCGTTGTCTCCAGGAAAAAGGTGTCAAAGCTTCGTCGAGTGAAGTTTTGAAATACCCATCTGTTGGGTCCCTGTATGATCATCTGCAGAAAGCTTCTATCGTCGCCCCCATATCGCAGGTGGAAAAGCCTCCAGTGTATGTCAATCTCAATGTTGAGTTACTTCACGCGGACGACTCAATCATCGAGGTCTATCGCTGCACGCCATTGCAGACAGCCATGATCGGACAGTGTTTGAGCTCCGAAGGCAGGGATTATGTGCACCATCACATTGTCACATTGGATGATTCGGTTGATCTGGATCGGTTAGCAAATTCGTGGAAACAGCTTGTTGTGCAGACTGATATCTTGCGGACATCCTTCCACAGGCCGGAAGGGCAAGAATTCCTCGCTGCGGTCCACCAACACCCTCTCATAAAATGGTTTGTTCGCCTAGAAGAAGCGACTTTCTCCGAGGCCATACAAAGTCTCACCGAAGAGATGAGGTACCCGAAAATAGAAGCTTTCCAGACGCCACCGTGGAGAGTCACCATTCTTCAAAACGGCTCCCAGCGATTGATGGCCGTGACAATGCACCACTGTCTCTACGATGGTTTCTCCCTTCCGCTCTTGTTTGACTGTCTACAGAAGCTTTATCAAGAGACGGAGATTAATATGGGTTCATTTGCTTCCGCTGCCCGTACAGTTACAAACGCGCGGGATAAGTCCACCCAGTTCTGGGTCGACGCCGTCACAGACTACGAACATGCTGGACTACCGGTGTCATTAGACCCTAGGGTCGAATCCCAAACCAAATGGGCACAAGTAAAGGTGCAGACTCCAGTCGCTGATCTCTTGCGCCTCTGCAGCTCCCTTGAGGTGACGATGCAGACCGTCGCACTGCTCGCCTACGGGAGATCGCTGGCATTGCTGTTAGGCCAGCGAGACGTGGTGTTCGGTCATGTCGTTTCCGGTCGTGCCCTAGATGATGGCACAGCATCAATCATCGGTCCTCTTCTCAACACCGTGCCATTCCGTCTGACACTGGATCCAATTCTTCGGAACACTCGCTCAGTCTTACAGTATATACAACGTTTCTGCGCAGACTCTCTCCATCACCACCATGCATCTTTGGCGGAAGTTCAGCGCGCTTGGCGATTGTCGGGCAAAAGCGCCAATCCTGCACTATTCGATGCGCTGTTCACGTTCAACAGGTCCGAGAGCCTAGATCCCGCGTCCTTGTTCCAGCCCTACGTCTCGGACCTCGAGCCTGCTCCTCCCCATTACAGGCTGAATGTGGAATTTGAACAGGCTCCGGAATTCCTTCTGATCCGGGTATCCTGTCGTGGCATTCTGGTTGGGGAGAATGAACTCGAGGCCTGGCTTGAAACTCTCGCTCTTGGGTTCGTCGATATCGTCAGCTCCCCTGATGCTCCCGTCTTGAGCTTCCCAGTTCTGCTTAGGTCGCTGCCCCTGAATGCATCTCCTCAGCTAGTGGAAGATGAGGACGTGACAGCGACAGGACAGCAGCTTGCGATTATTAAAGAGATACTCGCGACAGTCACAAGGACGCCGGTGGCAGAGATCCGTGACAGCAGCAGTATCTTTACTCTCGGGGTGGACTCCATCCTGGCGATGGATATTAGTGCAAAATGCCGAGATTCGCACATCAAACTGTCTGTGAGCGATATCCTCCAGGGAAAGACAGTGCAAGGCATCGCAAGGCTCGCAGCCAAACGTCTTGCTGCGTCTTCCGAGCCCATAAAGTCTAGCGCTCCTGAGTCCATAATCGACTCAGAAACCAAAGCGAGGGCTCTGGAGGCGCTTTCTCTAGCAGAAGGCGATGTTGATGCCGTGCTGCCCTGTCTTAGCGGTCAGACCTTCTACATCTCGCGCTGGCTACAAAGCGGTCGACGTCTGTGGGAATTCACATTTGCTTTCAAAAGCAATGTTCGGCTTGACGTGGACCAACTCCAGTATGCCTGGCATCTCTTGCAGCAAAGACACAGTGTTCTCCGTACCTCCTTCGCCGCTATATCTCCCAACGACGTTGTGCAAGTCGTATCCAAGCCACACAAAGCGAGCGGAGAGGTCCATATCAACAAGCTAGTATGCGCCGAGCATACCCATGCCCTACGAGACCTAGTGCAACAAATCGCCTCAATGCCATCAACTCTATCCAAACCGCCCGCAAGGCTTCACCTGCTGCAATCCCGCGACTCGGACGTCCTTCTCCTCACCCTTCACCACGCCCTCTACGACGCCTTCTCCCTTCCCATCCTCCTCCAAGACCTCGAAGCCCTCTACCTCAACACCTCTCTCCCCTTCCCCATCGACTTCTCCTCTTTCATCTCCCAAGCCCAGCGCGAACCCAATCCCCACTACTGGAACGCCGCACTCCGCAACGCCCAACCCACCATCCTGGGCTCCAACACCTCTACCCCCCAAGCCTTCCAGTCCCTCAAATCCTCACAGGCCCAGTTCCCACACAATCTCACCGCCGTCGAGACTCTCTGCCGCCAACACGGCATCTCTCTGCCCGCTCTCATCCTGCTGGCTATCGGTCGCGCCCTCGCTCGCGTCACAGGCGCCACGAATCCAACCTTCGGCCTCTTTCAGGCCGGTCGATCAAGTGACTTCCCAGGACTCGATGAGATGGCTGGGCCCAGCGTCAATGTCCTGCCGTTTGTGGTGCAGGATGCGCTTTCTGCCCTTGACATTGTGGCTGCTTCTATTCAGCGCGATCTTGCTGAACGTGCGCTGCATGATCAGGCGGATCTGAGGCGGCTGATGAAGGCAGAGGGGTCTGAAGTTGTGTTTAATGTTTTGGTTAATATTGTGGTGGGAAATTCCCTGCGAAATGGGGCTAGGGGTGAAGATTCTGAGGGTGTGTTCACGCCATTACCATTTGCGCTAGATGATGATAGTGGGTTGGGAGAATTGCCTTCAGTTGCTAGGAAGACGTCCGTTGATGGCTTGGATTGTGATGAGTTGCCGTGCAGAAGTAATGTGATGCTGGAGGTGGGTTATAGTGAGGTGGATGATGCGTTGGTGTGGAAGGTTGATTATACGGAGGGCTTGTTGAGTGAGCAGGAAACAGGGCGGTTTTTGGGAGTGGTTGAGGAGGAGGTTAAGGGGGTTCTTGCTTGTCTTTAGTTTTTATGTCGCGATGTGTTCCTCTCAGTCATGACTTTTTTCCCCCTTCTTTCTCTATTATAGAAGTCTGAGTTGAACAGCTCATTCATGGGGTCCTATAGCATTCATGGCGGTTATATATATAAGTTCACCTAACAAAGCATATTTGCAAAACCACATAATTACTCCGTACTTATCGAAAAGCTGCGTCCAAGGCCTTGGTCATACGGAGTACAAAAGAAATGTATACCCTTCAGGCCTGGGTCGTATTGTGCTTATTGAGAGTCCACTACTGGAAGTCAAGCATTCCCCAAAACAAAGGGCGGGCGAGGAACGAAGTCAAGTTTACGGCGCCTCGAAGCGTTGGCCCAGAGAGGAAAAGTTCAAGTTAGAAATCCTGTTCGTATTTGGCTAAATATATCTCCAATTTCCTGGTCGACCGATGACTTCACGAGGACCAGGATGCAAACCGGATAGAGCAGGGTTGATGCATAGCCGCCCGGACGTCCGGGAGCCATCTCGCGTCGCTATTCGAGATTTCATTCCCCCACTAAACATGGGTCGAGGATGGCGAGCGCCTGCAAAAATGTAATAAAAAAAAGAAAAAAATTTTAAATAAAAGGGAAAACAAGCCGACCGTTGAACTCTGGAAACCCTGGATTGAGAGCTTCAGACCCACCCAATTCAACAGATTCTTGGCCTGGTATCCCGTAGCTCAAAATTCGTGGTCGCTTGGAAGAAAAGCCCGAAGAATGCCCCGTCGCGATCGAAGATCAAGTCGAGTTGGTGATTCTAGAATCGGAGAGGAGCCTCAGTTCATGAAGAACTTCGTCCAGACGGGACGGTACCTTGGTTCCGGAAATTTCTGGCGGACGTGCGTTCCACCAGCAGCGGTGATGCTGAAGATGAACCACCGTAAACAAACACCACCGAGTCAGTCGGCCCAGATCCAAAGTCGGTTGCTGGCTCGTGCAGGGACATTACTTAAGATGAAATTTATCGTTTCCCGAATCCAGGCGGATCGTTAAGTTTACCCAATGCAAGAAACTCAGCCTCGGCTGAGGAACACGCTGGCCGATTCCCGGGAAATGAACGAGACTCCGGATGGAAGATCTACGGGCGTACAGCGGCAGACGTCGTCCTGAATTTGACAGGAGAGGAGGCAGAGGCGACAATCGCCAACCCGTACGGCGTAGTACCCTTTCGAGAAATTAGACAGTCGGTTCACAGCTATTCCTGGAAGCCATCGAGTCATCGACCCACGAGATCTGCCGCCTGGTTGATGTCAATCGAGTATAGCGTGCCCGAGCTAATTTCACCGCGGCGGAAGGATGACGGATGGGCGCCGAAATCAAATGAAATTAAGAATTGCAGATTTTTCCGATTATTAATGTCGTTGGTATGATTACTCTGGAGGAGGAGCCGGGTTCCTTTGGCCCGTCAGGGTCTTTGCCCTCTGGATGAGTCGCGACTATGGAGTATCGGGGACGGAGTGAGTTCCTGGTCAGGTATCTTCCGATTCTAGGGCCCGACTCCGCAGTCAGGAAGACAGAAGTCCAAGATATGAGAGTAGGCTCCGTACATGACTGGTTTCCGCCCCTGATGACAGCAGCGAGGCAGCGAGGCAGACGAATCACAAAGGATGACGAGGCCAGGCGGACTCCCGGACGAAGGAGAGCAGCCTCGAATATGCAAGGAGAGCAGCGCCGGGCGGTTATTGGGATTGGCCTGCGAATCAGGATCATCCGATCTAGTTCCCTAAGTGAAGGCGCCGTTTCAAGTCCGGAGGGGTTCCGGATGACGGTCCTTCTTGGAGGCTTCGACAGGTGGATCGCAAGAAGGGGAGATGAAACCAACGCTCCACTTGACTTCTTATTGAAGACATTCGCCGTAGCGAGCGATGGTGACCAGGGTTACAGAGTCGGTTGGTGCTTTTGTTGGAGGAGCTACATTCCAGGATGTACTCCGGAGGAGGCTGTGAGAGGATGGCGCATGTCATACCAGCTGGAGGATCTGACGTGTGAACAAAGGCAGAGAGTTTCACGAGACCATGGATACGGATCGTTCAAGTCATTCAGACTGTCGATGTGATGAGTCGAACCGTGGATGGCGCAGGCTGGGATGCATGACGGCCGTTTCCGCGGCCAGACTGCATGTAACCGATCCAAGGGTCCGCCGCTGCATGACGACTCACATTGTAGCACTTTCAATTGGCATTAAATAAATAAATGAATCTCATATCATATCCGGAATGCAACGAGGAATGGATGAGATCATTCTGAAACCGCGAAAGAAATACCAAAAAAACAGGGTTGGCTCCAGTCGGCACTAGACCCGAAGCAGCCGCTCCCCTTTTCTCTTCCGATTTTCTCTTTTCTTTTCTCCCCCTTCCTTTCCTCTCGCACGCGCCGTGCTTTTTCTTTTCTCTTCCTCTTCTTCTTCTTCCTCTTCTTCTCATGGGATGGAGCCGCCGTCTAGACCCCCGGTAGGATCGTGATTTGTCTCCAATGGATTGATCCCTCTGCGACTGTTGGCGCCTGAGCTGCTCTCCGAATCTCCGCTCGTTTGATCCGTTGCCGCCCGTCGCGGCTTTCGCGATTCGCCCTCACTCGTTTCCTGCTCGATCCTGTCGATCGCCTCCTTTCTTTTCTTATTTATTCGGCATCGATCGCTTGACGAGGTGCGAGAAAAAGAAAAGAAAACAAAACAAAAACCTTCCGCCCTATCTGACGGTGGGCTTCACGCTCGTTTCTTCATTCTTTTCGGATCGACAAATGTCCAGCGGGATCTGGGTGTTATCTCGTGGCCATGGTCACAGGAAATGGAGACTCTCGTTATCCACTGCCTCCGGGCAATCATGATCTTCCCAGTCGTCGCCGGATCCCCAACCCTCCTCGCCTTGATCCGTTGAGAATCAATCCTCCCTCTCCGCGCTCGCGGCCGTCGACTGCCGGTTCGTCTCGTCCGCCCCCCGTCCATCGCCCTCCGCCGATCCCTCGTTCCCCTCGAAAGCACCTGGAACAACCGCCGCCCTTGCATGACCCCTTCCTGCGTTCGGTTTCCCCTCACCATGCCGCCGGGGATGAATTCACCATCTACGGTCCCGCATTGCGCACGCCGACTTTTCCCATCGCCCCGCAGGAACGTCCCTCGAAAGCTACCCGACGAGATGGCGACTTCGACCGTCCGTCTCATCGCAAAAACCCTGGCCTGCGGGCCTCGAAATCTACCTCACGACTGAACCCTCGACGTCTTCGCCTCGGGGACAGCCCGTCCAATGACCCTTTCGTCTCGCAGGGTCTCGCCTTGCCGCGTCCTCCCCATGCGTCCGATGCGTACGGTGAGGATGCGATGCGGTCGAGCGTCAACTCCGCCATGACCTCTCGCTCCAGCATTGAGCAGGCGAGCGGCACGGAGCGCAGCAGCGTTCTAACGAAAAGCAGCTCGATCACCGATCTTTCTCCGGACACGCCCGACGGGCCGCATGAGAAGGACGGAGGCATGAGCGTTGAAGATGCCATCTCCATGTACTTGGACGGGTTCAGCGACGTGACGGAAGAGCCGTCGTCGCCTGACCTACACGGAGACACCAAAGTGAGACCGCTGAGTCCACGCCCGCCCACCGAACTCACCATCGACGATGGTTACACCTCCGATGAGCATTCCCCGGTCCTCGATCCTACCAAGGATCTGCCTCCGGTGCCACCCCTGCCAACTTTGAACCCACCGGACCAGAACACGGTGGACAAGAAGTTCCTAGGCGAAGCAAAGCCGGAAGAGCAGGCGCCCCATGAGATTCTGGAGGAGACCCCTCCGAGTCCGCCCGTCAACAGCGTCCCTGAGGAGACCAAGGTGGTGATTCCCGGAATAGTCCCGCCGCCACTCCTCCCGGGAACGGACACTCGGGATCGCTATGGATTCCGAAAAGCCAGTCATCATGTTACCCTGGACCAGTACGAGGCCTGGAATGGCTCCTACACTCCATTCGCCGCGAACCGGAGGGTCAAGTGGGTTGAGCTCCTCAAAGAGAGCGGCTTGCCGACCGAGGATCCAACCACGTTCCCTCCGAGATCGAACAAGATCAAGCGTTTCGTGCGCAAGGGCATCCCCTCCGAGTATCGAGGTGCCGCTTGGTTCTGGTATGCCGGCGGCTTCGAGCATCTCAATCGGAATCCGGGGCTGTACGATCAACTCGTCAGGCAGGCGATGGAGTCTCCGAGCAACGACGACAAGGAGCACATCGAGCGTGACCTGCATCGCACCTTTCCCGACAACCTTCATTTCAAGCCCGAGACCCAGGGCAACGATTCCGGCAGCAGCAACCCTAAATTCTCTTCCGTGACCGTCGAGACGCAGATGATCGAGTCTCTTCGGCGGGTGCTGTATGCATTCTCTCTGCATAATCCGCAGGTGGGATACACGCAGTCGCTCAACTTCATCACCGGAATGCTTCTCCTCTTTCTGACGGAGGAGAAGGCCTTCTGGATGTTGCACATCATCACCACGGTTTACCTTCCTGGCACTCACGAGATCAGCCTGGAGGGCGCCAACATCGATCTCTGGATCCTCATGGTCCTGCTGAAGGAAACGCTACCCAACGCCTACAACAAAATTGCCAACACCGGCTCTTCGCCCAGAGCCAAGTCGCCACCGCTCACCGTCCACTCTCGCCTCCCGGACATCACGCTGGGACTGACCAATTGGTTGATGTCTGTCTTTATCGGCACGCTGCCGCTGGAGACGACACTGAGAGTGTGGGATGTCTTTTTCTTCGAAGGGTCCAAGACATTTTTCCGCGTGTCTCTGGCCATCTTCAAGGCGTGCGAGAGAGACATCATGGCGGTCTCGGATCCGATGGAGGTGTTCCAAGTCGTGCAGTCGGTGCCCAAGCGATTGCTGGACGCCAATCACCTGATCGACGAGTGTTTTGCACGACGGAATCGCGTGGGACAAGGCCGCATCGAAGAGTTGCGGGCGGCCCGACGGACTGCCGTTCGACAGGAGAAGCTACGGCGATCGCAGGCTCTCAGCAAAGGCCAGCTTCAGGCTGCCACCGATGAATGGCCTACTCGCGCGCGAACCCCGATCCCAGGAATCGAGCGCAGCATTGCCGACGGATGGCGACATATGCGGCATCATGCATTTCGATAAAAGCCGGTTCGCAATTGTGTCTTAGTATATGGATGGGATTTATTTGGATTTTGTTTTTTATTTATATTGATACCCGACAAGTGTTATTTTTCAAGGTTGCGTTGGATTCCTTTATTTTTGGGGTGGATTGAGCCACAGCCATCCACCGTCTAATGTGTACTATGTTAATTTCCGACCTAAGCGACTTGGCAAGGGCCTAAGGGTCGGTCTCAATTTTGGAGCCTGCATTGGAAGATCTTGGGGGGAACTTGGATTTGGTCTTTCGAGAAGACCAGAGGGAGAAAAGTTTGAACTTGGAATGTTTGACGATGTATATAAAATTCCCGCATGAAGTTTTTTTTTTTTTTTTTCTTTCCTCTCTTTTGTTTTCTTTGGTGAACCTTGGAAAACTCTTTCGATCGACACTCGAAGCTGATCCTTGATAGGGCTGACTTGGCACTGCGCGACTCTCTGATTGGCCTCGGCTGGGGTTCGTCTCATCACGATGACGCCCTGCACTCTCTTTCGCGGGATGCATGCGGAAGGTCGATCTGCCAGGAACTCCTGTTTGCTCCCCTTTACTTCTTCCCCCACCTCGTGCCTTGTTCCATCCCCAGTTCTCCCTCTCCCTCCGCTCTCCTTCTTGCACGCCTGGACGGTCCTTACGGAATACACTATTGCTCTGTTGAGCTAGAATATGCACCATGAGTGGACAGGCAGCGAGTTATTACAATCCCGGCCAGAACTTCGGCGACGGTCAACCTCAGTATCCGCAACAGCAACCTATGTACAATAATAATTTCCAGGGGCAGCCTCAAAATTATCAATATGATAATGGCTACCAAAGGGCCCCGGAGCCCAAGCCATCCCAGGGACCACCACCTCCCCAGGGAGCGCCGCCAACCTACAACCAAGCGGTCTATGGGTTTGACGAGGCCTTCAAGGTCGAGAAACCGAAGTTCAACGACATCTGGGCAGGACTTTTGGTGCGTTTGAATCCCTACTCCTACAGCCTGTTAGGAAATCCCACTAATCTGGTACAGCTCATCGCCGTCTTTCTAGGCTATGTCGCAGTCTCGGGAATCGCGATCCATCGGTATGCCAAATACAAAGGGTTCAACGGCGGGGGCATCTACGACTCGGTCAACACCTTTTCCCTCGATACGAACACCTTGGTTTTGTTTATATTCGTGCTTTGTGTGGCGCTGGCTTTCTCTTGGGCTTACTTCCTCGGAGCTCGCTATTTCCCCAAGTTCTTTATCTGGGCGACCGGGATTCTGAATATCGTATTTGCGCTGGCAACCGGCATCTACTACATCGTGCGCAAGCAGTACGGAGGAGGCATCGTGTTCCTGCTGTTCGGCGTATTCGCCATCATCTGCTTCATCAGCTGGATCCCGCGCATCCCGTTCACTGCATTCATGATGGAGACCTCGATCGACGTGTCGCGGCGCTACGGACATATGTTTTTGGTGAGCGCGATCGGCGGCATCGTGACGGTGGCATTCGCCGCGTGGTTCTCCGTGACGCTGGTGTCGATCTATGTCGCCTACGAGCCGAACAGCAGCGGCAGTAACCCGTCCTGTGCCAACGGGGGGTGCTCCACCGGCAGGGTGATCGGCTTGGTGGTCTACGTGACGTTCGCCATGTACTGGTTCAGCGAGTGGTGGAAGAACACCATCCACACCACCATCGCCGGGGTATACGGTTCGTGGTACTTTTTCGGTGGTTCGCCCAACGGCATGCCCAAAGGCGCGACTCGAGGTGCTTTTAGACGCGCCACGACCTATTCTTTTGGTAGCATCAGTTTTGGCAGCCTGATCCTCGCCATCATCAACATGCTGCGGCAAGCTTGCTCCGTTGCGCAGCGCCATGAAGCTGCTGAGGGCAGCCTGGTCGGCAGCATTGCATTCTGGATCCTCGGATGCTTGATCTCGCTGCTGGACTGGCTGGTGACCTTCTTCAACCGGTACGCATTCTGCCACATTGCGCTGTATGGCAAGGCGTATATCCCCTCGGCCAAGGATACGTGGAAGATGATGAAAGACCGCGGAATCGACGCCCTGGTCGCAGACTGCCTGATCGGGCCGGTTCTGACGATGGGCTCGGTGTTCGTGTCATACGTCTGCGCTTTGCTGGCGTATCTGTACCTGCAATTCACGCACCCCAGCTATAACCAGGACGGCGAATTCACGGCAGTGATCATGGCCTTTGCTTTTGTGATCGGTCTGCAGGTGTGTCAGGTGTTTATGACGCCGATGAGCAGTGGCATCGAGACCATCTTTGCCGCGATGGCATGGGATCCTCAGGTGCTCATGCAAGACCACCCGGATCTGTACCAGCGCCTGGTGCATCTGTACCCCAAGGTGCAGCAGGCCATTCATGCATAGATTGGAAGGGTTTGGCTTGGAGCATTAAACATTCATTCTTCTGGCATTGTATTTGAACTTGCGAAGCTCTCATTAATCAACACTAATACAAAGAATTCCTTGATGAAATAAAACAAGCGCAACCGCCCATCCATCCATCATTAACAGTCATTACCACAGCCATAAAGCACTAACCCTCCCTTACAGAATCATCATCACAGCCAAGAACCCAGTCACCCCCATCACCACCATCTCGCGAGGCCCCGTCCACGCCGCACCGCCGGTGAACAGCTGCTCATCCTTGCCATTCTGCTGGGGATCCACGCCCGTCGGCATCGCCCCAGTCGACGTCGGCACCTCGCCCACAAACGCACTATGCGACACACTCGTCGGCAGCGCCGAAGCCACCACCGTGCGCGTCTCCGACCGAATCACCGGCGTCGAGACCCCATGCACCAGCACCGACCCAGACGTCGTCAAGACCTTATGCGCCGACGGCACCGCCGTCTCCCCACTCAAGTCCGCATGCACAGGGGTCCCCATCGCCGCATCCACCCCCGTCGGCACCGGCATCGGCATCGCCACACTACTCTCCGGGCCCTGAGCCCGCTGCGTCCCCAGGACTGCATTGGAACTATGCACCGCCGCAGCAGGAACACCACTCGCGCCTGTCTCCTGCGCCAGAACCCCATTCACCGAGCTCGCGCACGCACAGTCCGTCTCCGTCCTTGTCACAGTGCGATACACGACCTGCTCGCCATTGACGTTGGCCTCGCGGTGAGCAGGCTCCGTCACCGCCGGCGCAACAGCCCTCCGCTGCTTCTTCTGCCCCTGCGCCTCCCCGTTCTTCACGTCCTCGAAGTGGAACAGCTCCCCCCTCGCGGAGGCCGCCGCGGCCGACCCCATCGTCGGCGTCGGGACCGGCGTGCTCGAGCTCTCCTCCGGGAACAGCACGTTCGCGATGTTCGGGAACATCTTGTGCAGGAGGCCCGGGAGGGCGTATTCGTCGTCGGCGGAGTCCGCGGATGCTTCTTCCTGGGGTTTGTGTTTGTTGTCGGCTTTGTCGGAGTCGGCCTTGTCAGATTTGGGGTCAGCCTTGTCAGCGTCAGGGTTCTTCGTGTCCATGACGACTTCCGGACGCTCGTTCTGGTTGTCGATGTGCGTGGTTGTGTCAGGCTGGGGTTTGGCGTTGTCGCTGGAGTCTTCGCCGACGCGGACCATTGGGGAGCTGGCGCGTTGGGGGACGTGGAGGGATGAGTTTTCCTATTTTCTTTTAGCTGGAGTCCCTGGTTGAAGTGAAGTAGATGATACATACCTCGCCGTCGGCCTGGGGGTTCAAAGCCACCAGCGTGGTGGCTAGACTTGCAAGGATGAATGCGGTACGCATTTTGGTTCTTTCTTTTGAAAATCGCTCGTTTCAGGTCGAAATAAAATAATAGAATTGGTGTGTATAAGACAGCTCTTGAAGGAAATATAACCAAGTAGTTAAACGAAGGTAGTGGTCGTAAAATCAACCAAGCGAACGAAAGTACAGAGTGCAGGTAAAAGGACGAACGAGTGTCGAGTCAAGTCAAAACAATACCCTAACGAGAACAGAACTGAAGAACAAGAAATGAGACGAGGTGAGACACTCCCTTTCTATATAACACCCCTTCCTATAAACCCAGGGGAGTCCAACCGCGTCGTGTCAGCATAACATCACCACGTACATGCACGGTCCTGTATCCCTGGATAGAGGCGCGCTGGGACGTAGACGTGGCGTGGAACGTGTTAGTGGAGGATTCCAGACGGGTATAATGTGTCTGGGTTGGTTGTGGTTGTGGTTACTCCTGGGTTGTTATCTAGGGGTGGAATGTGGGCGGAGGGATGCTAGGGAGGAGGAGGATCTACGGAGTTGATTTCCTTGATTTGGGGTTTCTTCGTTTGGGTTTTTTTGTTTTGTTTATTCTTTATTCTCTTTTCTAATCTCTTCTTATACAGAGAGGAAGAAGGCATTGAAGAGTTGTATCTCGAGATCGGAGATACTCAACAGGGTTAGGTTAGAATAGTATCAAGACTAGGTAAATTGTTTATTGAATATCTATAACCTCGACACTTGAAGAAACACGCTATATCTGAATCATTCAATTCACAGAGATATTTCCTCGTCTGTCTCATCCTCTCAAGTCATCACTCCACTCGTCCCTATGCCCTTTACTCCTGTCTCGTAAACTCAATGCGACAATTTACTAACCAATCCAGGGATAACTCACGTCCCTAACACAAACACCGCCCAAATACTACACAGAGGCTATAAAAGACAGCCAATACTTCCCGCCGGCAAGTATCCAAAATATCTCAAATAACCAGCCAGCGGTCGTTCCATTTCATGGCTGATCGCCGCAGTTGAGAAGGTGAAAGTGAAATGCAAGCCTGTAACACGCGAAGTATGCATTCGCCACTTCCCGGACGGGCGTCCATCGGAATGTAGCATTTACAGACTTACGGAGTACCCCGGCCACTCGGAGGATCTCCTCCGGGGGAGAGGAAAGGATGAAACTGGGATGTTTTGTCGGTGCTGGATTACTTGGTCGTTATACCTACCTTTGCGTCTGCCGTGTACTGTAGATAAATGAGGCTTATGAATAGCAGTTGATTTCCTTTAGAACAGGATCATATCCTCTGAATCAGCTAACTATGCAGCCAGTTTACCCTTATCTCACCTATGTGCCTACCTACCTCACTGTCCATCTCTACTTACACAGCTAGCGGAGATATGCAGTCGGGAAAGCAACTCAAGCTTTAGCTAGGCATTTCGCATACACATAGCTCGCCCGATTCCAGAGTTAGTTGAATCAGGTCATGGGCCAAGTCAAGTCAGGAATTAACTTTGCCTGGTATGCAATGAGGCATGTCGATGCTCATCTACGGTACCCGTCTCTGTGGTGGTTGTGACTTCATCGGTATGTTCTGCTTACGTTACCTATTTTTGTCACCGTTGGTAGGTAGGGATGGATAGAGATTGATAGTCAGGTCTGTTCTTGTTTGGCTGGATGGTTCTGAGATATTGTTGGATATTGATGGATTACGTTAAGTCATAGGTATGTATGTGTGGATGTGTCGTTTATTGGTTTCATGTCATAGGTCAATTTTGAGTTGATATCGAGAAAGAAAAAAAGAAGAAGAAGAAGAAGAAGAAGAAGAAAGAGGATAATAAACAGTCGTAAACAAACACAAACACCAGACCCAGCTAGCTAAAACCCCATCGTAAATAAACCATCAACCTAAATATACCCATAGACCAAAAAGAGATCATTAAATAGCATAACCACGTTCATAACCATAGCGTAACTATAGCATATCTACATCCCCTCCAAACAAGTTAAAACTTCTGACTCGTCACACACCTCGTCACATTAACCAACACCCAAGCCAGCACCTTCACCAGCGCCGTCAGCAAATGCACAATCAGATTCAACCCCCAGAAAAGCACCCGTAGCACACCGCGCGTCGGCCCCGGCAGCTTCTGCCCCTCGCGCGACGAGCTGTGCCCGTATCGGCCGTACCGCTCGAGGTCGAACTCCTCGACGACGATTTTCTGGTTCTTGCTCTTCTTCGGCTTCCCCTTGGCTTTGGGCGGGTTGGTGCTTGGGTCAGCGCTGGGATCGTCAGGGCCAGAGCGCCAACGAAACCAACTGCGCGGGTTCCGGCTCGCAGCGGATTTGATCTGCGCCATGAGCTGGTTGGATTGCTCTGTGTCGTCGCGTTCGGCGAGCGTGGCGACTAGCTTTCCGTCGAAGCGGGCATCGCGGAAGAACGAGGAGGGTTGGCTGTTGTGGGCCTGGCTATGGGGATCGTAGAGGGTCATGTCTGCGAGGATCGGGTTCGTCGATTCATCGGACACGGCGACGGCCAGCATCGCGCTGATCAGGGAGTCGATGGCGTACAGGGACGGAATGATGGTGACGATGGCGGCGGCAGAGATGGACAGGGTCATGGAGCCGAGGTCCAGCGAGGCCAGGGGGTCGTCGGACTCGGTCAGGGGCAGGGTGGAGGTGCGTGGCGTGGCGGCGACGTTGGCAGACTCGACTGCGTTGGCGGGTAACGGGGTCGTGACGAGGATGGTGGGTGGTTGTTGGCGGTGCTTGGAGTCGCGCGAGGGCGTCGAGATGCTGATGTGCAGCGTGCCGGAGTATTTGGAGGGCACGGGGGAGAGCGGGATGCCGACAGCGCCGACGAGGGCCGGCGGTTGGGGCTTGTCGAGCGACGGGTGATGTAGTTCGTAGAGCTGCTTAGGGTGGTTCCAGGTGAGACGGCAGGATTCCTGGGCGGCGGCGCGCTTGAGGGCGTCGCCTTCGACTTCGGCGGCCTCGGCGGGCCCGAGTCGGTGTTGGCGGGTCAGTTCTTCGGCCTGTTCGATGGCGAGCATGGCGGCCAGTCGGGAGAAGAGCCGCGAGACGAGGCCGTCGTTGGGTGGCTCGCGACGGCGGCGGTCTTCGAGTTTGAGCATCATGATGGGGACGCTGCTGCTGGGGTTGGACGGGTTGGTGCGAGTGATGGAGAGCTCGTCGGTGGAGTATGTCTGCATGGTGTAGAAGGGCGATTGGGGGTCGCCGAAGATGAAGGTGGCAGGGTCCGTCCTGGTTCTGTCAGTCGAAGGTTATGCAAATGTGTTGGAGATACTGACCGTGCCATGCGCAGATTGAAGGTCCCTGACAGATCCTGAGGCCGTTGGCCATTGGCGGCTTCCCATAGACCTTGGAGCTCTGCTGCAGAAGAGTAATGGACCTCGTCTGCCGGGTCCAGCGCACCCAATGGGAAGTTCATCACGCTGGCAGGCACCGTCTTGGGTCCTAGAGCACGATCGATCTCCGGCTGAGGCGACAGCGTCAGATCCTTGGGTTTGCGAGATCGAGAACTTTGACTCGAAGCCCCGGGATAGTACTGTTGCTCGCTCAGAGGCACGTTGGGATTATACCGAGGGAACATCGACTTCATCGGGATTTCTGGTGACTCCGAGCGTTGAGGCGCTTTCTGGACCGAGCGCGAGCTGCTCGCTCCTGGCGAGTTCAATTCGATTTCCTTCGAAGGCACATCCCATTCTGTCTTCTGCAGGCTGGCTTTGGGGGGCGACGTTGACCATTTGTCCGGGCCTTTTTCCGCAGCAGCGTTTGACTTGGAGATGCGAGCCTTGGGCGGCGGTTGGATCTCGTTCGTGTCCTCGATGATCTGAAGCAGCACGGCCTCTGTCTTGGTCTCCTTGTTGCTCAGATCCTCCAGCGGAATCGGACTGGCGGGTTTGACAGTCTCGGTCGGTCTCTTGAGCTCCCTACGAAAGGGATTCTTCGAGACCTTCTTGGGCGAGGTTGGAGGAAAGAGTTGAAATTGGCTCATGATGCCTCGTGCGGTACCAGCTCGAATGACTCCAGGCAGTAAGACAATGGCACTGGCGTGAATATCAACGAGAAAACATATGGAGTAGAAAAAGAAAAGACCGCGTCTTCACGGCACCGCGTGTGACATATACCCCTCATGGTCTCACATCTTGGCCTGAAGGATTCCTAAAAAAACCCACGAGCGGCCTATCAGCGCAAAGGCGTCAAGGATCTGAACGGTGAGAGGCTCGGCCTAGTGTGAAGAACAGGCATGGGCTGCATCGTTAACCGGATTGTCGAGGTCGGCGCTTAAGCTCGTCCTCTCGCTGGTTGCTCGTGCAGCTGCACCCCGGGGCACACAGACGGCAGGGCTTTAGTCTGTTAGTCTGTTAGTCTGATTAGCCCTGCTAGTCTGCTTAGTCCCTGTTAGCGGCGCTTCGACGACTAAGGAACCCGAGAAGATGATTTGTCCGGTGGTGACGCTGAGCGAACTAAGTTGACCGACGTGAAGAAGATGGACAGTCGGGGACCCCGAATTAAGCCTGAGTCGCCGTCGGGCGAATGGCGTTTCAGATAGACTAGACAATCATCGTCAGTTCTGCAATAGACTTTGATTTTGAATGTGACCGGGGAATCCTCTGAAGCGTTGTGTCAGTGTGATGGTGACAAGACTGTCGAGGCCGATGATTGGCGTCGTCCATTCCAGCAGTCACATTGATTACAGAAAAAGATGATCGTATAAACAATATTCATAATATGATACATGTGAACGCCATGCCAGGCTCTATTCCATCGCCTCGTCATGGAGGCTGACCGTCAGTCCTTCGGCCATGGCGATCGCGCCCTCCATATTCCCCTTATTGTACAAAAACAAGCCCTGCAGAGCAGCAGCGCTGGTGCTCTTTGACCGATCGGCTTTTCGTCCCTGCTCATCCTCGATGAGTCCCAACTCGTGCAACCGATCGAGGAATGCCTGTCGGTAGGCCCCGGTCGTGTCCAACTCGCTGTAGAAGCGGTCCCAGAGACAGCCGACCTGGTAGCGAGTCACCTCTCCAAGACGCACGGTCATGTCGACGCGTCCTGGTCGAACCAGAGCCGGGTCGAGTCGCTCGACGTGATTGGTGGTGAGGAAGATAATCCGTTCCTCGGCGCTGGCAACACCATCCAGCGCATTGAGCAGACCAGAAAACGTCACGTTGGCGCCCCGATATCCGTCGGCGTCGGTCTGTTCCCGTCGATTCGAGAAAGCGGCGTCAACATCTTCCAGCAGGACCAGAGTGCGGTTAGGAACGATAGTAAGGAGATGGTTCAGCCGGTCGTCGGTCAATCCCCGTTCGCTTAAATTCAAGATGGCAATGTCGTAGTTCAGCTCCCCAGCAAGGGCCTGAATGAAGGAACTCTTCCCGGTTCCCGGCGGGCCGTAGAGTAGGTAACCACGTCGATAGGGGATCCCGCGATCATAGTACCATTTTCCGCTGTCGGCAAAGTCCTTCACGTCCTCCACAATCTTCTCCTTGACGCCCTCGTCGAGAACCACCGACTCCAAGGGCCGCTTCCGCCGCGGCTGACCGAAAAGCCGCCACTCGGTGCCCCAACTATTATAGATCGACGTCTTGCCCTCGTGCGACCGCGCCGCATAGGCATGCGCCTCCAGGAAAAGCTCCTCGAAGATATGGCGGTGCGAGTAGAGCGTGGTCAGCGTGATGGTCTCCCACGGGCGACCCGTCTGTAGATCCTGCGACTTATTCTCGCGCATGCGATTGACGAAGATGAACGCGTTCTTGTAGCGCAGGATGTGTTTCCCGGGGCCCGGCACCAGCGCGAAATGAGTGTGCATCGATCCGTTGGCGTGTTCGACTTTCTGCGTTTGAATGGAGAGGTGGCGCATTCCGGGGGTCAGTCTCTGGAGGAGGGAGTCCACGAAGCCAGACCGGCTGGCGGCGGACCGAGCGGTGTTGAGTTGCGACTGTTGGTAGAGGGTCATCCAGTGGAGGAACCACGGATAGGAGTCGTCCTTGATGCTGATTTCGACGTCGACGAGCATGCGCCGGCGAAGCAGCGCGGCGCCATGCCGGACGCCTTTCTGGGCAAAGCTCAGACCTGCTCCTAGACCGGCGAGACCGAATCCCTATACGAGGCTGCCGTTAGCTCATTCTTCCATACTGGACAAACGGCGGGGAAGCTACCGCGGTGAAGAACGGATTGCTGGTGAGCTGGGCCAAGAGCCCGTCTCCTTCAGCTGTCGGCTGCTTGGCTGCCTGAATCGCATCTTTTCGCTGGGCGATCAGATCGGTCGGCGCAGGCAGCCCCGTTGATCCATTGGGGTCCATTAGCAAGAGGCCGTGCGGATTGAGGTGAATCAGAGAGAATCACCTCCGATTCTCCCGCCGGAGATGGACGGGGCGGAGTTACGACGGGCCGACATGCAGTATAAGTCAGAGTATAAGAGCTTAGAGTATACCGGTGAACTTCCACTCCGATGAAACAAATGTAATTTAGGCCTGAGAGAAAGGAATTAATCTATAATTCTACAGTGAATTATGACTCTGTAATCCGCTTCTCTCGACCGGAGTTAACGGCGTTAGGCCCGGCCGGACTTACAGCCGTCGTGTTTGGCATCTTTCAGTCTTTCCAACGAATAAGCAGTCAATCACTTTCCATGGCTGACACGAGCCTCGATAATTCTCGCTGAGCCCAGCCGCTGATTTGCAGGTCGAAAAGTCTAAGCCCCGGAGGCATCCACGTTGGTGACGCTGTCCAGCCTGGCTGCCATTCTTAAAGAACGCCGCGCGCTGTGTTCGACTCAACAATGCGATCGTTTTTTCGCCATTGGCAGAACTTTCGTCGGTCGGCTCCCTCGCAGTTCTTGTCGGCTGAATCGCGCAAAATGAGTTCCTCCACCGCTGCCATTCTATACTCCCTCACGGTGTCGGTGCCTCCTGTCTCCGCGAGCCCCGACGAGGCGAAGGAGAAAAGCCATCATGCCTCGAATGGATATGTGAATCCCTGGGAGTAGGTCTTGTCGCTGCATTGATTGAATGCTTGCTAACTGAACGCAGCTCCTGGTCGGGAGGCCCGACTTTCCACAACATGATGAAGTTCTTCGGGTAAGCTCATCACGCATCCCAGTCCGATCATGCCATCTAAACCCCGTATAGTCGCCACCTCACAGCAAAGGGCCATCGCCCAGACACCACGCCCCCGACAGTGCCAGTCCAAAAACCCGAATTCCTGCCCTCACGGGATACCCCCGGACTGCGCGCAACGTGGCTCGGACATGCCTGCTACTACGTGGAATTCCCCGGCGGGCTGCGGGTGCTGTTCGACCCTGTGTTTGAGGACCGGTGCTCTCCCATCTCGTGGCTCGGTCCGAAGCGTTACACCGAGATGCCCTGCGCCATCAAGGACCTGCCGACCATCGACGCCGTCGTCATCTCGCACAACCACTACGACCATCTCTCCTACCCGACCATCAAGGAGATCGCCCGGCTGCATCCCAACTGCCACTTCTTTGCGCCCCTCGGCAATCGGCAGTGGTTTGTGGACTCGGGCATTCACAACGTCACCGAGCTCGACTGGTGGGAGCAGCGTGATATCTCCCTGGCTCCGGTCAAGGAGGCGACTCCGGAAGTGAGCCCGGCTGGTGCAGCGCCCTCTACCACCGGTGCTAATGCCGATATCCACGCCCGCATCAGCTGCTTGCCCTGCCAGCATACCACCAACCGGGGGGTGTTTGATCGCTGCAAGACGCTGTGGGCATCGTGGTCTGTAGAGTCGGGAGGCCGCAAGGTATATTTTGCTGGGTACGTGCTCATCCCTCTCCCATTGCGTAGCCAAACTAACCTCAATCCTAGCGACACGGGGTATAGATCGGTCCCGGACCTCCCCGAAACCGCCGACGACCACTCATCCGAATACACGTATCCGTCATGTCCTGCCTTCAAACAAGTAGGCCAGCACCGGGGTCCGTTCGATCTGGGCTTGATCCCCATCGGAGCCTACAAGCCTCGTTTCTTTATGAGTGCCATGCACGCCGATCCTCATGACGCCGTCCAGATCTTCCAGGATACACAGTGCCGCAGGGCCTTGGGCATGCATTGGGGCACGTGGGTCCTGACTGAGGAAGACGTTCTCGAGCCGCCGAAGCTGCTGAAGGATGCGTTGCGGAAGCATGAGATTCCAGAAGAGGGGGTCTTTGATGTGTGTGATATTGGGGAGAGTCGGGAGTTTTGACCTTGAGGGGTAGACTGGATGGGAAGGGTGCTATCTCAGCTTCTCTATTTCAAATTATGTTAAATAAACGTTTAATGCATAATACAACCAGTGTCGACATAATAAGGATCAAATCAATATCTTATAGATTTCTATTGTTTGACAATTGCCCGCTCAGTCTAAAGATGAGCTTGAAGTCGATCAACCTAGTGAAAAGTACCGATTCCCATGCACTTTAGCGCTGCTCATATCCTCTGCACAGTGCAAGTGGACTAGCGCATGCCCACACGAAGACATTAAACAAGAGTCAATTCATGTTCTCTTCTTTCTTCAACCTACAATGTACAGAGCTTTGGTTCTCACCCGTACAGGAGTCCATCCGCCAGGGCCTGTTGTCAATATTGTCGCTTTGCTGCATGTCAGACATTGCAGATAAGTGCACAGTGAGTGCGCGCGGTGTATCGATATCGATATCAAAGTGAGTTTCCAGAAACTTGAGGCGTGATTATGTCGTCGCTTTCCAGTCGCTGTCTAATCAGTCTATTTGTTTACAGCTGCTCTCGGCGATACCTATACAATAGACGCCAGGGCCTCACTCTCTCATCACTCACAACCCAGCCATCACAAGCTTTGAGTATTTCTATACATACCTAATCCCGAATTCCAAACTAAAAATCACAAACAAACTCCAAAATGCACACCTCAGAAAACCTCCAATACCCCTCCAGCACCTCCGGCACCGACACCAGCCCCAGCTCTGCCTCCCAGCCATGGACCCCCCACGACGACTCGTCCACCTCCACCTCCGACGAAGAAGAAGTCCTCTTCGACCTCGACGAGTCCGCCATGGCCGAGCTCCCGATCCACCTGCAGCACACCATGCGCGAGATCCAGCGCGAGCGCGTCCGTCGGCTCAGCCAGGGTCCTGAGAACCTCATGTCTATGAGCGTGTCTGTGAGTATGACCATGGACATGGGGATGCGCAACGACTCCCACTCCCCCGTCCATTCCCACAATACCTACGACAGATGGGTGCAGAACATGATGTCGCGGATGTCAAATGATCAGGAAATGAGTGTCGCGAGGGAAGCTAGAGAATTGGAAAAAGACATGCATCTGAACAAGGAGAGTAATGCGTTCGGTCAGGACCTGCGGTCTGCAGGTGTCTACGTACATGGTCCTGGGGATGAGCATAGCATGGAAGCTTCCTCGGGGCGGTATTACAGTCGGAGCATCTCGATGTCCGGACGGAATGTGTTTCTCGGCTGCATGGGGTCTTTTGAAAGGAATGTGTTGACAAGATGCACGAATGGCAGACAGGCTGTTGGTGGTGTGCTTGGGGATAAATTTGCCGCCGAGCATGTTTCTGAGGTTAATGTGCGGGTTGGAGGGGAGATGCAGCAGCAGCGCAGTAGGAGAGGCCAGTTTCGCAAGACAATTCTGTCTGCGGTGCGGGTGCGGGTGAAGAAGAGTGTTCAGAAGATGAGCATGTTTTTTAAGAAGTGATTGGGTATGGGGAGAGTTCTAGGGGTTTGTCTGTTGTTTCTTTTCTACCGGGTATGCATGGTGATGTGATGTTTGATGAGTTATGATTGGGTATGTTAACTGAAGGGAAAAGTGCATGGTATTTCAGCAAGGGATATGTGGGATATGTAGATTGCACATTCAATGTGGATGAAAGTAGAAGATGAATGCAAGAAGAGAAGATGTAGAAGAGGAAAGTAAGGAGATGGAAGAGACGAAAGTAATGAATAAAGATTGTCTCTGTAGAAAGTGATCGATCAGGGGAATGGCGCTAAACCCAACGGAGCTGTGGGCGGTGAGCTGCGGCAATCCCACTTCGGGTGGTTGCTGGAAATTCTATACTGTAAGTGAACGGCGGGCACAACTTCTCACGATCCCCTCCTATCCACAACCCCTCGACTTCTTTCTCTCCCTCTTCCCCTCTAAACGACCTTGATAATATATCGAAACCATGCAAGCACCCGTGGTCGTGATGAACACAGGCGCTGGGGAGAGACAGGTTGGCCGTAAAGCGCAGCTGTCGAATATTGCCGCCGCGAAGACGTGTGTATAATTCCATCCGATTGTTCAGCTCGCCCGCCCACTTCAAATCTAACCTCGAGATCATCACTGCAGTGTTGCGGACATTATCCGGTCATGTCTGGGACCCAAGGCTATGCTGAAGATGCTGCTGGACCCTATGGGCGGTATCGTCCTGACCAACGACGGCCACGCCATCCTCCGAGAAATCGAAGTGTCGCACCCCGCCGCGAAGAGCATGATCGAGCTTAGCCGAACCCAAGACGAGGAGGTTGGAGACGGAACCACGACTGTCATCATTCTTGGTATTTACCCCTCATCTCGATTGTGGTGGTGGTGATGGCGATACTGACAATCGAAGCCGGTGAAATGCTTGCCCAGGCTCTCCCCCAACTCGAGCGGAACATCCACCCCGTCGTCATCATCTCGGCTTTCAAGCGTGCGTTGGCCGACGCCCTGGCCATTGTGGAGGAGGTTTCGGTGCCCGTGGATATCGACGACGACAAGGCCATGTACACTCTCATTGAGTCCTCGATCGGGACGAAGTTCTCTTCCAGATGGTCGGAGCTGATGTGCAGCCTGGCCCTGAAGGCCGTCCGAACGGTCTCCTTCGACGCCGGTGGTGGCAAGCGCGAGGTCGACATCAAGCGGTACGCCCGTGTTGAGAAGATCCCCGGTGGTCAGATTGAGGACAGCGAGGTCATCGACGGTGTTATGGTCAACAAGGATATCACGCACCCCAAGATGCGGAGAAGAATCGAGAACCCCCGCGTCCTCTTGCTGGATTGCCCGCTGGAATACAAGAAGGGAGAATCTCAGACCAACATCGAGGTCTCCAAGGAGGACGACTGGAACCGCATTCTGCAGATCGAGGAGGAGCAGGTGAAGCACATGTGCGATGCCATCGTGGCGCTGAAGCCTGACGTTGTCATCACCGAGAAGGGTGTCTCCGGTAAGAATTCGCCTCTCTTCATACTTTCTTTTCTTCTTCTAACTTGATCAGATCTTGCCCAGCATTTCTTCATGAAGGCCAACATCACCGCCCTTCGCCGAGTGAGAAAGACGGATAACAACCGTATTGCCCGTGCTACCGGTGCCACGATCGTCAACCGTGTCGACGATCTTCAGGAATCCGACATCGGAACCGGCTGCGGACTGTTCGAGATCGAGAAGATCGGTGACGAGTACTTTACCTTCCTCCGAAAATGCAAGAACCCCAAGGCCTGCACCATCATCCTCCGTGGCCCCTCCAAGGACATCATCAACGAGGTCGAGCGCAACCTGCAGGACGCCATGGCCGTGGCCCGCAACGTCATCTTCCACCCGCGGTTGTCCCCTGGCGGTGGTGCCATTGAGATGGCCGTCTCCGTCAAGCTGAGCCAGCTGGCCAAGAGCATCGAGGGTGTCCAGCAGTGGCCCTACAAGGCCGTGGCCGACGCGATGGAGGTCATTCCCCGAACATTAGCACAGAACGCCGGCGCCAGCCCTATCCGTGTTCTGACGCGCATGAGGGCCAAGCACGTCGAGGGCGAGACCACATGGGGTCTTGACGGTGACTCGGGCAACCTGGTCGACATGAAGGAGTATGGCGTGTGGGAACCCGAGGCTGTCAAGCTCCAGAGCATCAAGACCGCCGTTGAGGTAAGCATCTTAATCCTTCTACTTTCAGTTATGATCACTAACCTTTGACCAGTCCGCGTGCCTGCTTCTCCGTGTTGACGACATCTGCAGTGGCAAGACCGCCCAGCAAGTGGGCGCCGGTGCCGGCGGTGGTGATGAGTAAAGAGATGAAGATACGGGAATAAAAATGCGTACTTAATGCTGCACGATTACCTCTGGACTTTGTATATCCTAGACTAAAAATTACATGGGTATCTTCTATCGTACACTGTACCCCGAAAGTACAGTTTGGCAAGTCTTCCAGCCCCTAATCATCATGAATAATGAGACCCGGCGTCTCCTCCGCCTGCGCAGCCTCCCCCGTAGCAGTCCCATCCCCAGCTCCAGCTGAAGCAGCCCCGTCCGTCACCATTGCATCCCTCTCCTTCCCTTTATCCCCATTACCTCCCTTCTTCACATTCTTTTTCTTCTCCCTCCTCCGCCGATTCTTCTCCGTCTTCTCCTCATCCTTCTTCCTCGTCTCCTCCCTCTGCCGATCCCACTCCTCGTCCTCCTTCTCCTTCTTCACCTCGCCCTCCATCAGCCTCAGGCGCTCATACTCGCGTCGCCGACTGGCCTTGTAGACGTGGAACTCGCCGGACCCGGCACCGGCCGAGGAGCCCTGCACGTTGGCCACGATTTCTGGCGGGGCAGGCAGGGTCGCGGAGGTCTTTTGGCGCGAGGCGTTCGGCAGCCGGATTTCTTTCGAGGGGTCACGGAACAGCGTCTCGATCTTCGAGGCTTGTTCGTTCTGCGCCGTCACGGCGCGGCGCTTCACGGGGCGTTTGCTGCGCGGGTCGGCGCTCGTGGGAATCGATTCGGGGCCGGGTTCGGACATTTTGGTTTATGAGTTGCTTTGAAGTGGTGATGTTTGCTGGAGAGAGGTGGGGGAGGGAGGTGGTGGATAGTTGGTCGCGTTGATGATAATAGTAGATAGGATCGCGAGTTGGTGAGGTTCAGATGAATGCGATTTTTTCCCTGTTTCCCCCTTCCCAAGCAAGGTAGATCGAGTCACTGATCGAGTCGAGTTCTGCAGTCAGAAAGAAGAAGCGGAAGTTGGCGGTGAGACCCACTTTCCGTAGCCCTCAATCGCCTTAACAGCCAGCAAGTCACTCTCCTCCGACTTCAGCGCTGGAGTGACCTGCAGCATGTTATGTCCGGCAAGCGGGAGATTACGACAAGGCCTGGACTGGCCGGTGCATGTGACATCGCCCGGCCTGGGAGGTTCCTGGAGGTGAATCGTCCATCGATGCCTTCAATGCACTTATATTCACCTGCTGCCATGCTGGACCATGCACTTCATCCTTCTTCCTCACCTTCGACTCTTGTCTTGGTGCCGTGGTTGGTCCTTTCTTCTTTGGCTGTGACTCGTATCTTGGATATCATTGACGCTTCCCTTGTTATCTCTACAAGTGCTTTGGCCCCGCGTGGCCCCGCGTTACCATGGGGTCTACTAACAATTCTGTAAAGGTCAGTAGCCTGGATCTGGGTGTGGTGGTTTCTTGTTTGAATGAAGGCTAACAGGCATTGCAGTTTCATCTAACTGATCTTGTTCAAGTAAAGGGAAAGTCTCGTTTGCTGGGAACCGTTTCTGTAAGTGAGAAATCAAATGCGCCATCTTATGGCTTTGGCTAATCTGTGCTATCAGTTGACTCACGACGATGTATGTCACCTTATTTCTGATTTCTAACAGCTGTAAGACTAACCTGTTGTGACAGATTGATGATGACGATATACCGGTGGGAGAGCTCTTCATACTATCTCACACCGCAGTGCCTAGCGAGGATCTCTTGGACTTTCTGAGAACAAAGAGGGTATGTATTATGCACTTCTTATCCCCTGGCTGTTCACTCCTGGTCATCCTCTAGCAAGAAGCTGACCAGATTCAAAGCCACCTTTTGGTTATGTATTCGTTCATTTCAAGGACCCTAGTTATGGATACTCTCTGGTTCATGAAGGCGACCTCGAACTTCTCGACCGACTTTTCGTGATCGGCCAGCCAGTCAAGCGAGATCTTTTGAGTCCCATTAGTGGAACGATCATCAGCATGTCGATGAAATGTAGCGTCGTACAGATTGCCCATCAACCGGTTAACCCTCGCACTGGAGACTACGGTCCGCTGCAGTTTCTGGAAGCGCCCAGGGGTCGTGCCGTCTGGCCATCAACTCGTGACGGCGACCCTCCGCAAATACACGACGTGCCCATCTCAGAGCTTATCCACTTCGAACCATTCTCCGAAGATGACTACATCATCTATCGCCAGAAATTGGGAAAGATCCGGTCGGTCGAGCGCGATGCGGTTATGCTGCTCTCAAACCAGAAAGTCGCATCAGTTAACGATATCGATCGTGTCGAAATCCCCCTTTTTAATGACCCTCAAAACGTCGTGGGGATGCCTGACAACCTTGATCAGATCCATACGCATCCTCTGCCTGATGGCCGCTATGTCTGGTCCGATGAAGCGAGGCCGGCGGTTCCCGGCCAGTATGTGCTCACGTCTGCTAACAATATGAGTCGACATGACCTGGAATCGGGTACAAACGTAGCTGTGGAACCAGAAGGCTACGTACTGGCCACGCCCGCAACGGGCTACACCATCGATTGGGTTTGTCCGAACGTTTTCGCCGTGGGCGTGCCTTTCAGCAGTCCCACCAGTGAGAGGTATACGGCTGCCACAATCCACGAACAAGCCGTGAAATGCGACTTTGGCCAACTGCCTAAAGATGCATTGTCCAATGAGAAGGCCGTCAGGACTGATTTGTGGCATCACGTTGGGAGCTCTGTTCGGTTTCGGGATCCAGCAGATGCATGTCGGAAGTATCCCAAGTACCAGCATATCCCAACTGATGAGTCCTTCGGCTACGACCTGAATATTCTACGCACCATGCGTACTAAGACAGAGGTCACTGTCCAGTGGCAGGACGGAAGCATCACAACTGAGGATTCCACATGTCTACATGCGTTCGATCAAGCCGAAGAAGAGGTATGGCCCGGAAACCTGGTTGTGCTGATCGACGGGATGGAGTCGATCAGAGAGCCTCTTTCGCGTAGAGCCATTCCCCTGCATATTACCGAGTCCGAAATCACGGTGGAAAGCTTCCGGCTAAAGAACATTGGTGTGGTCCAGACCGTTGATGGCAGGGAGAGGGTAGCATCCGTTCGCTGGTACGAAAACCCGAACGTCGTGCTGACGCATGATGGCGAGATGATCAAACCCGGCTCGTCCCTTGGAGTCCTCGGCTCGGCCGTGACAGAGGTATCTTTCTACGAGATTGTTCGCTACTCCTGCTTGGAGTTGTCTCTTGGCGACAGGGTGCTTCTGGTCCCCGACACGGTTCACGAGGCAACACTCCCACAGTCTAGCTTGGATCCAATCCCCCAGGATGCGGGCCCATGTCAAATGAGCTTCCTTGCCCCAAGCACCTTCTTTGAGACCCTTCTTTACCTCGAGGCCATGAAGATGAGCATCGTGGGCACGGAGTGGTTTAAGAATTCAATCACCATCGATAAGTCTCCAGTCCCTTCTCGATTCAGCCTTCGGTACACTGAATTCAACGTCAACACGCCCGCAAATTTCTTCGGACAGGTTGTCGCCATGGATATCGACGGGACCATCACGGTTCGGCTTGCAGCGACGAACAATTGCCGTGATATCCGTATCTCGCTGGAGAGGCTCATGCTGCTGATTGACGAAGATGGGATTGAACACTTCCCATCCCTCGATCTGTTTGCCCCGTCATGGGCCACTAGTACAACACCGTTGAATCAACGTAGTGTACTGGATGAGCTGTCATGGAATTTTGATAATCCACCGACCGATCATCGTGATAGCAACGGAATGGAGGATGATTGGTTCACAGCGTCTGATACCGAGACAGATGAGAATGTAGTGATCGACGACCCTGACGAAGACAACGAAGGCTATCATGAAATTCGCGAACTCAATGGCAATCGTTTTGAGGCAGCCGCAGTGTCTGATATTCCTCCTCCTGAGCCTGAAACCGATGATTCCGAAGATTTCGCCCTAACTGAGACATCCTCAGTGCAAGGGGGATCTACAACTTCGTCCTCTTCGGCGGCAGATTGCCCTCCATCGTTCGCTCTGTTAGAAGGACCGCCACCCTCTGACCATCATTTTCTAGGCAGGGAGCAGAACTGCCGCTCCGGACCCCTTGCCAAACGTATTCACAAAGAATATGAGATACTCCGCTCGTCACTACCCTCTGGGATCTTTGTGCGGGCGTGGGAATCGAGGATTGACCTCATGCGGGTTTTGATAATTGGGCCCCAAGGAACACCGTACGAGTATGCGCCATTTGTGTTTGACCTCTACTTCTCCAAAGACTTCCCAAACTCGCCTCCGCTCGGCTTCTTTCACTCGTGGACGTACAGTGCCGGAAAGGTCAACCCGAATTTGTATGAAGACGGAACGATCTGCCTTAGTATTCTGGGGACGTGGACAGCCCAGAATCCGGAGGAAGGCTGGTCGGCCGCCAAGTCCACCGTCTTGCAAGTTCTCGTTTCTCTTTTGGGACTTGTGCTGGTGAAGACACCTTTTTACAGTATGTTCATTCTTTGATATTGACCTTTCACGCACTGACTTTCTTAATAGATGAAGCCGGATACGAAGCCTTTGCGGAAGAAGGTAATAAGCAACTCGAATCTGCCCTGTACACGGAGAAGGCGTTCTTACTGGCCCGCATGTTTATCGAGCATGCGCTTGAGGAATCTGTTGGGGGTTTGGAGGATGTTCTGACCTGGCACTACCTTCCCTCGACTCGAGCAGGGGACGAGCGCCCACGATTGTTGCGTCGGGCTATCGATACAGCTTTGGAAATGATCGATCATCATAACCGTACGGCCGCCGGTGATGATCTTGACGAAACCAACGTGGCATCGGCCTTTGTAAAGCGCCTCAGTCTTGGGGCTGTGGTCATGCTGCGGAAGCACATTACTGCTTTTGAACGTATTGAAGCCAAGAATACTCGAACTGGCTCCTAGATTTTGAATACTTTACGGCTGGAAGCACAATAGCATCTGGATTAATTCCTGGATATATGGAAACGTGCGATATGCAGGCATTTTGTACCTTGTACCTAGCTTGGCTTCTAGCTTGAATAACTTGAATAACACCGCATCTTGGAGCGATCCGAACGAAGGTTCAAAATCACGTAGCAAGATACATAAAGTAGAAAATACAACCGCCATGATAGCCTTTAAAGGTGCCCATGCAGCTATACAAAACACGTCGTGCATGCGAAAGGCCGGTTGGTCCACGCGTTGCGGTACTGGTCTGCAGCGGGTTCCGTGTTCTGCCTGTCCTCGCCTGCCTTCACCCGCTTTCTTCTTCTCTCATCCCCTTCCATCATCATTCTTTTCCTTCCTCCTTTCCTCCTCTGAGATAAATACTCAGTGACTTTGTTGATCTTCAGTAGTCTTCAATTCATTGTGCGATCTCTCTCTTTTGCTCGAGTTGTGTCATTGTCCGGTGTTGAAACACTTTTCGTTCTTTTTTCGCGACCAAACGCGATTCGCAGCGACCATGCCTTCTTATCGTCTGGGTAAGTTTTTCATCGTTTTTTCGCTTTCTCATCTTTGTCAATTGGCTCTACATATACCTTAGTATATTCTATTGCATGAGTTCATCGTTTTTGTTCAAATTTTGGCTCTTCGAGGATCTGTTTCCATCCGTCGTGTCTGTTTGCTGCATTGTTCGCTGTCGCCCAACCCCGGCAGTCCGCGTCATTGCTATGTCCAACGTGGACTTCTTTTATTCTCCTTGTGCCTTTCTTTCTTTCTTTTCGAGCTATGCATGTCTACGTGGTTTTTATTCCATTGTCATGTCCATTTTATGGAATTCTCCAGAAACGTAAATTAACCCCCTACAGAAGAAGCATCCACCGGCCGAGCCGGCTGCCAGAACAAGGAATGCAAGGATGCCAAAGTGAAGATCCTCAAGGGCGAGCTGCGCCACGGCTCTTGGATCGATACGGAACGATTCCAGAGCTTTTCCTGGAGACATTGGTAAGTTTTTCCTATAGTGACCCCCTTTAGAGGCAGGAAGCAACCAAACTAATTTATCCAGGGGATGCGTGACGCCCAAGGTCGTCAGTAACATGCAAGAGCTCATCGCCGACGAGGGCGACGGAGACCCTTCTGTCATCGATGGCTTTGAGGAGTTGTCTGAAGAGAACAAAGACAAGGTCCGCAAGGCCATCGAGCAGGGTCATGTCGATGATGAGGATTGGAAGGGTGTATGTTCCTCTCTGTTTACTCTTTGGTCGATGCTGATGAAGTCTAGGACGTGGAGATGAACAGACCCGGAAAGAGCGGGTTCCGTCAGCGCGCGCCGAAGAAGAATGCCAAGGCCGATGATGTATGTCTTCCTGATCTCCATCTACACTCAATCACTAACAACTAGCAGGATGAATCTGCGGAAGAACCCGCCAAACCCAAGAAGCGCACTGCTAAAGCAGCCAAGGAGGAGTCCGACGACGAGGCTCCCAAGACTAAGAAGGCCAAAACGGCGGGTCGCGCCAAAAAGGCTGCCGCGGACGAAGAGGCAGAGAGCGAGAACAGCGATGCCACTCCTGCCAAACCTAAGGCCAAGCAGCCGGCCAGGAAGGGCCGCGCCGCCGCTAAGGAAACCCCCGAGAAGAAGGCCGCCACTGGCACCAGAACGGGCGGCCGACGCCAGAAGAAGGCCGCGGAGGACGCCGACGGTGAAGCTGCTGAGCCTGAACCTGCTGCTGAGGAGCATGCAGCTGAGAAGCCCAAGCGCGGCCGCAAGAAGAAGTCTGCTTAGCTTGCTACCTTGCCAAGCTCGCTTAGCTTACGTATTGTCTGGTTGATTTATCTAATGTCTGATTCTTTCCCCTTCAGCGAGTGTCTGTGGTATGTATTGTTGATGTTAAGTTTGATATCTAAAGGTTGAAGCGATGTCGGTCTAGGAATGGGTGTGGGTATTGTCTATGTGCATGTGCATGCATTGTCTCGGGAAGTTACTGAAGTTGCTTGTCAGTGTCAGACCATTTGTCTATCTTATCTGACTGTCCATCTGTCTGTGTCATTATCTATTTCTGCATGGCTCGGGTCATTCAGTTCTGAGACTCGAGCCAACTTTCTGTATGAGTATAATGCATAATATCTCTCAGTCTTTGATGCGTTCATCTGGGGATATCTGTAATGAATTCAATTAGTAAACTCAGAACCTAAAATACAGTAGGCCTGTTGATCTCTGTGGGAGTCTCCAATCCTAACCAATTGGTCCGGTTAAATCCTGAACGCTGTAGACGGACCTCGCCGGATTCGCTTCGTGACAAGGATGTGGATTATACCAATGCCTTGAAGAAAGAAATATATATAAAAAAATAGAAATAAAAACACAGACAGCCACAGACAGGCGCACATCTTAGAAGTCGGCAATGGGTCCGCCCATAACCTGGTCGTCACCATTCTGGCGACGGAAATTGCTCTCTTTAACAGTAGACGCAAACTCCTTCGCCGGTTCGCCAAACCATCTATTCGCCTTCTCGGCCTTCTTCTCTTCCTTCTCCCTCTTCTCCCTTTCTCTCTTTTTTCTGCGCTTGGGAGCGGCTGGCTGATATCAGATTTGATGCACTCCGACTGAGTCGTAGGGGACTTGCCTTGAAGATGGAAGAAAATGGAGGAAAATGGAGGAAGATGTGAGAAAGGAAAGAAAAAAGAAACCTACCTTAGCAGTGAATACCTACTTATCTACCTACCTACGTTAGGAAGTAAAGAAAGGAATGGATGGTGGAAGGTGAGACTTGCGAGGTGAATGAATATAGTTCAATCCAACCAATCGGAGAAACTGTCTGCATTGGGGGTCCGACCGCCCGAAGTACGCACGACACAATGGAATCTCTAAAAATCGCGAAAAAGACATCCCGCTATCCGGTCGCCGTCGCTCGCTCCATCCACACTTGTCTTCCTTCCCCCCGCGTCCGATCAATCTCCTTTACTCTTCTCCTCCCAATTCATATCCGCCAAGATGGTCGTCGCCTTCGACAAGTGCGAGACCCGGCCCGCCAACATTGATGCCATCCTGAACGGCCTCGACCGATACAACCCCGAAACGACCACGGTATTCCAGGACTATGTGGTTCAACAGTGTGAGGACAGGACATTCGATTGCTATGCCAACCTGGCCTTGTTGAAGCTGTGAGTACTTGCGTCTAGATTTGTCCCTCAGACTCTGGAAACTCGCTCCCTGTTCCCCCCGGGCTTAAATGATGAAGAAACCTTTTTTTATTATCACGTTTCCTATTACCTGAAACCCTCTATTGGGTGGTGTTGAGACTTATATTATCTTCTGAAAAATGCCCTTTGATGATCTTCAATCATAACTGAAATACTTGGTTTCTTGTTTACTGACTGTCCTCTTCTACGCCGACAGCTACCAATTCAACCCTCACCTTCTCCAGCCCGAGACCGTCACCAACGTCCTCGTCAAGGCCCTCACCGTCTTCCCCTCTCCCGCTTTCTCCCTCTGCCTTGCCCTGCTCCCTGCCCACACTCAGCCTTTCCCCTCCAACAACGCCGAAGCCCAGGCCGCTTCCCAGACCTCCGACTTCGTCGAGTCGGTTCAGAAGCTTGCCCGTCTTTCCACGCTACTTGAATCCGCCCAATACTCCCAGTTCTGGTCTACCCTGAACTCGGATGACCTGTACGCCGACCTGGTTGCCGACGTTGCCGGCTTCGAGGAGCTTGTGCGCATCCGTATCGCCGTCGAGGTCGGCAAGGCCTTCCGTGAGATCAACGCCGACGTTCTGGAGCAATGGCTGGATGTTCCCAACCGCGAGGCCCTCGAGAAGTTTGTCACCGAGGTCTGCAGCTGGGTGGTCGACAAGTCCGGCTCCAGCACCGTGATCAAGGTGCCCACGAACAAGGAGAACGAGGTCCGCAGCGAGGTCAAGAGCGAGCGCGTCGGCATCGACATGTTCGGCCGTGTCATCCGCCGAGGCTTCGAGCAAGCCGCCTAAATGGGTGGACTGCGCGACCGAAATTAGACCAAAAAAATAACGTCTTTTCTTGCTAATACCTTTTTTTATTCTTCCTTCTTGACTTGGAAGATTCATTATATCCACGGAATCTTTACATGCCGTTTATTAAGACTCCCACAACGCAACAAGAAAAAAACCGCAAAAAAGGACACTGTTCACTTGAACCTATGCCGACGAAACGAGTTCGGAGCCCAAGATGATGATGACGGGGATAGACCAGCATGAAGAGGATTGGGAAGTCAGGACCGGCGCATTTGGCGTTTTGAGTTTGCTTCGCAGAACTTGTGTTTATCATCATCGTCATTCACCGTGTGTGAAAAACAACTCTTTCTCCATCTACCATCCTAAGAAGATATCCCTAAAATAACGAAGCAAACTGAGGGTTCCTCTCTGAGGATCTATCGATTTTTACATTTGTGTATATGTAACAGTTTCCAATCTTAAATCCTTTTTTCATGAAGAAACTATGTTCCCAATGGTTCTGTGCATTAGAATGGTCGCGATATAAACATTGCTCTATAAGTCATCAACATTAACCAGACATCATCATTATTCCTTCCTCACTGGTCTATTTCAACTCCTCCCACTGCACACCAGCCCATTCTTCACGCCAGCCCGTTAGGCCCACCTGTTCCGGAGCACAGTCCTTGCCGCACACACCCAGAATGATCGTCCCCCACTCCATACCCGCATCGTCTTTCTCTCCCATGCCAACTTCGCGGTCTTCCTCGAGAATGCTGATCGCGTGAGGCACCAGCTGAAGCTCGAAGACACGCGCGCTACCGCAGTACTCGCAGCGAGGGATACGCAGGGCTCCGTTTCCAGCAACCGTCACATGTCCCGGCGCGCCATGCTGGGGGTCGTGGAGGAGCTTGCCAACCGCATCGTTGTACGAGTAAAGGATGGGGGTTCCGCGGAACTCATATCGCAGGATCTGCTCGGGGTTGTGGCCCAGTCGGGTGGAGAACTTCATAAAGGCCTTATCCAACTGGGACTCCAAGGCATCCTTCAGCTCTCCGGATCCGCCGCCGGTTTCCTCTTCGGTGTTGTCGATGGTGACATTTTCGGGAATGGTCGGCGTGGATGGTCGCGAGAGGGTTTCGTACTCGGCGTCTAGGTAGAAGTGCTTGTAGGGTTTCGGGAAGGCAGACTCGGAAGGCCAAGGGGCAGAAGGTCCTGAGGATTCGGGGGTCTTGGCTGTCGGAGGAGGGGAGGAGACACGGACTTTATCCGCGAAGGTCTCCGCGAGAGATTCCGACGCAGGCTGGGATGGCGAAGGCTTGTTCGGTTCCGCGGCCGGGGCTGTGGGAGTCGCAGCAGGGACGGCAAACGGGTTGTTGCCAGTGGGCGCGGGGCCGGAGGACGAAGAGAAGGGATTGGCGTTGGCGGAGACACTTCCGGTGAGGGAGGTAGAGCCAAAAAGGCTCGCTCCAAGATCCTGCTTGGGGGCTTCGGGCTTCTTTTCCTCCTTCGGGGGCTCAGGCTTTTCGACCTTTCTAGAGGCGGGGTGGCTCTTCAGCTTCTTCGTGGCGCGCAAAGCTCGAATGCTGCCGGGCTTTTTGTTGCAGGGTTTTCTCGGGCAACCGAAGATGTACAGTCGTCGCTCATTATCGGGGAAGTGGTCGGGGAGGTCGCCGTGTAGCTCGAGTAGAAGCAGCATGGGATTATTGCAGACTTTGCAATTGGCAAATTCGCCGGGAGGTGGGGTAGCATCGTCAATCCAGGTCTGGAGTGCCACAAGTCAGCACAGGGAATATATTAATGTGAAAACGGTATTTGATTACCGGCCTGCCTCCAATGTGACTGATGGTGTCTTCTATCAGCTCCTCAGAGGCATATCCTAGGAGCACGCCAGTATCCGTGAAGTCCCCCTCATCCTCAAACGAAGAGTCACTGTCGTAGGGATCCATGCCGCCAGAATGCAGTTTGTATCACCGAGATTTGTGGATTGGCCTGGGTGTGGTAGAAATGACTGCTCTGGAGAGATTCAGCGTATATGCCGTGAGGTAGGGATCAATTGTCTGTTGTTCAATCAATAATGAATTAAAAAAAAAAAAAAAAAACGAAAAGGGACATGGCGATCAGGTGCCGATAAGCGATACGAAATACACTAGACTGTTTAGGGCTTAGCGTTGCTTTGCACGTCGCCCGTCGTGATCCTCGTTCCTTCAAGGCATCAATCATCCTCCATCATCATCTCTGTTGCAAATTCATCTTATTGACCCACCTCTTGCATACCTGTGGACTTGCATGCTCCAGCCTTTATCTGGTGCTGCAACTGAAATATAGTTCCTTCCGTATAGTTCCCAATAGCTCCCTCTTCAACCCGCCTTTAGCTTGTTGAACACTAGTGTCCCAGTCAGCCTTGATCGCTGCGATCGCCTACATGAATTCGATTTCCCGTCATCCTAGGGTCTGGATAGTTTATTATGTCTTAGCCCTACTTATATCCCCATTTGTCAGTGGAGATGGACAGGTGCCATTGGGACAGTTTTCAAACCCCCCTAAACGAGTGGCAGTAATTGGTTAGTCCACCCATCTAAGGAGCACATACCTGTCAGTATTAACAATGTCTACAGGTGCTGGGGCTGCAGGGTCAAGTACCGCATATTCCTTGCGCAAATATGCGGATGCGTCATCCACCCCAGTGGACATCACTGTGTTTGAGCGCGCTTCCTACATCGGAGGTCGCTCAACTACAGTGAATGTGTTCGGCAACCCAGCCTACCCAATTGAGCTAGGGGCATCCATCTTCGTCGAAGTCAACTACAATCTGGTCAATGCTTCCAGGGACCTGGGTCTCGTAGTGAAAAGTGCCAGCCAGGCTCGGCCCAAAGAGTCCGAGGATGTTATCGGGGTGTGGGATGGAAAGGAATTTGTATTCCGGATGCAGGATACATACAGCTGGTGGAACATCGCGAAGCTAATCTGGCAATATGGATGGGCCCCGGTCCGAACTCAGAATCTGATGAAGGCTACTGTTAACCAGTTTCTCCGTCTCTACGAGGAGCCTATATTCCCTTTCAAGTCCCTTACTGCGGCCGCTATGAGAGTGGGCTTGCTGAACACAACTGCAACTCGTGGATCCGAATTTCTAAACAACAACCATGTGTCCGCGGACTTCTCGCGAGATATCATCCAGGCTTCTACACGCGTGAATTATGGCCAAAATCTGGGATTAATCCATGGTCTCGAGGCTATGGTTTGCATGGCCACGGATGGGGCCATGGCTATCCAAGGTGGAAATTGGCAGCTCTTTGATGCCATGCTCAAGGCGTCCCACGCTGATGTCAAGCTAAACCATACAGTGTCGTCTGTTGAGCGAAACAGGGACAGCACTTTGACTGTCACATACAGCAACAATGACTCCGCACAAAAAAAGCTCGTATTCGACGAAGTTGTCATTGCTGGTCCGCTGCAATATTCTGATATCGCCCTCGATCCTATCCCCGAACACACGCCAGACAAGATTCCCTACGTCCAACTGCATGTGACCTTATTCTCATCCCCGCATCAATTATCGCCCAAATATTTCAATCTGCAAGGACCCGATGCTCGTGCGCCCGAGACCATTCTGACCACCCTCCCTCGGGGCGTAGACTTGGGCTCCAGCGAGAAGGGAGTCGGTCCGGCCAACTTCTGGAGCATCAGCACTCTCCAAACAGTAGACTCCGAAGATCATCCCGGAGAATCACACTACGTCTACAAGATATTTTCCCCGGAACGACCCAGCGCCAAGTTCATGAGAGATATCCTGGGCCTGGAACACCCAGAAAACTCGTCGCCAGCAGACAACACAACCATCGGCGATCTTCCCAAGGAGGACATCAGTTGGTATTATGAAAAGATCTGGCACCCGTACCCGTTCCTTCATCCCCGAGTCACATTCGAGGATACCCTCATTTCCCCGAACCTGTGGTACACAGGCGGTATCGAGAGTTTCATCTCAACGATGGAAACCAGCGCGCACATGGGCAAGAATGTCGCCGCTCTCATGTCGCAGTCATGGCAGGGCGAGGCACTCCACAAGCGAGTTGGGCAGGAGTCGACCGGCGAATCGAGGGCGGAGTTGTAGCATGGTAACACTGATCCTCTCTTTCTGTAACATGTGTCGTACAATGGTTTACGGAACATCCATGGTTTGAACATCCGATTAAAGCGAGTTTAGCGAATCCAGTCATTAAGCTTTTACATCAGCACTTTGATCTCTTCTAGAAATGTGCCCGATGGGTTACTCTTCAATTGTAATACACCGAGCAAATCTACGAGCATATAGACAAATACGCAGGAATCTCGGATTGACGAGAGAAAGATAATTCTCATAATCATTAATTGATTTCTAGATAGCTCAAGTCTGGCAAAGCCAAATGAGACCCCTGGACCGTCGACACTGGACGGTCCCCTGAACTTTTGTGTTGAAGAAGTGTTGAAAAAGTCATTCACATGCTCTCATGCATATCCATATCCCATTGACCCGCGTAAGGTTGAAAAAGCAGTCCTGTATGAAACCCCGATAAACGCACACCCATTTATACGCAATTATGTTGAACGCGCAAAAGAAAACCAAAGCCAAATGCAAATATAAGAAAGGAAAAGTGGTATCAAAACTCAACCCGAGAGGAAATCATTTAAACGGGCAGAGGGAAAGTGCTGGCCCACTCAGCAACCTCCTTGCGAAGGGCCAAGATCTCGGGAACGGTCTCGGAGGCAACCTTGGCCTTGAAGTCCTTGAGCTTGTTGGCCTCCTTGGGCAGCTCACCCTGGACAGCCTTGCAGATGACAATGGTCTGGTCGATGTAGCGAGCGATGCGCTTGAAGTCCTCCTCACCCATGCCACGGGTGGTCATGGCAGGAGCACCAATACGGATACCGCAGGGGGTCAGAGCAGACTTGTCGCCGGGGATGGAGTTCTTGTTGCAAGCAATGTTGATCTGCTCCAGAACAGCCTCAACACGAGCACCGTCCAGGCTCTTGTTACGGAGGTCAACGAGAACCATGTGGCTGTCAGTGCCGTCGGAGACGAGCTTGTGGCCGAGCTGCTTGAACTCAACCTCCAGAGCCTTGGCGTTCTTGATGACCTGCTCCTGGTACTGCTTGAACTCGGGGGTGTCAACCTGCTTGAGGGCAACGGCAAGGGCAGTGATGGTGTGGTTGTGAGGACCACCCTGGTGACCAGGGAAGACGGAGAAGTTAATGGGGCCCTCAAGGTCATACATGATGTCCTCGCCGGTCTTGGGGTTGGTGCTGCGGACACCCTTGCGGAAGAAGATCATGGCACCACGGGGGCCACGGAGGGACTTGTGAGTGGTGGTAGTGACAACGTCGGCGTACTCGAAGGGCGAGGGGATAACGCCGGCGGCGATCAGGCCAGAGATGTGGGCCATATCAACAATGAGGTAAGCACCGACCTTGTCGGCGATCTTGCGCATACGCTGGTAGTCGATCAGACGGCAGTAAGCGGAGGTACCGGCGACCAGGCACTTGGGGCGGTACATCTCGGCGTTGGCCTCCAGCTGGTCGTAGTCAATGATACCGGTCTCGAGGTTAACACGGTAGGGGAAAGTCTCGAAGTAGGTAGAGACGGCGGAGATCCTGCGGGGTTCGAAGATTAGCAATTTGGAAAAAGCAATTAACGCCGTCGAGATGGAGAACTTACTTGCGAGAGGGGGTCTGGTAGCCGTGACTCAAATGGCCACCGTGGGGAAGGTCAAGACCCATCAGACGATCGTGAGGGCGCATAAGAGCCTGGTAGACCTGCAGGTTGGCAGGGCTTCCACTCAGGCACTGGACGTTGACGCCCCACTTCTCGGAGTCAAGGTTGAAGGCCTTCAGGGCACGAGCCTGGCAGGTAAGCTCAATGGCATCGATGTGCTGGTTGCCACCATAGTAACGAGCACCGGGGTAACCCTCGGAGTACTTGTTGGACATGGGAGAGCCCAGGGCGTTGAAAACAGCGTGGGAGGTGAAGTTCTCCGAGGCGATCAGGACGACGGATTCACGCTGACGCTGGATTTCTTTCTCCTGTCGGGGTAAAACGGTGAGAATTCGCTCGAAAATCTCTGGGATCCACAAGCCCCCCAGATACGATAAAAAAACCATGCTTGAAAACGTACCATAATCTGGGCAATCTCAGGGTCAGTCTCAACCAGAGTCTTCTCCATTTGCTGCACAGTGAGTCAGTGATCGGCCGTTCCCAAAAAGCTTGACAGAATGAATACTGACGTCCCGGTGGGCCGGCGACAGAGCGTAGGAGGCCATTGTGAATGGTTGATGCGAGGGGAAAGGACGAGATAGAGTCAATAAGAGATGAAGGAGGATGGATCAAGATGAGGGAGGATGCAAAGATGCGAAAGAGAAAAAAATGGACGAAGGTTTGCTGGTGGGGTTGGTTGAGTGCCTCCCGCAGGAGTCGAGGGATCCGGACATCGGAGGGGCTGACGAATGGCATTTGTCAAATGCATTACCTAAGACCTACCCCGCGGCGGGCTGGTACCTTGGAGGTACATGTACCTTGTACCTAGGAGAGGCCGTTTGCAGCCAGTTTTATCTATTATTATTGAGTAGTACTGCAGTTCGAGTCTATTTAGTAGTTAGAGTACTTCTGGTGTTATTCCCATGACTTTGGGGAAATATCGTTATTATCGACATTCAGGCCTAGCGCTTTCCAGTATATCTGCACCATGCCGTGCTTTGACAATGCTCAACCATCTCGAGTCTCGACAATAATCATAACTAAAACTATGACTTACTACTAAATCTTCATAATGATGGCATTCATACCCCTACCAATCAAGACAGGCTTGATCCCTCCTCTCTAGGATATTGCTAAGTCAACGCACCTTCTACTCCGTACTCGCGTACTGTCCGGGAATGTACATATGCGCCAAGACATTTTGGAATCCATAATTAAGGTGGAAACTATGCCTGCATAACTATTGATGAGTAAGTGTAATATTTGTCTTTGCCTTCTCCTTCCTTATGAGCCCGGCACAAAGTCTGATATGCAAACAGTGATAGATCAACTGGTAGACCTTGCATTGGACTGTCGCCATAAGTAATTCTGCATTCCTCCTTTTCCCAGATACATGTTAAATCTGACCATAAGCTCAAAACACCATCAGGTTCGCGGGTGTGAATGAAAAAGTACCCGGGAGCCGAGCAGCATCGCTCATGACCAGCTCCGACCAATGAAAATTACTACACACACCTCGCAAGCTTACTCCGTGCTAGCAGATACATTAGACTGACTCCTACACCCACTGAATCCTCTAAAGTAAGCACTACTCGGACAACGATAACTGCGTCATCCTTGAACTCCGGCGCCAAGCAATAGATCAATAGAGAAATGACAACCCCAGCCCCGAACCAGAACAAGAACATGCAAGATAGAAACCAAGAAGCACAGCCATGTGCATCCGATCGAATGGAATCCATTTCGCGAGAGATTATTGTGGACCCGCATGGACAAAACGTACGCAATCCGCATGGGCGCTGAGCCGAAAAGCGCCGCATGTGAGAAATCCGGATCAAGATTCTCCTAAAGCGCAGTGCACCCTCATCTCATTGGACCGAGGAGCTTACATTCAAGCCAAGAGCAAACTTGGTTCTGTGTCCGGTTCACAAAATCTGGTGATCGCTGCTAGATTAGGGCTTTGACAAGCCGTGCGTTTGACGTCATTCTGATGAGGCGGGACGAGTTGTGAGGGGATAGAGATAGAGGGTACAAGATGTGGTTCAAGGGCAGCTCCATGGATTCTGGCACTGCTGTCAATTCCTAGCCCAACTTCAGATCAATCTAATCTATCCATTATGGTAAGTGTGGTTGCTACGGCCCGCCTCGAACCAAGCTGACCAAATGTATCCCTCAGGCCCCGATGAATATCCTCCACGCCCGTCAAGAATCCTCCGGCGGATCAGACAATTGTCCGAGCACGATATCAGGGGGAGCGATTGCTGGGATCGTGATCGGATCTATCGCAGGCACGCTGTTAATCCTCTGGCTATTTAAAGTCTGCGCCTTGCCTGGCGCCCGCGACGGGGGCGAACCGGATTATGGATATGTCAGTGGTAAAGGAGGAACAGAGACTCGTCATCGGCGTCGGCGTCGAAGGAGCCCGTCATATGTCGAATATATCGAGAAACCCCCTCGCTCCGTGAGACGACCAGCAAAGGTGTATTTGAATTGAGCCTGGCAGACGAGTAACGACGTGATGAGACGACGACATTACGGGAGGACGTTTGATGTATACGACTACTGAATACCTACTCTAATCTTCATTTCTCATCTATCACAAATGTATGTATCCTCAATTGACTGTATTAAAAACTAGCATCACTAGTAGGTAGTGATATGGTGTCTGGTTCTCATACCATTCAGCCTTCCAGTTAATGAGCGTAGTATAAAGATATGGGAAATAAAGTTAAGAGTTAATCCATGGGACAAGAAAAGACAGAAAAGGCTATGAAAGATCAAACATTGCCCTGCGGGATGACTCGGGTTACACCTAGGTTTGATCATGTAAGTTGGCCAGAATATCGAGCGCGGCTGTGATAAAAATGCTGCCGAGAATAATCACTAGCGTGGCAAAAACCTGCATTGCAAAATAGCCATTATGGAGAGTCCGCAGGGCCTCCATGATGGGGAGACCTGTCAAACAGCTGAAGAACACGGGATCAGCACATGTTCACAATGTGACTGTTCGAGTGAGTCGAAAGAAGACTAACCTGATTGCCATGGCAAAATGGAAGGGACCAAGTCTTTGTCCTAGAGTTTCTGGTCTCCCAAGCTTGGCCACGCAGGGCATGGCCAGACTGTTGAAAGCACCGCCAAAGAACCCATAGGCTAATGCAAAGACAAATACCCCCCTGAGCGACTGGGACATAGTGGATGGGATCCAAATGAGCATGAATGAAGCGCCGAGTAGCAGGCAGCACCATGACATCACAAGATAGTGGCCTACTCTATCTCCTAGGTAGCCGAAGACGATGTGGCCGGGAATAGATGCTAAGCTTTGGAGACGTTAGCACCAGAGTTGTACTAAATCATGGAAGCTTGTTGGCGTACATACCTCATGATAGGAATCAGATAGAGGCCAAATGTGGGAGGGAAGAGTTGAAGTGCGGATTGCAAGATGAAGTCGATCGGAGCCCAGTATCCCCACATAACCAAGAATGATCCGGCGACAAAATATTGGTAGTGTCTCTGGCGAAGCAGGTTCAGGTCGAACCACGTTGCTTTGCGATCCCATCCTCTGATTGGCAGGCGATGTCTAAAGAAATAGATACCAGGGATGGAGACAATGACAAGCAGAGCGACTGTATATTGCATGGAAGCGATCAAGTTGGCATGTCCCAACATACAATCGAGAAAGAGAGGAAAGATCACGCCTCCCAGGCTTCCTCCACAAGCTGCCATCCCAGCAACCAATCCTCGACGCCGGCTGAACCATTGGCCAACGCTAAGCCAGGATGCAGCATAAAGTCCTCCGCCGGCCAGGCCGTACATGATTCCTGAGGACAAAGTCATCCAATAATCCTGCGTAAGAGTCATTGCAATCAATTCAAACACGCATATGCCAGTGAGAGGCCAGAGCCCTATTCCTGGGCCGTACGCGTCGATCAACCGTCCATATAGGGGGCCAAATGCCCACACGGAAGCTCGCTGAGCGGAGAATATCCAAGCTAACTGGAAGGGCGTGTTGTTTGGAAGTATATGGTTTCTGTAGAGAAGCCGGAAGATTCCCACGCTTTGACAGACTGGTCAGCCGTTGTCGTGGTCCCGTGAAAGAGGTCATAACATACCAATTCAAAAAGCCCATGGTTGCGAAAAGGCAGCAGAAAGCCCCTATGGAGGCCTCTGATGCTTCTGATGATTCGGATGGGTGTGATGAGTAGGACGAGTCTGACCATTCTGAAGATTCGGATGAGCTTGCTCCTGCTGCTCCTGCTGCTGTTGCTGTTGTTGCTGCTGGCGCTGATGTTGCTGGCGCTGCTGGTGCTGGTGCTGCTGTTGCTGACTCTGTTGGTTCTGCTGGATCTGTTGCTTTTTCTGGCTCTGTTGCTTCTTCTGGCTCTGTTGCTTTTGCAGGCTTTGTTGCTTTTTCTGGTTCGGAGTCAACACCAGGTGGTACAGGGAGCAAGGGATCGAGCTCTGGAGAATTGAGATCCATAGTAAATGATAGGTCCATAGCCTTTGTGATGACTTTTGTAAGTTATAATCGTAGAAAATAAATTGTAAGATTTGCAGTGAGTAGTAGAAAGTAGAATGTGGTTTGGGTTGAAAGGCCTGGAGAAACGGAGGTTTTGTTTTGACTGCGACCTGTCGGGCAGGTGCGTGGCCATGGAAAGAGCCATCTGGGCTTCGGCAGAAATTCACTTTTCAATTTGGCATGGCAGGTGTGGATGTGAAGAGTTGGGTTCATCTTGAGGTTTGGGTTGACTGTTCTTTCTCGACCTGCATTGTTCGTGTTGTTCTTTGGTCATGGCCAGTGGCTGGTCGGCGTAGCTTCACATCAGCTGACTAGAATGTCTGCTTCGTAGTGGAGTCAACAGACAACCAGGGTCCCCTCTTGCATTCCATTTTATTCTCCTTTATTCTTGTCTTTCTCTCTTCCTGTCATTTACCAAGACCAGAAATTAGCATGACCGAACCGCCGATGGAATTTGGGCAACTCTCCCCATTGCCGGGGTGACCTGCATGGACGGGCTTATCTTACATGTCGTATTTCCAAGATTACAGCTGCGAGGGGTACTCTGCCAACGCACATAAATTGGAGGCAAGAACCTTGGGCTTAAGTCTTTCTGCGTTCATCTCCAGTTTGGTCTGTTCACTTGTTTTTCTCCAAGATGCTCGACATCCAAAGCTCCCCTCATTCCGATGTCCTCACCATACAGGACCTCGCTAAGAAGGCCGAAGAAGCTCTTCCTCGGACCTACGCCCGTAAGTGTTCTCACATTTATTAATTATTATTCTTGTCTATCTGACTCTCCTTGTTTTTCCAGAGTACTACAATGGAGGCGCTGGAGATATGTCAACGTTCGTGCTCCTTACCGAACCCCCATCTCCCATGCTAACATGGCTTAGCCTGCGAGACAACGAAGACGCATATAACCGGTATAAATTGCGCCCTCGGGTATTGAGAAATGTGGAAAAGGTCGATATGAGCTCCGAGATATTTGGTGTCAAGGTATGCTGTCCAATTGTTATCTGATGATGAATCGAGCTAAACTTCCTTAGGTCCCCAGTCCTCTGGGCCTCTCGCCAACCGCTGCACACAGACTCGCCACGCCGGCTGGCGAAATCGCAACTTCTCGGGCGGCCGCAAAGAATGGAATACCGATGTGCTTATCTACATGGTCAACGACTAAGCTGGAGGATGTGATCGCTCAAGGAGCGGGGAATCCATATGCAATGCAGGTATCGTTTTTCGCGGATCTTTCAGTGACGCAGCGAATTATAAGACGTGCCGAGAGTAAGCATTCTGGCGTTTTGTATTCGGTTACTTGATTGCTAACTATATTCTCTGTAGAGGCTGGCTACAAGGCTCTATTCGTGAGCGTCGACCTTCCGGTCTTGGGCAATCGGGTCAGCGAGGCACGAATGAAATTCTCATTTCCTTCTCACATCACATTTCCCAACATCCAGGAAGGAGAGGGGGACCTGATGGCGATATATGGGGCTGGCTATGGTATGTCCTGAATTGGTCTTGCTAAAGTTCGGTCGCTGATCCTAACAGACCCCTCAATCCATTGGGAGAAATCAATTGCCTGGCTTCGGAACAATACAAAACTACAGATTTGGCTCAAAGGAAGTATGAAGTCACGGTCTCTATTCTTCTTTTATTTCTCTGACATACAATGTAGTTGTAACCCCGGAAGACGTCCAACTTGCTATCGACTACGGTCTTGACGGTGTGGTCATATCCAACCACGGCGGTCGGCAGCTGGACGGACAGCCATCAACGCTCGATGCGTTGCGCGAATGTGGGCCTGTTGCTCGGGGGAAGATCCCACTTGCTGTTGACGGCGGTATCCGACGCGGCGCTGATATTTTCAAAGCCATTGCTATGGGAGCGAGCATGTGCTTCGTGGGACGCATTCAAATCTGGGGATTGGCGGTAAGAACTATGGCTTGTTATAAATGTGATCGATGTCTAATCTATGAAACAGTACGCCGGAGAGTCTGGCGTTGAGCACGCCATCAAGATCATCCTTCGAGAATTCAAGCACACTATGATGTTTATGGGGTATGTTGTATCTCCATGTGAAAGCACGTTTGATAAAACTGACGATATTAGATGCCGAACTATTGCTGATATTACGCCGCAACATCTATCTCTTCTTCACGAGAATGGGATTTTGTCAAAGCTTTAAGGCGCTAAGATATGGCAGATAGGCCATTCCGCTGTAGAGCAGTGCATTGATGGTGTCGATCTTGGTTAGATTAGAATACTTGCTTATTGTTTTATTTTATTTATCTTATCTTCATGGTGATTTTGTTCATTCTGGTAGATGAAGGGGCTAAGAAATCTAGTTCCCGACAAATCGCTACAGCTGATATTTCCACGGCATCTCTTGCCGAATCGACTGGCTGGTAACAGCTGCAGTTCCAACACTCGGGCCTTTGACACGTAGTTTTTGATGTTACATGATCGACATACCTTGCATGGGGTGTCCACTCCAAGCGATCCTTCCGTCGCTCGTTATTGCCATCATTAAACAGTTCGAGGCAGTTCACCCCGGTCACCTGACGGCCCTAAGGAAAGAGTTTCCGCGCAGCAGAAGAGAAGCTGATAATGCACTATGCTATGTATGAAATAGTGGCGACAGTCGCGGGGCATTGCGATGAATTATTTTGGAATCATATCAGTCCTCTTTACCCCTCCATATCATTGATTCCATTGGACTTTCCTCCCTCACCACAGCCGAATCAAAGTCGACACTCCTAAGGCATAATGACCACAGAAACCACCACAATGACTGTTTCCAAAGACACTCCCTCCCAGGGCGAGTCTGTCAACGAGAAACAAGCCTCGGCAGCATTGCAGGCAATTTCCCAAGGCGCCACACTCCCAGGGATCCCATCATTCACATCGATCGACATAAAGCGACGATGGATGCTCGAGCATCTAGCAGGTGCATTCCATGTGTTCAGTCGAAACGGCTATGCTGAAGGAATGAGCGGTCACATCTCCCTGCGCGATCCAGAGCATCCTGACCTATTCTGGACCAACCCGTAAGTATAGTACAAGCCCCAATCCAGCTCAGGAACATACCTAGACTAGCAACTAACCACCTCCCTCCAGCCTCGCCGTCCACTTCGGCATGGTCAAAGTATCCGACCTAATCCTGCTAAACCACGCCGGCGAAGCCGTCGCAGGAAATACCAAACGCCCCGCCAACTCCGCCGGATTCCAAATCCACGGGCACCTGCACCGACGGTATCCGCATGTCAACGCAGCTTGCCACGCGCATTCCGTAAACGGGAAGGCATGGTCGACATTCGCGCGGCCCCTCGAGATGATAAGCCAAGACGCGACGATGTTCTACGGGAATGCACAGGCCGTGTACAAGCAGTTTGGTGGCGTGGTGCTGGATCCGGCGGAAGGCGAGCGGCTGGCCGAGGCTCTGGGGCCGGACGGGAAGCTGTTGATTCTGCGGAATCATGGCCTCTTGACGGTGGGAAGAACGGTGGATGAGGCGGCGTATCTGTTTACGCTGGCGGAGAAGAGTTGTGGGATTCAGTTGCAAGTCGAGGCGGCGGCGGCGAATGGCATTCCGAAGATGGTGATTGAGGATGAGGTAGCGGAGTATACGTTTCGGATGACGAGTGAAGCGGTAAGTTACCCTGTTTATATGGAGTGACATGTACTGATGGTCTCTAGGAGGCGCTGTATTGTGAGTTTCAGCCAGAGTATGAGTATGAGCTGGAGAGATGCAATGGGAAGTTCTTGGAATGATTTCTGGTGGAGGACTTGATTTAACATTTAAAACTGTTTCGAACAATAAAAAACTACAATATGTATACATAAATGGTTTGTTTTCAGTCGTTTCAAATTTTTACACTTTCTTCTCGGCAAGATGCTTAATTAAAGGCTTCATGGTATACACCGGCTCCTTTTCTCTAGGCCTTTATTATAATTATCCGAGAGTGTGGTCATCATTTCTATTCAAATAAAGATGGGGAAAAAAATCTCATTATAAAATAGCAATTAACACTAAAAGTCTAGTTACTAGTAGCAGTGTGGTCTACTGGATCCGGGATCGAAATCAGGCCATTTCTCTCCTTCGTACGCCATTGGATCGCCCGAAGGACATTGTAAAGAACCGTCAACGTAGGCATTGGAACGCCATGTTTGATGCCCTCTCTCATGGGCTCGCCGACAATATTCTCATACTCGCAATACCGCCCCTATCGAACCAATTAGCCTGGCGCCAGTCCGAGTTCATCAATTACTCACCTTCCTCAAATCCACCTGCATACTCGGCGGATTGTACATCGTGATCGGATCCATCGTGATCATCTTATCGACCAGATCCGCTGGTAAATCATGCCCACAGGCTTTGCCTCCAGCCCGAATCTCCTCCATCGCCGGACGAACCAAGCCGTCGACAACGGCATCCGCCAGCTGAATGCGCCCCGTATCCAAGTCGGTAACGGCGCAGATGGAATTCAAACACGCGTTGTACAGCAGCTTCCGCCAGCGAGCCCAGCCCACGTTCGGGTTATACTCTGGCTGGCATTTCCCGCCTGCGCCGTAGATCTCGACGAATTCTCGCGCAGCTTGCTCCTGCAGGGCAGGGTCCAGAGCAGGGTTATCAAAGGGCCCAATAGCGACGTCGTCGTTGTCTTCGTGGACGATCTTCCCCAGCTGGACCTGGTGCGAGCCGCAGAAGCTGACGCCTGAAAGGACCACGTTCGTGGGGAAGGCCGCCACGATTGGCTTTTCGATGTTGAGTCCGTTCTGAATCAGTACTATCACGGAGTATCCCGGCGTGACGGCGGGTTTGATCAAGTCTAGTAGGGTTGGTGGGTTATCGGGGACGTTTTTTGTTGTGCAGATAATATATTTGTAGGGTTGGATGCCTTCTTTAGCGACGTCCGGGATGGATTTGATAACTGGGTTGGTTAGTTGTGAGGTCTTCATGTGTGGATGAGGACGTCTTACTGGTGTCGGGGCGAAACCCCTCTACTATTCCATGGTCGACTGATCTGATGTGGAATCCATGGTTTTTGACATGGTCGTAGTTCGACCGCAGCACAGCAGTCACTGTAGCCTTTTGCCCGATTTGCAAATTCAGGGCAGCGATGGTCCCGATTCCACCGCAGCCTACTAGCAGCACGTTCGCTTTGGACATGTTGGAAGCTGAAATCTCGATAGACCTCTGAATGAATGGTGTGTCTACTGGAGTGGACAGGTATGATGTATATACGGCGTCCCTGCACCAGGTGCAATTAGGGCAAGTGACCCCAGCACGTGATCCGTGTCTATCTCCGGGATTGGGCGACATCACGTCGATCCCGATAAGACGTAGATACGAAATCGAGTGGAGAGATTGTATCTAGTATCCTGTGAGGGGCTTTGCATTGCCCCTCATGAAGGATCCTATTCGAGTTGGTGGGACAAGGAACGTAATTTCGCTGTCGGCTGACCGCGGAGTCGCTTTCCAGTTGATTCTGGAGGTCGCCAACACCTGCCCCTCTTAAATAGAAGTATATCATGTAGGATTATAGGATCCAGATCACTACTTTTTGAGGTCGCCCAAATACTACCCACCAATCAATCCGACCGGTCTACTCTCGCTCGCAATGCCTATCACCAAAACCGCCGTCCTCAGCCAGGATGCACCCGCCCCCAGCCCTTTGATGTCACAGGCTGTCGTTTACAATGGGATGGTCTATTGCTCTGGCAGTCTAGGAATTGATCCTAAAACGAATAAGTTTGCCGAGGGAGATGCGGCCGATCGAACAGTACGACCTACTATACCTGTCGTTTAATGTTTTAAGGGCAATAATCTAACCCTATTATATAGACTCAAGCATTGAAGAATTTGGACAACATCCTTCGGTCTGCAGGAAGCGACTTGAGCAAGGCCGTGAAGGTGAACATTTTTCTGTCCAGTATGGAGCATTATGCCAAGGTGAATGAGGCCTATGCTAGGATTTTCACGCATGAGGTGAAGCCGGTAAGTCACTGTTTTTATTGTGGAAAGGTTTAGATATTTGCATTCTGATTGTCTTAGTGTCGCACTTGTGTGCCGGTTCCTGAGCTGCCGTTGAATGCCGAGGTTGAGATAGAACTGGTTGCGCATTTGTAGAAATCAAGTCTGTCTATTGGTGAGGTTATGGATATATGCTAGAAGATGGTTGAATGAACATACACAATCAAAATTAATTCCTTCTTATGTATGTCTTTGATTCAATTGTTGCTTCTCGCGAGTCATTGTCTTTCTAGCTGGCTCAATCTCAAACCGGCGATCTACTAGCGATTATCCTCTGAGTTCTTACGGTAAGTGTCAAATCAATGGAAAAGTCACCATCTCGTATGTTTGAAATAAGTCATCAATTAACACGCCTGTTACTGAAACTAAACTATATGGTGGCTCTTATATATTGGCACGTCCAGCTCCATATACATTTCCCATCATAATAGTTTTCAGCTCAGTGTATTCTTCCACCCCATATTTACTGCCTTCACGACCAAGTCCGGAATGCTTGACACCACCGAATCTGCATATTTATTAGTACCTCAGCTTGAATGTGTATAGGCTCACGTACGGTGCTGGCGCATCTGACATCACGCCTGTATTGATGGCAACCATTCCGACGTGCAGGGCATCAGATACTCGATGTACCCGAGAAATGTCGCTGGTAAAAACGTAAGAAGCAAGCCCGACGTCGGTGTCATTTGCCGCTCGAATGACTTCATCCTCACTCGAGAAGCGGAATAGTGCGGCAACAGGACCGAATGTCTCTTCGTGTGCCAGTTTCATGGACGCATTGCAGTCCGCCAAGATCGTGGGATCGAAGAAGTTAGGGCCTTTAGGGTCAGCGTCTGTCCTACTAACTTGTAGAGCAACTCACCGAGAAATGACAATTCCTTTCCTCCAGCCAAGACCTTCGCTCCTTTTGAGACAGCATCATCTACATGCTCCCTTGATTTAGCCACGGCAGATGCTTCGATCAAGGGTCCATGGGTCACGCTGTTGTCTGAGCCGGATCCGACCTTGAACCGAAGAACCCTCTGAACAAGTCTCGCGACAAACTTGTCATATATACCATCTTGAACATAGATCCGATTGGCACAGACGCACGTTTGCCCAGTGGATTTGAATTTACTTGTCAGGACGCCTTCCACGGCCAGCTCCAGGTTCGAATCGTCAAAGATGATGACTGGCGCATTGCCACCCAGCTCCAGGCTCAGTTTCTGCAAGGAACTGCCTGATTGTTCCATCAGAATCTTGCCTACCCGGGTGGACCCTGTGAATGAAATCTTCCGAATAGTGTTTGATTTGCACATCGTCTGGCCAATGATGGGCGTATTCTCCAACGCTGTGATTATATTGATTACGCCATGGGGAACCCCAGCCCTCTCGGCCAAAATAGCCAAAGCATAACCCGTCAAAGGGGTCCTTCCATCTGTTTTGATGACAGTCGTACACCCCGCTGCCAATGCTGCACCGGCTTTACGGGTGATCATTCCCGCGGGATAGTTCCATCTAAGAAATATTAGTTTTTTGACAGCCTTTATAGACAACGCCAGGAATACAAACGGCGTAATCATTCCGCAGACCCCAATTGGCTCTCTGACCACCGAGATCCTGTTCCCCGGGCTTGTTGCAGGTATGATATCCCCATAGACACGAGCGGCTTCTTCGCTGAACCACTCCAAGAAACTTGCAGTGAAGAGGACTTCGCCGTGAGCCTCGCTTGCCGCCTTGCCATTTTCCAGGGTAATCAAAGCTGCCAGATCATCCTCGTTTTGCAAAACAAGGTCATACCACTGGCGAAGAATTCGCGATCTTTCGCGACCGGACTTGGCCTTCCAAGCTGGCAGAGCGTTTTCCGCGGCCTTGATGGCGTGTTGGACGTCCTCTGCAGTGGACTCGGGGCAGCGCGCAATTACGGCATTGTTGGCAGGGTCTAGGAATTGAGTCAGAGAATTTTTTTTCTTGCGTTCTCTCTTTTTCTTTTTCTTTTTCTTTTTCTCTCTCTCTCTCTCTCTCTCTCTCTGATACGATTGCTTCATGTAACTTACTGGTCACCGGGAATGTAGCGCCTGAGGACGACTCTAGCCACTCGCCATCGACATAGTTCTTGGTGATAAAAAGAGAGTTATCGTTGAGTTGTAAAGACGACATGGTGTCTGAAAATTATTGATCACAGTTGACAATGAATCGATAGCGATAACACGAGGTTCATATGATGAACACTCGTCGAAGTCCACTTGGATGTATGAAAGTGGGTCCTTGGAAACAAGGCAACTCATCCCGCTCGGTCACTTTCCATCGCTCTCTCGCTCTCGCTCTCGCTCTCACTTTCTGCATCGTCGACGTGGCTCATGATCTCCACTTTTCCTACCCGATCCACTCGTTCGAACATGGCTCTTTGATAACGCTGGAATTCGGCTTAAATCCCCAATGCTGGGGCTGTTCTTGGTCTGGCCAAGTCCCTGGAATAAATTACAGAGTACAGCGCATCGCCCTTGATCGTTTTGAATCATCTCTCATGCTCCATCAAATTCTCTGACATTATACTCCTCATCATGGCACCCTCTGTCCGTACCCTAGATCTTCACAACACAACCTCTGCCTATTTTGCACCGGCCACCATCACATCCAGTGCAGAGACCATCCATGTTGCAGGCCAAGTCGGTATTAATTCGCAGGGAAAGGCGCCAGCGGACTACGAGTCTCAAATCCATCTAGCTCTTTTGAACCTACACCGAATCATCGTCGCAGGCGGCGCATCAATCCGAGATATTGTCAAGTTGAACTTGTACATTGTCAACTACAATCCCAACCGACGCAGCCATGCCAGACACATCCAGAAATTCCTTGGGTCCCACCGTCCCGCCATTACGCTGGTCCCGGTTGCACAACTGGCCGCTCCAGAGTGGCTTTTCGAAGTGGACGCCGTCGTCGCCAAACGGTCTAAACCCCTCTCTACAGCTCTGAAGATACCTCAGACCACGTACGACGTGGTCGTTCTCGGTGCAGGTCTAGCAGGCCTCACGGCCGCCGAGCATGTCGTTAGATCCGGATATTCCTGCCTAGTTCTCGAAGCGAGAGATCGCGTAGGAGGACGAACTTGGAGTGCCGCGCTCCCTGGTGGCGGTGGCATCGTGGACTTGGGTGCCGCTTGGATCAATGATACAAACCAGTCTCGCATCTACCAATTGGCTCGTAGAGCCAACGCGGAGCTCATTGAACAGAACACAACCGGTAGTTGCGTTCTCCACGACTTTAACGGCGATACCTATACATTTAAATATGGCGAGATGCCGGTAAGTAAACTCTTTCATCGCTTGCCTTATTATTCTGACACGGTTGAATAGTTTGATTCTCAAACACAAAAACATTTGATCGAGATCCGTGATATAGCCGAGTCAGACTGCCAAAAGTTGGACTGTGCTCAACCACAGGATACTGCACTAGATTCCATGACGTTCCTCGCCTACTTGCAGTCTCGCAATGCCAGCCCTAGGGCCATTGCCACTGCGACCGTCTGGACGCGTGCTATGCTTGGTCATGAGCCGCAGGACCTCTCAGCCTTGTACTTCCTCAACTACTGCAAATCCGGTGGGGGTTTGATCCAGATGCGGTCTGACCGAAAAGATGGGGCACAATATCTGCGCATTCGACAGGGTACTCAGATCTTTGCGGAAACTATCGCGAGTGCGCTCCCTGCAGACACGGTGCAGCTCTCAAGCCCTGTAACGGCAGTCCATCAGGTCCAGAAGGATCGTCTCGTTGTACAAAGTGCCAACCATGCGATTACAGCACGCAAAGTAATCTCGGCACTTCCCTCCACAGTGCTTCAGACCATTGATTTCCAGCCCCCTCTTCCAGCCCGGAAGACCTTATTGACAAATTCGTTCCGTTACGGATACTATACGAAGGTTATGATGGTGTTCAAGTCAGCTTGGTGGGTGGAGAAGGGATTCTGCGGTCTGGTCCAGTCCATGAAGGGTCCCGTGGCTGTTTTCCGGGACTCGAGTATTCCGAAAGACAAGAAATGGGTCTTGACCTGTTTTCTGGCCGGTGATTTGGGCAAGCAGTGGTCACAGCTGGAGCCTGCGGCTCGTGTGAACACTATTTTAGAACAACTCGGGGAGGTTTACGCTGACCCTGCTGGAATTCGCGAAGCTTACGTCGACTCGATTGGCCACGAATGGATGGCAGAGGAATATTCAGGCTATGGATGCCCGTGTCCAGCTCTTCCGCCGGGGGTGTTAGACACCGTTGGAGATAGTCTCCGAGAATCGTTCGGTGACATTCACTTTGCCGGAACTGAAACAGCTGAAGAATGGAAGGGATATATGGAGGGAGCGGTTCGAAGTGGTGAGCGAGGCGCGAAGGAGGCTATCAAGGGTTTAGAAACCACAGTGGCTCGTCTGTAGATCAGGATTTAAATAAAGGGATTGCTAGAGACACGCCCCCAGGTGATCCGGGTGCTTAGGCAAGCGCCGGTGCCTGTAGCCGTGCTTAAAAATAAATTCTCTTTCGTTATGTCAATCGAGTAATATCTACAGTGGCGCTTATCCGGTGGAACCCCGAGTAATGCGGGGGGCCAACGTGCCCCACAGGTCCTTATCGCAAACTCCTGTCCTACTGCTCGTGTCTCCAACTCTCATCCATCAACCTCGTCTTCCAAAAATTCTCCCCCTTAGCTATGGTTCAACCTTCCCGCGATCGTTCGCTAGGGGGATGCGGGACCTGTCGAGTTCGTCATACGAAATGTGACGAGACACGTCCCTTCTGCAAAGTGTGTCTGTTATCCAATCTCAGTTGTACTGGATATGACATCCGTCTACAGTTTATCCACCAGGGGGAGATTGAACCCACGGCGATGGAAAATACATCGCGGTTTCGGAGACCTTTGTTTACTGGTTCGTTCCGATGGATCCCTGACTACCGTGCGGCGAATTCTAATGATCCCAGAATCCCAGCGAAAATGCCTAAATTCGTCGCTAGTTCGCTCTCTGAGTAATGCCGATCCGGGGCATGCATTATCGGAGCTAGAAGAGCAGACGATAGAGGCACAGCCTGCAGACTATCCGCTCTCTCGGGGCCCATTCGGTGTTTTTCAAGTGCAGCCGGCCAATTTCAACAGCCCTCCGACCCCTATTGGCGCAGAAATTGATCCTGCACCAGACTCGAATGCACTGATGAACGATCTGATAGACCCCGATTTGGGGGATACGGGAGATACAGCGAGACTTCTCGATCCAACAACTTTGGAATTGAGTGTGGATGATGCCATCGAGGACTCGACGGTGTTAGACCATGATCCGATTTCCTTGGCTGATTCCCTGCTGTTGGAAGACATCGGTATGAACGACTCGGTGGCTCGACTATATGACAACTGCGAGAATACCCATTTTCAAGCACTCGATGGGTCCATTCCGTACCACAGCTTCCTCTGTCCAAGTCCACAGGGGCCCCGGTTCCCCGGTGATTCGTGGCTACTTCTAGCTAATTACCGCGATAAGGTGGTTCCTTTGCTGAGCCCTCTAAACCCTTCTGCAAAGTCACCGTGGCATCACTTGGTTCTCCCTTGTGCTATGAATGCAATGGCAGAAATGACAATGGGGGGGACCACGAGTCATGCCCGGTCTGCTCTGCTGCATACCTTACTGGCCACCAGTGCTTCTCATCTACAGCTATCGTGCTTTTCTTGTCCGGGGGAACCGTGGAACCTCACGGTGCATTATTACAAACAACGAGCCCGACATGACTTGAGACGCTGTTTGCAGGAGGAGGCATCCTCGCGGGTTAAGAAAGCCAAGTACAAGGATATCCTGATGGCCCTTTTATCAATGGCTATCTTAAATGTGAGTCTCTGAACACTAGTATTTACCAAATTCTATCAACTAATTTGCCATGGTACAGGTATTCGATGCCGATGCCGACTCCCTGCTCGCTTGCCTTCTGGTCACAGAAAAATACATCTGCAGGAAAGGATTAAGCAAAGCATCGTTATCACGAAAGACCCGGCTGCTGCATCACTGCTACGCCTACTTACGGATCTTCAACGAATCAGTCGTTCTCTCCGATGTTTCCACAGACCCCTTCCATGACCTGGGCGGAATACTGGACCCGGTTGCCTCAACCAAAGCCCCCCGATTTCGCATTTCGCGCTGGTCAGATACCCCAGACTTTGCTCTCACAACAGTCAAGTCCATCGAGCTCGGCCAACACGATCTTCACCTCGAATATCCAGCCCGCTGGGATCTCACAATGTACCCGGAAATCTTTGGCATCCCTGAATCCTTCCTGAACCTGATGTCGCACGTCACCCGTCTCGGTAACGAGCGGGACCTGCTGATGAGCGGCCACCTGGACGGACCATCTCCAAACACGCGCGATTTCCTCCTGCGCGCAAAACTAGTCGAAGAACACATCTGTCGCTGGGGTCCTGCCCACGACCCAGAAAGCAGCAATCACAACCTCCCCATGATGCTGGCCATGCAAAAAACCCTGTTGATTTTCTTCTACAGACGCTTCTACGATGTGCAGGCGACGACTCTACAGCATGAGGTCAGACAAGTTCGGGACCTGCTGATCACCTCGAAAACAGCCAGCCATAACGTGTACATGATCTGGCCTGGCTTCATCGCTGCCTGTGAGGCGCTGGGCGCGGATCTGCAGGATTATTATCGAGGGTGGTTTACGGACTGTTTTCGTAACACCGGGCTTCGGTCATTCCAGGTCGCGGGATCTATTGCAGAGTCTATCTGGGAGAGTGGTAGAGATGGAAAGGAAAGGCCGCTGCAGTGGCCGGACGTGGTTCGCTCCTCTGGGCAGCGATTGGTCTTGTTCTAGTCATGATTTCAGGAACATCATAGGATATTGGCGTCGTGTCTGCGCACATAGAACGAATGTATATAGAATTTAAGTCCAGTCTTTTGTTGTTGCCGAGCGACAACACATCTTCCATATTCGATTATGAATTAATGATAAGATAGTCCGAAGAGCACGTTCCCCAGCCCAAACATAACCAAAACTACGACTCTCTCTGATTCATATGACTCGGGATATTCCACGGATCATAATCCGAATGCACAAACGCCCGATCCACAGTCGGCACACTCTCAATCATATACTGCAAACTTTCGCCTATATCATGGCTATCACGGAGACTGGTCTTCGCCTCGAAGATAATGTCCACTTCGACGTTCAACCGGTCCCCTGCATAGTAAGCCTTCAGGTCCTGAATGTTGAGAATCGCCTTGGAGAACCGCATCGTCATGTACAGCAGAATGCTATGGTCTGTGCCGGACGCCGCGGTGCCCGTTAAGTGGCCGATGTGTTCGGCGGCCGTTCCGCCCCAGTTCCAGATGATGTAGAGGGAGAGAAGAAGACCGCCTAGGGGATCGACGAACCAGGTTTTGGTGAGGGAGCCGACTGTAGTGGATCAAGTAAGTTTGCTGTTCGGGCTGTTATTGGGGAGGGGGCGTACGTAGAGGGAACAGGATACTGAAGAGGTTGAACACGACATCGGTCATGGCGTCTTGTGCCAGGGCCTGCACGCTGGAGTTCTTGATGAGCCGGCACCAGAACCAGCAGGCTAGTTTTATGAAGACCGTGCTGGCCATTACTGCGATCGAGGGCACCGAGAGCTCGACGAGGGTGTGTTCGGTTGAGATGAGCCGGCTCAGCGAGGTCAAGGCAACTTGGACAAAGGAGGTCATCATGATGACTGCGAAGACGAGAATACTCAATGGTTCGAGGCGGCGTCTGCTTATGGGGAATCGGGAACGGTCGTCGTTCTTGATGAGCGTCGTCGTGGCCCAGACGATGCCCGTGCTGAGGAAATCCAGCACCCCGTCTACCAAGCTGGCAAGCACCGACAGCGAATTCGTCATGGACATGACGACGATCTTGGCTGCGAGTAATACCACGTTCGCGATGAAATTGATGTATATGGCGACTGTGACGATGCGATCTTCGCCGTCCACCAGGTCGTCTTGCTTCGGCAGGACGGCAGGCGATGGTCGGGAATTGTCGTCTGCTGAGCAAGGCAAGAGAGGTGAGCTTTCATCGGGGATTCGATAGAGGTTTCGAGGCGTTCGCTTGATCTTGCCGGATGCTTTCGCTCCGCCGTTATTATCCCCTGTGGTGTATCTCGCGTCGTTTACGTGACCTTCACCCGTGTCTCCAGCGGAGTTTTTGCGTTGACCGCGTTGGTAGTCTTCAATCAGCCTGTGTGGCAGGGCCGAGTCGAATAGGCGATCGATATAGACATATTGCGCGATGAGTTGATTGTTGCGCTCGTAGTATTCTCGCCTAAAGGCTCAGTATGGGTCTCGGATGGTGCAAGGGACAGGCATCGCGTACAGGTTTTTGGGCAGGTTTTTGAGCGTCTCCGGATCTCGATAGTACCATTGCCTGTGAATTGACCGTTAGCATCAAGCTAGTCCCAGCATAGGTGCCGGGGCGCGTACCAATTGTGTATCGGTTTAATGTTTCCAATCAACCGTCTTGCTCTTTCCAGGGGAACCTTATCCATCCGCTCCCACGGCGTACCAAGCTCATCCTGCTGAAAGCCACTCTCCAGTCCATCCTGACTCTGAACAGACAAGGACCGTCGACGGATCAGTGTCGCCAGGGACTGCCCGCGCGTCGACAAAAGCTCGCCCTCGCGCGCGAGAATCGGCCTTCGCGGCTGGATGGACTCGGACGGAGTGGGCGATGAGGGCGCAGAGAAATGCGGAATCGAGTTAGGTCGAGTCACCCAGGACGCCATTCTGCAAGGGCCATTGGGATGCAGGTGATCACGGCGGTTTATTTACGTCAGTCAGTCCATTGGCAATCGTCGATGCCTGTGGGCACGTGATCGCTTATCAAGATCGATCTTATCTGCACGTGATGCGGAGGACAGTCACGGGGTCCGTGCCCAAAGCGGGAACCCCAGACTTTCGCTTCTCGACCGTCTCGACTGTCTCTGCTCAACGCCATCGGGAAGACCCCTGCGGTTCATTGTGCGCTAAGATCCCTGGCCCAAAGTACAGCATCAGATGCCTCTCCCATGAGTCAATCACAGGATCGCTTCCTGGCCATTTACATCTCATGATTCCGACCTGTCAAGACAATCTAGATCCTGTCCAAAACGTGTTTGGATCGGCTACGGGCCGCAGGGCCGATTTCTCTTTGGCTTGGACGAATGGTGCTCAGCCAGGATATGTTTGGCGCCAAGTTGAACGCCCCCGTGGACTGTCAGCCAAATATATTACACGGAAAATTTGCCTTTTAGCCTTTATTGAGGCAAAATCCGTCCATACGAAGGCGTGTGGTGTTCTTGGACACTGCCTTTTTGGTCAATCAGACGGCAGCAGGAACTTTGCTTTTGTCTCGGCCTCGCCAATCACGACCCCTGCGGACTTTCACAGAAAGACCGGCGTGGTTTTAGTCTCGGCTCGCTCGTCCACCCCGGATTTTCATGGGTTTCCATCAAATCAAACCATTCCCGCCATCGATTGATTCCTGTCGTCTTTGGCCACCGGTCAGTCCATGCCAGGTCAGCCGGGGTCATAGCATTGACTTGCTCTAGGGTCTCAATTGGCGGCCATGGCGGATTTCAATTTATATAGACGAACCACCCATCCTAGTCCCACATGTTTGCTCTTCGCCCTTTTTCTCCTCACTCCCTTACTCTCCAACCTTGTAGGCTGCTTGCGCTGGCCTTGCTTTTCTCTCGAGGCTATATCCTACCTCTGCAAGGATGGGGCGAGCTTTCACCATCGGTCTCGCCGCCTTTGCGGCCACGGGGTCGTTCTTGTTCGGATATGACAGTGGCGTGATGACCGATGTGATTGAATCGAAAAATTTTCTCGCCTACTTTAATACTACTCAAACGTCGGCGATCATTGGAGCCATTAACAGTACATTCTCCGGTGGAGGTTAGTCGATCCTGACTTTTGTCCACCTCCATCTGGTCTTGCTAATCTTGGCTGTAGCCGCCATTGGCTCCCTCCAGGGAGGTCTTACGATGGATCGATTCGGGCGAAAATTTACCATTCAAATGGGAGCGGCCATCTGTCTTGTGGGCGCCATTCTCCAAGCCGCCGCCAAGAACCTTGCTATGATTCTTGTCGGTCGTATCCTCGCCGGATGGGCGGTGGGTCTCATGTCCATGTCGGTGCCGGTATACCAAGCAGAGGTTGCGCATCCTCGCTCCCGTGGGTTCATTATTGGTCTCGCACAGCAGATGATTGGTATTGGATTCATTGTTAGCACGTATGTCTTACGTATTGATGTCCTTGCTCGATACTGACTTGGCTAGATGGGTCGGATTCGGATCCCTTCATGCGCCGGTGACCAGCGAATTCCAATGGCGGTTTCCCCTCGCATTCCAAGCCGTTCCAGCGCTACTCCTGGTGATTGGAATGTTCTTCATGCCAGAGTCTCCTCGGTACTTGGTTGAAAAGGAAAAGTACGACGAAGCGCTCAAAATCCTGAAGAAACTACATTATGACGGCACCAACCAAGATTGGATTGACACGGAGTATAATGAGATCAAAACGACCATCCAGGCTGAGAAGGCCGTCATGGCGTCTGGCTGGCTTGTTATGTTTAAGGTTCCCCAGTGGCGTACTAGACTCTTGTGAGTGTTCTTAACCCCTAGCCTAGCCATAGCTGCTTCTAACAGCAACCTTGTTATCAGACACGGTGTCCTCGTGCAAGTCTTTACCCAGATGACCGGCGTCAACGTGATCGGATACTACCAAACCATTATCTACAACGCTCTGGGCATTACCGGCAGTCGCAACATCCTGGTGGCAGGAATCTACAACTGCGTGGGCCCAATCACCAACCTGTTCTTCATCATCTTCCTGCTCGACCGCGTAGGACGTCGCAAGCCCATGATGTTCGGCGCAGCTGCGATCGGCATCGTCTTGATCTGCTACACGGGGCTGCATTCACATAACGAGGACGGAGCGCGGCGTGGGTACAGCATCGGGGGAGTCTTTTTTATCTTTTGTATCACTGTGATCTTCTCCTTATCGTTCGGTCCCTGCAGTTGGTAAGTTCTTCATCTCCTCTGACCCTTCAATTTGTCTATCGCCGCTCCTAGATAATGAGCTAACAGAATCATAGGACCTACATGGCCGAAGTCATGCCGATGCAGATCCGAGGAAAAGGAAACGCATTCGCCACTGGAGTCGGAAACTGGGCTGTCAGCACCCTCTGGAACCAGGTATCCCCAATTGCGCTGGCCAAAATCCAGTGGAAGTTTTACCTCATATTCATCATATGGAGTATGTCTCTTCCCCTTTCCCATTCCGGCTAAACCTGGACCCCATATGCATAAACATGTAGCAAGCTTTACTAACATGTTCCTATCAGATCTCGGCGTGACCCTCCCCACAGTCTACTTCTTTTTCAAGGAGACTAAGCAGAAGTCCCTTGAGGAGATCGATCTTCTCTTTGGTGGCCGCGCCCTGGGCACTTTGCCCGAGGATGTCGCTGCGAAGGGGAACTTGGAGAAGGCGGAGGAAACCGTAGTGTCGACTGATAATGTGGAGCATAGTAAGGTGTGAGTAGCTCATATTCGGTTGTCGTATTTGAGTGGATAGGAGGTAGCAGATCTTGTTTAGTTGTTGGTGGATCTTCAAGAAACGTTGACATGACCTAACTATCACTCATAAATCCATCTTGTCTCTAAGTTTTACCCTTGTCAGTATTCACATTTCTCATCGCGTAACACAAAATAAAGGTGCGAGAGGAAGCCAACAAAAGCAAGCCTGTGAAGAGGGAAATCGGCGACGCTATTACAGTGGGCGAGGCGCACCCCGAATGTCCCGGTTTGGAAAACGGAGGTGCTCGTACCCGAAGCCCGATAGTCTTGAGGAAGTCAGCAATTGACCACCGGGTGTATCATCGCTTTGCCCCGTTGGATTCCATGCTGTCTTTGTTCCTTCCAGCCAGTTTTCATCGCCCAGGTGCCTGGCGGGCTCGCCTCCGCTGTCGGTGCCGCCATCTCGGACTTCTTTGAAGTTATTTGACGACATTGCAGACCTTTTGGGGGTTTTGTCGGCAGCGCTGGTCTTGAGGACGATCGAGTTCTAGAGTTGGGCTTGTTCTGGGGCCGCGATGAGAGTGATGGCTATGAGAAAGAAAAAGCGAGAGATGCTGGAGATGCGTTTCCGATCCTTCATGCGATGACTGGATCAGAGGTCGGTGAAGCTGAATGTTGGACGATTCAGTGTTATTACCTCGCACTCAGCATCGACAGCAAAGGTCTTCATTCTTACCTTCTTCTATGATAGGAAGGCCATCTCGTCCTACTCGCTAACTGATGCGAAGCAGGAATCGAATCACCTCATTCTCACGGCTCCAGTCTGTGCCGTCAAGTGCTAGACAAAAACAACAATATGTCCGTCTTTCCCTTCATCCGAATCTCACTAGCAACGCAGACACGCACATTTAATAAGTTCCAATCCCATCGAGTACCAACTCTTGTCGATCGAACGCCATCCCTCGACAATCTCCGTCAGCCACGGAGTAAACCCTCCGAATCTCGCCATATGGAATACTCCGCACGACACTGCGACAGCTTCTGGAGCCATCCGTCAAGTCTTCAAGGAGAGAAATTAAACCTCCCCTCCTGATCATCAAGACAGGAAAAACCCCGAGTCCAGGAACACGCCATCCAGCCTAAAAACCTGCACGTCGGCGTAATGATGTCGCGAGCGAACGGATTCCGAGGTGTTTCCTGGCCTTCCCCGCTCTCTGATGACGGTTCCTGTCGTCCGAGATGTCCTATTGGGCCCGTGAGTCGGTGGGTTCTGCATTTCGAACTAGCGACTACTTCAGACGATATGGCAGCGCCTTGGGCGCCAGATCAATGGGGTAAGTGACGGTGTCGATCTGGGGAAGTTTTGCCCGGTGGAGAAGTGATAGGCGGGGCGGGGAGAGCTGACACTTGGTAGATGGGCAGGGATATAGATTAATTGCTGGAATTGCTTCAGCGGGTCGGGAAATGGGGTGATATGCGGGTTTATATAAGAAGGGGAGTTTCAATCCATTCCGTTTGAGATTAGAAAAGAAAAGAACAGAGAGAGAAGTAAATCCGATCAAAATGCAAATCCCGTCCTTCCTGACCACGCTAGCCCTATCCCTGAGCTCCTTCTCAGCTGCTCTCTCCCTCCCTCCGCGCGCCTCCACCCAAGCGGCGGCCGCTAAACCGCCCTACTTCATTCTCACGGGCGACTCTACCGTCGCTGTAAACGGAGGCTGGGGTGACGGCTTCCTGACCTTCCTCGCCGATTCTGCAGACGGTGTCAACGGCGGGAAAAGCGGCGCCACGACGGTGTCCTTCCGCGCGAATGGCAGATGGGACGCCGTTCTGGACGGTATCGCGGACCACGCGGCGGACTACGAGCCCATCGTGACGATCCAGTTCGGACACAACGATCAGAAATCCACCTCGGGCATCTCGCTGGAGCAGTTTGGCGAGAATTTGCAGAATCTGGCGAATGAGGTGATTGAAGCGGGGGGGACGCCGGTGAGGATCATCTTTACGTGTCTTGTGCTTTCTTGGATATTCTTTCTGACCGATTCGATGATACTAGATTATCATCACCTCGTTGACTAGGCGCAATTTCGAGGGCTCTGCGGTCATCGAGAACCTGGCCGATCACTCCGCGAAGGCGATTGAGGCCGCCGAGGCCGTCGGGGTCCAGTATCTGGATCTGAACCGCGCCAGCACCGACTACGTCAATGCCATCGGCGAGGAGAATGCGCATACGTATGATCTGAGTAGTGGTGATGGCACGCATCTGAATACTGCCGGAGAGACGGTGTTTGGGCGTCTGGTGGCGGATTTGCTGTTGGAGAAGCGGGACGATCTCGAGGAGTTCTTCACGCCGAATGAGGAATTGAGTAGGAAGCTCAAGGACGGGGAGTATGCGGCTGGCGATGAGTAGATTCGGTTTACTTAAGAGCCACGAGAATGTTGTGGGGATCCTGGATGTGGTGTGTTTAGTCTCTTGGTCGTGCGATGAAGTATGAATCAGAATCATTATTTACGTTATTCCGAGATATATCCAAGTTTCCTCAGTAGTTTCTAATACTCAGATAAGATAGTACACCTAGTTCGTAAATTAATATTCACAAACAGCGACAGAGATAATACCTACAGAAAGAGCTTTGCCCCTGTCCAGATATCCGTAATCTTGCTATTCTCGACGTCACCCAGTACCCTCCACCGTAAAGTACCACCAACACCTGTCCATTTTCTCTGCAGCTCAGCTTGGCGGGTGTTTTTCTCGGTCAGATGGATAGCCCGGAACACTCCTTCGGAATACTCCGTACGTGTTCGTAATACATTTGGTTGCTGTAATTCGGACGAATGATCCAGCGGTCGCCGATCCATATACCCCGGTTTGCGGGGAAACCGTTGGATAGACGTAAGTCGGCCAAGAAAGAGGTTTGTGCCTAGTCGAATGCTTTCTCCGGATGCATCTCGGCCTGTAGGAGGCCTTACGTCTGCGGTTGGGCGAGGCTTGGTATTGCTTTATTCCTTTGGTCCTGATCTTGCCATGTTGAATCCGATCCTGCGCCGTTCGTCCGACATCCTCTAGCTGAAATGAGACCAAGATAGCGATGAAATGATGTATTTCGAGAAGTATAAAAGGCTGCAGTCGACCGGTGGAAGTTTGGGTTCGAACCAGATCAATCCCGCATTCAGAGTCCTTGCTTCGTCTTCAAAATGCATTTTATTTCCCTTCTGGCAGTCTCCCTCGCCTCCCTGGTAGGCAGTGTTCATACAGCACCGTTGACGTCGCGCGCGTCATCGCATTATCCAGGATTCGCGAAGCTCAAGTCCCTCTTTGTCTTGTAAGTTGATCCGTCCCACCAAGTCCCTCATCATCGCTGACTCGACAGTGGCGACTCTTACTCGCGAACGGGCTTCGATCCCAGTGGCACTCAACCCTCCAGCTCCAATCCGCTGGGAAATCCCACGTATCCCGGCCGCACGAGCGCCAACGGCCCCAACTGGGTGGATCTTCTCACGGTGAAATACAACGCCTCGTCGTTGCTCACCTACAACTTCGGAGCCAGCGGCGCCACCCTGGACACCTCGATCGTCGAGTCCGGACTGGACGTCGCCCGGGAGATTTCCGAGTACTTCGTTCCGTACTATGCCGACTCCAGCTCGGGGTCGGATCCGGTCTGGGAGACTGACTCGACCCTCTTTGCGATCTGGGTGGGAATTAACGACATCAACAAATCGTATCTAGCGCAGAATGAGTCCATCCATCCGCTGATCTCCGAGCGGTATCGCGAACTGGTCGACGATCTGTACGACCTTGGCGCAAGGTCATTCCTGCTCCTCAATGTGCCGCCGTTAGAGCGCGCCCCACGTACCACGGGCTCCAGCGCTGCAGAGGAACGTATTCCGATCGAGCGGGCGGCCGTCAAGGATTATAATAGCCGTGTAGAAACGCTGCAGAAAGATCTTCAGGACGGATATGACGACATCACGGTGTTTTTGTACGATACGTATTCGCTGTTCGACCAGGTCATTGACGATGCATCGCAGTTCGAGCAGACCAAGGGATACAAGGATACAACCTCCTACTGCTCGGCGTATCAAAAGTGAGTCATCCCATCTGATTGTCAAAAAGGAAGTGAAATAAATCCTTCTGCCCCTCCTTGCGTAGATCGGTGCTAATCCAGGGTGGCAGTGGCACGCCGGAGATCGACACCAAATTTGACGAATGCGAATATGCGGCGGACGAGTACCTCTGGATTAACAGCCTGCATCCAACTTCGGCGATGCATGACCTGTTGGCGGAGGAAGTGGCCGGGTTGTTGGCGTGAGAGGAGGAAATCGTCGGGATCAATACTGCTAGTCGGGGAGGTAATAATCATGCAATAATGCAGGAATGCAGGAATGCAGAGCAGCGCCGTATGATATGGCATGACACTAAGAGTGCTCACACGATCCTCCGCCAAGGAACCTAGTCTTTAGCCTCCTGGGTCACTGTAGAAAAGTGAGGTCTGGTCTCCCAAGGATCCGTGGGCGAATAACATCACGATGGGCGCAGAGTCGTCCAACCAAAGATCCGAGTCCGTCGCGTACCAGGCCCGAAGCCATAAAGTAGGCCGGTCCAGTCCAGGTCGAGGCAGTAAAAGTAAAAGCTGGAAAGTTTAGCGCAGACCCCGCCCTCCGAAACCGATTATCTCATTGAAGTCGATCACGAGTGGCGCAGTGCAGCTACTTCTCTCTCTCTCTCTCTCTCTCTCTTTCCTCTCTTTTACTTTCCCTTTCTCCTTCTGTGCGCCCGGCGACTGCCCGTCGAAACATGGGGTTGTCGTCGGTCAAAAGAGCCTTCAATAATCACAATCATATGGCCATTGTCTTGGGAATCGGACTCGGTGTGGTATCGTTAATCATCATGTGTTTGCTGTGCGCATCCCTTCCTTTTCGCTCGAAGGAATCAGTTGGTTGACGTCTACAAAATCCACAGATTAACCATCTTCGTCAACCGCCGAGAGCGTCGACCCTCCAAGAGCAAAGACTCGAACGACAAGCTGCGCAAACTGGACGCCGTCTCGCCCACGCGCACGCTGGAAGAATGGTGGTCCAAGGCCAAAGGGCCGCTGCTGCCCTCCGACTGCGTGGACGGAACATTTATCTGGTGAGTGCACGGTCGGATGGAATCCGAAATCGATGCGATCGTCTTCTCCGGTCGCATCGACCGTCCGCCACCCCCTTGGCTAACTAGACATCGCAGCGTGGTCTGCCTGGAGTCGGTGCTACGTTCCCAAGAAATCCGCGAACTCAAATGCCTGCATGTTTTCCACAAGGAATGTCTGGAGAAGTGGTACCTCCAGGACCATTTCAACTGCCCGCTCTGCCATCGGGCCTATTACATTCAAGAAACGCATCCCAGTAACGACTTTGTATGGATGGTATGATATGACTGATGCCTGTGATGTCTCTGCTTTGCTTTGCTTTGCTTTTGGAGCGTGGTTTGGATAGCGCGATGGATCCGGCGTTGTTGCTTTCTCCGATGGTTCATGTTCCTTCTTGCTCTGTTCTTTCTTCTGAATTTGATTTGCCGTTCTGGTCTTGCTATGCACAGCCCCTTTTCTGTTAGCTTTTTGGCAGGGCGATCTCCGCCAGAAATGACCTGTCAGATGCCTACACATATTCGAGTGACTGACGATCACCCACCGCTCGATTCCATCTCAACTTCCCATCAAAGAACAAATCCATCGGTCGATGGCAAATACTCCGAGTTGAAATCCCAGTTCCCCGGGTTATACCAGTCCAAAAAATTGTACAGCCCGGAGGTGGCGTCGTTGAAGATATCTTGCTGGATCGGCTGCGGGTCAAGGATCTGATCGAGAATGTGCGACAGTTTCTTCTCGACCTCCTTGCAGGTTTGGTAGTTGCCATGGCTGGGGCGCGATATCCACGAAAGACAGGACACGAAGACGCTCAAATTCCGGATGAGCTCGGCCCGTGGCAGGACGATGGTGCTGGGTCCCCCATCCTGTGTCTGGTGAAGGAGCTCCAACGTGAGAACGCTGGCACTGGGAAGTCCGTAGTACAGAACCTACGGGAGTTTAATATGCGCGTCAGCAGAGCGGATGGGAATCGAAGGACATACTATCCAGGAATAGTGCCGGCTCATATCCATCACCGGGTCTCGGTCGGCAGTAACGGTGATGATGAGAGACAAAACGCGGCGGGAGGTTTCCAACAACGCCTCCTGACCGGTGTTCGTGCGTTTCACGAGTGCCCTCTGGAGCAGGAAAATGGAATACAGATAGTCCAAGTACATGTTCAGAACTGTGAAAGACGCCGAGAACGCCTCGGGATCGGAATCGTTCCCCTGCACGTCGAATCGTAGATGCGTTGGGGCTGCTTCCCAGGTCGCTCGTGCTTTCTCGATAATCTGGCTTTTTGAATGTCAGCAAAACATTTCATAATCATGCGCCTACATTACAACTCACTTCGACTTTTGCGCCAGATCCCAATGGTCGTAGGTTCCCAAGGCAATCTCAAGAGCCTCTTCTCGAAACGCTGCCAGTAAAAATCGAAGCCTGATCACCCCTGCTCGATAGATATTGCTTCGCGATCCCCATCCGTTGATGTCTAGTTCCGAGATCGCACGGGTGAGATTGTCTCCCCCAGCGATGAGTATATCCTCGTTCAGGTCCAGCGGAGGCGTCAGAGTACAGTATCGATAGTTGAGCAAGGGAGGCCTCCCCACGAACGTGGCGATACATTTGTCCGCATAGAAAGCCGATGCGAAAAAAATTCTTCGCCATTGGCGCAGGAAGAAGGGCCGGTCGTCGTTCTGACCATCTTGATGGACTCCGGCCGCATAAACGGTGGCCGACAAGTCACCTAGGCGACGCCATGCTTGATAGCCTATGTAGATCGTTAGTTTCGAAAGCATTTCCGGAGTTTCTCCATCCTTACTGGAATCGCCAAATTGCTGCGTTCTCAGCATGACATCGTTGTACTGGCAAAGCCCCAACAGCTCACTGGCCGACGCTGCCTGGTCACAGAAACCAAGGCAAGCCGTGCTTGCATCCACAATCTGTGTCCGCAGGCGATCCCTCGCCTGACCATCAGGTGCCACCTGGACAACATCCGGGTCTGTGTCAGGGGTCGACATCAATGCGATGCCCGATGTTGCAAAAATGATCCCTATCGCTTCCCACCGCAGGTTTCGGCCCGTAAATAAGGCGCAGTAGTCTTCAACGTTCATCGCAGAGTTAACCGTCAACGATCGCGAAGTATTCTGGAATATCTGATGGGTCAGATCTTGAATTTGGCCATCCATCGCACCGGTGAAATCTAAACTGCCTAAGATGCCTCGAACCGACTGCACGATCGCCTCGATCATCGCGACGGGGATGACCACGCATAGCGATCGCGTATAGAATTTTCGTATTAGCGAGTCGCATATTGGAAGCTCGCTGAGCAGTTTGAGTATGTCGACACCCGATTGAACTCGGATTGGGTCCACGAATCGGGGGGACCCCGAGGCAACGTTGCTGGCTGGCAGTTCAAACAACAGCCCGCTCGGATGTTCTGCGAGAACTGCCGAGAAACTTGTCGACCCCAGATATCCAGGAAGCGTTGACGGAGATTCTACCGTCGCGCGAAGCCGAGCGCCATCTATAGCAGATCCGGGACTCGAAGCACTAGAAGCCGTTAGGAATGGATCATCGCCCCTCGATCAACAGATCTTACGTCGAACTCGACTGACTGATCAGCCTCCCGGTGGCGGGAATAGGACTTGCGCGACTTGACACCGTTCGTTTTGTCATGGGCGCAGGATGATAAAAGCATGCTTTTATCATGTTCTTCGATTTGCAACGCCCACACACCGGCCTCCCGTGATCGCAGCGCAATTTGGATTTGCGACAAGGTTCACAGGACTGCAAAGTGCCATTTCGACGGAGCGCGGCCGATTGGGCACTTGTGTCGGCCATTATGATTACATAGCAGTGATCGGGACGAAATCATGAATGCGTGAAAGGCGAAAGACGTGAATGGAACGATGGATGGCGGAGGAATTCCTAGCGGACCGAAGGCTAACTCGAGACGGTTAGACCCCAGCATCCCCGGTCTATTTCTCTACTTTCTCAGTCCTCAGTACACAGTCACGGAATTAATTCTCATATCCTCTCTGGTCCACCTGCATCGCTTCCCCGTGGTCGCCAACATACCATCCGTTCTCCTCCAAGTAGGCCTTGAATCTAGCATCCTCAGTCTCCAGCTCCCGCGACATATCTGGGATTAAGAACCACGCGATCAGTCCGCCCATCACGGTAAATGCGGAACCGATCAAAAACACGGCCTGCTGGCCCTTCGCCGTCGAGTCGAATGAGTTTTGAATCGGGGTAAAAACCTCGGTCCCAATGGACGCGCCAGCCTTTCCTACCGCGGCGGCCAGGCCCAGAAAATGACCTCGCAGGGGCGTGGGGAAGGACTCCGCGGCACAGAGGAATGTCGAGACGCCAGGGCCCATCTCGCCCAGAGCCATGAAAATCCCGTACATCACGACGAACAGCGGGAATACGCTCTGGATGGGGTGCAAAGCGCCGCCCAGGATAAAGCCCCAAATAGCCCAGAGCATAAACCCAAGGGTCATGTTTTGCTTGCGGCCGATCTTATCCATGAGCAGTCCACCCAGAAGGCAACCAGGGAGGTTGAAGCAATTTATTACCGTCTATGCAAACATTGGAGTCAGAAAGCAGGCCAACAGAAGAGAACATGTCCTCGCACTTACTCCATACCCAATGTTTTGGACCGTCGAGTTGTCCGACATCAGCTGGGAGATTATCGTCGATGAAAAGATCCCGAACGGATAGGTGACAAAGTCATAGCAAAACCAGGCAAGAGCTAAGATGTCAACGAGGATCGAGCATTCTGTGCAAATTCTCTACTTACAGGTCCCTAGCATCGGCTTCCAATATCTTTTCAGGATAAGCCAGTACGGATATTGTGATTTGATCGAGTGTTTCTGGTACTGCGTCGAGTTGATCATGCGGATCCGAAAGAAGCAAATGACGAGTGGAAGCTCATATCGAAATCAAATCAGTTAATTTCACCTCAAGCAGCACGTCCAATGCTTACCACGAAGCCAATTCCAAAACATACCCGCCATACTCCTCCCCGCACGTCTTGCTGATAGCAAGCAAGGACTATTAGAGCGACAATTCCCGCAGAAACAAAGCCCTATGATAAATTAGCTGATTCGTTCTAGCTGTTGGGCTAAAGACACAATACAAGGTCAACGGCAAAATTGGTCGTCGATGCGACCAAAAACCCTCTTTTCCGCCGCAGGCTGGCTGTCTCGTCCGCTGCCTCCGTTGCACTCGTGAACGTGAGCAGCTTGAACTAACGTCGACCCTTTTGAAGCTTACCTTGTAGCACAAACTGGATATTCTCCCCCTGCACCAAACCCAGCCACGCCGCGAGCAACTATCATCATCCAAAACATGCTGTCGTTCTCATCAGGGATGCCGTGGCTTAATGATAGGCTTTAGAACACCCACCCCAGTTGAGATGTCCCATGTGCTGCTGCTGCCAAAGCAATTCCTAAAACCAAGAACGAGGTGGCTGCAACAACACCCGTCCGTCGGCCCAGTCGATCAATTAATGCTCCGAAGAAAACCATGCCGAATATTTCCCCGATAAGAAAGGAGTTGGACAGTCGAGACTTTATGGTTGCGGACATCGTGCTCTTGTATCTGGAAGTACCAAGAGCTAGTCAGAGGAAGATTTCTTGGCTGCAAAGCTTGACCATGCTGCCACACTTACAGGACGGAGAACAGAGGCTCCATATAACCAACTGAAGCACGGCTCAAATCGTTAGCACCTGATAGCTATTCTTGTACGCTTGGGTTGCACCTGAGGACTCACTAATCTGTGCATTGTAGCCATCGCTGAATAAAGCCAGTCCAGAGATAACCACGTTGAGCACGCCTGAGCTGGTTTTACTCTGCAAACTATCCTCTTGCTCCATATGTCTATCATCCCGAGAATCGCTCTCAGAATGCGTCATCACCGTTGCATCTTTTGCTGGCGAAGTCATCATGGAATCTGATCAAACAGAATTGACGTGTAAGTTCGACTGCCAACAATCAAACTGCCTCGCTTTCCATATACTATGGCATTCGGTCTGCTTCATCGTAGCATTTGACTTGGACCTAGCAGAGCAGATATCTAACCCCTACTTCTAACCTCAGTGTGCTCCTATCCAATAATGGCCGAGGACTCTTGCACGAGGAAGTTCTACACAAATAGCCGAGATGCATTTCGCATCGCTGCAACCCAAAAGATCATCAAGTCTATGGTTGGCATACGTAAAGTATAGCATCGTCGTATCCGAAGATTAGCGCCGCGCCATGTCGGCCTCGCTTAGCATGAGTTGCGGCCCCCAACGCCCGAAGCTGGCAGCACATGGGTTCTCCCATCGCTATCACTGGGCGTTTCGCCCCACTTCCAGTAGCATGCGCATGGCTTCATCTCTACATCGACTATCTTCTCCACGATAGCGCAACACCCCCGCTTTGGACTCACGATCCACGCCGACGCGAGGTTTTCTCGGAATTCCAGCCGCCAGAATGCAAAGAAACAGCCGCAGGAAGGATCATGCTCCCAAGGATTTATGAGCTTGTGATCCCATTACCACCGGGTATTAAGCAGGTGCTCGATCCCTCGAGCGAGTTACCCGCAGAGTCAAACCGTCAGGATCATGGAGAATAACCATTACCCTCTAACCGAGGATCAAATCCAGTTCTTCCAAGAGAAGGGATACCTCCTTATCCGTGGCTTCCTCAGCAGTCCCGAGACGGCGCGTCTTCAGCAATGGACTCGGGAAGTACATGACTTGCCCCGAACGCCCAATGCATCATATATGCCCTACGAGGTGAGGATCCCAGTCACCTGAGCAACGCACCATCTAACCAGCACGATAGGAAGTAAACTCGCAAGGCCAGAGAGTTCTCTGCCGCACCGAGAACTACGCCAACAGTCATGCCGGCTTCGACAGCTTCCTCCGGGGCCAGCGAATCCTCAGCGTTCTGGGACAGCTAGCTGCGGAGGAGATGCTCCTCTTCAAGGAGAAGATCAACTACAAACTCGCGGGCAGCGGTAGGTCTTTTCTCTCTGATATACATATACCTTCTATTTCTCTAACACGAGGGATGTTAGGTGGTTTCTCCCCTCACATCGACGCCAACGCATACACCCACGTCAAGAACATCAAGCACCTGACCGTTCTCGCGGCAGTTGATGGGATGAGCTCGGAGAACGGCGGTCTGGACGTCGTGGACGGGAGTCATCTTATGTCTATCCCGCTGGGTGAAGACCGCTGCATTGATCCGACATGGGTTGACAGCCACCAGTGGAGTGCGTGCGATTTGAAACCAGGTCAGTAAGATACCATTCGATAAACGTACGAGTATCACTCACTGCTACGAAGGCGACATCCTCGTGTTCGGATCCTACCTTGCGCATCGCAGCGGAGCCAATACTAGTTCCCAGGATCGGCGTGCCATCTACGCCACGTATAACTGTAAGGCCGAGGGGGATCTCCACGACCAATATTATGAAGATCGACGGAAACTCTGGCCTGCGACGCATATGCGGAAGGCTGGGGAGTCGTATGAGGAGGGTCGAATGAGATATGGATATGGATCTCCGATGCTTACCATCGAAGGGGAGGCGCAGGCCGCTGCGTAGATATTATTAGCTCGACTATCAAAACCGTAGGCTCTGATCTATTAGGAAAATGCGATCTAGTGGTAAGAAGTACAGAATATCCCGAAGGCCCGCTCCAACCAAATTAGACGGAGACGAAGATAGGTGAATACTAGTACCTTCTCAAACCCAACAGACCCTAACTAGATGTGCTATGTGTTCAAACGAGAAGTCCCCGACACGTGGGATGCCCTCCTCTTCTTATAAGGGAGCCCTGTCCCTCCTCTCGGTCACCCCCCCTCTATCCTCAATCAAACCCACTGCCTACCCATCCACCAATACATCTTGTAACCATGACCACCCAATCCCCACAAACCAAAGCCACACATCTCATCCAATCCCTCGAGGCTCACGGCCAAGACGATTACATCGGCGAATCAATAAGCCAGCTAGAGCACTGTCTGCAAGCAGCGCATCAAGCGCAGAAATCCGGTCCGTCAATAGCCACCCCCCTCCCCGTCCCCGTCCCCCAAAAACCTCCTTCACTCCTGAGCCAACTAACAAAACACCCGCAAACCAGGCGCCCGAAACGATCTAATCCTTGCAGCCCTACTGCACGACATCGGACAAATCATCCCTCTCGACGCACGGCACGAAACACGCATGAACATCCAGAACAGCAACAGCAACAGCAGCAGTAAGGGCGAAAACGTCGGCCGCGTGGGCCACGAATCGATTGGGGGTGAGTATCTGCGCTCGCTGGGGTTCAGTCGGGGTGTATGTCGGCTGGTGGAGAGTCATGTTGCGGCGAAGAGGTAGGAAGGCTTCCCCCCCCCTTGGATCTCTGGTTACGTCGGGTTGGGGTTAACGCCTGGGCAGGTATCTGACTGCCGTAGATCATTCGTATTATGAGTCGTTGTCGGCGGCTTCGAAGAAATCGTTGGAGTTTCAAGGGGGACCCTTTACGGGGGGTGAGCTGGCAGCTTTCGATCAAGACCCTCTTCGGGATGAGATGGTGGCGCTGCGACTTTGGGATGATGCCGCAAAGGTCCCTGGTATTGAAGACTCTACGCCACGGGCACGAGAGTATTCGATGTTGATCGTGGAACATTTGGAGAGACAGGAAATAGCAGACTGATAGGAACATAGTGGCACAAGACACGGAAAGACAATTGAGAAACGGTGCCTTGTTCGGCTTTGAGAGTTTTCTCAAGACTTCATACTACGAAATATTACAGGTCTAAGCGAGGAGAAATGGGAATTTGAATATCATCAACCAAGTTGTCATGCACGACGTAGATAAAAAGCATCATCTCCCAGCCTTAAGATCTGGCATCTAGACAATCACAGACATCTTGTACCAGTCATAAAACCCCGATGCAGCCCATCTCGCCCTTCTAGGTCGTTCGATCATAAACAGTGCAACCGTACTCCAGAACACACCCCCTGACCCGTCGATTTTGAACCAGAAACCAGCAGAACACCCATAAAGCAAAACGGAATCAGAAAAGAAAACAAATGGGTAATCAAAGGCACTTGCAAAGAGAATGCGATATTATGGTCCAGCAACACGAAAAGAGCAATAGACAAATTAATCAGGTAAAATGTAACACACGAAGGATATCTGTTCGAGGCTTAAAAGGTATCTCAAGAAGAAGAAAAGGGAAAGGAAGCGGCAGAGTCCAGTCTAGGCGCTTGTTTTGACCCGCGTAGGACTGCCGGTGCTACCAATCCGACCGCTGGCTTTGCGAACGCCGCGGGATTCGCTTCGGCTCTCCGCCGTCACACGACGAGGGCTGGTGCGAACTTTGGTCATGGAGATTGCGCTGTGTCCAGTCTTGCTGCTGGCGGGAGTCTTCGGCGCAGCGTGCGTGGCCTCAACCCAATTCTCTCTGTCCTCATGGATATCATCGTTGAGGGTGTAGCTAGCAGTCAGGGTGGCAGAATAGCTGACCGACCGGCTGTTTGGAGAGGCCATGGGGGACTTGGACGAACGCTTCGCCAGCATCCGAAGTTGAATCTCTTCGTCACTTTCGCTGCTATCGTTGCTGAGTCGGTGGCTTCGGTGGCTTGAGTGGTCACCGTTCTTGCTCGACTCCTTGTCGACGAGAAGTGTGCCAGATGTGGTGCGCGCGTAAGGGTGATGACGGGAGTCCTTCCGGTGAGATTTCCGAGGCTGACCAGGAGTAGGGGCGGGGAGGTTCTCCTCGGCAGGGGCACCAGCACCCTCGTTGTGGTCGATCTCTCCAAGGGCGGCGCGCTTCGAATGGCCGTTGTTGGGTGGTGTGGCAACGGGGCCATTGTTGGCGCGTTGCTTAGCCGACGGGCGACCCGGCGTGATGGGGGCCGCTTGCATCTGCATCTGAGCCAGTTTCTCCTTCATAGTATCTTCGAACCACCATTCACGGAACGAGCCCTGGTTCAGGTGCAGCCAGTGCTGCTGGGGACCGACCACCATGCCAGGACGCATGAATCTCATGAAAGCAATGATTTCGTTGGCAGTGAATCCATAGCGGTAGATAAGGTACGCCCCAATCAGGCAGCCGGTTCGTCCCAGACCAGCCTTGCAGTGGACGGCAATTCCCTTGTTCTTCACGGTAATCATTTCATGCGCCATCTTGATGAAACGTCTCACCAAAGGCAAAGGCGGGCATGTTCCGTCTTCAAAGATCATATCAATGTGATTGATGCCCAGAGCGGTGAAGTATGAAGGGCAATACAGTTCCGAGTTCAGTCGGACAACCAGTCCCACGTTGCGCGACGCAAAATGGGCGAGCACGTTCTTGAATGGCAGAGGCAGTTTGGTGGAGAAAACTTCGGAAACCTTCGAGGGCAGCGCATCATATTCGGGAGTGTTGGCCGGAATTGGCTCAACCGGCTCGTGTTGCGGAGAGGCAAAAGCCAGGAAATGAGGAGTGATCCAGTTGAAATCGCCCATGTCAACGCGTTCGAATTTCTCATATCTAACAATACCATTAGTATATATGTTTCAATCGTGTACGATGATTCTAACGTACTCTTCAAGACTGAATTCTCTCAATCCACAGAGCGACTGCTCCTTGGCTTTCCAAACTCCGTAGACGACATCCTGAATGTTCAGAATAAAGTCTGCCTGGCTGTAGCCGGCATCCCGGAATGGCATGTAAGGAGGGTCGGCCTGAGCGATAGGCGCCAGAGCCAAATGCGGCGGCCAAGATTGAATCAAGACCATGTAGCAAGCGACCAGGCATGCCGCATTGGCGCGGCTGCGGGAGTCGGTTTTGGAGTAGAAAACAACCGCACGATCGCCATTTGCGGGATCACCGAGGATCTCGTGGAACTGGACTGCAAACCGATACAGATGGCCGATATGCAGAGGGCCAAAATCCGCATGGAAGGAGTTGTAAAGAAGAGTATCGTCAACGGTAAAGTACACGGGGCTGTGCTTCTTGCTCCTAGGTGTACTTGGCTGAGCCCGTGAGCGCTTGCTCGGCGACTTAGGTTGGTCGAGCGGGTAGGGGAATGGAGTTCTCGAGTCCGGTGGGTTATCGTAGGAGGCAAGATATAGACGATCTGTTGGATGAGAGAGCTGTGTCAGTCTTCGCGCTCGATCCGACCTGTCTGGCGCCAATGCTCGAGCCGCCGGCCACAGCGACCGTGGAACGTCCAGTATCAAAATAAACAAGACGAACCTTGAATGTATTCAATCACCTGGCCGTAGCCGCCAATGTTTCCAGCCATCTTGGTAGCAGTGAAGTGTCACGGACAAGAATGGTCAATTGAGGTGGCAAAGCAACAAAACAAACAATTAGGAGGCGAAGGATGGCGAGAGGGTGTCTGAGGAAGGATAACACCGGAGGTGAATGATGAGGATATCTTGCGGTCCGAATAACACACTGGATATGAAAACAATAACAACGGAATCGAGCTAAACGGTCATAGTCCGGTCTGTTGAGGGACCAAAACAGACGAACTTGTTGCCGAGCCCGAAGAGCGGGTGTGGGTAAGGATAAGTGTCGCAAAGACAACAGAGACGGAGGGATGTAGAAGCAGAAGGAGGGGAGGGGAGAGAAGCAGAAGATATACAAAGGCTGGGCCGGCCGTGGTGAAGGAGGAGAGAGGAGGGGAAGAAGAAAAAGATACGCACGAGAGAAGACCTCGAGGCCGCTGAGACCGTTTGGGGCAGCTGCGATGCACGCTAACTGGCTGCTGTTATGTTGTGGTCGCCCCGTTGCGGTTTAGCGCCGGACGTTGACAGGACAACCCCTGGCTGCCTCAGGTCCCCCAGGCACCAACCGCCGGTGGACCAAAACATGCGCTTATGTCATCAACACGGGATCCCCCGCGCCACGCCTGAGCCACCGTCGGGTCAGCCACAGTCACGGGTCCGGCTCATGTGATGTTGTTGTTTGTTTTGTCCTCGTCTGTTATTATTATTATTATTGTTTGAACTGTCATCACAACAGCCTGAGACCAGGGAGAAATCTAACGCATTCCATCTCCATCGACGCTGACCACTCAATCCATCTACTCAACATGCCTATTATCAGAACTACACTTCCTTGATTGTTTCTTGATAGTGTGGGGAACTACTCATACTATGCTGTATCGCAATGAGATGCTTCAGTGCTCCAAATCCCTTCTTTTGAATGTCTCAAATCCAGTGGTCATTGCTGGCGATGTCAGACAAATAATACTAATACCTTTAGCCGGCGACTGCACTGCCATTGAAATAAGTAGCGTCGCCTGTTTTCCGAGGTTTAAGTCCACTTGCTATGGACAATCTGACAGACACAATGGAATCAGTCGCTCCAAGGTCGAATACCGGATGGACAACAGTTAAGAGTATCATACCGAGTAGCTGTCGATTACTCTGTCATTCTCAGAGCGCGTCAATCACGAGGCAGCATATCATTCCGTATGCGCAGCCGCCAGAGACCAGTCAGCTGTGGGTGTGATAAGAACAAGGACACAATATCCATCATACATGGATACGGAGTATCTTCTAGGGCTACTTCACTCATGTCAGAACTGTCTATCCAGGATCACTCTAGCATGACGTTACGGAACTTATCACCATTCTAGCCATTTCGTCGAACTAATTCAAAATGCACTCATGACAGCCTTAGGACCCTGTCCATACAATTCATATCTCTAATTTGTCCAAACCACCATACAATGCTAAAATTTCAAGCCGAAGGTGAGTTTACCACTAAGTTTAGCGCAAGGTGAAGATCTTTGCTACGAAGAGTCTGCCTTCTATTGCGAAACCGATGATAGCTTATAGCCATCAGTGGTTTTCTTCACGCACTGTCGCTCTGCCAGTTGATCAATCCTCCGTGAACGCGCGTGGCCAAGAACTCCGAGGTTTCTTGTCTGATAAGCAGTGGATACAAGCAGACGCAATTGAGTATACCCATCATTTTACATCGATGCTTGGTACACAATTGGTCACCTGGTCTATTTGAGGTCGTTTCTCAAAAGGAGTGGCAGGTGGATCGGATCGGCAGGGATGGAAAGGTACCGAAGCTAAATGGTGAAAAGCATCCTGAGTTCACTTTTTGCCACACAATTTAAGCTAAGCAAAACAACATCCCTGCTTTCGTTAAAGTGAGTCATTTCATTGTCCGATTACCGGTATTCTCTATGATGCTTCCAACAGCCATCGAACAAAGGTCCAAGACTTCAAGTGGTGTCGGCAAGGAGGAACAACCGACGATCTTCAGCTAGTTACCGACCATCCTCATTTAAGGTTTGGCTCGACAAACAAAATGACGTTTGAATTCTGATCAGGCTGAAAGATGGGTTTCATGGGTCTTGAACCCACAACCCACGATGGTGGAGAGAAACGTTCCTAGTCCCACACGGTCTGTTTCAACGCTCTGCTGGCCTTATGGCGATTGCCGCACTGTGGGGTTTGACTTCGACGACTCTCAGAGCATTTCTTCTAAGGAGAGTACGAAAGGCATTGCACCGAACAAATACGAACTTGCAACGTTAAAGGAAGTAGATGCAAGTGCGCTCGTACTATTCAGCAAAGAGGCATATGAATTGACCCGTTCTACCGAACGTAAAGAGGTCGCGCTGTGCTATCTTATTGGAAGACTTTTTCTACGTGAAAGCTTACTTGCCTTAAGCCTGGGCCCCTATTCCGGGGTCTCGTCGAATCTAAATCCCACGGGTTCATCGATGTCCAATGATCTTGTGCCATGGCAATGCGAAGGAACAACGCTGTCTTTGTCGATCTCTATTTTTCGGCCGCCGGGGAGGAAGAACAGGCAGTGATTGTTCCCAGCGTATTTTGCTCGGTGACCCCTGATCTGCATATATGGGATCACTGTTGAAGGAGGATGCCGTTGGCAGTGCTATGCCCTCCATAGGTATTTAATGGGCAATGCATCCTGGCTTTGGTCCAGTTTTAGTCTCTCTCTCCAGCCAATTCACTCTTTCAAGTCATTCTTTCTCTGCCTCTAAGGTCCACGCGTTCATTCTTTTTATAACCCAACACCGTCGTTCTTTGATATCATCCTAAATAATCACATCACAATGAAGCTCGCTGGAATCGTCGCCTCCCTTGCCATTGCCGGCACTGCCTCTGCTGCTGCCATTCCCGACCCCGTCAAGGGCGTTGTCACCAGACTCGACGGCACCCTCGGCAGCCTTGAGGGCGTCCTGGGCAACCTCCTCGGCGGTGCTCCCACCGAGAACCTGGTCGAAATCAAGAGCGGTACGCCTCCTATTCACAGGGTCCTATGTCATTAAAGTCCAGAAATTAATTGATCTGAGTCTCAGAGCTTCGCCAGGTCAAGGTTCAGCTGAGCCAGTGCTCCAGCTCCCACAGTCAGCGTGATCTCGGGAACACCGTCGAGTCTGTGGCCGAGCCTGTGACCAACAAGGCCGGAGAGGTAGTTCAAACTGTGAAGGGCGTTGCCGGTGTCAAGCGCCAGACCGACCAGCTCCAGACCATCTCCGAGGGACTCCTGCAGAAGATCAAGGGTGGTAGGTAGACACCGTTATCTCCGGTCAATGTTCATTTACTAACATTTCTAGATGACATGGACGCTGCTGGACTTCAGAATGTCCTCAGTCTGATCCAAGCCGGTGCGTAACTCTTGAATATTTTGAGCAATCGACAGAGCTAATCAGATCGAATAGACAACATCCCCGCTGTTGGTGGTCTCCTGGGAATCTTGCTGTAAATGGCTGGAAATCACAGCTGATGGTCTATCATGGTCGATGCGCCTTTGTGTAACGCTAGTGGGGGGTTTAATTGGGTTCTGGGATTCTGGAATCTCATGGATCAGGTTACTATCACTTACATAATTTCATTGATTATTTGAATATTATTATGTTGGTCTACACGGGGTAGTTATTAACAGCTGCCGACGAGATGTATACCGAACTGCTTCCCAACAACATAAAATAATAATCAAATTCTGAAAAGAAAAAGAAAAGAAAAAATCCACAAGTAAAATACGTATCCAGCCACATTAATGAAACACTTGATATGCCCATCTTCTCATAAGAATAACATCTATCACCAAATTCTCTCACCAGGACATACAAAAGCTGACTCATCCCAGCACCCCCACCACGAAATTCCCCGCGATGCGCAGAACAAAAAGTCACCCTCAAGAAACAACTCCCCCACCTCCATCACTCATCCCTTGCCTCAAACCCCCCTTCACTTTAGTCCAAGATGTCGGACACCGAATTCCCCTACAGCCTGTAAGTCACCCACGGCTCCCCCTCCCGCCCCGCAACTCCAAGCGCGCATAACCCACATACTAACCCAACCCCTCCAGAACCCTCTCCATCCCCCTCCCGACGACACGACTCGCCTCGTCGGCCCTCCGCGCCCTCGAAGTCGACACCGAGCTGTCCCCCTTCGTGCGCCGCGAACTGGCCGTGACTTCTTCGCCGAAGGGGTCCGATCCCAAGCCCGACGAGCCGGCGATCTTGGAGACGACGTACCGCGCAACTACGAATCGGATGCTGCGGGTGGCTGTGAACGGGTTCATGGAGAGTCTGGGCGTGGTGGTCGGCGTGATGGAGGAGTTGGATGTGGACGTGCTGGACGCTGAGGAGGACCAGGAGAAGAAATGAACGAAGGCGATGTCGGCTGGTACGTTCGTCGGCAGCCAATTGAGTATAAAGAGGGGATATTTCGGGATTGTAATATCCCCCGGGTGCCTACCTCCTTCCTACCTGCGAGGACACATCCGAACACCTGCTCTGTCCTAAATGCATCACGCCACGAGGGAATGGTTGATCTATGGGAGGTGGGATGGCAGGTCGCTTGAGCCCGGTGGTCAGTGGAGAAAGGTTACGTCTGGGGATGAGAGGTGACGGTGCGCAGGCCGCTGGGCTCGAGTTCTGGCGTTGGGGTGTCAGGTCCGCTGAGGGTAGGCCATAGCTATATGCGTCGCTGGAAGGTTACACGGCACCTGGCCATGTGGATATGTACATGCTGCAAGAGGTGCGTCTTTAGACTTGAAGTAAGGCATTTCATAGATCTAGTGTTTCATTGAATATCTCAATTAATGTCTTGGTATCTATCTGCAATTGGATTCTTGTGTGCATGTATAAGATATAAGAGGGAGAGATGCCAGCCACATTCGGGGGATTCTTGTGGAAAGAAATTGGGCGAATTTGATAATCAAAAAGGAACTAGTCGGTCCTCTTCTCCCTTTACTTTTTTTATTTATTATTTATTGTGTGTGGTTTGTTGGTTGATTGATGTTGACCGACCACGGGCAAAAAAGAAAAGCAAAAAGGAAAGCCCAACGCGGGGCTCGAACCCGCAGCCTTGTGATTAAGAGTCACACGCTCTACCGATTGAGCTAGCCAGGCTGGCTTGATGAAAGGGGTTTTGAAATAGTGCGTTATAAACCCAACCGCCATCTTTCGCTGTGTACCTCCGATATAGTTCGGGCTTATCGTGCTGTGCTGTTGAAACTGTGGTAGTTAATATGTCTCCATAATTGTATAGACCATAGACATCAAAAGTTGGAAGTCCTAGCTAAACAGCCTCTGCAGGATAAAGCATCCAGGCTATAGTATGACCTCTTATATAGGGTCGAGATATCAGACCTTTTCCGACTGTGGTTTTATGTTATGGTGACATGGTCCTCTCGCAGCCCACTAAATATATAATACACGTTTTCAACCTGGGAATGTTCACCCCGCAAAACCTACAACGGGAAAAGAACACAACTAGTCAGATCATCAAAACCGGATAGTATGTATTTTGCCAGCAAAATATATTCTACCTTATTGATCCCGAAGCTCCGATAGCTAACCTCACCGGAAAGCCTCTATTCCGAGTCCCGAATTCCAAATCATACCGGGCCAAACATCAACTGATCTCTCATGAATCGAGAGACTGAAACTGAGCCACAGTCGGCGTCAGCGGTTGAAGAATAACGGGCCCGGCCTCGCCGCAACCATGGATAGCGCGCGATCTAGACAAGCTCTGCTGCATAAGCAATCAGGCCAGCCACCTGTCTCCATAATCGCCCTGCCAAAACTAGTCAAAGCGACCCTGCAGACGATCCTCGAGGGCGTACCGCCCAGGCCCAGCGTATTACCAAGCACTAGTGGGCGGACAGCAGGTGGACACGAGTATTTGGAATTCCGTTGATTGCACGGAGGGACGGAGAAGGATAATTCTGCCAGGAGGCCCCTGTGCAAATGCACTGCTGACAAACGCTGCATAAAACCCAACGGGCGACGTTTCTGGGCTGCCGAATCGGGCAATCTCCCCGCACATGATGACATCGCCGGCCGCCTTTGCAATCTCGTCCCTCCATTCCTTCGTCTCTTTTAAATCCCGCCACGACGCTGCCTCGGTCCGCTTTCTGCTCGTCAGAGTATGTTTATATTGCCTGCCTTCGCCTCCCGCAGACTTGCTTCACCTGTGTATTCTACGATAACGAAACATACATCCGTTCTTCGAGCCGCCTCTCCGATTTTCTTCAGATCCATCCATACTACGCCCACCATGTCTTCTGCGACTAGCTTCTACGACTTCGAGCCGGTGGATAGTACGTCTTCTCCCTTACCACCCCCCTCGCTATCCCCCATTCTACAATAAACAAAAAGACAAAAACACTCTAACCACTCATCTCCCCAACAGAGAAGGGATCCCCCTACCCCCTCACCAGCCTCAAGGGCAAAGTCGTACTGGTCGTGAACACAGCCTCGAAATGCGGCTTCACGCCGCAATTCCAAGGCCTCGAGGCCCTCTACCAGAACCTCAAGGGCAAATACCCCGACGACTTCCTCATCATTGGCTTCCCCTGCAACCAGTTCGGCGGCCAGGACCCCGGCTCCAACGACGACATCCAGTCCTTCTGCCAGCTCAACTACGGCGTCACCTTCCCCGTGCTGGGCAAGCTGGACGTCAACGGCGACAGCGCCGCCCCCGTGTGGACCTGGATGAAGGAGCAGCAGCCCGGCGTGCTGGGCCTGAAGCGCGTCAAGTGGAACTTCGAGAAGTTCCTCATCTCGGCCGATGGCAAGGTTGTGGGCCGGTGGGCGAGTCTCACGAAGCCTGAGAGCCTGGAAGATACCATTGTGAAGGAGATCGAGAAGGCGAAGAAGGAGGGCACTCTGGCATCGGCGGGTGCTGGTGAGCAGGCGAAGTTGTCTTAGATTTTTGGATTGAGGGATGCGTTATATGGTTTGTGGGGTTTGTTTACATTGCAAATCTTCTGATATTTATTTGCATTTATGTATAATATGTGACTGAGGGCGAGATTGTCTATTATGCTGTGATTGGTACATGCTCATCGAGAACATTAATGTCTTTACATGATATGACTCGTAGAACGTAAGTTTAAGATTGCCCAATTAAGCCGCAGCACCGCCCTTGGGAATCAAATTGCGCAACGACAGATCGTACACCACGTCTTCCACCTTTTTGACCTGTAGACAAAACGTCAGTACCTCGCTTTATCCTACTCTGTTCCGGAAGAATCCATCGCAGCAAACTTACGCTATACTTGATCCCGTCGCTCCTCTTGCGCAGAATATCATTCTTCAGATTCAGCAGCTGGAACCCAGCAAACAGGTCCTTGATGAAGTTGCCGATCTGCAACGGACGGGTATAATCTCCCAGAGTGACAGAGTTGACAGCCAAGCGGGACTAAAGTAACAGCTTTGGTTAGAAACGCGAAAACAATCGGACAGAAACAAAAAGAGAAAGCGAGAAACGGAAAACCGACCAGCTCCTCAACCATCGAAATCAACGCAAGCAGATACTCCTCGATCGTCAGATGGAACGCATCCTGCTCCTTGAGGTTCACGGGAACTATAAAGTCATCAGTCCACATCCCCAACCAAAATGCACGAGGCACCGCTCTCGCGAGCAAACCATACCGTCCAGAAATTTGCCGACTTCCTCAATAGTCAAGAACGAAGCCGAGCTGGAGCTCTTGAACTCCTCGAAGCCACCGAGCCAGGCGCAGAGCTCGATCGACGAGACCTAGCTAACATTAGTTTCCGTTTGTCACTCGTCACTCCATCCCTCGTCCAAGATAGGGAGAGAGGAAAGGTAGACAGGAGCGGGCTGAGTTTAACTAACCAGGTTCTGGAGCTCACGAGTCCACAGCCCATTGTACTTGTAAAAGGGATGTTTGTCAGCGACGCTCTTCAGCCGGGTGACTTCATCGCGCTGAGCGAGGATCTCCCTAGTTGCGTCGTCGAGGACGGGTTTCACTGATCGGTCGAGCATGTAAACTTAGCGTGCAACATTCAACCAACAACAACAGAGCCTCGTAGAGAAAGAAACCCAGAAAAGAAATACAGGGACAGGGAGAATCTAACACTGCTCAGCAGGCGTGGAATGCGCCCTAGACAGAATCGCCTGCGTAGATCGGCCTATTAATCGATGGTTAGAACCGCGACAGCCCAACATTTCAAACAAATGAAAAAAAGTGCCGGGGTAGGAAAGCCTAATCCCCAGCCAGAAAGAAAGTGAAAACATACCCTTCCTAGCTAACGTCTGAACGATCTCATGAAGCTCCTAGATGATGGAGAAACAATCCCGCGTCAACGACCGCTCGCTTTCTCCGATTTCTTGGCGCCGAACTCCCGCCGACTTACATCGCGGACTGCCGCCTCCTCGTCGATCTTGGTCTGGAGGTCTTCGAAAATGGCGTGGTCGATCATCTTGATCCCGTCGGTGGCCTTTGCCTTGAGATAAATCTACTCCGGAGTCTGGTTGGAGGTGGATGCGGTGAGTCGCGAGGTAGGACGGCGAAGTTACGTCAGGAAGGTGAAGAAAATTGAATTGCGGGGCGTGGATGTTCTGCCTTGGGCATCGCGTTTGATAGAGGTTTGCTGCCACCATGGAGAATCCAGAGAATTTTGAAGGGAGTTTGATTGCTTGGGGAATTCTTTGCGCTTCGTTTCAGTTTTAAACATTTTTTTTTTGATTAGATTTTTCAATGGTTGCATAAGGGATAACGTCGTATAAATATCGCCAGATTTGAAATTTACGGAGTAGAGAGATTATTGATATCCAGTTGATAAGAAATTTGCTGTTTTTTTATCATTTCGTTTTATAGCCAATACTCCCCATGCAAGACCAGAAGAAGAGCTCACGAAGCCAGTTCTTGGCCTTTTCATCCTCATAATTCATACCAGGCGTCAAATCACCACCACAACCACACCCACCATCTCAGTAGCGATATCTCGTCGAATAATCTACGCCTCGATTAGCACTGTCCTCTGAACCCCCTCAACCAAAAACCAAAGAGATCAATACTCACCCTTTGGACTAACCACCAGACCACGTCCCTTCTTGGCACCTTTGTAGATCGTCTCGATGATATCGATCAGCTCCTGCTTGTCTTCGAGAACCCAGTTCAATTTATTGTTGTTTCCGGTTCCGAAATCACACATCATGTGTTTGTTTCTGGATCGAGGGTTAGCTTGTTCTCGCGCAGTAAAGCAGACAGAGCAAAGGAAAGGAAGTGGTAGACACCCACCTGTAGAAGAACATGATCGTCATCGGGTCGAACAGTTCGTACATGGTGTTGAATTCGGGCACCTCGTCGATGTCGCAGAGGTAGATCACGGCGAAATCTGCGCGGCATCGTGTGAGTTATATGGTTCCTCCCAGGCACCTGGTCTGCGTCGAACGGGGAAGTAGAAAGAAGCGCAACGCATCGCAAGACTTACTCTTGACTCGCTCGGCGATCTTGAAGAGCACTTCATCTTGGCGCATACCTGCATCGCGTGGTTAGATTCGAAGGGTGAGATTGTCAGTCAGGGAGGCATGATCTTACAGTCGACGTCGTGGTCTCGACCGAATCGAATCACCTATGGGACTCCATCCATATTAGCTATCTCGCTGGCTCGTGGAGCAAGAGCTTGAAGACGTACCACGAGACGATCCTCCTCGCTGAGGATGGCCTGGTCCACATGCCATGCGGTATGAAGATGGGGCAGGACGACGGAACCCATGGCGACGGCTTACGGGGAAAGATGGGATGGGATGGAGAAGGTTGTAGTGGTCAGGATGGAAGTGATGGGGCTTGCTTGCACAGGTGAGCGTCTTTATCTCACGTGAGGGGATTGGTCAATTGACTGCAGCAAAAGTATGCGACTTCAACTGAAAGGTGAAAAGTCTGCTATCTGCGAGTGTACAGTAAGACAAGAAGCATGTCTATGGTCGATGTCAATTCTACAGGCAATCATTCACTCGACATGTCTAGCTACTTTCTTCTCCAACCAGCCGGATATACCGACCATCTTGATGAAAAAAGAGGTTCGCGTCGATCGGGGGTAGTGTAAGCCCGATGACACTGTGTGGCCAAGCATGCGCAAGCACAGAGGCCCAGCCACGAGATCCAAAAATGAGAATAATCAATGTTGTGTTCCTTAGAACACTTTCAGAGATTAAACTGAAAAGAACAGATACTACACTTGATCTAAGCCAAAAGGCAAAGAGAGCTGGAGAAGAAAAGAAAAAAGAGTAAATGGAGGCGGGCGGCGGGCGGTATTTATGTCGACGGGAGGATGGCCCGTGCGACGCTAGCCACTAGCGTCCTCTTCGCAGCGCCTCAAGCGAGGGCCGCCTCCCGCTGCGATTGGCTGGCGGGGTGCAGCCCTAATGGCTTACCCGGATGGGCATAGCGACTCGCACGGGAGAGAGAAGGTCGCTCCACTGACTAAGCCCCGGCGGGCTCCAGGCGTTATCGCTAATCCCACTCGGCCCTTTTCGCTTCAGTTTTTTTCTCCAAGCGCAGGATACTCACTTCTTTGCGACAACTCCCTATCCCCCACTCCCCCTCAAACCTCCCATTCCAGTCACAATGGCTCCCGCTGTTTCTGTATGTTTCCAATCCGCAAACTGCTTTGCTGTTCCCCCTTGAGAGGCCTGTGCGATCCATGATGACACCGCCGTGTGTGTAATCATTGTTTCCTGCACCTCTCGGGGATTTCGACCTGGTATGGAACAGTAGGCTAATCGATGTTGTTTTCCCCGGTGAATAGGCTCGTGGTCGCAAGGCCCAGAAGGTCACCAAGAAGGTACGTCAGAATATCGCATTTCCTCCAGCCTCTAGTCCGAGGTAGTCGATACTAATACATTCGCTTCTAGTTCACCATCAACGCTTCTCAGCCCGTGAACGACAAGATCTTCGACCTCTCCGCTTTCGAGAAGTTCCTGCACGACCGCATCAAGGTTGAGGGCCGCGTCGGCAACCTCGGCGACAAGATCGTCATCTCCCAGTCCGGCGAGGGCAAGATCGAAGTCGTTGCCCACATCCCCTTCTCCGGTCGCTACCTCAAGTACTTGTACGTCTCACTCCCCGGCTCCGCGACTCTCGTTTCTCCGAAATATATGCCGGAATAGTTGCTAACACCCATCCTCCCAACAGGACCAAGAAGTACCTCAAGAAGCAGCAGCTCCGTGACTGGCTCCGCGTCGTCTCCACCTCCAAGGGTGTCTACGAGCTCCGCTTCTACAACGTCGTCAACGAGGAGGGCGACGAGGAGGAGGAGTAAATTCCTTCTGCCAACGGGATCATGAACAAAAAATAATCGCAAAAAGTTTCTGGCTTTGGACTGGGTTCCGGTGTGTTCGCACCGCTTGGGGGGTTGTTCTTTTTCCAACATAAGACGGGACCAAGTTTCTTCATCAGTGGGAGTTGGTACCGCGGACCTGGTCCATGGTTTTTCAGGATATGGATGTGCTCGGTTAGGTGGCATGGCGACTGCTCTTGCGACGCAGCATCGTGTTGGGGTTTGCGGGGGAATGTCTCAGCCTGAAAAGGTGGTGTTCTTTTGCTCTCAGCAGGGCTCTTCGTGGTAGTGGTTGTTCCATGTCGTCAGTTCTACTCCATGACGTTACGAATGGTAGATCATGAATTGAGCCTTCATTATTTTGATATCATCTTGCTCGTAGCAATGTACGGCACCTGCGTATGTCCTGGCGCTCGGCGCACCCTGTAACCGAATCGAAATGGCTGAACGTAGTCACATAGTCACAATTCCTTAACCCGAACTGGTCCTTTTCTGTCCGGCTCCTCGGCCAAGTCTCATATCCCCTGCCGCATCATCTGGCGTACCCCGTGGAGGAACAAGGCGATCATCCTGGAGGACCCATCCTTTGGACTTGAGTAGTGTCCAAGTCTCCGCGGCTTTGACCCGGACCAGATCACCCGTGGCAACCGCATCCTCTTTGGAATCATGGCCTCGATCTCCCCCCATCTGGATATCCCGGTCAAGATGCCTCTTGCATAAGACCTTGAGACTCGTCCGGATCGGCAAGCCCCGCGGATGTGGGTAGAGAAGAACCGTATCGATGACTGCCGGGTGGATGATGCGACACGCATTCAGGTCGTTATCGATGGCATGGCCAATCAGGGGCGTATCGGGCTGGATCAACTGGAACAATAAGGCTCGTGCTGCTGCCGGGGACTCCACCACGTGAAGGGGCGCCGGCTCGATCTCCCCGTCCTCCCTCGTAGAGGAGCCCGTCTTGGGAGGCGTGGTCCCGTAAGGGATTGCGTCGGTGTAGTGCTCGGGGAAGACGCCGGAGAAGCGTGAATTCAAGTCCAGCACTTCCCCCATTGGCCGGACGAGAACATCGACGAGCGGCTTGCCTTCGGGCCAACTGACGGCGGTCATCCGGATCAGCTCCAACCCCAACGTTGTATATCCCATCTCGCAATCGAAACACACGGGTGGCTGCGACCCTTTCCCCGGCTGGGCAGGCGTGCGTTCGAATTGGAGAATGGAGGCAAGCCTTTTGGTCTCCGACACCTTGTAGACATGAGTTTGGCCTTTGGTGCAGCCGGGAGAAGTGCCTAAGGTTTCGTTGCAACAGGAAAAGTAGGCCTCTCTAGGCCCGGTGATATGATCAGTCGGCTTTCTCGGTGGGTAGACGGGTTTCCCAGAGTGATATGTACAAGTCCCTCCAGTCGTCAAAGAGCCGTCCTCACGCCGACCGGGAAACACCTGGAATCGCCCGCCACACCGGTCACATTTCTCCCAGCCTTTCGATTCGATGACACCCTTTCTCGCATTCTCGACTTCCTCATTTGTAGGAGCCTTGGTCACGTAGCCAAATTGCTCTAGTCCTTCGAGAGGCTTGACAAGCTTTTTCGCAAGTGCGATTTCTTCGGGGACGCTCAGCCCTGTCGTGAGTGTCTTGGGCTTCTGCTCTGACCGGCTTGGCGGAATCTTGTAATACCGCTGGTTCAGGTGAGCCTTGACCTCTTTGACCCAGTCCTCTTGGTTCATCTTCGACAGCTTCACTATCCGAAGTTTAATGACATTCGAGTATATACTCGCGTTGTCCTTCGCCACACTTTCCTCTTCATCCAATGCCATCGTGATCAACTCGTTGGGAGACAGCACCAGATACTTCTCCGGGCCCTCTTTCTGCTTAGCCATGTTGTTGTTCAAGGAAGACATGGCGGCATGAAGCTTCGTCAGAATTGCCAATCGAACCCCATGAGACGCAGGGGATTTTGTGAGCATGCGAGGATTGAGGCTTTCCCGGGGAGCGTGCCTCGGTGGGAAGCCCGCTTTCGGCTTCTCAGCAGAAGGCCCATCTGGGGGATTTGACGCCAATCCTGACTTTGGCGGCGGCGGCGAGACTTTCTTTGTGACGGTTTGAAGCCGAACCGGCTTTTGGTCTGTCGCTTGGGATGGCTTGCGCGCTGCGCTTGCCAATGAACTCGCCTGGCTGGTAGGTTGACTCCTAGATGAGGATGGCAGAGACTCTAGAGCGCCCTTGCTGGGTTCGGCCGCTACTTGTAATTTGGCCTTCTTGGGGGGCGGAGGGTCCTGGATAGATGGATCGTGTGTTGCGTGGACCTCCGGGGCAGTCGTATTCTTTTGATCACCAGTGGAGTTGGTGGATGGGTGAGAGAAGATGCAGGTCAGCAGGGAGCACTGCTCGCCCTGAGGACAAGGAATATCTTTGAACAACCCAAGCGGCGGAAACATAATGACGGAGAAGTGAGGTATATATGAACAGGGGGATATATGGATCAGTAGGATATGGCAAGCCAAGATAGATTGAATTCGATTATCGCTTCCCGTCTTGAGGCCTCCAGCTACACGCCGTGTTAATCAAGACATGAGCGAAATATGCCAGGATTGATGAAGGGGCGGGAGGTTGTGTTGGTGGCCATCGAATTGAAAAGTGGGTTCCTTGATAACAGCTTCGGCTCTCTCAAGGATAAGAATCAAGTCGAAAACTGGCTCAATAGCATGCACCAGGTCAAGGAATCACGGAGAAGTACGTAGTCATGCCAATGGCATCAGCCAGCTCAGCTCAGCGCAATCTGCTGTCCAAGATGGTACCCAGCGCGCGAAACAAGAGAAGAAAGAAGAATAACAATAAGAAGAATAAAATGGTTGGACCGCAGCAGCCGCGAGACTGGCCGAAAAGAGCCAAACAGTGCAAACCGTGCAAACTTCTTCCTGCCATATTCCTCAGGCAGCAACAGAGCCGTCGTCCCTCCAGCCCTAAGTCCTCCCTCCGGGGGCACGAATCAGATACTCCCGACCTCCGGATAACCCCTCTTTGCGCAAGCCAAAAACAGGCTTGACGGTCGTAGGTGGCTGTCGACCATGTAGCAAGCCGAAGTGCCATCCAAAGTTGGGTTTCCAAGACCCTGCAGAGAGCCGCTCTGGTAGCCATTCGTGGTTTGTCCGTGTGCGGATGTCCTCTCAAGCCAGTTCTCAGAGCCCAAATACGGGCCAGCGTTTGCTCTATTGGCAGAGGTCACGCCAAAACTAGGACTAGGTAGAATTTTCAAAGCAGGTGGGGGAGAGACAAGGCGCCCACATAGCAGTCTCCGTGTTTCAACAGTTCTGAAGTCGTCTGACGATAGCGGTTTGATTACTATGGGGCCACGGTGTTTCTGGAGCAGCCGGAGCACACCGGGCGTTGTTGAGCAATGATTACAAAAGAAGTCCAGAGTAACTTATTTTTCTGCTGAGATGTTGCAAATAAACCCTAGAGGTTGAACTGAAAAGAACAAGTAAAGGTGACGTCAAAGAAAAAAAAAAAAAAAAGAAAAAAGGAAAAAGGAAAAAGGACAATTCACAAGTTCAAGACTCTCCAGCCACAAATCCTCAATCGGAAAGGCATTGGTTGATCTCATCATCCTTCATCATGACAATGGCCGGGAGCCATGTCTCGAACTCAGTAGAGTCCTGATTCGATTTGCGAAGCAATCCTGGACGGACAACCAACAATATTCGATGCCCGTCAAGTCTGGTGTCCCCGTTTTCCATACCATGGTACTCCAATGATATCAACTCGCTGGAGCTCGCATGGTAGGTTGGAGCAATATCGGCTAGCTTCAGAAACTTCGTTTGCCCAGTGCACTGATCACTGAAGACTGCAGCTGCTGCAGCTCTCCGATAAATTTCAATCAATGCTTCTCGCCGCTTTTTCTCGATGTCGTCATTGGCCGGCGTTTTCAGTAAGGATTGTATTGGCTTGCTGGCTAGAAGATCGTCGGCCAACCGTGCCGCGGCAGCATCGCGGCGCTCTTCATTGTATCGCCCGTAAGCTGTATCCGGGGCTTGATCAACGTGTATTGAGTTCGATAGACGGACGGTCTCTCTCATCCAATACTCTGCCATGATTGGGTTTGCTGGAAGAAGTCAGTCACGGCGCAGAAGTATTGGAAACGGGCTACTCAAAGATTGCGTGTACTTTTCAAGAACTTCCCATACAGATACTCCAACCGCTCACCGAACGTATCGTCTCCAGTTTCATCCCGGGCACTCTTTCCATCAAGGTACCAGAATGGGCGTTCGATTATTCTGTTATGTAGGTCCTGAAAGACCATTGCCATAACGAAAGGCTCTGCTACCAGCCCGTCACTGATTCCGGGGACTCGTGCCACCAATGTATCCCAGCTCTCTTGAACACAGAAATCGTTCAGGCTGCTGATAATGGCACTTTCCTGATCCTCTGACAAATGGTCTAGACCCGACGCTTCCGATGCTGCATGGCTCATAGCCCATTGTCCCACATTTAGGCGCAGGAGCTCAAACGTCTCTTCGGTTGGCTCCCGACCCTCGTTCCAGTGGCTAGAGCCAGCACTGATCAGGAGCCATTTATTTTTAATTCGCTGGCGTATCCTTTCCATAGCCGGGGAAACCGGTCGCTTACGTTTGGGTTCGGAGGTACTTTTCTCGTCTTGGGCGACAGGCTCCTCGATCCGGCCTTCCTCTTCAGACGCTGAAGAGCTTGGCAGGCTTTCCTGAATGCATGTCAGCATGTTGAGAGAGTACTAGATAGACTCATCCTACCTGGGTCTTTCTTTTATTCCTGGTGGATACCATGGCCTATACGAAGGTTGGAAGAAGTGAGATTTTAAAAGCGAGCAGGAGCGTCGCTAGCTTTTTATCTTCCTCCTTTTTTCTTTGTTCAGTTTCCAGGCCTTTGCGAAAATATGTACAACTGAATGAGGCGAGCATTTGTCATTCCCGGTTCTTTGCAATGAACAGATCGACAGCCGAAACTACGCAGTAGAGACGAGATGAAAGAGCGGTGATGTTTGAAGGCTGCAGTCGGATTGGCATCGTTTGTAGCCAACGGCAGGCGCTTCTCTTTCCTCCTCCTCCCCCCCTCCCTTTGCCTTTTTTTTTTTTTTAAAAAAAAAAAAAAAATAAGATAAAATAAAAATAAAAAGGTAAAACTAAGAGAAGGGGAAATGATGGTCGCTGTAGCTTCGCGAGACATTAATTTTGGTGTCAAGGTCTCACCCCAGTCATAAATAGGACCTAGATCATACCATCAGAATATAAAAAACCCCATCCCTTTTAACATCTTTACCTCTGAGCCGATCTTGATATTTCCATCTATCACTTCTTCTTTTTGCTGTGCTCAGCTGAAGACCAGTAGACACCATGGAGACCAAGCTCATTATAGCCATCGACTACGGCTGCACTTCTACAGGTAAGAAAGCCCCCATGAGTTAACCATGCGAGCTCAACGGTTGCACAGGCGTTACCTGGGCCGCCTTCGATGGCAGTCAGGAACCAAAGGTAATCACACAGTGGCCTGGCAATTCAGGAAACAAAGTCCCTCTTGTATATCGGTTTCCGGAGAGCAAGACCTCTCTCAAATGTCATGGGGATTTGAGGTCCAGGATGGACCGACCACGTACTCATGGATCAAGCTGTTGCTCGATGAAAATGCCCGCCAAGGCGAGTTTGCCAATGAAGCCCAGAAGATTTTCACTCGTCAAATCATGCAGCTACCTCCAGGGAAGCAGGCAAAGGACGTGATAACCGCCTTTTTTAGAAAAGCTTAATAGCCACATCAGAGCACAACTCGAAAGAAAAGCTATTGATTTAGCCAATACCCCCCTGGAGTATTGGCTCACAGTGCCGGCCATCTGGCGCGACGAAACAAAGCATCTGATGCGGGAAATCGCCATCAATGCTGGGCTCCAGGCCAAAGAAACCGATCGATTATGTATGGTATCAGAGCCAGAAGCCGCGGCTCATACCGTTTTTGAGTATTTTGGCTCGGAGTTCCGGGTTCGTCGAAGCAGCTGCACGTATAGTTGACCGCAAGGACTGATCCCTACTTAGACGAATGACGGAATTCTGGTGTGCGATTGCGGCGGTGAAACCGTAGTAAGTTCCCTGGAGATTGATTTGGTATGTCCCGAACTAATTATTGTCAGGATATGGCTTCATACCACGTATCGGGTGTACAGCCTCGGTTGTTCTTTGACAGGCTCGCGTCCTCTCAAGGTACGCAATACAATGCAATACAATGTCGAAAAACAAAAAAAGAAAGGAGATAGGTGCTGATATTCCTATCTAGGCGGCAATTGTGGTGGCGTTGCTGTAGACAGCAGGTTCCACCAGTTGCTCTGCACCCAGTTCGGCGATGCACTCAACGATCTGCCATCAAGATTCCTGGATCCAAAGGGGAAGCTAATGACCGAGTTTCAGATTGTCAAGGCAGAGTATTCTGGCGAACCTGGAAAAGTTTACTTTATACCCCTGAAGCATCGCTCCATCAAGGACAGCGCGGACCCGTTATTTTACGATAAAAGAAGGCACCAAATCAATTTGACCTCAGAGCACCTCCGAGGGTTGTTCGAACCGGTTCTTGGTATTATCTTCGAATTGATTGCAGCGCAGATAACTGCAGCTGATGAGGGATTTGGCTTGAATCCTGTGGGAATCTTGTTGAGCGCATGGCGATTAGGATGAGTCATCAATCTTACTCCGCGGCCTAATTCAGGCACCAAGTAGCAGGTCTGTAGAATCTCACTTCTGCGTACGCTCCCCCCTCTCGGTGAAAACCATGGATCCTGATGGGAGCCACTCGTCAGATGCAGGCCATCTGTGTGTCCTGGTCCATGGGTAGGGAGAACATACCACACCCCCGATGATATTGCTGACAGTCATGCGTGCGACAGACTCTGGGGGAACCCTTCTCACATGGACTTCATAGCCACGTCGTTGCGAGAACGATACCCGACTGACACCTTCCATATCCTCGCCGCCCAGCGCAATGCCGGCAACCACACCTACGATGGCATCGAACTCGGAGGCGAACGCCTGGCGCTCGAGATCGAAGAAACCCTGGACTCCCTGGCGGCCCGGGGGTCTCGGATCGGGAAGCTCAGCGTCGTCGGATACTCGCTTGGGGGCCTTGTGGCCAGATATGCGTTGGGGCTTCTATACGCGCGAGGATGCTTCGAGAAGCTGGAGCCCGTGAACTTCACCACCTTTGTGTCGCCGCATGTCGGCGTGCGAATCCCCGTGAAGGGCCTCCGCAGTTTCCTATGGAACTACCTGGGTCCTCGCACGATCTCCGTCTCGGGGCGACAACTGTTCTTGGTCGATTCGTTCCGGGACTCTGGGAAACCGCTTCTCAGCCTTCTCGCTGACCCGGATAGTGTCTTCATGCGAGCGCTGGCCAAGTTCAAACGCCGCTGTGTCTACGCGAACGTCGTGAACGACCGCTCGACCGTCTTCTATACCACTGCCATCTCGCTGTCCGATCCATTCCAGCAGGACTTGGAGCGTGCCCACATCAAATATGTCGCCGGCTACGAGCCCGTTGTCGTCGACCCCGATGTGTATTTCGCACTGCCCGGAAGGAAGGAAGATGGCCACCCTTTGTCATCACGGATCCAGCAGCAGACAAAGAAACTGTTCACCGACCTGTCGCTTTGGCTCTTCTTCACCCTCCTGATGCTCATTGCCCTGCCCATCTTCCTCGTGAACTCAATCATTCAGACGTCCCGCAGTCGGCAGCGGATCCAGCTGCACGAGGAAGGCCAAAGCGGAGCCTCCTTTGGACACTACCGAATCCCCCTCCTGATCAAGGACGCCCAGAGCGCCGTCGAGGAGGTCTTTGAACGCGCCGCCGCCCGACAGGATCCCGAGTACCTATCCGCCGCCGACCAGCACACGGGGGCAAGCCAGCTCAGAAAGCGGACATCCGCAACAAGCTTCCCCGCCAACGAGGGCAAATCGAGCGTGCTCATCCGCGAAGAGACCTGTAGTCCGCCGGACCGCAGCGCATCTCAGACCTTTCCCACGCTCGCCCTCACGCCCCTCCAGATGTCCATCATCAAATCCCTCAACGCCGTGGGTTTCCGCAAGTACCCGGTCTACATCCACAACCATCGTCACAGCCATGCCGCCATCATCCGACGGGTGCCCAAGAAGGGATTCGACGAGGCTCCCGTCGTGATGAAGCATTGGCTCGATGCCGAGTTCGAGATCTGATCTGACGGGTCATGCGCGCGGTATTCCCGAACGGGTAAAAATAATCAATTCGCATGAATGCGGGGGGGAGGAAGGGAGTGGAAAATCCCCCGTGGGGAATCATACATAGAGGACGATCCGAGTCGGCGGTGCAGTAGTTCACTGGACTAGTTGAGTAGTGACTCACATCACCTCCCCCCTCTCACCCACATGGACCTGCAACATGACATGTGCAATACACGAAGAATGAGCCCCTTCTCCGGTTGGTTCCATTCTATACTCTCCCTCCTCCCGCCCCGCCCCTAACGAACACCGGATCCTACCCCAGCTTCTTGGCGCGCGGGGGAGAAAGCCAACCAGATAGACACATACGCAGTATGCGTAGATAGATAGTTAGACAGACAGACAGACAGACAGATCGATAGACAGATAGAATACCTCGGCATTTGCAATCGAAACCACCGAATCCCCACACTTGTATCTGACACTGCCGTGTCTATGCGATTAGTGACTTACCATGCATACGTATGCCTGAATAACAACACGCTTCCCTTACTCGTACATCCAATGTCAACAGATCTCGGGATTGCCTATTTCGTTCCTCCCGGCCAGCATCACCCGCCCTACTTACTGAACTACGTTGCTACTAGGCTAAGATACCAACAAGGCTGTGAAGCCGAGGTGAATATCATTGGTCATGGAGCGATTGCGCTTTGGCGTCAGGATGTTTTATGTCTGCGTTTCCCGCGGGCCGCCTTGTTTTAGAGACCCTGTGACTTGGGGTATGTGTGTGTATATCACGTTTTCCATACGAAGAATACTATAGGTGCTACGGACAGATGGAGGAAGATGGTGACGTGAGATGGAGTCATGAGAACTCAGTAGACATCTGTGTTGGAATGTGTGCATATCTATTGTGGACAATTGTCTGCATTCTAGCATAGGTATGAGCTGGTGAATATTGATGCCAAGGTTTGCAAGTAACAGTCTTGTATAGGAGTGTATTGGGCGGTGATCTGTATAAATCGAATGTCCAATGGGCCATTCACCGAAAGTCAAGAGCAGAGGCAAATAGAAAACCAATCCATGAGAAAATAGATAACATTGCTATATCATAGGGAATCATAAGTGTGTAAATAGATATATATATATATATATATAGACAGAAAGAAAAGGCCAAAATCTCATAATATGTATGGTATATGTCAACGGATGGTAGGGAAACATCTAGATGATCTAGAGGGTGTGGCGAATGTGCAAGACTTTATGCGCACAAAGGCAGAGTAGATCAATTTTGGATGCCCGCAGTGTTAGACCCCTTGAAGTCCACGCCGTTCATGTCCTTGGAGATCTCACGCTGCATGGCAAATTTGACGGCTTCCAGGACGTTCTCACATGTCTTCTTGGGTGGATAGCGAGGAATCATGCCGTCCTGGTAGACGCCGGTCTTGACGAGAATCGAAAACCATTCGGTGTCACTGATTTTGTCAAACTCGTTGGTCCCTCGAACGTCGGACTCCGGAGTGTCTCCGACAAAGTAGACGGTGCGCGGGGGTTTGTTGATGCCATGCGTGTCCTTGCGCCACTGGCGAAGGAGTCGGGTGGCGAATTGATACGTGCCTAGTTGGGGCTTTCCGAAGGCAATGGTCGACAGTTCTTTCCCGGTGACGGCTTTGTAGAGTGCCTCCAGCGAGGCGCGAAGTGCGCCCATGCCGATACGGGAGTGTTCATGGGAGGTGGCCCATACGACGTCGTTGTGGGAGAAAAACAAGGGCGGTCCCTCGTTGAAGGTCTCGGAACGGGTGCCCAGATGTCCCTCCTTCGACATCAGGACGTCCAGGATGATTTGCTGGTCTCCAGCCCAATCCCGGCTATCGGCGAAGACGAAGATAGCGTCGATCTTGGTGTTGTTGAGATCTCGCACGCGAGAGTTCTCGAACTCATCGTCTGTCAGGCTTCGGAAGGGCGTGGTATCCTGGCGCGTTTTGATGATATCTCCGGGGGTGATAACGTCCTTGAAGCCGTACATTTCGGCAACCACTCGGCATTTCTCACCCACGCCACCCACGACTAGAACGGTGTTGTATCGCTCGGCCATGTCGCGCATCGGCGTGTGGCCACAGATAAACTGGCCAGGAGAGACTTCCAGTTCCAATTGCCGACTGAGGTCTAAGCACCGTTCCTCCTCCGACTTGCCCCCGCCGTTCGTCACAAAAATGTACGGACTGGTTAAACAAACAAACGTCAGAAAGGCAACTCGAAGGTTTTAAGGTACAAATAGTGGAAAAGAAAGGATCTTACATCTGAATGCCGTAGGGGTTATCCCCATTGATGTATCTCAAGGCGTCAACGGCCGCAGGAATTGGATTGCCACCTTTTATTAGGACACCGTCGATATCGAAGGCCAACGCAAAGTCGTCAGTGGTAGTCTGTGCAGCTTTAGAGGTGGGCGAAGCCACACGAGGCGATCCATCTTCAGAGGAAGTCTCGTCTTCCAGGTGTTGTTTTGCCATTTCCATCTCCATCGCGGTGTCGTGAGCACTTGTGGCCATAAGATGTTTAGGAGGAAGGACAACACTGGGACCGCCATAAAGGTCGGCCCGACTCGCGTCCAGGCTGGACAACCGGCCAACTCGGGTTCCGAGACCGTCGGCAGTGGTCATCTTTGCTCTGGTATTCTTGGTAGTCCGAATGTGACGTATAGTGGCTTAGATGATATAAAAAAGTGGAGCAGGACCCAGCAGAGGACCCAAAAAAAGATAACCGGGCAGGGACGGGAAACGGTGACGGATGATCGTGTCTCCAAAAAAAAAGGAATATGAGAAGAAAAATATGGGTCCAAAAGGAACCCAAGAAACAGGGGACTTGGAGTATCTAGAGAAAAAGAAAAACGATGAAAAATGAATGAAAACCTCTTGAAAAATTTAGAAGAATCGACCCAATCGAGGCAGGAAAGATTAACACGATGTGCAGTAGAACGGCAGGTAGCAAGGGATTGTCCACGCAGGAGAGTCTATTCTGAGAAGCAAGTCTAACCAGCTATGAGGTAATCGATGCAGAAGAGAGAGATGAATGATGATCAATGTAGAGTGGAGACTGGGGGAAAGATTCAATGTGGGTTTGGAGGCCCATTAATATACGATGCTGGAACAGGGAGGGTCGAGGCAGGGCGCAGCGAAACGAGAAACCACCCTGCCCATGGATGATGTTAGCCCGTGGCTCCGTCATCAACCGTGTTTGGAGAAGAGTTGCCATAGGACTCTCGAATGACTCCACCAGACAGAAGGTTTGCCGCCGTTCCTCTTCGCGCCATGCAAAGGCAACGTCGTCTTCATCCTGGGGCATAGAAATGACGAGGCAGGCGCGGTGATTCGTCCTCACTCCTCACCCATGGTCAAGGCGCTGACCAAGTCGACAACAATGATATTCGTCTTGATTTCGAAGGGTGGGGAGTGACGTGCAGCGCGGACGCAGTAGTGGATGGACTTGGGGGAGGAGACCGAGGAGGGGCCCACAATTGAAACCAATGGAATTAAATTCAGGCATCTGGCATTTAAAATGCATGGATTGAGCCCTTGACTGATATCACTTTCTCTCCCAAGAGGCATCCACCGGCCCGACGAGTGAGGCAGATCACATCCGATGAAATGCAAGGAAATGGAATGAGATCGAAGGACGGTGGGCGACGGCAGCCACCGTGACGTCATCTGCACGGCCCGCCTTAGTCATCCGCCTCTCGGCCACCTCAGGCAGCCATCCCGGTTTCGCAAAGGCGCAGGCACGTCCAGGAACATCCAATCCCCGTCCTGAGGCGCCCAGCCCTAACTCACACTCACCCTGCTATCTCGGAATCTCAAGAGGCTAGCAAACCATCCTCAGCCGCTAGATGAATCTGAGGCCAACCAGGATCGGTCGTTAAATGCCGCATCTGGACCCCCATGCAGGCCTGGCGAAGAAGGAGGGGTGGACGCAGTGTAACCTTTCCAGTGCTGCAGCCACCGTCGTCGAGGCATGTGATATTGGGGCTGTTCACCTGTCGGAACCAGCGTTAACCTCTGCCATCACGAAGGCTGTTGCCGACTCGGGACGTCATGTCAAACTTTTGCTCGGGCCACATGGAATAATAGTCAACGCTGGAGTCAGAATTGAACGACGGGGTGGTCTGGTTCCGGCGAATTATCGCGGCTCGTTGACTAATATTCTAGAAGTACAAATAACTATTGGGTATATGGGAAACAGGTTGAGGGGTAAATAAAATAAATATACACAGAAGCGCGTGCCATGCGTCGGACGCACACGGTCCCAGATTAATATATTACAAAAGAAGAGGAAATGTCGCCCGACCTGCCCCAAGCAGAAAGGCGAGAGACCTGCCTGGCTCTCAATCCACGCGGAGTATCAGATCGGTGCCATGTCGGGACGGTGTCAAGTTGCGTTCGGTTGGCACGGCTCTTTTCTTCGGCATCCGACCCATCATCTCGACCGGATATCTAGAATCACTGACTAGAGCGTGAGGGTTGAGGTCGGGAAACAGATCGCGGTCGTATCCGTCCCAGTAGTCTTCCGGGCCGTACGGAGCAGCCTGTCCGGCAGGCTGCGGCTTGCCTCGACGAATCTGAACCCTTTTGATATCGTCCTGTCGCACAACTCGGGGCCGAGACACGACCTCAGAGGCTGGGCCGGCAGCCGTAGAGGGAGGTCGTCTCCCGGGATCATTGACAGGTGCGTCATCGCGGAAATAGTCACGCTGGGGGGGTATATTGGTGGGCGTTCGGACTTCTTTGAGAGGGGAAAGGGTTCTGAAAGTCCCCGAGTGACGGGAGGCTCGGCGACTTCCTGTATTTTCGTTGATGTTAATCGTCTCGAACTCGCCGCTTGATTTGCCAGCTGCGGTGTTGCTGGGCTGCGGACTACGCAGTGACCGACGCGCCGTAATCCGAGGCGACGGCATTCCCGCACCACCCATATATCCTAGATCGGGTTGCTGCCAATAGTTGTCCACATAATTGTCATGATGCGTGGAGCGATCCCGTTCAGCATTGTACGACGGGGCATCATATATGTCGGCATGACGAGGCGTGTGGACCCCAGCCCCAGGATGGGCATATATGGGCCTTTTCCGAGGATCAGGATTCCGCGGCGTCAAAGAACCGTTGTTCCTGCCTTCAAATCCATGCATCATCGCACGAGGGTTGTCTGGCAACCCTGCCATTGGAATTCGATTGTGCTGTCGGGAGGAGTTGTATCGAGCTAGCAAGGCAGAGTTCATGTACGGAGTGGGAGCACCGGGACCACCCCTCGGCCTGACAACATCCTCTTCAAACAATGTCGCGCCACTAGCAGGCCTGGGGGTTTTCTGCTGGCTCCATCGCAGCGGTTGGGGATAAAGGTCATATACAGGCTTCTCTGGCAGCAAATCGGAAATAGTCCGCTGGGAGGACTGGCTCGACAAGGCCTCATTTTCAGAGTTCGAAGAAAATGCAAATCCGATCTTACTGGGGCTAATTCTTCTCGAATTGCGGTTGGCGTGGTCGTCACCTGGTTTAGTAACGACAACCGCCGGGTTCTCGCTCCGGTACTCGAAGGGAGACATCAACCGTGCGGGACGCGAGTCCTCGTTTGTTGTACGAGACGAGGGATTACTAGGCCCCGGTGTTGGTCGTTTCGGTGGCAGGGAAAAGTCCGGGGGTTCTGACATGGCACCGCCGATCTCAAAGAAGTTATTGTCTTTGGCCTGTTGATTCCTTCGTCTAGCCTTTCGGCAGCAACAAAAGATGATAAGACCGATGATGAAGAACCCCGACACTCCCGAGGCCACGGAGACCCCTATAACCGCGCTCGGTTTCAAAGTGCTGTTTTTGGACGCTGCACCGGTATCTGATGCCTGGTCACTGGTAGTAGCACTAGAGGGATGCTGGACAGTGCGAGTGATTGATATAGGGCTCTCAAAAGAGGTGAGAGTGGTGGATACATGCGTAGTTTTTGACTCTGAGGACCTTGAGGATTCTGAAAATTCTGAGGAAATGGTCGAGCTGGTGCTTAGGGTTGAGCTCAGGGTACCCGTGGGAGCAGCTGTCTCTGTTTGGGCTGCTGTCGTGCTCGTCGGAGATGGCGTGGTCACTATGGTGGCGGTGATGGTGGCATGCGTCCGTGGTAGAGCTCCGGCGATTGAATCACAGATGCTATAGACCGTCGATCTCAGTACCGCCTCCAAAGGGCAGTAGGCAAGGCTACAACGCAAGGCAGCCTCTCCCAAAGTGTATCCACTGTTCGTATTCGTCCTGCATAGACACTCGATGTCCAAGCCCTGGGAGCACGCATTGTTCGGATAATCCGTCTGGATGAATTCTCTGGTGCAGTTTGCAGCGCAATCTAGAACACGGTCGACAGGCGAAACCACCGCTCCTGTCGGCTGTGGCTCATTGGCGTCGATTGCAAGGCACGATGGGACCAACGACGAGACGACAAGGAAGAGGAGTCGGAGGAGATATGGTAGCATATTGCGACTATCTGTCAATACTCCGCTAGTTAGACATGGATTCCCCTGGTCTATTTTGCAATCGCAGATGAGGGAAGAGCATTGCAAACATAATGAGAGCAATTCATAGCGCCCAAATGACTTACCTAAATCCAATGTCACAAAGGAGCAACAACCCCTAGAGTCATAGGCGTACACAGACAACCATTCTAGATGAATGAATCAAAGAAAGAGATGAGCGACGAGGTTGTACAAGTGTAATCCAAGCGCCCTAAATCTTTTGGCGACAGAATTGTCCCTCAGGACCGAGGGGCACGGTGAGAGAGACATGATAATTAAGACGCGGCGTGTTCGAGCCCAACCCGCCATTGCCGGCGTCAAAGAGAAGATCTCTTGTTTTCGCCATGACGCTGACTGGCTGTTCATGGGAGAAAGCCTGCACCTGAGACAAGTACCACGACACTGCGCCTCCTGTAGGCGCCCTGATGAAACACAAGACTCATTCTAGCCAACGAGGGCCACGTAGTCGACAGGAGCAGGTCGGCGACGGCAGGCGCCGTGTGTGAGTAGGAAGAGCGCAGACGAGTTGAGCAGTCCGCGCCGACGTTGGCGCCGGGCGCTGCAACGGAGTCATGATGATGTCAGGTCAGCTGATTCCAGACGCCTGGGCGCTTCGGGAGATGAACGGGCGTTAAGGGCTGAAGAAAGCCAAGTGTTAGGGGGATGAACTGTCGAAATCTAGGGGATTCCGGTTAGCTGAGAAAGAATTCGGTCAAGGTACTCTATTTTAGCTTATTTCTTTTTCGTAGCGCCGAGTTGTCGGGTCATTATCCTACCAAGGCTGGCGAGCAGGACTCATAACACTATAGCAAACAACTGGCTGCAGCAGGTTCGGGGAATATTAAGATCTTGTCATTGCCATCAATCATTAAAACTAATCACTGACAAAGAGCAAAACAAAAAGCCCAGTATCACAAATGAGCTGGTATCATCCGGAGCGAAGCCAAATAAAACAGGGAAAAAAAAGAAAAAGCCAAAGAAACAACACAATCAAGGGGAATCGCGAGAGATTAATAGTAAAAACAACACTCGGGCCCCATCACAGAGTATATGCGATACAACCACCGAGCAGTCCTCGCGTTCGATCAACAGGATATGGACTGCCAAGTGGCGGGGTTACATTAGTCGAGTCTCGGCCGGAGTTGCGCGGAACGCGCGAACAACACGACGATCGCCCGTTCGATTTCAAATTAAGAGATCTAGGAGGAGAGAACGGTGGAACGATGCAAATCTTCGATCGGGAGGGGATTTGGACCGAATCGGGCGGACACTCAGGGGGATGTCGGCAAAGTCTAGTACTTGAAAATAATGTACCTGGAGGGAGAATTGTTAGCTACAGCTCCGACGGATCCAGATAGCGGGGAGCACATACAGAGCGTGGATGATGCCAGGAATCCAACCCAGAATGGTCAAACAGATGTTGATGAGCAGATCAGCTCCACATCCCCGTTCCAGGAAGACACCGAGGGGAGGGAGAATGATCGCAAAAAGGATCTTGCAGATATCACTGTGCAATCCGGAAGCGTTAGCCAAGGTTCCTAAGCCTCTACAGCCTCTCTCCGTCCCCGGACCTGAGTCCCCAGACGACGCTACTAGACGCTGCCGAGCGACCGGCTGAGCCGGGCCAGGACAGAGAGAGAACGGGCAGGGTGGTGACGGGACACTCACGAAGCAGTGAAAGGCATTGTGATTAGAGATTAGCTGGGTAGAATCCAACGATGGGTCTATAAGCAAGCGTCACGGAGGATGGAGATGGAATGCAAGTCTCGGGAGGAGAAGATAAGAGTTGGGAAGAAACAGCAGAACAGGGCGGCCGGGCGGATCCACGGGCTCTTAAATCATGGCGGCAAATCAAACCCGGCCGGCCTCGTCGCAGAACGGGCGTTAATGCTGGCCTAAGGAATCAGGCCGTTACGTCATGCTTCCACCACCAACTGTGGCTCGGGTTCGTGGCGCCGCGTCCTGATTGGCGCAGGCGTCGTGATGAACATCCAATTTCCCGCTGCCTAGACCTTGCCATCACGCATTTGTCGGCTGACTTTTGCGTCGACCCGACGTGGGTGTGCCAAAGATCGACTTGGCAGAGTTTTCTTTTGGGCGCAGTAAGGAGGCCCCGTTCGTCGTCGGTCTTCCCACGGCGATATCTTGCTGCCTGGGAGAAAAGCTTGGCGGCTTCATTTGCCCCTGGCGGTTGCCAGATCTATCGCTCTGGATGGTTTCTATATTTACGGTCCTGATGATTCACGCGCATGTCTATCTATCAATCGCTACTCATTCTGCATCCGGTAACACTCGAGGTCAAGAATTCGCTTTTTGGCCCGTCATCCAGGCATCCGTTCATATTGCACTTGCAGGGGTGGACCACAGCCCTACGGAGCCCAGCCCTACCCCTTGACTTATTTCCTGACACCCCATTTGCCTCCACTCGCCATGGCATGGTTTCGACCGACTTGGAATCTGATATCATTCCCAGCCAGGTGAGGTGACCCTACCACGTTTTAGACCCTAGATCACTGCGCGTCCACGCAGCCATGCACCTGGAATTCGACGTCATCCCGAGCCCCATACATATTCCGTAAAAAACCCACAAAATTAAGATCAGCCCCGCCCCATCTTCAAACGTGCAGCTGCCGGGCCACAGCCAGGCACTCAAAAACTTTGTGAATCTTGATTCTCTTCTGATTTCTCCTTTGCTGCGGGTCTTGGCATGTGGCGGTTCTGCACCGCCACCTCTCTTGATTAGGTAACGCCGCCTACTGCAACCATCGACGTCAGGCTCGTCAGTTGCACTCCGGAGTGCATGCGCTGCCTCATCTTCCCCATCAGTGGATGCTTCCTCTGGGTCCCGTCCTAGGCAATCAGAATTCTCATTCTGTGCTGGCAGAGCTTATTCTATTATTAGTAGCCAGCGCCACACCTGTCAAGTCACATTCTAGTCGTCTTCCAGAAATGGGAATTTCTACCTAGATTGACTAGTTCGTTACGTGGGATTGCTGAACAAGCTCAGGAGCCTGAGTCATTCTGGCCAGGGAGAATGCTTGGGGATATCTGCAGTGTGTACGGTGTGCGGCTAAAATGATAGTTACTTCTGGTAAGCCTAGCCAATGGCTTGCTATAACAGGTCACAAGATATTGTTCTTTCAAGTCCATTTTCACAGACATCAGCCTGGTCTCAAATGTCTGTATATGTGAAAAGAGAGTATAAAGGCATCATCATCACTCCGTAGAAAACTAAAACGAAAGCCACGGCAGAACCCGCGGAGGCTCCGACTGCGGGTAACTGGGCTGCGGTGGGTCTTGGCAGCCATTCCATTCTTTGCTTCCGAGTCTCGCGCGATGCCTCAACACCACTAGACGGTCAGACGGTCTCGACTCTAATCGTCGACCTCCATGCTTACATGTCGTTAACTCTCGGGCTCACCCCACCCTCCTCGGTCGCACGCCTGGCCATCAAACCAGAGCGTGTTCGGCGGGTTTTGGGGGCTACTGGGTTGCAGAGGCGACGAGACCCTTGCCATCGAAACCAATATGCTGCACACAGGTGGCTAGCAACACAAACGAAACTCCCTGCGGATAATCATCCTTTGGCCTATACCTGGCTGACACGCACCCCTGAGGAGATTGTAGGTTCCCTCGCGGTCTCCCCGGTCCTTCCCATAGCTCCACTAGCTAATTCTTCAAGAGACTCCAGATGACGTTCTTTCAACCATCCCCTCGCTTTCGGGCTCGCGACTAGAATCAAAACCGATCCCTATCATCCTTGTCACACCCAGTTTTGCGCCATGGGTTGATACATCCCATACCTTCCTCGAGCAATGGATCAACCGACTGTACCATAACCCTCCGGGGGATTCCAATAGCTCTACGTATGCCTTTGTAGCAATTGTTGACAGGCTACCTGATACCAGTCGCGAGCCAGGCAACGCATCAAAAGAGGGGGCTCGGGAATACGAGGGCATATCGGTTTTGTTTTCAAGCGCAGAGAACATACAAGGGAAAGCCGCCGCGCCGCGCCGACTCCGAGCCACGGACGCCCCAGAAGCAGCTTTCGTGTTCTCGGTTCAAACGGACACCAACGCTACCAATGAAGGCACCCGTCCACCCATCCATGAAGTTGGCTTGCGTCTCGCCAATACCATATTTCTCAATGGCAAGGAAAATACCCTTTTTGGAACACGCTGGGGCTACAATGCTTCGTCGTCCGGTTATAATTTGGATCAGGTCATCGACCTGTCTCGCTGTTTAATTACATCGAACACAGAGTCTATCCACACTTCTCTAGGCCTCCCGCTTTATCCAGTCGGCCGGCGAAGAAGGGTTGTAACCAGCATGGGCAATATTTTGCGCCAAATCACAAAACATGCCGATGGTCAATCGATGGAGCCGATGCCGGCTTCGACGGAGTTGGAAAAGGAGCTTCCGCGTTACATTGAAGAACATGACATTACCGACCACAGAGTCTCGGTGTGGGCTCTCATCGAAGGCCCCGACCAACATGGAGCGGACAGGAGCCCAGATGATCTCACCAAGGCACTTCAGGCGGGAGGTAAACTCCACCATGTCATGAGCGGTGGCGGTGGATGGGGTAAGAAGCAGGGCCTATTGTCGCTAGATCCTGAGATCAGTTTCCTGGCACCTTCTGATGATGGGGAACCCGTGAGCCTGAACGGGCTCTTTTCTCCCCAGGCCGAGGACTCGCTGCCAGACCGAATGCCATCGCTCGACCGAGTCTTCATCGATGACCTGTCATCGCTGTCACAGGTCGCCCGGGCGGGCGACTATATTCAATTTTTTGTTTCGGTCAGCTCAGGGCATGAGCAGGACAGATCGGATCGGTCACTGGTTCCGGAAGAGGCTCTTTCGTGTCATTTCGGTGTCGTCGCTGATGCTGAAAGCCCCATGGCATCGCCGAGTACCTCTCTCGAACGAAAGGATTTAATCCAGGTGCCGAATCATTTCGGCGCGCTGTCCGAGAAGGCCGTCACTTATTTGCAGCCCATTGTCCCGGCGAAATCTGAGGGAGAGTTGCTTGAATCTAGCACCAAGCTCAATATGGCTGGGGCTCGGATTTCACTAGCCCTGGAATAAGACTGTTCAGGTCCGGTGATTTCTGTGTAATAGATTATTCACACATTTGTAATTCTACCGTCTTATAATTTATAACCCGCCCTCAATAACCTGGAAACCGTATATGTAGAGGCCGTAATCCGGTGATCGGCCGCATGCCAAGCATCGAGTCACGTGGTAGCACATGAGGTCCGTCAGCCTCCCCGAAGCAACCACCAGCGTGTTCGCCTCAATCCCCATCTCCGTCTCGCACCTGAAATCCTTCGCATCATCGCAACGGCTCTCTTTGCGGCGTTCACCTGCTTTGTCCCTGTTTATTTCGGCTGTTTCCATAGCTTCATCCTCAATCTATCCCTCTAGGATCTTTTGATCTCTTCGAAATGGCCACTGAACTTTGGTACGTAATCCCCGGCTCGACTCCTTTTCCTTGTGCCCACGACCAATAGCCCCCATGAACTCTTATCCTTGTAACGTCTGGGGCGTTTCTGAAGCTTCTCGTGCTAATTCCATGCTCTTATAGCCCCGTTTATGCGGTAGGTCTTGTCGCGTCCCTTCGCTGTTCACGATAACAAAGCTCTGTTACCCACGGATCGACTCCGTCATCGCCACGCCGACCTGGGATACCGAGATCTTCCATTTGACAGAGCTCCATCTTTATCCGTGCTCCTGATGGCTAATGCTTCGAATTCTAGCCCTTCTTCGGCGCGCTGGGTTGCACCTCAGCTATCGTCTTCACCTGCTTCGGAGCTGCCTATGGAACCGCCAAGGCTGGTGTCGGAGTGTGTGGAATGGCCGTCCTGCGTCCCGACCTGATCGTCAAGAGTACGTTGAGCGACTTCTCGATTCTGTCTACCCCCAGAGGCCCTTCATTCTCCATGGGGGTTTGAATGATGGTTCTAACATGATCGCCATTCTAGACATTGTCCCCATTGTCATGGCGGGTATCATTGGTATCTACGGGCTGGTCGTGTCGGTCTTGATTGCAAATGATTTGCAACAGAAGGTTGCCCTGTACACGGGGTTCATTCAGCTGGGAGCAGGTCTCGCTGTCGGTCTGGCCGGTATGGCAGCTGGGTATGTTCACCTACTCCAGGGGGGTAATGGCTGGACGCGCGTTCTTTCTGAGCTAACCGGTCGATTTCTCTAGTTTTGCCATTGGTATTGTCGGTGACGCTGGTGTCCGCGGAACAGCACAGCAACCCAGACTCTACGTTGGAATGATTTTGATTCTCATTTTCGCTGAAGTCTTGGGTAAGTCCCTAATCAATCGCGAGGAACAGCGCTCTGCATCGTTACAATTCTAACCGCAATTGCGTTCTCTCTTACAGGTCTTTACGGTCTCATTGTCGCCCTTCTCATGAACTCCCGCTCCACCATCGACACGTCTTGTTAAACGCCTCATTCTCCATGCAACGAGCAACCGCCGAGCGAGAACCACACCTTGTGCATGGAGTATATAGAGACGGGGAGGGTGGCATTCATCAGTCTACCGTGACTGACGTGGGTTTCGGCTTGTGGAGATCATAGCTTTGTCTCTGCAGGTCGATGTGCGAAGGAGCGAACCGAATGGAAGAAAATGACTTTGGAAAATCATCTTTCACAACACCGATGTCCTAGCCTAGCATTTGTAGACTCGGACATTCGATGGAAGGAATGACAGGAGTGAAGATGAAGGTGAAGATTGGGGAAGGTAGATACATTGCATCGCCAAGGTCTGCGCTGAACTGTATTTTATGGGAGTCGCTATATGATCCTCAAACCTTTTGGATGGGTCTTTTCTACTTGCAATGCTGAAATGGTTTTTTTCTTTTCCTTTTTCTCGTCTCTGTGCGTGTATCTTTTGTGTTTGAAATGATACTATATTTGCTATAAATCTTTTTCTCTTTTTTACCAGTATTATTTGATAATATAGCATTTGTATAGATTTTCGAGTTTCGAATATAAAGTTGACGTGTGGATCTTTCTCTTTCACAAGGTACAAGATGGGTATCGGTTCTTGGGCGAGTGTGGTCTAATATTACCTTATGAACCGTTCCGACTTGGAGCGCATGGGTAGGTATTTCATACCTTTACATTATTCCAATATATCTAGTGCACTGTACAATACGATGTCTTGACAATCTGAGTACCTAGGTAGAGACCGGTGGGTGGCAAATGGAAGTCACCGAACAAATTCGACAAGGAACACAAAAAGTACTACCACACCAAAAGAGAGAGAGATGTAATAAAATAAAATTGTCTATGGAGTGGAACGATGCATAAAGGTTATGCAAGACATGACGGATATGAGGGATCACCAAACGAGAAAAAGAAGAGGAACCACAACGATGAACATGAAGAACCCGATCAAGAAACACATACATGAGGTTGGTTCCTCGTCTACCCGATCAAACAAACACAGTGAAATGGGAAAAAAGACGGACGCTCCCTCCCCCCTCCATGATTGATTAAAAGCAGGCTAGAGTAAGGGGGTAAGAAAAAATATATGGACAGATGAGATTGGCGAGCAAGAGATAAAAAAGGCAAAATGTGGATGGAACGAGCGTTCCGATTAGGCCTTCTCGAGCTTCCGTCGCAGCGTTCTTGTCCTTCGCAACAGCTTCTTGAACTTGTGCTTCTTCATCTTCAACCGACGACGTCTCTTGGTGCTGAGGGCGTGCATTGTTCGGTTGCTCCGGACACGCTCGATGTACGTGGTCTCGGAGTTGTTGGCGGGGACGTCGATGATGGCGTCGTTGTCCGTGGCGCCGGGGGCATCCATCTCGTCGGAGTTGCGGACGAACGGGCCGGTGTGAGCCTCGTAGGTCTTCCGGCCGTCGGCGTGCGTGGACTCGTGGATGGTCAGGACGGTCGAGTAGCTGGACGTCTCGCGGGAGGACATCAGGCCTTCCGACTCGGTGACGGCGATGTCCTTGGCCGACTCGTCAAAGGGCACCGGGGGCGGGGGCGGGTGGAAGGGACGGAGGCGTTTCGTGTGCTCCTCGATGGAGATCTTCACGTCGGCCATGTTCATTCCATCCGGGTGACCGCCGTCCATTTCGAAGCTGCTCACGGGTCCTTCGTGCTCGGCGTGGAGGGCCGCGTTCTCCATGGAGTCGACGGTCGAGGACAAAGTGAACATGACATCGTCCGCTTCGTGTTTCGACGATCTCTTCGCGGTGAATATGGCATCGAAGGCTTCGGAAGACGAGGTGGGAGGGACGGTGGTAGAGACGGAGATGGGCCGGTGGATGGAAAAGAACGACGCAATGTGGACATCTGGACCAAGAATCATTAGAAAAATTTTCAACCTCTTACGAACTGGAAGAGAGAAGACAAGGGGATGTCTTTCGAGGTGGCGAGTCTATCGGGGCACTTACCATGGGGCTGGAGATGCTGAGTCGAAGGAACGCTCGGCAATCTCGAGAATGCTGTATGCTGGTTTGACTTAGAACCGTTGCGGCCGTTGTTCTCCTTCCCCCTCCGCTTGGAAGCCTTTCCCTCACGCTTCTCCGCCGAGTTTACACCTTTCGCGGGAGTCTGGGAAGAAGCGTCGACCTTTCGGGAGCCATCGCTGGGTTTCGAAGAAGAAGAGGAGTATCGGCGTTGACGCACCTGCTGTGTTGCGCCGATGAGGCCGTTGGAAGAGGCATTAAGACCTTGACTAGACGAACGAGATATGCCGGAGATGGGCACAATAGGAGCCCATGCAGCCCGGCGTAATGAGGACGACAGCATTTTTCCGACGTCGAGAGGGCCCAGCGACTGGGTTGACGAAGATGTCGGGAATAAAGCCGGAGAGAGTCGTCTGAGGCGAAATCGAAGTCGAGCCGATCAGGCGGAAGCCCGATTGGGTTTAGTCTGTGTGGCGCCTCAGGCAACACGGAGCGTCCGATCAGGTGATTCCGTCAGCCCGAGGCTGGGTCACATGTTTCCTTGCGGTTTGACGAAGACAGATGTATAACTACCCAGGTATACTGTAGTTAGTTACATGCTGCTTTACCATTCCATCTTTACTGGTCAATTGCCTTGTTCGGTATGAACTAGATTAACTATGTACTGCTCGTAATCCCAAGACTTTGTACAAGCATAGACCACCAAAGATTCAAAACTGTACTCCAAGTGATGCGGCAAACTCTCCAATGGATACAATGAGGGCTCGTCAATGGTTAGCAGCCATGGGCCTACTAGCTAGGAGCCAAAAACTCCAGAGGTGTTTATGTCAAACACCTACCGGGTCACGTATCTGCCAACACAAACTTAGGGGTAAAGCCTTGGGGGTTCTCCCTGCATCAAACCCAAGAGCGAAGACAGCCCTTGGAAATTGACACATTTGCAGCTCAAGACAAATGGGAGAACGTATAAGAATAATACAGAAAGAAATTCCATGGGATGAACATTGGGGTAAAACAGAATGGAGTCGTCAGATACACAATAAAGAGATAAAGATGGTATCAATCTGGACTATATATGAAAAGACCCATCGCTGAACCGAATGAAAAAAGAAAGAAAGGAGAGAAGAAAAGAAAGATTACCAGGCATTATTGGCTTTTAATGCAATCAAACATGGCAAGGCAAAATCCAACCAAGAACGCCTTCCCAAGGCGTCGGGGACAACGAAGAGAAGAATATATAAAGGGTAATGGAAGAATACCTGGAGGCCCAAGTGTTGAGAATGGAAAGGAGAGAAAGAAAAAAGAGAGAGAGAAGAAATCGCTCAGTAAGTGCAACACGAAGTGATAGGTGGAAGGGTAATTTTTTGCATCTCATGCTCGCGGAAAACGTCGTTAAGCCAACCAATCCTAGTTGGGCAGTCTATAAGATGAGAGTGTGAAGGTTCTTCTGGATGATCATGTCCTGCACCGAGTCCATGGTGGCCTTCAGCAACGTCGTATCGGTAGCATTGGTGTAGTGGATGTAGATTTCTCGATCGGGGATTCGGTTGATTCCGCGGAATCTGTCGGCGAAATATCTGGCAGCAGCGTCGAAGTCGTTATTCGAGCCGTTGAAATCCGGGAAATGTTTGGAAACAGGGGAGATGTCGAGTTTCCCCTTGAAGAGATCGATCTTGTTCAAGAACAAGATAATGGGTTTTCGCTTGAACCATTCGCCGTTTACTAGCGACTCGAAGAGCATCATTGCCTCGTGCATTTGGTTCTAAGAGAGCACATTAGTCAGTCCCGCTTCCAACTGAATCGCCCCAAAAGGCGAGGCGAGGTATTTCTGGGCACTTACCGCATTCTGGTCTTCAACTAAACACTGGTCGTATCCTGATAAAGCGACCATGAAAAGAAGACATTGAACACCCTCAAAACAGTGAATCCACTTCTTCCGTTCGGACCGTTGTCCACCAACATCCATCATACGGAAATTCATTTGACCCAATTCAAACAACGTTTCTGTGATTCCGGTGGTCCGGAGACGGGCTTGCAGCATATCTTGATTGTCGGGCAGCCACACATTTGCAAATATCCGATCAAGCGAGTTGAAGAAACTTGGCATTGGTTAGCATGTACAGATCCCAGTGGGAATTGACATGCACTCACTAGTGAAGGTTGTCGTGAAGGGCAAACTCGTGCCCACGGGCAACGGCTTTTTGGACGCCATCGTCGTCCCACATATCTCTCATCGCGTCGCGAACCTTGAGGTCTGAGAAAGCCTCATCGGAGCCTACATCTGGCTCTAGGTTGTCGATAAGATCGGCCAAAGGCTAGGTAAATTACGAGTCAGCAAAACAACGTCGGGGAAATGAAGAAGCGCTAGAATATGCATACTTTCGTGCCATCATGTTGAAACTCGATGCTCTCTGCGCGCATAATCTCCAGCAAAACCTTGAACGCAATGACAATGTTTGAATAGATCACTGCGCGCGTCTGGCGACGCTCATCCTCGGGAAAGCCTCCCGAGTGAATGATGCGCATTTGCTTTATGATAGTCGACTTTCCCGACTCACCAGCACCTGCAGAGGGAAGTCGTCAGTAAAGATCAAAAGAGTCAAAATAAAATTCTAACTTCTCCGCCATCTCCGGGTATTTAGAGATCAGAATAACCCCACGTATCCCAAAATCTCATGCGAAATCCCACATACCGAGGAGAAGTATCTTGATCGTCCTATCCATTACTTTCTTATCGTTCTTCAAGACCTTGTCTATTCTGGCATTTTGCTGGAGGGCATCCTTGTCGTCCGCGTTGACTGGTTTCGAGCTCATGCAACCCATGTTGTGCAGGAAGGATCGCAAATGTCACTGTTACAATCGAGAGTATGAGAAGTGTCAGCAAAACCCGTTGGAAAGGCGGCAGCTGCCCGGAAAAATAACATCAATGCATAATGCGTCTGAATCAAGAGTTTAATGCGCCGAGTGGTTGCCGACCTGAATCAGGGATGCGTTCACCCGGTGGCAGGTGACCACTCGCGAGGCGTTTTCGCGAAACAAGAGTCGACCTCGAACTCCAAATACGAGATTCAGGGATTCTTTGTTCTCGGGGAAAAGACTGACCGATTATAATAAAAATACAAAATAATTCGGGTGTTCAGATTAATTCAAGTTTCCGACGGCGCAGAGTCGTATGTCGCAAGTTCTCGACGGATGAAACAAGAGCATTCAGACTTCCCGGAATCCAGACCACGAATTCAAACACCGTTCGGCGGATGCGATTCTTCACGATCGTCGAGACTTCTCCACCTTCAGGTTCCCGTGCGAACCAGAAAAACGTCCGTAGCCAGTTAGAGGGTACGGACCCTGTCGCTGTAAGCCGGTGTTGGTGGTATCGAATCAAATGCCAGGGCCGAGAGCTGGAACAAAGGAGGAATTCGCGGAGAGCTATTTAGTCGGGGCTGGGCGGCGGTGCGGAGATCGAAGTCTAGAAAATTCGGGGGATCGGGCGACTTCAAGCAGGAACGTCGAGCGATTCGTCGGGCGTGCGTGCAGGGATCTCGAGAACGAGAGAAGAGAAGAGAAAAGAGAAAAGAAAGAAGGGGAAAAAAGAAAGGAGAGCGAAAGTGAGCCTCTTCACGAAAGGTGGGTATTTGCCGCTCCCAGAGCGGACTCGGAGCGCGATAAGCGGGTCGACGGGTGGTGCGATGGGAAGCAGGTTGATGAAAACCCCCGGAGACGATGGAGAGAACGAGAGCGAGGGAATAAGAGGGGGGAAATGATCCGGAGTCAGTATGAAAGGACCTGGTACAGCCTGTCGTTCCACAACAGGCAAAGACACGCGGGATGGGAGCCACGAGCGGGGAGGGGAGGGGAGGGGGGGGAAGAAAGCGAGGGTGAGGAGCGAAGGGAAGGGAAGCAGCAGTAGGAGCAGAGGTGCCGTAGTGTCTATAAGCAACAATGCAATCCGGGTGGTTATAATCAATCAAGGCCGATCGGAGAGAGAGGGGGCCATTGTCAGCGACTAGCTGGGATTGGAGGTAGTCATCCTGCAGTGGACTTTTAGTCCGGCATGGAAGGACAGTCGAGAGGGAAGAATCCCGCCGAACCTAGTTCCGTTAGTGGACGGCCTAGTGTCACGTAGTCCGTGGCTAGAGGCATCTCCAGAGTGACCTCCCGTTTCGGGCGCCCTCTGCCCATGTGAGTGGTGAGGGAAGCGCCCGTCGATCCACCGCGGAGATCCATTCAGGATTCTTCGTTCCTTCTTGTCCTGCGCCATTCGCCCCAGCCGATTGGCGAAGCATATAAGGTACGATGTACCCGTACAGGTACTCCTCCAGGCAGGACTGTCCTCCGGAGTATGGTGGCCCTGGAGGTCTACGCTGTACCCTGCACGTAAGCTGACGGCGTCAACGAAGGGTGGGAGAAAAAGTAAAACGCAAATAAACATTAACTAAAATAAAATCAAAGAAGATCAAAGACAACACTCCCTCCATTCCATCCATGCGGAGCGAGTCCACACCCTGGGAGGCTGCCCGCGTACGTGCATACACCCAAGGATACCGTATGGAAGGTATTCCGTATTATAAATAAATCATAAATCATAAATCATAAATCCTCCATTAAATAATAAATACCTAATTAAAAAGTACCATTCTGCCTGGCCGGGTACTCGTATGGATGTACAACGTGACTTCCTGCTGACCCGGCATGGGTTCTATCCCTGGCCCCCAATTTGATGCCCATGACTCTATTGCGCAGTAAGAGATTACCCCATATCGTCTAATTTGGGACACGAACCTTCTCCCGCATGCCGTACTCCGTAAGATCAGACATAGGAATGCTGATATCTGATCCGAGGTCCGTCTCGCCCTCTGTTTTCGTCGCTCGTGCACATTTCCATTCCTACCTACTACCTCAGCTTACTCGGTGGGCGAACGTAGGACCGTACCGTCTGCCAACCGCCGAACACGACGGGTCCTGAAAGTCAAGTGCCCACCTCCCCCTTCCTGCCAAGCACTGCAACCGAACAACGCCACGAGGCACGCATTCGACGCATTGGCATGCACGGATCGACGGGCATTTATTTGCTTGGAGCAATTGTTGGTCTGGCGTTTTCTCGGAGCACTCGACGGAATCTGAATGGTGCCAAACCCTACTGCCCAAACCCGCAAATAATCGGGCTTTATCTCCGTCCCTAGTCGGATACATCATCTCTGAGCTTGTTTATTCGAAAAAAAATGGAATTCCCTTTGCTTTTTTTTCTGGCTTTTGATTCGATATGCCGAGGTGCCGAAGGATGAGGCCTCAGCAGAGCTCTACCAATCAGTGCCCCGGACTTCTGGTCCATTGAAAAATAAGCCCTGCCTCAGGAGTAGCAACCTCGCTTCGCGGTTACCATTTGAATCTTTTTTTATAATAATCATAATAGTACGGGGGTAATAAGTAGGGTGACAATAATAATCATTCTTATTATAATTTCGGGGCACTGCGTCACCAACAGACAGCCGCGCTCGCTTACCTCCATTAATTGGAGGCATTAAGGAGGTCGTGCGACGTAAAATTGCCATGCGCGTAGCCGGGGCTCCCGTCAAGCTTTTGTAATTATTAATTAATCAATACACGCCCTTCTGTATAGGTGGATATGACTAGTCATTAGAACCTGGTGGGCGGAGGATCGTAATCAAAACCGTTAACAGGGTTCTTCTTGAATCATGCATCGAGTCCCCATCAGAACGCGGCCTGGGCTTTAGTCTACCAGAATTGATGCGCGTTCGGTTCCCCGAGGGAACCAAACCACCCTGTAGGTAGGACGCTGTGTCAGCCCCGTACTTCTTCAAACGCATGGGTGACCACGACCGAGACCAGGCGCTGTGTGCTTGGGCCTTCCGTATAACTCATGGCGTCGCGTTTCCCTGCATCCGCGGAACTCTAACGCGATGTCGGTGGCATCTATCATATCGCCCTCCGGGATGTCTGTGTCACTGTCTCGCACAGGTAAACAATGAGGAAGGGCATTATGTATTAAGGATGGAAAAAAGAATGGAACCTAACCTTCATCCTCGGAGAGTAAAGTGGGCCCGCTCCAGTTCGGATTCCACACTTCCGGTTTCATCTTTGCAACGAACCAAACGCCGTCGCGGCACTAAGGCAGGGGCAGCCCATTCCAGCCCGTCAAAGGTCGTCATATGGGATCCATCCCGTTACTAACTGTCTGTTTCCTGTACGGACGGATCCTGGGAAACAATCGAAATTTGGGATACATGCCTGCGATACACAAATACACTGTCCGAGTATCCACAATGCCTACGGAGTACCTACATCCCTGTCCGATAGATCATATGCCAACCTGTGCTATTGCATAAGTGAATGGTCTACAAAATTAGAAGTTCCAATAATGAGGAGTGCAACAATTATTGACTAGGTTAATGCTCCGTAGCTTCTACGGTGGTGTCGATCAGTTGCAAGGCTAATCAGGTATGGGAGTCCAACATAACAACGGAAATGACATGTCTGTGCGTGGGATTCGCAATGCGAGTTGGTCTTCTTCGGTATAGAGGATAAAATGTCAGAGGTGGTAGATATTTTGGGATGCCAGCTGGGCGGGCTCTGGGATGAGCAAGGGGGTCGAGGAGCGAGGCTGTCAAGTATGGGTGGCTGATTGTTGGCTGCACAGAGTGGGATTATGAAACATGGTACTTCGTACAACAGAGGCTCGACAGTAGTGAGGAAGGCCATCCCGGATGTCAGTTGTGGTAAACTGACAGCAAGGAAAAGAAAAAAAGAAAAAAGAAAGGCGTGAGCCCGACCGGATTTGAACCGATAACCTTACGATCTGGAGTCGCACGCGCTACCGTTGCGCCACAGGCCCAATTGTTGAAAAATTGACGTCTAGTTTGGTTCCACGAGTGGAGTAGCAATTTCCATCTCTCGGGAGTTCTGCTTTGCCTGTACTGGCCCGGCTTCACGTATTTTCTCACTTTAAGGATAAATTTTTCTTTTCCAGGGATAGATCTACCACTAACTAATATACAACATAGACTATCTTGTCTAATTTGTCGGAATTGATCTGCTCCATGTGGGAGTATATTTTTTGTCCATCTCGTAGTGAGGGATAGTTTACATTCCTTGCTAATCGAATTCACCCACTTCTTTCTTCAACCGGATCACTACCCGGTTGATTTGGGAGGTATTGTCCTGATCTTCACTGTTGGGCCTCCGTCGATTGCAGCCTCTGACCTTTGACACCCTTCAATCCCCCACATCCTGCAGACTTCTGCTGGGAGACGATCAATTGAAGGTGGTTTGCCGCAGTGATAACTACATGTTGTCTTCCTAGTCAAGCCAAGGTTCTCTGAACCCGGGTGAATTCCTGGTGGTATTTGACATGATACTACGGTTCTCCGACAGCTTACATAGACCTTAGCTATCTATACCTTCTCTATGTGCTAACTAGACTGACAGAATCCTCCTGGCCCAGCCCATTTACCGTGACATCTTAAGTGGGTCCTTGGTCTATCTCGAATTCAACATCCCTTCGACCCGTGTAATACTGCACAGTGACTTCGAATCGGGGTGATCTGTAATTCAAGCTGTGCTTTTCTATGATTCAAGGTGGGTGTATGGACAGCCTCGGTCGCTATCTGGGTGGGGGGCATTGATTGTCGTATGGTTACTCGACTACACAACCGATATATTTAATCAACACCAATGCAGCGGATGCACACAATACGTTGCAGAGCAGACAAAAAGCCAACAACCGAAGAAAGCAGCCCTAGTACCGACGCATAGAGGTATCTAAAATATACCACGCAGGGTGTAGGTTACACCAACACACCAAGGCATACTTTACACGCCATACAATAATACAGTCGATTATAAAGATTGTCGAAAACATACCAGTGGAAGCCTATAATGGTAGCCTTGCTTTATGTATCATAAAATGTGGCGGAAAATCATCCAATGGGCCTGTGGCGCAACGGTAGCGCGTGCGACTCCAGATCGTAAGGTTATCGGTTCAAATCCGGTCGGGCTCACGCCTTTCTTTTTTGCCTTTTCTCTCAACGTATTTCCCAACCGAGTGGCCACCCTCGACTGAGCGGCCAGCTGTGTGCCACCGGCGCCTGCGAGACCCAGAGGGGTCTCGGGCGGGTGAGTTGCTGCCAACTGTGTATGGCACTCTATATGGCGGGCTGGGTACTGGAACTCCTACGCAGTTCCATGTCGCTCTTTTTTGGCCGTGTGGGAGGATGCCGAGCACCCAGGCGCCCTTCTACACTGTGTATCCCATACTATAATCGGCCTCTTAACACTAAGATACCTACACAACTAAAGCCCCATAGAACTTGAGATATAGTTCATAAATGATAGATGTCTACATAAGTATTACATTAGAACGTTAGTTTCATATCTTAGCTCTATCTACCGAGTAATATAAATTACTGCTTGTCATGCCTCCAGCTGGGCTGAACGCGATGAATTCATCGATGAGCTGACTAGTTGATGATGATTATTATTAGGTCGATGGTGTTGAACCATCGAGCAGAAAACAACTGCCAGAAGGCGGCGTAAGACGGCAGAATCGCTCGTCGACGGTAACACTGCTGTATTATCTGTAATTTTAAACAATCTATAATTATAAATCTATAAAAAACATTAAAATCTGAAAAAGCTTACTATAAGTAAACGAAAGACATATTTAAATAAATTTAAATTTATAGTTTGTTCAGTCTCTACAGTATGTAGATATTAAGATATCAAAATGTGAGAAGTAATATGGGATACACAGCTGGCCGCTCGGTCGAGGGTGGCCACTCAGTTGAGAAATACGTTACTTTTCGGGGCCAGCAATTCACTGCTTGAATTACCAAATATCCGGCGGCAAACTTCAACAATTGGGCCTGTGGCGCAACGGTAGCGCGTGCGACTCCAGATCGTAAGGTTATCGGTTCAAATCCGGTCGGGCTCACACCCTTCTTTTTTTCTTTTTCTATGGTCCATACCGACCCCTGCAACCAAGCTCGTCATGCCCAGGTTGTTGTTGAGTGACAATCGGGCTCCCGCTCCATGTCGCAATTAGGCACACCCCATTTGCCGCTACAAAGAAACAGTGGACGCTCTTGTTCAGAATCAATGCGCAATCCTGCAGTCTAGCAGCCCGTTCATGACTATAATTAACTTGCATTGAGCACAGTATAATTAAAAGAGCCCAGCGCAAAGCATATCGGCTGATGGCAACCGAACTCTCCCTGGCAAACTCAATTCGGACAAGGCCTTTACGGAATACTTGTCACCTCCCCCATCCATCGCACTATCGGGGTGTTTGATAACCCTGAATCATTGATCAACCTCGGACTTGATTGCTGGGACCAAATATTCAGTTCAGTCAATTATAGCTTACTTTCAGCTTCCCCGAGTTCCATATTTGACGGCGCGATACTCGAAATTGAATAGGTTGCTACCTAGGGCTGATTTACGGCACTGCTGCTTGATCCATGCTTGCATCAGTTTCCATGTATGCAGCGACTGAAGAATAAGTCGACGGAGGTTTCCCGGGCCTGCACAGGCTTACAGAAGGCATCCATAGCCACGTGCTTTTCTCATTTTACTTCCTCCTCTTTTTACTCTGAGCCCGTCTTGTCAGTTCCAGGGTACTGTACGGTTGATCATTAGCTTGTTTCACCAAGAGTAAACAAAATCCACTCTGTCTCCACACATGTACACAACAGGCGCGGCCGGAGTACCTATGGTAACTTCAAATTCGGCATTACACAGCAGGTATTTGTAACAAGGCGAAATATCGCTGTCATCTGTCGTACTAACAATGCCTTGCATGTCGGAGAAATCAGATTGCTGAGCATAGACCAATAATGGAGTCTGCAGGACGTGATGCATCTAATCCGGTGCTTAGTTTGTTTACCCCAATGTTGCAGCCCCTCTCGCGGCCGATGCCTCACTATTACTACGGATTATTGATAGCTCCAGAGCTCCTGCACTCGAATGACTCGGACCCCGGAGCTCCCAGTCCCCACGGATCGAATGAGTGCTCCGTCATTGGGGGACAAAAACTAGTCATCCTGGCCTGAATCCTCGGCCGTTGGTACCCGGTTGGCGGGATCACGGATTAACCCCTTTAAACCCGAGCGACCTGCTTCCCCTGACCGTGGGCATCATGCAATGGTCACTCGCCAGGCATTCGACTTGTTGAGTGTTGAGAGTGGACTCGATACGGAGTAGGAAAGAGCACCACTTGTGGCTCTGGGATGTTTATCATGATCAGCACCTGATATTCATTGCCTTGAGGTGTCATGCTGAATGATCGACATACGGCTCATTCCGGATCCCGGTCATGCCGAACCATGATTGCTATTTTTGTTTTGTTCAGCCTGCCATGCGACCCCTGGTGCAGCTAGGGGTGTGGGCGAGAGAGGCTATTGGCACCGACGACCCGGCCAAGGTGCGTTTTCTGCATCAGCTGTTGCCGAATCATGGGGCCTGCGTATGTCAACATCGCAGGAGTCCTGCCGAATATCTAGCGAGAGATCTCCGCTTTCGTAGCCTGTTAGAGTAGGTGTTCCGAGAAGCACTGCAGACGTGAAATCAGGATGTGCTATTGTTTACTAAAAGGTGCACTCGGAACGATAACTGGTTGAATTGATTGGTACGCAGTATTTGGGCTGTGATGAGTATGATGTCACGACTTGCTTTTCCCGATCGATGCCGTGCAACATGGCTAAAGATGACTAGTCTTCGATAGTCGTACAGAAATAGACGGATATGACCGGATATTTATAAATGTACGGAGTAGGCGATACTGACTGTGGCTAACACGGTTCTTTAGATAGGTTTTACACTTCTCGTAGAATGCAGAGTATAGCCCTGAATGCTTGTTGGCATGCCCTACAAGCATACCCGAATATCCGTTTCAGGAGCGAATGTGCTCTAGTGTTGTACTCACCGAAAATGATAAGGTGTGGCTAGCTACAAAACTTTCTGGCTAGTTCCAAAATTGATTTATTGGCGGCCATCGCATTGGATCGAATTGCTGGCCTGAAGTCATTGTCTGAAGTCCTTAAAACAAGCAAGGCCGTGCTATTAGAAACTGCCTGGCATGTGATAAAACCAATATCAGCGAGAGCAGACAAATCTACATAAATTGACATGTAATCGGGCTATGTTCGACTAATGCATGTTGATAGAAGAGCTCTACATGCTGCGCTTATAGATCTATGGACCTAGATGAGACATATGCACTGCCACTTGGTGTCTCCAAAGCAAGTCACTCACCAGATGTTACCAAAGTTTCACTGAATTTAGACTTTGGAATCGACTTATTGTGATCTTTCCAAAATAACGCCTAAGTCCTGGACCCGTCGCAGTCGACAGTCTATATCATTAGTCAAGAGAGAACGTATCTCATGTTGTGCCGTATGGAAGATCTCTTCTATCTTCCAAGCAGGTTACAAATTCATCGAGGTGAAGTTCTGTCATGATGTTAGAACTCTGAATAGAATGCATTTCTTGGCCAAAAAAAAAAAAAAAATAACAGGTCCCCATATGCCGCCTCTGTCTCGGTAGTTCGGTAGCACAGCAGGGAGCTAGCCGACCATTGTTGTTGCAACCACTTAGGATCTGAGACCTACAGGTGCATTCAATAATGACATGAACCTTGTACTACATTGAAAAACTTGTATACTGACTACCTTGTTCTCTGGCAGGTCAATGCCGAGCAGAGTGTTGTCGGCCGGCTGAATGAGACGTATGTCATAGCTTTGCCAAAACCTATCTTTCTCTTCTGCATGAGAAGATAATCCAACTCTCAGTTGCTAGCTGCTAGGGGCCACATGAACCTTGATTTTGACCAATGTTAGTTTTCAGATCCTGTGTTGGCTTTCATCGCACAGCGGTCCATTAGAGCATGGGGGCGTTCTCCCATATAATGGTAGGGGTTTATGGATGATCTTGGCACCGCTGAGAAATAAGGGATGTTTAAAGAACAGCCACAAGGTCTTCTGTATGCATCATAGATGAATACGTTCCGTGAAACAAATTCTCCTCCTACCCTCTTCTCTGAAAGCCTGATGCTGTCGTACGAATAGACCATGCCACAGAGCTAGTCTAATCCCACCATTCCGTGTAGAGTAATCAATAGGGAATAGGTGGAGAGGGTGCCCGAGGCCTCGCAGCGAGCATAAAGAAATCCGGATAGAAAAAGCGAAAAGGGCTGCATCTGGTTAGAGCCCAGCGGAATCCTGCCTCTTGATTTGAGTTGGCAGTTTTAACACCAACTTTAATTTATGAAGATGGGCCTGCAGAAAACCAATCATAGGGGCGGTTGGTCAGTGAAGAAGGCGTTGTGCCGTGAATCACGCCCTCCAAGGAACACGAACCTTGGGAATGATCGCAACAATCAGCTGCTAACATCAGACCAGGCCAGAATGACTGCCCGTGACCGCAGAATCGAGGCTCAGGCACCGCTAGGCCTAGAACGTCCAATTGGCGCCTCGGATTTAGCGCCTGTCTAACGCTTCCATGTTTACCCCGGGCTTATATAAGCTTTCTCACCCCTTCGTCAGCCATGTCATGTCATCTAGATATCACCATCACCGCTCGACATGAACCATGAGCTCTGACAAACCGTCTCCCTTTAAAGGGCTTGGTATGAAGCGGGCCACCATGTTGCACCCTTTCGCCATCCTCTCCTTCCTTTCGGTCTCCTACTATCTCTGGACCAGTTTGCCCGGTATGGCTTCACTGCTTCCCTCCGCGGCCCTGTTCACCCACTCCCATCCACTAACCCACGGTCGCATGCATGTAGCGGAAACCCCGTCCGAGAACATTCCCCCCCTCCCGGTGGCAGCTTCGGTCTGCGAAACGCCTGAATGCGTGCACGCCGCCTCTGAGATCCTCTACAATCTGGACCCCAACTACGCGGAAATCGACCCCTGCACAAACTTTGATCAATATGTCTGTGGGGGCTGGCGCGAACGGCATGACATGCGTCCGGACCAAGGGGCCATCTTCGCTGGGACATATATGAGCGAAGAGGCCCAGTCGAAGCTGCGTCATATCCTCGAGTCCCCTAAAGCATCGGACCCCGCCGATTCTAAGAACTTCGACAAATTGAAGGCGGCCTATGCGGCATGCACGGATGAGACGACCGTCAACAAACGTGGCACCAAACCCCTGCAGGACCTGTTATCAGGATTGGACAACGTCTATTCCCTGGCGTCAACTTCCAAAGGCTCTGATGTAAACATAACAGATGCGTTCCTGTATCTCATCGGATCTGGTGTGGAAGCTTTGGTGTCACCGCTTGTTATGGTGATTTCTTCTATCCTCGCTTCAAGGACCCAAGCGCTAATGATCTCTAGCCCGACGACCGTGATCCGGACTCGATCGCTATATTTGTCCACCCGCTTCTCGAGATCGGACTTCCTGCCAGAGAGTACTATAACAACACCAAGCTTGTGGCCGAGTACACTGAAGTGGTAGAGAAGGTCCTGCCTGATTTTGTGAGCGACGAGTTGGCCAATGGTCTGAGTGATGTCGTGGCGTTCGAGAAAAAGTTGGCCGACGCTACACCGGACACGGCATCTCAGGAGGATGTGACGAAATACTACAACCCATTAAGCATCAAGGACACCCAGTCTCTTCTGCCGCAGATCTCCTTCTCGGATATCATCTCAGCCCTGGCACCTCCAGACTTCAAGACTGACCGTTTGATCGTGGGATCTCCCCCCTACATGAAGTCGTTGTCGAAGACCCTAAGCGATACGCCTCGGGAGACGGTTCAGCTTTTCTTCAGATGGAAGATTATTCAGGCATATGCAGACGACATTGAAGACCCAAAGATCAAGCCTCTGCGAGAGCTAAATAACAAGCTTGCTGGCAGGAACCCCCAGGCCACCCGTGATCGATGGCGCAAGTGCATTGAGGTTTTGGATGAAGACCTGGGTTGGATACTGAGCCGATTTTACGTCCTCAACGCCTTCTCGGAGGAGTCGAAGAAACTCGGAGATCAGATTGTGTCCGACATCAAAGAGCGTTTCACTTTCACGCTGCACCAGACACAGTGGATGTCTCCCGAGGTGAGAAAATTGGGCATTCAGAAAGTGGGCAACATTGTCCAGAAGATTGGCTATCCGACCAAAAGCCCCAATGTCATGGACCCGGCGGATGTGGAGAAGTTTTATGCGGACCTCAAGATCTCCAACGAAACTCTGTTCGAAAACTCTTTGGCCGTGGCGAAGTTTGATCTTCACCAGCAATGGTCCAAACTGGGAAAGCCGACGGATCGCAATGAATGGGGCATGACAGCACCGACAGTCAATGCGTACTACAACCCCCCTGGAAATGAAATTGTTTTCCCGGCCGGAATCATGCAGCCACCGGCCTTCTATGGCCCCGCAGCTCCTCTATACCTGGCATATGGAGCGTTCGGGGCGGTCAGTGGGCATGAACTCTCTCATGGTAAGCCGTTTTTCTTTGGACGACCTGGTCGACTTGGGTAAGAAACCTTTGCTGACATGGTTTCGTAGCGTTTGACTCGGGTGGCCGACACTACGACGAGAATGGCAACTATACGGACTGGTGGGATGATAAGACGGTGGAAGGGTTTGAGAAACGGGCTCAATGCTTTGTCGACCAATATGCCAACTTTACCGTTCCCGGGGAGAATTCGGAACCTCTCCATGTCAACGGACGCCTGACCCTTGGGGAGAACATTGCCGACGCCGGGGGTCTCTCCGCATCCTTCCACTCGTGGAAGAAGCGAGACGAGAAATCCCCCGATCCTAACCTGCCCGGGCTGTCCAAGTTCAGTAAGGAGCAATTGTTTTTCATCTCCTATGCCAACTGGTGGTGTAGCAAGACTACATTGGAGGCTGCGCGGGAAGCCATCTACAACGATCCGCATGCCCCCAAACCAGCACGCATTATTGTGAGTGTCTCCATCCTGATCCTAGGGTGATAACAGCCCACAATGCTAACGACATTTTGGTAGGGGACGATGGCCAACTCTCTAGAGTTTAAGGAAGCGTTCAAGTGCAAAGATAAGGAGCCTGTGTGCAAGCTCTGGTAGCGGGCCACGAGGCAGCCGACTAATTTCTACGACTACCATAATTTCACGGCGTTGACATGCTGGAGGAGCATTGCGTTTTCACGATTGTTAATGTACCTCTATGAGGAGTTAACTGGGGCTCTGTTTCCACTTGAGACCATTTAAACCAATGGATACTCTAGATTTCCTTCCTTGCCTATCTGAGGTGTAGATATTGTATTGAAGGGGCATCGATTTTTGGGTAGGATGGGTAGTACGGAGTATCCCCGAATAAATCATGTTATCAGCCCAACGGTGAGCGGTCTCCTCCGGCGGATTGGACGAGTCGAGAGACAGCCGGTGCATTATTGATCTATAACATTCTCGTGGTCCCCTGCTTGGGGAGGGCAGCCAATGGCGACGGGGTTTCTGCACGGGACGGAAGATCGGAATGCTGCCGCGATGCCAGGAATGTTGCCCAACGGATTTTTTTTATTTTGTTTGATTTTTTCATTTTTGCTGGGTCGCAGAGTCATGGGCCGACAGGATGGAGAACACTACGACGGAGTCCGCAGTTACTACCAAGTCAACGAGAGAAACTACGCAGTACGTACGATGCGGAATGTAGCGGGAAGCCCTAATTTCAGCGGATGGAGACGCGGTCGTTAGCAGTCCATCGTCCATTATCCACTCCAGTAGCCTCGCCATATCACAGCGATCGGCCTTGGAGAAAGCGACCCGCCACAACGGTCGCTGGCCAACGACGAGCCGCGGCCCCTGGAAAGGATCAGCCCCCAGGATTGCCCATATTGGACAAGACGAGTGTCATGGTTCATGGCAATGAGGAAATCCTGAGGGTTTATCCTTTGTCTCCCTGAATCCTGGCAGTTAACGGTTCTTGAGTTGTGCCAATCATCGGGCCCCTTTTGGCACTGGTGTTTTCCCGCCTCTCCTTTTTTCCTTCTTCTTTTCTTTGTGTCTGTTGTTTTTTGCAATTTTTTACCCCCTTGGACTCTGGTCCGGTGGGTGGCTGCCGTTGTCTTTGTCCTCCCCCTTTCCGGGACTCCCTCGGTCTCAGAGTGGGAAATCATGATGTTATGAATCTGAACCAACGGTTAAAGGGGAGAGAACGCAGGCCGATCAGTTGATGTATCCTTATTTCTAACTTCCCAATTTTGAAGCCGATCCACTTTTTTTTTTTTTTTTTTTTTCCCTTTTCCCCTTCTCCAGTCGCAACCTTCTCTGTTTTGATTTCCCAGGAAGTCGACTCCGTAGCAGGACTTAGGGACCCTCCGAACGGGGAAAAAATCCAGTTCCCGTTAATAATGGAATGGAGATCCCTCATTCTTCAAGGCGGGCTGAGGGTCGACAGTTGAGATACGGTGTGCCAGCTGCAGCGCCTGCAGCTCGGATGTGGTCCTCAGCAGCCCTTCCCACTTCCCCGAGCTGTACAGCGTAAGATCTAGTGGACGCAAGCTGGTCGATCGGGTCGATGCCTAGACTGAATAGTTGAATCCTCCATCCTTCTTGCGTCGTCATGCCGAATGCAGTAAGCATGCGGCGTATTCGCATCGCTGCACCGCCAGACTCAGCGTCACGACGGATTTATTAATAGCAGACCTCCCGACCTCAGGGCTGAGATCTGAGTCTTGCCCTGAGGATAGGGGGGTCCCAGGTCACAATAAAGGGGGGGCCCTTTTTTGTTTTTCGTAGATTGGGACCATATGAGGATGGATCTCAGCGACGGAGTCCGTCCATACCGGGTCGACGACCTAGGGAGAGAGCTAGACTCGATACTCGATGCTAATAATATGGCCTGATTGCCGCCAAAGGGAAGATGCATCGTTCCCCCTCACACTAGCGTCGTGCTGAACGGAGGAGGTCCACGATCTGGAGCTGTAGATCTGAGTTTTTTTTCTTTTTTTTTTCCTTCTTTTTTTTATCAGACTTTTTTCAGCTGACCGACACTCTGCATCTGGGGCGGAAGGATCTCCGAGTGAATGATAGAGTCAGATATGATATACGTCCCGAGGATAGACAATTTATGCGTGTCAAAAGTGTCAAAGTCGCGCGGCCTCTCTTTGTTTCCTGCGTTTGGGTGGTTCCGCCGGGCTGGAACCGCTTGCCTGTCGGGCTCCACGTCCAGCTCTCGTCCTTTTTGCCCTTTTTCTCCCTCGAATTATTATTAGCCCGGCGCTGCTGGAGGTAATCTCCTGCTAAAAACTAAAACTAAACTAATTTCTTTAGCAGCCACTTGACCTGCGCGTCTCACTCGCTACTCTTTTCGTTCTCTCCACCACGCGAGGCCTCCACTCGCCCTGTTGTTGTGATTCTTTGATTCTTATTTAGCATTCGGAGCTCGTCTGTTGGGTCCGGTTTATTGCCATTGTTGTCATCGCTCCGTATTATTATTATTATTATTATTATTATCGTTCATCGTCATTGATCGCCGTTGGTCCCCCTTCTCGCTTCGTCGGGACGTTTCATTCTATCCCCAAGATCCAAACGCTAATCTTGGCCACTATTCTTTCGCTGCCCCATTGATCTATTCTCCTGGTGTTATTTCCCGATCTCCCAAGGCCTCGCCATTCCCTTACGATTATCCGTCTCATGCCGGATCTTCGTCGCTCTAACGCTTCCTAACCTTCCTCGCGCCGGGTCTGGTCATGTCGTGTCGCAAGCACGGACTGCGATCCCAGCCTGGGCTGCCCCTGCATCCCTCTTCCTCTTAATCTTCTCCTCGGTATTCGGGTGAAGGAGAAGGGCTTTTTGATTGCCCACAGACGACTTCTTTGGTTTCTCCGCGTCGCGTGTGGGGGGAAAAAAGAAGGCCAAAAAACAAACCATCATACTAGAGAAAAAAAAGGGAGGCTTTGTGTTATCTTTGTTTGCCAATCGATCTGGCGCCATGGAATCGTCCTCGACCGTCAGCGACTTTCCCAGGACGCCAACCCAGGTGCAACCTGGATTTGAACGACACTCCAACGCGAATGTCCCGAATCCCACCGAGATCCAGTATGCGACGTCGCATCTGCGTCGCGCGCACACGGTAGCACAAGGGAGGAACATGGGTGACAAGACCAGCATGGGTTTGAGATCGGCGAAGGAACGAGTGGCCACTTCGTTCCTCCGGGTCAAGGACAGCCATGAATTACTACGGAAGCGCTCATCGAAGCGCCTCGATGCTTTTCCTCCCCCGCGTGATACGCTTGCCGGAGCCCGGGAACCAAACCATTTCACGGTGGGCAATGTTGGGCAGAACGGCAAGATATTTCTCAGGTAGGATCAGCTCTCCCTTTTTGGCCTCTATTGGATTCTAGTGGAGGGGGGAACGTGGGTATCACAGCTTGTGAACAAGGAAGAAAAATAAAAAATACAAAATAGAAAATAGGCTAACCGGCCCTATCACATCACAGACCGATTCGAAATCCGTCGCGCCAGGAATCTTGTCCTCCACCTTTTGTTCAGACCAACCAATCCGGAGAGGAACACCTTCACCCATACGCACACCGCAGCCATGCTGAGAACGATTCTTCGCGATGGTCGAATTCCCAACTGTCCGAGTTACGCCCAGAGCTTATACCGGAAGAAAGTTGCGAGGACGGCGAATCGGTCAACACGGAGTCGTCGCGCTCGGGATACCCTCAGTCGCGGCCTCGGCCCCGTCAGAGAGCACACTCCTTCTCGACTATTTCAGAACAGCGGTCCGCCTCGCGGATTGGCCAACACGGGGAATTTCGTCTATTCATTGATCGGTCAGATGACCGGCCCAAGTCTGCAGATGGATCGTTACGCCCGACTCTAGAGACCCCGATCCCACGCTACCGGCTGGATACGCCACGGCTGAATGTTGGGGGCACCACGCCGCTGCAGAGCTCCGTATACTCGCAAGCGTCCATGTCGGACAATTTCACGGCCTCGCGATTCCTGAGAGACAACTGGGATAGTTCTCCCATGCTGGATGTCTACTCCGATCCAGCCCGGCCTTCTTTCGCCGCGTCGATGTTCTCCGGCGCAGCTGCCATCGAGCTGACTCAACGATCCCCTACCACGGGGAACCCGGTATTTTACGATCTCAAAGAGCCCATCGAGCCAACCATCTTTGAAACCCTGGTAGCCCAGATGGATGATGAATCCGTTGTGCGCTATGTGCCGGGCAGTAGGGACATCAGTGCGGCCACGCCGGCGCGGATCGTGGCGCAAATCTCCTCCGAATCTTTCATGGACTACGAACTTGTATCGGATTTCTTCCTCACCTTTCGCTCATACCTTTCCACCGGCAGTCTCCTTGCTCTCTTGCTGGCGCGACTGCAGTGGGCTATCAATCGCCTGCAAGACGACGGCCGGGTTATCCGCATCCGCACGTTTGCAGCTCTCCGACATTGGATCCTAAACTACTTTGTCGATGATTTTATTCCTGACTACGACCTCCGTGCTAGTTTCTGCGACACCATCAACACTCTGTACGATAACGTCAAAGCCCGAGATGGGGGTGGCATGAGCGACCTGAAGATTCTCATCGACCTGAAGCGTTGCTGGTATGGCAAGTGTTCCGCTTATTGGGAATTCTCCGATCAACATATTGCCTATCAAAGTCCGGACCACGTCATCGAGCCTGGTGGTGATAACCAGCCTGATCACAATAATCCTGATGGGAACCAGTTGAACATGGTCAGGACCAAGAGCAGCCAGATTGGCGAAGTTCATGAGGGTGAACAACGCCGTCATCTAGCCCACCATGACCGCAGCAACTCCGCAACCACGGCCAGAAGTATGCCGTTGTCAGCAGAAAGCGATCCTAGCGTACAGCCAACTTCTTGTTCGCTGCGACCCAAATCCCCCAAACGCCTTTCTATGCCCTACGCCGGTACCAAGGCACCTCACCCGGTGCCTCTGATGCCCGCGCATCAACTGTGTCCTTCGCTAGATGCGCCGGCCTCATCCCCTATCATTTCCCGACGATTCCCCTTCCACACTCATGCTCACAAGCGTAGTGGAAGCTTCTCTGACTCGGTTCGGGACGACCGAGCGGTCCTCCCGTTCTTGAAAATTGATAGCCAGGGTACATTTCCTACCCAGGCAGCATTGCACCTCGGCGGTCTAATTCGTGGCGAGCTATTCCCCCCGGCGGAGTCGTATATGACTATGATGGCACCGCCGTCACCCCCGTTGCCATCTCCCACCGGGATGCCCGGGTTGAGTCAACGCAGCAATTCCGACATGACCCCTAAACCGCCGCCATCGAGTTCAGGTGTCAAGACGATCATCGGGTCAATACGTCGAGCGCTGAACGGCAGACATGGAGGCCATAGTGTCTCCTCGCGCCACCCTGGCGGGCATTTTGGTCCATCATCGCGAGCGAAAACATCACACCTTCCCAATAATGTTGCGTTTGGGTCGGATGCCTACCGGGATAGAAAGGCCACGGCGGCTGCTAAGAAGCCGGTCAGGATCGACGTCCTGTGTGACATGTCTTTCCGCCTATATCATAATGCCGCCTCCGACTCTGCTCAGCCCCGAGCAGGCGAATCGTTCCAAATCGCCGCTGCGCCGCAAGGGAAAAACAGTCAGCGGGGGTCCGATCAGCTTGCGGCATCTAATCTCCACACCGCCGCGCTCAACCGAATACGGACGAAAAGTCAGTTTACCGGAGGGAGTGAATCGATTGTTATTGTGGATGACACTGGTATGGGCAATCCTATGATGTCTGGTGCCATCCCAGGCTCCTCTACGGGACTGGAACATTCCCCTCGATTCCTCGACGCCGAAAACTCTCCCATAACGCCCAGAGCCTCCTCGTTTCGTTCCGTGAGTCAAAGGTCGACTGTGGCGGGAGATGAGTATTCGCTGCCTATTTACTATGATGATCGGGAATCGAAATCGGTGCGCCGAAGCTCGCAATTCCTGCGCCCGCCCAGACTTTCCGCTATACGGAGATCGACCTCTGCTGAGCGTGGGTCAGGATCCTGGAAAGGAACGTCGCCGTCGCTTCGTCTTCGAAAATATGCCTCTTTCCAGAGTGGGATATCGAAGCATTTCGGTATTCCGGGCAAGGGGATGGATGTTGACCAACAATCTCAGGAACAGCTCGAGAGAAATGCCGGTCCAATGCTTCGCAGACGGCCGGGAGGCGATTTGCGTCAGATGCGCAACGACCTTGGGCTTCCAAAACGCACCAGCTCGGGATCATATGTATACGACACAGACAGCAGCTCTGTTGCGGAAAGCACAGCCACTCGCTTCAGGGATAATGCATCCAGGCCTCAAACTAGCCTTGTGCCGCCTAATCCGCGACTATCGCTGATCCAGACACATTCGTCCCAGAACATACGGGGCTCCTTCGAGGCGGCGATTCGGCGCTTTGCTCAAATTCCTGACGATGACGATGGCGGAATCGAGTCAACGCTGCTGAAGCTCGAAGGCAAGTGGGACGCCCCTGAGACGCCCACCGCTCACTCTCACGGACAGCCTGCCCATGCACCCGGCAGCGCCCGCGAGCGTGAGATGTTCTACCAAAATCATCAGAGACATCAAAGCGTCATGGGGGATAACCTAACCTATTCGCAAGTTCGTAGTCGACTGGCGCCGCGCAGACCTTATTCCGACTCTATCGCCGAATCGGAGGACTCGTTTAGCTCTATCCCGCTTCTCGAGAGAGGACTCAGCGACGAGTCCATGAAAAAGCCTGCGATGAATCGGACGACCTCTCACCCTGTAGTGCCGCCTCGGCTGCACATGATCGACGCCTCCAACCGCGACACTTCGGACGTTGAATCATCGCATCCGTCCATTGATATCGTCAAGGAGACGGACAGTATCAAGTGCATTCCACGAGGATCCACGCTTCCAGTGTCTGTTCCCAGACCTTCTCGAACCCGCTCGACCCGGCGCTCAGGTCTATCGTCTGAGATCTCGGTCGATCTCATTGAATCCCGGGAAGCGACTGAGCAGCATCGCCTGTCTCTCGACACGCGAAGCCTGGGCAGGTCTTCGTTGGGAATCCCACCCCATCCACTGGCCCATCCACCTTCGCCCCCCATGACCATACAACACCCTCGATCTATCGAATCTTGCGCAACGCCCCTCAATCCGGTTATCTACCAGGCACAGCCCCTGACGCCGGACCCGTCGCCGAGGAACAGGACTGCCGAACAGGCTCACGCGCGCACCATCGCAATGCAGCAGGCTTCGGGCGACATCCTTTCTAGGTCCGAGAAGGACCGCCAACGCCAAGAGCCCGAAAAAGCTTTCACAGGGCCTGATCATGTGCCCTTCGTGCTGTCTTGCGAATCCCAGATTCTTGCGCAGCAGCTGACGTTGCTGGAAATGGCTGCCCTTAGCGAGGTGGACTGGCGAGATCTGGTTGATATGAAATGGAGCAGTGGGTCCCCTGCCACCGTCAGTTGGGTGCAATTTCTCCTGGAAGACGAGCGTCGCGGCATCGACCTAGTGGTGGGACGGTTCAATCTCATGGTGAAATGGGTTCTGTCCGAGATTATCCTCACGCACGACGTCCACGAGCGGGCGCGCACCATCGTCAAGTTCATCCACACGGCTGCACATGCCCGTCGGATATGCAACTATGCGACCATGCTCCAGATTGCCATCGCACTGTCGTCAACCGACTGCTCCCGACTCCACAGCACATGGGCCTGCGTCCCACCCGGGGATCGACGGCTCTTGAAGGACATGGAACTGCTCATCCAGCCGGTTCGCAATTTCCACGACCTTCGCATGGAGATGGAAACGGCGAATGCACAGGAGGGCTGCATTCCTTTTGTTGGTGAGTTTCCCTCAACTAGACCCTCTGTAAAGGGGATGTAAAATCTAACTCGGTGTACAGGTCTGTACGTCCACGATCTCACCTACAATGCGCAGAAGCCCGCTCAGGTGGCAGTTCGCGACGGGGAGCCGCTAATCAACTTCGAGCGGTATCGCACGACGGCCAAGATCGTCAAGAGTCTTCTGCGATTGATTGATGCCAGTACGAAATACACTTTCGAGCCGGTGCAGGGCATCATCGAGCGGTGCCTTTGGATTGCCTCACTCTCGGAGGAAGAGATCCAAATCCGCAGCAAACAACTTGGCTAGACTAGAGCCAGGAGGTGATTGGCACAATTTTCATAAAAAAACAAAGAAAGAAAAAGAAAAAAAGGGGAGGAAACATTTTGCAATATCGGAGTTGGATGGCTATTGTCTGGATTTTTTTTTTCATACATCATAATACCCCTGGATGATATCCTGAGCGATTTATGTCCGACGTGATGGACATCGTGGACAAGATGATTACGTCGTGATTATGATGAGATTTATTTGTGTATATTAGAATTTGCATTGGCATCTGCGTGTTTTTAGCATTGGCATCTGGAGTCTTTCTCCGGTGGTAGCGTGGCCATTTGATTGGGAGGCATGACTTCATACTTCAGGGACTTCACGATCAGACAAACATTGTTCGACCTTTTCTCTTCTCTCTTCTCTCTGCAATCTTAATGTAATTCCTCCAGTGCCCGACGGGCAGAAGTGGAGCCAGGGGGTGTTTGGGATTTACAGCGAGCTGCATCGCCCGGCACTGTTGAACTACGTAGTCTGTCGGAACGTCAATCTCTCTCCCGCTTCTCACTTTCTCACTTCTTCTGCTTCGCCTCATCTCTCCCCACCTCCTTCTCTCCGACCCTGGAAGAGGCGGTATTCTCTCGACACTCATCGTAACGCTCTCTCTTTCCTCCATGGAGTTGGCCGTCCGACCCTCCTCTCTTTCCTACGACTTCGTGACATTCCCCGCCTAATTTCCTTTCTTCTGCTCGCCCCCAAACATGGAGTCGACCGCTTCTCCCCGCGGTTCATCCGACGACCTCGACGGTCGCAACGGCAGTGATCCCAACGTCGTCGATTCTCTCCCGCCCAACGGTCTTCCGGTCGACTTGCCGAAATCCTTGGACGACCGTCGCTCGGTGCATGTCCTTCCACAGGAGACGGAGATGTACGATGCCTGGCAAGGTCCGCATTCCCCTCCCCCGCTTATCCCACGATTTGTGACCGGATCAGGCAGACGTTTTCTCTTTTAGAACACTTGTGCTTAGCATCGTCATGAATGTATGTCGATCGAAGGCAGACGAAGATCGCTGACCGCCATCTTTTCTTTTCCAGGCCAATCCCAATTCCTGACCACCCCGGTGGCGGCGAAACCGTTAAGCTTCAGCCTCGCTCTGGACGACCATTCGCACGACGACGAACACAACCTACAGGCGCAGTACGGGCGCGGTCTCGCCTCCGCCGCGGACGACGACAACGAGTCGACCTCGACCGCCCGTCTGGAGGACAGCGATGCCCGGCTGATGGAGATGCTGGCGGCCCAGGCGGCCCATCGGGAGGTGGACTCGCTCGGCGCGGACGAGGACGCCATCGCGACCGACGAGAAACTGACGGATTCGGAAAAGAAGGATATCCTGCAGCGGGGGCTGAATATGGCGGCTAGCAATGGCGACGTGGATCGTGTGCATAAGCTGGTGCAGGGCAAGGCGAAGGATTATATCGATGTGAATATGCCGGACGAGGAGGGCACCGTGCCGTTGATTTATGCGAGTTGTTTTGTACGTGCGGATCAGATCCTCTCCCCGCCTTTGTTTGATTCGGGTTGAAACTTTGAGTGGTGAGAATTCAGAAGTGATGAGCTGACGGGGATTCTAGGGACACCAAGACGTGGTCTCAGCGCTGCTTGATGCAGGCGCCAAGGTTGACCAGCAGGATCGCAATCAATGGAGCGCCTTGATGTGGGCGATGACCAACCGACATAAAACGATCGCGAAGATTCTTCTGGACCACGGGGCGTCGCCGGATATCAAGTCCTCGTCGGGTGGCACGGCGTTCGATTTCGCCCAGCCGGGCAGCGAGATCTCGGAATACCTGCACGAGAATGGATACACCTTTGGACCGAGTGCGATCGAGGACGATTTCTACGATGCCGGGCTGGCACATGGCCGCTTTGAGGAGGAGTTGGCAGAGAATGAAATGAAAAGGCGCATGATGATGGAGGAGAGTGCGATCAACTTGGAAGTTGATTTGTCGAGCCTGGGGCTCGATGAAAAATTCGACGTGCGTATATTCCTTGATTATCATTGTCTCTCCTGAACTGACCGTTGCTGGACTTTTGGCTGGGTAGTCATTTGAAGAAGAGGATCTCGAGGAGGAACAGCAGGAGTTCGTCTGGGACCGATGCCTCAACGACCAGATGTTCGTCTTCCAAGACCACGAGTTGGAACGGATTTTGGACATTATCATCACCAACATGACTCCGCAACGCTCTCCCTCGCAAAAGCCCGTGCCCGCCAACCTCCTTTTCCTCAGTGCGCGGTATGCGCATTATCATGCCAGCCCCGAATTGCTGGCCCAACTCTTGGTTTCGGCGACGGACAAGATCAACGACGTGGTTGAACGCCATCAATGGGATATGACGATCCTTGCATTCTGGATGTCCAACGCCACTCTCCTGTTACATTACTTGAAGAAGGACGGCGGTCTGGTAGAGTCTACGGTGGAATTTCAGCTACATCTGGCCGAACTGGTCAACGAGATCTTCATCCTGATCATTCGCGACGCGGAGCGCCGCATGAACAAGGTGTTGGATTCGGCCATGCTGGACCATGAGACGATTCCCGGGTTGGAGGACGTTCATTTCCAGAACGAGTGGAAGCTCTTCCGCTCGAAATCCAAGGCCAAAGCCCCCGAACCCGCCGAGAAGCGCTTCCGACCGCCGTCTCCCCGGCGGCGGGCGCAAATCTCGCCGCGCAACATCACCTCGCTACTGTCGTCGACGCTCTTCGTTCTCGATCTCTACGACGTCCACTCCGTCATCACCACGCAGATCATGTCGCAGCTCCTCTACTGGCTGGGCGCCGAGATCTTCAACCGCATCATGACCACCAAGCGATACCTGGCCCGAACCAAGGCGATGCAGATCCGCATGAACGTGTCGACCTTGGAGGACTGGGCGCGCAACAACAACCGACAGCCGGAGCACTACGAGAACGGGTCCACCAGCTGCACGGGCGAAAGCACCATGGAGGCCGCGCGCCGGCACATGGCCCCCGTCATCCAGCTTCTCCAGTGGCTGCAATGCTTCTCCTCGTTAGGGGACGACTTCGAGTCTCTCGTCACCACGCTGCTTCAACTGCAACAACTGACGCCCGCGCAGCTCCTTCACGCGGTGAAATCCTATCGGCCGGAGGTGGGGGAGAAAGGACTGACCAAACCGGCGATGAAGTTCTTGATCGAGCTGCAGCGCGACCCGGACCTGTTGCACCGGGAGCAAGCGAAGATCCAGCAGGCGCACAGCGCCAGTGCGGCAGAGGCAGCATCCGGCGACGAGCGCCCCGAGACGCCTCGCCCCGACCAGACGACCCCACGAAACTCGGAGGCGCCGGGCACCCCCGAGGCGGCAGGACGAACGTCCACGTCGGTGGTGTCGCCGGCGTCGACCAACGCCTCGCGCATGGACGATCGCAACGGGGCCAACGGCATCTTCCTGGACCCGTCCCTGACGCTTCCCTTCTCGCTACCCACCAGCACGGACATGTTGATCAGCTACGGCGCAGGATGGGGCGGCACGAATCGCGAACGAGCGCGCAAGTATATTCCGACGGTGCCACCGGAGGTGTTGAGTCGATTTGACCGAGATAGTTAAGTAGGGAAATATGGTTAGAAGAAAGAAGAGACAGAGGAAGCGGGAAAGGCTCGGATGGCCGTTGTGTGATATACCCCCCCGTTCGGCGGCGCGCTAGAGGTGTTCCTGATTTGGACGGAATTAGTGATTTCAATTCGAGTATATAAGATTTGTCTAATCTCTCGTAGATAGCGATCCTCCCGGAGGTTACCAGATCCGGGGCCAGGGGGTCTCACGCGAGATCTAGATGAAACGGCCCTTCGGGTCCGACCAGGCATCGACATTTCGCCTTTGATTAATTTTAATAAGCCTTTTTTTGGTTCCTCCGGGCCCGTTGATTGCCGTGGGTCGAGTGATTTGGCCGCGAGAGTTCGTCGGTTGATGGCAGCATGACGAATGGGTATATATAGGAGTCCCATGGCCGAATGAATTAAAATGACACTGGTCAAGAAGTGATTCCTCCTTTTCGTGTTGCACGGACCGAGCCGGCAGGAGAAGTCAAGTCTGACATTCGCATTGGCATTGGCAAAGGAGTCGCACTAATAGCCTTACGGCAGCAGGGCTTACCGAGGACGCAACGATGCTCTAGTGGCCGCCGCCAAGTCTGCCGATCCACGACTTCGACCTGATCTCACGGGTTATCATGATCTCATGTCTTGGGTAGGGGAGAGAAACGTGTTCTTGAGAATTGAATCGACAACCGCAAGGCAGCGTGAAAAGGGAGAAAGAGGCATTTACCGGTCGGCAGAGGCCTGAGGCACGCGGCACCCGAGGCAGCCCTGTGGCCCGAAACGGGTTAGCGCCGACGGAGCTGGCCCTTTCGGGAAAGGCGGCTTGACCGGATTGGGCGGACGTCCTCATCGGGCGATCCGGGGGTTTTGTTTGGTTTGTTTGGTTTTGGTATGTCTTCATCTTTCACTCATGGATTCTCTCTTCTTTTCTTTCTATGGATCTTGATGGTCTCTGTCATCTCTATTCATCCTCTCCGCCTTCTTCCTCATGTCCTGATCCCCCCCACACCCCCCCGGCATCCCATCCAATGCATCCCCCCCCGTCTTTGTTTCCCCCGCGTGTCTTCAATATCTTTCTGCCTATCTGTCGAACAGCCCTATCTGGAATTGAGTCCCCACCGTTCACCTTTTCTTATTTTTTCCCTTTCCCTTTTCTGCTCTCCCCTTTCGCTCCCCCTCCATTTTTCCCTTTTCCCTCGGTCTTCCCCCCTCCCAGCCTGCCAATCCCTCGCGAGGATGCTGCTGACCCTCAAACCCTCCTCCCAGAACGGGGTGAAAGGGCCTCCCCATGACTACGCCATCGTTCGCCAGTCCATTCCTGCCGCCCCACGCGCCTCCTCTCCGCCCCCCGCGACCTCGGAACCCCAGACGCAGAGCATGGAGTCCTCGCGGAGAGGACTGCCTCCTCCCTCTGCATTGACCTTGCCGCCGCCCGATGTCGCCTTCGCCGCCGGGAACCCCATGTCCCAACAGCCCCTGCCGCCGCGTCCGCCGCCCCAGCGCCCGGACTCGGACGCCTCCTATTACTCCTGGCTCGAAGCCAAGGCCGAGGAGGACCGCCGAAAGCAGGAAGAGGAGAAGACCCGTCAGGAAACCTTGCGGCTGGAGCAGCGTCGGATCGAACAGAGTATGCTGCGGGATTCCCTGCACGCCGGGGTCCCGCCGCACATGATCCCGCTCATCTTCGCCGGCATCAGCCAGGGCGGCGTGCCTCAATCCGTGTTGGAGGTGAGCCAACAGTATATGGCCCAATCCGCGGTCCCTCCGCCGCCGCGGGGACCTCCGGCACCCTCCTCGATGCCCGGCCTGTCCCATTCGTCGTCACAACGGCGGCCGCCTCATGCCCGTCGAGATTCTCGCTCCATCCCCTCCTCTTCTTCTCATCCGTACGTGACGTCGACGCAACAGCCAGTGCCCGGGCCCGGCGTGCTGCTCTCGCAACCGTTGCATGCACCGGCACCCTCGTCCACGCCGCAATCGATGGGCAGGTCCTCGGATCCCCGTGCCGCCCCGACCATGTCCCGACTCAACACTGGCGAGTCGCAGGGCTCCCAGCAGCAGCCTGCAATCAACCTTAGCAATGTACATTATGCCCCGGGGTCGTCGGTCCCGCTCTCGCAACCTGCTGGCGGGAAATCCGATTCCCAACCGCGCCAGTCGCCTCCCTCTCTGTATTTCCATCATTGGGTCCCTCCGGCACAATCGCAACCCAATACCCCGAGAAACCGACAGGAGTCTCCCGGGGCCTCGCAGGCTCCTCGACGACCCGACTACCAGAACTCACCGGGCCGCAAAAGAAAGGCGCAGGGACCCCACCAGCAAGCTCCGCTGCCGTCCTCACGTCCCTCAGACCATCGTCCTGGTTCCTCTCAAAATTCCCGCTCGGGGTCTCCTATGATTTCGGCGCGTCCGGCGGAGCAGTCCTCACATACCCGTCAACGGAGTGATACCTCGAATCCGTACGACCCCCGCATTCCCGACCATCATGGTCCTGAACCGTCGAGTAGACGCGCCAGCGTGACTCGGCCTACGATACGAACGATGACGTCGGCCGAGGAGACCGGCTCGGAGAGGGGCTACAGTCGCACGGAGGACCAGGATCGCAGCGGATATCCGTCTCGATCGGAGAGTCACGCCAACTATTCCCACCCGGCGTCTCAAGGCCCTTACGCTTCTAGCGTCGGCACGGCGCCTCCTGACTCTGACGCAGATAGTAGTCCTGGCCATTCCCCTAGGACGGGGAGCCCTCGTCGATTACGACGGTCCGGTGTATCCCCGCGACGACAATAGCGGCTGGATAGGTTGATCACAGTACTCAGGCTTATAGTGATGCCAGAGAACACTACAAGAGTCGTGTAAACCGCCTCTGATCTAGTATTAACCACATCTGACAGACATACTCGCCATGTCATTGTATCTCTATACGAACTGGAACTTGACAATGGAGTCACTGCATATCCAGATAGATGGTGTTATGGCTCCATCCGAACCTAACCCGACTCACTGACTTACAGACATACTCCCCATTCTGATTTCTTCTCTTCTCTTCTACTGTTATTATTACTTCACTTACCTCCCATCTGTCTATATCTGTATTTATCTCAGCCGAACCGGCCTGGTCCTGGTATGGCAGCTGGACTCCTACCAAGGTCTCATGCCGGCCGAACATGGGTAGGGTTAAAAACCGTGACCAGCAAAGAAACCGAGAAGAAAAAGTTTGCTTGATGGCGAGGCGTTCCGGGTCGTTTTTCTTTTTCTTTCTATCCCTATCTCTTCTTTTTAGTATATTCTGGGTATTCTGGGCTGGGTTGTTCTCGCAGCATTAGCATTGGCATTGGCATGGTTTTGGCCGCGGTTTTATTTCACTCGATTTTTGGTTCTGGTTTATTTATATAGATCGATACCAATTTGATTTTTTTTTCTTGGATTTACATATATGAATCTGTCTGTTCAACGGGGGACCGACCTAGCAGGATGAGCTGCCTTCCACCAGATTTGGTTTCTCGTCCGGATCAGGACCACTGATCCTTTTCGGGAAGTTGACTAGGGAATATGATTAGGTATATTTAGATTGTGAATATAAAACCACGAAGAAGTCCGTAATTCGCCGGGTGTTGGGGGACGGATTTCATATATTCCTCCAGCGGCTTATACTTGTCCCATCACCTTATATCACGCATGAACGCATTATAAAAGTCTCAAAGGAGGAGTGTCGAGTGCTTAGCAAAATAATTACGCAGATAACCTCGCCTGCCCGGTCCGCAATAGATCATGAGCTTTCTACACATATCCACCAGCCTTGAAGTTCCGTCCTGCTTGACCAAAATACACGCCAGTGGTGTTTTCACCAATCACACCGGCTCATGCAAGCCCAAGGTCTCTCACAATGATGGCCGCTGCCTTCTCCCCAATGGCATATGCAGTGGTAGCCGTGTTGGCGCCAATGTTCTGAGGAACGACACTCAGGTCCACGAGCTTCAGGCCCTCAATGCCATGCACATTAAGGTCGGGGTCCACCACGCCGCCATCCGCCAGCGCGCCCATCTTGCACGTCCCCAGCGAATGCCAGGTGGTGCCGACGTTCCTGCGCACCCAGCCCTCGATGACCGTGTCGTCCTCTGCCGTGTATTCGATGTCGGCGATGTTCTTGTCATTGGGCCGGTCCAGCTTGACCAGGGCGGCGGCCGAATCCGCAGCGAACGGCGGATGCGCGCCCACAAACTCCCCCCGGTAGGCGTCCATTCGGCGCACGATCTCTCGCTGCTTCTTGTACGCCCAGACCAGCTTCTTGACGTCCAGCTCGCTGTTCAGGAACCCCGTCTCGAACGCGATCTCCGCGTCGGGATCGCCGCTGGTGATGTGCACGTGCCCTCGCGCGTAGGGGTAGACCGTAAACGTCGACGTCGCGAGGTATTGGCCTGGCTCGATGGCGGTCGGGTCGCCGGGGAAGCCGCCCAATAGGGCCATTAGCGCGAGGGGCTTGTTGGGAGTGGAGAGGTAGTCCCTTGCGTATGCGGCCTCGAATTCAGGGCCAAGGGCAGTGACGTCGGCCGCGGTGGGACGCAGCTTGCAGGAGGCGTCTTGGCCGTTCCATCCCATGATGGGCGCATTGGATTTGATCAGCTCTTCCATGTTGATTCGACCGGCCAGGGGGGCGTCGAACGTCTCGCTGGGCTCCAGGGCGCTGTAGTATGGCTGGGTCAGGAGGTGATGGTCCTGGTAGTTCCGGCCGATTCCAGGAATATGGGCGACGACAGGGACGCCGGCCTTGTTGAGCACGGCTTCGTCGCCGAGGCCGGACCGCTCGAGAAGCAATGGGGTTCCGAGAGCGCCGCAGGAGCCGATTACAAGCTTCCTGGCCGTGACGCGTTGGACGGTGGTGTTGTCCTTTTGGAAGGCAGGGTTGGGCGTGAACTCCACGCCCACCGCTCGTGTGCCCTCGAACAGGATCTTGATCACCTTGGTCTCAACGAGGACGTGCAGGTTCGGGTGTGCTCCGTCTTCCAGCCGCGGATGCAAGTAGTTACTGGCGGCGTCCTGGCGGCGGCCATCGGTGCCGACGAAGCGGAGGGCCCGTTGAACGCCGTTGCTGGTGTCGAGGTCTTGCAGATCCTGGACCGTCGGGTAGCCGACCTCGTTGGCGGCGGCGATGAATTGATCTGTCGCACGCTCCGAGCGGAACGTTCCCTGAGACACCACGATAGGGCCATCTTTTCCATGGACAGAATCCGGGCCAGGGCCGTGATATGTCTCCAGCTACAGCGATCAGCACTGGAGTACACAATGGCAAAGTCACAAACATCAACCTACCTTTTTCAAGAACGGGATCATCTCATCTGCAGACCATCCAGGGGTAGCCCACGAATCCCAATCCTGGCGCTGAGCACGACTGTACATCATCAAGTTGATAGACGAGCCTCCGCCCAGCACACCACCGGCGGGGACGGTCATCTCGCGGTTATCCAACTGGGGCTCGGCATTGCCCTTGTAGAACAGGGTCGCCGTGCTGGTGGGAAGCAGCGCAGTTGGGAACAGCAGCGGGAATGCAATCAAGTGGTTGCCCTGATTGTTCTGCCCGCCCTCGACGACGAGGATCGACAGCGACGGGTCGGCATCGGCGAGTCTGGACGCAACGACGCACGCCGCGGTACCGCCTACCAGCTTGTTAGTATAGACGTATGATGAGTGGAGGAGGGGGATGGACAAACCGCCGGCGACGATGATGTCGACCTCGTCGATGCCTGAGGGGAGCTGAGTGTAAATGCCCATGTTGTTTGTTGGATGTGATGGTGCGGGAGATGGTGATGGTGATGGATCCAACGTGGATGGGATGACGCCAGGCTTAATACCTCCGGGTCGGTCGCCCGACTGGATGTTGGACAAGGCTGGCTGGCTTTGTTACCCACTACCTGCGATGGGTCAGCATGGCCGTAGAGCTGTGGGGCTGGATATACTGCGCCCCAGGCTAAGCACAAGGTTCATCTTGGGCTACATGGCGCTACGCCCTGTGAGATTTTAGGTGGAGGCTGCCTCTCTTGCTTGCCATTCGCTACTCCACAACTTACTATACCTCACATCTTATGATGCACTGGCTGTCCCGCAGCGTTAGGTTACATACAAAAGACTTATGGCCAATTAATGTTGATTGTCAAGACTACAGTTGTATCATGCTAACAGTAAAGGATGAAGTGCGTTATTGCAGCTCGGTGAAATCCAGCCTGTCAAACTTGAGAGGAAGAGTAATCAGAAAGCCCAGCGCAGCGCCAAACAGATTCAGGTAAAATACCGCGGCCACACTCTGCGTGACTGCGTCGGTGACCTGAGCACGAACATGTTCAGGCAATGTCGCGAACAGGCTACTTCCCACTCCATCAATGGCGCCTCGAATCTCGCCAAGAGGAACGGTAGGTAGAATCGGCGAGATCTCCTCCGTGGCATGGTTGATAAGAACCGACGTGGCGATGCCCAGTGACAAGGCGAGACCACCCATCTGCGCACAGGAGAAAAACGCCGTAATGTCCTTTCGCGCCGCCTGGGGACGCTTCAATTGGCCCACAGTATAGCCAAGCTGGATGACGGGTCCGACGCCGAAGCCCTGGAGAACGGTATAGCCACAGATAGCAGCCCTGGTTGTGTGCGTGTGGATGCCGGACAGCAGGCCGTTGCTAACCAAGAGCAGCGCACTGGCCCAGATGAACCAGCACTTGTACCAGGGAAACCTGGGCAGAAGTCCCCCGCTGATTCCGGCACTGACCACAACCGATGACACAAATGGCAGCGTGTAGACGGCCGACCGCATCGAGGAATCATGCAGCACAAACTGGAAAAACAGCGGAAGCGTGTAGACGGTGACGACGATGTCCGAAATCGCGACAACCGTCCAGATCCACAGGCCGATCATCAGGGGATCCTTGAAGAACTGCGCGGGGAAGATGCGGTCCGACGTGAGAAGGTGGAATTTCTGCTGCAGAGCAAACATGATCCAGAGCAACGCAGTGGCAACGTAAAGTCCAATCATCGGGCTGCTATCCCAGCCGTACACGACGCCGCCAAAGCCCAGCAGCATGACGGTCGACACGACGGAGCCAAGAAACAGCACCGCACCCAGATGGTCAATTGCCTTGATCACGTCCATGACCCGCAGAGACACATCCGGTGGAGCCGACGGCATGATCCAGATACACACGGGAGCGGCCACGGCGGCCACGCAGATATTGATGTAAAAAGCCCATCTCCATGTGGCCGGCGAATCAGCAAACGCCGATCCGATAACGGGGCCGAGGATGGTCCCCAGGCTCCACGCCATGCCGACGATGTTGAGATATTGGTTTTGCTCTTTGGCCGTCGTCATTCCTGTGATCATGCTAATGGTGCCGACGTAGATGCCGGAGCCACCGGAGCCAGCCAGCGCGCGACCCGCGACGACAGCGCCAATGAACGACGCCGAGCCAATGACTGCAGAGCCTAGTTCGAAGACGAGCAGGGCGGCGAGGAAGACCAATTTGCCGTCGAGGAACTTGTTGAGCTTCGCCCTGTGAATCACAGTGTTGGTAGTCGGTCCGCCAAATGCGCTCTGCTGCTGGATTATCTTACCAGATGGGGTTGGTGCCAACTTCGCCCATGGGATATGCCACGGAAACCCACGGCAGCATGTCGATGCGGTGGCCAAATGTGTCGACAATGGCAGGCCGCGCCGTGGCTGTCACCGTATTGTCGAGGGCGTACAGAAAGGTGGCCGACAGCAGGGCAACGTTGACGACGAACCACGCAACACCTGTGATCTTGCGCTCGGAGGGGCCACTGGCGTCGATGTGCTGGTCATCTTTGATTTGCTTCTCTTCATTAGAGGAGGGATGACTGGCGGTGGCACCTTGTAGGGGCTTTTCAACTTGGTCGTCTGTCGACGAAGCAGCTGTCTGTGTCGGCGGCATCAGGGAGTGGACATTGCAAGCCATCTAATTCTCGTGAACTGTGATTGGATGCAGCTAACACTATTCGCCCTAGTATCTTGCTATGGTGTAGTCACATAGAGATGCTAGATAGCTAGATAGCTCTGTAGGGGGAGTGTGTATGAGAAGAGATATACTTCCTAAATGGTCCGGCTGCAGTCACACCGGAAGGATTTAAGGCTGGGAGGAAGATAGATTGGACTTGGGCAGCCCTGGAATCAAAAGTTCTGTGTAACCGTAGATCCCAACATACAGGGAATAGACAGCAACTAGTGAACTAACAAGTTAGTTACTGGACAGCCTCTTTATCACAGCCTTGTCACCCCAACCCTTGGCAACCTGCGCTAGTCGGGTTGCGAGCGCATCTTTTTGACAGTTCTGAGGCTACGATGCGGTCACTTACTGGGATCGTAGCCAATTAATATAACTGTCTGTGTTATGGTCTTAATAAATAGCCCAAATTGCACTGCAACCCCCCTCCACCCTGTGCCAACAAATATAATATCATCTTGGCCTTAATGGCGAAGGACCCAGACAGGACAGGGGACTACGCCACCAACAGAGAATGGGTAGTAGTTACTCGGTCCACCCGTTTGACTGGAGATAACTAGACACTCGCTAAAATTGGGTAGCATTGCGCCGGGGCTGGGGAATACAAAGAAGGTAGTCCACCTGCCGCCACTCTTCGGTGGTGGAGTCTAAACTGAGGATAGTTATGCTCACTGCAATACTGATCACACGCCTTTGAGAGTCGCTTCGCACGCTGAAGCATAAGGAAAGTTGAATTCCACCGCGTTTTAACATCCTGAATAGGGAGAAGCTTTGGTTCTTTACTTTGAAGGTTCAAGAACGCTTCTCGGCGCTGAGGACTAGCGTTGACGCCTATAGCTAGGCCACGGACCTAATATTAGTAAGTTGATAGACCTCTAAAAGGTAAGAGAGAAGGATAGATACAACATAATACTGACTTTTGCCAGGGTTTGGACAATACCACGCTTTGGGAGCTGTCTTAGTGATGTATCTCTGCCGATCTATGCTATCGTTCCTTGGGTTGAGCTTCATTATCGCGAGGAGATCCTTTAGACCGAGTTGAGTAACGTGCGCTAAACAGGGAATTAGGACAATTGGTATATAGCTTGGAATATCTAGGGCTTGTATTGACGTCTGCATACTAACCAGAGGATCGTTATTTGATGCGTTATCAGTTGTAACAGCAAGCACCCGATCCATTATCCGATGCTCTTATAAGCATTCAAATAGAATCTGGCTTAGGTTATTACCGGAATGCTTTCTATGTAAGGGTTCAAAGCCTAGAAGGATCTCCCAATACTTCCAGTTTTGGTCGAGGAAGTAACCAGTAATTGCTATAAAGGCCCGTTGAAAGGGAAATGTCCAACAATCAAGAGCAATTGACAATGATGATCCTCTTGCACATTCTTCTGAAGATGACGTTAAGCAGTTTAAGAGGTAAGGAGTGTAGGACTTGACGTGCCTCGCCGAGCCATTGATAAAACGCGCAAGAATCTGAAAAGGAAGGGTTGATTTAGCAATAAATTTAACCTGACATCGTTTCCATCGCTCCTCACTGAAAAATGGCTTCGAACGCGATATGTTGTCGGCCTAAATTACAAGAGTGGATTAGTTACTATTTAAACAGTGAAAGGTTTGTATATACCATATATTCAATTGATTGTTGTAGAGTCTTTTTGCCTTGCAGCATTACGTAGCATGCTCGAAAAGCAACTAAAACAGCAAAAAAGACGGATCTAAACGACCCAGCTAGGTAAACAGACAAAGAATCTAATTAGTCAATGGTGTAGGTAAGTAGATAAATATATAGATAAATACATACATCCACAAACACAACACCAAGGAGGTGGAAGATGATGAAATGAAACGGAGTGGTTTAGGAACAGACAAACCCAACAGCCAACAAACTGACAAAAATACCAACAACTAGGTAACACAAAGAAAAGAAAAGAAAAGAAAGGGGTATCTGATTTGTCTCGTCCAGGTTGTGCTCTTCGTTCACCGGGCTCTGTTTGTAGAGCCCTTGAACAAAGCCGAGCGAGCGAATGCATGAAATAACTATAGGATATTGATTGATTATAGAGACACGGAACACAATGAGAAGAGGGTAAAGATCAGACAGAGTAAGAAGACAGAGGAGATGGATTAGACAATGATAGTGAAAGGGTGGGGGATGACAAGGAAGGAAACGAGCATAGCTTAAAAGAACGCGTTGCGAGCTTGGTCTGGTCTGATAAGACACGATGGGCTGGGTTGAGGCGAAATCCCATTTGTTCGGATCGGTCGGACCAAGAATTATGATAATAAAGAGGTATTGTACCAATAATGATAGACGGCAGTGGGTTTGGTTCAGGGTCGAATTGACTCGAACTTGGATGCATAGTGTCGGTCCGGAATACCAAAAAACCAAAAATATGATATCCGGAGCGATATTAGTAGTATAGGGGAATTAGGGCCGATGTAAATGGTCGCCTTCTCTGGTCTGTTCGTCCGTCGTCTTCCTTTGGAAGCGTGTAAAGGAGGATGGTTTAGTCCAACTCTCCAATGATTGTATTATAGACTCGACTGAGATGCGATGCGACTGGCCAAAATAGTGCTTCGTGATGTGACGGCCGTAAGATAACGATGGTAATAGAAGTAATTAATAAGTGTCGTTCATGAACAAATAACCCGACGTCTTGGGTAGAAATCATCAACAATCGTATGGTAGGAGCGTCCGTTAAAAATCGCTTTCCAGAACCGTGGGATGTGAGTCTCGAGAAACCGAGGAAAAGAGAAGGTGTTGGGAAGAAGGCAAAAAGCTATAATTATAAGAGGTTAATGCCAACTGGAGTAGATATGGTTCTACCAGGTCATCGCGTCACGTCGCAGCATTGAGCCCTAATCAAGGGGTGAGAAAGCTGATCAACCTTGGGCTGTTTTCTTCCGACGGTGGACCTTCCATTCTGCTTTCGCGACGCGCATGAAGAGCTCCACGTCCTTGATAGGAACCCAGCTGGTGAGAACTTTCATGCCGTTCTCGAAGTCCGATTCAAGAACAATCTCGCGCATGCCGTCGATGAGGGCTGCCGAACTGGCGTGGAGGACATCCAGCCCCTTTCCAAAGATCCCCGTGGTGGTGTCGTCGGGGCTCGGCTCCTTGCCAAGGGGAGCAGGGGGAGCATTTGGCTCTTCCGCATCGCCCAGAAGCATGAAGACGTCCCACACGCGGAGTTGGGCCGGGAATGGAATCGAATAATTGAATAACGTGAGGTACCATCGGGTGCCGTATGCTGTTGGTGGAATGCCTAGTTCTTCCTGTATCGCCATCGTCAGTATTTCAATACATCAGCGTCAACTGCTTGTCTCAACTTACCAACTTGGCGGCGACTTCTCCCTTTCCTAACCACTCCCGCTCGAAATCCCCAAGTGCCTCCATGAGACCCGCGAATCCCGACCGGTACAAGTGTTCCAATCCGCGCAATTGCCATAGCCGCACAAGCATGATGAACGCATGCTCCTCGTCGTAGTAAGCAAGGAGCGTCGCAGCAAGTGCCGCCATACCCTGAACGTAGCCCGTGTCGGGAAAGTAGAGAGACATGGCATGCAGCACCCGGAACAGCAACCGCTGCCCACCGCGATACCGACGGCGAAACATGATGTGGCTCGTGATGGTTCGCGGGACGTCGATGTCGATCTGCACGTCGTCCGGGGACGAGACGAGCTGGTAATCATTGAACGCCTCGATGAGTTCCTCTACCCCGGGGCTGTCGCTGTGTTTTTTGGCGCTCGCCTCGAGAAAGGCGTACCAGGCACTGGCGCGCCAGCGGTCCGGGATTCCCTTCCATGTGCGTTCAATGAGTTTGGAGCTCTGCGTGTCGAACTCAAACGACATGCCGCCCCCATGGGTCCCCCGCCGCACTGGCTTGGCCATTTTGGTCCACTTGTCTTCTCGCTCCCATTCTTTCTTCCTCGCAGCACGCGCAGCAGCCGTCTCGGCTTTGCCCTTGGGAGTCGTGTCGGTGGGAAGCGTCAGCATGTCGCCTGCTTCGTCTTTGAATCGGCGATCGCGATTGTGGGGGAGGAAATTGGCAGCCTGCCGAAATCGCGACGTCGACCGTCGTAGCGGTGCGCTATACGTGCTCTGCGACGATGACGGACGAATGGATGGCTCCGAGATCTTCCGTGAAGGCGACCGGCCGGTAATCATCAGGGCGCGGTTACTGCTCAATGTAGACGGCGGCCGGATCGAAAGTTTCCGCCGTGGAGTGGTCGAAGCAAGAAGTAGACTGGTAGAGACTCGTTGAATCGGAGTGGGCTCGATGCCCTCGTTGGAATTGGAGGTCGGGGAACGAATGAAGCCGTATCGGTCCACATCCCCGGCTTTGATGTCTTGCCAATATTCAATCCCGCCCGCTAGCTCGTGGGCCTCTCTCTTGATGTTGGCTGGATTCTCGGGCCCAACCGAGGACACGATGCTCCTGGTTTCGGCACCAGACATGCTAGGCCCCGAAAGACGAGACGTATCCGTGCTGGCTGCGCCGGCTTCTTCCCAGAGCACCCCGTTCTCCATGGCCAGCGATTTAGCCACCTCGGTGTCCGACACATTGTCGTCTCCCTTCTCATACATCAACCTGACGCGACGGGACAACATGTCTTCATCGGCCGAGATGGCTCTGTTTGCGATGGCGCTTTGCCGGACACGAAGTGACGAAGGGGGTTTCGGACGCCTAGGTGGCATTTCCGAAATCTCTGGCTCCGAGTCATTTTCCTCCGGCGGAACGGGAGGTAAAGGCGGTGGTTCCGTTTCTGGTGGTGGCTGCTGCTGCTGCAGCTGCGGGCGTTCTTTCTCCGGGCCTCGGACTTCGGTCGAGGGTCGTCCCTCCTTCTGGCGCATTTCCTGCTCGTGAATCTGGCGCTGGAGTTTCTGCCGTTCCTCCTCAGTAATCAAGCTCCCGCGCTTGGAGAATCTCATCGACTGCGGGCCGAGTCCGTCCAGAGAGGGCGCCGGGATATCCAATGCGATTCCATTGAAAGGAGCTTCGATCTGAGGCACGGGAGGCGGTGAGTCGTCGGACTGTCTCTCGAGCTCGGCTGATTTCCGACTCCTCAGCCCACCCCATTTGCGCTCCGACCATCGAGAGCCGGGTCGAGACCCCGGACGCGACCCCGGACGAGAGCTGGGCCGCGATCCCGCATCGTTGACCACAATGCTGGGGACACTTCGCAGCGAGCGCAAACTCACCACGGAGCGTGTATGCTCGGACGGCACCGCCCTGCTCCTCGAATCTCGGGTTCCATTCTGCGGCGGGTCATTGGACGAGGCGGTGGTGGTGCGAGTACTTTGGGGACACAGGGACAGGTCCCCCGGGCCGGGTACGGAGGCAGATCGGGTCGTATCTTCGTAGGGAACGGCGTGGAGGGATGCGCCCGAGTCCGCCATCACGGATATAGAAGCGGATCGCGTTTCCACCATTATCCTGGCATGACTTGAAGGGGGAGGGGGCGAGGGAGGGAACGAATCTCCTGTGTGCAATTAATCCGTGCAGTGCTTTCTTTTTCTTGCTGTCTTTTCTGGATTGCGTCGCTGAGCGGCAATGGCAATCGATTCTTCCTGCCGCAACGGTCTGTCTAAAACGGGCGGTGGTGATCACGAAGGGAGAGGAAGAGCGAAAGAAAGGGAGGCGGGGAGAGAGGGAGGGAGAGGGCGAGAAATTGGGTCTTGTGCCGAGTATGTAGCGCGGCGGCGAAGATCGCGGAAGGAAGGGCGAGGGAATGCGAGATGGCCAGGGGAGCAGAGCCACTACCGGCGCAATGGAGCATGACCGCCCCCAAAAACGGCGAGGATGAGGCGAAGCGACAGGGGATCGGACGATGAAGTCGGTGCTGGCGGTGGTTGGTGATGGAGTGTCTAGGAGGCCTTGGCAACGACAAGCTTCTCCACGGTTCGATTGCAGGGAGACTGGCTTCGGGCGTCCGTCGCAATTGCGATGCTCAGCTTGCAGCGGAGACACGGGAGCGGAGATCAGATCGAATGAAGCTGAGAATGCGACGCCGAACACTGGCGAAGAAAAAGAAGGAGGAGAGAGGCGGCGGCGTGGGCAGCGTCCATGGAACGCCCGCGAGCGCAAGCAGGGATCGCGAAGGGGGCCTGCGATCCACAACGGAGGGCTTTCATATCACTAACCGTGCCGCTAAACCGGTTTCATCGGTCGGGGCCACGCAGCGTGTGGATCGGAGGGGGGCCAATTTGCTGGGAGTCGTTGAAGATTGCGGATTCCGTTAATTATAGAAGCGATTTACCCCGTACCTACGGAGTTGAGGAGCCGGCGGAGTAGATGGCGTGGGATGGTATATCGGCGGTATTATAGCTATCGCCTGGTCTCTACCGGCCTGACTGACTGAAGAGACCGACTGGAAGCGAAACGATTTCTGAATTACAACGTACGTAGTAGAAGAATAAGTTGCGTTCCGGGGACCAAATATCAAGCCTCCACCCGCTTCCCTCACGTCCCACGGATTGAAGGTTCTCTCGTCCCCTATTTATAGATCCTTCCAATTCTTCAGGCACAAAATTTTGAATCTCTGCGATCTGATTCGATTTCCCACCGTATAAATTGCAGGTTCCGATCCACTTCGCTCACTATCTACATCCCGTGTGAAAGCAAGGGCTTTGTTTTGGTTTTTCCCTTTCATGTTTTCCTCCTTCGTTGTGGCCGACCAATGCCCATAGCAACGTCCTCTCAATGAACCACCAGACAAAAAAACAAAAAATCAAAACAAGGCAAAACTCAGAAATTCCCGAATATTGAACACACGCCGCAACTCCAAGAAGGCCCGATTCCAGCAGTCCCTCGATGCGAACGAGAATTCGTAAGACGCGGCTCACATATATATGGCAGACCTTTCTGCCGCATCACTGTACAGATGGTCATGACGATCATGGGACTTGAACAAAAAGAAAAAAAAGCCAAGATACCAACCAACATAAGAATAATGGGGATCTTTAAGCCACCGCAGCCGCCGGTCGAGAGGGTTCCCGCGCAGAGCGTGTCGGTTCGATGGGTTCTTTCGGCAACAGCTCGATCTGGCGCACCAGGAAACTCTTCTCGTCGGTGAATTGGTCATCCTCGGTGCGATCCTCGAGAAACTTGGGGAGGAATTTCAGCAGGCGATCTCGGTTGTTGATGAGAATTCGCTGCACCGCCACCGATTTGTTGGGATTGGCAACAAACACCTACGTCGCATTCCGGGTCAGATCATGACCGCATTCTTTCCCCTCCCTCTGGGGTCACATACCTTGAAAACGTGGAATCCCTCATACTGAACCATCTTCCGATCATCTCGCAGGAGCTTCATGCACAGTTTGAGGTTCTCGCCACTCTCGACATACGCCATCATCACGTTGTAGTTGGCCCGGTCCAGCAGGATCTCTCCCAGGAGTTTGATGCTTTGACGCTTGGTGACGTACGAGTCCGACTGCACCAGTGTCGAGTTGAACATCCCAAAGAATCGGTCGAAGTTTGTCGCTAGGTATCCCGTAACGAGAGATTTGTGACGCGTCAGGATTTCCTGTGTCTGGGTTAGCCTCCCCAATGTGGCCGACCCCACGAACAGTGTTGGCTTACCCGAAAGGTCGTAAAGGCGTCGGCACTCAGTTCGAAGCTTCCCCGATCGATCCAGGTGAAGAACTTCCAGAATATGCCGGTTCCCCCCTGAGGAATGCCCGGCTGCACTTCCGTCAGTCGGATGGCGGGCTCGCCCTCCTGGGACTGGTCATAGAGAATGATGGCGGCAATCACGTCAAACTTTAGTGCCTCCCTCAGAATAGTGCCGCATGGCATGGCACTAGGACTGTATTCGTAGCCCTTGCACAACTCGATAATGATCTCGGGGCGGTTGTGGACGATGTAGGAGATAACGGGCGGATCGGCGTGATTCCCATGGCCGGGTTTGAATCGGAGAACATGGGAGAATATGGTCTGCGTATCTTTCCGGGCTTCGAATGGGAGGCGATGAAGGTATCGAGAGAGCTCGTAAAGCAAGTCTTCTTGCAGTGTCGCCTGGACGAGCGCATGCACTTGCTCGGGCGAAACTTCGATCTCTAGAGAGGCACCCGCATTAGAATATCATGGGCGCAATCAGGAGAACGTATGCAAGAGAGGCACATACCTTGGGTTCCTTGCACAATCAATTTCACCTGAGAGAGCTGTCTCGCCAAGTCATCTGCAACCTGATCAGAGGAATGTCAGCCAACCGTCAGCCCCTCCGGCTCCGAATAAACAAATCGATCGAAAAACAAGAGCGTAAACACACCTTGTTGGTTGCCGATGGATCGGGCAATTTTTCAGGTAATCTCGGCAACAGATCTTTGATCGATCTAACCAGATCCGAGGGCTGTCGAGACCGACCACGACTAAAGAGGAAAGCCATTCTGATATGTTGATGCGGGAATAGCGCGGGCAGCTTGCGTTGAGGGGAGGAGAGCAAGCTGTTTGGGGACAAATAGACGGGGGGTTAGGGCTGGAGCTGGATCATACAAGACCAAGAAGAAAATGCAATTGACCCCTGCTAAAGATGGATAAGGGGAAAAAGGGAGGGAGGCAGGGGGAGAGAGAGCGAGCGAGAGGGAGGAATGGTGTCTGTCTGTCTGTTGATCGACTGATTGATTACTGCCGGGGCGGTGACGCTGCGCTGTTGGCGGGGGGAAGCCTCAGGCGTTGATAACCGCCGTTCTGGGCCCGTCATGTGGATAAAAACAAACGAACCAAACCTTTTGCGGCGGGGCAGGTTTTTTTTTTTTTTTTTCTTTTCTTTTCTCTGTCTTCTGGTTGCCGCGAGAGAAAGAGACTGACGGACGGAGAGAGACAGAAAGTCACCGCCCGCTGCTGCCCCTCCTTCGCTTTCTTTCGCTTTTGCCAGCACAAGAATTTATTTTGACCCCGATTTTCATTCGTTCTTTGGTGAATTGAGAATTAATTACTTTGTCCCCGTGGGATTTAATTACTGTTCGTTGTCGACCAATTTCTGAAATCGAACGGTTCCTCAGTCAGATTCTTATTATCCTACTGCCCCGCAATCGTTGCTATGTCGGCTTCCATCCCCTCGGAGCGCCCTCTTAAGGACGATGACTCTCGCTCGACGACCTCGGAGGATTCCGAACTCAGCAATGAAGAAGGTTGGGAGGATGTCGAACCAGATGATGAGACCCAGCCTGTCGTTGGCCTCTTTTCCGAGAAAGTCTACCCGGACGTGAACTCCATGTTGAAGGAGAGCAAGGACAAGCACAATTTTGACCTGCGGAAGTTGCAAAAGGAGCTCGGTGTGTACCCATTCGATTCGAATCTTAACGCTTGAGGGATTTCCGCTGCTACGGCCCGGACGATCTTTATTGGCCGCGTCCTCGCTAACTTATCTCGGGGCTGGGGATCAGGCCTGGACTTTTTGGGTACTATCAAATTGGTCAATTACATTCGGTCGCAGGTGAAGTCGGGAAACTTGAGCCCGGATGTGACTTCTAAGAGCAACTTTGAAGACGACGTGTATCTGAAGCCCGTTCTCGAGGACGATGCTCTCTTGTACAGCTTGGACGACATTGAAGATGAGACTGCGGAGGGACCCGGTGGTACGGACGCAGAGCGACAAGTCGTTGAACTTCAGGAGGAGCTTGAACGTCTCCAGACCCAATTCTCTGAATACCGATCAGCTGTGCAGCAGTCCATGGAAGACCAATTGTCGAAGGAGGACGAAAAACTCGCATCCGGCCCGCCGCCCCAGCGTGTCAAGGGCAAGATCGAGGAAGCGGACGCGGATTACTTCGTGTCTTATTCTTACAACGGTAAATACTGTGCCCTGAAAAAGTACATTTGGCCATGTATTGATGCAATTTCCAGGAATCCACGAGTCTATGCTGAAAGACACTGTTCGCACCGATTCTTACCGCGACTTCGTTTACGAAAACAAGCACATCTTCAAGGATAAGGTTGTCTTGGATGTTGGATGTGGAACCGGAATCCTGTCCATGTTCTGTGCCAAAGCGGGCGCAAAGAAGGTCATCTCGGTCGACAACTCGAATATCATCGACAGAGCTAAGGAGATCGTTTACGAGAATGGATTTGGTGATGTGATCACGTACGTTTCTCTGCCCAGCTTAACTCCCCGGTACAACGGCTGACCTCTTGCTTTAGATGCCTCCGTGGCAAGATTGAGGAAGTAACTTTGCCTGTTCCTCAGGTTGACATCATCATATCCGAGTGGATGGGTTACTGCCTGCTCTTTGAGGCTATGTTTGATTCCGTCATCTATGCCAGAGACCGATATCTCGCCCCCGATGGACTTATGGTTCCGTCGCATGCTACGCTCCGCATCGCTCCTTTCGCCGACCCCGACTTCATCGCGTCGAACATCTCATTCTGGCACTCCGTTTACGGCTTTGACATGTCCAGCATGCTCACCGGCATCCACGACGAGGCCCTTGTTCGTGCCATCCAGCCGTCGTCCCTCCCCGCAGACTCTACCATCTTCCTCCCTCTCCCGTTGCACACGATTACTGTCGACGAGCTGTCCTTCGTGAAGGACTTCCAGGTTACTTTGAACGAAGACATCGATGCGCTGGATGGCTGGGCTATCTGGTTTGACATGTTCTTTATGCCATCCAGAGAATCCACCGTCCCCGAAAATGTTATTCCGTCGGAAATGCAGAAGAAGGGCATTGTCGCCTTCACCACGGGGCCTCATGGAACTGAAACCCATTGGCAACAGGGTGTTTGTCTCATTGACCATGGAAAGAAGCGTGCGACTCCCTTGAAGAAGGGACAAACCATCACCGGGAAAATTGGATACCAGAAGAAAGAAGAGAAATCGCGATTGCTGGATATCACCATCGATTGGGATGCACAGGGTGTCGAGAAGGGATCTCAACAATGGAGCTTGCAATGAGTTATGTCCTAGATTAGAAAAGTTTAAGACTCAGATGGTTTTGTTTTTGGTTCGGGTACAAATAAAAGGGATATATCATGAATAGAAATGAAATGGCCGTTGAATGTGAAGTAGCCCTGATGGCTCGGTGCATTTTACGGGTATCAAAATTCTACACGGGTATCTAAGTAATAATCACTACAACGAAATGTTCCTTTTAGGGTCATTTAGTCATACCTCGTTGCTTGCGCTTTGGTTCAAACTTTGTCGCGATGTCGTCGAGATTCGTCGCGGCTGCGGTGGTGATCGCGACCATGACGATGAGAGCGGGAATCGGAGTGATGTCTGCTCCTATGTGATCGATCTCTACTCCTGTCTCGACCATGCCGGTGGTGCCGATGCGATTTTCGATCCTTGTCCTCGCGATGTCTTTCCGGAGATGCATCCAGCTTGAACCCTTCTAGGCTGTCTTCTGACCGCGATCTCCTCCTCCGGTGCCGTGGGCGGTCTCTCTCTGCTGCTTTCAAGGCCTCCAATTCCCGGCTTCGTTCTTCGTTCCACTTTCTTCTTTCTTGTTCGACGGATTTCAAGTGACGCACACCCTTTTTCATGGCCGCTAGAGGATCATTGGCATCCATGCGAGATTTTTCCCTTTCTTTTCTCATTGGATCCTCGTTGCCCCAAACGTTCTTCCCAGAGACAGAATCAGGCGCCATAGCCTCAGTACCGGAAGAGGAATACCAGGGCTTCTGACCAACTGATTGACGAAAACCCGCTGCGTTGGAAAATCGCATTGTGTACTGGTCTTCGTAGCTCCTCTGCTTATCGGCTGATTCTTTTTGAGCCTCTGCGTTTTTCTCGACAGGCCGCTTCGACTCATTTGACGGAAATAGATTAATATGACCGGCACTGTCTTCAAGGGGCGCATCGCTCGTGCGCGACGAAGCCAATTCCTCTCGCTTCGCAAGTGCATACTGCGCGTCTTCCCGTGCAATCCTGATGTCGCGGTCGGTGTCGTTCTCTCCAGCCAAGCGTCTTCGTTTCCTGCTCCGTCCTAGATCATCTGTGTGGCTCTTTTTTTCCGGTCGGGAGATGGGTGACGGAGATCGGGGCGGAGGTGGAGGAGTTGAGGGCCTTTCACCGCGGAGGACTTGGATTCGTCGTTCAGCATCAACCTCTTGCATAAGTCGTTCTTGTTCTTCCTCGCGCGCTTTGGCTTGGGCCTCGTCGCGCCGCACGCGGGCAATGTTCTCCGGATTGTAGACGTTCCATGATTTCTTGCCCAGGAGATGGCTGTAAAAGAAGGTGTTAGTATTTTCATGGTTTAGAGTAGGGATGAGATGAATACGAACAGCGGCATCTTGAATGCAGACTGGATAACCCAGCTAGAGAAAAGCTATCACACTTCGAGCAGTGACGATGATTCCAGAAAGCGTTGGTCGGCGGGGCCGGAGCTCCGGGGACCGAAGTGGCTGACGTCTGTTGCCTTCCCGACAGTCCAGCCTGTTCTGTTCTCCAGCTCTCCCCGCCACGTTCTCTTCTGCATCTCACATATCTCCATTCTCCATACTCTAACCCCGTCTGGTCGATCTAATCTATTACCAGACATCCCCAGATCGATTTTACTCTTTTGAGGGTGATTCTGTTGCGTTTCCGGGCTCCTTTGTCTTAAACAGCTGCCGGCGGCGTCATTGATCTTCTACTGTTCAGTTTAAGCTTACTCCCCTCGTTCTCTCGCATCGGTCTCTATCCTCTCGAACCTTGCATATCTTTACGCTACTCTCGCCGCCTATTGAATATATCCTTATTTCTATGAACCAAAATGTTTAATCGCAACATGCCTTCCGTGCCCAATCCCTTTTCGTCTCGAGCTTCTCGAGAGGGTTATGGGAGCCCTGGGCAGGCCCCGGGACATCCTCAGTATCGGTATGAAAGCGGCTCGCCTATGCCTGGGTATGGAGGCTCCCAGCAGCCTCCCCCACGAGCTCCTGCGGGATCTGGCAGAGCCTGGTCTCTGCGCCCTGCCAAAAGCCCGGATAACACTTACACCTTTGGCAATCTGGTTGCGGTATCGACGCAGGACATCCCTCCCTCCCGCGACGGTCTCGACCTTTTGCTCCTTGTCAACGACCTCTACGTCTTCTCCGCCCGTCCGCTCGATGGATTTCCGCCCGGACATATCAGCATGTCGGACCCGCAACGGACGTGGGCTGGCGTTGCGTTCACCGACAGCGTCAAAGTGCAGATCTACGACCCTTTCAGCCAGGGTGGCCAGGCATACTTGGGCTCCACGGATATCGAGGTCGGGTTCGCTGGGAAGAAGAGAGTTGAAACGCCGTATGATCAGGATGAACTTGCTAGCTATGTGATCAAGAACTTTGAAAACCAGATCTTTGCACCGGGCCAGAAGATCCTGATGGACCATAAAAGCATCCCTCTTCTTCTGACGGTCAAGACCGTTCAGCGGGTTGATCTGAGTTCCGAGAAAAGCAACCTTGAGGGCGGACGTGTCGAGACTGACCCCATCGCAAGAGGCATCCTTACGAGACATTCGCAGATCACGTTCTTCAAAGATGCTCGGACCGGAATTAACATGAAGGCGTCGAATCGTCGACCGGCCGCCAACTCTATCATCCAGCCGGATTTCAAGTTCGAGGACATGGGCATCGGTGGTCTCGATTCGGAATTTAGCACCATCTTCCGTCGTGCCTTCGCATCGCGTATCTTCCCCCCGGGTCTGGTTGAGAAGCTCGGTATCCAGCACGTGAAGGGTCTTTTGCTGTACGGTCCGCCAGGAACGGGTAAGACCTTGATTGCGCGGCAAATTGGGAAGATGCTGAACGCGCGGGAACCGAAAATCATCAACGGTCCCGAAGTTCTGAACAAGTTCGTCGGTCAATCGGAAGAAAACATCCGGAAAATGTTTGCCGATGCAGAGAAGGAGTACAAAGAAAAGGGCGAAGAAAGTGGACTGCACATCATCATCTTCGATGAGTTGGATGCTGTATGCAAGCAGCGTGGCAGTGGCGCTGGTGGTGGTACCGGTGTGGGCGATAGTGTGGTCAACCAGTTGCTTTCGAAGCTTGATGGTGTGGACCAGCTCAACAACATTCTGCTCATTGGAATGACGAACAGAAAGGATATGATTGACGAGGCCCTGCTACGACCTGGCCGTCTGGAAGTACACATGGAGATCTCGCTTCCTGATGAGCACGGCCGAAGCCAGATTCTCAAGATTCACACGCAAAAGATGAGGGACAACAATGTGATGGATAAGGACGTCGATCTGCCTGAGCTGGCTCTCATGACCAAGAACTTTTCGGGTGCCGAAATTGCAGGTCTCGTGAAGTCCGCATCGTCCTTTGCTTTCACCCGACATGTCAAGGTCGGTACAATGGCCGGCATCAGCGACGATGTTGTGAACATGAAGGTCAACCGGGCCGATTTCCACCATGCCCTCAGTGAGGTCCAACCCGCTTTTGGTGTCTCGGAAGAGGAGCTTTCCAGCCGTATCCAGTACGGTATCATCCACTACTCGCTGGCTATCAACGAGATCCTGAAGGAGGGCGAGCTTTTCGTGAAACAGGTTGGCGAATCGACTCCTCTGTTCTCTGTCCTACTGCATGGCCCAACCGCAAGCGGAAAGACAGCGCTGGCGGCTCGGATTGCCATCGACTCGGGCTTCCCGTTCATTAAACTCATCAGTCCCGAGGACATGGTTGGGTTCAGTGAAATGGCTAAGGTCCAGCACATCAGCAAGGTCTTCGACGATGCATACAAGAGTCGCACGAGTGTTGTCGTGGTTGATAACATCGAGAGAATCATCGATTGGGTTCCTATCGGTCCTCGGTTCAGCAACACCGTTCTGCAAACCTTGATGGTCTTCCTTCGCAAGCAGCCAACCAAAGAACGGCGTCTGCTGATCCTCGCCACCTCGACAGAAAGGGCCGTACTGAAGCAGCTGGATGTCTACAACTCCTTCAACTCTGATATCATGGTTCCCAACGTTATGTCGTACCAAGAACTGGAACACATCATGCAAAACTCAGGTGCATTCGAACCCGAGGAAATCACTCAGGCGCTGAGAAGCATTGGAGGTATTGCGGAGGACAAGACTATCGGTGTCGGCATCAAGAAGATCCTGTTGGGCATCGAGACAGCCAAACAAGATGCCGACAAGGTTGGACGTTTCGTGCGTGTCATAAACAGGGCGATTGAGGAGGAGCGGACGTTCACATAAAATGAGTGTCGGCGAAGGAGTTCTCATGTGACCTGTATTGTACATTGTTGGATAGGTTATTCTTAGACTAATGGAGGTTTGATAATATAAGCTGTAATAACTTTAATCAGTTTTGCAGGAATTCACCGTATGAATGGATTTAGGTAAATTGGTTTCGCAGGAAGGAAGAGCCATGTGGGAAACTCAAGTGACAAAAGTTTGACAGCAATTCCCCCATCCTTCTGCCTTCACTCACTTATGCCCTGACAGAATTCTCTTCCTCCCATCCTCTTCTCACCTTCCCACCTTTTTCGTCCTCATCCTACCAAAATTCCCCAATCACCCAAACATACCCAATAATATCCCATCATTTACACAAGAATCTGCAGATACTCGAGCAATCACCATGTCTCACTACGTTCAGCCCAAACAGATCCTCAAAAAGGGACTTTCCTCCAAGGAATACCATCTTCTGGAGGAATGGGCCCCTCAGACCTTGCAAGGCTATCATTATTCTGAAAGTTCTTCTACAGAATCGACTCAGCCCGAAAAGATTCCCAATACAGTGCACGACCCCATCCACAGACGCCCCAAGAACCGATCGTCCTCAATGTTTGAGGAATGGAAGGCTGAAGCCACGCGCAATGAAATGACGAACGAGGCAATCACCCCTGTTGTCAAGGAGAGTGAGGACCATCAACCCACTAACAACGTCTTCTCCGCACCTGATGGACCTGCCGCCGCCTTGAGTGAAAATGTTGGTGGATGCACAGAGAACATGCAGGACGGAGTAGTAGCTTCGGCTCTTCACAGACATAGACACCAGGTTCAGAATACCCAGAACAAAGCAACTGCTTGTAAGTTGAAGCTGTTTCTATCTCATTGCAATACCCACCATGAGCCCATGACCCAGTCACCTCTAACAAGCTACGAGCCTTAGACTGTGACACCACCAAGGCCAACGACACCACTCCCGTCATCATGTCAAACAACAGAAAAACATCCAATCCCACCAGTGAGGTGAAAAGGCCCGTTGAAGCCCAGACGACCTCTCGCTCTCGCTCTGAAGTCAGATCTTCATCCCGCCCGCGCAACAACATTCAACCCTCCAATGCTCAAACCCCCGTGTCATCTGGTACGAGAAGAAATGCGAAGGTGGTCAGTGAGCCGAAGAAGTCTGCTGATAGTCAGCGCGCTCGTTCTGAAATCGGAGGTTATACTGCCCCGAATGGCACCCATCTGCGGGTAGGCGAACTGCAGAGACTGTCCTGCGGCGTGAAAGTGCCAAATAAAGACACAGCGTATTTCCGTCCGAGCTTTGTGGAAGATCCATGGAAGGATGTGAAGCCCATTATGACTGAGTGTAGTAATCGGTGGTGGTGAGTGGTTTTCTTTCTTCTTTTATCTTCTCTACCACCTTTGTGTTTGTCCAAACCTTCCTGCCCTTCGTATCTTTTTACAGCTAACCCAAATTTGAAACAGATATGACACAACGGAACTTCAGTTTGACCATGCAATATTTCGGGGTTTTTATGGTCATGCGATGGGAAGTAATGATGAAGGTCTATTGTGATTCAACGAATGAAGCAGATGATGAGTTATGAAAGACGTTACTTTGAGGAGAACTATGGTGAAAAATGAGTTACAGTGTATTTCCACTTGTTTCTAGTCCGGCAATCACTAAGTCCATAGCTGACTTTGGCAATGGGGATAATGAAAATAATCTTTGCGAATTGATAGGCGCATGCTGACTTATCCTCTTTTCTATTTTCAATCGGTTCAAGGTGATAAATCTGGTTCTGAACCCTTTAGGATGGCTAGGCACTGTCCGTTCCCATCATTTATCTACACTGATAGGCCGAAGTATGGTGGCCATTCCGAATCCAAATATAGAAACCAAATTTGCCCCTGAATCCATTCTTTCATGCTCTCAATAGCTTGCGTCATATTTAGCGATCCTAACCAGCCCTCCTGCCTAAATATCCCCAAGGAAGCATTTCGACCTTTTATTCTCAAATTATGATTCATCAGCGTTCTGGCTGCCCATGTTCTAGAGATATTAGCTCGGTTGACTCGAATGGGTAGGTACCAGGGGCATTCACTATCAGCTCAGCTCTATCAATCACTCTAGACAAAATGTTTGTTTAGGAAGGCCTTGAGAGATGTGAAATGACCAAAGGGGCCTCGGAAGGGAATGGACGCCTGTCTGCCTGAGGCTAATACTGGCACGCTCCTTCCCCATGGGACCCTCCCTTTCAACTCACCTTCTTCGGTTCCTCAGTTCCATCTTCTGAACAACGTCCATCATCGAACTACCCTCTTTACTCGTTATAGAGCCTTTATGGTGCGTGTCTGAGGCACAATGGGTGCAATTAACTAGTCCTGTCTAACTACTGGATCCTGCAGCCAATCGCCCCCCACAGCCCCGTGTCCCACTCACCCTACGTACTGGGCCTACACACTCTCTCCCTACTGGCCTGGTCTCTCCTACTAGAACAGCTAAACTACAGCATCATTGGCTACTGTGCCTTCGCGAAACAAGCTAATTACGCCCGTCCAGCCGCCGTGGGCGCATGAGAACCCCATCTTGCCCAATGGGAGCGAATCTGTCCCTGCAGCGGCAACGCACATTGACCACGAGGGAGAAAAGGCCGCAGGGAGGAGGAACCCACCCGCAAAAGCGGCAAGCAGAATGGACGAAAACGGAGGGCGGAGCGGAACCATGCGGCGCGAGGATGTCCGCCAGCGGAGTGGGGTTCCAGCGGACAGGCTCACCCCCTACCCTCTCTCAACTTTTGCTCATTCGCCATTTGTTGTTCGCCGAGTACTTGGAGTGTCTTGCGCACTGTCTGGGGATTTGCTCTCCGACGGTGATAATGCTAGTGAGCTTCCCCGTTGATATTTTGCTGCGATCAGTCTTTTACCCTGGACATGGATGAACAGGGATGTCGGCTGGGGCTGTGAAGAATAGGGGGTGCCATGATGAGGGCTGGCGGAAAGATCGAAAGAGCAGCATCTCTCCGCGTCTCCAGGAGGACCGTGCCCACACTTGCCCCGGCAATAGGGCTGGCACATGACCGGGGTTGTCCTTGTGATGTGATATGACGACTCCAAACCTCACCTTTTCCGGCGCGCTTCCCGGTCACACTCGCAAGAGAATTGACAGAATAAAATCGGTGTGTATTTCATCCAAAACCAAAGCGCTACCGACAAAACATATCCCAATATACACGTCATGAAACCAAAGAAAATAACAAACATGTACCATCCCAGACAAGATTACACCAAAGATAAACCAAAGCTGATCGGAACAGCCGAATCCCCCAGAATGAAAAGCAGCAAACAAACCTCGCCAGGGTCATCAAAAATCAAACGTTTTCAAAACAGTTCGTTGCCACCGTCGTTAAGAAAATATAAACCGATTAAAGTCATAAAGTCACCAGAAAAATTAGAGAAGGTTGGTCGTTTTTTGCCTCGTGCGCGAAGCTCAGTTGTCGTCATAGGTGTATTTTTTGGTTGCTCGTCGGTACTCGTCTGGGTGTACGCTCTCGGCTTTCGTCTTCAACGCGCTGAAGCCAAATGCAGTCAGTATCACGATTTCAACACCCCGGGACAAACTTCTCCATTGAATCTGTTGGCTGCTCCATATACCATAAGCCAGGCACATATTGCCAAGAACAGCTTGGGCAGCGGAGCGCGGCGGGTCTCCGCGCGTGCCCAGCGGAGCGGAATTCTCAACGACGATCGTTATATCTGGCATTGCGGGGACATTGCGGAAACTCATTTGCACTTACTTCACACGCTTCTGAGTCCATTCCAGATCCCGCTTGGTTTCCCGAGCAACTTTGATGCCATCGGAGAAGTTGGCGCGAACGCCCTTCAGACGACGCTGAGCGAGAGCTTGCAACTCAAGAAGTTCTCGCTGCTTTGCATTAAGCTGCCCGGAGCTGTTCCCATTTCTCTCAGCATTTGTCATTAATGAACAGCGCAGAAGAGTCTCACGTTTGTGCCTGCATTGCTAGTCCTTTGTCCAACGGGGTTGGATCGAAGGTGTTCTGCATGCGGTCACTCAGAACATCCACAACATCAACCCCGGAGTACGAGGCAGAGCTGGACTCATAATCGCCGCTGAGGCTTCCGGAGCCGTAACTAAAGCCAGCGGATGTGCGACTTCCTGCAGTAGTGCTCGTGTCCGAGAGCTCCGGAGGGGACCCGGAAACGCGGCTGACTGGGTAGAGACTGGCCGGTGCCGGGGCCTTGGAGGGAACATTGATGGGAAGGACAGGAGCTTGGTAGTGCTGGGTAGTCATATTGATGGCTGTGATTGCTCGTCGATGGAAACAAAGACACAGCAGGTAAGGAGATTGGTATAAAGAAACAATGTCTTGATACCGAGTTGAACTGCGGACGGCTTGGGCGGTTGACTTGATGAAAGAAGATGGTGGAGGCAAAGAAGGTAAGATGAAGACAGGAAAGATGGAAAAGGAAGAGGAAGGGAGGACGAGGAAGACGGAACAGAGGAGGGCTTTTATAAGCCTCGACGGAGAGTCATCCCTCCGGTGGAATGGAGCAAGACGAGAACTATGACCCCCTTGGAGAGGGAGAGGGGAATGAGCGACGCGGTTCATTGGGCACTGCGAGACTTTTCTCGCCCTCCCTCTCCTCCCTCAGGCCTCGCCCTCCCACTCCCTCCGGACTTTCTCCAATCCCAACCCCCCAATTCCGCCCATCTCTCCTGATCTGGCCGCCAATTCGCTCCTTCTCTCGGACCAACCCCGCTCTGGGTGGGAAGACGAAAACTTTAGGGAGGAGAATCGAAGACCGGAGACTGGTCCAGCCCTCCTCCTCCTTCCTCCACTCGGACTCTCTTCCGCGCTCCTGTGGCGACTTTGTCGGGCACGTATCGCGGTCTCCGGTTTTTTCGGTCTCCGTTGGGTCGCAATTGAGGGAATTGGGACCTAGCAGGGGAATATAAAAGGAAAAGGAAGGGGAAAGAAATTCGAGAAGATGCTTCTTCTGTCTTCTCTCTTCTCCTGCTGATGGTTGAGGCTACTTGGCTTGCACTATTGTTCTCTATATTTTTCGCGCCTCGCTCTTTCCCACGTCTCTCAACCTGGTACCCTTTTTTCTTTTTCTTTTTCTTTTTCTTTTTTTTTACTCCCTGCTCCAGTCCTACTCTTCAGTTGCTCTTCAATTCCAGCCGATCTTACCCGATTTCTCCTCAATATGAGGAGGCTGGGTGGCTGGGAAAACATGGATACTGAAGGTGGAATTCCAAGGTTTATTTGGCCGGCGAACGACGGTGATAAGAGAATGGCGTGACTACGGAATCGACTAAGAACGACGGCTCTTAGTCGCGATTGGTGTTGATGCCGTCCGCTGTCGGCTACGCTGTGCTGGGCTCATCATTGCCCCTTTCTCTCGGTTTCACGTTCAGAGTCGAGGGTCTCACCTACCGTGTTGACATTCATGGTGGTATATTTCACCAAAGATCTGCCGGAGATATGAGGTAAGTGGAGACCGGAGAGGTTTGGGATTGGCTGCCTGTGATAGTCGCGGGATTTAAAAGGGGAAAAGAAAGGGAAAAAAAAATTTTTTTGTGTCAGTTTTGAGAGCATACTCCGATACTTCACCTCGCTAACTTAAATGAACAGGATGTGGAATATCCTGCGGGAGAAAGCGAAAGACCGACAAGGCCCCAGGATCCGCAAAATGGGAAGCGACAAGCACAGGGGTCTAAGGTTAGCGGCGTTGGACACCATTGCATGGACTGAAAACCCGAAATCCAAAAGATGTGCAAAAAGACCACTGGCGATGTCTCCGAAGCTCTCATGCGGGTGGCCTCGCCCGATCACAGCGGCCTCAGATCGTCGAAATAGCACGGCAGGGCATCGGTAGTTCCTGAAAAAGAAATCGAGCTGTGTAACGAGCATGACATTATATCTTCCGTGGCGCATTAAACGGAGGAAAGACAGGGAATATCCGGAAGGCTGGATCCTCAGACCGTCGTTGCGGGCCGCCTATCGGCGGCTGGCTGCTATCAAACTCTTGGACCAAATGGGACCATGCAAGCACCGAGACTAGGAACGATGGACAAGCGCTTTAAACGCTGCCGACCTGCGAAATTCGAGGGCGAAACGGGTGGAAGTGGACCTTGACTAGGCAGCTCAGTGTTACTTGCAGGTTAGCAAACTATGATGACTGGGCAGATCGTCTATCACGGGCATGACAACCAAAAGATGGGAGTTCCTGCAGAAAAAAAGACCCAATCCTGCGTTGTGGAGAAACGGCGGACTTGAATTCGACTCAAAGGAACTAGTATGAAAGAGGGGAGAGGAAAAAAAGAAAAAAGAGCAAAGTCCCTGAGGAGGAAAGAGAAAGCGCAAAATGACACATGAACAGAAGGGCGAAAAATCATTAAAAAACAAAGAGGGATTCAGAAAAAGCCCTACTCGTACGCTGACATGCTTTAGTGCCTGTTCTCAACAATGACAGACTGGGCCCGCCGGCCGGGATGAGAAATCACCACTCAAATCTTTGGACGGCCAGTGACAACGGCACCCAGTGACATCGTGCTCCGGAATGCCCCTAATGCGGGTCTCGTCATTGCTCGACGGCTTTGCTGCTTCACCTCGCCTCAGGATTCTTGCCTTACAGTTCGGTCGCGGCTCTCTTCCCGTTCGATGCCAGTACTGCTACCGTGGGAATATGCCTGATCGGCATTCGACCCAAAACATACTCAAATCATTACAATAGCGCCCTCAATTTTTACTTTCCAACCTTGGCCCGATCGAATACTTGGGTAACACAGAAACTCAACCCTCGACAAGTGGTGGATCCATGGAGAGCTTGCCCAAGAAGGGTCTTCTAGTTCTTACCTTCGTGCCCTGTCTCTGACTTTTCTATCAAGATCCTTTTCTCTTTTTTGGAGGATCAGGAAGAAAGCGACAGAGAAAAAAAAAAAAAGAGAAAAAGAGGTGAAAAAAAGTCGATGCCATGTCGCTCTATCAGTCTTCTTGGCAGGAATGACAGCCCCATCAATCTCACCTGGCAAGGGAATCGGATCCTACGGGTTGGTTGACTCGGGATTTCCTTGCTTTGAGCAAATGCACTGCTGATAGGCTTATGCAAAATGCTGCTCGACATTCATCCATGCAGTATCGACCTGGTCCAACATGTTACCTGACAGCTTGATACAGCCTAGCCCATTATTATTAGGGTCTCTTTCGCTGGACCAGAACCACCGAAAGGTGGTTTCTCCGCAGCCATGGACAACTGTGCCCAACACGGGGGTCCGTGTTTAGGGCTTGTCGTTGGAAGGGACAAGATGTACTCCATACATACAATGACAACAGACGACACAGCATGCCTGAAATTCCATTCGTGTGTCGTCACCCTTGCTTCACCTCGTTTCTTCCCTTTTTTTAATTTTTTTATTTTTCTCCCCAAAAAAAAATCCCTTCTTCTCCAGTTCCCTTGCTTTCCAATGATCACCCATGGCCACCCCCCCAAAGACCACGAATGCAGAGTGGATGCAACCAATGTGGGGTTGGGTGGAATTCGCCTATCGGCCTTTTCGTTGCGTTTGCTCACTCGCCCTTTTCCTCACCGCCACTAAGAGCCAGACCCGGTACGCTACGTACTTGCTTGCGGCTTTGCAACCCATTGGGCGTCAGACAGGCCCCGGTCTTGTTCCTTTCTCCTCTTTGGCTTTTCTAGAACATAGTGGGTTGATGGCACGGGTGAGATCGAGATGGCTGGAACGGCTGCCAGCATCCATGCTCCTGCCTGACTTGTTGGAATTCCTCATCCAGGCGACCATTATGACACCATCGACTCATTCAGTTGGACGAAAAAGTTCCAGAAGGGAGCAGGCGGAAGAAATGATAGGCATGGCATCCCCGCAGTCAGATCTTCTTCGGCGATGAGGAAATGCCACCGTTGGGCTTCAACGGTCTGATCCAATGCAGTTATCGAGCCTGGTATCTTCCATTCCACTTTCCCCTGCCCGATACTATTTCATTTACACCACAGGCCTTATCCAGGCGCTACATATCATCAAAGACTCGATGCAACGGTAGTAGTAGACATGCTAACCCTTAGCCGACCCAACTAACCTTGTCACTTCACGTTCTACCGGGGAACGAAGAAACAGAGAGAAAATAGAAGACAACAAGAGAAAAAAAAAAAACTCCCCGATCTTTTTTTCAATTCTCTGAGTTCCTGTGACTTGAATTCAGCCAAGATCGTGACTAAAAATCGAAGCAAAAGATGAAAGAAGAAGTACGAAAACAAACCATCATACAAAGACAGCAGATCGCAAGGACTGTGAAACCAGCAAACAACCCATTACATCATCCACGAACACCATCCTCTACTCAACAAATAGAGAATTCAGAAAAGTACTACTACCTACCCTCGATCTCTGTGACGATGGGTACACGACCATGCCATCCCTTTTCACTCCTTCCACCACCTGAGAGTCCAAGTCTCACGACCGACACGAAGAACCACCTACCACAGCATATTCTCCCTCGAGGGATAAGAAAAAAAAAAACAATTGCATTGTCACTCGTCATCTGGACACGACACAAAGTTACACAGAACGAAGCGAGCATATCGTATTCCCCTCTGCCATTGGAGGCCATGCGGAAATTACTCTAAGCGATTATGAAATAAGAATAACTTGAGGGTTTCCTTTTTCCCTCCCTGCGTCTTTTGGGTCTCCTACAGTCTCTCATATATCACGGGATGGCTGAATGTGGAAGGTCCAGACGCATGACTCCAGAATAAGGGCGGATGGGTTGTTTTTTTTTCTTCCCCCCTCCCCTGTCTCATCGTAAGAACCTATAGTTGGATAGTTAGATAGGATAGATCGAGTAGGTATGTAGATAGATAAGTAAGGTAACTTTCATTGCAATGCAATGCATGCATGCTCGTCATATCATCATATCATATCATGGTTCGGACTGAACCTGTCTCGTCAACAGAACAAAGAGCCCGGTCCGGTCATCAAGCCAGAGAGAATAGCGAGAAGAGAAGAGAAAAAAAAGCAGCATGAATCAATCCGATACCGGTATATCAATAATTATCTACTAGAGAAAAGAAAATGCGAAAAGAAAAAGAGGAATATAAAAATATAGAAAGTGAAGACAGAAAAAAAAAAGGAAGAAAAGAAATAAACATCGAGGGTATGAAAAAACGCTCTGTTATCTGCAAATACAATTCCAGAAGTTTAATATCATGCTCGTAAGCTGGTATCGGAAAAGCCACATAATGTGAACGAAGAAGAAAAAGGATGAAGGAGAAGAAAAAAGGGGCTTGACAAAAAGTCCGAGGATGTTGGAGAGAAGGGGAGAAAAAAAAAAAAGACGATGAAGAGTTGCTCAAGAAATCCGAGAACTGACGCCACGCACAAAGGTCGATAGTCCAAAGAATAACAAAAGCCTGAAATTCCGACCCCGTAATGCTGAAAGGTATCATTCCGAATTGAATGCCGCATGCAGATGAATGGTGGAAGATAAGAAACGAAACAAACGCGAAAAAGGAAACAAGCAGAAATCAAAAATCGTCCCTAGGCGCCTTTCCGTCCGGTGGCTCTAACCAGCCAAAACCCCAGCCCAAATGTGAGAAAGAAACAAGTCAACCGAACCAATATCAGGTACATCATGACACAAACAGCGAGGTCACGAGAATGCGTACATCGCAATGGAAAGGGGCTTCACATCAAAAAGCCAACATGAAAAATAAAATCGAGGAAGCACTCCTAGAGAAGGGCACCCATTCGCAAAGACAGACGATTTGCGCTTACTCTTCGCGATGGTCATTCTCATGATCCTCCTTAAGGCGGTCTCGAAGGAGAAGCAACGGCCGGTTGGGGTCAAGGAGTCCCATCATCATTTTACCCAATTCATTGTGTTTGATGGGTTTTGTAACGTAGTCGTTGAAGCCAGCACGAGCGGCATCTTCGATCTGATCGGTCATCGCATTCGCTGACAATGCCATTATTGGTATTTGAGGATAATGATTCTTCAGTTCCCAGGCACGAATGTCGCGACAAGTGTCGTAACCATTTTTAATGGGCATTTGGATATCACACTGTTCACAAATGCGTAAGCTACTGTGCCGCCAGTCGCAGTAGGCAGAGAAAACACTTACTATGATGAGAGAGTAGTAACCTGGCTCCTTGGAAAATACCATTTCCGTGCACTCTTGGCCGTTACCTGCGGTCTCGGCCATGACTTTGATCTTATCGAGATACTTGAGCATAACCTGGCAGGTTCCATATCCGTTAGCATCTGTAGTCGAGCAAATGGGGTTAGAAGAAAAAAAGAAATACGAACCATGCGGTTGGTCTCGTCATCTTCAACCAGTAGGACCCGGTAACCTTTGTTCCCGATAACTTCTTTCACCATCTTGGACATGGTTTTGAAGTTGTTGTTAATTTCTCGTGCCATGTCCTGATTCCTGTCCTTGCTAAGATCGCGTTGGTTGTCCGGGTCAAATATGGCAGAGAACGCAGAAGGTTTGACCGGCTTGGGTACGGTATACACACGCCGGCCACCGGAAGACAATTCTTTGATCCTCGAGTTGATCTGTCGTTTCTGGTACAAGTCGGAGATGAGGACAAGAGCCGGGGCAGAAGCAGGGTCGCATTCCGAAACATAATTCATCACATCCAAAACGTCGTCCACATTGGGTAGATTGAGGACCAAGTGGGTAAGTTTAGAGCCAGTGTCATTGTTGAAGAAGTCTCGCCAATCTTCAATATCAGGCGTGGAGGTGATTGAGAATGGAACTTCATGCGGTACAACTTGCTCAATATGCTGTTTGATAGCCTTGCGCGTGTTGTCCATGGGGCAAAGAATGAGTATTGAGTAGGGGTTTTGAGATTGTGAAGCCTCGGGTTTCCCTTGCGGGGGCGCCGGCGTGCTGGAGACGGGGGAGCCTTGAGGTGGCGGGGTTGATGATTGAACCAGTGGATGTAGGGTATCACTGCTTGCCGAGGTCAACGGATTGACTTGTCCTTGCGCTGGAGCATCGGCATAGCTGGCGCCAAGCTTGGTTGTATCAACCTTGGCCAATGGGTCCACGGCGGCGTACAGATCGGGGGTGGGGAGAGCGGAAGAGATCGACGAACGCTCAGACGCATTGGAGGTAAAGCGCGCCGAAGGGTCGGAACTGCTCGGGGCTTGGGAGAGGGGCGATTCGAGAGCGGCAGAAAAGTCGTTGGAGTCAATCTTAGAGTCAATAGAGTCCTTTGACGAGAAGAGCATTTTCTGGAGGGAACTGGGTTTTTGCGCCCCAAGAATTTCGGACGTGTTAGAGGTTTGTCGAACGAGGCGAGGTTCATCGGGGGTTGGCGGCGGAGGCGCATCAACTTTGACGTGGAAAGAGAACTTCGCGCCTTGTCCCTCCTTGCTCGTGGGCGTCAATCTGCCCCCGTGCATCTCAACAAGCTGTTTGGATAAGAACAATCCAAGCCCGCTTCCTGCGTGCTGCTGAGAGCCATTCTGCCCCAGCTGGCTAAACCGCTGCATCAGACGCTCGGCGTCTCTAGCGCTGAAGCCTTTGCCTGTATCGACGACGTCGAAATTCAACAGTAACTCCGTCTTCTTTGACAAGGCCGAGGGGCCATGGTAGACGGAGCAACAGATGTGAATCTCTCCTTGCGCAGTGAACTTGACTGCGTTGCCAACGAGGTTTATAAGAACTTGACGGATTCGGAACCTGTCTCCGATAACCATTGGAGGTACATCGACATCCATCAGATAGTTGATCTCAAGGCCCTTATCAATGGCCCGAGAAGCGACGGTGTCGATGACATCTTCGATCACTGACCGAACATGGAACCACGAGTTGACCAATGACATCTTTCCAGCTTCAACTCGAGACACGTCAAGAATGTTATCGACCAGTTCACGTAAATTAGTCGAGCTGTTTTGGATAGTATCAAGCATGCGTCTCTGATCCGTGTCGAGCTGCGTGTCGAGGATGAAGGGAATGGTGCCAAGTATGCCATTCAGCGGGGTTCGAATCTCGTGAGACATGTTGCTGAAGAATTTGGTCTTCGACTCCATCTGGTTGTTGAGTTGTTGCATTGCCTTGTTGAGTTCTCGTTCAAGGTTCTTGCGATCGTTGATGTCGGTGCAAGTGCCATACCAAGAAGCCTCTCCACTGCCGAAACTGCTGGTCTCAACTCGGACCAGTCGAACGAGATGCCACCTGAAATCGCCTCCCTTGGAGCGAAGACGGATTTCGGTCGAGTAGAAGACCCGTCCATTCTCGTCCTTTTGCAGAGAAGCAACCCCACGTCTCACAAGTTCATCCAATGCCGGAGTGACTCCTCGAGTAAGGCATTTTTCCTGGACGGCTGCTTTCGCCGCCTCGGAGAGTTGACTGGCTTCCGGGGGAACCTTTCCGCCTTGAGCCTCGGCGAGGTAGAGTGAGAGCAATCCGCATTTCTCCAGATCATCGGGATGGACGTGTTTCGCAAACCCGAAATTGAGCGCCTCCTCCAGCTTTTGGCCCGTGTACAGATGCCATTGCTCGTTCACGAATATCAGTCCACGATACTCCGTTGCTTCGAAAACGACCTGCGGGATCGAATTGGAAAAGGCCCGGTATTTGGCGTCAATTGCGAACTTCTCTCTCTCCTGCGTAGCTTTCAATTCGGCGATATGTTGCTCGTGGATGTCGAGGAACGAGCCGATCCAATACAGCACCTCGCCCGTCGCGGATAACAAGGGGTTTGCGCGGAAGATAAACCAACGGTAGGCGGACTCGTCATTAAAGCGTCGAACACGGACGCGTTCAGTGAACTGCGAGCCCGTTCGCAGAGCATTGGCCCATTCCTGAGATACGTGCTCGCGTTCACTGCTGTGAATATTCTGCCATGGGTCCCGTAACTTCTGTTCCTGCGGCTGGCTCCGTCGGTAGGCATCGAACTTGGAATTCGTCCAGATAACTTCCCCGCTCTGGGGTTTGGCTAGAAAAAGGTGAAGAGGAACGGAGTTCAGCATGAGTTGCGCTACAGTGTCGGTGAATGGACGAGGCAGCTCGCGCGGCAGTTGGGCATAGAACGAGTTACCCGAGGGATGGCGAGAGTTCGTTTGCGTTGGAGACAAAACCGACGGGCCTTTGAAGTCCTGGGATGGAGACACCAAGACTATGCCTGGATCTTGGGCATTCGCATCCTCATCTGCGAGTTTTCCCATGAACTTTCCAGGCGAAGTGGGAGTTGATGTGGCGCTCTGCTTCGCTTTTGACAGTCGGTTGCGATGTTGAGTAATGGCCTCGCGGAAATTCCTTGGTTGCTTGACGTTGAAGTAACTGTCGACGGCGTCGCTGTTTGCTTTAGCAGCGACGCCTGGTGATTCGGTGGGCATGTTGGCAAGGCTGTGCAGATCAAAATTAGGGGTTCCAAGCCTGGACAGGGCAGGACTGAATTTGGTCGAATTTGATCTTTCATCGGGACTCGAAAGGCTCGCGTGGGCTGAGAGAGTACCATCATCTGCAATTGTATAATTGACATGGCCACTCAGGCCAGCAACCAGTTCTAGCTCGCTGCTCTCGTCGGAAAAGGTACCACCGAGACCAAGCAGATGCCCGTATCGTGGAATCTCCAGACGCGAAGCAAATTGCCGTTCAAGCTGGCTGTAGTGTTGTGCCAGACAGAATGAAGTGGTTAGGTGAGGCATCAGATAAGCCAGTGATTGCCGCAGATTCGCGTGATATGGCATTATGGGCGAAAGAATTGAGATAACCGCGACAGGGAACCTCAAAGTGGACGGGGAGGCCTGCTTAGAGCGTCCCGCATGCAAAAGTGGGATGTGAACCACAGATTTAGCCAAGTCAACGCCAATGGCTTCTAATGGCTTAAGATTTGCATAGTCATGAGGCGGCGGGTGCTTTGCGAAAGCACCCTCGTCGACAGCGTGACTAACAAAAAAGGGATTCTGGTCGGCATGCGCACGAGGTGCCGGGGATGGAGCAGGCGACTGAGACCAGGGCGAAGGAGGCACTTGTTCATATTCGTCGTAGAACTCCATTAATGAGGGTATTGCCGCCTGGAGGCCGATCCTAGGTGGGTTGGACAGGGATCTAACGCGATCGGATTCGGACTGTTGGGAGACGTTTGGAGGTTCGGTGGGAGTAACCTGGATCGTATCTTCCGGCGTCTGAACCTTCTCCGCTTGAGACTGCGAAGCTGACCCGGTCACACCCTGCGAATATTCCCGGGTGAGAACAACAGGCCCCGTACGCCCAAATAGCTTCACCACACCCGTCCTCTTGACGAGCGGATCCGCTTCAACTTCCAATGGCCTCGGGTTTGGGAAAACAGCAGGTCGGTTATTGTCTTCCAAGGTATTAGAAGCTCCCACAGACTGTGAGAAATTGGTCGCGCGGTCTTCGTGTACAGTGGGTATTGTATCCGCAGGGTTTTGCGCGCGCTTGTGCTCAGCTTTTGCTTTCTGACCAAATGGTGCGTCTGGATCAGGACCGGTAGACTGTTTCCTCTCCTTACCAAAACCTCCGAAAGAATGCCGTGATAGGAGCGGAGGTCGTGCGGCCGAGATTGAGGCCGGTTTATTTGCATTGGTCCCTGCAGTAGATCCCCCCTTCGTGTCTGCGTTCTCGCCGTCCTTGGGGCCAGTGCCCTTCGTTTGAGTCGTGTCACCATGCAACGCTTGTCCGTCATCGGGCTCAGCCCTTAGGTTCCCACCAAAAACCGCCTTCTGGCCCCACGGAACGTTTTCGAGATCAGTCGCGTCTCCAGGAACAGCGAGTGAAGCCCTTTCCGCCCCATAGTGCGTTTGCAATATATCCACAACATTTGACCACCATGCATCCAGCCCAGGATCCGCATTTAGCCGTAAGGTTAGATCGTACAGGTTAGGTGTAGGATAAGCCAAGTCTTCAACCACTTGTTTGTGCTGCGGCGGAAGGAAAAAACTATTTGACGTGGGCGTTTTAACGGACTGGTGTTCAGCCATACTTTGCGGTGTCATGTTAATCTTGAGTTTCTCAGCGGGGAGCGTCAAGGTGAAAGGGCTGTGGCCGAACGAGGACTCTTGCGACGGTTTCATGGTTGGCTGAGACTGCATCGTCGGGAAGGGGTACGTCGAAGGGTGTCCCGAGGGGTTTGCGGAGGGAGAATCCATGGCCTTTATCGTGCCGGTCGAACCAGCAGAGTCTGGATGCGAGACGGAGGATATCGCCCCTGTCGATGACGGTGCACCTTTGGAGAGCGATACATTAGAGATACGCCTCTTTCGCGACGACGACTCGTGGTGGCTCGGAGAAACGGAATCGACTTGTGACAGAGGCTCTCGAGTGGCGGATAGATTCTGGCTCTGGGATTTCTGCATTTGTTGATACACAAGCAGCTCTTCCATCTGCCTCCGGAGTTCCTTCAGAGTTTGAGAGCTTCGCCCCTGGTCCTCTTGGGACCCTTTTCCCGAATCCGTATGCTGAATTGTGGACGCTGACGAGTGGTAGGGGTTCGCGGTCTGTTCATGCAGAATAGGAGAGTTGCGAGAGTTAGCCTTCCGTGTGCTATCCGCCAGGTTCGTGTTTTCATCCGCGGAGTATCCATCATGCTTAGACTGGGAGGAGTCATGGTGAGAATGAGGAGCGCCGACAGACGAAGGGGCCTCGGCCGGCGATGGAAGCGGAGGTGTCCTCATGCCGTGAACTTCCCCCATCCTGTACTTCCTCCACCGCCGGTCAAAATTCAATTCTCCTGTGCGAATCCAACTCCACAGGAGCCAAATGAGGCACTCATCTCTCGGACAAACAGGTCCGCACTCAAATGGCTGGCAGGACGTTCACACGAATCCCAAGGTGAGGTGGAGGAAGGGAAATGCAGAGGGGAATGAATTTCGCGAGAGAGAAAGAACCCAACAAAAAAATAATGATAATAAAGGGTTTATAGAACACAGAAAAAGAAGGGAAAAGGGGCAGTCCTAATGAGCACGGGACCCCAAAAGAAAATAATAAAGAGAGGGGAAAAAAGAAAAAGAAAAAAAAAAAAAAAAAAAAAAAAAAAAGGGAAAAAAGGCGACAGAAAAAAGAAAGGGTATCCTCGTATAGACTCGGTTTGGAGGATGAAAAATTTCCAGGAAATTAATGGGGTAAAAAAAGACCCAAGAATTAAAGGGGGGTTTTTTTGGGAGAGAGATAAGAGGGAGCGAGAATGACTGGTACAGAGGGGGAAAGTGTAAAAAAAAAAACGGAGTCGCCAGGAAGGGTGACTAAAAGCGGTGTATGGCAGACGGGGAGGTGAGGAACTTAGGAAGTCAGAGGAAGAGGGAGAGTGCAGGACTGACTGACTGAAGGCGAGGAAGGTTCGACTGATCTGACCTTTCCGAGAATGAAGAAACACTGGAGCAGGTTCTGTTGACCCAGCAGATCGACGATTTGTGCTGAAGCGTGTGGAATTGGTCCGTCTCCGGGGGGGTCCAACCTATGACGTAGCCGCGCCCTGGGGGGTTCTGGCTAATCCGTGGCGCCTGCGAATGCCGTCCTCGTCCACGGCGTGAAGGGGCCGACGGGGGAGGATGCGAGCAGGAAGGAGTGGGCGGCGGGTTTCTATGTGGGAAGAGGCGAAATATCAACCATGTATGACTGCCAACAAATCGTCCGGGGGCGCAACTGAGAGAGTGTGCGAGAGAGGTGAGAAGGAACGGATGGTCAAAATTGAAGAGGCCGGAAGGGAAGTAGAATAGTCCGCCAGGCATAGTGGGTAATAATCATAACAATAATAACCAAGAGGGGGAGAGCAGTTCCAGAGAACCCAACGCATGATCCCTTCCACCAGTCTGAATCCCCTCGGCGCCGACCCATTTCTCGTCCGGCTTCGACGCAGCACCGTCGATTTCACCCCCAGATGTCCTGATCATCTAAATCCCTAACCCCATCCCGGGTCTTTCTGTTGTCGTCGTGCCGTCGAGCAGTTCTCCGACTACGTACGTCATAGAGCCCATGCAGTATGGTACTGGTAACAAATCAACATGCCTAATGCATGGCGCTAACGTGATGGTATTTTTCAACTCGCTGCTGAGTAGACCGCGAGGGGATACAGAAGACACCCGGAAAAGGAGCGTGAACAGTCAGTATTAAAACGCAGGACGATAATTTTTCGATGGTTTGACAGCTGGATAATCGATGGGGCAAGAAAAACCATCACGAACATGCCCCCTTTCATGGCGTCCCTTAGTCGTCACTCCGCCAAGACTGGCAAATAGAGAAACATGCGGAGTATTTTCTAGTCTCCAGCCCGACACCCGTCATCGTTCAAGAGAGGGGACCGGAAAGGAAAGCGAAAGCAACAGGAAATCAAATAAACTAAAATAAACCAGACAATAAAAATAACAATCAAAAAGGGAGTACACCTCTCCGGTCGTCTCCTGGAACATCCAGCCAGGAAAAGATATTTTAAGCTATGATGGCTGCTGCAGTGTGCTGAACACCCGCCGTTGATGTGGTCAGCTCTGCCGTATATTAACTAATATAATATTGCATGGGTTTCCACCCGAAGGCAAAAGGAAATGAATTGGTCCCACATGGTATCAGCAGACCCGAACGGAAGTAACACAAGGAATGCGATGTTTTTCCATCATCGGGTCTGCCCGTAGAACCCCAAGAAATGCAAAAATTCAATGGCCACCTGTAAGCAGCTTTTACCCAAAGACTGCATTTGCACACACACATCCAGCGCAATTTTTACTTAAGAGTTCTGTGCGGTGTTAAATTTCAATGCTTCGTACAGCGTAGATACTATACTACTTTACCTCGGGCTGTTCCTCGGACAATGGGCATGGTTTCTCGCTACCAGACGGCCAACTACTGCTTCTTGAACACAAATAGTGGCCGATTCCCGGCGACTAGAATTATTATTGATTCCTACTATCTCCCTTGGGAAAAGAGTGCACCCTGGAAACCCAAACAAGGTTGACTTTCCGCCAATCATCACTAGTAGTTCTGCTGCCTCGTCCAGAAAGGGAAAATATGGGGTACAGCCCGACGAACAAGAACCATTTGGACTCCCGAGATACAGAGACTAGGGATGCATTCGCAACGGCTGACAACACCTCGCCTATCTATCTGCCAATCTGAGAACCCACCTCATTCCAGTTGAGCCTCTACTGGGAATTTTATTCTTAGAGTGCGGTTTTGGGGTGGCCCCCGCAAGAATCCCACCGTTTATTAGCTGATTAGTGGTTCCTAGCTTACCCTTCCATTTAGTTATCCGTAGGTAGATGAAAGTACCCGTACGGAGTGTTCCGACGCGATGATTGCCCCCTTTTCCTTTCTTAATTTCTCGCAAAAAAGTTACATCACTGAACAAATCCATAAAATAAAATATGAATAAGAACTCCGCCCCACAAATATTAAGGGCATGTTGTCATCTGCAAATGCGTTTTATTTAGTCTACAGTCGGAGGGCGAACCCAACCATAAGAACAGCGTGTTCCGAAGCATAGCGCATACGTGAGAATCAAATTGGAGTCACGTATCAAGCTTAAAACTTTCAAAAACTACATTTCAAATGCGATATTCTCAAATCAATTAAAATGGGTCTTTTATCTTTTTCACCATGCCTTCGTGAAGGCCCATGGAGCAAAATAGAACATTGGGCACTCCTTGACCGCTTTACTATATAGATTACCACACTACCACGACGTGGAAACAACATTACACTTCCTAGAGGAATCGTGCTGTTGTTCAATGGATATTGGTATAGTTGCGATGGTCCATAACGTTCAAAATCATCACAAATTGGTAAATTCATGGCGCGGTCATGAAGGCCGTACACTTATGTGAGATGAAAACACCCATGTTCAATATTCGAAGAGGTCTATATATATCACTATCAGGTGGTAGCATTGGAAATCCAAGCCCAATCGCAAAAAGCGGCGATGGTTTTGTACAAAACTTCTATAATACCAATTGGCGCCTGAAATATTTCCCCTCATGTCTTCATGTCCCAACTACGATATTCATATTGTATTTCTATCGAATCATTATCTGAGACAGAACACAAGCTTCATTCTGATTATGCCGTATCAAGAACAAATAGGGCTATGACACCAATTATACCAAGTGGTGGAGACTTGAAGGCCCAAATGGTCGCAGTATCGGGAGTCCGGACTATATACCGTGAAGGAATCTGGAAGTTGATTTATCGAGTATTTTTTTTCTATTATTGGATCAGACGGCACTTCTCCGGAGTTTGCCGGCTTTACAGCATAGCCATGCGGGATCTATTGATAAAGGAGAGGATTGAAATCTCGAATCCCTGACTTTTAAGAAACTAAAATGCCATAAGGCATGAAGTCCCCCATATCTTTGGACCCCTTCGATAGTACTCCGTGGCATCTATCGGTTCCCACATTTATTTTTAAATTAACCCCTGCTACGTAATTGCCTCCAGGACTGTTCCACCGGCGACAGCAAATATATCCACAGCTTCGTTTATATATGATTGCCTTTCTGTATTAAGTCCCGTTGCAGTGGTTACGTTGGTTACTCCGGAGTAGCTCGGCAATAGACTGGGCATGGATTCGTGCCTGATCATATTCGGACGGAGTAGATGGCTGTATAGACCGGTTTAGCGCATTGAAAAAACCTTGCCATGCGCACGGAAGGAAAAAGGAGAGGTTGGTGTTGAATTTCCTTCTGCCCCTTTCAGTCCAGGGATCAGCCGGGATGTACTCCGTATCGACCAAGACTGGGCGTGTAGGGAGTAGTAATCAGGCATTGTTTGCTCTCGGAGTTACTCTCAATTAAACTACCACAAACACCTAGTGCGGCTATAGTGGGGCTCCAATAGTTCGATGGAACAGAAAGAATGGCATTATTTTCCGTAGAAAACAACGGGTGAACGACGATTAATTAAAAAATTAATGAAATTAAGGAACGGTGGTTGCTAGGTGCCGCGCTCGCCAGCACGTGACACAGCGCATGACTAAGAGCGTGCTTATTCAGGAACGACACCTCAGGCCATGGCCCGCCAAAGCCTTGTCGGCCCCGAAGATCAGGTGCCTCCGTTTGCAACCTCAAGTTGATCGATGGAAATGACAGCAGTTGCCCCGTGACAAGTCAGGCACATTCACGCACGCCGTCTTGCTGATTCCAGCACATCGTGGGCGACTTCCACGTTTCCTTGTATCGCTCGACCTCTCTCGACCTGCACGAACGAACCGCCTTCTACCCCCCCTCCACTTTCGTTCGCGACCCAGCCCGTTTTCGACCCTATGATATTGTTCTCCCGTTGCCCGTATCGCAACTGACAACACCCTCGGCCGGATATCTCAGAACTGTTTACATATGGCTGTGAACTGATAGGGGAGGAACAAATATCTGGGATATTCCAAACGCGGCTGAAATGGAGGATAGCAATATTCTTGGTGAGGATCTGCCGCTCCCACCGGCACGCCTTTTTGAACGGCTGGCGCATTTGCCAGGATACACCTGGGACCAGTCAATCGAACCGTTTCATTCAACCTATAACCACTGGCATGTCTACGGACTTCGACACTCGGTCGAATCTGATGTTTCGACCCCCGCCGCAACCTCGTCCGGACCGTCTAGTTTAGCGCGCAACTCCCCGCGGACCGAATCTCGCCCACCTTTCCGTCACCATTGGAGGAGTAGCCTGAGCGAATCCAGCAGTGAGCTATCGCTGTCTCGAGGAGATCATGAGCCCATTTGGGTACCGGTAATAGCCCGGGTCTCGTCCCACGTGGTGAGACTCGAGCGGGAGTTCCATATGCTACGATCGATCATGCAGACCTCCGACCCCGACTGCAATCATACTATTCGACCGATTGATCTGATAAGACTATCACGAGACCCCGGGGATGCGGGCCCTCTTCTGGTGGCCATCTTTGAGTCTCCAGGCCCGAACATGCTCCGGGAGCTGGTGGCCTTTGGGCCTGCCTGGTTCGCAGCCGGCCGCAAGATGGACAGTACCGATTCGACCCCCGGAGAGCAGGTTTCTCTCTCGATATTTCTGGATTTTGCAATTGGTGCCTGCGACTGCCTAGAGCTATTGCACTATGGGCTCAAAACTGTCCACGGCGAAATTCGCGGTGACGCATTCCACTTCAACCGTGAAGTAGGCTCCGTGAAGCTGACAAACACGGGAAACGGGGCGAGATCCTTCGATAACATCTTGAGTGAGGGATGGTCGTCGCTTTCTCGAGAGCTCGGGGTCAAGAACAAACTGCAGTTCATTGCACCGGAGCAGACCGGGAGAATGCCCACGGAGCCGGATAGTCGAACCGATATCTACGCACTTGGTGTTCTGTTCTGGACGATGCTAGTTGGGAAGCCGGCTTTTACTGGGAGTGACCCGGTTGAAGTTGTGCAGAATGTTTTGGGCAAGAAATTACCCCCGGTTTCGACGAAGCGTATGGATGTACCGGATGCAGTCTCCGCCGTGATTCAGAAGATGACCCAAAAGGCGGTTAATGAGCGCTATCATACCATCTCTTCCGTGAAGCGTGACTTGGCGCAGATCTCCGAATTACTTGGCGATGGCGACAGCGAAGCCTTGAAGGACTTTCAAATCGCCCAACGTGATGTGTCATCCTTCTTTACCCTTCCCTCTCGTATGTTTGGACGCCGAGAAGAGTATGATAGAATCATCAGCGTGGTTGAGAAAGTTCACCGGCGCCAGCAGTCGGCGTATGCAAAGGCCATTGCGCAAACGTCCAGCGGAGTTGGCTCTAGTTCGTCAATGTCGGATAGTCGAGTTGATAGCTTTGAGGTGGCTTCGGCCTCAAGCGACTCCGGCTCTTTCAACTTAAAACCCAACTCCAATGGCGCTGCCTACAACCTCGGACGTGTGTCTACCCATGAGTCTCTCCATAGTACCGAGTCATCACTCTCGACCCCAAGACCAGGGATCACTTCAAACAAGGCAAAGAGTCCGGTGGAATCACGTGCATCCTGGGAGAATACAGACCGAGACAGTTATCCGTCGACCGGCACACACACCCATACACAGACGGATTCCCATGGACCAGGCAATAGGCACAAACCTGCGCAAAGGTCTCGGCGCGCGGGTAAATGCGAGGTCATCACTCTTAGTGGCGTTGCCGGGATAGGGAAAACGGATCTTCTGAACCGGGTTCAGTCGGCAATCCGCAAGCTTGGATATATCGGGATTGCGCGGCTGGACCGTGCCAGGAGGGTACCGTTTGAGCCTTTCGCGAAAATACTTGCCAGCCTCCTACGCCAAATCTTCTCCGAACGTGATGTCACCACGGACTACCACAATAACGTCCGCATGGCATTGCTACCTATGTGGCCTACCTTACATCGTGTCTTGGAACTTCCTGAGCAATTGATGTCGTCAGGGGGGAATGATAAGCAAATATCACCTAAACTTTCTGCTGCGCAGCATATCTTCAAGGAAGTTTCCACCAAAGGAGAACCATCTAAGCGTATTGCACTTCCTATTCTTGACGGAGGACAGAATTCAGTGGACTTTTTCTTGTCCAACGCAGCATTGAAGAACATGCGACTCATGGAAACTTTTCTTGAGATCCTCAAAACGTTGTCCCAGTATAGGTTGATCTGTGTATGTGTCGACGATTTGCACTACGCCGACGACGAGACTCTCGAGCTGGTTTTGAACATCATGAAAGCAAAAGTACCTTGTGTGCTTATGCTGGCAAGCCGCAATGCCGACCTCGAGAACAAGGCCATCAAATCTCTCTTCGAGGCAGACACTCCTAGTGTGTCCAAGGTTGTATTGAAGCCACTTGGAGAGGACGAGATCATGCAAATAGTCGCTGCTACGATGCACCAAGATCCCAACCCGATGCTCACGCCTCTTTCAGCGGTCATCCAGGAAAAAAGCGTAGGAAATCCATTCTATGTGCGAATGATGCTGGAGACTTGTTACAGCAAAAACTGCATCTGGTATTCATGGAAAAACTCAAAATGGGAATTTGACCTGGATCGGATTTTCACGGAGTTTGTGGCTCCTCGGTATGGCGAAGGCCTTGGGCTTGGGTTTATCACGAGACGTCTCCAGGAATCCCCGGAAGCAGCCCGATCCATACTGGTCTGGGGCGCTTTGCTGGGTAGTCCGTTTGCCTTTTCTCTCGTGCAAAAACTCCTCACTAGCGAGTTCTTGTATTCTAGCGAGGACGACGAAGCTGTGGACCTCACCTGTCCGCAGAATGTGAATCTGATCCGGCAATCCGAGGCCAACATCGTTGTTGGACTTCAATATCTGGTCCAAGCAAACCTTGTCATTCCAGGGAAGACTGATGACGAGTTCAGGTTTGCGAATGATAGGATTGCACAAGCTGCTGCATCGTTGACGGAAGGCCGCAACGTGGAAAAGATGCATTTCATCATCTCTCAAGCGCTCATGAAATACTACCATGACGGCCGCAGCCGCTATTCCATGGCTCGACACGTTGGTCTCGCCTCTCGCATAATCAAGACTCGCGTGGTACAGAGACTTGACTACCGGAAGATCCTTTGGGATGCCGCCCAGACTGCCTCTCAATCCGGTGCACGGCCAACTTCCCTTTGGTATTTCCGCCACTGTATCGCTCTTCTCCAGGAAAGCCCCTGGGATGACAACAACACCGACGTATACTATGACGAGACTCTACGTCTGCACATCGCGACTGCTGAAATGTCATGGTCTCAAGGTCACAATCCCGAAGCCCTTGACTTACTAGATAAGGTTTTGAAGCATGGAAAAACTGCCGTCTGCAAGTCCCGTGCCTGGATTGTGAAGGCCAAGATCTATGCTCAGATGGGCCAACACCTTCGGTCAATGGACTCCCTGCTCACATGCCTGGATGAGCTTGGTGTACATCTTCGGGAGTTCACGACCTACGAGGAATGCGACGCCGCTTACAGACACCTCAAGAACTACCTTGAAAAGGCAGACCTAGAGGCTATCGTTCGCAAACCGATCAGCAAGGATATAAATATGATCACCATCGGTGCGGTCATGGCCGAGGCGATGGCCGTAACCTATTGGGATGACGCCTTAACTTTCTATAGAATGGCTATCGAGATGATGAATCTCCACCTTTTCAAAGGTGGCTTTGTGCAAATTTCGATAGGCTGCTCTCACCTTGCCATGGTCTCTTTCAGCCGTTTCAGAGACCTGAGCCTTGCTGTCAAGCTCAGTGACTATGCGCTCAATCTTCTTGAGCGTTGCCCCGAGCCGTGGACGCAAAGTCGAGGTTCAATTGTTCACAACCTTTACGTCAGCCATTTGCGAGTTCCATTGTCATCGACGCTTCCTGCGCTTGAGGCATCTGTAGAATCATCTCTCTCAATGGGAGATCCCTACATTACATTGATCAGCCTTTCATCAATGGCAATGACGCGGCTTTTCCTGGGTCATGACATGACCCAACTAGAAAGTTTCTGCAACGAAAATCCCGAGGACATCCCAGAATGGGTGCATGATACCCGTGGCGGTGCTAGTCTTGTCGCAGTCAGGTCAGTTACTTTTACTTTGGCTCACGAAACTCGAAAAAAGTTCTAACCAATCTCGTTTTATAGACAAGTCGCGCGCGCTTTGCAAGGAAAGACTTCCTACCGTGATCCTGAGACCGTAATGTCTGATGACAATCATCGGACGAGCGAGTACATTGCTTTCCTAGACAAAAACACTAGCAACGCCGATCGTCCTCGCGATATCTATTGGGGGTTGGCGATGATCCCCCTGTTTATCTACGGGCACCACACAAAAGCTATAGAGTTGGGAGTCCAAATGATGGATACCATGCCGAGGCTGTGGTCTGCTCGCGTGTCATACGTTGTCTACTTTTATTTGTCGCTCTCTCTCCTCACTTTGCACAACGATTACCCTGCCCGTGGATACCTTGATGGGAACCTGAAGACGGTTTTGAAGTACAAGGCCGAGGTGGATCTTGCGCGGTCTGCTTGCGATGCAAATTATGGAATGTGGTCGTTGATACTAGAAGCTCTCGTCTTCGAAGTTCGCAATGACCACACATCCGCAATTCAAGCGTTTGAGGTAAGTTGTCGGCGATGATCTCCAAGTGAGTGCAAAATCTAACATCTGTCAGGCTGCTATTGACCATTGTCAAATCCATGGATGGCCATTAGAAGAGGCGCTTGCTCTGGAATTGCACGGTATGAACATCACTTGTCTTTCGTCGTCACATGTAGTCTTCGTGCTAAGAGTGAATCTAGGTGAATTCTTAATTCGGCGTGGCGCTAAACGAGCGGCACGTTCTGTGATGCAAGATGCGATCGCTGCATGGGCCGCCATTAGCGCTGTTGGTAAAGCAGCTCAGTTGACTGAGAAACATGAATGGCTCCTCAAAACTGCGACATCTTCACGGACTGCCGATGTTGGATGCCAAACCGTTGACTCACTCCTTGGGATAAATCGCAGCACAGGCCCAGAACACATGGATGTCGCTCAGAATGTGGAGGAGGATGACCGAAAACAACGCTGGATAGAGCAGAATGGGGTGACCACAGGCGAACGTTCCCTTGACATTTCAAGTGTTGGATTGGGTAAGTTCGCGTCTCTCACGTTCACAAGATGAAGGATGTCATTGTTTGAGTTCTAACGTGGCAACAGACATTATTGATTTGTCAAGCATCCTTGAATCCAGTCAAGTGATGTCGTCCGAACTACAGATTGATAAGCTTCTCACGAAAATGATTGAAATGGTCCTTGAATCCTGCAATGGCTCGGATTTTGCTGTGATTGCAACGAATTTCGATGACAACTTCACCGTTGCGGCTGCGGGAGACCTAGAGAAGGGACAGAAAGCTTTCCTTGACGGTCTCTCCTTCTTCGAAATCGAGGACAAAATGGCACAGCAAATCTCTCATTATGTCATGCGGACCAGGGAAGAAGTGCTTGTCCACAATGTCCTCGAGGACGAACGGTTTTCCAATGTCAGCGAGGCCTATCAGGCAAGGTATCCGCTGGGTAAATCCGTGATCGCGTTGCCTATCATGCAGGCAGAGCATCTACTCGGTGTCATTCATATCGAGGGCAAGCCCAACTCGTTCACCCAGCGAAACCTTGTGGTACTTCACTTGCTGTGCAACCAGATTGGCATATCGCTTTCCAACGCACTGCTCTTCCGCGAAGTCCGCAAAGTCAGTGCCACCAACGCATCTATGGTCGAGGCACAGAAGCGAGCTCTTGCGCAGGCCCGCGAGGCCGAGCAAAAGGCAAAGGTGGCGGAGGCGGAAGCTAAACACAATGTCAAGCTGAAGGAAGATGCAGCAAAGGCCAAGTCTATCTTCCTCGCTAACATCTCTCATGATCTCCGCACTCCGATGAACGGCGTTATTGGCTTGTCTGAGCTTCTCAAGGGCACCATTCTGAACAAGGAGCAGGACGAATATGTTGAGTCTATCCGTGTCTGTGCCGATACTTTGCTCACCCTCATCAACGATATCCTGGACTTCTCCAAGCTGGAGGCCGGAAAAATGAAGATTTCCACCGTGCCTCTTAACATCAAGGAAACCATATCCGAGGTCGTTCGTGCGCTTCGGTATACACACCGGGATCGAGGGCTAGACACAATCGAGGATTTGGAGAAGGTGCCGCCAGAGCTTGTGGTACTGGGCGACCCAGTTCGCTTGCATCAGATTTTCATGAATCTCCTCAGCAACAGCTACAAATTCACCCCCAAGGGCTCCGTAACTGTTCGGGCAAGAGTTACCAAAGAAGGCAAAGGCCGCGTCCGTCTCGAATGCACAGTGTCTGATACCGGAATTGGAATTCCCGAAGAGCAGAAGTCCCGACTTTTCAGGCCGTTCTCGCAGGCAGACAGTTCGACAGCGAGATCTTACGGCGGAAGCGGACTCGGTCTCAGCATTTGCAAAGCGATCATCGAAGATGTCCTGGGCGGTGCCATCTGGCTTGATTCCACCCCAGGCGTCGGCACCATGGTTACTTTCCACCTGTCCTTCAACAAGGCCAAAGACCTCGCATCGAAAACCCCATGGCCCAAGTCTCTGCAGCAAGGAGACGCAAATGCGGTCCGTACACCCGTCATTCGCGACCTGACCATGGTTCCTCGCGATCAGATCCGAGTTTGCATTGCCGAGGATAACCCGATCAATCAAAAGATTGCCGTCAAGTTCGTTACCAGTCTTAACCTGCAATGTGAAGCCTACAGCGACGGGCGCCAGGCAGTTGATGCCCTCCGTGCTCGCTCACAGGAAGGGAATCCATTCCATGTCGTTCTGATGGATGTGCAAATGCCCACCCTCGACGGTTACAACGCAACCCGCGAGCTTCGTCAAGACCCCGACCCCAACGTCAACGAAGTGCTCGTCATAGCTATGACTGCCAGTGCCATCGAGGGTGATCGAGAAAAATGCATCAGCGCCGGCATGAACAACTATCTTCCCAAGCCGGTTCGATCCACGGTCCTGAATGAGATGCTCGACCAATACCTGGCACCGGTGCCCCCGTACACGCGGACACGGCTTTCCATACGAGAGAGATCAAGTGTTAGCAATGAGAGCGGCACCCCTGGTAGCTCTGCTTCTTCAGGATCCGAGCCACTTATCGCGTTGACCCCGAATGAGGAAAAGAAAGACGACGCCGGCACCAAATGAAAGTCTTTGTACTTTTCGTGAATTTTCTCAACCCTCTTCTCCCCTTTTGGATATCTGGCAATCCGGCATTTTGGTCAATATCTTTCTGATTTGACATATTTTTTTTCTCTACTTCTTATTTACCCACATTGACGATGATGAAGGATATGATTGACGACTTCTGGTGTTGAGAATGGTATTTGAAGATGAGCTGACACGAAAGCGAGGCACTCATGGAGCCCATTGCTATTAGCTCCGAATTGGAACTCCACACCGTTGTGATCTGTCTGGCCTGGTACCAACAACCACCTTTTGGGTCCCAAGTTCCGGCCTGCCAATGTACAAGGAAAGAAACCAGGCAAATGGCCGTGGTAAGCTTGGACTGCTTGGATTTTCTCTTCCCGCTCGTCTTCATCTGCTGTCTGTCGCTTTTTTCTTGATCCCCTTGTGTATTTCAGCAAAATTCCCCCAGGGCGTTTGTGATTATTGTGAAGAGACACTAGGAACATTCCTGTGCAGCGCGCGTTGAAGGGGATTTCTTTTCTCTTGGATTTCTTTGTTTTATTTCTTTTGTTCTTTCGTATTTTGATGCAGATGCAGTTGAGTTTGCATTTTCTTGTCCTTGTTGACTGTATATTTTCTGGTTGCAATCGGATAGACAGTGATGGATAGGGTCGTACAAATGCTAATGGATTTTATTGGAAGTGTAGGAGTAGTAGCAACTGATAATCGTATTTTCATTCTAGATACCTGAAGGTCACCAAGGGAAGGTAAAATCACAGACTATGTACGGTGGAAGTATCCAAATTACTGGCACAGGTGTTCCCATTTTTTTCTCCCTTCCAGTCTCCCATATGGCAGGTCATTAAATCGTAGTCATCGAGCCTCTACAGTCGCAAGGCCGGTCGGGCAGCATCTGCCGCCGCGTCTCTCTTTCCAAAAACTCGGAAACGCTTGACTCCGCCGTCCGGCACGAGGGTCAATTTGGCGTGCGTGAACGTCCGGGTGTCTTCGCCTCCGACGGCCAGGTCCGCCGCCTCAAACACATGCTCCGTGTCCGCCTGGCACGGCTTCTCGCCCTTGATCAGCTCCACCCACCCGGCGTGGTCGTGCGCAGGCACCTCTCCCTCGGCGGTGCTCCCGGCAACCAGTCCATGGACGCGGACCGTCCGGGGGAAGTTTCCACGGAAGTCCTTCGTGTCGACCACGATCTTGCTGACAGAGCCAGGCAGGCCCAGCTTCACGATGGCCCAGTCCACATGGCCGGGAGTACGCGAGCGCGCGGTCTCCCACCCATCTCCCATGTCCTTGCCACGGCCGGGGAGCAGCAGGTTCGAGCAGGGGGTGAAATGCTGGTCAGAGGCGCCCAGCGCCAAGCCACCCAGCAGCGCAGACGACAGCTCCTCAACGGGGGCCTGCGAGGCGGCGGCGACAGGCAAGGCCGGCGGGATGGCCTGGCCGTAGAGGCGGAGGCGGCCGAATCCGCCGTCCGGGTACATCAGCAGTCGCACGTGGGTGTAGGGCTTGGGGCTGGCGGGGTCGTAGTCGTTGAGCTTCCACGCGCGCCGCTGCGAAGGACCGCAGGGCTGCGCGGGCAGAATGGTGGACCAACCGGCGAAGTTGGGGTTTGCGATCTCGGCGTCCGACACGCCACTGTCGGCCGGGGCGTAGGTGCCCTGCAGCTCGGCCTTCTCGCCGTAGTTGCCGATGAAAAAGCCCGTGTCTACCTCGACGCCCTGGATCGTGGCTCCCGCCACCCCCAGCTTGATCACGGCCCAGTCGTAGGGCTCGGGGTTGTGGCGACGGGTCTCCCAGCCGTCGTACCAGGCGCCGGTGTGGACGAAGACGCCGGGGCGGTTGATGGGGGGAGTGGGTGTGAGGAGGTTGGAGGCCGCAGCGAAGTATTCATTAGAAGTAGCCAGGACCTTGCTGTTCAAGCCGGACGAGGCCAGGTTGGTGGTGTGGGCGAAGACTTGGTCGATCTCCGCGGCGGGGATGTAAGTGAGCTGATCGGTGTTGGTGGGCAGCGCCATGGTGGATAGAGATGTCAGATGTGGTATTTCAAGGTAGACTTGAGGATAAGGATGGAAGAAAGAGAAAGAGGAGGATGGGATTTAGTTCGTGGGGAGAGATGAGGCAGAGGATGTCAAGAAGAGGAGTTTAAATAGATCGCAAAGTGCATGTCCGGCCGATAGCGATAACGCCCTCCCGTGATTTCCATTACTCGATCGCTTCAGGTGTTCTTCCCTTCTTTTCCCCTTCTCCCTCCCTTTCTCCCTCTCCATCTCTCTCTTCGTCCTCCGATCTCCAACCACTGCTCGCTCGTCATTTTCCATTACCAAATCGCAATCAATTGTACACCTATACACCTCCCCTCTCCCCTCCAATGAGTGTTCTATATTCTTCCCCCCCGACTGCAGCCCCACTGACTCGGAGGTCTCCGACAACCGCAATTTCCCGACCTCAACTCTTGTGTGGGGAGCGAGCGAAGCCTGAGAATAAATGAGGGGGAATGGTGACAATGGAAATCAATTCCATACTCGGACAACTGAAGTTCGGCAAATAAATACTACTCTGCAGTCAAGCTCATGACTCACCGACCGTACCTGGTCTCTCGCACGACCCTTGTCGGTATCCGCTATCCACTCTGGTACCTTGGGTGGGCCAGATGATATAATTCCCAAAGGTATTACATGACAGGGGTGGCAAGTCCACCCAAAGATGTCGCGTGTTCAGAAGTAGGACGTTGGGAGGAGACAAAAGGTCTCAGGGTCGAATTGCGGGCCTTACGTCTACGACTGTGTAGCCGAGTCTCGGTGTACCCATTACTACTGTTGCAGTGTCTTCCAGGCCGGTTGTGTGACCTGCGCAACCTCTCGTTAGGTATTTGGATCGAGGCAACGGCGGTTGGCCTGCATTAATGGACTCCAGCCCATGAGAACTGGACTACGCAGCCTGTGCCCTCACACCTGACCGTCTGACGCAAGGCAAAAAGACAAGGAGGCCCTTAATGAGAAAACGGCAATGAACTCAGTATGCTGTCCTGTTGGGCAATGAGAAGAGGTGTCAAGTTATGAAGACAACTGCATTGCGCCTAAATCTAAACTTACGCCAGTGATGCTAATCACTCAATGACTTTCCGTGACAGTCGTGCCTTTTTTTTTTTTTTTTTTTCGTTTCTTTTTTCTTTTTTCTTTCTTCCGGCGGAGAATCCTTCCATCCTGCCTGCATGCGTATCGTCCTTCGCTCAATCATCATGAGTTTTTCGCTAGCTCCTCCAGGGTTTTGAATCGCCATTCGTATTGCGCCAGCTGGCTCCTCTCGGCCGGCGACAGGCTCTTGCCTTTTTCCGTCATCTCCTTCTCCACCTGCTTGAGCATCTCCCAGCGTTTGATGATACGCGCTTGGTGATCGGATATGGAGCGGAGGTTGTTGTCTGCGGAGGCCTTCCGGGCTTCGATCGTGGAGTGATAGGAGAGTTTGGCATGGAACAGAGCCATGTCGGATTCATCGTATTTGAGGCCCCGAGCTTCGGGCAAAGAGATATGCTGAATGGTTTTGGGGGCCATTGCGAGCTGTGACGCCTTGCCAGTTTTGTAAAAGAAGAGAGAAAGACGAATTGCAAATTGCAAAGTGGAATGACGACTTTCTAAATGCTTGGTTGCGACAATGGGAGGTTCAGCTTGTGGATCGCGCACCCAAAGCCAATGAGAGTATAATTTCAATTGGGGTTTCAATATGCTCTATATAGGTTGTCAAGCCTGAAACCAAAGGAAAGGGTGAAGCAATCTATATACTGTCTTCACCAATCGAGAAGGGAAAAGATGACTCGAGAATGACAGAGAGAGGCAGCATGTATGAATGGCTGTGAGGAGAAGAGAGAAGAGAAAGGAGAAACGACAAGAATGCACGAGAGCAAGCGCGAGAGAAATAAATCGGAGTCGGCTGGCCTGGAGGGACCTGACGGGGGGCTTTCTTTAAAGAAGCTTGACGAAACTCATGTCTCGCAAAGGACCCTCAGTGGCTCTGCTAAGGTGATACCGCCAAATGCCACCGGACGCATCTTATACCAATGGCATGACAAAAATAGAGCAAGGAGACGTGGTCAAAGGATGGCATCCTTTCTTCCCCGTATGAGCTGTTCTGTGTCCAGTCCGTTTGTGCCATTGTCTTGTGATTATTGCCAAAGACCAATCCCCTGGGGAAGGAGGGCTTCGTTTGTCCCCATTGGAAAGATCCTGTGAAACCAATTGGATAACACCGACGCAACCGGCATCGATATGGGGACTGGCAAGGGACTCTTGATAGTCGGTGTGGACTGAATGCCCCCGAAACGGCCCCAGAGCCCTCCTGATATGGCCACCATGACGTTTGGGTCCCATCACTGCAAATGTTTCTCGCATATGTACGCGCTACAAACACACATGGGGGTATACCAAGTGATACTTGAGGACCTGCCACAAACATGGCGGAGGCCATGCGTTCTTCCGTTACACATGAACAAAGAGACCCCCCAAAAAAGGAGGCGAGAGAGCAGAAGAGCGCCATCCAGACGGAAATAGTCAACAATAAATGATTCTGTGCCGTCGTGCCATCTCCATGATTGGTATTTCTTGTCGGTCACTTCATTCCCTCAGCCCAGCGCAGACAAAGAAACCACGCGAAACGTCACTGCGGTTTCATCGCCTCCCTCAGCCCCTGACCAAAAAAAGATTTCTGGGGAAGAACTCGAACGTTCTCCCTTTTTCTTTTTTTTTTTTTCTCTCTCGTTTCATTTTTTTCTGGCAAACATTCTATTCTCACGCCCTGATTCTTTTTTTATCAATCAATCTTTCCTTATAATCGCCCATTCGTGGTTGCCTTCCGACAAAATGTACGTAGCCGCTGGATGCGTCGTTGTGCGACATTGAGGCAAGTGGGAGGTCGGACCTTCTGCGCAGGTTTCCCTCGGACTGACTGACCTGCTCTTATCAGGTGCCAATGGAGATGTCACCTACGGGATTTAACATCGCCAGCGGACCGACCCGTTCGCTATCCAATGATTCCAATGACTCGCAACCTGCCGTTCGCTCTCCTCAAAGGGACCCGAATTCCAAAAGGGCCCATAAACTGAAAGCCCCTGAGGAACAAGGGACCGATTCCAAACGTGGTCCCGAAATAAAGTGGTTACGTTCCATCCTTCTAGCCCCGAATAGCTGCATGGTTCATGCTTCCATCCGATGCGATGCTGATCAGGTGGGCCAACCCACTCTTCGTTGCTCGCTTGGTCAAACGGCCTCCTTGCGTATGCCGGATAAATAGTTCGCCCCTGAGCCATACATACATGTCTCTAAGGCACAAGACCGTTTTTGTATTCCGGCTGAGTTGGCGATTGGGTAGTCCCGCCATACATACGGGCCTGAATTAGGGCTTTTTTTCTTTTCTTTTTCTGCCCTCCCCTATTCCCCGAGCTTGGCGGTTTTCGTCTGTCTACCTTGACCTGTAATCAAATTGGATTGTCTTTTTGGAAAGGGGACATGCACAGAGCCGACTGAGTATTCAAGTCTCAATTGTTTGAATTATCTCCGGGTTGTCACTTTCCCGATTTCAATTTAGGTTTTCTCCGTCGCCTGACTGAGGTTGCTCAGGAGTCTTTCTGTCCGGATTTCTCCTCAGCCTGAGACAGTTGAAACTTCAATTCATTCCGGCTTGCATGGCATCTGGGCTGTTTCTAGGACGATTTTTCGGAACCAAGTGGATTGCGCGCGAAAGGGATGGCCCGAGGTTTCCGTTGAGCCTTGGGTACGCGGAACCCTTTCCAATGTGCCGATTTTAATCTAACGTGTGCTTTTGTAACAGAGACAAATGTTTAATGATTTTTGGTTTTGGGGAGTCATTGAGTTTTTGGATGTGTTTTCGGTAATGAGATGTATCATGTGAGGTGATTCATAGTCATCATGTCTCATTTGATTTGAAAAAGAAAAAAAAGAAAAAACAGCCAAAGGCTGCACTAAACTGCATGACCCTTCCCTGTTCCTTTCGTGCTATAGCCTACCCCCATGTCTTCCCCTTACACGTTCTCACCCCCGAACATCGTCACGATCAGCCTCGGCTCTCTCTTTCTTCGCCTTCTGAATGTCCAACGACATCTTCACCGGCGCCACGCCCGGGGTTTCGAACACGGCATCGATCTCCTCAAGCGACAGCCCATACGTCTCAGGGAAGACGAAATACGACAAAACCAGCTGAATGCAATTATACGCAATATAGACCACCCAGATCTTGTACCCGATCTTCTCGATCCCGACCGAGATGCCGTATGTCTGGGCAGCGCCGGCTCCGCCCTGGATGAGCGCGTACAGGCCCATGCCCTTGGCACGCATCGCCAGGGACAGGATCTCGACCGGGTAGAGGTTATGCATGGTGGCGATCAGGAGCGCCGAGCACGTCTGGTACAGGTAGATCCAGAGGATGGTGAGCGCGGCGGCGGCCTTGCTGCCGGCGACATTGTACTGCCAGGATGTGATGGTCACGGCGGTCTGGAAGATGATCATGGTGGCGAGGCCGGCGAAAATCAACGTCCGGCGTCGGAATCGGTCAATTATGATGGCTCCAACGGCGGTGAAGACGAAGTATGTTGCCGTTGTGCCGAGCGTGATGCCGAGTTGTTGGATCGAGCCTTTCACGCCAATGGTCTCGAGGGCGGGGACCATCTGGTGTTACGTCGTTTGTGTTTTAGCCTTCTGTTCTTGTACGCTTTCTTTTCTTCTTCTCCTGGGGTTGGAAGGAGAGGGGGAGGGGAACAGGTACGTCCGGGTGTCTCGGGAAGAGGGAGAGGACTTACATAGTAGGTGATAATTCCTCCGCCGTTCCATTGTTGGAAGACCGAGTACAGGAAAAGCACGAGAAGTCGAAAACGGACCACTCGCGTGAAAAACACCCGGTAGTCCCAGAAGCTGCTGTAGCCGGCTCGGTCGTTCTCAATGGATGCTTCGATCTGCGAAACCACCATGCCGACAATGGGCTCATTCACGTCGCCGCTGGTGGTATGATACCGCGCGACAACCCTCCGCGCCGCGTCCGGTTTCCCGCGCATGACGTAGTAACGGGGCGACTCGGGGGTGAGGAAGAAGATGGTCGCACAGACGATGGCGGGAAACAGGGCTTCCAGAAGGAGTGGAATCCGCCAGCTCCAATTCCCACCCATCTTGGACAACCCAATCATGGCGGCAGTCATACACAGACTCCCGACTTGGAAACAGGCCCCGAAAATGCCGACCATCAAACCCCGAAGATGCACCGGCGCAATTTCGCCCATGTACTGGGAGCTGGACAGCAGCGCGGACCCGAATCCCATTAGGAACCGGCCTGCCATGAACATGGACAGGTTGGTCGAGCAGCCTTGCAAGATAGCGGCCGCGATTACAAGGGCGTTCCCTGTGAAGTTGATCCCTCGTCGACCCACGACGTCTGAAAAGGCTAGAAATGGCGCACCGCAGACGTTGCCAATATTCATCAACGCGTTAATTAAGCCGTAGGTCCCGCCGCTGGTCCCAAACCCGAAGTAGTCGTGCCATGCTTCGTAGGCATTAATGCCGCTGATGACGGCCCAATCCACGCCGTACCCGGCCTGGTTACATCCCTGGACAAAAAGGATGAGGGCAAGGCGAAAGCCGGTCCATGACCGAATGTCCAATGCCTCCTTGGATGCCTTCCATATGTCGTCCTCGGTCAGGCTGGCAAGAACCGCCTCCTCAACATGCTCCGGTGCCTTCTTTATGTCGACCTCCGCCTCGTTCATGACATGCACAGTCTTCTTTGCCATGGTGGGCAGGGGGTCGAGTGTGTCCGTCTTTCCGGCCGTGAAGGAGCTTCTCTCGGATGGATATCGACGTGCCACAAGGAATCAGATAGCAGGCCCAAACCGCCAGTGTTGGCTTTGGGGTTACACAGCTATATGTTTGCACCGGACGATCTTGGTGGCCCGAGCTGTTTCTGTACGACCACCACATGATGGAACTACTAAATGTCCTCCCTGCGTAGACCGTTTTTGCCACGGGACCCCTTCATGGTCTAGCCCCAAGAAACTTGCCCGAAAGGCTTCAAGAAACTTCATCTCTTTCGGCTAGACATGAACAAATTAGCCGTAAAACTGCCTTTCAGGCACATTTTCTTTTCCAATGTGGCGTTTTTGATGGGATGGTGATTGGTGTGTTCTGGCAGGTAAGATTTCAAAAGAATGTCTGACCTAGCAGCTTCCGGCCCTTTGCAGCAGAAACATTGCATCGACTAGTGCTGGACATTGGCTCCATGTAGTCTCTTCACCTCCATTTCTTCCCCTCCCTCGATTGTAAGCGTCTCTTCGCAGCGAGAACAGTGCAATGTGGGCGAGTAACTCTTTGCTCCTAGCCTTCTTCTAGCACTAGTCGGCTGGGTGGGAGTCCAGAGCAATGTTAGTGCAATGTATCGATTGGCTGGGGAAGGGAACTAACTCAGATTACGATCGGGCTAGGGATTTGAGACCCGGGGGAAGTGGGAATCTCCCTTGCGTGTTTGGTGCATTTGACTAGAGGCGATGGTCCAGTCATAGCTTGGCCGAGATCTGACGGAGGGACTGACTAGTCCAAGGGAGAGAGAGTTGTCGAAGAGAGTAAAGATAGTCCACGAATGGCAGCGGGATGGAAGGCCGCGAGGGCACATGACTGCCTCCGCCTCTCCACCAAATTAATTTGGCGTTTCCTTTTGACTCGTCAAGGATTGATTTCTCCAGCTCAACTCCTGCCACCCCGCAATTCCCCATGGCCTGACATCCTGCGATTCTTCCCATTTGCCCTCCTTTCGCGACACCCCGGTCGACGGTCCGTTTCCCCGACCATGGATTCTTGCATCCGCCCCAGATTGGATGGAATCTGGCCTCCAATGCATAAAGGCCCGTATCCGTTCCAGTCCTTTGGTAAACTAGGGAAAATACAAGTTGTCTCACGATCATGTCCGAACTTTGGTACCGAAGTCCTGCCAGCGGCTGGGATGAAGCTCTTCCTATTGGAAATGGGCGCCTAGGCGCTATGGTTCACGGAAGGACAGATGCGGAATTATTACAGCTCAACGAGGACTCGGTTTGGTATGGAGGGCCCCAGAACAGGACTCCTACCGACGCACTTCGCCATCTGCCGCGATTGAGAGAGTTGATCCGTCAGGGTGACCATCCAGAGGCGGAAAAGCTGGTTCGTCGGGTCTTTTTCGCCCACCCGATCAGTCAACGGCACTACGAACCTCTTGGGACGTTATTCCTCGAATTCGGTCATAAGTCGGAGGATGTGACTAGGTACCGGCGATGTCTGGACCTTGAGAAGGGCATAACGCGGGTGGAATATGAGCATCAAGGAGTCGAGTTCGAACGGGAGGTTCTCGCTAGTCATCCAGATGATGCGATTGCAATCCGCATTCGAGCGTCTCATCGCACAGAGTTTGTTGTCCGTCTCAGCCGGATGAGCGAGCTTGAGTATGAGACTAATGAATATCTGGACGATGTCACCGCTCATGGCCAATACATTACTATGCATGCCACCCCTGGCGGACGAGGCAGTAACAAAGCCTGCTGTGCTGTGTCCATTCGCTGCGATGATGACCATGGCACCGTTACTAAGATCGGAAACAGTCTTCTGGTGAATTCCCAGGACGTCCTATTGTTGGTCGCAGCGCAGACCACGTATCGATGTCAAGATGTCGACAAAGATGTGTATAGGAATCTCAGGGAGGCCTTACAGTACTCCACCGAAAAAATATGGTCTCGACATATCAGAGATTACCTGTCGTTATATGGCCGCATGGAATTCAAGATGGGGCCAGATGCCTGCGACATACCCACTGATGAGAGGATCAAGGCTCACCACGATCCTGGGTTGATATCTCTCTATCACAATTACTGTCGCTATCTCTTGATATCGTGCAGTCGAACCGGAGAGAAAACACTTCCGGCAACACTGCAAGGCATTTGGAACCCATCGTTTCACCCGCCATGGGGCTGCAAATATACACTCAATATAAACTTGCAGATGAATTACTGGCCCGCGAGGATGAGTAACCTCCTGGAATGTGAGATGCCTTTGTTTCATCTCCTGAAACGGATCGCGGAGACCGGAAAAGAAACTGCATCGAGTATGTACGGCTGTAGGGGCTGGACTGTACATCATTGCACCGACATATGGGCCGATACGTCCCCAGTGGATAAATGGCTTCCGGCAACCCTTTGGCCCTTGGGGGGCGCTTGGTTATGTACCCATATCTGGGAGCATTTCCGATTTAGTGGCAACAAACGGTTTTTGCAGGAAATGTTTCCAGTTCTACGAGGATGCGTAGAGTTTCTTCTAGACTTTCTCATCGAGGATGCTTCTGGACAATACCTTGTCACCAATCCCTCGGTGTCACCTGAAAACTCATTCTACGATACCCAGGGGTCCCAGGGTGTTTTATGCGAGGGATCAACCATCGACATACAGCTTGTCAGTGCCGTACTGAACGACTTTGTGAAATCTGTCGAGGCCCTCGGTATTTATGACTTACTGCTTCCGTCAGTTCTCGATGCACGACGACGATTGCCTCCAATGCGTATCGGATCTTTTGGGCAATTGCAGGAGTGGGTTACCGATTTCGCCGAAGTTGAACCAGGCCATCGCCATGTCTCCCATCTCTGGGCCTTGTATCCCGGAGACACAATCCTCCCGGAGAAAGCACCTGACCTGTCCAAAGCATGTTCCAAAACTCTCCAGCGACGAGAAGCTAGCGGTGGCGGTCATACGGGTTGGAGCCGAGCATGGTTGATCAACCTTCACGCACGGCTGCGAGCAGCCGAAAACTGTGCGAAGCATCTAGATCTTCTATTGGCACAGTCCACGTTGCCCAACCTGTTGGACACCCATCCGCCGTTCCAAATTGACGGTAATTTCGGTGCTGGCGCAGGGATCCTAGAGATGCTCATCCAATCCCACGAGGAAGAGATCATTCGGCTTCTCCCTGCATGTCCTCCCAGCTGGCAGACTGGGTCTCTGCGGGGTGTACGAGCTAGAGGGGGGTTTGAACTGGCGTTCAGCTGGAAAGACGGTCTGATCCAAGGGTCAGTAAAGGTTCGCTCACTATTGGGACAGAGAACCGTCCTCTACTTCCCCAACGGTGGAGCGCGTGTAGAAGTCCAAGGCGAAGGAGTTCACGTAATTGCAGCGCCATGATATCGCCGAATTAATTAGACCATTCGATAGTCGCCGGCAGAATTCCGTCCGTCTTCAAGGATTTCACCCCTGTCTGTCTACCCCGCTGGATAATAAATTCGAGTCAATTTACCCGGACGACATTAGCGCACGATGCATCAATTGCTTTCTCTTCCCCTCTTGCTGGATGAGGGGAAATCCGGGCTTCTTCACTGCTGTTTTCCCTTTTAACTTCATTCATTTTCAAAGAATAGACATTGCCACTTAGACACAGACAATCTGACACAGTGTGTTGGACAAAGCAAATATGGATCTCGTCGCAGTCCAGGATGTCCAAGGTGCTCTTCGGAGTGACTTCTTCCATGGATACGCCACAGCGGCGGCCCAGATCGAAGGCGCCTGGAACAAAGATGGCAAAGGCCAATCAATCTGGGACACCTTCGGTCACACCCCCGGAAAGGTCAAAGACGGAAGTACAGCCGACGACACGGTGCGATCTTATGACCTATACAAAGAGGACGTGGCTTTGATGAAATCCTACGGTGTCAATGCCTATCGGTTCTCACTGTCGTGGTCCAGGATCATTCCTCTCGGTGGGAAAAATGACCCGGTCAACGAGAAGGGCATCCAGTTCTACTCCGATCTGATCGACGAACTTCTCAAACACGGCATCACCCCGTTCGTCACACTGTTCCACTGGGACACGCCTCAAGCGCTGGAGGACCGCTACGGCGGCATGCTGAACCAGAAAGAGTTCATTCCGGACTTCGTGAACTACGCACGCCTTTGCTTCGAGCGCTTCGGATCGAGAGTGAAGCACTGGATCAGCTTCAACGAGCCTGGCGTTTATACACTGGCAGGGTATGCTGCGGGCGTGCATGCTCCTGCTCGCTCGTCCTTCCGGGAACGCAACGAGGAAGGCGACTCATCCACCGAGCCGTTCATTGTCGCGCATACCGAGCTCATCACCCACGGCCACGTCTCGCGCCTCTACAAGCAGGAATTCCAGCCCGAGCAGAAAGGGACGATCGGTATCACGCTGCACGGGAATTGGTCCGAGCCGTGGGATGAAGAAGACCCGCTGGACCAAGAGGCCGCTGAACGCGCTCGAGAGTTCGAGATCGCATGGTTCGCCGATCCACTCTACAAGACAGGCGACTACCCAGCCTCCATGCGCGCGCAGCTAGGGGACCGTCTTCCTACGTTCACGGCCGAAGAATCCAACCTCGTGCTCGGTAGCTCGGAGTTCTACGGCATGAACACCTACACGTCGTTCTTTGTCAAGCACAAAACTACCCCGGCCGATATCAACGACCACAAGGGCAACGTTGAGGTCTTCGACGAGAACAAACAGGGCGTTCCGCGAGGCGAGGAGTCTGATACCGAATGGCTGCGGTCATCGCCGTGGGGATTCCGAAAGTTGCTGAACTGGATCTACTCGCGGTACCAGATGCCGATCTACCTGACTGAGAACGGCACCACGGCAAAGGGAGAGGTTGCCCCAACCAAAGGGGTGCTGAACGATGAGTTCCGGATCCGATTTTTCGAGGGATACGTGGGCGAACTTGCTCGCGCGGTCCAGAATGATGGCGTGGATATCCGATCATACTTTGCTTGGACATTCACCGATAACTGGGGTAAGTCGATCTTTTATATGGGGTTTGTGGCCTGGTTGGCTAATCTTTGAGTGTGACAGAATGGGCGGCTGGCTTCAGCGATCGGTTTGGAAGTACCTTTGTCGACTTCGACTCGCCTGAGAAGACTCGATACCCCAAGCAGTCAGCATATTATCTTGATAAGCTCTTCAATCATCTGATTGCGAGAGTCTGAGAGCCCAACTGCTTGGAGTATAGGCGAATGAAGATGATAGGAACATTCCAATAAATCCGCTCGAAACCTGTAATTCCTGCATCCTGGGGGGGCCAAAGTAATGTAATACCAGTCTCATAGCAGGAATCATATCCTAGGGACCACAGGTTAAACCAAAGGTACCAAAGCCAAGTATGGAGTAACATTTGGAAACCACTTTAGTCGAATTTTTTTAAAAATTTAATCGTCTTGACTTGTTGGAATGAGAAGCCGGTCGTTGCTTTGCAGCCGTTCGAGTACGACGGATGGAAATCAATCAATATAGAAAGAAAGAAAGAAAGAAAAATGGAAAGGCTGAGAAGAGCAAAGGAAGAATGAAATCATATCTACACATCGCCGCCACAACTTTTGATCGCACCACAATAGAAAATCCATTTGATGATGAAGTACTTTGCCAGTCGCTCAAAGCTGATAGGGAGAGATTAGGAGGTGTGTTTTTTCATTTATGGCAATTACTAGGGAAGTGCTGAAGTACTAGAAAGTAGGGTTGGTTGGAAGGAAGTTAAAAAAATATCTCAGTGTATAAAATTCTCAATTTGTATTAAAATGAAACGTATTAGTATAGAGAAGAGTCAAGTCAGTATATAAATAACAGAAAATATGGTCTGATATATATATAAAAGCGACGAAAAAGCAAAACAAAAGAAATAGCTGTAAGAGCAGACTGTATATATATAGCAACACAGAGCATTCACTCTGAAACCACAATTCCTTCTCTTACTGTAAAGTCAATATCCCGATGAAATGCTCTGGAATTATGACATTAACCACTTGCCTGACTATCAACAGTACGACAGATCAAACTAGCGGGTCTCTGCTCTCTGAATCCAAACAATCCGCGTGATTCAAGAGACCCGCGCATCAGTCCAGATTTTGATATTTGGAAATGAAAAGTAAACAAGCGAAAGTAGACACACAGTACTCGCACAGAGTCCACATCTTCACAAGAACAAATCTTGCAACAGCATAACACATACAGGCAAGGAGTATCCCATGATAATTGACAAAGCCCGCCTTATGTGCAAACAAAGGAATTGTAAATCTTGTAGATTACAATCCCACACACCGAAGCCCTTTCATATGAGTCTCAATGACTCAAAGAGAGAGAAAGAAATAGCAAAGGAAGAAAGCAGCACCCATCTCTTCCATGGCACTCTCAAAAAGTAAATGCCTTGGAAACCCTAGAGTTTCCTAGTCAGTCATCCAAGCAACAAAACACGAAACCCCAAACGAAGAGGCCAAGACAACTCACTGTCATAAAGTCACTAATTTATCCACCGAGGGATGGCTCTAGAACGGCCGGAGCCAGAACCGCTGCCCTCATGTGGCCTCACAGGAAGATTGGGGGCCCATCGCACGCGACATCCAGAAGAGACCGCGTTCGAGTTCGAGGCCGCAGGAGGGGGCGATATCGGGCGCTGGCTTGAAGTTGTAGATGAACTATTGTTTGTACCGGATTGTCTCGTCCCATATGTTGCTCTGGAGCTCCCAGGACTGTGGTGACTCAGGATTCCACGCGCGACGATGGGCGTCGTCTTGGAGGAGCCTCGAGGTTGCAATGATATGGGACCGTACTCGCGCCTGAACATGATCCATGGGTCTTCGCAAAAACAGTACCGCTCGTTCTCCGATATAGCACCGCGCAGCACTAGCAGCCGGTTCATACGGCTCTCGAACAAGACCGAGTCGAGACCATAGGGCCGTCGCGCGACGCCATACTTGTCCGTGTGGCGCCAGTAGATGGCATGCAGGGCATTGATGATATCGAGGATCTCCGTTTCAGCTCGCGCCATCTTTTCGTCTCCTTCTCAGCTGAGCTTTTCTAGGTTGATGGGGTTAAAGAAGGGAAAGGAATATACAAGGGACGAGATGTGAGATGAGGGAAGGCGGAATATAGGCGAGGAGGGAGAGTGGTGGTGGAGGTAGTTGAGGCTATGCTATAGTGGCCATTTTCATTCACTTGCAGTTGATTCTTGTTTGCCATATCTGTCTAGAGAGGAGCAGGGCTCTTATACTGGGGGACATTGTAAGGTGTTGCGATAGATTCCGTAGAGTTATAGGGAAGTCTCCTCGAGATTGAAAGGTTCGCCAGTGTTGAAAGGCTAGAGGAGAGATCAAAGACTGAAGAGATTCCAGAGCGGAAGACACCTTTTGTTGTGGTGGAGTTGATGCTTGTATACTCCTTCCTGCACGCATCCGGCCGCTCTTCCTTTTCCGGAAGTCATCGCGACTTCCCCTCACTTTCCCCGTCTTGCTTTCTTTCCTTCTCTCTCCGTCTTTCACTCCATCCAATGCCGGCATTCTGTCATCTCTGTCACTCAGTTTCGCCTCAGCTTACTCTTAGGTTATCCGCATTTCTCCCTCTCTACCAATAGTCGCACACTCTCTCACCGTCATGCATCTCACGAGCCAGGATCCCCCAAAGCTTGTCTTGAGAGGCACCCCTCGAGAAGTGTGCCTCTCCTCCAGCTCGCACTCAAATAAATTCTCTCATGCTAAATGATTGGCCAGATTGGCCTCCAACATGGTCGTGAACTACGCCAACAGATCCACAGTCAGCTGGCCGTTTACGAAGAGATGTTCAAGCATACAGCAAACATGTCCTGGGATGCGGTCCGAGAGCTGGCCCAGGAGTTCCGCGCAGCCTCGGAGCAAGACACTCCTGCGGTCTATGCCGAAATGCAAGGAATTGCGGACGCCTCGGGTCGGGATATCCTGGACATCGTAGCGTTGAACTGTCGCAGTGAGATTGCCATGGGTTGTTTCTCCGATGGCTGCACAAGTGTCTCGTGGAGGAAGAGGGATGATGCCCGCATTCTGGCACAGAACTGGGATTGGACCAACCTAGTGAAGGAGAATCTGGCCTTGGTGGCCATAGAGCAAGTCGGCAAGCCGAAGATTCATATGGTTACCGAGGTAAGTAAACTACCAGAAAATGAAAACCTCGGGATGTACCGTCTGTTTGCGCTAATTCAAGTTAATGCAGGCTGGTATTATAGGGAAGATCGGATTCAATAGTGCCGGCGTCGGCGTCTGTCTCAACGCTATCAAGGCCCATCCCTGCATCAGCTCCAAGGTGCCCATCCACGTGGCGCTCCGTCTATGCCTGGAGAGTCAATCGGTGGAAGAAGCCGTGCAAGCGATCGCGTCGCTCGGCGGGATAGCCTGCAGCGCACACATCTTGATCGCTGACAGCGCAACCTCTCTAGGTCTCGAGCTTTCACCCCGGGGGGACGTGCACCTGAAGGAAAATGAGCATGGGATAATCACCCACACCAACCACTTCGTTGAGAATCGTCATGTAATTGAGCCGACATGGCTACCAAGCTCTCCCTATCGACTGGATCGAATCAACCAACTCACAACATGCAATGCACCATATTCCATTAGTGTTCGACAAGGGGACCCGAACCGCCATTGGACTGTCCGGAGTGTTACTTTGTTCAATATCGCCATGAACTTGGACGCTCGAAATCCGACGGCGGAAGTTGTCATGGGTCAACCCGGAACCGGCGCGGAGGGGCCCGTCATTATGATGCCTTGGGAATAAAGTTCTTTACGGACGTGATAGCTTCCAGCAATTTCTGACATATACCGACATTTACAACTGGAAACAAAGGGGACTACAATTATTTTGATCAAGACAAACGTCTTCGTGGAGCGTACTATATAAAGCCCCAAGCTCGGTCTATAAGACGTCCACATATCACAATATCTTCATTTCTACAGCATCTTACAGTATATACTTCTGAATCGCCCTCTCAAACGGCCACCAAGAGCAACTTCAAATCGTTTTTAAGTTACCTGCAACAAGTCGGAAAACCGAAGAGATCGAAAAACCGAAGAGATCGAAAAACTGAAGATGGCCGCAGTTACTGTCGAAATTATGAGCCCACAGGGCAGGAAAGTGGAGGTAGACGTGAGCCCACAGGGCTCGGTCGACGTAGAGATCTTGGTCGATGAGGAGATCTCTGAGAGCTCTGGTTCCGAAGAAAGTGAGATGGGCTCCGACGAGGGTGGCGAAAGTAAGAGCGACTATGAGTCCGATAACGAGGTCGATATAATTAGATGCTCGAAATGCAAAAAGATGGTACGCGCTCACATCCATGACCCTGGTACTGACAGCTGTGGAGACTGTCAAAAGGACACCTTCCTTTGTTTTCGTTGCGACCCAAGAAACTGGTGACTCCACTGCATACAGCTATGAGGTAGTTTAAAGCCAGACTTATATACTGCAGAGATGCAATCAACGGGTAGAGAGTTGAAAGGATACTCTCATACCTATACTGTCGTATGGCTTTGCTTGATTAATTGAATTTTTTGGTCCACTTATCATAATGTTGCATTCTGTACATCATGATAGATGTATGATTAATGTAGATGGGTAGATAACAAACGTAATTGCCAATATTCTCGGGGATCCTTGAGGAAGTCCTCGAATGGAGTCTAACAGTGATCAAGAGCATTCTACTATTTATAGTTCCATATCCAATAAATGCAATCCATTCATTGTAATTCGACAGACAACGAGACTAGCCGCTTCCGTCATGGCCGAAAGGGGTTAGACCGGATTATCAATGGGGAACGCAGAAGACGTCATTCGTCGGTTAATTATGTTATCGCTCTTGCATCTCTCTCTCTCTCTCTCTCTCTCTCTCTCTCTCTCCCCCTCTTCCTCCCTTTCTTCCCATCATTTCAGCATGGCTTCTGCGACCGGTATTCCTCAAGAACACCCCCAGACCATCGAGGCTCGAGAGGACGAACCCCTCTTGGGGGGACCTGGCCAGGCCGTCCAGAAAGAGACCGACTCTATCTTCTATAACTTGTTCACGGGTAGGTTGGTCTTGGGCTCGCAATTGTGTAACCAACTGTCTGACCATCCATGTGGTAGGAACGGCCACTGTCGCTCAGTTTGGCATCTGGATTGTAAGTCTTCCATGCGCCCCGACGAGTCCATCTATACCACTCTGGGGGGGAGAGCAGAGCTAACCCTTAACCCATAGCTGACCATCTTAATCTGGTCGGGCATTTTCAATCATGATTTAATCCTATTCTCGGCCCATCCAGTCAGTCTCAGGGTCCTGACTTCGTCCATAGAACATAATCTGACCACTTCCAGCTCCTCAATTCTTCTGCTCTCCTGCTGCAAGTCCAAGCAGCTCTGGTTCTCCAACCCACTGCAACCCCCCAGCAGAAGCTCCAAGGGACCCGCATCCACTACATTCTCCAAGCGCTGAGTCTGGCGGCCTTCATCTCTGCCTTCGTTATCATCGAAGTCAACAAGGGCAGCCATGCGCACTTCACTTCGCCCCATGGCGTGATGGGTTTAATCACTTACACGCTCATCTTTCTGCAGGCGCTCGGTGGGGTCGTTCAGTACTTCCTCCCTAGTTTGGTTCTGGGAGGTGCCAACCGCGGCAAGCGCTTTTACAAATACCACCGTGCGTCCGGATATGTGCTGCTTCTCTTGGAATTGGCGACTATCGCTGCGGCTACGCGAACGACCTTTAACCTGGCCGTGTTGGCCATTCCTCTGTGGGCTGTTCTGGTGGCTGCCGTGGTGGTTATTGCGGGCGTCGGAGCCAGGGTTAAGAAACACAAGCTGGGGCTATAAGATAAGAATGTGATGATTGGCAGGATTTATGACTTGGTTTCGCTTTTTCTTTCTTTCTGGTTTATCACTTCATAACGGCAATGATGCTACTTTATACTTGACTGTGAGCTTTTTAGGGTTGGTTAAACAGGGACAATGACAGCGAACGGCGATGACAACACTAAGCTATCTAATAGTTCAAAGCCAGAATGAGGCCATCTAGTCAATTTCTTATAGTTCCTAAGTTTTCCATCTAGATAAGCCTCTCAAAGCCTTGGATCGACCGTGGTTGAGAGCTACGCCTGATGCCTCCCAAACGGGAATAGCGTTGATTAAGGAAATCCGTCGTCTCTTCCGTCGATCTTCTCGGCCTTCATCTCTGCCCATTTCACTTTCTCCTCAATGGCGTCCCCTCGAACACCCTATGTCTGCTTCAATTGCAGGCTGACCCGTCCTCTTCTTCGCCGTCCCTTCTCTGTGTCTGCGCGTTGCCGCGAAACCCTTCGACCCGCGACCGCTCCGAAGCCCACCCCCGACGTCAAACACATCCGCCAGAATGCCGAGCTTTACTCCAAGAACTCCCTCGAACGGAATTATCCATCCCATTCAAACTATCCCTTTCAGATCCAGCAGCTGTCTGAGGAATCTCGTCGTCTAGACAACGACCTCAAAGCGCCTCGGTCCCGCGTCAAGCAGCTCGAGAAGGCCATCGCGCAACTCGCCCGGCAGGATGGAAAAACCGACGACCACGAAAAGGAACTGGCGGCTCTCCGATCAGAGGCCCAGCAATTGAAGGACGAGTCGCAGGCGATGACCACTCGCAAATCCACATGCTCCGATGAAATCAACCGCCTGGCCCTATCCCTCCCGAACCTCTCCTCCGCCGACACCCCCGTCGGCCACGACGCGCGACTCGTCGAGTACATCAACTTCGATCCCCAATCGCCGCCATCCTGGGTTACCCACCCGAACCCCAAAGCCCGCTCGCATGTCGACATCGGAACCTCTCTCGGTCTCCTCGACTTCACCAGCTCCGCCACTACCACTGGCTGGGGCTGGTACTTCCTCACCAACGAGGGCGCGCTGCTTGAACAGGCCCTGATCCAGTATGCCCTGAGCGTCGCCCGCGCGCACGGCTGGAAGCTCGTCTCCCCACCCTCCATCGTCTACTCCTACATCGCCGAGGCCTGCGGCTTCCAGCCGCGCGACCAACACAACGAGCAACAGATCTGGTCCATCGCGCAGACCGACAAGGACAAGTCCAAACCTGCGCGCTCCCTCGCCGCCACCGCTGAGATCCCTCTCGCAGCCATGTACGCCGGCCGCGACATCGACGCCGCCGACCTGCCCGTCAAACTCGTCGGCCCCAGCCGCTGCTACCGCGCCGAGGCCGGCTCCCGCGGCGTCGACACCAAGGGCCTCTACCGCGTGCACGAATTCACCAAGGTCGAGATGTTCGGCTGGGCCGACACCGCCGACCAGTCCCCTACCTCCGACAACCTCTTCCACGAGCTCCTCGCCATCCAAACCCACATCCTCACCTCCCTGCGCCTCCCCTGCCGCGTCCTCGAAATGCCCACCACCGACCTCGGCGCCAGCGCCAGCCGCAAACGCGACATCGAAGCCCTCTTCCCGTCCCGGCTACGCGCCTCCCCCTCGGACCCCGCCGCCGCGCTCGAATCCGCCTGGGGCGAAGTCACCTCCGCGTCCATCTGCACGGACTACCAGAGCCGACGGCTCGGAACGCGCACCCGCGGCGGGAAACTCAAGGACTCGCGCTTCCCGCACACGGTAAACGGAACCGCAATGGCCGTGCCCAGGGTTTTGGCTGCCATCCTGGAGAACGGGTGGGATGAGACCCGCAAGGTCGTGGTTGTGCCGGAGCCGTTGAGGAATTATATGGGTGGGATGGAGGTCATTGGGGAGGGAAGTCAGAAATGATAAAATGGGTGAAATGAGACCAGGTGTGATGCTATGGTAGCCTCTACGAAGAGGATGTTGGAGTACATATGCTTTAGATAGAGATTACTTATGTCTTCCTGTATACTAGTTACCTTTTTCTTCATTCGATATAATGTGTAACCATCGAAGCCCTTAAAAAGCACCATAACGCGTTAATACGAAGAAGTCACAAGAGGTAAGAGCCAAATTAAATCTAACATTCAAAATGATCATACATCGACAAATCACACTGCAACGCAAAACCGAACCCATCCTCATTCATGCATTGCATCGATCGAAAATGAACAGCCAGCTACCTTACAGGGAGAGAAAGCACCTGACCCGGGGTTACATATAGTGAAGAAAGAAAGAAAGAAAAAAATTGGAATTGAATTGAGAAAAACCACCTTGAGAAGAAAACAGGAAACATCAAGGGTGACGAGGTCAGTTAGTAGGATCGTAAATTCATAGCACGTGACAATAAGAGGACGTCAGATCATCAAAGAATCGTGGATCAAAAATCAATCAAGTCATGGAAGGGAGCCGAAACTGGGAAATTGGGGGTTGCTCTTCGAGAACAGGAAAAGCAGAAGTATCTCGTTAACATTGCAGGCATGAAACATTCGAATAGGAGGAATTGATTGGAGAGATGAGGGGGGGAAGAAGAAAGAAAAATCCAAATTAAATCGTCAGTGGGTATCGACAGTTCATAAAAAGTAAGGGGACTCGTAAAATCTTGGCCTCGTCGTCGTTATCATTCGATTAGGGTTCTTATTCCCATGGAACGTCGGCTTTCTCGACTTTGATGCACGTCAGATAGGGAAGACCGGTGTCACTCATTTCAGCACTCTTCAGGTCCAGCTCGAGGAAATTTCGCATCAAAGGCTTCACAATCTCACGAGCTAGCCGCTTGATCTCGTCCATCTTGCGCTCGAATCGCTTCAGGACGTCCCGGGAGTATAACGACTCGGTAGACGGAGTTGGGTGCACTTTGAGAAATTTCTTGAGTTCGTCATGCGTTAGATAAGCTTGAGAGGACGAGGAGCCGATCAGTCGGTATACCTGCGCCGAGGACATTGGGGGTGCGGCTGCGGAAGTCTTCGAAGGACCTGATGAGGAGTCTTGAGCGCGATGATGTCCAGTCGGCTGCGAGGAGCGACTTGGATGGTTGCTAGGATTAGAGGGGTTGTTCTTGAGAATCGGCGCCGGAGGTGGCGTTGTGCTGTCCACCAGCCATTGTCGAAACAGAGAGATCGCAAGCCAATCAAGGTATGCGTTCGTGGGACTAACTCGGTCGCCACGAGAGGTAGTGAGCGACAGTCGCAGCAGCTTGGAATCGACGCGCGCCTTCATGAACTCGAGATCCTCCACCTTGTCCTCGATGATGTCCAGCACGGTGTCTGGAAGAGGCGAATACGGGCCATTGCGCAAATGAAGCAGTCCCACTGGCCATTGTCCGACAACGTGAATCAGGGCTTCCGAGTAAATGACCCGACTTCGCGCCAGGAATCCCAGTTTGAGGTAACTCGGAGGATACTTGGCGATCTGCTTGAACAACCGGGAGCCAAAGCCTAAAAGGTGGTGATCGACTCGCGGCCCAGTGACTGGCAGCGCGTCATACATGTCAGCTAGTGCCAACAGTGCCCTGCACTCCGCGTACGCAGTCGCAATATTCACGCTATTCAGATGCGGGGGATAGTTGTAAAACAAGCGAAAGAGATTATCATAATCGCGGACAGTGGGATCCATCGGCGTGTTCGCCCCTGTCCCTCGGTGAGGCAGGTTCACCACCGACTGCATCCCCGCCAGATTTGCCATGGAACGAACGAAACCCGCATGAGTACTAGAAGGCTTTGTCGTCGCCGGAGGGTAGTGACCCGCGTCATTCCCGAACGCATTGGAAAAGCTAGGTGGCTGGTCACGATCAGAATGTGATCAAAGACATTGAACAGAGGTTAAGATAATAGGGATGCGGAGAAATCACACCAACCTTTTGGACCAAAATTGGCTCCTCATCCTCCGCCTTGCCCTCCCAGTCCAGTTCATACCGCCATCTTCTCTTCTCGGGCGCCCATGACGTTTGTCCCATGTCGGACTGAGCCAGAGTCGAGCCGTTGGAAAGAGACGAGTTATCTTCGCTGATTCTTGAAAGCACCGCGGGATCCGGATTCGTTGGTCGCGCAACAGTTTGCCCTGACCACTCGTCGCGGGTGCTTGCTTCGAAGAACCCCGAGCATTGCGACAATATCAACCGGTGTAGAAGATACCGCTTCTCCTGGGCACCCGCACGAATCACAATCTCCACATCGCCCGTGTGCGTGAAAATGGGGAAGTCATTTTGGGGCTGGTGAGCAAGACCCCCATGATGAGAACGGCTAGAGCGATGTCGCCGGCTGGAGTGAGAATGACGCGACAGAGAAGACGGTGCGCTCGGCATAGGGATAGACCGATCGAGGATCTGGGCCTGAGAAACCATTTCGGAGCCGGTGACGGGATGCGTGGTGATGGTGGGAGACTTCGTGGGCATGGTCAGGCGAGGCGCTGAGAGAATGCGCGGGGACAAAGCGCCAGGGTGAGTGCAAGTATGGAAAGCTTCATCCAAAAGAAAGGTTCCAGCGCACGTTGCGTTGTTTTGAGGTTATTCGGTCGGTCAAAAAGCAATAAAACGCAAGGAATGGGATTGCACAGAAAGCCCCCGAGCGCGCACTTCCCGGGGCGAATCTCCAGCGGCTGAAGCCCCGCGGTGATAGGCAAAATGCAGGCAAATCGACCGACGTGGTTGGGGGACGTGGGAGACCCTCCCAATCGAGGCGATAGGAGTCGAGGGTCGAGGGGAGTTGTTTCAGATCTTGTCGGAAAGAAAGTCGCACGACAAACAAAGTCGAGAAAGCGAGCGAGAAGGAGGGAAAGGGAACAGAAGGCTGAAACCTGATATGATAGGACAGGATCCACTACTGGATGCAGCCAAGTTCCAGTCGGACTAAGCCATTCTCCATAAACAAATAAACAAATCAAGAAGAGCCGGGATGGAGAAGCGACGGAAACGAAGGAAATGTGGTTCTAGAAGAAAGGGGAGCCACGTGCTTGGACTCGAGATGGATGCGGTCTTCAGTTCTGGATGAAATTGATTGTCTTTGCCCGTGTTCCCTTTGCGATGAGGAAGGTCGAGATTCGAGGACGGCGAGGACCAGAAGAGGAGACTCCATCGACATAATTGCGCATAACCATCACAATTAGTCAGCCACGCACAACCCCGGGAATCACGTGTGGGGCTGATCGCCCCGCCAAAAAAAGATCGGAGTCATTTGCTTCTTCTCGCATTCCACTTCGATGCTTCGGTCTCCCCGTCCTCTTCGTCCTCTCCATCTATCGCCCGGCTATCGCATCGTGCCGTCCCACCTTCTGCCGTCACCGCAAGCGATGCCTGAGTGCTGTCGTCAAGCCCTCCGGACATCCAATTGCTCTTGACCCGCATACCTCTTTCGTCAAGGATCATGGCCAGTGTCATGCTCGAAACCTTGTCGCGAGTTGTAATTTGGCTGTTCCGGATCCGATCCAGATACATCACGTTCCATCCCTCTGACTAAAAGCCATGACAAAAGGCTGTTACACCTGCCGTCGCCGTCGCATCATCTGCGACAATGGCCTCCCCACCTGTCGAAAGTGCCGGGATGCGGGGAAAGAATGTCTGGGGTATCAGAAGCCCCTCGTCTGGGTCAAGGGGGGTGTGGCTAGTCGAGGAAAGATGATGGGTCGCAGCTTTGATGACGCTATCTCGAATCCTCAGAACGAGTCCACCAGCGTTTTGCCGAACAACGACCTGCCGACGTCGGAGGCCGTCTCCACATCGAATCCCAACCGCACGGGGCCTGAATTGACCCAGGAGACATCGGATACTGCGCGGGTGAGAAAGCAGGATAAAAGAGTCACTACGAAAAGAGCGAGCGCTAGTGTCAGCTCTTTCCCGGCGCCCAGAGCTCTGGTTGATCCGTTATTCCAAGACCTGAGTCCTTTGACCAGATTCTACGTTTCTCACTGTGAGTAGTTGTAACTATCTTGTTCTGGACTGTGTCTAAATATACTCTCGCAAAGTCAACCAGAATCTTGTTGGATATCTCGCACTGTATTCCCATGTGAATAACCCCTTCCGCCAACTCACCCCCTTAGTTGGAGAATCCCCTGTTCTCGCCTACGCGCTGGCCGCAACCGGGGCGTTACATTATGCAATCCTCGCAAATTGCGATTTCTCGCCTACACCATGGTCAAATGGTGGAACAACGTTGGCGGAGACTCATCTGTCGCCACAAGACATCGAAAAGGCCGTGGTCAGCTCCATGTGCCGACGGCCAACTTCAAAAACCTACGAACACTTCCTCGGCTTCAAGCAGCGCACCCTCAATCAGTTATCGCGGGACCTGCACGACCCCTCCAAGCGCACAGATAACAGGACATTGGCGACGATCATGATTCTTGCACTCATGGACGCCATTGAGTCTGGCGATGGAGCATGGAAATATCACCTCGAGGGGGCCAAACAATTGTTATTGAGCCGAGGCCATGAGAATAACCCCCTTGCCAAACCAAGCATTACCGATTCGCTCGACACGTTTGCCATCGACGGATGTCTCCTGTAAGCTGTTCACAATTGTTCTAACGCGACTGTCATGAAACTAACTAGTCACCTTCAGGATCCAGCTCATGGGCTCCACTCTCGCCCGACCAGGCTCTCTCACAAAGCCCTTTTACTCCTCTGATATGGGTGCCGGTGTTCTCAAACGTCTAGAAGAAACGTCCTGGGTCGGCTGTCCCGCCTACCTGCTTGAAGTCATTTTCATCGTCCATGCCGGCTGGTGCTCCGACGCCGACTCCGACTCCACGACCAACCACCCAACCATGAATTTCCCCTCGGCTTTTCTCCCGGAAGACTCCAATCCCTTCCAATCTCCCGGCGCTCTCCTCCGCCACATCCAAGCCTTCGACCCCGTCGCGTGGGCCCAAGCAATGCAAACCTGTCTCTACCTGCCCGACCAGACCATGCGCATCGCTCTGGCTAGCGTCTACCGCGCCTCTGTCTACCTCTACGCCAGCCGCGTCCTCTCCCGCCCCCGCGCCGGCGCCGCCATCTCCAACAGCTTCGGCTTGCCCTCAGACCACAGCGCCGTCGCCAATCGCCTCATCCAAGAGATCGTCCTGATCCCCGTCACCGACCCGCACTTCAAATGCCTCATCTGGCCGTCCTTCATCGCCGGCGCCGAATGCCGCGATCCCGCCCAACGACCCATCCTCCTACAAACTCTCAGCACTCTCTACTACCACATCACGAGCGTGAACGTGCGCAACGCCGCCTGGGTGCTCAGCCTGATGTGGCGGAAGCGCGATGCTAAACGGCAAGAGCAGGGATACTCATCCTCCCCTTGTTCTTCCTCTCCCTCTCCTACCTCGACGACATTAACCTCAACGCCGCCCGACATATCCGGGTCTTGTTCCTCTTTCTCTGCTTCTACTACTAATCACGACGATGACGATTTTGATTGGATCCAGGAGTTGGATAGTTCCCGGATCGATTGGCTGTTTATATAATGACTACGGTTTCTTTCTCGTTCGTTACTACCTACCCTGCCTAGGTAGGTACTGGATAATAAGCTTGTGAAATCACGGTATATGTATTTGTATATATAATCACAATGAACAGTAAACGATAAATATGAATAATGATATGATATGATGATGTCCATGCTATATCCACCAAACATGCAAGACTCTGCAAACAATGATTCGCTGGCCAGTAAACAATCGGTGGTCTTGTCTGTCTTGCCTGTCTTTCAATTGAATTCAGATACATACTTACATACATTTGCAAGGTGGACCTATGTCGAAGCTAAGCTTCATGAGTATATATCACGTCCAGACGACCGAGTCCTCTGACCAAGTCAGAGGAAGGACGTTCGACAACTAACAATGAATACAAGACGGCGGAGAATATGCAAAACGAAGATGCAAAGGGGACGAAGGAGTTAAATCAGGATGAAGAATACCAATCAATCAATAATCAATCAATCAAAGTCCCTATGAGAGGTACCATTGAAGCAAGAAGGCAAAAGAGAAACACTATTTAACAAGAACGTAAATTGTATTTGAGAAAAGACAAAATGAGAACAAAAAGGGGCGGGATGTCAAGAAGAAGACACGAGGAAACGAAGAGACGGGGAATCAGATGGGCTAAGAGGAAAGAAAAAGAAGAAGAGAAGAGAAGATACAAATCGGGGAATCAATTCCGCTCCTAGAAAGAAACAAAAAAGGAACAAAAGAGAATAAAAGCCGCTCAGCGTAGCAAACCGAATGGTATAATGACAAACGAAACCTGGAGCAGCAATGGGTTGACCAAGGCATGTCGAAGAGCCGGGGGTATATAAGCTATTCCTCGTGTCTGTAGCTGCCGACAAAAGCAAAAACAAATCCGACAAGCTCTTGAATCCTCTGTTTTTCTTTTTCGACCAAGCGAAAAGTATATATCCGAGTATGTAGAGAAGAGAATGGTGAGAAAAGAGACAAGAAACAAGAAGAAAAAGCAAAGCGCCAGATGAGGGATATATGCACACTCCATCCCATCTAAATGCAGTGATCTCAACAAACAGGAAAACAAGAAAAAGAAACACGCTCATCGTTGCAAATATGCAAGATAAAAAAGGGGGGTAAAGCAAATGACATGACAAAGGAAAGCTTTCAAAATGCAGGCACACAAAGGAGATGACGTTTGCTGGTTAGAGGCGGTCCAAAACCATTGACATCAACAATGGATCAAACATGCACCAATAGTGGTTATCAAGAAAATAAAATGACACCCGATCATTCAAATGCGGATGGGATTCAAAAAACGGTGTGGAGGTTATAGGTGGCAATGTTCCAAGGGAGAGGGTCGATCAAGGTGGTGAGGAGTATGAAGGAGGAATGTGCTATACGTGGAACACAGACTTAGAAAACTGCAGCCAATCCGTTCCTTGAGTGGCGGCGGCTGAATCTTTTCCGCCCTTTCACGGATTCCGAATCAGTGGCCTGGTGTTTGACGAGCGTGGCTCGCCCGGATGATGATGGCGGGTTTTCGTGGTGCATATCCGAACTCCGATCTAGGGTATTGGCCTGGCTTGACAGCTCGGAAGACAGATCACGGAATGCTTCGTCGGCAGAATAGGATCCATTGTTCTGCTGGAATAGCGCCATCTCTTTCGCTCGGTCTAGCGCATCCAGCCATTCCTGTGCCAACAATGCGGTGGCACCAACATTGCTGGACGAGGGCTTAGGGTCTTCAAAGACAAAATGCTTGTCTCGCTGTAAACAAGAATATTAGCAGCACGCCCGAGGGACAACTGACAAGGAAAGGACTACTTACCGTATCCACAACCCAACATGAAAACCCTTTGGCGTCCGTTGAGGTGCGATACTGTGTCCCCGGACCAAGCAGGGAAATTTCCATCTTGGCCTTCTTTTCATCGCCACCAGATGCAGCCATAATGATTCGACCCGACGAAGTCACCATAACCAATCGCTGTCGCTTCTTGGTAGTGCTCCCCCCAAAGAACCGGGAAAATTTCTTAGGGGGCTCGAATTCACCACTTCCGTTCTTGGAGACGGGACTGTGAGCAGCCGGTGAGGACAGAACCATCAAGTTCCCCAACCTGAGTATTCGCTCGTTGGTCTTGGTCAACACCGGAGACCATTCGATATCAAGTTGGGTAGGAGGGGGCAGCTCCGTCACGAGTCTTGGGACCACCCTGGAGCCAGCGTTCGGGGCACCGGACGGAGCCGACGTGATACCCGGGGGAAAGCTTTCCCCATCTTTGCCTCCGTTCAGTTTAATGGGCTCACGCGGAGGCGGCACATAAGCCTTCAACCGAGGCGCCTTTCGTTTCCACAGCTCCGGGCCCCAAGCCATTCCCTGGAAGAATTCATGGTTCTTGATGTGCTCGATCGGCAAGCGACGAGCTGGGTCCAGGACGAGCAGACGCTCGACCAGATCCCGGGCCACCGCGGGAAAGCCGACGGGGAACTCGTAATCGAGCGCGACGATTCGTTGGAACGTTTGGTATTCATTCCCGGCCTTGAATGGAGGACGGCCGGCCAGGAGTTGGTAGATGATACAGCCAAACGCCCACAGATCGCTTGCCTTGCAAGCATTCTTATCGGTGAGCAGTTCAGGGCTGACGTATTCCGCGGTGCCGACGAAGGAGCTGGCGCGTTCTTCGGCGGGCATATCGGCTGAGTCTAATGGCGGCATTCCGCTCGTATTCTGCTCCGGTCGCCGCGGGCTCTTGAGGATCTTGGCCGTTCCGAAGTCGGTGATTTTGACGTGCATCTGGTTGTCGAGAAGGACATTCTCCGGTTTCAGGTCTCGATGGATCACGCCGCGCCTATGCATGTAGTCAATGGTGTCGAGAATCTGGGCACCATAAAACCGCGTGCACTCCTCGTCAAAGGTCGACATGCGCTTGAGCACACCCAGCAGTTCTCCCCCTTTGCACAGATCCAACACGAAGTACAGCGAGCGCTCATCTTGAAAGGTGTAGTAAAGTCGAACGATTCCGGGATGCTCGGTCAGTCGGTTCAGGGTGTCCTTCTCAATGTTCACGTATTTCACCTTCTTCTCCTTGATGATGTGCCGCTTGTCCAGGATCTTGATTGCATATTCCTTGAGGGTCTGTCGGTCCGTGCCCAACACCACGGTACTATAGGATCCTTCTCCGAGAGTATTCCCGAACGAGAAATCCCGCACCCCCTTTTTGATGTACCGCGCAACGGGCTTCCCGTTGGCGTCTAGCTCCTGTCTCACCGAAACGGCGGCCCCCCGATCCTGCCAGTCTTCGCTGCTGGGCCCGGGGCCATTCTCCATGCCGTAGGGCGAGCCCGCCAGCTGGGCCGTACCACCGCCGCGCGCGTGGGCACGGGAGGGCTGACGCATCACCTTCGGCCCATTGCCGGCGGGCAACTGGGCTGTCCGATACGACCGGTCGCTGTGGCTATTATCACGCACGGGGACGCCCGCCTGGTACGCGGCCGAGCCCCCCCGGGATTCTGCCCGAGCCTGGCTTTCGGAGGCGGACGACGCGGCGGAGTCGGTGCGGATTCGATAGGAGCCCTCCCTGGCGGCCAGGGTCGAGGTCGAGCCGTTCGCGAAAAGGCCCGATAGAGGTCGAGACGAACCCGACGAGGGAATCTGTGGCGGTTGTTGGGAGGCGTAAGGGGGGAATTGGGAGGTCGGCTGTTGCTGGATATCTAAGTACGGCAGGAAGGCAGAATTCCGGTTCTCGAGGGGTTTTGACGACAGGTCGTACATGCTTTCGCCGGAGGACGGCATCGTCGGATAGGGGAGGGAGGTCGAGCTGCCCGACGGTTGTTGGAAGAGGATGGACTCGCGCTTGGGCTCGGCGGCAGGAGGCTGCGCCGTCGCAGCGGACGGAGTTGGAGTCGCGGTATCCTCGGACGAATGTAGAGACGAGTCATCCGGGTTGGCTATCCGGAGACCTCCCAGAGACTGGGAGAGACTGAGGTCCCCGTTCATGACGGGCATGGGAGGGTGGGTGGAGGGAGAGGAGCGGTCGAATTGTCGAGCAATCGGACCGAGCGAGGGGAAGAAGAAGGAGGGAGGAAGCAGAGGCAGAGGAGGAGGAGGAGAGGAGGGGGAAAAGGGGAGTTGGAAACGGGAGAGCGACTGGTGAGCAGCCAAGACTCGGGCCTTTCCAGCGGTGCAAAGAAAGGGAGAAGGGAGAGGACAAGAGAAAATGAGGAAGACGAGGAATTCTCCCGGGGATTTTCTGTGCCCTGAATTATTCTTTGGCACCGAATCCAGAATCTCGAATGGCAGCGATGGCCGTCTTATTGCAGAGCGCAGCCTGAGCGAAGGTGGGCCGACGGGGAGGAAGGCGGCGGTCGGCAGAGCATCCTACGCTGCTCGTCTCGTCGTCTCGTCTTTCTTCTCTCGCTCAGCAGGATGGAGAACTGATCCTGAGGAACTGATCCAGAGAACTAATCAGGAGAATCGACAGGAGACCAGAACGACCCGAACAGAAAAGAGGCTGAGATGGCAGATCCCCGCTGATTTGGGTCCGTCGGAACTTGGCTTCAGCTCTTATTTATTATTAGCAGCGGAATCTGCCTGCCTGCGCTCGTTTATATTTAGCGATCTTCGGACTCGCAGTTATATCATCTGTCTTATATCATTTGATTTTTCAGAAAACCCGGCTTTTCTGGCAGCTTGCCTTTTTGGGACGCTGCGTGATGTATCAACACGACTCTCCAGCAAGTGACGAGATCCTCACGTCTCCATGGATTTTATCTATTTTCCTATAAATTCATATAGTTTTGATTCGATTTATATACAATGGTTCTGTCCTATCCATGCTCGAGATATCCCAGCGCTCCTGCCGGTTTGGCCAGCAACCTTCCCAATGCAACCAACACAACCGTCTGCGTAGTCAAGAATCCTCAAGAATAGTAGCTCGTACTACGGACTACAGTTGCATTCTACATCGGATCTGCCAGCTGCAACATCGTGCATAAACGCATCTATATTCTACATCCTCTAGACCATAGTCACGAACACCACAATGCTTCGTCTGTCGCCCACTCGCATTTTCCTGGGAGAAGAAGATCTCCATTACCATCTGAAAAGAGTGTATTTGCGTCAGACACTATACTCGACGGGATACAACACGGACCAAACGGGCAGCGATGAAGATGAAGATGAGTATGAGGATGACGATGAGGACGAGGACGATGAAGACGACGAGACCTCCATCGGTTCTCAGTCCTTCTCTCCATATGCTCTTTCCCACTACAAGACGTCCTACTCAGATGGCTCGAGTGAGTCGGATAGTTGGCCGTTGCAAGAACGATGGCAGAGTAATTGGAGAACGAATGCCGCCGGTCTCTCGACGTTTGCCAAAACAGTCACACGGGGCACGTCGCTGGCCTCGCGCATTGACCTGGAGCCCTCTGGTCATGCTTTGGTGAATGTCCCAGATGTCAAAGGCCCTATCATTCAACGTGCCGGCAATCAACCACGGACCGCGTGCTATACTGGGTCGCGCCGTCATTCACCGGACACAGACACGCTAACTTCCACCAGCTTGCAATCTGATCCCCAAGTTTTGGGGGAAATCTCACTCAACACGACTGGTGAAAGACCAAGGAGGGGTTTCAAGCTTCCCAAACCCCATCCCACCGTGCACTTGTCCCTACCTTTTCTTCAAAAGCTGGGAGGTTCCACTTACTTCATTCTTTACCTCCCCTCTACAACCCTCAGTCTGATTTTGCCTCCTCCTCAACAACAATGGGGTATTAGAAACTCACCTGTCCATATCAAACGAAATACTAACCTTCTTGTCACAGCCACTAAACCGAGCCAACAGAGAAAGATCCTCCACACAGACCTGAGCACCGTACCCTATCCATCCGCGCGCTCTGTGATCCTTAACCCACTGGTCAGGATTCTCGCCCAAGGCCTCCACAAGATACAGATAGTCGAGACAATCGGAATGGATCGTGCGATGCCAAGGAACGCAGCCGCATGGAGGAGAGGGGCTCGAACCCGCAATCCTTCATGGCAATCCTTCGTGAATGAACCTCTGTTCCACAGGAGAGCTGCCGATCATGATCCACAATCGAGCTCTGCAGTCCCGGCCAGAGACTCGCCACATCGGTACGAACCAACCGCGACCAGAGAAGATCCAGGCCGTCCGGTTGTTGAGGTAAGAACCGATGCTGACAACCAGCTAACGAGTCAATATGCTGACAATCCGAAGCAAGTGAGGAATGACGGTGCCAGCGAAGAGAGGGCCAGAGTGCATAACGTCGTGTCCATCAGTTCACTGACTCCTGCGACCCATTCTGCCGATACACAACCTCTGCAAGGAGCCAGTGTATTTGATGAAGATGCCAACTGCATCCGTGGTTTCCCGCGGACTTTGAATGTGCCGGTAGGTGTACCCTGCGGCCATGATCCTTTCATTCTACCAGTGCTAAGTGTTATTGTTCGCCATGGTTGTAGAATTATGCAGTCATCGGTACCTTAGAGCCCACTTATCTCATCTATGATTGGGGTACGCATCGCCATACTGCTTTTGAAAGGCCTCTTGAGTACCCCACGGTGATGCATCCTCCACTGCAGTTGGGTCCTCCGACATCTTTCCCTGTCGCAGTATCTTTAGCCGACGAATCCCATCATGCTTTTCTAGAGCGCCATTCTGCCTTGGGGGCATACAGAGTCACGGAGTGGGTTCCCCAGACATCTTCGGCCGCTGATGAGTCCTATGGTGCCGTTGCATGGGCTCGAGAGACCCATATCCCCACGGTAACACACAGAACCATGGACGTCCTTCCCGAAGCATCTTTACCCACTGGCGAACAGCATGTTGATCGTGCAAGGCCTCGAGAGTATCACGTCCCCACGGTAACGCATAGAACCATGGAAGTCCTTCCCGAAGCGTCTTCGCCTACCGGCGAACACCATGGTGATCGTACAAGATCTAGAGTCTCCACGGTGACGCATGACGCAATGGATGCCATTCCCGAAGAATCCTCGGATACCGGAGTACACTCTGTACCTCATGCGAGAAGTCGAGAGCAGCCTAGAGCGGTGCATCGACCGGCGGAGGCCACTGCCCAAGCATCTCCAGCCGTCCGCGTACAGTCGTTCACTCCTGTCAATCCACCCAAGCGCACCGGACAAGAAGGCTCGGCAACTCCACATGGCAGCCACCCCGAACCAAACAATGTAAGGAATTCCCCAGATCGTGACGACCGGTTGATCCGATGGCTAACCGGCATAGAATAATGACGAACGGGAAGCGGAGGGTCGTTCCGTTGAGCAGCGCATCAAGCGGCTGATCGACGACGAATTGCGAGAATCCGAGCGTATCAGCATTTACGACTATGGACTGGGTGCGCTGCGCAGAAAGCCGCTAGGCGAATGGTACCGCGAGGCGGTTCGCAAAGACGAGTAAGTCGGGATGCTGGCCTTACGCGTTCTGGATGGAGAGACATCGCGCTACCGAACGTTTTCCTGCATGAAGGGACCATCCAAGAATAGATGCATGGCCACCGAATGTCTCAAGAGTTCCAGTGGGCTGATAAGTTGATGAGCGATGATAATACGTACACCTTTTGTTCGGACTGCCTTTGTTTATTCTTGTGGGGGAGTGTTCCACGTCTCGACCATCGCAGCCGATCGCTGTGTGAGTGGTCATTTGCTGTCGAGGGTGGCGGAGGCCGGTACTTTGGTCAGCGTGTCTCTGAGTCGACTCCACCGGGGCTGGCCTATGCGAGGAGTAGTCATGTCATTAGTTGGCCGCGATAGGTCCCAATTGGAATACGTGTGTTCTTGTTCCAGATTTGATTCACCATCACGACGGCCGATGAGACGATGGAGAAGGAGACTCCGTAGCAATCTGTCCGAAACCAACAGAGGCCGGATACCTGAATACTCAGGCAATGGTACAGGATACATACGATACCTTCAATACGGCCGTACCGCTGGATACCGGGAGTGTCTCGCACTAACTACAATAGGTTAGCCCCAGCTACTAAGAATAATGGCCGGCTCCGGACTGACGCGTCCGTGTTTCCACCACCACAGCGGAAGGGAGCACCCTCTGCTCAGCCTGTTTACGGAGTAGTACCTAGTAAACAGAGCACGAAGGAGAACGACCATCGCAGCGACATTTCCCAGCGTAGAATATGCCCAGTACCTACGCAGTACGGAGTACAGAATCCTGCCCGTCGGAAATCCGGCATCTCTGTCTATCACCGCATATCAGTTTCGGTGCCATGTCCGAGCGTCCCCGTCAATCCTCATCTTACCACCCAGCTAGATGGCACTAAGTAGTTAACAGACGGACCTGACTCCGCTGGCTATGTCATGGAGGAGTCCCTATCTCCGTGGGAGGAATGAGGACTCTGAAGATAGCGATGGGTAGTTACGGAGGTGGTTTGTCCGGCCGGTCGCGAGACTCCATGTTTTGTCGGATTTTTTTGTATTTTTTTTTTATTAAATGAAAGCTTAGCGATTGATGGCTGCCTGATCCGGTAGATTTGGTGGACGGAGCCGACATCAGATATGCTGTTTATATTGCTTTATGGTCCAGACTCATGGGTCTAGGCTCTGGGTTGGCGGTAGCATTGAGGCGAGACTGAGACATCGCTAGTCAGTTAGTTAGCTGGTTGTTGGTCGCACCGGTCTTGGTCATGTTCTCGAATCTTGAATCGTCGAATTTTTTTTTCTCCTTGTTTTTTCTACTTCGCTTTGTTGGAATTAGAGAAGCTAGGAAACAGAAGGAGAGACAAACAGACGACCGATGGATGGTTATGTCTCAGCCGTACTTTATTTATAACGCGTGTGTCCATGGCATCGCGATCGATAGGATGGAGTGGTAGTAACTACTAACTAGTAGATAGTAATAGTATCTACTGTCTCAATTACGCCGGAGTAGTCTGTGCAATGCTAGCACTAGTCTGAGATCCATTCAACTGAACCTTACGAGATCAAGGCGTTCGATTCGGAAGGTCCCCCTGGCGCGTCGAGTCATTGAAGTTGGTGATCGTGTCGATCGGATCCTGATCCATCGCGAATCGCAATCTCAGTACACTATACGGAGTATATTCGGTAAAGTGAACACGGTGTACAGTTGGATGGAGTTGTTATCGGTCATCATAGCAATGCCAACCTCATTCATTCGGTAATATATTCATAGGATATAACAATCCAACGGAGACCCGTGATAGAAGCAAGAACATGACAGCCAACAATGCAGGGCATCCATCATCTTAAAGAATCAAGTCTAGAAAAGAGAAAACGAAAAGAAAAAAAGGGTTTATAGCTTGAAAAGAATTCTAGCAAGAATTGCAGGAAAGATGGTGGGTTTTCACATCAACACAAAATGCCCGCAAAACGTCTCCCAAATATCGCTTCAAAAAATAAAGAAAGGAAATAGAATCAATGGCTCCCGTTGTCCGTAAAAAATCCGGTATCTAGTTGTTTTGTTTTAAAAACCCCCTCTTGAAATCATTCAATATTAAATCGGAAAATATGTCTATATGTTCTTCAGCGCTTACTGAGCCTTGGACTTGGCAAACAGCTGAGCACCGTCCTCCAGACGACGCTCGGTGTTCTGTCTGCCGTTGACGAAGTCGGGGTAGTTCAGGGTAAGCTCGACGGCACCGTTGACAATGTTGTCCACAGCCTCGACACCCAGCATGAAAGAGTGGTCCTGGTTACCGACCTCGTAGCGCCAGCTACCGAAGCGGCCACGGGTCCAGATGTCCTGGGCCTGGAGGCGGGGCAGGATCTGGGTAAGGGCACCCTCACGCTCGAGGGAGGGGGTGGGGTAACCGTGGTCGAAGCGGCGGTGGTAGGTAGAGACAATCTCGTCGGTGGGCTTGAGCATCTCGGTGTTGACGAGACCCTGGATGGAGTCGGCCAGGAGGGTCTCGTGGTTGACAGGCTTCATCGAGGACTCGGAAACCTCCAGCATGATAGACCAGTAAGGACCCTCCTCAGCATCGGTGCTCTTGGGCTTGGAGCCGTCGGCGAGCTGCAGGGTAGGGAGCTTCTTGGAGGTCTCGGGCTGGTTGTGAGGGGAGTAGTTGGAGAAGATGGTGGCACGGTAGAAGGGGCAGTTGTCCTCGGGGAAGTAGAGCTATTGAAACAGTTCTGTTAGCTTACGGACAAGAATTTTCGAGGCAATTTCAAAGCGACCTACCCAGCACTTGTCACCGATTCTCTCAGGGCGGGTACCACGGATACCAACACCGATAACGTGGGTGGTGGAGTAGAAGAGCTGCTTGGTGAGGCCAACCAGCTCCTGGTCACCCATCTGCTCGGCAAGGAAATCCACGGCCATGGTAGAGACCAGCTTCTTGTAGCCGACGGTCGTGCCGTCAGCAAGCTGAACGGTCTTGTTGCCGGCGTTGACCTTGGTGACCTTGCCCTTCTCACCGAAGCGAGTGTTCTCCTTGGGGATGGTGTTGGCAACGGCAATCCAGATGCCACCGGTACCACCGTGGGCGGGGAAACGGAAAGTAGCGTTAGGGCCCCAGTTACCAGCAGTCTTGTTCAGGATGACGTTGGTGGTGACGGCCTTGACGTTGGGAGCGGCAACACGCTCACCGAGCCAGGCACATTGCATCTACAGAGGTTGCTCATCAGCATTTGCGTTCAACAGGGCAGCCCGATGCGCCCACGAAGAATTGATTCGTCTTACCTTGGTGGTCGGCACAGCCCAGACCTTGTAGTTGTAGGGTCTCATGAAGAGATCGGCGATACCAGTTCCCATCATACGAACGATCCACTCGTCGAAGTCCTTGGGCTTGGTGTTGGCCACGCGAGCCTCAAGGGCAGCGTCAATCATGCCGTCAATGCACTTGACCTGCTCCTCCTTGGGAAGCATGGAGATGTTGTTCTGGAAGGGGTAGGGAACCCATTTCTCCTGGCAGCGAACGTAGGAGATACGCTGGTGGGTGTACCAGTCCTCGTCCTTGGGGAGAGCCTCGTTGATGCAGTCGTCGAAGTACTTGTAGTGGGAGAAGATAACGTGGCCACCGACGTCGTAGAGCTGCCAATGGGTTAGTTTGGTTGCTCTTCTCCCGGAGACAGCGCAGAATGGAGTGAACATACGAAGCCTTCGGGGGTGACATCGGTAGAGGCAAGACCACCGGGGGTCTCGTTGCTGTCCACAATCAACCACGAGGGGCCGTTCTAACGACAACAATCAGCATGAGAATTCGCGGATTCGACAGGGTCGCAATCGTACGATCTGGTTCAAACGCTTAGCAGCACCCAAACCAGTTGGGCCTGCACCAATGACGAGAACGTCGACGGAGCTAGAGGTGAGCAAGAGACGAGGTTAGCGGCTGCAACGAGAACACCCCTGAGAGCAGGTCGCGCTGAGGTTCTTACATGTCGGGGTGGGTCATTCTGCCTTGTAGGATGTCCTGAAAGCTGGGAACGCGGTTTAAGGTCTTGCGGGCGAGACTAAGCATAGAAAAGATCTATGAAGCTGCAAGAATGCAGTATTTAAAGAAGCGGTAAGGGGGAGGGGAGGAAGAGAGAGGGGGAGGCGATGGCGGAGAAGAGAAAGGAACGGTGAGGGAGAAAGATCGGGCGTAATATTAGTATTAGTATTCGTACCAGGTACGCCCGCGGCGAGGGTACGGCAAAACGCAGTATTACCAAAGGTGTGGGGAGGTTCTGTTTCAAGTTTAGGCCCTACGAATTCCTCCTAATCAAAGGAAGACACCCGATGATGAATCCCTATCAATCCCTGGGCGGCGGAAAAGGGGAAATCCCCAGGCCTTCCAATTTACAGACAGACTAAAACTCAAAACTTAATGGGACACGCGGCTATCCTAGAGGCCAGAGGTTACGGAGGTCTCCAAAAAAAAAAAAAAAAAAAAAAAAAAAAAAGTGCCAACCAGCCATTCGACTCGGTCTCCGTGCGCCATCTGCCCTGGTTCTGCGGTCCCGTTGGATAGAAAATCCCAGCCAGATTACGGAGTTTTCCATGATGGCTGTCTGGTGGCTAACGTTCGTTGGTTGGTTCCTCCCAACGTCCAGAACCGCGTAAACATCGTAAAGGGGTTGCCATTGGTCTACCGGGTGGCTTATCATCGAGTAGGTACCTATCAGGAATTCAGGGTGCAGGTTGCCTTTAATTCACACATCCGGAGGCATCATCCATGGCGTCGGCACCTGTTCCTTTTTTTTTTTCTTTTCTTTTCTTTTTCTTTAATTCATTTCTCGGCAGGCACCAAGGGTATTCCCCCTGAGTACGGAGTAGTGCTGCGTTTTCTATCGCCGTTCTTTGTCTTTGCCTTCTTTGTATGTACTGCGTAACTCATTCAACTGCCGGCTCAAGGTAGATTCTACTGTACTGCGAATGCTGTGTTCAAAACTTCAAACCCGCCCGAAACGGTGCGCCTCGAGTCTTCCCTTGTATCGACTATCGATTCACCGTGAAACCTGCTCTTGCATCATTGCATGATTGACCAGCTCCTGTAGTTTGTACTCCGTACACGCTAAAGTCCACACGGTGGTACTCCATACTAAACCCTGGGCCTCCGCCGTCTGTGCAGCACTTCGTCATTACGCACATGCCTGCTAAGCCCATTCAGCACTTTAACGGATTGACACCAAAGGATCGTCCCTCACTTGATCCATCAGACTTGTCAGGACTGAGGATTCATTTTGTGAACAGCCGGTTCCACTGATGGTCCCTACTCGAAGCGGAAGTCCAGAGCTGATCGCTTTCCAGAATCCGCGGGAAAAAACGTTTATCAGGGTTAAGATGACCAGGATGGCGGACGAATCCGACAGAGGCCAATCAAACTATCAGCCATGCAGGGTTTAGCAGAATGAGCTTCGTGGTCCTTTTTTTTTTTTTTTTTTTTTTTTTTTAATTACCTCTCAACTTCCATCAGGACAGCCGTTGCCATCGGCTCTTTGTGTATGGCAAGATCTTGTTCCCGGCTTCTGTGCTTCCTTCTGGACTATAATAAGGTAGTTAGAGCAACAGTGAATTCTTGCGTACCACCGTACCCATGGACAATTTCCATTGTGGTCTATTGTTCGAAGAGACCACCTGATGTTGCGGTCGCATCCGTATGCCGTAGCGAAGCAGAGGACGAGTGGATGGTCAGGACCAAGTGGCCGGGGCCCTCGTGGGTCAGGACGAGTCCCTGGACGGGCTAGGGAAAACGCAACCAGGATGCTAAAACGCCATTGAACCAAAGGGATGGCGTCAAGCCCTCCAGCCATCAGATCGCCGCATTCTCCACTGGTAAGGGACCTTTGCGGCAGCGCTATGGACAAGTGGCCGCTGAACGCGGGTAAGAAGTGCTTGGCTAGCAGGCTGCTTGCGTAATGCAGGTCGTGCCAAACAAGTCGGTGTTAATTTTGATCAACACGCTGCGGTTGCAGTGATTCCTGCTCGATTCCCTTACGCTCTGATCGACATCCAGTTGTTTCATCTCTACTTAGTAGTTATGAATAGATAGATCGCAAAGCACGACCACGTACGTGACAACGTCGGGGGTTTTCTATTCATCTCTGTTAGTCTTGTCTGCGTCGCAGGGACCAGAAACAAAAAGAAAAAAGAAAAAAAAGTTGGCAAGTGAGTGGAGCCCGTAGCTAAGAATAATAATGAGAATTAACGGAAAAGGGGCAAGGGAAGCGCAAGGGAAGCCAGCAAGTGGAGCCCTTGGAGATTGACACCAAGACTCGCTCGCCAGTCGCCAGACTCGCCACGAGAGTTGATGAAGTTCTGAACATTCGCTTGCCCCACGCTAGCACCAATGGATGGAGGGGAGTTTCATGGATGTTAATCCACTGGGGAGGTTGGACTTGGAGAAGGACCCAGAGGGTTTGCTCCATAATGGACAGCAATTAAACTGATGGCTGAGGAGTACGTACTCCGTGCGACTTGCCTCGACTCCCCCGGCTGGCTACTTTTCCTCGTGTTTAGTATTGGTTTCGGTGGGATTCGCGTGATGTGAGAGACATCCAAGATCAATGGAGAAAATGATAAAATGAAAAATCCACACATGCGGATTATGAGGGTTCAGAAAATAAAAAAAGAAAGCGGGAAAAAAGAAAGGCAGAAAAAGAAAGACAGAAGCGTTGCGCACTGCTGGGGACGGTCAACAGCCACGGGTACTTTACCTGTACGGTATGTACGGTATGTACGGTACCTTACCAGCGAATCGAGCGCAATTTCCCCGAGTCCTCCACTCATCCTAGCGTATGTAAGGCACGAATACCAACCCGTACACCGACGACTCATTTTATCGATCTATTGAACAACCCACTCGCTTTTCGCCCCTCCCACGCTCCACTCGCTTAGGCCAGACGTCTAGCACTCGAAACTCTCCGTCAGAATCACTGGTGGTGTTTCAAGTCCGACTCTGGCCATGGGGAAACTTGGTACTAAGAATAATTTTAAATTGATTAAAACCGTTTTAGCGTACCAGGGAGGACGAGGGAATTGCAGACATTCTAGCTGGGTTCTATTCTGTTCCGGTTCCATTCGACGCTGGCGTTGGTGGATTGGATTTGGATGCGTTCAGTGGCCTTACCGTACGGTACCTGCGACCGGCGGCGAGGTACGGTAAAGCGCCGTAAGCCCGCCCGAAGCGGCCTAGCGGGCGCCGCGTCCAACGAACGGCATATCTGACCTGGACCACGATCTCTGCCCTTTTCTTACGGCCCTGTTGATGCGGATCCCCGACCTTCTTGCCCCCCTTTGGCCTAACAAATAATAATCCTAATAATAATAGATATTCGTCCCTAATATTTCCTCACACCTCGACCACCCTCCCCAATCCTGTGCCGCATTCGCAACCTTATCCATCTGACCAAATCGCCTGTCCCTCCCCAGGACCCAAACTACCCGAAGGGATTATTATTTTTATTTGATTTTAATTTTAATTTTATTTTTTTTTTTTTTTTTTTTCCTCTCAAGAAAAAAAAAAAAAAAAAAAAACCCAAAGGAAATATACGTACCTCGTTTCCATCCATCCATCCTCCCTTCTTGTTTCTCTCCTCCCTCCCCCTCCATTTCATGTTCTTCATTGTTCCGTGATTCTGGTGTCTTAATTTTTTGTTCAATTTCTTTTCTTTTTTTTCATCGACCAACTATCATCTCACTCGTTCAATCTCTTTTTGTTTTTTTTTTTCGTCTTCTTGGACTATCAGTGTTGATTCTTTCTACTTCCCTTCCTCTCTCCACCATTCCCCGTGGCCTCCGCGCAGTTCAACCAAAGCAGCCTTTTACGGCCGCGCCCTTTCGATTTCCAACGCTTCCTATCAGACCAAGCTCGCACTCTCAAGAAAATGAGTTCCGAAGGAGAAAAGGCTAGAACCTCCGGCGAGGTCTCTCGTCCGGAGCCCGCTTTGCCCACCGTGAACCCGGCCGCTGAGAAGTCGGAGCCTCCCAAGGCGACCTTCCACCCTGCGGTCTACGTCAGGTATGTCCGGAATCTTCCCTCAGGGTGGGAAGTAGACAGAATTTAACTCTGTATCAGTGTCTGGATCACTCTGAGTTCCAGTGTCATCTTGTTCAACAAGAAGATTCTCGATAACCCTGAAGCTCAATTCCGTAAGTGCAACCTGTCTGTTTTGACCCGAGCCCGACGGATAACTAACCACCTTCTCTCATCCAGGCTTTCGTATGTCCTTCCTGAGTCGAATACCTTAGACTTGACCCGAATCTGACCCTCTTTTAGCTATCTTCCTTACGACATGGCACTTGGCGTTCGCAACTCTCATGACCCAGATCCTTGCCCGCACAACCAACTTGCTCGATGGCCGGAAGACCGTGAAGATGACTGGCCGGGTTTACCTGCGTGCTATTGTCCCTATCGGTCTCTTCTTCAGTTTGAGTTTGATCTGCGGTAATGTGACCTACCTGTATCTGAGCGTTGCTTTCATTCAGATGCTCAAGGTATGCTTGCACTGTTGAATCTCGGTTTTGTTCCTCGCTCACTGTGATACTCAGGCTACCACTCCTGTTGCCGTGCTGCTGGCTACCTGGGGCATGGGAATGGCCCCCGTCAACCTGAAAGTCCTCTCGAATGTCGCCGCCATCGTTGTTGGTGTCGTCATTGCTTCGTTCGGTGAGGTCAGGTTTGTCTTGATCGGTTTCCTTTTCCAGTTGGGCGGTATCGTTTTCGAGGCTACCCGTCTGGTCATGGTCCAGCGCCTACTCAGCTCCGCCGAATACAAGATGGATCCCCTTGTGTCTCTGTACTACTTCGCGCCCGTTTGCGCTGTCATGAACGGTCTCACTGCCCTCTTCATTGAGGTTCCCAACATGACTATGAACCACATCTACACCGTCGGCATCTCTACGCTGCTTCTCAACGCCATTATTGCTTTCCTGCTCAACGTTTCCGTTGTCTTCTTGGTATGTATCGCTGGGTGCACCGCTCGCCGACTCCGCTAACTTTGGGGCTACAGATTGGCAAGACTTCTTCCTTGGTCATGACCCTCTGCGGTGTCTTGAAGGATATCCTGCTGGTTGCCGCCTCCATGGCCATCTGGCACACCCCCGTCACCTTCACTCAGTTCTTCGGTTACTCCATCGCTCTTCTGGGTCTCGTCTACTACAAGCTTGGTGGCGACAAGATCAAGGACTACACCGGCCAGGCTAACCGTGCCTGGGCTGAGTATGGTGCCAACCACCCGGCGCAGCGCAAGTCCATCATCATCGGTGCCATTGTCCTGATTTTCTTCCTCTTCATCGGCTCCATGGGCCCCAGTTATGCCCCCGAGTCGATGGACCGCATGAAGGGCATGCTCGGTGGTGGCGCCGCCCCTGCCGGAAGCGCATAAAGCGTTTTCTCCTAAACGCCTCCCGGAGTCCACAGTTTTCTGGATTTGACAAGACCTGTAAACCAGCGTCCATGACGGGATAGACGTGATGAAGTCGGTGGGATGCTTCCTATATGCCGTGAAGGCATTGGGCAGCGAGACTGTGGACGCGAACTGTCATCAACCATTTCCACATTCCTTTCTTTTCTTTTGATTTCATATCCGGGCCTCTTTATAAAACTCTTCGACGGCCACGTTGTTGCTTTTTTAAATTAAACGATAATGTCCCTCAGTGGAGGTGGTCCCAAGGACACGGCAAGCGAAGTGCGACCAGGCGCGGCCACATGCGGGAAATGTACCCTGTGCCAGATGGTCCCCCTTGAACACCATCTCATGGAATGATATGACTGCGATCTCCCTCTCGAGGTCTATTTCTTTCTTGTTTACGGTCATCCACGGGCACATGTCCCCTGAATTACTTGCGATTTGGCTCGACGAATATTTTGTGTCATGTTCCAGCAACCTTGTGTTTTTTCTGGTGTCAGAAATGGCGAATGGCCGTTTTTTTGTTCGATTTCCCCCAACTGCCTCTTTCTCTTTTCCCTTCTCTGTTACTATACTTTTTTTTTACTTTTTTATCTTTACTTTTTGCTCGCATGAAATAGAATCGAACTTTCCGGTGTGCCAAGTCCCCGAGATTAGTAAGCCGATGTCTCGCCGTGAGACCAGACCCCAGCCGGGCATGGGTCTGCGAATGAACGGCGCCGGGCTTTCTGGGAGCTGAACGCGCGGCGGCGCGGACAGGCTTGCAGGGAACGCCACGCCAATCAGCGGCGCGGACGGCGGTGGATCCCCCCATGATGGTTGCCCGGCGCAATCGCCATCGAATCCTTGCTGGCCGATCTGGACTCGGTGGGGCTGGCCCGGGCTGGCTGTATTGCGGTGGTATTGGTATCGTCACAATGCTGGCCGAAGTGCTCAATTGCGGGCGCCGGGCGGCTGCTGGGCGGCGGCTGGGCGCCGTATCGTGGTATCGGAGTGGTCACGGGCAAATTTTATCTCCGCATAAGCTCGAGCACTCACACTCACTCGACAGATGGATCGCTTTCCCTTCTTCCCTTCCTCTCACGCGTCTCGCTTTTCCCGTTCTTCCTTTCTTTCTTTCCCATACCCCGGCGTCCCCGTCGTCTTCTCCATCTTTTCTTCTTCTCCTCTTCTTATCTCTTCCATCCGTCTGTTCTACCCTCCATCATCCATCCTCCTCCCCTCCTCTCTCCTCTTTGCTTTCCCTTCCCTTGTGGCGCTCGTCTCCGCAGCCTCGCATACGCTTGCGCCGATCTCTCTTTCTTACTGCTCCTGCGGACCTTGTCCCGTTCTCATAAGACGTCGCTGCTCGTCGTCTGACTGATAGGTTATTGTATCTTCTCACTTCTAGCTCACTGGACGCAACAGATCGGACACTGCTTCCCTCATTCTCCCTTCGGCACCTCACCAGCGATACCCTGCATTGAACCATTACGATGTGCCCGATGCTTCTCAACGGCCTCTCCGATGGCCCTGCCATGGTCCTCTCCCCGACCCAACAACACGCCTTTGTTCAATTCCCTCGTCACTTTGACTCGGCGCCGGGCACGAATTCCGGCTCTCTGTTCGCGAATGGCTTCAAGTCTCATACCTCTCCCGGGGCGAGCCCGTCGACTAAGCTGGCCACGTCTGCCCCAATTGCGGGAAAGCCGTCTCGCAAGAGGTCGCGCGACGAGGCCGCTTTTGAAGAAGCTATGAACACTCCCAGCGCTCCCGTTCAGGCTGCACCCGCTCCTCCCCCGAAGGAGGAAGAACCTGTCTACGGAGAAGGCATGGTTCTTCTGAACCCGCGTACAGGGATGGCTCTGTCCGCAGAAAGCCAGACTGGCACGTGGTACGAAGAGGTTTCCGAGACCACCGCAACGGCATCCGCCGGTTCTTCTCAACCTCAGGCAGCTGGCTCATCCAGCCTCGCTGGCCGCAAATCCCAGCGCCTCGACCCTTCTGCCCCTAGTTATGACGACATTGCGCTATCCTCGATGCAACGCTTACAAGATGCATCTGGAGATGATAACCGCCGCAACCTCAATTCGAACCCATTTACTTCTGGGGAACCCTTGGTCGATGATGCTACTCGCCTTCTCGGTATCAGTTGGCAGCGCATCGGTATGGACGACAACGACATGGCTGCTGCCGTGCGGGGGTGGAAGAAATACATCGACAGACAGTTTTCCAGCTATCTTTCTGACTGCGAAATCCTCATGAAAAACCGAGCCTTGAATGCCTACCTCGTCACCGCGCGGCCGGTTTCACCCTTCGGGCTTGCATCTTCTCCCGCTTTCTATCTATTTAACGATGACCTCACCCAGGGCCAACTCGTCAACTCTACCTGGGAGAACACCGTGCACAACCTGCGATCCACCCCTATCATCTTTGAGGGGGCCCAGGTCTTGAATGCCGCATCTCGCCCCATGACTCAAAACCAGGACAATGTTCTTGGGTCCAATCCCGCCGACGCAGGATTGCCTCTATTGCAAACCATGAGCGCTCAGCCAGTCGGTGGCGGGTGCGCTGGATTGAACAATGGCGTGGGAATGGGTACGGGGATGGAGATTGATGCGTAAAAAAAAAGAAGAAAAACCAAAAGTCTGCTTGCTCAACTAACGACCCGAAAAAACGACAAGGAACGCCGACAGTCCATCGAATCAAAATTCAACCCGACTATATCGTATATCGCGTCTACGTCTTAACCGCATTTTTATCGACGAAACCGATTCGCAATTGTCGCCTTATTTCCGTCGTCGACCCGCCAACTCTCACCATTCGTAATTTTATCGAGATTCTGATGTTTGTGACAAATTTTTCTTTTTTCTTTTCTTGATTTTTTGACTCTTCTTCCTTTTGAGTTTATATTATTACTATTATTGCTGTAACTGGGCTTTTTGGGGGGTATATTGGGATGGGAAGGGAGCAAATGGTGTTGATTTTCTTACCTGCCGGTTTCGTCTACCTTGGGGCTTTTTTCCTTTTCCTTTGCCTTTTTCCTTGACTTTTGGTTTTCCATCTGTTCAGATCAATTGACACGTCTTACGTGGAAGACAAGAGAAGAAGAAGAAAAAAACTAAGAAATTAAAAAAAAGAATATATTGAAGTTTGATTTGATTTGTGTTTTTGGTGTTCGTAACGATGCGACGGAACGGACACGTCTTCGGGGTTTACCTTACTTTGCGTGTCACATCGATCGCACTTCGTATCTCATGCATACGATTCAATTCGATTCGATCTGATGCAATGCAATGCAGCAGTCTGTATGAAATCGATATTTCTCGCACGGCATAAATGGGTTAGTTGGATGATCCAATGGGTTCGCGATAATTGTTTGTGGTTAAATATAGTATCGATCTGAAGACGGATATATTTCGCAATGGGGTACGTTGATTTATGATATTTGAGAGATTTTTGGTATTTTTGTTTTAACTCTCATTCTATCTAAGATTCTAATGCCATCTTTTCACCTCCCCGAATGGAGGGACGGAAGAGAGTGCTCTACTGGTTCAATACTAGTCCAATCCAAACAAGCTTCCCCTGGATAAACACTCTCACCAGCTATCCTTCTTATCAACCCTCAGCACAGCAAGGCGGCAATGTATATATGCCGACTAGCCACTTTTCTCAGACGAAGCAACGGGCTTTATTCTCACGTTCCCCTCCCCTTCCCCTCCGCTGTCCACGACTGTGATGGCATCACCTCGCGCTGTCTCGACCGGCGAGGGTTCGCTAGCTGCGGCAGAGGTAGGAGAAGAGGAGGAACCATCCGCCGATGAATCTGACGTATAAAGCTCAGTGACCAGGGTTCGGGGACACTTTTTCTCGTGCTCATCCCGGCTAGTATAATGGCCTTCTCCTTCTAGACCACATGGGCATGGGAAGTGTTCTTCATCAGGGGAAGGGAGAGCCGCGCGTTTGGTGACAAATAAAGTGTCGATTTGTTCGAGTGAGAGGGTTGCGGTTTCGGGGTAAAAGAAATAGATAATCTAGATTGTGGACGGGGATGGTTAATTTCTTTGGATAACGAGCGTTCGTCGGTGGGAATGGGAGGGAGCGGTGTTACCGGAACAAAGATGAGGTTGAAACACATGAAGATCAGATATCCCTTCCAAGCCAAGTCCTGGATTAGCGTGGGGGAGATCATCGAGATGAAAAAATTCCAGAGCCAATTAGCGGCAATGCTAATGGCGGTTCTGGTTTATTATTAGCCCTATGTCTGTCTGGGTTGGTTGGTTGCAGGGCAAGGAGAAGGGACCACTCGTTGGAATGCGACCCAAGGGTAAATTTGAAGAGACTCAAAGCGCAGCAACGTACCCTTTGGCACGGACATGCAGGGGTAGGAGCTCCGGACCGTACACCCACGGGATGCAGTTTATGGAAGCACCGAAGGTGAGCATGAACAGGAAGAAGAATGTCATCGATGCCGATGCCGTTTCTTTCTGGATAATCGTCCCTAAGATCGCGGTACTTTTTAGTCAAGCGTAGCCCTAACTCTCCATCCCCCCTTCGTCGTTGGGACCCGTATCACAAGGGATGGATTAGTAGAGCAGGCAGGGACATCTCCACACATACCTTTGAAAGAAAGAAGAATGGAGATCATCATCATGCAAAAGAATAGGCCGAAGGAGCCCCAGAGCATGGGCTTCCGACGGCCGAGTCGGTCGGCGAAGAAGGTTGGATAGAATGAGCCTAATGCAGGCAATTGGGTCAGTCGACCTGTGTCAATGTCTTGGGCGGATCGTTCGACTCACCGATGATGAACATGAACTGGATAACGCCTCCCATAAGGAGACTTGTTTTCTTGTCGAGGCCGATATTGGTCTCGAAGATGGAGGTTACGTAGGACTGGTCGTGTGCGTTTGGTCAGCCGTGGCTTTGATTCAACTTCATCCAGAGTAGACGAATGGACGTGATGCACTGACTACTATCATATTGACACCACACATCTGGTTCATGAACTGTAAGCCATACGCCAGTAAGACGCGTCGACCAGTCCGCAGCTCGTCTTTCTTAAACAGCTGGCTCCATTTATATTCGCCCCGCAGAGCATCAAGCTCAATAGCTCGTTGGATGCCTTGCGATTCCTTGATCACTTTAGGATCGTCCAAGTTGCAATCATAAAAGTCACACAGGACCTGAAAGCCCTGGGCGCCCTTTCCCTTGCGATAGAGCCATCGTGGATTCTCAGGAAGTCTGTCATCGTGGTGAACCGGGCATCAGCATAACCAACCTCCCACAAAACCCAACGTAGATCGACGATAAACTCAGACTCACCCCAGGACCATCCCCGCAATAACAGCGACAAATATTCCCTGGCAGGCGATTGGAAGACGCCAGCTCATGGGTCCGTCGACATAGCTCATTCCGTAGTCAAACCAATAAGAAAGCACGATGCCCACCCCGACGAAGAGAGCTTGGCTGCAAACGAACATTCCGCGCTTACGTGCCTCGCAGAGCTCGGACTGGTACACCGGCACGACGGTGGTCATGATGCCAACGCCGATGCCGGTGACAAAGCGAGCAACGAGAAGCTGTGCGGTGGAGAAGGAGCTGGCTTGGAGAGCTGCTCCGACCTGCGGGTGGAATGTGCTGTTAGCTGGAGTTTCCGCTGCGCTGCGTTTCACTTTGCTTGCTATATTGTGATAGCTAGTGTTGATATTGGCGAAGTGCACTTACCATGACCCACGCCATGGCCTGCCACATTATCCTGCGGAAGCCAAGTGGATCACTCGTTAGAAATGCAACGAGTGCTCCTGCGCAGCAACCCAGGTTGTAGATGGATACGATGAAGCCGACGAGAACCGCACTAGGGTGATTGACCACATCGAGGAAATTTTCATTGCCAACGATACCGGAGAAGACGCCTTGGTTGTAACCTGAAAGCGAAGTAGATTGTAAGTGGCCATGAACCTTAGTATATGCCAATTGTTTAGACATGACCACTGACCGTATAGCGCAAACGAAATTTGACACGTGAGAAGGATGGCAATGCGAAGGCTCAGACCTCGACCAAAGAGGTTGAGATGGGACATGTTGATGTAACAAATCCTCAAGGGTATAGGATGGGAAGAGCTCCAATGATCAAGATGCTTCTTTATCCAAAATTGCGTATAGATAAATGTGAAACAGAGGGGAAGGACAAGGACGAACAGGATTTTGAGGGATTTATATCGAAATGGAGGGTTGTTGCCTCGCCACAAGGAGTAGACGATCATGGGATTGCAGTACAAAGCACATACTAAATATTATATCCAAAGAAAGCTAGCTCGTATCATTCAAGTGTAGGCATGGTGTACGCCTGCCTGCCCCTCTAACTATAGCTCGATCAGCAATTGGCGCTAAACGTCCTGGAGAATTCCTGAGCCCTGCAGGATAACGGAGGTTGGTATTGGTCGACTTCCTAGTTGACCAAGCTCTTATCGATCCCTGAGAAAGAGTCCACACCAGCTCTATGAAACATACCATAATGTCACCCACAAGAAGTCAAGAACCTTGACTGGGATCCTGACTCGTTCGGCGCCATGATTGATGGATTTCGTCCTATCAGTGCTCCATACATTCTTGGTTCTCCAGTTTACCTCATATGTCCTTGATAATTGAGTCACCCCAAACCTAGAGGAAGCATGACGTCAAAAACAAGTCCAATCTACCGGAATTCACCCAGAGGACGAAGGAGGGGGAGGGGGCCATTAGGGCAGGAGGGTCTTGCATACCTCGAGGAAACTCAACCGAGAACCCAGGGACTCGATCGTGGAAATATCTACGGGCTGCTAGTTAGTTCGATAGGCACTCGAGCCCCTTGCCTAGATAGCATTGTGGGGGCCTCGTGCGTGCGCAAACCCAGCACTTGCAAAATGGCTGCTCGCTTGCTGCCTAGAGATAAATTGCGATCATGTCAAGAACCTGCTCGGGGTTTGTTAAGTATTAATAGGAATGTGTGGAAGCCTGGAATGGAAGTTCCGTTCTGCCGGTAGAGAAGGAGTGATCGATAGGATGATGAACTGTCGGGGAGCATCCATGGATGGTGGCTGAGATTAGGGACTGATATGTAACTGAGCCAAATGGCCCACGGGAATCCGATTTCCATTTTTATTTACTTTCTTTCGCCTTCCTCGGTACTAATCGCTATCATAGTCACTGCCCTCGTCATAGTAATCACCGTAGTGGCCGGAGAATGCAGCGTCAACGCCATCGGGGTCATCCTCATCACCCTCATCGTCGTCATAATCGTCATCCAGCTCTTCCTCGTTCTCCTCGCCCTTGGCGTCGGGAGCTGGACCCAGGACTGTTTCGTTGGGCTGTGTTGCTTCGGCCTGACCAGGTGTGACGGCAGGCTTAGGTTGGCTGATGTTGGTCGAATCTCCGGCCGGAGATGAAGTAGCAGGGGGAGAGCCGGCGGATTTAACGCGAGAGGGAGTTGTGATCCTTGTCCGCCTTGAAACTGCCGCCTCTGGTTCGATGCTGGCACTGCGTCGCGAAGCCACACTTTGGCTGCGACTCTGGCTCCGGCTCATGCTTTCGGCCTTTGCCTTGGCGGCGTCCTCGCCCCCTTCTTCTCCAAATAAGGACTCTAGAAGACGATAGTTAATCTTCTTACTGAATCCCCTACGCTCCAACATCCGACGAGTAGCCTCTGCCGGAGTGGACGCACGAGTGCTTCTCCCGTCCCCGTCCTCGCCTTCACCCTCTAGGTAGGTCACGTCCCCGAGTCGACCCTTGCGACGCTTGCGAGGTTTGTGCATTCCGGGACGCGAATCGGACTCTGCCAAGGCTCGCTTCAAAGCCTTTGCCTGCTGCGTCCGCAGATAATCCTTGTTCTCGTGCACCCAAATTCGCTCTTTGATCTCGACTTCCATGGGAGACAAGAGACAGTTAGAGACCTCCGGATCCGACTCGAATTCACTCTCGTCGATCTCCGCGCTTTCGGAGACGTTTTTGCTCGGCTGCTGACTTTGGTCTCCCGCGTTAGCCGGGTTCTCTGTCATATTGGAACCCTTGGCTAATAGTGCAGTCATCTCATCTTCAAGAGCCTCCTCGGAGGCGAGCTGATCGGGGGTCGGCTGGGGGAGCTCTGGCTTTCTGGAGCCTTTCCGGTGGCCGGAGGTAGCTTGCGTAGACTCGGGATCGGTTTCTGACAGTTCTTCACTCGTGGCCGACACGGTCGACGGTCGTCTTCTATTATCAGCCTCGAACAGAGCGGGATCGATAGGGATGCTAGGGATGGCAAAGCCATCAGCATCGACGCGGTTTGGCTGGCGTGTGCCAGTGACATCGGCATCCTGTTCGCCCTCGATCTCGGCCGCAGTCTCGGGGGCCTTTTTCTTGACGCTTCGGGAAGGTTTTCTTCCCTCCCGTGCTCGGGTGAAAGAGGGAGGATCGTGAGCATTCTCCAACTGTACGGAACGGAATTGATCGACCGTCAGCTCTCCACTCTCGGTTGAGCTGAATTCATTGAGACGTTGGCTGATTGTAATCTCCGTGACTTTGACCACGTAAACAACCTCGCGCACCGTCCGACGAAAGTTGTTCATGCGTGCTGCTAGAATCAAAGCTGCCCCACAGATACCGGCAGGACGACGACCGGTCGTCATCCAATCACGATTCATGCGCTGGACAATACGGACGGCTTCGCCAGCCACTTGCATGGTGGCATTTCCGAATTCCAGTTGCTTGGCAAATCGATAGATCAAACTCTCCGGGTCGATGGGATTCATGAGGAATACATTGCCACCAAGCCGCAGCTCATCCAACAAGGATTTGTACGTTCGACCGAGCTTGAACACGTTGATCTAATCTAACGTTAGAGGACGGCACCTTCACGACAGACAAGAAGAATGAGAACTGACCATTAGGACGTCCGCAAAATCAATAAGCATGACGGTGTTTCCATCCTGCCGGCGACAGGCAATATACAAGCAGACTGCTGCGACCGTCTTTGTGCGACGACCTTGAATGAAGTTAAGGCCCACGGCAAGCTTGAAGACCTGACCGGCAGCCTTCATCGCACTCTCGGGGATCATCAGTGCACGGGACAACTGACTGATGTAACGATTACCTAGACAAACGTCAGCGTAAGCCTCTTAAGGCGCAAGAGTCCGTGATCGAGCCTACCATTCTGCTCTGTGATTTCTCGACTCTCCATGCCGCTCCCTCCCTGGAAACCCGGGCCGAAACTGCGGACATGGGACTGATCTTCGCCGACAAAGGTTCCCTGAACCACGGCAGCACCCGAGGAGGTCTCTCCAAAGGTGACCTCGGAGACAATGTTTGCCTCGCTGATGACAGTACCGCAGCCGGAACAGACCTTTTGCCCGTCATCCTCGACAATGTGAGGGGCGGGACAGCCGGGATTAGGGCAAGTCGACGTCTTGGGATGAGTGGTCGGTCTCGCCGGCTGAGGGCGGGCAATGGACTGAGGACGTTTGATAGCAGTCGACCCCGGTGGCTTCAAACTGGCCAATCGGCCTACAGGGGTAGCTCGGGGATTATTCCGAGGAGGTATGGGGGGGCGCATCCCAGGCCTAGGACCCGACATGGTAAGGATGGATGTTCCTGAAAGTGCTAGAATTCAAGTAAGGTGTTTGATAAAAGATAAGATAAAAATTCGGTCCGAAAGAATAAAGAAAAATGTATGATTTCCAGCGAAATTATTCGTTGATAGTCAAGGTCATCATCGACGACAAGAGGGCTGGACCAATGAGAGGGGGGTTTCTGTGGATGCGAAGGCGGATCGTCGGTCTGAATTGAGAAAATAGGACCCCTCCTGAGCCAGGATTCGCCGGCAGATAATAGAGGACCCGTCTAATCCGGTCGCGAGCCTGCTGTCGGACGAGGAAATTATCCCGAGGCTGTTCAAGTAGGAGCAGACAAGGATGAAAGAAAGGAAGAGAGTGAGGAACGGAGTCGGTGCGTGCGGTGCGGCGACGATGAAAGTTGAAAGGTTTGACGCGTGACGCCGCGGATGGTCAAGCGGGCAGATCACGTGGGTTCCCCCACTGCGGGCGTTCGATTCTCGTTGCCTCCATTCTTTATGGATCAGATAGTTGGTGTGAAGAGTGGATTTATTTCTCTAAACATAAAAAACCAATAAGCTCATCATGCTTAAAAATTGTGACTACCCTGAACTACTCTGTGATCAAGCTCTAAGCCTACGGCACATCTACATCATCTGGGGCCTACTATCGATTTGTCTTAGTCGATACGGAAAAGTGACCTTCTTCAATCACTGTATAGCAGTTTGGTCTTGCTTGCAGCTATTTCAAGGTCCTACAACCGGGAGACATGGCCATCGATTTTCTTCCTCTTCTTTTAAGGTGCCGATGCAGAACATTCTATGTAGAGCGATAATATTTCAATTCAGGATGGTGAATTGAAGAAATTCACTAGATGTTGGGCAGTGCCACGGGGGTCGAATCAGGATTCACTCTACTACTCTTTTAGCTACTCGTTTCTCCTCCAATTATTTCTCCTTTACAACCCTTCTATAACTATTCTCTGGTCCATCTGTTCAACTAGCAACTTAAATGATAAGATACACTGCTGGAGTGTAGAGAAGGACAAGTGGACACGCTAAACTGGATTCGGCAGGGGATCGTTGCCTGAGGCTGCAACATCGATCCCACGTATTCCGTCAAATGACGAGATGAGAAATAGTCACGGCAGGGCAGATGGTGTTTTCCAGAATCTCTCCTGGCTTCTGACTCCTTACTGCTCCTCCCTGTCTCTCCCTATCGTGGCATTATGGCTGAACCAGACAGTCGACTTCCCCGAGGAGGTTGCCACCGGTGGGAATGCGCGATTTGTGCCGTAGTCTTCACGCAAAAAAAGCGCGTTTGTCATCGGGGACCATGCAGTCACAGTCATTCCTATATAAAAGACGCTTTAGACGTCTCCCACTCATCTCAGGGCTTGATATCTCCTAATAATTCTCATCTTCATTGCCTTTTCTACCATTTTCTTCTTTATCCCTGGTGTCACCGAGGCCTGCAGTGTAAAACCGATCCTGTCTTTGACAGTGGATACCTTGATTGGATTCTATTTAAAAAATATTCATGATCTTCTCGTTCTCTCCACTGCCCCTTGACACCCCGAAAAGAAGTCTAATCCCGATCTTCCAGCAAGGCGCCTGCGCCTGCCCTCTTGGAAAACATGCAGTCGCCACGACCGGGGAATGTGACGATTCTCGAAAGTATTTTCTTCGTTAGCAATGTTCACTGCTCCTCATGTGTTGCCTATATCACCGAAATCCTCTCTGAATTCTCAGGGATCGAGTCTGTCGACGTTTCAATCCTCACTGCTCAGGTCTGTGTCGCCCATACCACGGAAACGACTCCTTTAAGCCTCGCGACGGCCCTGATCCAGGCGGCTTTCGAGGTCCACCACGTCACCACAAAAGATGGGACAGGCCTGACGGTGGCGGATATCGATACAACCTCGTCGCTTCCGCGAGACAGCATGCTCTTCACACCGCAGCAGAACACCCACTCGAACGGGGTCCCGCAGGACCGACACCTCGCAAACTGCGATGCGTGTCGAAAGGAAGAGCTGAAGCGGGACTCTGTTACTGGCTCGTGTGTCTCGGAGGTTGCATCATCTGAGTCCGTGGGGAGTTCGACCAAATTCAAAGCGCGCATCAGTATTGGGGGGATGAGCTGTGCGTCTTGTGTCAATACCATCACGAATGAGCTGAATCAGCTGGACTTTGTCGAGGAAGTGGTCGTCAATCTTCTGACGAATAGCGCAACGGTGGTCTACAATGGCCCTCAGAAGAACTCAGAAAGGGTGGTGGATCAGATCGAGGATATTGGCTTCGAGGCTGCTCTCGATGAGGTGGAAAAGCTGAACGGTCCTCCAACGTCCATCAAAACTCCTGCAGTCTACACGGCCGAGATTGCCATCGGTGGCATGACCTGCGGCTCATGTGCTAGTGCCGTCAGTCGGGGCCTTGAGGAATTACCCTTCGTGAAAGAGGTTTCGGTGAATCTTTTATCGCATAACGGAAAGGTCGAATTCGAGGGCCAGAGTAACATCAACCTGATTGTGGAGAAGATTGAGGATCTGGGATACGACGCTTCGATCAGCAGTGTACACGCCCAGGCTCCGAGTCCCAATGAGAATGAGGTTGAGGAAAGAACTGTCTCCATCTGTGTGGATGGTATGTTCTGCCATCACTGCCCAGAGAAGGTTCTCGGTTCCTTGAAGGACATCCCAGATGTCCAAGTCGACGACGCGCTCTCAGTCAAAAACCCAATCCTTAGGGTCACCTACATGCCATCTTCCTCTCTCACCATCCGAAGCATCATCGATGTCCTCAACAAAACACACGATGCCTTCTCCGCCTCTGTTTACCACCCTCCGAGCATCGAAGACCGTTCGAGGGCGATGCAGTTGCACGAGAGGCGACGGCTACTGTCCCGTCTACTCTTCGTTTTCATTGTAGCCATACCGACGTTCCTGATTGGCATTGTGTTCATGAGCCTAGTGTCGTCCGACAACCACGTTCGAAAGTACTTGGAAGGATCGATCTGGGCTGGAAATGTGTCTCGCATTGAATGGGCACTTTTTATCATGACAACCCCGGTGATGTTCTATGGCACAGACATTTTCCACGTTCGCGCCGCGAAGGAAGTCTACTCTCTCTGGCGCCCCGGAAGCCGCGTGCCAATTCTAAGGAGGTTCTATCGATTCGGCAGCATGAATCTTCTAATTTCTGCAGGCACTACTGTGGCTTACATATCGTCGCTCGCTGTCCTGATCATCGACGCTGTCGTCACCACTCCGTCCAACACACATAGCATGACCTATTTTGACTCGGTCGTTTTTCTTACTCTTTTCATTCTCGCCGGTCGATTCATCGAGGCATATAGCAAAGCCAAGACAGGAGATGCAGTTGCCTCGCTTGGAAAATTGAAACCCTCCGATGCGTTGCTGGTCGTCGGTAGCGATTCCCAAGGAGACGACATCCAACGAACCGGCCTTGACTTGCTTGAAATCGGCGATCTGGTCAGCATTCCTCACGGGTCGTCACCTCCGGCAGATGGGACTATTGTGGATAACGGCACTTATCAATTTGACGAGAGCTCATTGACCGGAGAGTCGAAGCCGGTAAAGAAGTCGATCGGTGATTCAGTGTACACCGGATCTGTCAACGTTGGGCAGCCCGTGAAGATCAAGGTCACGGCCCTGGGCAGCGCTTCGATGCTGGATCAAATCATTTCCGTCGTGCGTGAAGGTCAAAGCAGACGTGCGCCTTTGGAAAGAGTCGCGGACATGCTCACATCGCATTTTGTGCCCATAATCACCCTCATCGCTATCTCAACCTTCGTGATCTGGCTGTCTCTAGGGACATCCGGTACTCTTCCAGGTGATTACCTCGATGTGGCACATGGTGGCTGGGTTTTCTGGAGTCTGGAGTTTGCCATTGCAGTGTTTGTGGTTGCTTGTCCTTGTGGACTTGCACTCGCGGCTCCTACGGCTCTTTTCGTTGGCGGAGGATTAGCTGCCAGGCAAGGAATTCTCGTCAAGGGCGGAGGCGAAGCATTCCAGGAGGCGAGTAATCTGGACGCTATTGTTTTCGACAAGACCGGCACCCTCACCGAAGGAGGAAGCCTAGCGGTTTCCGATCATGAAGTGCTTCTCACCGACGCTGAAGACCTGCAGGTTGCCTGGGCTCTGGCTCGCAAGCTCGAAGAAAGTAGCACTCACCCAATTGCTCGGGCAATATCTAACTTTTGTCACCAACGATCCTCGGTCCCAATCATCGGCTCGGACATCGAGGAGAAATCTGGGCTGGGAATGAGAGGCACTTTCACCGTGCAAACAGACAATGCCACCATGGTCAAGTATGAAGCTGCAATCGGGAACCAACGCCTCTTGCAGAGCATGAACTCACTAAAGTCCAACGATGACCACCTCAATAACCTGCTGTCTAAATACCAAACATCTGGAAAATCCACTGCTATCTTCTCATTGCGCCGAATCTCAGACTCATCAATCTCAACCACCGCTGAACCTATCACTACTGCCATTATCTTCGGAATCTCCGACACTATTCGCCCCCACACCGTGCAGGTGATCTCCAAGCTCCAGAAACGCAAAATCAACGTCTTCATGTGCACCGGCGATAACCAAACCACCGCCCACGCCGTCGCAGACATGATCGGAATTCCCCGCTCTAACGTCCAAGCCAACGTCACCCCAGCCGGAAAAGGCGATTTCGTCCGCCAAGTCCAAGACAGGATTGTCCTCTCCGGCCCTCCTCGCAGCGACTCCGAAGCCGAAAGCCAGCAGCAGACCAAGGACAAGAACAAAAGTGCCCGCTCCATCGTCGCCTTTGTCGGCGACGGCGTCAACGACTCACCGGCTCTCGCCGCCGCAGACGTCAGTATCGCCATGGCATCGGGGTCCGACGTCGCCATGAACTCCGCCAGCTTCATCCTGCTGAACTCCGAGCTCGACACCATCCTTCAGCTCGTGGTGCTCAGCCGTCGCGTCTTCAACCGCGTCAAGATGAACTTCTGCTGGGCCGTCGTGTATAACCTGAGTCTGGTCCCGATCGCCGCGGGCGTCTTGTATCCCATCGTGAACGGACATAAAATGCACATGAACCCCGACGGCGGATCCGTCATGGTGAACACCCACTGGCGACTGAGCCCTGTGTGGGCGGCTTTGGCGATGGCGCTGAGCAGCATCTCCGTTGTGTTGAGCAGTCTTGCGTTGGGAATTGAGTGGCGCAGAATCAGAAAGTGGGTTGGCCTGGGACGGGGCAGTGAGTAAAAAAAGGCAGACGCTGTCATTTAATTATTGACTTATTTCCCTATCATTTTGATCTTATGGTTGATACCATTTGTTGCTTTGCTGGCGTTTGCTATTTCCTTTGCTGGTATGTTGGATATATTTATGATATTGGGATGGGGTTAAAACGATGGAATTGGGCGAATCTCGGTGGTTTTCGGGTTTATCTTGTCTTTTTCTACGTTTGATACCTCGTGAGTTTTATTAATCATTTGAGTTATGATAATATAGCAGTAGTCTTCTGTGTTGCGAGAATTATTATTTGGTTGGGATCATCAGTGATATTTCATACTAGATCATAAGTTAAAAAAAAACAAAAGAATTTCCATGATATTGATGCCAGCTCAATAACCTCCTAAACCCCCATACTCCTTTGAAAGAAAGCCAAAACCAAAGAGAATCACCCACCCTCCCCCCAAACCTCCGCAATCTTCCTACTCAACACCTTGCCGATCTTCTTCCTCCCCACCAGCATCTTCATCTGCTCCGAGACCATCTCCTCCCGATCCTTGGGTGTGAGGTTCTCAAACGCCCGAACAAACGCCTGCGGCGTTGGCCAGCGGCGCTGGATCTCGAGCGCCTTGTCGCCCGTGACGCCGCGCGTGCACATGAGCATTTTAAGAAAGACGTCGCGCAGAGAGAGGACGTCGGATTTGGACGTCAGCACCGAGAAGGTGGGGAATGTGACGGCGTAGGTAGTGGTGGAGGATTGGGCGCAAAGGTGCTCGAGGGCGTTGAGGTAGGATTGGGAGGAGGAGAGCTGGCGGCTAGGGATGAGGCTGAGAGTGTTTGAGGGTGAGGGAGAGGAGTCAGAAGAAGAGGAAGACGGGGCGAACATATTCTGCAGCAGAAAGGTCATGCGCGCAAGGTAGCGGATCGTATCGTCGAGGTTCTTCGTTTTCTTCACGAAGTAGCCGTTGACGACCTGCGTGGAGGCAATCGCGGACGCGACCATCTCCTGATACTTCAGGGCCGACGGGTCCTGCGAGATGTTGAATTCCTCGATCAAGTAGATGACGTTTTTCAAGCCGGAGCGGCGCAGGCGGAATTTCTGCTCTTGGAAGCGGCCGTCTTTGATGGAGCCGACGAGGTCGTCGAGGCGCTTGCGCTCGACGATCCAGTCGAGCATGATCTCGTCGCCTTCTTCGCCGTGCGTCTGCGAGAGGTAGGCCGGGTCGTGGAATTTCGCAACCCACATGGCGTCGCCGAGTTCGAGGGCGCGCACTTCGGGCGTCACGCCTTTCTTGCTGAGCTCGTTGGCGATGTAGTCTCTGTCTTTGGAGGTGCGGACCTCGCGGATGTCCAGGACCAGCTGGACGGTGAAGCTGCTGGGGGGGATGGTGATGGGCGTGACTTCTTGGTCTTCGGGGAGGTTTACTCTCGCGTCGTGGATGTGATCTTCGTTGCTGTCTTGCCGTGATGGCCCTGGGTTTGGTCTCGCGTCTCGAGGCTCAGCGCTGAGACGGGAGCCAGATGGTTCCTGCGATTGTTAGGCTCATCTGCGTATGATTGGTGTTGAAGGGGCATACCGATTGACCCCGAAAGGGTAAGGTGTTTTGGATGAACTCAGGCAACGTCTTCTGAATCCTCTTTGCCACTTCCCATCCCTCCTCGGTGAGCGCATATCTCTTCAACGGATGCCCGCGGTCATAAACAAGGTCTTTCTGGATGAGCGTCTTCATCGAGTTCCACGCAGTAAAGTACTTCGTCGGATCTGTCGGCGTCGTAAACGAGCTGTCGCAATATGGCTGAGCCGTCTCGATTAGCTGCGTTTTCGTCATGCTCTGGTTCGAATTCTCATCGAGCGTCCCAAGACCCAGCAGCAGCGCGTACGGACCCGAGCGCAAGGCCGGCACATAAGGTTTGGCTTTTCGAGGCTTCTTGGCCGGTTTGGGATCGACCTCGTTCCCGTCCGAGACGCGCTTCTTGTTCGCTGTGCGCGTTAGACCGAAATCCATTTTACGGGGAGAGAACTTACCAGTATTGGGATGCTCCGGCATGGGGATCCCATTTTCAGAGCAGTGGGCTTTCAACTTTTCCGTTAGCCGGTCACACAGTTTGGGACCCAGGCCGTTCAGCTGCTGCGCTTCGGACGGATGCTGGAAGACGAGCGGACACGCTTTCACCGACTCGTACGCCTTCTTGTATCTGTGGTAGATCAGTATTAGTGCGAGAATATCTCAACAGGGGCTGGTATACGAACACCGTGACGCCTTTGCTATTGCGCTCCCGGGCTTGGTCGAGCCATTCCTTGATCCACCCCAGGAGCAGAGGATTTGCACAGGGTTCGCTCATGGTTCAACCGATCTGCTGGAGGTGAAGAGAAACCAAACTGGACCTGTTGCGACGCGCAGACGGCGAGAGTTTACAAACCACAGCGGTCTACAGAAGGTATGCGCAGGCGTTTGCCGGCGGTAGGCCCTGCCGTGGTGCCTCAGGCAGGGAGACTTAAGGCAGCAAGGCTACAGTACGGGTCGCTCCTTCCCAAAGTCGACTAGCGCCTTCTTCCCATCTCTCTCTCTCTCTCTCTCTCTCTTCATCTTCATCTCACGAATCGATTTCATCTTTCAGCTCGATTAGATATGGTCCTTTCATCTTGCGTCGCTCAGACTTCTGGCAGCCGCTGCAGCCCCTTTGCAGATGTGAACTATATTGTTTGGTTTGGGGGAGGGTCCCAATCCTATGATATATACTATCGTCCATAAGGATAATCGAAGCATCTAGTTCACGTTCATGATTATCATTCAAGTACTAACTCATATATTCCAAGTGGATCAGTACTTACGTTGACAATTACACTAGAATACTGAGGTAGGAACAAACTTCCCACTGGCCTACTGCCGAAGGAGATAATACCAATATGGGCAGCCAGGGCAATCGATGCTGAATGGCTTTACTTACAGCCTGAGATTTTCCGTGGGTTGATACATCTCGTTGTCCGCCACCGGATGGTGACTCTCCGTGTTTTTTGCTATTGGCTTTGGACTCAAAATGGGCCAGTAGAAGGTACATGATCAGTTTGAAAAAAGAATAGCCGGGGACGGTAAGTTCCCTTGGGACTCGGTAGGTGGAATGCATTGGGAATAGAGCAGCAAACAAGAAAAGAAGGTTGTTTCTGAGCGCCTTCCCTCTGCCCGGTTGAATGATTTTCTTTTCATGTATTTGCAGTTTCTTTTGTGCGTTGAAGATGATTGTTTAATGGGCATGTTTTACCGGGGAGGACTGCTTTCCAACCTTATGCTATCATGGGTTATGAGCATCTGAATGACTTTTTCAACACAAAATTCCAGGGGACCGTCCAGTGTTGGCTTCTTTTGCCAGACTTGAGCTATCTGGAAATCAACTGATAATTATGAGAATTACCTTTCTCTCGTCGATCCGAGATTCCTACTGCTTGTCTATATCGTAGATATGGGTGTAATTCTATCAAATCGTATCGATCGGACATATTAAGAGAGAGAGAGAGAGAGAGAGAGAGAGAGAGGTGTATTATACCCGAATATTAGCTCTCTGTTAGGGTTCTTCCCCGGTCGCCGACGGCCGTTGGTTCGACGCTATAGAGAGTAAAAGTACACGATCAAAGCCAAAAATGACCACATATGAAGCCAAATAGGTGCCAAACATACAAAAGTATTCCCGTCCCCGTGTACGCTGCAGTCAGCCTAACAGCTCACATCGACAATGAAGCTCATTCGGCCTCTAGGAGGGCTTGAAGGTCAGACGTTGGTCGTTGACCGCAGAGAGATGACATAAATGTTCCGAGATAACTCTTGAAGCGGAACCTAGAGCATCCATCCCATCTCTAGACCCTGCTCACCAGATCCTGAAGCCATTCCAACCGAGCCTTAGCGGCTCGACGGCTGATCGGGGCATCTGGAACAAACACGTCGAATCCGTGCCAGCAGCCTGGCCAGATATGGAGCTCGACCTGCACGCCACTCTTCAGCAGGGCATTAGCATAATCAACGTCCTCGTCACGGAACAAATCCGCCGCACCGACATCGATGAAAGTCGACGGCAATCCGGCGAGGTCCTTAGCGCGCGAAGGCACGGTATAGATAGAGGCCTGCTCGCGGTTCTCGCCTAATGCGTAGTTGCAGGCAATGATACTATTCGCTCTCGTCCATGGCTGGAGATGGCCGAATTGATGGATAGAGAGTGTGTCGTTGCTATCGTCTAGCCATGGGTAGATGAGCAATTGGCCCAATATCTCGGGGCCGGATCGATCGCGCGCCAATAGAGCGACCCCTGCAGCGAGGTTGCCACCGGCGGAGCCTCCATTGACGATCAACTTGTGCGGGTTGAAGCCTAGCTCGGCAGCATGCTCGCTCATCCATGTCAGGGCCGCGTAGCTGTCGTCCAGCTGGGCGGGTTGTGGGTTCTCTGGTGCGAGTCGGTATTCGGCCGTCAGACACACGGCGCCCAATTTCTCGACCCAGTCGAGAGCGGAGTTCATGCCCATGAAGCGATCTCCTGCCAGATGACCCCCGCCGTGGAAGTTGATGACTCCCGGGGTTTCGGCGACGGAGGCAGCAGCGAATCCGGGCTTCGGGCGAAAGATTGTTGCGCGCATCGGTCCAGTCGGGCCGGGGATGTCGATGTCTTCATAGGAGATCTTGTCTTCTCGTCCTTGAAGCATGTCTTCTATTTTGAAGACGAGTATCTTTCGCATAGCTGCAAGTCCTTCGTCCGTGTCCAAGGAGCCACCTCCGGCGAGGGATTTCTGCACATCTTCCAGGTCTGGGTGCAGAGGTTGACGGGGAAGGTTCCTGAAGGCCATGGTGAAGAATATGGCTGGAGGGCTGGTGTGAAGAGATCGATCGGATTGAGCGGTTTGACTGACAGAATCACAAACCCACCAGGATGCGGGGTCTTATAGGACTTTTATGGGACTTCATGGGCTTCCGATGCAGGAAGAACAGGGTTGATTTGCAATCACTCATTAACCCGCCGGTGATCGCTAACTGATGTGGTAATGTAGAGCCGACTAGGCATGAAGTCGAGCCGAACGCATGCTCTCCCATCATGAGTCAGTACTACTAGTCGTACTGATCGGGCTGTTTCTCACACTCGAAGGCTGAAAATATAAACCGAGAATGTCTCCGTGACCAATCAAGTATCCGAGTGTTAGTAATGTTGATTGCATTCTTTAGTGCGATTTGGTTCCTAGACATCGGGCACGAAACTGCCCGAGGCTAAGGAGTAAGGATTAATGAATTGGTCGATCCTTCGGCGCGATCGACCAGGATCAAAGCTCAAGAATGGCGTCATCCGTAGAATAAGGAGACAAAAGTGAAGATGTTGGAATGGAATAATGACATTATTCTTCTGGTACTAAGTGAGGACCTTGAGGGCTAACCCCTCCACGGTCCTTTAATATGTGTTTGGCCCGATGGTTTGCGAAGAGACGCTTGGCCAAGTCGTCTCTCAATGGCGCAGACACGAATAATGACAGTGCCGATGCAGCTTTGGTTGTAGCAATATCTCGAAAAAGTCGATAAACCTAACTAAAGAGAAACGCCAGACCCCATGCTATTGGGCGTTCCATGCATTTCGGTGGACATAGTTGACTTCCTGCGCCGATGGGGTGACTTGTGGAAATCGAGCAAGGATGTCGCCCAATTGCTTTGTCTAAATCCATGTACCACTCGTCCAGCTTCCCAGTAAGTGGGATACCTCTTCCCGTTGTGCTGAGGGTATTGGATTTATGACTCCATGTTGGCTTAATCCAAGTCCTATTTTAAGAGCGTGGTCGGTTTGACGGCACTAATGCCTCATTCTCATTGCTTCAGGACGCTTTGTGCATTGACTTCTCACGGTTTTGAGGGGCTGCTCTCTTCCCGAAATCAGCGATGACGGATTTCAGTCGAGCGATTCGGTCTTCGAGCTCCTCGATTTCGGCTTCCTGATCAGCCACCGACCGATCCACATCGGGCAATCCCTCCACGACAGCCTGCGCTTTCTGGACGTGGATCTTGATTGAGCTGACCTCGGTAGGCAGGTTCTTGATGTCTAATGGCGGAGGTGCGCTCGAACTCAGTGCGGCGATCTCAGCGGCAGCCGCGGCGCTGACCGGTGCGCCAGAAGAAACAGTCGGTAACGCTCCATGACCGGCATCGTTCCCAGGACCAGATTGCGATTGCTGCTGCTGGGACTGAACGGAAGAGCCTGCGGCTCCGGTCGGATCTTTCGAGTGTCCCACACCGTTCCCAGTATTCGCTTCCGACGGCAAGAGTCGAAGAAGAAGTCCGTGCAAAGGCGGGATAATGTCAAAGGTCTGTGGGGGAGGAAACGGAACGGGTTGCGGCGCGGTCGCGGGTTCTTTCACCAGGGGCGTCTCGGGCGCGACCGAGGACTTGGGGAGTGGAGTGACAACTGTCGGGGATCTGGAGGCCATGGCGGGGGTCTCCAGAGGCGAGGAAGAGGTTCAAGATCGAAAATTGCGGCAGTTGAGACGGAAGAGGGAAGAAGAAATCGGGATTGACGGCGATGTTATTGGAGGACACGAGAGAGAGAAGGGAAGACTTCGGAAGAGACAAGAGCCCGTGACGTCGCCCCAAATGGTCACCGAAGCCCCTCCCCCTCTATTTCCCCCTCCGTTTTTAAAACTTCTTCCCCCAATTTCTTCAACCCCCCATATTTTTTTCGTTCTGTAAGCCTGCCCCCTTTTTGCATTGCTCGGCTCTCTTCATTGAAGCTTCGTCTGCTGATTATCCGCCCTTCAGGAGCTTTACCTCGCTTCACTATGGCCAAGGTTGATCAGAAAGTCGCTCTCAGTAAGCCCGATTCAGTCCCAGTCCACCGCTGCATTGTTAACGTCTCGTCTTCAAATTAGTCGTCATCGATGGCTGGGGTGTCTCCGGCCCCGACCCCAAGGCGGTCGGCGATGCCATCCACGCCGCAGAGACTCCCTTCATGTCCGGTTTCGCCGAGGCCGACTCGAAGACGGCCCAGGGCTACACCGAGCTGGATGCCTCGTCGCTGGCCGTCGGTCTGCCGGAGGGTCTCATGGGTAACAGTGAGGTCGGCCACTTGAACATTGGTGCGGGTCGTGTCGTCTGGCAGGATAGCGTCCGCATTGATCAGACGCTCAAGAAGGGCGAGCTGAACAAGGTCGACAGCATCGTTGCCGCCTTCAAGCGCGCCAAGGAGGGCAACGGCCGTCTGCACCTGCTGGGATTGGTTTCGGACGGTGGTGTTCACTCCAACATCACTCACTTGGTTGGCCTGCTGAAGGTCGCCAAGGAGATGGAGATTCCCCAGGTCTTCATCCACTTCTTCGGTGATGGCCGTGACACCGACCCGAAGAGCGCTTCCAAGTACATGCAGCAGCTCCTTGACCAGACCAAGGAAATTGGTATTGGTGAGATCGCCACGATCGTCGGTCGCTACTGGGCTATGGACCGTGACAAGCGCTGGGACCGGGTTGAACTCGCCCTGAAGGGTATTGTCTCGGGAGAGGGCGAGGAGAGTTCCGACCCCGTCAAGATCATCGAGGAGCGCTACACGAAGGACGAGACCGATGAGTTCTTGAAGCCCATCATCGTCGGTGGCAAGGAACGTCGTGTCCAGGGTATGTTTATCTATGTGTACCCCTCGGGCTTGAGTATCGGAAAACTGACACAAATAATCTACAGATGACGACACCCTGTTCTTCTTCAACTACCGTTCTGACCGTGTCCGTGAAATCACCCAGCTGCTCGGTGACTACGACCGCTCCCCCAAGGCCGAGTTCCCCTACCCCAAGAACATCAGCATCACCACCATGACCCAGTACAAGACCGACTACACCTTCCCCGTTGCCTTCCCCCCTCAGAAGATGGGTAACGTGCTCGCCGAGTGGCTCGGCAAGAAGGATGTCCAGCAGTGCCACGTTGCCGAGACCGAGAAATACGCTCACGTTACTTTCTTCTTCAACGGCGGTGTTGAGAAGCAGTTCCCCGGCGAAGTGCGCGACATGATCCCCTCGCCCAAGGTCGCTACCTACGACCAGGACCCCAAGATGAGCGCTGCGGGTGTTGGCAAGAAGATGGCCGAGCGCATCGCCGAGGGCAAGTTTGAGTTCGTCATGAACAACTTTGCCCCCCCTGACATGGTGGGTCACACCGGTGTCTACGATGCCGCCATCCAGGGTGTTGCTGCCACCGACAAGGCCATCGGTGAGGTCTACGAGGCCTGCAAGGCTAACAACTACCTTCTCTTCATCACGGCGGACCACGGGTAAGTTCCTCTTCATGATACTTTGGGAGTCGGCGGGACAATGACTGACAATGTGTTCTACAGCAACGCCGAAGAGATGCTCAACGAGAAGGGCACCCCCAAGACCTCTCACACCACCAACAAGGTGCCTTTCGTCCTGGCCAACGCTCCCGCGGGCTGGAAGCTCAAGGGCGACGGTGTCCTTGGAGATGTGGCTCCCACCGTGCTTGCTGCCATGGGTATCGAGCAGCCCGAGGAGATGTCTGGCAAGAGTCTCCTTGTGAAGGAATAGATCTTTCGTATATAGATTTGCTGTTGTTGTTTAGAAGGCGGATCGGGTGGGCTTATGAAGACATGAGAATACGGAGTTTTAATTGATACACATATTGGATGTAGAATAAACAGATGATGATACGAGCGTTGAGTATTAAAATCGAGATGAAGATAGGATTTGGTATAAGCCATCACTCGGCAAGAAAATAAAGGATTGTATGCTCGCGTTTACATTCACTGGGGTATTCTAAAATGTCCCACCTTATACTCACTATATTTTTCTCTCAATTTTCATGTTGACCTTTTGAGGGATTCCTACAATCCAAAGCGTAGTAAGGTCGGAGTCCTTATTGAATTCTCCCGAATTGAAGAGTCGTTTCCCTCCCACGGCGCTTCAACCTAGTTGAAGCTCATCGTTCGTGTCGGCACCAGATATGGTAGCGGGTTCAAGGACCTCGATCCCATTCCAAGCTGAATGTTCTTCACTGACAGCCGTAGACGGGAGGCTGAAGGTCTATCTCGTAGTATGTATTGGGTCGTGAGAACGTGTTCAAGCGGATGCCGACGCAGCAGCCGCCTGCTGCTGTTGAACCTGACTTTGGTATTGTAGGATCTGAACGCAGTGATTAGATTGTGATCCATGCGCCATGGCATCCATCTGCCTTGAATTCTCAGAATGCCTTACCTCGGCTCGTTTCTTATCGCTCTTGTCCTGGTTGGCTTCGATCTCTTTTTCGATCCGCTTGCTGTTAATCCACACGTCAGCTTTCTCCAAAGCAATCTGATGGCATAACGGAGCACAATGAGCCGTACATTTCCTTCTCGATGAACTCAAGACGTCCGTTCACCGCCAGCAGGGCCTCCTGCTTCTCCTGCTTCAACAAAACCGGGCCGACAAGCTTGTAGATATTGGATTCGCCATCGAGCGAGTTGAACTCCTTTTGGACGCTCTCGTTCTCCTGCTGCTGGGACTCGAGCTTCTGACGAGCCTCGACCAATCCGTCCAGATCTGGAAATCATGCATCCGATCAGCTTTCTGTTCTGTGCGCGATGATGCCGTCGGGGATTCGCTCGCGCTATCTTTGACGAGAGACCGCCAACGTACCGGTCTGCAGCTTCTGGAACTCTTCCGAGATCGCCTGCAATTGCTTCTGTGCGTCGGCCATGGTGAAGAATGCTGGAATGACGATAGAGCGAGATGGATGGAAGGGAGAGCGGGGCGTTGGCGGGGAGAAGACTCAATGGAAGCAGAGCGGCAGAAAACACGCAGACCGTCACCGTGACTGCCGATGGCCGCCTTTCCGCTTCCTCATTCCCCTCATATCTCTCTCTCCTTCTCTTCGCCATCGTCATCTCTCCCCCTCTTCGCCACTCATCCTCGTCCATTATCACATTCTCCGCGGTTTCCACGATTTGAATGGACCGCTCCTGACCTGATTTCCCCCCCTCACGTTGCCTTGCCTTGTCCGGAGTTCCTTGCGCCGCCATCCCGACCCAAACAGGCTGCTACTATCCCATCTGTTCCCCACCGTCGATTCAATTGTTGTTTTGCAACCGTAAACCACCACTAGCAGAGACGCCAACCGAGACCCCCGTCCTTCATCATGAGCAACACCGACTTCCTAGGACGGGCGATTGACACGGTCAAGAAGGCCATCGAGCACGACAATGAGGGCGAGTACGAAAAGGCCTATCAGCTGTACTACTCCTCCCTGGAGCTGTTCATGCTGGCCTTGAAATGGGAGAAGAACCCCAAGTCCAAGGAAATGATTCGCGCAAAGACCGGCGAGTACATGGATCGCGCGGAGAAACTGAAAAACCATCTGGCCCAGTCGGACGGGCGAAAGAAGCCGAGCGCAGTGGGCGCCAACGGTAGCGTGGCGCAAGGCAGTGGGAAGGGCGGGTATGTGTTTTTTCTTGACCCCGGTTGGATGACCCCGTAGTAACATGCGAGTCACTTCTAGGAAAGAGGAAGAGGACGGCGAGGATGCCGATTCGAAGAAACTACGATCCGCCCTTGCGGGCGCCATTCTGTCGGATAAACCGAATGTACAATGGGAGGATGTGGCGGGTCTCGAGAGTGCCAAGGAGGCGTTGAAGGAAGCGGTCATTCTACCGATCAAGTTCCCGCATCTCTTCACGGGGAAACGACAGCCATGGAAGGGTATCCTGCTGTACGGACCTCCTGGTACCGGAAAGTCGTATCTCGCCAAGGCTGTCGCAACCGAGGCCAACAGCACATTCTTCAGTGTCAGCAGCAGTGATTTGGTATCCAAATGGATGGGTGAGAGTGAAAGGTGCGTGCTTGGGAATGAACTTTTTTAATGCAATTCTGGAAGCGAGACAGCTAACTAAATATTTCAAAGACTCGTCAAGCAGCTTTTCAACATGGCCCGAGAAAACAAGCCGGCAATTATCTTCATCGATGAAGTCGACGCCCTTTGCGGGCCTCGCGGCGAAGGAGAGTCCGAAGCGTCGCGCCGAATCAAGACCGAGTTGCTGGTACAGATGGATGGTGTAGGCAAGGATTCCAAGGGTGTGCTCATTCTTGGCGCAACGAATATTCCCTGGCAGCTGGATGCAGCCATTCGACGTCGATTCCAGCGAAGAGTCCATATCAGTCTTCCCGATATCAATGCACGAATGAAAATGTTCATGCTTGCAGTGGGCCAAACGCCATGTGAAATGTCGCAAGGCGACTACCGAACCCTGGCAGAGATGAGTGAAGGATACTCTGGTAGCGATATCAGTATCGCGGTGCAAGATGCGTTGATGCAACCGATCCGCAAGATCCAAACAGCGACACATTACAAGAAGGTATTGACCCACATATTTTATGCCTTCCTCGGGGATCTTGCAGCAAGCTGACACATCTTCTAGGTCCTGTTTGAAGGCGCTGAAAAATTAACACCGTGCTCGCCAGGAGATCGCGGCGCCGTTGAGATGTCATGGATGAACGTGGAGGCAGAGCAGCTGCTCGAGCCCCCTCTTGTTCTGAAGGACTTCATCAAGGCAGTTCGTAATTCCCGGCCAACGGTCAGCCATGAAGATCTCTCGAGGAACGAGGAGTGGACCAAGGAATTTGGCAGCGAGGGTGCTTAGTCCGTCCACGGATACGGCTGCTCCTATGTCCCTTGGTAAAGTGAGAATCACGATGCATGATTTGTGTCATGTGTCTGATATCTTCCTTTTTCTTGCCATCCTCCGGCAGATTCGCTGGGTTCCCACAAAGGCATCATAAGTGGTACTTATACATACGCGCTGGACCACACTTCATGCCTTTCCTTGCACTCCTGTCTGGTTGAATCCTTCACTACCCCTATCCCTCCATCTGTCTCTCTCACCCCTTTTGTCCATTCCATCCATCTCAAGCTTGGTGTTAGAAGCGTTATCCTTGTTAGGCGAGGCGAGGCGTTGCAATTTCTTTTACAAACCGAAACCTGTCTGTCCGCCTGGGCTGAATCAAAACCGATTCCACCCTCGCTCTCTTATAAAGCCTTTCTCCTTTTTCAGGCTACAGCGCCCCTTTTTGTGCCTATTTCATGAAGCATATCATACCATTGAAGAACAAGATTTTATGAACTATATTCATCAGTTGGACTGAATACCATGGTTGTTTTCTTTTCCTCTTCTGTTATCAGGTTGGCTTGTCTGACGTTTTGTCTTTCTTGTTGTCTTGAATTTTTGAAATAGGGGGTATTGGCAATTGAAGCTTGCAGCCATAAGTCAATCAATTCAACAGTGTATCAAGAGAACATCGATTCTACTGAAGTCCAGTAGTAGCATCCAGGTATCATGCGCATATGGCATGACCAAAATGGTTTACATTGAATAATCATTGCCTTCTAGAGACTCGATAAAAAAGTTATAGAATGAATATAGATATGCACCAAGGCCGCAGCAACAACACCGCCAACCTCTCAGTATAAGTAAACTAAGTAGTAAGATCAATTTCTCATGCCCAAAAACCAACGCCTGCAGGACCCAATGGAATCAAAACACGAATATTGATGCAATGGGTGATAGACAAAGCATATTGGGGGAATCACTTGGGGAAAACAAATGTTCATAGCAAGAAAGGAAAAGAAAAAGAAAAGCAAAGCTATGACACAAAATCCAATCAACAAAAAGAAAAGAAATCAAAACATCAAAGAAGGGAAACCGTAATCTTCATCTTCATCTATTCTAAGCCCTTGCCGGAGCTATCTCTCCTCTTCAACATTTCACCTTTGGCTCGTTTGAGACCTTCGCCGAGCTTACGGGTCTTCTTCCATTCCTGGCTCATTCGCTGCATGCGCACGACGGCCTTGACCATTGAGATGGCAGTCTTGAGCTTCTGGCGAGGATCGCGGAGCATGCTGCGGTCACGAGGCTTGACTCCCATCTCGGAGATCATGCGAAGATCGGCGTCGTTACTATTGAGAAAAGGTTAGTTAGTCAACGTCGATAGGAGAGAGTGTGTGGATAGGACGCACCATGCAACTCGTACTCGCTCGCCGAGCTCCATCAACCCCTTACTCCAGGCCAGATCACGGCGGAATTTCTCCTCGCGCTTCAACCGTGCCCGCAGCCAGATGATCTCTTTGCCTAATCCGAGAAGTTCTTTGTCGTGCCGAGTTTTGCTCTCCGTCTTGGACCCGATCTTGTCTACGGCCTGCTTGTAACGCACTTCAAGAGCCTCGAGGTCTTTGAGGGCCGTCTCGGCCTTCCTCACACAGAAGGCACGCTCCTCACGGATCCGACGGACCTGAGACTTGAGCTCATTCACGCGTTCATCTCGCTCTGACACCTTGAGGGCTAGAGACTCGGCCTCAAGCGTAGAGGATTTGAGCAGCTCATGGAAATCCCGATGATCCTCCTCCTTCATCGCAGCCCGCTCGAGTTCACGGTTTTTCACTTTCAGATCCCGCAGTGCTCGGTGCGCTTCGGACAGCTGCTTGCGTAGGCTTCGCAGTTCCTCGTGAACTTTGTCGGAAGGTGACGATTGAGGAGAGCGGGATTCGAACTTCTTCATCATAGCTTCGTGCAGATCCTTCTCGAGCTCCGCAATACGTGACTTGCAGTTACGGACAGCAGATTTCTGGTCAGCCTCGCGCTGAACCAGTGTTTTCTCTCGCCTGCGTGCCTCGTCCAGGCTGTGGCGGAGTATGGAAACGTCTCCAGTGGCAGTTGAGGGTTCGTTCTCCGCAGGAGGTTGTTGCTGTAAAAGAGACTCGAGATCCGTGATACGCCTCTCAAGTCGCTGGATCTTACTCCTGGACAAGGTGAGCTCCCTGTCCTTTCCACCCGAGGCAGCATGCAGCTTGTCTTGGAGCTGGTCGACCTCCGCAGCGAGGCGGTTCTCTTCCTCAGTAGCTCTTTCGATTTCGGCTCCCAGTTGTTGTTCAAGGGTCTCCTTTGCTTCTAACAGAGACAATCTATCTTCCTTCAGTCTTTTGAGCTCGTTCTCAAGGCGAAGGGTGGATTTGCGCTGCTCGATCTTCTCCCGGTCGAATCGCGTGGTATCGTCAACCTGGTTCTGGGCTTGGTCCAGTTGGGCCTGGAGTTCATCGCGCTCCGTTTCCATCTCCCCCATGGCCGCCCGTAGATCATGCAGCTCAACATGAGCATTAGCCAATTGATCTCGAAGCTTTTGTTTGTCGGCAATTAGTTTCTGTAGCTGGCCGTCTTGGTTGGAAGGACCCTGCTGCATCCGACCCTTCGCATATTCCTGTTCTTCCTCCAGGCTTGATTGCAAGACGACAACTTCGTCCTCGAGGGCCTGTACCTTCTCCCTCAGTGCTGCCTCCTCGCGTCCAGCAAGTCGGAGTTGTTCCTTGACAGAAAGCAGCTCACTGCGTTGTTCGTCGATGATTTCTCTTTTCCCTGCAAGCTCGTCGTTGAGTTCCTTGACTTGACGGCCCAAAACAGCTTCCGAGTTGAAATGCCGTGCCTTCTCGCTATCGATGACTTCCTGCAGCTTGTTTTCTTTCCCGGAGAGAGTATGCTCCACTTGCTCGAGTTTCTCAATGGTGCGCTTGAATCCGGTGGCTTGGTCTTCTGCCCTGTCCTTCTGGAGTTGGAGGGTGCGTTTTGCGCTTTCCCACCGATCTTGCTCGAGCGCAAACTGGCCCTCTTTGTCTTCGATTTCATGGTGCAGAGATTCAATTTCTTCCTGCAATCTGTCGACTTCTTCTCGGTATTGCGAGCGAATGATGTCCACGTCATCCAAAGCCTGGTGCTTCCCATGGTCCACGGTATGCTGGAGGTCCCGAATATGAGACTGCGTCCGTGCTAGTTCCCGTTGCAACCCGCTAGATTCTTCGGTCAATGCAGTGTGTCGGGTCTGTAAGAGTTCTTTTTCGTCAACCTTGCGCTGGATTTCATCGAGTGCTTCCTGCAGCTGAGAAGACAGCCTGTCGCGTTCCTGTTGAACAAGATCTCGTTCGCGTCGCGCCCTAGCAGCGTCGTCGTGTCGTCTGTTATCTTCGTCGCTCATGGCCTGTTGGGCTTTGCGGTATTGCTCCTCCAGATGGGACTCATTGCGCGTCTTGGCTTCAAGCTCCTCCTTAAGACCATTGGCCTCGCGTTGTAGCTCGCGCAACTCTTCCTCCAGCTTGCTCGATTTCTCCTCAAGTTGGCGATTTAGGCCCTTGGTAGTGAAGGACTTATTCGACATCTCGTCGTGTAGCTCCTGGAGGTTTCGCTCGGCTTCTTCTTTCTCTTGCGTTGCGAGACTTGCCTCGTTCCTCGCCTCTCTTGCCTCAGTCCGGGCTTGGTCGAGAGACTCTTGCAACTCCTCCATTTGCTCCCTAGCGCGTTGAAGCTCCGATTCGAGTTCCGAGAGCGCGTCGTTATCTTTGGTATCTCGGTCCTTGAGTTCCTCGATCTCCTCCTCGCGCGCGTCTATTGTGCGGTCTTTCTCCCTGAGAGCGGCTTCCAAATCTTCAACTTCATCACGGAGCTTCTCGGTTTCTTCGGATTGTCTGTTCTTGGCGGTTCTCAGCTCTTCCTGAAGGTCCCGTACTTGGATTTCCCGCGACTCCAGCTCTTCCCGCATCATATCCAGTTCCCGCTGCACTGTTTCGTCTGTTTGCTTTCGGCGAGTCTTTTCGCGAAATTCCTCGAATTGTACACGGTAGGATTCCAAGTCGCGTTCCGCTTGTTGAAGACTTTTCTTGTATCGGGAGATATCTCGTTGCATCGTCAACTTGGCCACCTTGAGTTCCGTATTTTCCTTCACTGCAGCTTGGTTATACGACGGACCGGCTTTTTCGATTTGCTCCTGTAAATAGTGGATTTTCAGTTTTAAACCGAAATTATCCTTGTCGAGTTTATCGATCATCTATACGAGTTAGCATACCATATTGAAAAAAAAAATACAAAGCAAGTCATACCTTTTCCTGTTCCTTCAAGGTCATATTTTGTCCATCACTCAACATGCCATCCCTACCCAATGCAACCGGGGTACTCTGCACACTACTGCTGGCGACTTGCGGTAAAGGTGTCGGTTGGTCGTCGGTCGCGTCTTCCTCCTCGTCGATATAGGTCATCTCTGGGGGTAGCCCGGGGGTGTTCGCGTTGCTTCGATAGCTTTGACGTAAGTAGGCCGGTGTTTTCGGGCCGCCGGCTCGCGTCGTTGACATGTTTCTTAAATAATTGTTTCTCGTGGCGCTCTTCATCAAGGGCGTGAATTCTCCAGCGCCGGGCGCAATGGTAGGAAGTTGGTGCCGGCTATTCAACGCGCTTTTTGTCGACTTGGGACCGGAGCCGGCGCGCGGCGTGCTCAGCTTGAACCCGCCCGAGGTGCGTCTCCGGCCTTCGCCGATTGCCTTAAGAATATCCTCATCCTTGGATGGCGTCTGAAAGGAGTTTTCGACCGAGTCGAGAGCCGAGAGGTTGTGTCGTCCTACACTGCGAAAGCCGTTGGTCAGGTACGTCGCGTTCCCGTCAATTTCGGTGCGCGGGGTGTCGATGTATGGGAACGCCATTGTTGACGCAGAAGACGCGAGAATCAGCTGGTGATGATCAGGGATGACCGGGGGAGGCCATTCAATGGGCGACGCTTATCAACGCTGAGCATGGGAAAGAAGAAGAGCGAAGACTGCGGCGGGTCACTACTGAACAGACGTGTTTCGGGCGGTGAGACCGGCTTGTTGATATCTATCCGCATCCGGTTAGCCCGCCAAGTCACGAGTGCCGGCCCGTCGATTTCGCGTTCGATGAAGTCATTCGGCTTTTTCTTCCTGCTCTCATCATCTCCACTCCGCCAGAGATTAAGCCGCTATGAATCCCATGTCCGAAGAGGACCTCGAGTGGTTTAAGTCCACCTTCCGTCCCATACCCAAACCAGAACTCCCCGACGACAGCATCGAGTACGCGCTATACTGCATCTCCTCGGACCCCGCCCCCGCCGTGGTGGATGAAATCGCCGACACCAGAGCGCGATTGGTGGACGTGCAGCGCACTGCAGCGGAATTAAGCAAGAACCTTCTCAAGGAATATATCTGGCAGCGCGATGGCTTTCGCTTGGAAATTTCGAAAGATGATGGTACGCAAATTGATTGGTTTTGCAAACGACTGATCGACCAGTCTGGCTGAACTAGATTAGGTATCACCTCGTTGCGCGGGCGCACCAATTTCGGAGACTCAATCGAGGATGAATGGGTCATTGTATATATGCTGCGCGAATTGACGAAAAAGCACAAGGATGTTTGGGCCTCGGTTGTGGATAGCGATGGCCAATTTCTTTTGGTCGAGGCTGCGGCTACTCTGCCTGCTTGGTTGGAGCCTGAGATAGCGGACAATCGAGTAAGCTGCACCATATCGCAGTCATTGGCAATTATGTCTTGAAGAAATCTGCTAATACAATACAAAGGTGTGGATTCATCAGGGACAACTTGTTATCATCAAACCGAAAAATCCGAAGAAGGGCACGGTCACCGAAAAGATCTCCCTTCCAGAGTCCATGAAAATAATTAAAGAAGAACCCGCTCGCCTCATGCGATCTACCATGATCCAGGAGGAAGCGTTCTATCGGTTGCGAAATTACCCCAAGCAAATCAACGAGAATCTCCATTCCGCTTTGGTGACGATTCCACGAAAGGTCGCCTACCTATTGAACCAGAAGCCTGCTTACATCTCAGCGGCAGTGGAATCCTTCTATCTTCGAGACCCGATTGCTTTACGTCCCTTGCGAACCAAAGATACAAGCAGTTTCGTCTTTCCGCCCGAGGATCTCGTCACCGTCAGCGTGCGATTCACAAGAGTAGGATATGCGCAGCTCAAAAGCCAGGACTTTCCGGCTCCGAAGTCATGGATCCCAAAACTGCCTGCTAAAGACGAACAAAAAGCCTATGATCGTGCAGAGATTGGCATGAAACTCTCCTGTGGATTTGAGATGCTCCTCACCGACCCACAAAATCAGGACAAGCCGCATGTGAGAGAAATTAAACTCGTACTAGAGGATTTGGAGACAGGAGATGATGCCTTGCCGACAGATGAGGAGATCAACAAATGGACGAAGCGTGAAGACGACGAGAAATGGCTGGATATCAGCTTTGAGGACCTCGATAGGGAGCTGAAGGGGAAAGAGAAAGGTGACGCGAAGCAAGACAAAGGCGAATTTGGAGATGCAAATGCCCAGGAAAACCTCCAGCGAATCGTGGCGCGCTTCGAACAATTTTTGAATGACGACTCGGCTGGATTTGAAGGCGCCGATTTCATAGACGACTACGGCTCCGACTCTGAAAATGGCGATGATGACGACGACGAAGTGAGCAGTGATGGTGAAGACAAGGAAGCCTCATTTGACGAGGAAGAATTCTCCAGGATGATGAAAGAAATGATGGGTCTACCATCTATGCCTGGTTTACCGGGGTCTTCGAAGCCATCAACGTCGCGTAAAAGAGTGGAAGAATTAGGCGACGAATCGGAAGACGATACTGAACAGATAAAGCAATTGTCAAATGAAATGGAAGCCGAATTGCGAGGCACGGGAGTTCTAAACCTGAATCGTCCCTCAGGCAAGCAGGCTTTGTCGGAAGAGGCGTCAAATGGTACACAGGCGGAGAGCAGCGGAAACAAAGAGGGTGACGAGGCGGATGAAGACATTGACATCAATCTTGCCAAAAACATACTGGAAAGTCTTCAGGGTCAAGCCGGGGGTGCAGGCCCAGCGGGCAACATGCTCTCGATGCTGAACCTGCAAATGCCCAAAGATGATCGCCACCGCTGATTGCGCCGGCTGTATTGGAGAAAACCAAATCGATTCGATTGCTCGTTGGTCTCTGGCACTTTGACTGACGCATTTGCCATCCTCGGCTCTCACCCCGTTGGTATGATCTAGCGCAAATCACTGCGCTTTGATTCTCAGCTTTGCCTGTTAAATTCCTCTCCGACGTTTCAGTGGTGTGCTTCTTCGCTGCAGGTTGTATTTGAAGTCCGTCGTTGATCCGACCGAGAAACATCTGTACCACGTTGCCAACAATCCGCTTTCATTAACTTCCCTCGACTACATAGCGTAGGGAATAGCCATGAAGACACGAATTTTGTCTTATCCCGCCATGTTCAACATCCTCATACGCCGAAATGTGCTCGGAAATAATATGTAGTGCTACGAGCTATGGGGCCTCACAGGTACAAATTTTATATTCATTATTGGTCTGGCAACAGGTTGAGACCAAGGTCTCTGGTGACAGTTTATCGACATTATCAAATGCTTGCAGGGATTAAAGAAAGTCCCCAATCCGTCTCAGGAACGAATATACAATAAACTCGAATCAGAAAGTCCCTTTTCTCATCATTCAATATTTTTCAGGCCTCGTACGATTTCAATCGCCTTGAAACGTATCCTTGATTGGAAACCCAAGAGCATCTTAACTTCTCACATTGGCAGTATCCACCTGCCCCACAAGCATTACTAGACATCTCCTCGGAAACTTTTCTCATACGCAGCTAAAGTTGGCTATATGAGGCAAATCGGAACCTTTAGTAATCTACCACGGCTGAACTTCGCTCCGTGGTGTCGATTTGGAGGGATTCCGATGACCTGGAGAAGTTAGGGTTTCCGAACCCCAATTTGGAGATATGACGTTTCTACAATTCTTAAGTCGCATGCAAGAGCAATCTACTTCACAATCTCGATATTTATCATGAACACAAATTGTGAGCTTTATTCATCGTGACCCATCTCAACACATTGATCGACCATCATGACGCCCAAAACAATGAAAGCCGTCCAGATCCAACAGTTCAACGAACCTTATCATGTCTCCGAAGTGCCTGTCCCCAGCCCCCAGCCGCACCAAGTGCTGGTTCGCGTCAAGGCTGCCGGGTTCTGCCATACTGATCTCATGGCACTGAATAATGATTTCAATACAAAGTTGCCCTTTATAGGATCCCATGAACCTGCTGGCGTTATTGAGGAGGTTGGGTCACAGGTAACGGGGTTTGCGAAGGGTGATAGAGTCGGGTGTATTAATTTCGATAGCGTTTGTGGTGAGTAAAAGTTCCAGAAGCGATAGGAATTAGAAAAATACTAAGACATGCCGCTGGCTAGGTAAATGTCCCGACTGCAAAGCAGGCCTTCCAATTTATTGCGATAGCCCTCTGATGAAAGGCCTGACTGCCGATGGTGGCTGGGCCGAGTACATGGTTGCGTAAGTGAGAAACCCCTAGACTTTCTAAGACATATCTAACCTGTGCATATTAGAGATGCCCGCTTTATTGTCAAGCTCCCAGGGGACATGGAGTTCAAGATTGCAGCACCCTTGATGTGCGCAGGGATTAGTATCTACGGCGGGATCGTCCGGGCAAATGTGCCCAAAGGCGGATCCATTGGCATTGTCGGAATCGGTGGGCTCGGCCATATTGGTACTCAGCTAGCCAAATGCATGGTAGGTGGTTGCGGCACCCTCAACGATCGATCTACATTCAGTTAACCAACCGAGGCAGGGCTACAAAGTCGCAGCCATTGATGTGAAACAGTCCGCCTTGAACGCCGTGGCATCTTATGAGCATAGCCCAGATATTTCGATTCTGGCGACGGACCCTGTTGAAAAGTCACTGGATAAAATCAACAAGGTGGTTTCCTCGGACTATCCTGGCCTGGATGCCACCGTGCTTGCTACGGATCATCCGGCGGCGTTCGAGCTGGCAGCGGCCCTGACTCGCAAACATGGAACGATGGTGCTTCTGGGTCAGCCTGACAAAGGCATCACGATGTCTTATTTCACCACGATCTACAAGGACATCAAATTGGTTGGATCTTTGGTTGCCGACACGGCAGAGGCACAGGAGCTAATCGCGCTCTTCCACCAAAACAAGCTGCACGTCGAAGTCACGGAGTGGAAGTTGGAACAAGCAGAGCAGATGAAGCAGGACTACCTGTCAGGGACCACGAATGGCAAGAATGTTGTCATTCTCGAATAGTCAACTCAAGATAGAAAATGATGACTAATATATGACTAACAGTGTTGATAAGTTTTGATTGGGTCACGTGGGTCTTATCGGGACCTCCGAGCGCTGACGTAATCCGCCTCCTCTTCAAGGTTCACTTTCGTTTCTTCTCTTTTTCCCTTCTGCTACTCCTCTGCTATTCCCTCAGTTCATCCTGACTCCCAGGCTCTGGTTCTGCTCCAAGTAGTGACATCGTGGCGTTTTGCGCATGACAATCGGCTGCAACGGTCCAGTGACCCCCGCCAAACCCAGCCACTTGCTTCGTACAATTCAATCGGCGGGGATTCTTTTGGCCCGCCGTTCCCGCGTTTAGAACAGCCCGCAGAACGCCAGTTGAAAGAACCAGAGGGGTAGTCTCCTCTTTTCTCCTAGTTCTACAATCTGAGCCACAACTTGGACTCTTTGAGAGCTTTTCGCCAGTCGCAACTCGCAACAAAAGAAGAACACTTAACATGGCAAGCCCAGCCCAGTGCTACTTCTGCTTCGAAAGCCTCGCGGCTGCCTATGAAGACCAAGATCCCGTGAGCCTCGAGGTGATAGAGGAGCTGTGGGAGCGACACGAGCAGTTCAAGAAACTCGCCGCTCTCCAGGAGAATGACGAGTCGGGTTCCCTGAGGGAGGAGGGCGATGACGATCTCAACCAACAAATTGTAGATGAAGAGACCGGCGATAACGACGCAGGCTCTCGGTCGAGGAAGGACCCCCCGCAGAAGATCCAGCTGCCCAGCGTGACTCGGCTTCAGAGCGACTCGAGCTCGGCGACGACGCCGTCCAGCGCATCCAATAACTCGTCGCGTTCCGTCCTGTCTAGCTCTACAAATGTAACCACACCGGGTTCGCAGTCTACGCAGGCTGCCCCGAAAGAACGGCGCTACCCGCTGTTCGTGACTTGGAATACGTTGTCGAAAAGTGGTCGGAAGTCTCTCCGTGGATGTATCGGTACATTCGAGGCGCAGGACCTTGCCGCGGGTCTGAAGTCCTACGCCCTTACTTCGTATGTTGCCCTTTCATCCAGAAGCAGAGTCACGACCCCAGCTCGCCGCAACCATGGGGTCTGGTTCCTATGCTTATACGCTAACGAACCGGCAGCGCTTTCGATGACACTCGGTTCTCCCCAATCCCTGCATCTCTTCTCCCTGCCCTGTCCTGTTCCTTAACCCTCCTAGGCTCCTTCGAACCGTGCACCAACGCCCTAGACTGGATCCTAGGCGTCCACGGGATCCGCATCTCCTTCATCCACCGCGGCCGGCGCTACGGCGCCACCTACCTCCCCGACGTCCCCGTGGAGCAAGGCTGGACGAAAGAGCAAACCGTCAAGAGCCTCATGGACAAAGCCGGATGGACCGGCTCCACCGAAAGCACCGCCCGGAGGCTCCTCCGCGGCAGTAACAGCTCCGGCAGCAACTCGAGTGCCGGCAAGCCCTGGGAGCAGGTGTCCGACTTCCGAGCGGTCAAGTATCAGGGTCTCAAGACCGCTGCCACCTACGCCGAGTGGCAGGAGTGGCGCGAATGGGTTCTGTCTCTGGGAGATGGGAGCGAGAAGCTCTTGAGTTCGTCCGTATAAAGCCGTATGCATGCACTCGCTGGTCGTCTTTTTATCTGCATGCGACCAGGGAAAGTGCCGATGTGTTCGCGAGTTCTTCGTATTGTATAGATGGTGATTTCGTTTGGCCGGTGCCTTCGGGGCCTCCAACGCTTTCGATTTTGGATGGTTCGGCTTCTCGCCATAATGATGTGACATGACAAGACTGGCGTATTGATTATTTTTGATGGTTATTTTCGGAGCACAATTATCTGGTCTATCTTATTTCCATTTTATTATCTGCATAAATTATAGGTCTCCACTGGTAGAATATATTTTCAGCCTCGGGACGAGATTCATAACTACAACCTTTGAAATGACACACCTATATATACCAATGGACCAGTCCTATCCGCTGAAACCAACAAGCATAAAAGTACCAGACAACAGATCGATATATACGCCCCTATACAGACCTGATTTCCTAGAAATAATGTGACTTTCCTTGTTTGGATGAGGGCGCTCAGGGGGCTAAACACTAGTCTTATATTATAACTATACTATAAAAGCTACCTCCTATATAAGAATTAATCACTTAACCGCCAAAAGGTTACGACAGTCTCGAGTGATTTCCCTTAACACCATGTCTCATCTGCACAGCCCAGATGGTGCAGGTTCGTTTCCGGCCAGCTCACCATTGCTGAATCGACCTTTGGAAGTAGTCCACAGAACCAGCCAGCTGCTGCATTAAACCCGAGAGCTGCGGCTTGCTCTGCAAACGTCAAAGAAGAGATTATGACGTGAGTTTAAGTAGAGCCAACTGAGTAATAGACATAAATCAATGATGCTTCCGTCTCTACAGCACGCAGTGGCATACCAGACATTACTCCCTTGGGTGGCTAAATGCGAGGCAAGGACTTCGCAGAGTACCATTCTTCGCCAATAGGTGAATATCTTTCTCTGGATTCTATTAGCCATGCGGAAAATTGAATCCGGTGCCAGACCACTGGAATGTAACTTGCAAACTTTCGGTTCTTCCGACGGCCCTTGCCGGTTCGTGGTATGTGGTATGCAGCGCCTCTAATCCAATAAGCATACCAAGCATTGCAGGGTGACATGACATCCGGTTTGGGTATGGAGAGGGCTTATGGGGGTGAGTGATCTTGCCTTTTCCTTTTTGTGTCTTGACTGCCTCACTCGAGGGTATCTGGTACGAGGAGCTTGGAGATATCATTTACTATGTTTACGTGATAGGCTGGAGATTATTCGAAGGGAACTTTTATCCGACAATATTCGGACATCCCCCTTGCCTGGGTCATTCTTCTTGCATTCGTTTTATTTTATTCGTTTTATTTTTTTTTTTTTCGGTTGCATATTCGAAGGCGACATTTCTATCCTGATCGCATCTGCCCGTCAACGTATCATCATCCTGCCCACCACACTCGATGAGCAACCAAGGATGGCGAGTAACTGTAGTGTTGCAGTGGAGCAAGGATGGAGAACATCACGACAGTCAAGATGAAATTGCCGTTTGCGCATGGATGGTGGTATTGGACGCAATTTCGAGGAAGTCATGGTAGTCACTTTTTCTCCCACGCGCTTGGCTACAAATACCCAGACGAATCCTGGAATTAAACAGCTTTGAGTAGATAAGATCGAATCCTCAGTCTCGTCTCCATCTCCATCGCTTGAACTGCAAATGCTCCTTTGAATACATCGTTGGAAATCCTACTTTCGTGATAGAAAAGTCTTACACTTCACCGCCACAATGCCTAATCAGGAACATTCGGACATTGTGAATGAGCTCCACCAAATGATCATTGAAAATAAATGGGAGAAAGACTTTGCCAAAGGCATCGAAAATGCATTCAGCCTGGCCGAAAAGGACCTTCTCGAAGCCAGAATCTACGAGGGTAAAACTCATGCCGAAACTGTGATGTCTTTCCTTCACTTCTGCGACCGCTACGTGAAATGGGTGCCCACCACTACGTCCAGCAGAGATGAAGCACTGTGGATGCTGTCCGTGTTCTACTTCGTGTTTGATCAAGTCCCGATATTCAGCAAAAAATATCAAACCCCCATTCTTCCGGACGCCACCCCCAACGAAGCGCCGATATCCAAGTGGCTTCATACGTATGCAAATGACCTTGGGAAGTGGATGGACGATCCAAAATCGGTTGCGGCAGTCGACACATTCAGCGAGAACCCGGAATATATGGTCTTCCAATACGTCAAGCCGAAGCACGGATGGACGTCCTACAACCAGTTTTTTCGCTCGAAAGGTGAACCCGATCTATCGGCCGATCGCCCCGAAAAACACCGTCGCCAGCCCCTGTGACGCCAAGTTCGACGGCTACTGGAAGATCCAGGACGATGGGAATGTCATTCTCCCCAGCCCAAGCGTCAACTTCAAGGGAATCGAGTGGCCCATTAAGAAGCTCCTGGACGATACCGAACTGGCCTCAAAGTTCCACGGTGGCACCCTTATGCACTCTTTCCTCCTGCCGAATAACTACCATCGCGTCCATGCTCCAGTCAGTGGAAAGTTGGTCGACTACAAAACCATCCCAGGAGACGTCTATCTGGAGGTAACTGCGGACCGGAAGAAAAACCGAATTGGACATATTCCGCGGTTCATGGACCCGAGAGACGGTAAGAAGCAAGACGAGGACGTTGAAGCCCAGGATACTCCTGGCTATCAGTGGAATCAGGTGCGTGGCATGTGGATATTCGAAACGCACGAAGAGGGCAAAGAGAACAGAGACATTGATATCGGGACGGTGGTGCTTTTCGCCGTGGGTATGGCGCAAATCTCCTGTGTCGTGGCGACAGAAAGCCCCGAAGACGACGACGACTGCCAGGATGACCATGTTAAGCAGATTAAGTACCCCCAGCCGGGTCAATGGGTCAACAAGGGCGACGAGATCGGATACCTGAAGTACGGAGGATCGGATTACATCCTGCTGTTTGAGAAGGACAAGGTGGAATTTTTGCCTCCAAGTTTCGGGACCGGAGCTCTCGCAGTAGGAACCCCCCAGAAGGGGAGTCTGTATTTGCAAGGCGCTGCACTCGTCAGCAAAAAATGATCGTGGGCCTTCTGAAGGCTTGGACTGGTTTTGATTGATTTGTTGGTTTGCTTAGTTTTTGATTTCTTGATCTTTTTGCTATCACTGAGTTTGAAGAATACACAAGATCATTACCAACGGTCGAGTGTATACTATGTCCTAGATATAAGCCTCTTTTATATCTTTTATATTATCCTCTCTTTTCTTTCGAACTATAATCCTAACCTCTTTCTTATTGAGTATTAACTTATCATACCCTTAATGCTAATTATTAAAATAATTTAATTATTCAAAACACCGTTAGCACGAGTGGCTACCATCCTACCAAGTTCCTCAAGAATCTCGGCTAATGCATTTAGACATGATGACAAGACAAGCTGTTTGCGGCAGCTATAGAGAGATGCCACCTAGGCTTCCAGATTTGCTTTCACACTGAATGAATGACACGATGTCTATCCGGGTTCAGTAATAGTGGACATATGATAGGCCAACCTTGAATATAACACTGGATCATGCGGATCCGGACTGGTCCGTCCCGAGGAATCACCTTGGCCCATCTATCATGATTAAATGCAGTTGCCAGGATGGTATCCGCATTCAGGGATCTGGCGTTGGACAGACCCCCTGGCTAACATGTCATGTAGTACAAGCATTCCTGAGGTCCCACCGTTTGGATACCACGCAGGCCACAGATCCGGTTTGTACTGCTACCTGTTGTGGTTCAATTATGGACTGACTCTATTGCGTGCGACTATTCCTGACTTGAGAATGACCACGGAAGCGGAAATCCAGTGACGTTGTACTCTAGAGTTGTATGATCATTGTCGATATCATGACCAGTTTCGTTTCCCCCCTTGGGGATTGGAATCTCCCCAGGGTATATAAATGCCCAGTTTGTTTTCTGTTCATCCCATATTACAATCTCACAGATCTCTCCCAACTGCCAAAATCCCGACGAACATCTGTTGACCGCACTCAACATGTCCAATCCTAAGGATGACGATCCCCCCTGCCAGAGGTTAGCAAGTCGTCATAATGGTAACCCTCTCTTCCCGAGTCTTGATGACCCCAGGAGCTTCTCTTACGTTCCGTTCCTGGCAGATACATACGACCCCGATGTCGCCGCGGAACTGATCAACGCATCGCACCTGTTGCAATTTACATTCCAGCAGCCGGGAGAAACCTACCCATACACCATTCACCTGCCGGGACGAATGGCAGAGCCCCGAGATCCACCCCGGCCTGTGGACCCATTGGCACCGACGCCAGACAATGTGATATACGTGAAAGGCTGGCTTCCCTGCTGGCTGGTCGATCGGATCCGCGAGTCCAATAATAAATTCCCCGTCACAGTGTCAACCGTCAAAGCTGAAAGTGTCTACTGTGCCCGTTCGACCTTTGCTCACGGGCTGACCTGGCGGTCCGCGGTGATTAATGGGACCGCGCGTGTGCTCGACTGGGCCAGCGACGAGAAGGACCAGTACGCCATCACGGAGGACGATATCAAGAACAACGACAAGCTCTGGGGCCTTCATAAAATCGTCAATGGGTTTATTCCCGACGAGTGGGAGAACTCCCGATCCCCGATCAAGAAGGAAGTAGATCTGGTCCTTGTTTTTGAGGTGAAGGTTGATCAGGACGCATCGCATGTCCATGTCCGTCACGGGTTTAATAGATGGGAGGCCGGCGATGAATCATCCACGCCAGAACAATATTGGCAGGGAACGATTCCGGTGTGGGAGACATACGGCGATCCGTTCCACGGAAACACGACGCAGGAGTTCCCACCAAGGGTGAAACGATGGTTTGAGCAGCTGAGCCGGAGGAACAAGGCGTATGCCATAGCGCAGGCCGGCCGAGACTCTTTTCCATACTCGTTCTAGATCATTCTCTGATGAATCGTGTTGTCTAGTTAGCCTCAGCTGGGGACTAGACCCCAAAGCAGAAAGAGAAGCTGTCGAATATATAGTTCTTACCCGGGCCTTCAGAGGCGAACTCGACGTCCCAGTCCGGAACGATACGGATACTATAAATGGGAGGGAGCTATTTAATGTTTTTTGATCGGCTCTCCGCGACACTCCTTCAAGACGGAAGATAGAATGGGAGACCTCGAATATCGTTCTGTTAAGTTAGATAAGAATTACACACCGAGAGAGCACTGAATGTGAAAGCAGCGCTGGGTTCCACATATGCGACCTGGACATTAGGGCTCTTGGTACGGAGTACTCCGTACGGAGTAGCATCGGAGTAAACCTCGGACTAGCTGTACCAGTACCTAGCACGCCCATGTACTCCAACATTGGTATTAAATACCCCTCCAAAGACCCTAGCTTTCATCCCCCCGAACCAGATCCTGCTGAGACTCTATCTTTTCTCTCGCCTGCGCTACAGTATGTCTTACAGTTGCACCTTAGCTGTCACCACGCAGTCGAAATCCGGTAGGTTTGCGACCTCTTGTTTCCTGCACCAACCGGTGTCTGACAACGCCAGACTGTTTTTCATGCAACTGGAGCAAGGCCGACCGAGTCGTTGGCGTTGATGGCCAGATACACGAATCTCTGAACCTCGTACTTCGCCCCAAGCCGGCGGTCGTCACTCGCACTTGGACCGGCAACGACAGCGACGCATCGGTGGTTTGTTTTGACGAGGGCGGAAGCGACACCCTGGGCAATGTAACGCCGGAAGCCACAGGCTTCATCAGAACCGCTATTGACAAGAGCGACAAGAGCAAGAGTTCCTCTATCGCGTTAAAGTTCATTCTGTCTACAGTCAATGGCTACGTCGCTCGGTCGGACTTCTTGGAGCAACGTCTAGATGGGGTGGAGCATGTTGCCTGGGTGGTAGGATTTCTGCGTCCGCGACAAGCAGTCACAGCTCCTGGGACCCAGGGGAGAGGAACAGCGCAGACTCTGAGCATGCTTATGTCCATATCTGTGGGAGCAATTCTCCTTAACAACAGCTCCGACCCTCACGACGCGCTCCGCAGCGTCGAAGAGGAGATATGCAACCGCATTTCGTACCCGTGGGTTATTTCTACACCGATCGTGCAGAAACGCCTGGCATGGATAGAAGGTCGCAAGGATGCAGACGTGAGCAGGCGCATGTATGAGGCTGCAGCGGCGCTGGGAATCACCTTGGTCATCATTGACAAACGGGGACATTGGCTGCAGGATGACTACGGCCCATACGCTCATCTCCGAGAAGGATTCATCCCTACAGACATTACTGTCGATGACGGCTTTGTCGATAGAATTGTCACGGCTGTCCGAACCTACGATAAGCCTATTGACGGCTTGATGACGGTGAGCGACGCTCGCTTAATTGGGGTGGCACGAGCCTGTGAAATTCTTGGGTATCCAACCTCTCCGTCGTCGGCCTACGCCCTATCTGGAGACAAGTATCAGACGCGGATGATGGAGCCAGATGCGCATGGAGCATTCCGAGTCTTTGGCACCGACGAATTGAGACAGGTCCTGCAGTCCACTGAGGTTACCTATCCTCTCATAGTCAAACCATGCCTGGGATGGGGCAGTCAAGCCGTTACTAAAGTGTCCACTGAAGACGAGCTGTTTCAGGCGGTCGCAAAAGCATCCGGATGCCACGCGCTTACCCCCCAAAAGCGTAGTGACGCGGTTGTTGAGCCATACATCGATGGCCCCGAGCTCGATGCGAACTTTGTCTTGTTAAATGGAGACGTCGTGTTCTGTGAGATTAGCGACGACTTCCCGAGTCCCGGCGACGTGGACGATAAGCAAAGTCACAACTTCGTGGAGACTATCGTCCAGATTCCTTCTGCTCTCCCACCGCATGAAAAGGAAATTATCCAAAATGCTTTGCATCAGAGTATTCTTCGCCAGGGGTTCATGACAGGTACCTTTCATTGCGAAGCTCGTTTACAATATTCGAGCCACGAGTTCCGAGCGGATGAGGACGGTTTTGAAGATTTGTATCCCCGGAGTGATATTCCCTGTCGTGGAAAAGATGCACGCGTGTACCTTCTCGAGATCAATGCCCGTCCAGCTGGATATCTGGAGACAGTTGGTGTCAATTTAGTATACGGGGTGGATTACTTCGCCCAGCAAATGCTCTTTTCTATCAACGATGAGGCTCGGTTCCGGGCTTTATGCCACCCATTTTATCACGGTCCCCGATACCATCTCTCAGTACTCATTCTCCAAGAAGACGTTGCCGGCATCATGAAGACCGAAGATGCAGGAGCGGAGCTGCTCCATCGGTACCCCAAACTGGCATCACACATTCCTCTGTACACAACAATTAAAAAGAAGGGAGACAAATTGGTGGGGCCAAGGTCAAGTGAGGTACATTTTGTTGCTTGGCTTTTGGTCACGGCCGAAAAGAGACGTGATTGCTTAGGTTTGGTAGACCAAGTACGCAGCAATTTCTGGTACGAGGTGGAATGAACATCCAATGAATTATACATGCTTTGATCAAGGAACCCGGGTACATAGGCGGAACTAGCTGTAAACTTTTATATCCTACGCATTCCAGTCTCTGAATAAACTGGTAATGCTACCCTGTTGAGTAGTAATGGTTCTAATCAGGCCCTGCCTTCTTTTCTCAGGACCTCAATAACTGCACGATCCATAAAGTGCTACCTTTGTACCCTGCAATTTCTGGGACATTTCCCTGCGCAAGTCCCTCGATTGCCGTTGCCAATGCCTCGCATTTGCATATGCAAAGATACCAGACCAGAGTGGACCTATCTTAGCAAGCCCGACTGCGGAGTAGATATGGGCTAATGACCCCTGTTAGGTCTTGCCTAGGCCGGTCAGCAAGGACCAACATGCTGATGTTTCGGAGTACAAAAGTGCCATCGGACTTACCGCTGATGCGACTCGGAGTAGGTGTCGGAGTGACGGCCAGCTGTCACATCGATCACAGTCTCCTTTATTTAGCATCATCCTCGGGCGGATAAACAGGTACTGGGCTTTCAGTCTGACCATCGAGCTTTACCACACAGGCAGCGCTATCGGGGCCCATAACAGACTGTAGCTAGTTTGGCTGTGAAAGAGTTTCAGTGGACCTTCCTGCTGTTCTTTCGCTATGAAGAACCAGCTTGATGGGACAAACCAGTCTGTGGCAACACATGAGGATGGAACTGGGATGCCCTTCGAGCCGCGAAATGCCACCGAGGAAGAGATCCAGGCTCTTCCAAATACAGTCGATATAATTCCACGAGCTGTCTGGGTTGTTACCATAGCTGCTGCAGCGGAGAGATTCTCTTTCTATGCCATCACAGCTCCTTGGCGTGAGTTGAAAAGCAAATGATATACATGGTTGCCATAATAAGGCTAACAGGGACTAGAAAACTACCTACAGAATGCGGCCAGTGACACAGATCTCCCTGGCGCACTAGGTCTTGGGCAAAGCCTTGCTACAAACATCAACAATGCGTTCTTATTCTTTGCTTACATCACGCCTCTACCGTTAGCAATCATATCTGATCTTTGGCTGGGTCAATATAAGACCCTGTGTATTAGCTTAGGGTATGTCTCTCTAATAATACCCTTTCTTAACACTGTTAAATAACTGATCTAATGCCAGGTTCTACATATGCGGTACTACTGTGTTAATCGCAACATCTCTTCCAACCAGCCAGCAAAACGGCGCCGGTGTTCCTGGGTTAGCCGTCTCCATGGTTCTAATTGGTCTTGGTGTGGGTGGCGTTAAAGCTACTATCTCCCCTTTTATGAGTAAGTGCTGTTTGCATATGTTAAAGGGGGGGGATGTATACTTATATCACACAAGTTGACCAGTATACGAACGTCAAACCGCGTCTTCTCCAAAGCAAAAAGGGCAGCTACGCCATCGGTCAAAGAACACTGACTATCCAGTATATATGTAATGTCTTCTATTGGTATGATACTATGTCTCCTTTCTATCCAAGACTTAGAAAGTTAGAATTAACAGAGAAAATCCATGTTACTAAATTAGGGCTACTAATATTGCCGGATTATCTTATTTTGCATCAACCTTCTTGGAGAGAAATGTTGGATTCTGGGCTGCCTATCTACTTTCTCTATGCACTCTTCTTCTAGCGCTTGTGATCCTCCTACTTTGGGGGAAACATGTTGGTAAGAACCTCTTTATCAGTCTGGATCTCTCATAAACCATGCACGCTAAAAAGAGCTTTTATCTGATACAGTCAAAATACCACCTCAAGGGAATATTTTGCCTCAGGTAGGGAAATGTCTTGCGTTTGGAGCTCGCAATGGCTTTCGGCTAGAAAGGGTGCGGCCATCCTACCAGCTCGAGCACTTTAACAGACTGGTGCCCTGGACCGGCGCATTTGTAGACGAGATGAAACGTGGGATCATTGCTTGCCGAGTAATGTAAGTGACCTGTGACGCCGGGGCTATCGGCAATTATAACTAATGCATGTTTGAAGATTCTCCATGGTCCTATTCTATCTCTGCTACAACCAAATCTCTACAAACCTTGTTTCTCAAGCCGGGTCGATGCAGCTTGGTGGCTTTCCTAACGATGCCATCCAGGTCTTAAATCCCATTGCCTGCATCATAATCGGTCCCATCATCCAAAACGGTCTTTATCCTATTCTGTTAAGGCAGAATATAGACTTTGGTCCTATTGCACGTATTACTGCGGCTTTCTTTCTCATGGGAGCCTCGATGGCTTATGCTGCGGGAGTTCAGCAGCTTATCTATTCGCGCGGCCCATGCTATAACATGCCGTTGAATTGTCCTGCATCTGATGGAAGAATTCCGAATACAGTCAGCGTTTGGGTCCAGGCGCCGCAATACTTGATTCTAGCCGTGTCTGAGATTTTCGGCTTTGTGACGGTCTCTGAGTATGCGTACTCGAAAGCACCTACCAACATGAAAGCATTGGTCCAGGCCCTTACCCAGTTCACGGCATGTATTGCTTCAGCTGTGGGCATGGGAATCTCCCCGGCAGCCAAGGACCCACACATGGTTATCTTTTATGCAGTGTTGGCGGGTGCGACAGCCGCTGTATCGCTTCCTTTCTGGTGGGTCTTTGAACAGTATGATAGGATTGACGAACGCCTGAACCGGTTGGAGCAAGCGGAAGAGGAAGCCTCCGGAAATCCCTGAAATGTGCATACACCGGTAGTTGGACCGCAGGGATATTTTTCATGGCTCCGTTCATGATTACCTTAAGCTGCTCAGGGTGTGCCCAGGTCTACTTAAGAAATAAAAAGTGGCGACGGATAAGCATTGAAACAGACAGAGAAAGCCTCGTCTCATTTAATCCATGCGCCGTCGCTGGGCGGGCTCATTGCCGACTACGACGGATACCGCCCTCTTGTCTGGAGGTGTGGGAAATCGGAGAGCAACAGGGAGCAGAACGAAGGAACTTTGTTCTTGCGCTTCCGCCGGAGGCACCCATGGCAAGTAACTATCTGAGGCACGACAACAGCACTCGCAGAGCTATGTCCCTCTATCATTGAAGAGAAGGCCTTCATTCCCTGCCCAAGCAATATCATTCTGGAGAAGCCGTCTTTCTATCTGTGTATCAATATCTAGAGCTGTTTCACCACTATGTATTCATCCTGTCCTGTACTCTCTCGAACCGCATTTTAAAGTAGGCTATAGCAAGAACAAACAAAGCGAAATAGCAAGAAGATCTGCCATCAATCGGCAGATAATTTGAGGAATAGTATTACTTTAATTCCATCCTTCATGCAGTTTTCAAGGGCCCGCTAAGATCTCTCATTTTAATTAACCGTAGCTACAGTTGAATACCCTCCATAGGATATAGTCTAACTAACCCAAATTTACCGAGAGCTTTCGAGGCGTTAGGATCAAAACCTTGCCAATCAACTTTGCTTTAATATATCTGGATTGGATTTTTGAGGACTGATGGTTTCGCTGGTGTATTCTCGAGAGTGGGTAAATATTGTCACCGACGGGCTGGCTGGACCCAGAGGGGCTCCGGGCGGGTGAGATCCTCCCAAGTTTGTATGGCACTAGATATGGCGGGTTGGGTATCTCGTATACTCATCTACGGCACTTTCATTTCTTCACAGCCGAACGGCTCCACAGCCCTGCCACCGTCTCCTTGACCCGTCTCTCCTGCGCCCGGATCTGCTCCTCCGTCTGCCCGCGCGCGTTCCCACGACTATCGATCTCCATGTTCCCGTCGTGGCCACGACCAGGCCCCCCGCGGGGCGGCTCCTCCTCGATGATCTCGTTGCCGTTGACGCGCTCGGGCTTGGGGTCGACGCTCATCATGCCGTCCATCATCAGGCCGCCGCCCTCGCGCAGCTTGTTGATGGCCCGCACGGTGTCGATGGCCTTGTGCAGCGTGCGCCGCGCGTTGAAGTTCTTCTTGACCGTCGGCAGCAGGTCCTCGCCCGTGCCGGACTGGTCGGCCATCGCGTCGTACGGCGGGTTCACCCACAGGTGCTGCAGCGCCTCGTGCGCCGTCATCCGGGCATCCGGGTCCACGGTGAGACAGCGCTTGATGAAGTCGCGGGCGTTCTGCGACACGCCGCGCCAGTACTCGAGCGGCGTGAACGAGTAGTCCGCTGCAAGGATGGCCTGCATCTCTTCCAGGTTGGAGTCGCGGTCGAACGGCGTGTAGCCGCAGAGGAGGAAATAGGTGATGACACCGACGGCCCAGATGTCCCTTGGTAGATGTTAGCCACGGATGCTACCACTCCAACGTATGGAAATGAATAGAACAAACATACACTGGCTTTCCATGGCCGCTCTTCTTGAAGATCTCCGGCGCCATGTAGCCCGGCGTACCGCAGGTTGTCGTAAGAACGTGGAACTGCTCCTCGTCCATGATGCGGGACAGACCGAAGTCGGCGATCAACAGGTCGGCGTTATCCTCCGGCGTGCGAAACAGCAGATTCTCCGGCTTCAGGTCACGATGCACGATGCCGTGATCATGCAGGTAGGCGACGGCCGACAGGATGGCGCGAATGAGGTCGGCAGCGTCGGATTCGAAGTAGCTGCCTTTACGGCAGATGCGATCGAAGAGCTCTCCGCCCAGCGCGAGGTCAGTGACGAGGTATACTACGTGGGCAAGCAGCCATCGTCAGTATGTCTCTTCCTAAAGAAGTCGCCCCCCACCAAGCGAGCGAACGTACAGTTGTTCATCGTCTCGAAATAATCCACCAGGGTGAGAATGTTCTGATGACCCATCGAAACCCGCTTCAAGATCGCGATCTCATTCCGAACCTATTGTCATCACACCGACAACACCAAACCATCAGCCTCTATGCGCTCCAGTTGACGGATGCAAGTCCCGCCCAAAGCCTCCAGGAATCTTAAATACCATGTGCTCCCGCCCCGCCATCAGCCGCTTGTTGATAACCTTCGCGGCATAGTAATGGCCGGTATCGATGTGTACGCATTCCTTCACGACGGAATAGGAGCCCGCTCCTAATGTCTTTCCGGTCTTGTATCGGCAGGGTTGGACCTTCGGTCGCTGGGCGGCTTGCGCTTGTGACGCCATTTATCGGGTGGGCTGATGCCGATGAAATTCGGAACTGCGACAGAGAGTTCGGTGTTAGAAATATGAGAGTTTTTGGGGTTTCAAGGGGTTGCCACGAACGAGGTCTTAAGATAAGAATCTCACAGATTGGGACGAGGACGGTCGCTCGCAATGATGGTTGACGATAATACTTCGGGTCTCTGCGACGGGATGGCGGGGTTGTCGGGGTGGCTCTGAAAATGGATGTGTAGGTGGAAGGGAGAGGTAGGGTCAGAGCCAGGAGAGATGAAAATGCTGAAAAAGACGGAGCAAATGAGACCGCGACCGACCAAGGAACGAGGTGTCAAGAAGAAGCCAGAGGAGAGAGAGAGAGAAGACCGAAGAGAGGTGGGTTTGAACTTTGGGAACTCCGCGAGTTGATTGGAGGCCTCAGGCGCGGAGATTGTAGGTTGATCGATCACATTTACTCCCTCAGACTCTTCCTCGTATTTATATTATTGATCTCAGGGCAAGTAGTCAATGCTGTTATTTAATTATACTGGATATAGAGCGCCCCAAAACGCCCGGTAATCCGTCCTAACAATACCGATGCCAATAATAATCACGCCATGAGTTTACATACATACAAAAGCCACCTTCTACATGCGCCCAAGAACCTCTTCAACCACCCCCTGCAGTAACTTCAGCCCGTGGAACTTCGCCGCGCTTTCCAGTACTCGCAGTTTCTTTTCGATCTCCGCCCGGTCCATCGTGGCCACCCACGAGCCGCTGCACGAGCAGTGTTCCATGAAGTCGCTGACCTTCAGGCCCTTGCATTTCGAACACTTGAGATCCTGCGTGTGCCATGCAACGATCATGCCCTGAACCTGACCAATCAGGATCTCCTCCTGCGTTAGTCGATCGTATTCGGTCTGGCAGAAGGGACAGCGCCAGGGTTTCGTGGCCGCCTTGCTGGGGTCGGATCCGGGCTCTGGAAGGACGTCCTCGTCACGGCACAGGTCGAGATCGCGGATCAGACAGCAGGCACCGCAGGTGAGTTCGGGGAGCTTGAGGCTGGCGGCCGGGTTCTCGAATCGGCCTTCTTTGCTAAACTCGCGCACTTCGAAGAGGGCGAGAAGCTCGCGACGCAAAAGACGCGTTTCGAGGGTGGTCGTCTTGGACAGACTCAGAACCTGCATCAGTAGCTTCACCAGCTCCAACACGGGGTTGCGCTTCTCGTCGTTGGGATTTGACAGGACTCCGGGAAGCACGGGGAATGCGTAGTCGGATGCGAGTTCCGGATGAAGCATTTCTTCTCGTTGACGGCGGATGAGTCCCGAAATCTGTTTCTTCATCGGCTTCGAGAACTTTTCGGCCAGAACAGCCGAAATCTCCTCACTGTCCTCGTCGTTCGGGCGGGTAAGGGGGATCTGTGTCGGTCGAGGCGTGGACGAGTCGGCGTTTTCGGGGTGTTTGATGCCGTGCATCAAGTCAATGTATTCGACCACCCAATCATTGAAAATAGACTGCATGGGGCCTGGTAGGAAGCGGCTGAGCTGCCAGTGCATGACGGTTTCGAGGTCCTGCTCATCCGCTCCGGTGACCTCGCGACATCCCTTTCCACCGTAATTGTACTCATCATACCAGACGAGATAGTCCCAGTACTCTTTAATCTCCAGGTCGATGAAGTGGAAGGACGGGTTTGCCCGAATCGATTTGAGCACGTACTGACTGTACGCATACGCATTGCCCACCTCCGTTTTGGTCGTCTGGAGCAAAAGACGAGTTGAGCTGGCGAACACAATGTTCGAACCGACACGTCTGAACTCCACCATGAGTCGCTGGAAGGACTTGCGGGACAGCATTCGCACGTAGTGGTGCAGGGACCGATCGTAAAGACACGACATTGGACTTTCAACCCATCGGATCAGATGCTGCACCATGATGTCGGCCATAGTGTTTCCATCGCAGGCCTCGGTCCACCAATGCTTCACCATCTCCCGCAAGACAACGGCGCCGGCTGAAGCGAAGGCTTTTTCGGAATAGAGAACGCCTGCGCCATTGGTATCAGCAGGAGCATCGGAGCCAGCCAAAAGCGTATCGGCCCCCTCCATTTCGCTGATGATGGAGGAAGTCAAGATCGTGTTGATGGCCAGATTGCGAACTTCCAGTTCAATGCACACCGTGTCGTAAGCGCTTGGAGCATTGACGGATGGCATGGAGACCTTTTCTAACGGACCAGCAATGTCATCTTTCTCGTAGCCCGCATGATCAGGCCTGGGGCTTGGAGACCACCACAGAATAACATTGTTCTGCTGAAGTCGCCGAGCGTACGAGACGTCGATGAGATATCGGGGATCGTCACTTTCCAGATTGCAGAGAGGAACATCGCCATATCTGGCAAGTAAAGTCAAATGCTGGATCCAAGCAGAGAGATACAGGAAATGAGTGACCAGCCTCCGAGCGATGAAGGACTGCCAGCCCAGCGGTGGAAGATCCATATCTGACACTTCGGGCTTCACGGGAAGCACAGGATAGTCTCTCAGGATGGGGATATCATGGCACAGACGATTCCGCTGCTGCGACTGAATAACCAAGATGGATGGTTGAGTTTCATCGCTCTTGAGCTTTTTGACCAAATCGCCGACCTCTAGGTACGCCTTTCGTTTGGTCGTGACCTGGGTCGTCCTGAAGTGGATCTTGTCCGGGTACTCAAATGCACTCTGAGTCTGATCCCCCTCCATGTTCTGCTTCCTGCGCATCAAGAGCTCCGAGTAGATCTTGTCAACATTGGGCAGACCCTGAACATCTCTCGTCCGGTTCAGAATGACGATATGCGCCTCGCTCTTGGCGGTGGAAAAGAGAGCAAATATCTGTCTATCTCCAGAGGTCACATGGTACAGGTAATGATAAACCAAGGGCGTGTTCAGAAGATACGGCTGCTCGGAGGTGGTACGACACAGCGTCGAGAGGTCGAAGCCACGGTCTAATCCCTCTCCAAGGACACCACGCTGCTCCTCGTCGAAAGTGCAGACACTTCCAAGCTTCAGAACGGCGTGTACGCTTAAGGGGATACCCTTTTCGTAAACACCCTCCACACTGGGATGTTGCAGAAGCAGGTCAATCTTATCGGCCTCATGCAAAAAGGTCTCCTCGGATAGTGTCAATTTGAACAGATGGACAGAAGGGTGTCCATTTGGTAACGTGTGGTTGACCTTCTCGACCTCGCAATCCGGAACGTCGACATCCGGAAGCGAGTCTTGCTTCAAGTTGACGTAGATTTGCCGTGGGACCTTGACGGTCAGGGTATGGACTTTTCGGTCGATCAGGACGAAAGCTCGCACAATGCCAGGTCTGGATGTTTCCGCCAGTTGTAGCACTTGCCACGTGCTGATATAGAGCAATTCGGCTTGGTTTCTGAACAGATGACTCAAAGCATCTGTGCCAGTATTGGCCCGTTCTCCGAAGAGCTGGCGACGGCGAATACGGGCCTGCTTTTGGATCTTCCATTTCTGTTTCTGGTATTTCAAGAACCCAACATAATCATCCTCCATCGGTGGCATCTTTGCCGGGAGACTGGCGAAAGGATCGAGTGAGGTTTTTGTATGACCTTCGGGAAGTTTTCTCTTTTGCGAGACCTTGCTGTTCGGTGACGATTTGGTCTTTTGTGTCGAGTTTGCTATCGCCTCGTCCATATCACCCGGGTGCTGGACCCGGTGATCAAGGATATTTGTCGATATATCTGTCAGCGGGTTCTTTTCGGACTTTCCGAAGAGATCGGTCATCTTCGTCTGTTTGAACTTGTCATCCTTCTGGTTGATCCTGCGCTGGAGCCAGTCTGGGTGAGCCACTCTCGGAACAGGGTTGCGGATCTTTTGGAGCGCAGCCGGGATCGTAATGAGCTTCTGCACCACAGATCCCAGTCGTTCAAGGTAGTAGTCCCAGTCGATCACACTGCGAGGGTCCATGTCCCCAGGATCATCCTTCAACCACTTCCTCAAGAAAAAGCGCTTCACATTCTCCTCGGCTGAAAAGATGGTCACCGGTATAGCTCGTTCGGTGACAGGCGTGTTCCGAGGCCTCGAGGATATGATATACTTGCAGTTCAGACCCTTGTCCTTGACCATTTGCTCTCCCAGGAACTCCGCCAAACGTCGCGCGGTCGTGATGGAAGTGGACTTTTGGTTGCCGTATTCCTCCAGGGTTTTGGTCATACTTCTGTTCTCCGAGATCAGATCGATGAGTTCCTCGTCTGCCAGTGTCGATCCATGCTCGTAAAGTACATCCAGCCATCGGTCGGCTACTCGAGCGACGGCGCCGTATGTTTCCTCGAGTGTATTCCCTTCCAGGAAGAACTTGAAGATCTGGGTTTGGAAGATCTTGATCAGTTTTAACTCTCCTCGTCGCTTGACTTCGAACCCCTTCAATTCGGCAAGAGATCCATCATGATTGAACACGGCATAACGTTTCTTCAAGTTCTTGTCCTCCTCCTTAGAAGTGGGCAAGATCATTGCCTTGTAAGGCCCGTCGACTTCGAAGAAGATGGAGTTGTCGCTGTGTGTCTCGTAGCGGAAGGTCTTCGGGTCAACAAGAGTCTGATATTGGTGGTTGGTATAGCTGCCGTGGACGAGGTAGTTCAGCATGACACAGGGGTACGAGATCCCCAGTTTCTTTCCATTCTTGAGGGTGAAAGAAAAGTTCTCGGGGAAAGTGCCTGGAAGCATACACCAGATACCGTCTGTGTCAAGCTCCAGCGGCCGTCCGATACGTTCAACGAGCTCTCGGGCCATTTGGATAATCCGAGCACCTGTTAAACATGTCACACCGGCCATCTCTAAGGAGTACCATCGGGATCCCTTTCTCATGACGTAACCGTAGAAACTGTTCAGAATAACCTTGTGGGCAAGTTGGAGAGAGTCAAAGAGAATGATCATCTTCTTTGCTTCATCTACCTCGGAGGTGGGAGCACCAGATGATTTGAGAGAATCGGCCTTGCCCTTCCAAACCTTCTGCTTGCCTTTGAAATCGTATCGTCGGTCTCGAAAGTCGCGGACGGTGTCGACATAAAACGGGTTCTCACGTTGACAAATGATAGCCTCTCGCACCATTGTCTTGCTGTCGTGGATCTTGTGGTAGATCTTTTTGCTGTAATCCTGCAATCGTTTCTTCACTATAGCGGCTTGCTCCTCGACACCCATTTCGCTGAAGAGGCGCATAGGGCTGTTCTTGGTTTTGCCGGGGAAACGCTCGTTTGAAACTGCCTGTCGAATCATGTTGTACTCATCACGCTTAGCCGGCAGAAATTCACCTCGCCACGCCCACGGCATTCGTCTATCACAGGTTTTGCCCGGTCGATTGAAATCACAGGCGGCGCAATTCGACTCTTGGATCATGGAATCTGGTTGAAGTCGGTTTGTAACCATGATGTTGGGATACATGGAAGCAACATCCAAATGGTAAATGAACGGCACTTCGTCTCGGGTCGGCTTTTCTCTTAGGTTGATCAAGCGTTCTGCAATTTGGCCTTTCACCTCTTCATAGTTGACAATATCGTCCATCGACTTTTTCTCCTCAACCTCGATACTGAATTTCAAGGCTGCATCCAGGTCGCGAAGCAGTTCGTCGATAGCCGTAGGATCCACGTTGAAACTGACCGGGATATCGCTTCGGAACACACCAGCCTCAAGACTCTCGACGTGACCTCCCACGTAAGTCTCTGACTCGAGTAGATGACCTTCGTAGAAAGATTCTGGGCTGTTTTTGTGTTTGTTCGGTAGAATGATTTCGCCTTTGTAGGCTTGGACCATCAGAAGCATCTCACACAGGGTTCCGGTTCCTTTGCGTAGCGTGTCATCCGGGTTGAGAGGAATAATTGTGCAAAGCGAAAAGATGAACGGGTGGACGTATTTCATATACAGATAATAGGTGGCGACGGCATCGGAGACTGAGTATTCGGCCAGGGTCTGCGGGCGCTCACTTGCATACGGCGTCATCAATTCCGGGTCGAGCTCATCGGGATCATACCCAAGTTTAGCAACAGTGACAGCTTTCAAACCACGACTTCCCTGGGGAAGATAACTGTCACGGTTGACCCAGGCAAAACAGTCCATATGCACGCAGTGATCGCTCTGGTAGATGTCCTCGCTGTTTTTGCGAAAGCCGATTTCCGTGTACATGTCGATCCCCAACACGCTCGCTCTCGCTTCAACGAACGGCCAATCGAAAAAGTCACCGTTGTACGTCGCAATGACCGTCGGCTTGGCGATTTTGATGTGTTCAAAGAACCGCTCGAGAACACCGCGTTCATCAGGTTCATTAAAGATTATGAAGGGTCCGTTGTATTCCGGCTTCGGCGTGTACTCGAAATCATTGATGTCCTCGGATACGATCTCACGGTTGGTGATGAGAAACCCTTGTCCGTCGATCATGTAAGATATCATCATAATCTGGTCGATGACCGAGTCGGGGAACTTTAAAGGGAGTTTGGTTGTCTCAATATCGAAAGCAAGCACGACCGGATCAGCTCGTTGCAATCGCTCTTCTATGCAATTCAGTGAGATGACCCCATGCTTTGCCTCCACCGTGTACCATTTTCCTATTCGGATATCTAAACGCAGTCAGCCACGAACTATGCATCAATATGCGCATCACATACCTTTATCGATCGCCACTCGAACATGGTAAGGAACATCATATTCTCGAATATCAATTATAAAATCACTCGCTTGCGTATTTCCATTAGATCGTGCCTCATTAATTAGTTCGTCATCAAAGAGATCAAAGCCCACATTGGCGCTGGTATCGTTCAATTAGCCTCAATGTCAAAGAGGATGGAAAAAAGCCAAACTAACCTTGAGACCTCCACATAAGTATCCATCACATTCACGTTCTTCTTATTCTTCTCGGCCAAAGGTAGAAGCGTCTTCCGCACATCCAAAAGATGGCTCACATTCGAGAAGTTCAGCTGGAGAAAAGTTCGTCGGTGGCCCAGTAAATGGTTCGGCAAGTTGAGATCCTCCCTCTCGACTCTGGAGATTTTCTTGATCTCGCCTTCGAACATGCGGCGACACCATTCCTCCACCTCCATTTCATGTCCCTTCTTGACCGCGATGAGGAAATAAGGATCGTACTCGACCGTCGCCTTGAAACTTCCTCCATCGTCCTCCAGGAAGTAGTAGTCCACACCCGCACGTCCTCCGGGGATATTCGAGTCTTCTATCGAGGTGCTGTGCATGTTGATGAGCCATCCGACTCGTTTTTCGCCGGCCTCGAAGCGCGGGAAGCCCAAGGTCTCGTCGATGCTGTTCGCCAGGCGGATGGCCTCGAATTTCTCATCCTGCGAGGTGGCTTCCGTCGACCGGAGCGAGGAGAATTCGACAGTTTTGGTTCGTTTCGGATTGAAGGACGCAGCACCGGACCGGAACTTGCTCCCATACTTGCTAGGTTTTCGGACAGGCATTGCGACGACACGCCCAGCGGCCGGGGGCTAGAGATCACTGCAAGATGGCAGGAAGGGCCTGGTTCAGCATGAGACGCGGGGAATTTGTATTATTACAGAGCAGCGCTGAGCATAACTGGTGATTCTCGGGGCTGTCTGGTGTCAATGAACGGGGAATGGCAAATTGGCGACCAATGTAGTGCCGTTCAATGCATACTCAACGCCTGCTGAGAAACCCAAGGTTTGAGCGCCATTCTCGGGTGTCGCCGACGCGTTCGCGTTTCCACTATACGCGTACCCCGATTGGGACTAGTCGACGGTATCGGAAAAACCACCCGATCCTGGAAAACTGTCAGGCGTCGCCGGATCATACGATTATCCGGTCTTTGCTTGTTTCCCGCAAAGAGTCTGCCGAAGAAGGCGAGGAAAGCATTCGTCGATTGGACCAGAATCAGGACATTCTACGCCATGGCGGAAGATACGCGGGACTCGACAACCTCCGGACCCAGTCCGACCCAGAACGGAGAACCCACCAACGTCGAAGACCCTTCGCAACGCCCCAAGCCGAAATATGAGGCCAAATCGCAAGTCGGCAAGCTATGGGATGCATTCGGGAACCCCGAGGAGCCCGTGAATATGCTTCCCGGGCCAGGTTCGAAGGGCGGGAAAGACGTTACGGTCACCGATGCCATGAAGTCCATGTCTCTGAAGGAGGCTACGTCGTTCTATAAAGCGCCATGCGCCCGCGATTCGTTGCTATTGGGAATTGGAGCCGGATTCGGCATTGGTGGGGTGAGGGGAGTGTTAGGAGGTAAGGAAACTCCCGATACAGTGCATTCAACATCACAAGCGCTCGGTCATTAACTCTGGCATTTAATTTAGGAATGCGCGCCATGTGGACAGCTTGTAATTGGGCTGTCGGGGCATTTGCTCTCACTTCCCTCGCGGCCCACGAGTTCTGCCAGCGCCGCCGGGTGCAGGAATTGGATGGAATGAAACAAGCGGTGGATCTGATGAAGCAATTGAAGGAGAAGAAGCAACGAGAGAAGGAGCAGAAGATCGAGCAGGCCGCACGGTTGGCCGAGGAGGAAAAGCAACGGAAGAGCTGGACTAACCCCTCGAACTACAAGTTCTGGTAGTACCTTTTGCGCATCGCATGGAGTCATGGAGTTTTGCCGGGGTCTCATTATATCTGTCGCATGGCATGTAAAGTACATATCTCTATTTGGATGGACTCCAGTCTGATTAAACTTGTATAACAATCGTCATCGCGTCATCATGCTCGCATGTCAATATCAATAACGCCGCTTTCTACACAATGCCAACTCCGTTCAATCGTATATTTCCCCGGGCGAACATGGTCAGAATGCAAGAGGAACAGAACACATTAGTAGATGATAATGCAAAAGAAAGAAAATGAGACACCCCAGCCGCAAAATAATGAGAAGATTTCAGACGTCAAACTTGACTTTCTTCTGGATAGCACCCTTCTGAATCGTGCGGATTTTGTCCAGTTCGACCCCCTCTCGTTTCTCCCTTCGCCTTTCTCGGGCCTCCCGGGACTCGCGACTCCTCCAATCGGTGATTTGTTTCTGTCTTTTTTGTGACCTGTTCCAAGCCATCGACGCCGTCGGCTTGAACCCAAGGCCGTTGATCCCGTATCCATCATCGCTGGGATCGGTCGGATCATGACCGGTGATCTCCGAATCATGCCATGTGAGAGGGTTTTCGGGCGGAGTGTGAGGGGGCGGGGGCGATCGTCTTTGACTGCGCGGTCTCGCAGCTGCCAGCGGGTTTCGTTTCTTGCGAGGGCTCGCGGAAGCGGATTTCTTCGGCGATATGTCCGGTACGGCAGGATTTGCGTTCAGGGTATGTCCATCGTGATGCAAGTCACGATCACGCTCGACTGTCGCCGCAGAAGGCCCACTGGTCCAATCTTGACTGGCTGGGGCAGGATTCGACGCCGCCATCCCATGATAGTCGGGACTGGTCCAAGATGTGTGCAGGGGCTGGGCCATTGGCGCTTGGTCGAATCGGCCATTCGTAAATTGCGGTGTGGATAGAGGATCCGCCCGTATAGCCAATTCCCCTAGGCGACCAGCGACAGCGGCTCGGGGACTATATCTCCCCAGATCCTCTTCCTCTCGGAGCCGGGCTTCGGGAAGGCTGTGAATGGAAACATTTGATGGGGAGGAAGCACTGTAGATGTCGGAATCTTCGGATGGTGTTCTTTGACGTTGAGAGCTGAATGTCATCGGCGCGCTCGTGGGCATCATCGTTGCGCGGGGCGAAAACTGAACGTTGGGGGCATGGCATGGATCAAATTTGCTGGGGGGTAGATAACTTCAATAATTCGAAAGGATTTCAGCGTTTACCCTCGAATAATGAAGAGGTCATTATGACTGAGGAATTGCAGAGTCCATTGCGGAAAGCGTGAAGGGGTAGGTTGTTGAGGGGAACCGTTCGGGTGCTTACAGTAGGTCTCCGCCTAGACTGGCTCTACGAAGTACCTTCGTAGCGTAGGTAGTTGTTACTACTACATTATAGAATACTGGGTGACTCTACGGCGTATGCATCTTGAAGCGAAAGCCTAATATATCTCAAAAATATAGCAAGTAAAATGAAATAAAAGAAAAAGCTATAATTTTTAGCACGATACAGGCCTTAATCGAATAATTTACAAATACCCAGCCCGTCAGGTCGTGAAAATGGAAATCAGAACATAGATAGTATCAAATCAAATCAAAATCAGCCCTACAACGCCGCGACAATATTATGTCCTTTAGACCTTCGACTTCTTCTTTTTCTTCTTCTCGGAGGAGTCCTCGACATCATCGGATGATTTCCGCTTCTTATCCTTTTTGTCAGAGTCGTCGCCAGCCTCGGACTTTCTCTTCTTCTTCTTCTCACTCTTCTCACTCTTCTCGTCCTTAGACTTCTTTTCTTTCTTGTCCTTCTTCTCCTTCTTCTCTGGCTTCGCGTCGGCATCCTCCATCTCCTCGTCGCTCTGGTCGGCGTCGACGTCAATATCGGCCAGAAGAGCATCCATGGCATCCTTCTGTGGGGGGGTTAGCATTGAACCGTAGGTAAATTGGGGGGTGTGGGAGGAGGAAATTAAAACATACCATGGCGACTTCGTTCTTGGTGGGAGCAGCACCAGTGGCGTAGAACTCCAGACGCTCCTCGACCTGCTTCTTCAAGACCTCACCGAACTTGGTCGTAGGCTGCTCGGAGAAGTTGTCCAGTCTCGAGGCGATGGAGCACTTGTTGGCCAAGAAACGAGAGATACGGCCCTTGTTCTTGGGACCGGCGCGGCCAATGAACGAAGAGTGGTACAGCAGTCCGTACTTGGGCGTGTTACCCTTGGTCTTCAGGGCACGGAAAAGGGCCTTCTCGGCACCGAGAATCTGCACGGTGGAGGCCGGGTACTTGGACAGGTTGGTCAAGCTGCCGGCATGCGAGATCAGACGAGCACCGACGATCTCTCCAATCAAGGCGGCCAGGTTAGGCGCAACGACGCTCATCTTGGAGATCAGGTAGCTGTGCAGAGATTTGCGGTAGTTGGACAGGCTGACGACTCGCTGGGCGAAAGAAATGACGTTCTCCATGTCGGTCTCGGAGATCTCCTGGCCCATACTGTGCTTGGCAGCGTCGATGATGCTCTGGGCAACACCCTCGTCATCCTCCACCAGGGCGGCGATGTCGTGCAGTTTGTCGTCGTCCAGTTCCTTCTTGTCCTTGACGAGCAGGGCAATTTGCGCGTAGCGCTGGTTGTCCGAGACGATCTTGATCAGTTCGGGGAAGTGCCACGAGTACCATTCGCGGACTCTCATGGAGAAGGTGTTGATGGCCTTGTCGAGCGAATCGAGGATAGCGATGGCCTGGATGATGTGGTTGTCGTCACGCTGAACGGAGAACTTGACCTTGGCACGGGAGTAGGCGTGACCCAGACCAAGCTGGGCGGTGTTCAGATCACCCTCGCGAAGCTGCTTCAGAAGTTTGTGGGAGTGGAGTCTGACTCCACGGAGCATATCCTGGACGACTTCGCTGGTGTCACCGGTTTCACAGTCGACGAAAGAGAAGGCCGACTTGATGCTTCCGGCCAAGGCCTTGTCGGTAACACCCAGAACAACCTTCTTCTTCTTGCTGGGCTTGGGCAGGTTCAATTCCAGGAAGTTGATGAGCGTGTCCGAGGCAACACCTTCGGAGATGTCGTTGATTTCACTCAGGGCCTGCTTGTTGTTTCTGGGGACATGGTCAGTCGCGGCGCACAATCGAGACACCCGGGTCCAGAGGGATTGAAAACGTACTCAAACGGCAGAAAACTGGCCAGATCGACCATCTTTCCAAACTTGGCCAAGTCATCGACACCCTCCTGGACTTCCTTGAGGGAATTGCCCACGCTGTCGGCCTGGTGGGTGACCTTGAAAAGCGAGTAGCCGACAGGGCCCTCGAACAGCAGGAAGTCAGCCATTGCGAAATTGGATTTCAGGCCGAAAAGAAAAAATTCAAATAGATCAGCCGCCAAGTAGACGCAGTCGAGCCGTTCTACTTTTTCAAAATCCCGAAGTCTGCGTGGATGACTTGCCGTGGATCGACGGGGGGACGTGGAAAAAAAAGGCTGGAGGCAGAATTCGAGCGTCGAGCCGTCGGAGCTCTTTTTTTTCTTTCGCGGCGGCGCTAGTGCGAACAGACCGAATGTGGGCGTTTTGCCAAAACTCGCCCTCACCGCCCTCGCCGGCAAACACCACCAGTTTTGGTCCGCCGCGGGCCTCTTCTGTCGCTCGACAGCGCCGGCAAGCCTATTCTGCTCGACGGTTTCTCTTTTTTTCCATTCGGGTTTTTGCTGGATCTTGTTCATCAGAGCTGCACAAATGTCTGCGACGCAGTTACTCAATCCCAAGGCCGAGTCGAGGGTATGCCATCCATTACCCCCCCAGAAATAGCCCCTCAGTGATTCCACGCAGACTAACCAGCACACAGCGGAGAGCGGAGGCCTTGAAGGTGAACATCAGCGCCGGTGAGGGTCTTCAAGATGTTTTGAAGTCCAACCTGGGTCCCTCGGGGACGTTGAAGATGTACGTTTTTCGGCTGTCACCTGGCTATACTACTCATCGCTGACAAAATTTAGGCTGGTCGACGGTGCAGGCGGAGTATGAACGGTCCTTGAGAAATTCGAAAGTCCAAGATCTAACCGATTGATACAGATCAAACTGACCAAGGATGGAAACGTGCTGTTGCGGGAGATGGTAAGTGACCCGATTCCCCGCTGGAACGACCTCAATGGGCAATTACTGACTTCGTCTGCAGCAAATCCAAAACCCGACTGCCGTAAGCTATCTTCCATTCGATACACCGTCTTACGTTCATAACTGACATGGCAAAGGTCATGATTGCCCGGGCTGCGACCGCACAGGACGACATCACCGGTGATGGAACGACATCCGTGGTCTTGATGGTGGGAGAGCTCTTGAAGCAGGCCGACAGACACATTTCCGAGGGTGTGCACCCTCGAGTGATCACTGATGGCTACGAGATCGCCAAGAACGAGGCTCTGAAGGTAGGCACGGGTCTGGGTCAAGGAATAACGGTCACCGTGCAACAGCTAACTCGAGGTTGGCATATAGTTCCTTAACCAATTCAAGATCGAGCGGGCCATCGACCGTGAACTGCTGCTTTCCGTTGCCCGTACCTCTCTCAGCACCAAGCTCAACAGTGCGCTTGCCGAGAAGCTCACCCCCGATATCGTTGACGCCGTACTCGCCATTCACAGAGCCCCTGAGAAGCCGGATCTGCACATGGTCGAGATCATGACCATGCAACATCGGACGTCGTCTGACACGCAGCTGATCCGCGGTCTGGCTCTGGACCACGGCGCGAGACACCCGGATATGCCCAAGAGAGTGGAGAACGCTTTCATCCTGACGCTCAATGTCAGCTTGGAGTACGAAAAGTCGGAGATCAACTCTGGCTTCTACTACTCCAGCGCCGAGCAGAGAGACAAGCTGGTGGAAAGTGAGCGCAAGTTCGTGGATGCCAAGTTGCAGAAGATCGTGGAGCTGAAGAAGGAGGTTTGCGGCAACGACCCGAAGAAGAGCTTCGTCGTCATCAACCAGAAGGGTATTGATCCTCTGAGCTTGGATGTCCTCACCAAGAACGGCATCCTCGCTCTCCGGAGAGCCAAGCGGAGGAACATGGAGCGTCTCCAGTTGATCTGCGGTGGTGTTGCCCAGAACAGTGTGGACGACATGACGCCCGACGTTCTTGGCTGGGCTGGTCTGGTCTACGAGCACCAGCTTGGAGAGGAGAAGTACACTTTCGTCGAGGAAGTCAAGGATCCCAAGTCAGTTACCATCCTGATCAAGGGTCCCAACCAGCACACCATCGCACAGGTCAAGGATGCTGTCCGCGACGGTCTGCGGTCCGTCTACAACTCCATCGTCGATGGCTGCGTGATCCCCGGTGCCGGTGCCTTCCAGGTTGCTTGTGCCGCCCACCTAACAGACAAGGTCAGCAAGACCGTCAAGGGCAAGGCTAAGTGGGGTGTTGGCGCCTTTGCGGATGCCTTGCTTATCATCCCCAAGACCCTTGCGGCCAACTCGGGCCACGACATTCAGGACTCCTTGGCGGCTCTGCAAGACGAGCGAACCGCCGGCAACACCGTTGGTCTGGATCTGAACACGGGTGAGCCGATGGATCCCGTGCAGGAGGGTGTCTTCGATTCTTTCCGTGTGCTGCGTAACCTGATCGCCTCGAGCACGGGTATCGCCTCCAACCTGCTCCTATGTGATGAACTTCTGAAGGCCCGCCAGATGGGCAAGCAGGGCGGACCCGGCGGCATGGAGGAGTAATGCATTCGTTACGTATAGACCGCGGTGTAAAGAATTTGGGAGAGGGTTTGAATTCGGATATGAGGTTTAAAAATAGTCTTACGTTTTAAAATGTACGCCATAACTGCAGATAGTCAAGCCTGCGGGCATTGGCCAATGCTAATTTTCCCTGACTGAACACCGTCAACGCGACCTGGTGGGTAGGAGAGATGAACACGGAATATATATTTATACATTGCCCGTATCTGGGTCGTTTATTAGGATATTTTAAGCAGACTGCTCTATAGATACAAAACCTCATGCCGTGAGATACTCATCATCCTTTTCCACCTCTTTTTCGTCCTGTTCATCCTGCTCCCCTTCTCCTTCCTCGTCAGAAGTCAGACTAACCTCTTTAATGCCTTTGGGCGCCCACTCTCCAACAAATCCATCGTCTTTAATGGGGTCGTCCAAGGTAGTTTTGTGAGCCTTTGCCCATTCTAGTATTTTTGATTTCCGTATGATGACCGGCTCGCTCTCATCGGGGCCGTCGGTCGACGTACGGGGCATCTTGCGTTTCTTGGATGGTGTCGCCGTCTCAACGGCCCCCATTCCTTTCAGTGCCGTGATCACATCCTCCGTCAGCATTCCCGTCGCCAGTCCGATATCCTGAACCGTCATAATCTCATGGGGTGGTCGCTTCCGAGTCCCCTTGGGAGTTTTCTGTTTTTGCTGCGGTGAATCCTGAGCGTCTCCGGACTGAGCGTCCCGCAGGAGTATATATCTCGCGATCCGTTCCTCCCAGAAGCGACTGTAGCTGCGACTGCCCATTTCACTCAGTGGCTTCTCCGGACCGCCAATCAAGCCGGGGTCGTGTTCCCAGCCGCTGAGCTTGTAACTGACGCCCATCAACAGCTTCCCGAGCTGCTTGTGCTGGTAGGGCGGAAAGACCAGTATGCAGGCCAGATTGTTGGCGTCCCAGGAGAGCTTCTCCTTCGAAAAGAAGCCCAGGACATGGTAGCTCGAATCTTCGGGGTTGGTGTAGACGAGAAGGTAGTAAAGGAAGGAGAAGACGTCGAAGAACACGGATTTATGATCGAGGAACAACTTGGCAAAGAGCGACAGGTTCTGCGCATACAACTTGTTGTATTCCCCGTCGACCTCCCAGACCGAGTAGCCGCCGTGGTCGTAGACTTTGGAGCCGGGGGGCGTCGTGCGGTGGAGGCAGGCCCGCGTGTGGTTCGCGTAGGCGTCAGCGTCGCACGAGTAGCGGAAGCACCAGCGACACACGTAGAGCCGGTCCGTGTCTTTGCTGACCAGATCCTCCGGGTAGATGGACTGGTACCAGGTCTGGAAGAGCAGGTCGCCTAGCACGACATGCTTGACGTTTCGGGTGACGGCGGGTGATTTCGCGTGGGACAGAGGGTTTTTCGGAGCCATTGAGCACCTGCTCAGAATGGGGACGGGGGGCAGAGAATCCAGGGAGATCCTGCTAGCAAGCTTCTGGTGTGGAGGTAGTTTCTCCGAGGGTAGGCCATTGGCATCGAGGATAGTATATGTAGTAGGAGGTATGTGTTGCGAGGGCGTGTCGCGTCAAGGATTAACGAGAGAAAGCTGAATAGGATCAGAAATCTGGCCAGTTCCTAGAGGTCAGTGAATGAAAAGTGAATGGATCGTATTGTATATACTATAATGGCGATTGGGAAAGAAGAAACGGCGACCTAGAAGAATAATCCAACCAGAGTCCTTCCCCAAAGGCCGCGGAAGAAGAAACACCTGAAAACTCAGGACTTCCACCAACGCCGTGACCTGCTGACTCAGCTACAGGCTACCAATCAGAGGAGCCTGAGGCCTCGTTGTCAAAAACTGGTTGCCTGAATTATGTGGCCACCGCCGTCACCGACGGGAGCCCCTCCCGGTCTGCCTGTGTCTCGTCGCTTACTATTGGCGCGAACGGAACGGAGTACGACGACTGCGAGTTGCCATCCGCTCCCAGGCAACAGTCAATACAATCTCCTTATTACCTATCCCTCCGTCCTCACGTTGGATCCTGCTGAGACGAGAGGCTCTATTCCATCTCCTCCGTCTACTGAGAATACCATAGTTCTGTTTTTCTTCTCCCTCGATAGTTTCTTTCCGTTGTTTCTTGGTTCAAACTATTTGCCTCGTCTACTTGTCGACCGGTCCAGAACTGCGCCTTGGTTTTCGGGCCTTTTCTCCACCGAAAACCGTCAAGATGTTGAAGTCATTTCAAATCAACGATCTTCATGGATCGCCGTCCTCTTCGTCGGAGAATATCGAAGGGACAAGCAGTGATGCTCTCCAAGACACTTTGTCCACTCGACGCCGTCGGGGAATCGTCGCGGTCTCTGAAGCGCAGTATAACGACATAGCTACTTATCATCCCCGCGCTCGGCTGACCTACCTTGATGACGATGATGGTGAACTTATCACGGTTAGTAGTATAATACTCAGGTTGTGTTTTCGTTTCTGATAGCGATCTTTAGGTTGGATCATCGCTCGAGCTTTCGCAACGTCTAGATGAACCGGTCCCCGCCTCAGCCCAACAATACTCACTCCCGCCACCCTCAGACCTCGAGCCGATGCATGTATTCGATATCCGGCGCTCAAATTCAATCATCGAGCTGTGGAAACAGTACGAAAACAACCCACACGGAGAGAGTGCCCCAGCTGCAAACCATATCAGTGCGGTATCGCCAAACAGCGAACCGTCTCTTCCCAGTGTCGAGAATGTCGGAGAGAAGACTCAAGGCGATAATGAAGCAGCTGGTCCTGCCGTGAGCCATGAGGCTGAACCCCTCATGGCTGCATTTGAAGCCGAAATGGCCAAGATTCTCAGCTCTCCCGAGACGGTGAATGAGAGCCCTGCTCAACAAGACACCGTTGTCCCTCCGACAGAGGAACAGACTAGGACGCCAGCCGAAAGGCTTCAAATCCCCACCGACAGTTTCGTCAATGCTGTGCAGAATTTGGTCCATGGCGCCGAAACGCTGAGCTCTGGGGTTAGATCCAGACTGCCAGAGATCGAGCGACAGCTCCAAAATGCTCACAGAGCTCTTCCTCCATGCCCGGTCGGATCTTCTATGCAAGTGGCGCTCACGGCCTTGGATGGTCAAGTGAGGAACTTGGTCAGTGCAATCAATAACGCTTCGACTGCGGGGGGACAAAATCCAGCAAACATGTTTTCGAGAGAGCTACCGACCGCCGCAAATACGGTCGAGAGTCTACGGAGCATGGCATCTGAACTTGGCCACATGGGTCATACTTTATTCGAGGCATTCGAAACCGAGCTTGGATGCAACTCTCAAGAATCTCAAAATCAAGCGCCGTCTGCCGTGCCCGATACGTCTACCACTGATGCTGCAGGCCCAGCACATGCGGATGATAATAATGCCCGCACGGAGACTGCAGCCAGCACCGCCAGTGCCAACCCCACATCAGCACCTGCAGCTGCGAACTTGGAAAGCGAGAAGGGAACGACGAGTTCGGACAAGGCGGAGATTTCGCCGGAGCCGGCACATTCGCAAGACCTGGCAGACGCAGAGCCTGTTTCTCAACCTCTGGCTCATACTGATCGTAACCCAGTCCCTGATATACGATCGGATCATCCATCTTTCCCACCACATCCACCACACCATCTACCACCTCATCCGCCGCACCATCCTCCGCACCATCCTCCTCACCATCCGCCTCATCATCATCTACCGCATCATCTACCGCATCATCCTCCACCGCCCCCTCCTTTCGCTCACCTCCATTCTCAATTTCCTTTTTTCCCTCCTCCTTCACGCCCTCCTTTTGCTCCTCCTTTCGCTGTCCATCCCGGAAACGGCGGCGAGACTCGGGCCGGTCACTCCCACTCCACGCCCTCTTTTCTTGCTCCGGCTCCGTTCCCGCATCGACACCCCGGGACATGGCCTCTCGCTTTTGGTGAGTGGCCTGGTGGCGCCGGCGCTCGTAGAGCCCCTGGTTACGAAGAAAGACCGAATCCCTCGTCGCCCGATCAATCTGCAAAGACGGCCTTGTTCATCGGCAACGTCGGGTACAACGTCAATGAAAAAATGATCCGCGATGTTTTTGCTGCAAAGGGATTTCTGGTTGATGTGCTCCTCCCGTTGGACTCGGTGACACGCAAGCATGCAGGCTTTGGTTATTTGCATTTCCATTCGGTCCATGCAGCAAAGGCAGCACTGGATGCCTTGCAGGGATCCCTGATTGACGGTCATTCCATCAATCTCGAGTTCAGCGATCCGTCGCCAATCACGGCACTGAACACACCCAACGCGCCTCAGCAATCGTCTGCTTCCCGCCATGCGTCAGGTCCCTCGGAGCTTCAGGCCCCTCGAGGAATGGAGCAGGCCTCAGCTGAGCGGCGGCGTTCTGCGAAAAGCGGCAAATCATTGCCCCTTAGTGTGGCAGATATGTGCTCTGTGAACGGCAGCGCCCGGAATGAGTCCTCTAGCACGAAGGACTCGGACAGCTCGGAGCGACTCAACGCGCTTTATCCCTCGCTTGTGCCCGAGAGCCCCTTGAAACGCTCTAGTACGAACGCTGGTACCTTGACGACTCCCGCGGCTCTAATCCAACCAATGGAATGGGAGTCTCGTTTCCCTCCTGTCTCCCAACTCGATGCCCATTTCTTCGCCGAGCAACGTCGAGAGGGAGATCCGTCTTCCAACTCGACGCCTCGAGCCGAGCCGACTGCTAAACAGGGACCTGTTGGTCGGTCTGTGTCTCCCAACGTGCCCGGCGCTTTCCCGGAAGCTCGGAGGCCATCTGTGACGGCACCTGCTCCACCAGCAAAGTCTTGCGCGCCTCAGCAAACAAGCAATCACAACACAAGCGCCGAAATTCCTCACTCGCGCCGTTCGAATACTATGAGGGCGTCTCACCCATCTCGGAGACACTCTGGCCCCCGGAAGTCTATTTATGAGGGACCATGCTCCGATCGATCGTTGAGACGGCGAGCTACCGAGCGATCTTCGCTTCGGTCGGGCTGGTCCTCGCATCCCAACACTGGCAACATCCAGCCATCGAGTGGGCGCACTGCCCCAAGAGAGACCTCTCGATTCGATGCTAGACAGCGCAGTATTGCGGACTGCGTTTCCACCTTGGCCAACTTAGGATACGGAAGCTCCGAAGAAGGTGGTCTGCAGCGCATTGGCGTATATGCAGCCGCCGCGGATGGAAAGGTCTCTGATGCGATCGATATGATTGAGGAGGAGCGTAAGGCGTATGCGCAGCGACGTTAATAGTCATAGTTTTCATGCTCGGAAATCTTGGGCGTTGAACTTTTTTTCTTTTCTTTTTTTTTTTTTTTTTTTTGGGCGTTGGTACCTGGTGGTTTTTGCTAGCGATGACGGTGCTTTTTGCGTGGACTACTCCTGAATTAACTAATTAATTGCTATCCTTCTTAACTCTCATCATGTTCACGTAGAGTACTGAATACTGATATGGATCTGCTGAATCATCGGAGCGGCCCGCGCGTCATCTTGGAATTCGACCTTCACGGACCCGCGATCCCAGAACCACAATTCACCTCCAGCACCACCCAAGAGCTCGGTGCCGCTCTTCTTTGTCAAAAGAGATGCAGACATGGCGAAGGGCCTTTGCAACGTCTGCTACCAGACTTAACCGCCAGCCTCTGGGTAGTGCGGGACCCTCGCTTCTACGATGCGCGCAGGTGCTTCAGAAGGGCAGCAATGGATCCTCCAGCCTTGAGGACCAGGAGATCAAATTGAACGGTTTTGTCCGCTCCGTTCGCAAGCAGAAACGCTTTGCTTTTGCGCAAATATCCGACGGATCGACCGTCGAACCCGTGCAGGCGTTCTTGAAACCAGCCCAGGCGGCCGAGTACGTCGAGTCACCTTCCAACCCATACCAATTCGACGTCTCCGAGGCCTAATGGATGAGATTTTCCTTAGTTTGACTACAGGGACCACTGTCGAGATATCGGGGATTTGGAAAGCCTGCCCGCCTGGCAAGGAACAGAGTCATGAGCTGCAAACCACGGCCGTGAATGTCGTCGGCGAGGCAGACCCCGAGGTAACACCGCCCATTTTACTACAGCGCGTCTTCAAAAGGTACACGCCGCTAACGATAACTGATACATCAGACATATCCGATTCAGAAGAAATACCATAGCCCCGAGTTCCTTCGTCAGGTCCCTCACCTCCGTCTCCGAACCCCGTTCAATTCCCTCCTGTCGCGTTTCCGCTCCGAATGCCTCTTCCATCTCGGAAATACCTTTCGCGACGCCCCGAATGGCGGTTTTGTCCAGGTTCACCCGCCGTTGATCACCTCATCTGACTGCGAAGGTGCCGGAGAGACCTTCACGGTCGTGCCGCGAGAGGCAACGACGACGCAATCCGACGGCGAGCATTTCTTTCGGGCCCCGAAATACCTTACAGTGTCGTCGCAGCTGCATCTGGAGTCCTACGCGGCGGAGTTAGGCAACGTCTGGACCATGTCGCCCATGTTCCGGGCGGAGAAGAGCGACACGCCGCGCCACCTCAGCGAGTTCTACATGCTGGAGGCGGAGATGAACTTCATGTCGGACCTTGGCTCGCTGACCGATTCCGTGGAGCACATCCTGCGCGACCTGACGCGGCGGTTGTACGACAGCCCCGTGGGCCAGGAGATCCTCTCGGCGAAGCGATCCGGCGAGCCTAGCCAGGAGAAGACGGACGAATCCAGCCCGGACCTCCGACAGCGATGGCAGGATATGATGGACGGGCCCAAATGGGCCCGGATAACCTACACGCAGGCGATTGAGCAACTCCAAAACGCCGTCGCTCAGGGAACCGCCTCCTTCGAGCACGCTCCCACCTGGACCGACGGCCTCCAGCTCGAGCACGAGAAGTTTATCGTCGACGAGATCCACGGCGGCCGTCCCGTCTTCGTCACCGACTACCCCAAGGCCGTGAAGCCCTTCTACATGGCCCCGTCGGACCCCCACGCCCAGAACAACACCCCCGACGAAACCGTCGCCTGCTTCGATCTCCTCCTCCCGGAGGTCAGCGAGGTTGCCGGCGGCTCTCTCCGCGAGCATCGCCTCCCCAACCTCATCCAGAACATGCGCCAGCACGGGCTCATCAAGACCAGTGCCCCGGAGCAACCGGCGGCGGAAGCGGCCGGCAGCGACAAGGCGCCAGCCGACAAGCCACTCTACCCGTACCTTCAGCCCGGCGAGGACCTCGCCCATCTAGAATGGTACGCCGACCTGCGACGGTGGGGCACGGCGCCTCACGGCGGCTTCGGAATGGGGTTTGATCGCTTCCTGAGCTATTTGGCTGGCGTCTCGAGTGTTCGGGATGTGGTGGCGTTTCCGCGATATTTCGGACGCGCGGACTGTTAGAAAATGTACAGATAGATGTATTATATTGATATGGGAGTGTATTTTAGACCATTTATTTCCTTCAGCCAGGCATTTATGAGTCCTTGTAAAATCTATATATTTTCGATCTCAATCGGTATATACCAGCACCAACACCAGCACCAACACGAACTACACGCAAAAAGAACAATACTATCTAGTTAGACTTCTAGCTCCTTGCTCCTAACACTAGTAAACAGACCCCTCTCCAAACCAACCCCTACAATAGAACCCAACCATCACAATGAAATCACTCCCCTCCCCTCACCACACCCAAATCCCGATCTATACAACTAGAATACTAAACCCAAGGAACCCACCCCATCAAACCAGCGACGAAAATAAGCTTACCACCTCAAACAACGAAGTCACGACACCCTCGACAGGCAGGACAACCGGCACGGAGCGCTTGTCCGGATGGCACCCAGTCAGTCAGTCAGGCGCGGGCAAGCTCAGACTCTCGATCAGTATAGTTAAGCCAAGGCACCGTCGGCAAGTATATTCGGGGATCGGATCGGGGTTTGGATAGCCTTTGGCTTTGGGTCTGGATTTGCTTCGGTCGACGCCCGGTGTGGCTGGGACTGTGTTTGGGTCATCACAAGCTTGACCGGGGGGCTTCGTTCGGGGTTTGCTCTGGCTATGACATATTTCTTCCTCGGCTTGGGCTAGCTAGCTAGATGAGTTAAGGTAGGTAGGTAGGTAGGTTAGGTAGCTCATGAAAAGCCGGACCTGACCCTGACGCTGGCCCTGGCTCTGGGCCTGCAGGCGTGGACGTGGCTCGGGATAAGATATTTGGTGGGATTTGAGAGCGGACCTTGGTTGTGAGCCCGTTCTGCCCTGCCCTATTGGGGATATTCAGCTTGTTTGCAGGGGTGGTTTTTCTGGGTGATGGTGCGGATTGGACAGGGGTGATATACGAGGGAGGTGTGTTGGATGTTGGGTTCGAGGCGTAGATGGCTGCGCTGGTGGTGTGCGATGGAATGGTAGGTTATGATCTGACGAGGAGTTAGTTTTGACGTGAGTGTGTAGGACTGTGCCACGATGGGATGCATGATATGTACTTGCTTGTGCTTGTGGTTTGTGTTTACTGGGGTAGGGAGGGAGGGAAGGTTATAAGGTGTGTAGATTAGGATTATGGTCTAGACGGAGGATAGATGGAATAGGAAATCACCTTCCCTTACTGAACCCAACTTTATCTGACATCGACGAGTAGAGCCGAGCGATGACGAAGGGTTCATTTCAGAAACAGAGTTCCCGGGGTCTGGGGATTTCCCATGGATTAGGTGCTGTACCTTGGGAGGCAGGTAATGGCTTTTACTAGTGTATGAGTTTATGCTAATTCGAGGGTGGACCGAGGGACGGTGGTGACCGGGTGGTAATTCGGAGTGATGGAAGTAATGATTCAGGATTAAACGTTAATAAAAGAAAAGAGCTCCACGTGGCAGTGGCTGTTAACGCGAAGGCTAAAATGACTGGAGGCCAAGGTTGGAGACACTTGGCGTGTCTTGGGTTGAAGAGGAATAGGCAGAAGTGTTCTTTTATGCTTTCGTTCATACATGTCATTCATCCATCGGCTCGTTTAGGCCACTGTTGGGACCAACAGCTGTGGATCTCCAAGAAACCTATCCATATCCTCGGTGCGTAGGCCAATGACCACATCCACTCCACTCGCAGTCCAAGACCGACTCTTGGATGACGCCCCGCGCGCAGAGGGAGGCGCCTCTTTGATCAGAGCGAGCCCGTCCATGGCGGAAAGTATCCCGTCGGCGTAGCGGACTCCGCCTCCCAGGCCAAGATCAATCTCGTAGAGTCCGGCGCGCGCCCAGGGCGTGACCATGAAATGGCGTCGGCCCAGGAATCCTTGCCAGATGCGCTGTGGGGATTTCTCATATGCCAGGCTGTGCAGGTGCGCCGCCACCGCGTCGGGGCGGCTCACCTGACCGATGGTTTCGCGAATGCGCTGGGCGATGCGCCGCAGCGAGCCTGGTTCGCTCGTACTGGCCGTCGCCTCGTGTCCCGTCATCTCGATGTTCATCATGCCGGTGGGGGATCCTATGAAATGTTCGCCGAGTTGGAGAACGGGCCGCTGCCCATACGTGAGATCGCAGTGGACTGGCCCGGGATCTTGGTCCAACTGCCGGGCGCGATTGACGCAGGACCAGATATGCGCCAGGACCGCGTCGTGCCGGCTGATTCTCCCGGCTGATGTTGCGGAGGTGTCAGGTGTTTCTGCATTGGCTTCCTGCCAAAGAACCTCCACTTGGTCGGAGGTCAGATGCACTTCGTAGACCGAGGCGGGCTCTTGGAGGTTCCATTCGAACCATGGGATCGGCTTGCCCGCAGGAGTCAAATCCTCGTTCTGAAATGCCTCCGGGATGCGTGGACGTTGGTCGCAGTTGGGCGTTTGTGTCCACCAGTCGTATCGGTGAAATGGCAAGCTATGCGCCTGTTGGATGATGGCCTGATCGGCAGTCGGGGCGTTGATATCCCCGGCTGCCGAAGAGTCCAGCATGTCGGGTTGAAAGTGCGGCTGCAACGAGGGCAGTTCCGAACCCGAAAACAGGGACCGGCTGACACTCGCCAGATCCTTAACGAAATGCATCAAGGAGTGCGCATCGGCCAGCGGATGCGCGCTCTTGACAGAAAGAACAAACCCGCCGCATGCCAGCGTGGTCAGCTGGACGGCCATCGCCGGCGGCAGAACACCGGCCTCATCGGCAACGATAGGCTTCTGTAATTTCTGGAGCGGCGTTTGAGAGACGAACTCTGCGAGGGGAGCCTTCGAGCGATCCCACAAAGGCTGAGAGGTGGTTCGAGAGGCGGGGCAGAGCGTTTCCAGAGTAGCGTCGCTGCTTGCGACGACAAAGTCAATGCCGGGATCCCGAGGCGTCCCATACGACACATGCACTCGGCCAAATCGTCGAGCATGTGGCGGCAGTTGCTCGTCTTCCGATGATGCCGTGCTGGTGACGGTGTTGACAATCCTCAAGAGGCCAGCCCATTGCGGATATGCGTCTAGCGTGATTCGCAGCGACTGGCGCAAATGTTCGGAGAGGTTGAATTGATCGGACTGACTTTGCCCGGGGTAGTCGAAGAGCCAGACGGCGCAGGCATCCAGGAAGTCCACCGACGTTGCATCCAGCAAAGACAGAGGCGTGAGTCGCTCGGTGGCGAGCTTCCTTTGCGGCAGCAGCCTTTCCGACTGGGTGATCGTCGTCCGGAACAATGCCATTGTCGACGTTCTGATTGCGACAGGAGTGACAACTTTCGTTCAAGACATAATGCCTCTCTACTTGCCTCGCTCCTTTTTATCTTGACTGGCATGATGCCTTGCGTAGCATGAGATTGCGCTATCATCGTTTTCTGCGGCGGTTGGCCACTCTACAATGTCACGATGAGCCACGATGAACCACGATGAACCACGATGAACCACGATGAACCACGATGAACCACGATGAACCACGATGAACCACGATGAACCACGATGAACCACGATGAACCACGATGAACCACGATGAACCACGATGAACCACGATGAACCACGATGAACCACGATGAACCACGATGAACCACGGTGAGCCACTATGAATCATTGCCACTTGGCGCTGGCTAGCGCAGCCAAGTCAAGTTGAGCCACGAAGGATTGGTCGCAGGATGAAGGCATGCGAAGGATCGCCATTGCAGATAAGAGATGATGGTCGCCACCCCAACTGATAGGCACCGCATGTTTCTCACGGGGACCTGCGATGGCGTCAGAAATGCAAAGGCAGTCATCATGCGGAAGACGACCGAAGCACCCGTGAGACATTCGGCAGAATCTCCATGCTTCTTTTCTTCTTGTTCCAGCAATTCCTTGATTCCCATTCCTTATTCCTTCATGTCGGTCGGCCTTCTCCAGGGGCCAAAAAGTCTCGCCCCATCTCGAAAGAACGCCTAGCCACAATGCAACTCTGGAGCTCGGCTGCGTCTGCGAGGGCAAAACACGAAAATAATAATAATAAAACCAAAAAAGTGGACAAGAAGAATTCTATTACGAGTTACACCATCGACGGAGTACTCCGTCCATTGCACAGTATAGGCAGGTGCAGAACTTGGAGAGGTGGTACCTGGTGGATCCCCCCGAATATACTCCAGGACTCCTACGGACTTTGGAGGTCTGATGGCTGCCTTCGATAAGCGTTTCTGGAACGTCGCCTGCTCGCTCGAGTCCCATGGAAAGGTTCGCGATAGTGTCCGGAGCAGCGAGGATGATTGGATCCCCGGCTGACGGCGGAAGGTTGCGCCCATGGCCATGCGACGAGCCATCGCTGGCCAGAAGTGGGAAGGCTGGAAAAGCAGGAACACAAGACCCGACCATTCGCACCCGGTCCAACTCTGACTGGCTCCATCGGATACTTTAATCCCTCCAAGCTGCGGTCTGGGCGGAGCCTCGCTACGACGACTTGCCCCAATTGGGGGGAGACGAGGGCGCCGCGATCCACTTCGTTTGGGACGGTCGGAAAAGCGAGATGTCCGACTTTTTTGTCTTACTCCATTTTCATTTGCCATCATCCGGACGGGGGTTCGTGACTGGCCGACACAGGCGACATGGGCTTACGCCTGATGGAGTTGCGTTGCGATCGGACGCTGAAAGGAGGCATGTCCACGATGCTCGAGCATTTCGCCCCGACCACGAGTCTCGTCTCTGGACCGACCAAAGGGACTGCGGGGGAAAGATGCCAAGTTGCCAACCTTACTGGCGTTAAGCATATTCTCTCGGCCTTTTCCCGGCGTTGGTTGGCAGTGACACTGCCCAGCGTTGGCCCAAGGGATTAGCTCGTATTAGCAGTTGCTCGTGTCGGGACGGAGCGCTCGGCGGGCGTCCAGAACTGGAATTAGAGGAATTAGAGGAATTAGAGGAATTAGAGGAATTAGAGGAATTAGAGGAATTAGAGGAATTAGAGGAATTAGAGGAATTAGAGGAATTAGAGGAATTAGAGGAATTAGAGGAATTAGAGGAATTAGAGGAATTAGAGGAATTAGAGGAATTAGAGGAATTAGAGGAATTAGAGGAATTAGAGGAATTAGAGGAATTAGAGGAATTAGAGGAATTAGAGGAATTAGAGGAATTAGAGGAATTAGAGGAATTAGAGGAATTAGAGGAATTAGAGGAATTAGAGGAATTAGAGGAATTAGAGGAATTAGAGGAATTAGAGGAATTAGAGGAATTAGAGGAATTAGAGGAATTAGAGGAATTAGAGGAATTAGAGGAATTAGAGGAATTAGAGGAATTAGAGGAATTAGAGGAATTAGAGGAATTAGAGGAATTAGAGGAATTAGAGGAATTAGAGGAATTAGAGGAATTAGAGGAATTAGAGGAATTAGAGGAATTAGAGGAATTAGAGGAATTAGAGGAATTAGAGGAATTAGAGGAATTAGAGGAATTAGAGGAATTAGAGGAATTAGAGGAATTAGAGGAATTAGAGGAATTAGAGGAATTAGAGGAATTAGAGGAATTAGAGGAATTAGAGGAATTAGAGGAATTAGAGGAATTAGAGGAATTAGAGGAATTAGAGGAATTACACGAATTACAGGAATTCAAGGGAATTAAAGAACACCTGGTCGTTCGCTCGCTTTTACCTAATCGGCCCGTCAGATCCGTGGAACGTATCAGCCTGTTGATGGATTTCAGATTTCCATTATGGATTCGGTCCTCGGGGGTAACAGGCTTCTTCCTTTTGACTCCTCCGCAGCACTCCGTACTAATATTTCTGTCTGGCCTACTCCGTACTCTAGATGAGACGATACCTACCATGTAATGTACTCCGTCTCGATGTGCATCCGACCAGCGGAGCCTCGGAAATACAGAAACCAGGAGGCAAGACTGGACCACTTGGGCTAAGCCTTGGCTATCGGCTTGTCGAGGGTCCAGTCGGAAAACTCGTGTCACCTCGTCTGTTCGGGCTGGCGACTGGTCGGTGGGGATTCACTTGGCTCTGCAGCGCTTTGACGCTTGGCTTGGATCAGGGATACGCATCCTTGGGGTGGTTAGTTGTTACCTTGTTACTGGTGAGTGACTAACTGGTGGCATTTCCGCCACGATGAATGGTTCTCTCGCATGGGCTGCACCTTTTCCCTCTAGGTCGGTTTTATTTGATTTTATTTTATTCATTTTAATTTTAATTTTACGGGGAGCATTCCATAAAAGCACAAACTAAAAAACTACCTCGGACTTCAACTGCAACTATCGGACTAGTATGTATGTATGTACTACGCCGTAACTAGGACTATGTTTACAGTCAGTCAGTCAGCTGGATAAGCCCACCCCTCCCCCCTCCTTCTGCGTACCTTAACCTAAACGACCGGACTATGATCGATCATTATGCAATGGACGGTTGATCCTGTCCAGCATTGCCTCCGTTGGGTAGTTGATCTGCGGGCGACAAGGGAACCTCACGGCGGCCGGGTGGATATCCCACCATATTTAGGGGAGTATCGCCGAGGGGTAAGGAGTGTCGGTACGAGAGTCGCTCGGACTAGTTGTGCGTGCAATCCACTATTCTTTTATATGGACAGTAGTACAGGCCACTTAGGGGTATTGCTACGTACTGCGTAGTATCGTTAATCATTAATCATAATCCTGATTCTTGCACTCCGTACGCCGGGGTTATTGATAGCTTGGGAAATAGTACGGAGTTAGTAGGCGGATGTGGTAACCAGCGCTCGGAAATAACCAGGATTGACCTGACTATTTTAGTTTCACGATGGAATAAAATAAAACCGTCAACAAAGGACTGGGGAAATAGAAATAAAATAAAATAAATAATAGCAAATTTCTTATAAGAAAAAAAAAATGGAATGCAAAAATACCTCCATTCCGCGCATTCCTCTCGCCTCTAAATTCGACCTTGCCTTACCTTAACCCAATTATGCTAGTGGAGATAGACCGTGCAACGTTTCACAGAAGGGCTCCCCCTTGGCAACCTTGATTCCAATCAAGGGTTGCATCGGCATGCAACCCATACCAAGCAGATCGTCTGGAAGGGACCGAACATACCATGCTGTGTCTGAGATTGCATCACCGAACCCCTCGTGCGACCTGACCTGATGGGAATGGGAAGCAAGGAGAGGTGGTTTTAGTAGGGGGGTGAGGGGGATGATGGAATACCGCAGAAAAGAAAAGCCAGAACCTGGATTTCCAAGAATCCGATATGTCATTTGGGGAGGGTGTTCATCTCCTGGCGATACGGAGGTAGGAGGGCTCCGGGTGGAATGTGATCTGGAGTACTCCTCCGTCATGTGTATGGCGACCACAAACCTGGCCATGGATTTGATCTGATTTGATATCGCTAGTTACTGCGCACATACATACGATGCACTCCTACCGCGACATCGCGCATGTAGACTCTTAATAGCGTCGGGTTCGGGGATTTTGGCGTCTGAGTCATGAATGGGCGTGTTATTGGCTGGCGGAGATTAGGAATCGCTTCCAGTGCCACCAGTCAGTCATACAGGTAACATGGGACATTATATTAAGCTGGATTATCGTATATTATCAGACGCTGCTATTAGGGGAAAGAGACGCGACGGCACCGCGAATAGAAAATAGACGTTTCCCCTCGTTAAAAATTAAAACCATACCTAGGGACAAAGAAAAAAAAAAGAAAAATCACCGTTGGTCAGGATCCAGTCACCATACCACAAACCAAAGCTTGACCCCCGAGATGGCTGGGAGAGTTCTGCAGGGATGACTCTACCATGGGACAAACATCTAATCGACGATCCACAATCCACGATGGAGGGGAAGGGGGGGATCATAAACTGTAAAACATGATAAAATAAAAAAGGAAACGAAAAAAAAAGAAAAGAAACTTTCCCCCCGAACCAAGATTCGCTCGATACATCAATCGTATACTCTAGAAAGGGTCTCAAAAACAAGACCGCCCTCGGGCTTTGCAGTCGTACAGACAATCTAGTGGATTGTGATATCATTCGAAGGGGGTACCTTGCTTGACATCATGTCCTACGCTTCCGATTTATATCTGAGTTGTCAGCCCCCCCTTCTGCAGGTGAGATATGCACAGAGGCCGCCATATCCGCCGGATGAATGGGCGGACCAAAAAAACTCAAGGTCTGGGAAGTCATCATTGCAGGAACTCTGTAACTATATTCAATATCCATACATAGAATCTTCCCCCTCGCACGCAACCAGCATGGACGCTGCGGAACCGGAGTACAGCACGGAGTCGGCTGGTCCGGACAAGGCGCACTGGCTAGCACCTGTCAGGTTGACGATTAATCTTGATTTTTTGGGGGCGAAGCTATCTGATTTGAGGAGATCCGAGATGCATAGGGTAGGTAGTCCGGAGTCTGGGGGTTGCTCTGTGCCCTCCGGAGTCGAAGACAGACTTACGGTAGTTCTGGCCACCGAACGGGTAATACCTGAAGATCAACTTATTGGCAGGAATGAAAGAAGATAAAAAATACAATGAAGCCGCATATACTCCGGAAAGTAAATGCAGCGCAAATACCAGATTCTTCCCGGTTGCCTTCGCCGTAATCCATGACTCAAGCCTGAATGCGTCTCATCCGTCTGCCTGCTGTCTGAGTTTCCGAACGCCTTAAATTCTTAAATCTGAATTTTTTTTGTCCCCTTCCCAGTTCCCCCTCTCGAAGTGAGACATCAGCTGCAAACTGTCCTGTACTCCTGACTCCCCCAACCCGCCAAATTGCTTGGCCTAAACAATTTACGCATCTCCAAGTGGGCCGGCCAAGAAGCCAAGACGACCGGCCAGGATTCGACGGACTTTGTTGGCGATACGCTTATCCTGAGCGCTAGTCTAGTACGATGGTATCGGTTTTACGGCGGCTTTTCGCAGTAGCCTGGACGGCAGCGTCGGAAGGCCCATTTTCCATCGACTTAATCATTCGGAGTACGGAGTGGTTATATTCAGAATAAATTGTTCCTGGTCATGTGCAGTCCTCGCCAACAGGGCTGTGTCTTAGTTTCAAGGTACCAACGCTTGGTCGCATGCCTGTCCAGGATTTACTCCTTCAGTACTAAGTACGCAGTGAGGCATCCAAACTGACACACTTCCACCTATGTTCAGAAAGTAACCAGAATACTAATCACCACTGCGCCTCCCACAATGGACACAAAGGACCTACGAAGGCAAAAGAGAACACACAAATCAATAATCAACAAACTAGACCGACGGCCAAAGCTCAATCCTGCGACTGCGCCCGCCAACTTTATCTGCGACGCAGATCAACGTGACTGGACAATAAACTCCGGGCGATGGATTCGAGAGGGGCTGCTGATCGGACAAGGGAGGGAATGGAGGCGCTTTCTATTCTGTCCGCGACCATTCCATTACCAATCGCCAGCCCGGTGAGTTTGTGAATCGACCCATGTATTCTGGCATGCTGTGATCGATCAGTTTAACCTCGGTCGCTGGGGTATGGAAAGTGATAGTCAATAATTAATAGTAATGCTCGCCGGCCTTGCGGGGTTTGCAACGGTAACTATCATTGCCATCTCCGTATCTCCTTCTGGACAGCATCAGGATCTAGTGTGAATGGCAGAGTAAGATCCGGTAGTATGTCACGGTTTGTGCGGACTGGGTAAGACGTCGCGCGGAGACTGCCTTGTGCTTACAAGCAAGACTCAGACCCCTACTCGTAATCAACCTTGGTGCGATGTAGATTAACAGTCCCTTCCTGTAAGTAATGGGCGATAAGATTCGTCAAGCTTTCCGGGTCCTCGTCAAACCGGCCCTACGGCGGTCGTTACGGAGAATATTCAACGTACGCACATCCGTAGAATGTAGGGCGATGTTCGTATCCGGCAAGGGAGGGAGGAGAAACAGGCATGCAGGCAGGCAAGGTAAAACACAAACCCCGAAGTAAATACCTACTACTACAGAGTAAATTCGAAAACAGAGCACCCTCGACATGTTTGTATTCGCGCCTCTCTCAGGCGGGGCTCCCAATAACTCCTCGGTACGGCGTAGTTTCTACTCCATCGTCGCTGGGCCTTGGCACTGGGGCGCTTTTGGATTTTCTCCCTGATCATCCGCATCGCCATCTGTCATTGCCTAATGGAGTAGTTGGCCAGTGGGTTCAGGGCATCCCTGTTTCATGCGAAGGAATGGGGTTTCAGATTCGGAGGGTGTGGGAGGGAGGCAAATTCAAATTCCACCTCGGACCTTCCTGCTGTCGTATTACCTGTGCGTAGTCGTAAAGCGCGACAAATAAGGCTGATCGGGGGGTGGTTCTGGAATGCGACGACGCGTTGCGTATTACTCCTTGGGAGTTCCTGGGTCGGATACTACCTTACCTCGACCTTCCCTACGGAGTATGGGTGCATACTGTATACTCCCCACTACATAAACGAAGCTATAGTTCAGACAGAGTTACCGTTGGAGGGACCATTGGAGTAACTATGTCCATTGTGGAGGGAAGGTTAATGCGCAGAATTATGTATGTATAACTATGCCCCGTTTGGGCACTAGACGCTCGTACCCGTATTCTCAGCCATCCACTCGTGGTCTGAGAATACGAGACCCGTCGCCACAGTGGCTGTTCAGTTGTCACCTGCTGGGATCTGGATCTTGGTTGAGTCAGCGGAGGGATGGACTTCGGAAGGAAATTAAATTAAGATTAAGTGGTATCAGCATTTAGCATACGGAGTAGGGGAAAAGAAAAAAAAAAGAAAGAAAGAAAGAGAAAAAAAAAAGAAGAGGAACAGCTCAGAAGCACGAAAGTCAAAACTGACCGACCGACCGAATGGCTTGGTCGCCAATGGGCCAGAGTCAGACCGAGCTAAGTAGGTCCATGCAACTGACTTAGACTAGACGGCAAAACGGCAAATCAATGTCGTCAGCCTTGGCTCGAAAGGGTCACTTTCGGGCGGAACCGCTGCACAACCTGGGGCGAGTTTAACCCTATTTTATTCATAAGCGTACGACCCGTTACAGATCATTGGGTTTGGGGGGGAAAGGAGTCACCCTGAAATCTAGTGCATAATTCACCCACGATGATTCAGCAGCTCGGACTTCGGACCCGGGAAAAAATCAAGGGAACCTAAATTTTTCCTCTGGTGGTCCGAAGGCCGAGGAATCATCCAGAGAGGAAAATGGGAGAAGGAAAAAAAAAAACATTATCAGTAGGATCAAGTGGGCCCCCCTTGAGGGGCCTTGTCCTCTAAGCGAGCTTAAGGTTCCTCGTGTTGGATTAAGCTTAAGCTTCAGAAAGTCGCGCACTAATCGCTTTTTGGCTGGAATCAAGCGATCAGAGCGCCACCGGTATCTTTCTAGTGTATTACCGTAATGTGGATGGGTTTTTTGGTTTTTCTTTTTCTTTTTCTTTTTTCTTTTTCTGATTTGGTTTTCTTTTTTTTCTTTTTTTCCCTTCCATTTTTAACCTAATTCACTCACTTACTCCATACAGAGGAATTCGGATTTTATTGTTCCCACTCTGGCCAAGGCTACATTGCATTTTGCATCGACTTGCCAAGGTCCGATGGACCATTTCTTGTCCAGAACCCGGGGATTATCCCGTGCGGCGCCTGCTATGAGGGAGTGGTATGTAATGTAGCCCTGTGGTGGTAAGCACTACCCAACGATGTGGGCGGATGGAGGAATCCTTTGACCTTATTCAGAAGAAGGATACCGCCCAGCCGGGCTAAAATCATACATAATAAACTGCGCCGTAATGGAAGGCATAATCCAGAGAATCCAACATACTAATCATCGTGGGCGAGTCAGGAGAATAATCGTGACCTACCCTGTCTACCGCCACAGCCACTATCTCCATTCTTTCTCTTCTTACGGATTACACCTCCATACCCTGGCAACCCTCCATCTTCAGCATCTCAACAAGCTTAGTTTAGGATGCCCCCACCACCCAACTTACTTTCTTTTTTGGACTTGGATCGACTTGCTTCTTCGGCCAGGGATCATCCCATCCTCGGTGTCTGATACGGTGATACTGATTATTTCAGGGTGAACGGGTCAGATGTCGCCTACAAACGGATACGACCCAATCACCCCCCCAGCCCCGGAACCATGGATGAGCGACAACGAAAAAGAAAAGGTTAAATTCAAGGTTCTATCTGGTCTGATTAATTGTGCCATGCCCAGACGCCTCCAGAGCGACCAGGCGAGTTCCATTTGCCGCACAATTTCTTGGGGTTTATCCACTCGTCGGGTTCTCGGCGCCAGCGCCTTTCGTTTCGAGGCCCAAGCAGTGCGCGCGTAACGATCGTTCTCGTTCTTACGATTATAATTCCTGGTCCTCCTGGGTCATTAGAGTATATATGGTAGGAGTGATTCTGTTGAGTCCTGATTCATGTGGCCGGGTGTTTTCCACGGGCAACTGATACAGCCACAGGTATAAAAAATCCCAATGTAAGAAATAAAAAATAAGGTAATAATGAAAAAGAAAAAAGAAAATAAAAATAAAAATAAAAAGTGAAATAAAAAAAAAGGAAAAAGAAAAAGGACCAGAAGGCCAAGACAAAGTTAAATAAAAAAGAACACGCACAGCCAATCCAATCACAATGAGCCAGAATCCACCCCGACGAATAATGCTCAATAAGAATTAGATAATAATCCAGATTGGGATGGAGAAGGCAGGAAATAAAACAAAAACGACCCTGTGGGGTCCAGATTGCGTTCCCCACTCCATCTGTCTTTGCTTGATGCTTTAATTCCTCCCTTTGTCTCGTTTCTTCTCCCCATTATTATTATTTATTATTTTCGATTATTATTAGTACCTTAGTAGTATTACTATTTCGTTATTATTACTACTCCCCGGTCTACTATTTCCTGGCCTACTCCTACTCCGTACGACTTACCTACCTACAACTATCTACCTTGCCTTACCTTCTTCCTTCTTCCAACTCCCCTCGAAACGATCCATCCTTCGCCTTCACCTTCATCCCTCCCCCCTTTGGGTAACAGCTGGTAAGTTCCTTGAATTCATGCCCTGTCATGCCGCATGCAACCCCCCTTTTAGCCTGTCGTCCGCACTTCCCTGACTCGGTCCGCCTGCATTCTTCGTTTTATTCTCCTATCGGCCATCCCCACTCCCTGCTTTCCCTTCCTTGCTGCCTGGATTTCTTCACATTCCAATCCCCCTCCTTCACTCACCTGCCCTGCTTTGAAGTTCCTATGCTGGGCATGAAACATTAACGTCGCCGTAGTTCTTCAGAGCCCTCATTCCCAATCCTGAGCACTTTCTTCCGGCTCGGACTGCACTCTGCTGTCTCTTAGCCGCCTACATTTCCATTTTGGGAAATATACCACGCTTCCACCGTTGGGACTCTCAGCCTCACTGACTAAAAGCTCCCTCCCGCAACCACAAGGCACCAACGAAACAAGGTAGAGCAGGGAGAAGATTGCTTCGTCACCTTCTCCTGCTCCATTTCAATCAACATCTCTCACCTCACGAAACCGCCCCCCCTTAGCGCTCAAACCCACCATTTCTACGGGCTCTTATTCCGATCATCGCAGGTGGATGGAGACGTATCACGGTCATGTCCGCACTCCTGCGGACGCTATCATCCTCTTTGAGGCTTGTCGCATCGGCCTCCTCCCCCGTGTCCAGCGACGACTGTCCGAAAAGGAACGCCAGATGATCCGTTCCGGCTCGGTCTTTGTATGGGATGAACGAGAAGCGGGGATGCGCCGTTGGACGGACGGAAAATCCTGGAGCGCAAGTCGAGTGTCGGGCAGTTTCCTCACTTACCGCGAGATGGAGGGCAAGCGTGGAGGCACCAGCGTCTCGTCGTCAACAACCATCCCGAGAGCTGGCAAGACTCCCGAAAGCACGCGAGGCAGCGATGACGACCGGGCGGACGGGCCTGACGAGGGCCCCGATGGGTATCGGTACAAGCCCGACGGACTCATGAAGCAATCCTTTAGTATCACAACATCGACGGGACAACATCTGCACCTGATCAGCTACTACTCCAGATCGCATCCTGCCGCAGCCAACCTCCAACAACCGTCGTCGGATCCGAACTTGCGCCACGTTCGTCCGCAAAAGGGCCTGTACCCCGAATCGACGGTGAATGATCAGCAGAATCTCCCGGTCGTGACTCGCGGGCCCATGCAGGGAGCCGCCTATCCGGTACCGCCCCATCCCATGGGAGCGTATGTGCGCCCAGGAGCCACCCACCCTCAGTCCTATACTCCCACATACGCATGGCCTCCTACGCCGTTGGCTACTCCGCCCTCCGCGCCAATGCACTATCCGTCGTATCTCCCTCCAGTTCCCGCCACCAATGGCCAGGTCGCCGCCGCCTATGGTCATCACCCTCAACAAGCGCACCCGGGTCTGCCGCCGCCGCCGCCACAGCAACAACATGGGTTGCCGACACCTTACGAGCGAGCAGTACACCCGGCGGAAGCGATGCCTCCGTCCGTCCCCCACACAGGAGTGCAGCATGCCCCCATCCCTGTGATCGCTGGCCGGTCACCGCGACTGGTTACGGAGGCGCATGAGCTTCACCCGCGCAGCCCTCCGGAGTATGGGCCGAGCCCTGCTGATCTCCGACGGGCGTCGCCGCGCACCCATGCCCATTCCATCCCGCACACCAATGGCTTAGCTGCTATAGCTCGGAGTCCGCACCTGGTGGGCCAGGCTCCTCCCCCTCCTCCCCCGAGCGCAGCGGCCAAGCTCCATGAGCCGAGTCATTCCGGTACGACGGTACCCAGCATTGGATCCTTGATGAACGGTGGCCCGCCGCGTGGTTCTCTGCCATCCATCGCGCCGCCTCCCGCTGCGAACGGGCGCGCCGAAGGGCCACGAGACATTCCCAGCGACAAGATCGGGTTTGGCGGAGAAGATATGCGTGCTCTCCGACAACTCGACCGAGTGTTCACTGCATAAAGCAGATTTTCTCCACCTATGCATATTTTGCCTTGACATATCTTTTATCTTTTTTCTTTTTCACCACCACTCAACCCACTCTTTTCAATTTGAAATTGAAATTTGGCCTTTTTATTTGATTAGCTCTTCTGCATAAACGACTTAGTCCTGTCTTTCTTCGGAGGGCTCGACTTGATGGAATGTTTGCTCATGATGGATATTTGTTTGACTTTTCTGTTTATTTCTTCATTTTCTGACTTCTCAGGGATCGGCGTTGTACAAGAGGTGCATAACTCGAGTTAAAGCATGGGTGGGGCCATCGTTCTATGTTATCATATTCTTCTTTTTTGATTGTCAAATACCGGACGACGGAGAATGGATTTCGTTCGTTGCATTGATGTTGATATCAGACCATGCATTTGGAGGACTTGCTTGGGTGCTTCGTTCCAGTTGTCTTGGTTGATTCGAGTGGCTGGTGCAGTACAGATACAGATACCAATTGATTCATTGATGTTGATTGACTGCAATTGTCTCCTACGTAAGAGTTATTCCAAATTAGATGGTTTTGATGCTAGTATACCCAAAGCCAATCCTCAGGCATTCTTCCCTCCCTTTTTATTTGGTCAGCTGACGCCCTGGGCTGCATGAGACCTTTTCGACAAACTCTTTCCCTTTTCCATTCTCATCCTTCAGAGACACTCATGATATATTCATCCGCCATCGCTATCTTGACTTTAGTGCCCCACATAAATTGATTGAACCAGATGAACTAGAAATATTTGAAAGGAAGAGTCCTAAACCTGTCCCCAGACAAACAATACATTCTCCACAAGAAATCCTCAGGGCTACAGGGCATGGCCCTGTACGCTACCGTGTCTTTCAAAACAACAATCCTCGATATCCACTCTGACAAGGACCCTAGCTAATGTGTATGAGATTACACAGGGATTGACGAGAAATCTGTTTCAAAATACTCTCATTCACAAGTCTCATGCACGTTATCTCATACATAACAGCCCATTCCCCAATCAAGGAAGAACATAGCCCCCATCAATCAGCACGTCACTCCCCGTCATATAAGACGACGCCTCACTAGCCAGATACAGATACAGCCCCTTAATCTCCTTAACATGGCCCTGCCTCCCCAGCGGCGCCATGCGGTACGCCTCGTGCACAGACTCGGGGCCAGCCCCCATCTTAGTGTCGAAGAAGCCCGGCGAGACGATATTCACGCGGGCAAACTCGCGCCACTCGCGCGCCAGCGACTTGCCGAATTGCGTGACGAACGCCTTGGTGCCGTTGTAGACCGGCTGGTCCACGGGCACGTTGACGATGTGGGCGCTCATACTCGACGTGATGATCAGGTTGCCTGTGCCTTGGCGCTTGAAGACTTCGCCGGCATATTTGGCAGCTAGGACGACGCCGTCGACTGGAGGATATTTTAGTATGAGTTAGCTTGGGTTGCGGGGATGGGAAGAGCTTACCATTCACGGCCATCTGCTTCCGGTACTCCTCCAGGGTTGTATCCAGGATTGGTTTTGAAATGGCCATTCCTGTTGACGTTAGCTGATGTGATGCCATGGCAGACAGTGAATGTTCAAGACTGCATACCTGCATTGGCGACGAAGACATCGATCTTTCCGAAATCATGAACAACATCGGCGATGGCCTTCCGAACGGCTTCCCCGTCCGATACTATCCTACCGTTAGCTCTTATTCAATTAAACAGGACAATGCAAGCCGTGCAACTCACCGTCAATCTTATACGCGCGCGTTTTAACTCCATGCGTCGATGCTAATGTCTCTGCCTTCTGAACGGCGACGTCATTTCTTTCAGGTCAGTCAGCAGCCGGTCTAGCTGATAGGTAGTATATCTGTATAACTCACGAATTATACCACATCGCCACGTTCCCTCCCGCCTCAGCCATGGCTTCGCAAACTGCATAGCCCAGCCCGTCCGCGGACCCCGTCACAACGACCACTTTTCCGGCCATCTTGAATTGCTCCAGCACGTTGGACGGCGTGTCGGGGAATGGCCGCGGGAAGCCATCCCGCGGCTGGTTGCTCTCAAATATGCTCATGGACATCTTGACACTTTCAAACCAAAATTACAGTGATTGAAGGATCGATCGTGGATGAAATGACTAGAATAAAGGGAATGGAAGATGAGGGGGCACTATGAGATCGGCTAGTGATGGTCCGATTGAACCCCACGGGGAGGGGCAACGCCTCGGGGCGTTGTATTCCGATCCCCTCTGTCGATCTATATTCTAGAGGATTTCTATCGACCAGAAGAGGGGTGTTCTACACTAGTCTGGCTCGCGGGAGGGCCTGCTATGAACATCGACGATACCCAGGCGAATGAATATACTGCGTCAAGCTCTCATTTTTTTCAACCTATCTCGTCCGATATCCCATCGCATGGTGCATATCCATATGCATACCCAGTTCATGCCAACTGCATGTCAAGTTCATACATTACATCAAGTCATACCCCACTGCCTAGTCCAAGTGGTTATTCCTCCCCATCGGCGGCAACGGGTTCTCAGTCAACGTATCATCGGAGAAATTGTGCGGATTCCCTGCCTGAGCGGCATACTCCATGCGATCCGGCGACAAGCCCGGTGCGCTCGTAGCGCTGGTCGTTTCACTACCCTGACTAGCCGTGCGAGTAGTGACCTGCGCGTCCTCTTTCACCTCATCGAGTTGATCGCCCCGCTCTCTGGGTTTAATAACGCCCATCTCAACGAAATGGTCTAAGTCCCCCGCGTCCGGAGAAGAGGGCCTCCGGCCGGTGATCTCCGCGAAGGTCCTCCAGCGGTCCCCCTTCCACCAATGCGGTTTCTTCTGACCGATTCCGAACTCGCTGGCACGAGCGGCCTCAATATCCCCGCGCTGGGAAATCAGCGCCTGGTCCTCGTTCAGCTCGCAGAACCCGCACACATTCATGACCAGAATAACCAACAGCGCGGGCGTGTATCCCAGACCGTACAGCCATCCGGAATCGACATCGTACCGCAGCGGCGACACAGACCAGTCGAACGCCGAGGCGATGGCGTAGCCGATCTTGACGCCGAGCAGCGCAATGACCACGAGGAACTGCGACGGCGCTTCGTTAAGGTAGAAGAGCAGCTGCCCCAGCAGACTCGCCGGTCGCGCCTTGTACCGGTAGATGCTGTGCTCCAGGCTATAGCAGATGACGAGCATCCCGCCGAGGGCCATGAATCCCGCGGCGCGCCGGCGCGCATCCGTGGCGACGGGTCGCGCGAGGCGTTCCTGCTGCTCGGGGCTCCGTTGGTGTTCGATGGCTGACCAGGAGCGCAGCACGGTCAGCAGGAAGTTGACCACCGCGAAGGCGTAGAAGAGGATGGGCAGGAAGAACTCCTGGCGTTTGCGACTGCTCGACTTGGCAAAGGCGAAGGCGTAGGGATCGCGATCGCAGATCTGGCGCTCTTGCCATGAGCCCCTAGACATTAAGCCATCAGCCTGTACCATCCTAAGCGAGCGCGCGCGCAACCACCACCCATCGGTAGGTAAGTACAGACAAGACAGAAACTCACCAATGCCTCACAGCCTCCCAAACAGCCGCCATCAACGCCGGCATCAGCAGCGTATAAAAAACACTCTGCATGACCAACGGCGCACTCTGCAAATAATTCCGATCGACATCCACACTCATAAAGCAGCTAATCGTACCACAGACGGCCACCACCAGCACCCAATACCACTTCAGACACCGTCCGATAACCCTCCAGCGGCGATCCTCCGGAAGATACCGTCGCCCATGCTTGCGCACATTCACCAGGGTGAAGAAGATAGCGAGGGCGAACAGGAACGCAAACGCGAGGCCGATGCTCGCATGCTCGCCGATGTGGTTAATGGGGGCGTAACACGACGTGCCGTTGACAACGGTGCCGTTCTCCGCGAACAGATGCGGCTGGAACCGGTCGAAGGCGAGGTAGCATTCTGTGCCGTTGGAGAGGGTGCCGTTCGTGTAGAGCGTGTAGTTGTAGCGGGCGAGAGCTTCGCGGTCGAAGTGCTCGCTGTTGATGAGGATGTCGGAGTGGTTGGCGCCGGTCTGGAAGGGCGCCAGGGCTCGTGCGAAGAGGTTCATCTCGTCGGCGTGAGACTGCGGGCTTAGTGCCGCGTCGGGTTCTGAGGGGTCATGTAGGGAGCATGATAGAATTGGAAAAATTAGTGGGAAAAGTGGAAGAAAAGGTGAGATGAAGGGCGGATGGGCCGGCGCGATAGCGTTGTATCCAGGGCAGTCGATGATGCCGAGACAGGAGATCCGAGGGTTGCAAGTCTGGGTGAACCACCAACAGGCTGTTACTGTTACTAGAAGTATACAGAGTTCTCCAGATGAAGCTTCATGTCAGATCTAGTAATTGGGATTTTTTTTCATCTGTAGGATTGTTGATTTCTCCAAGTATTGCATCGACGGTTGTGATCGCGTATAGAAACTATAAAGAATACCGCGTCAAAGTCTCCCACAATTAACCACCGCGCTCTCCCCTCGATACCGCAAATAATCCAGAACATCAGTAACAGAGCCCTCTCACCCTGCCCCATCATCTCCGCCACTATGAAGATTGCAGAGGGGTTGAATTGAACGCTTTTCCGCTAGAACGTCTGGAAGTCAATCCCCAATCCGGTGGTCGCCGGTTCTATCATCATGATGACGCGGTATTCTAGACCCCTTACTGCTTAATCTGTAGGCCGGTTGATACGTGGAGGTCTTGGATGTTGATGCATGACGCTTGGGGATGCAGCTAGAGCAGGTCGATGCAATGATGTGGCTTAGTGAAGTCCTACAGGGCAAGGCCGTCGCTAAATGACCACTCCTGGATGAAGGGATTCTATCGTCTCTTGATAATGTCATTAGAGTCATGGTTCATTCTCTAAGTCTAAGCTTCTAGGGTAACGATTGCCTGCTTATCCCAGAACTGCCTTCAAAACATCCACAAGACCTTTGACCTCCTCCACTGCGACACAATTAGTATCACATCTTAAAACAGAGCTCTCGAAGAAAAGAATGCAGACTCACCGGTATTATAGTGCAAGAAACTAATCCTCACCACTCCATCATCCGGATCTTCAACCTTCAGCACATCATTCAACAACCGATGGCTGTACATATGTCCAGCCCGGAACCCGAAGTTAGACCGCTTCTCCACCTCCTGCACGATGGCCTGGCTCTTCCACCCCTTAACCAGGAAGCTGATCACAGGAACGCGGCGCGTCTGGTCCGCGGACGGCTCACCGATGATAGTAACCTTGTCGTTGCTACGAAGGTAGTCGAGCAGAATAGCCTGGAGGTCCTCCTCGTGGTCCGCGATGGCCTTCCACGCAGACGCGCGGTCCGGCCCGAGATAGGCAGTGATTTCGGGGATCGACTGCGTGAGCTCGTAGTTCGACGAGGCGAGCGTGAGTTTGGTCTCGAGGGTCTGCGGCTCCGACGCCTTGAAGTAGTGTCCGAGCATGTTGATCTGGTCGTGGATGCGGGAGTGGCAGTAGATTTGGGCGATGTGGGGGCCGTAGACCTTGTACCAGGAGAAGGCCTGCGGGTGGTCAGTTCTGATTCAATGGGTGGCTGGGGTAACGTACGTAGATGTCAACGTCCAGTTCCTTGACGTCTACCGGTCGGTGGGGGGCAAGTGCCACGCCGTCCACGCAGACAAGGGCCTATTGAGCGTTGGTTAGCCTACTCGATGGTCAATTGGCATGAGAGAGATGGCCTACTCGAGGGAACTGGTGAACCACGGCCGCAACCTCCTTCACATTCGTGATCGTCCCCGTGATGTTTGAGGCATGCGGGAAAGCCACCAGTCTCGTCTTCTCAGACAACAAGGGCTTCAGGGTTTCAATATCGCTGTCGGGGTTGGTGGGGTTCTTGGGCGTCCACCATTTGACAGTCAAGCCCAAGAGCTTCGCGATGCGCACCCACGAGTTAGTGTTGGCCTCGTGATTGAGAACCGAGATGATCAGCTCATCTGACGGCTCAAAAGACAACGCAGTGGCGAGGTTCAGATAGTTCTGGGTGGTTGAGATGCCGATGGAAATCTACCGGATTGGTTAGCTGTCATTGTTGCCTGGAAAAAGCAGCATGATGGAGTTAGGACAAACCTCCTCCGGGCTTGCATTGATGAACTCGGCACCCGCTCTGCAGCCCTTAGCGTATGCGTCCATAGACGACTGAGCAGCGGGATACGTCGCCCCGAGCTGGACATTGGTGCTGGAAAGATAGGCCTTGATCCTGGTTCAGGTGAATCGTGGGATCTCGCTTTCAGGGAAGTGAATGCTTACGATTCAATCACAGAGCCAAGCACTTGACTTCCTCCTGCAGAAATGAATCAGAAAGGGCATTATTGGGCAGAAAAGTGCCAACGTCAGCATTGCATACCAGCGTTATCCAGGAAGACCTGTTGTTTGTTTAGCGCGGGGAAGCGGGAGGGCGCTTCGGCGATGTTGAACGCTGCTGCCATGATAATTGAGATTCGCTTTCAAGTCAAAGAGACAAAAGTAAGAAGTCAAAGAATCTAAAGCAAGAAGAGATTGTGCGTGGATTAACAGGAGACTTTCCAGGATGGAAGAGAGATGAGGGGAAGGTTGGGGAAGAAGTATATTAAGAAGGCCTTGGAAGTGGGGCTCTTATCGTGCGCCCTGTAAGTGACCTGGAGACTCTTCCTCTTCCACCATCGAGAACCACCATGTTTCATTACTTATTATATGCAAGCTGCTCAAATTACTAGTATACGATCCCAGGCAACAGCATCAAGCCTTGGCCGTTGGAGAAGCACCGACAAGCACCAGTCTGGCCGCAGTGAAAAAGAAGACACTTCCCACCATCATAGCGCCGGCGAACACCTGCAGTCCCCAGTACGTCCCATGCTGCCGATTGAGGATGGCACCGGCGATGGGACTCCCCGTGAGAGATGCGACGCTGAGACAGGTGAACAGCACTCCCTGACGGACTCCGATCTTGGTGACGTCGGCCGAAATCTGGCTGAGAAGAGCCGGGACCATGCCGACAAATGCCCCCGAGGCAAACCCATACAGCAGGACAAACACAACGTAGATGGCCGCTGATCCCGGAGCGAGCAAAGTCCCGGGAAGCCAGAGAACCAGGATGGCGATGGCAGAAAGTGCACACATGGCGATCATGACGTTGAACCGGCCCAGTTTATCGCCTAGATATCCGGGAAGGATACGACCGGGGAGACTGTGGGAGTCAGCGAATGTTCCAACGTGCAAGACGCAAAGTTACGAACCTTGCGGCATTGAGTATTGTTAGCAGATAGCTGGCCAGCTCACGATCAACACCATCATCCTGAGCCTCCAAGATCACATAGTTGATTGGCACGAACATGGCGAAAAATCCACAAAAAGCCGCCAGCATCAACAGAACAAACGGCAATTCTGCAAAAGGGCCAATATAATCGTTCAACTTGACTGGTCGCAGGACTGGCGCGACTCGAGATCGAACAGTCAAGTTGGAAATGACCAAAAGCGCAAGCACTATAAACCCAGGAATTCGGATTGACCATCCGAACCCGATCCTGGGCAAAAGTCGAGACAACATAGTTGGGAAGATGACACCTCCTAAAGATGAACCACTGGATACAATGCCAAAGGCTAGGGCCCGTCGCTTATCAAACCAGGTCGCCGTGCAGGAGAGTGCAGGGTAAAAAATCAAACTGGCACCGAGGGGGCTGCAGATGCCTTGGGCCAGGATGAATTGATAGTATTCGCTGGAGATAGACGTCATCATCAACCCAAAAACATGGAGAAATGTCCCGGTGAGCAGCAGCCATTTGGGACCGTAGTTGTCGAATAACTGGGACAGTTAGCCATTTGTCCTCAAATCGAAAGCTGAGGAGCATACCCTGCCGATGACGATTCCTGCCGCAAAGAGAATGAAGGGTTCCAGAGATAGAATCCATGAGATACTAGAGGCAGTATATGATTGCAGTTGATGCGTTTGGTAATAGTCCTGGAAAACCCCGATTGCTGGTGCTGGTCAGTAACAGATTTGATTCCATCACAGGCTCACTTACCATTGACCCAGCCGAAGCTACAAAAAAGACAACACCACGCTCCTGCAACCACCGTCCAAGCTCGAATGCCTTGATCAACCTGTTCCTCTTGGGATTTGAGTGTCTCACTTGCCATCACAGCCACCTCAAGTCCTGGATCGGTTGATTTCTCCATGTTGGACTCAACCCTTGGCCGCGCCTCCACCAAGACAGGGAGGATGAAAGAAATGAAGTTTTCTTTCCAACTCAACATAACTCACAGCCCTTGGCCCACCGAGCCTCCTGCAGGATTCAAAAAATTTTCAGTCGGTGATAAGAGTCATCGATCCTCGGCTTTCTAATCAGCAAGGATGCCTTCGCCAATCAGACGTGTTCCTCAGCCGCTATACAGACGGGCTAACGACTTAGTCCCGTTTAAGCTTCGTGTCTTACTGGCTGGGCTTAGTCTCTGAAATACTAGGAGGCAAAGATCAAGGGATTTATGAGACTGGCATGTAAAGGTAGGCTCCGTGCCAGTTGTGGGATGGTAGCAGTGAGAATCCCTTGCGGGATTTCCACAAGTGAACGAGTCACTCACAATATGAAGTTGCTGCGCAGTTAATTCCCTATTGCTCTTACCAATTTAATTGCATGATCGCATCAATCTTGATGCTGATAAAATATAGCTGCTCTGCTGAGTGGCTCGAAAGCAACGCCGATCTGTTTTGATAGCCTTGAAAAGGGCGTTCACCCTTCTCAGAAGGGATTACCGACAGAATGAGCCCTCAAGATATCCAGCTCAAAATGTCTGTTTGGGATATATTGCTATTTTGTACCCCAAAATATGATTCATTCAATTATCTACTCATTGGCCTTCAGCAACATGCACTTCAAAAATGCTATGGCCCGAGTCACTAGGGTCGAGAGAACTAATTCTGAGATTCTACAAGTGCATCCTCTATCGAATTCCTATAATAGCAACTGCGGTATACGTTGTTGCCGTGTTTTGCTTCATAAATTGGTCGCAATTATAACAACAGGCCCTACGCTATCACTGCGTATCCGAATACAACATATGCCCGACTAATGCACTATACTTGCAATGACATCATATTCAGAGCTAAGGAGCACCGGCATTGGTGCGATAATTGTCAACTTATCCTTCGAGAGGGGCTTCTTCCCCAGACTTCGGCTTCTCTTTCCCCGAAGCACTATAAAAGCACCGACACACCGACATGGTCCTACTCAGCCTTCGGACACATACAATAATGCATTGCAGTCATGATGATATTCACCCAAATAATATGTCTCCTAGTTTTCTCCCTTCCAGTGCAGGGACGAATTGACCGGTATGTTTACATTTTCTCTGGATTTACCCGGATCAGGCTAAATATACTCAGGCATCGAGTCGTCTCAAAATACAACGTCGTTCGATCGGCTCTCATTGACCAGGATACCACGCCGCTGCAGGTTGGGAATGGAAATTTTGCATTCAATGTCGATAATACGGGGATGCAGGTATGTGTCCTTACTGATGCAATGCACCAGCTGACCCAATCTAGTCGTTCCTCCCGTTTAACACGCTGTCTAGCTGGGCCTGGCATAATGACTCTCTGCCAGAGAATGGGTATTCAATACTGTATACCGACCATCTGCAACATGACTGATTCTTATACAGGGAAGATCCCAGTGATTACCATGGGGTCGAGAGAATGACCCATGGCCGAAACGTCTCCTACGATATCCCTGATCCTAACCTCCCACAAGCCTCGCAGTGGCTGATCTCGAACCCTAATCGTATCAATCTGGGCAGTATTGGACTCCAATACAAGGGCGCTAATCTTTCTGCCTCGGATATTACGGATCCAGTCCAGAAGCTTGACTTATGGAATGGAATCATCACATCAACGTTCAAGGTCAACGGACAGGAGGTCGAAGTAATAACGCAGGGCGACTTTGAATCCGACGCGGTTACTTTTCAGATTACATCCAAACTAGTCGCTTCAGGAGATCTGTCTGTCGGTTTGAATTTCCCGTATCCCCCGACCCATACTACCAAGTATAAGTATGAGGTGTTTGTGGGTGTTAATGATTTCGCCTCGAATCATACCACGGCTATTCAAGAGGGATCGGAGCCTAACACAGCGCATATTTATCATAAATTGCAAGAGACAAGCTACTTTGTTAATCTAAGGTGGCCTTCTAGCTCTCCTCTTCAGCTTTCTCGGTCAAAAAACACAACCGCCACGGCAAGACACCGCTACTCGCTCGCTTCCACCTCATCTACCCTGGAACTCACCGCTCATTTCTCTCCAGAGAAGGAGGTACCAAGCTTGCCGTCTCCCATCAAGAAGCGAAACTCTGCGGGTTGGAATAAATATTGGAAAGAAGGCGGATTCGTAGATCTGACATCGTCGTCTAACCCCAAGGCAGATGAGCTGCAGCGTCGGATTATTCTGTCGCAATATCATGTCCGAGTCAACAGTGCAGCCAAGGGTCAATCCCCGCAGGAGAGCGGACTGATGGATAATGGGTGGTATGGTAAGTTTGTTATTGATTCCAGGGTGTTGAAACTCGTTCATCTGACTAGTGTAGGAAAGTTCCATATGGAAATGGTGGTATGGCACAATGCCCACTGGGCCACATGGGGTCGTCAGAAGTATTTTGATGATATTTTCCCAAGCCTTTACGAGACGCTTCTCCCGTCTTCGGTAGCCAGAGCAAAAGCAATGGGATGGGAAGGGGCCAGGTCCGTCTACTGTTTAGACTGGAAAATTTACCAAGAAGCTGACTATCGCAGGTGGCCGAAGATGACAGAACTCAACACCGGAGTCAGCTCGCCTGGTGGCATCAATGGACTTCTCCTATGGCAGCAAGTAAGTATAGGAATACCTGGTTTTGATTAAACTAACATAAATAGCCTCACCCTATGTATCTGGCAGAGCTAGCGTATCAGGCTTCCCCGACACCAGAAACCCTTCGAAAGTGGGATAAGGTCCTAACAGCAACGGCCGATTACATGGCCTCTTATGCTTGGAGGAACGAATCCTCAGGATACTATGATCTCGGACCACCGTATGCTTCTCCTGAGACCATATACACAACCATGGCTAACTGTACAGATCATACGGAGTCACCGAGAACACACCACCGGCTGAGACCCTCAACCTAGCCTACGAGGTACTTCCATCTCTCCTATCTTACACACCACAAGTAACCAACCACTTAATCAACAGCTCGCATACTGGCACTACGGCCTCTCCGTGGCCCTCAAATGGAAGTCTCGCCTCAACCAGCCCATCCCTCGCAAATGGACCCAAGTCACCAAGAACCTCGCCCCTCTTCCTCAAGTCGACGGCTTGTACGCCGTCTACCAAGGCCTGAACAGTTCCTGGTGGAACGACTCCGCTCTGACCGGCGACCCCCGCAGCCTCATCATGCTCCAGGGTATCCTTCCCGACACGCCAGCCGTGGATCCCAAGGTCGCCTTGAAGACAGCCGACAAGGTGCGAGAGGTCTGGACGGATGATAAGATTCGTGGGTGGGGAAGACCCGTGCTGGCGATTAATTCGGCGCGGATTGGGAACCCAGAGCGCGCGGTTTATCATCTCACTGCGTATGAGTATTGGAAGTTTGATGATGCTGGTATGCTTTCCTCTTGTTTGTTTACTCTCTTGGATGATAGTTGCTAACGGGTTTGAATTAGGGTTTGCCGTGCGTGGAGGAGATGGTATGCCTCATTCTCTCTCTTTGAAGTGACCGGTGACAGGTTAAACTAACACCCATCTAGGCGGTACTCCTCCTCCATTCATGCCCGGAAACGCTGGCTTTCTATATGCAGGTGAGCAGACAACCCCACGATATATAAAAGCCCTTATTGACGATTGCAGTGGCATACATGGCTGCCGGGTGGAACGGATCCCGCGGCCACGCGCCTGGTTTTCCTGAAGATGGAAGCTGGACTGTGAAGCACGAGGGATTGCGCAAGGCACTGTGATGCACTTTCCTTTAAGGCACAATACTTAGGACTTATGTCTGCCGGAAGTCTATGAAATGGAACATTCGCTCAAGAAAACCTGAATAGGCCAGCCTATTCCACCACCGTCTCATACTAGTAGTCATATACTTAATTTAAATAACATCAAGCATCAATCATTCATCCCCCCAAACCAGCACACAGATCTGAATACCTCAAAACCTCTCCTCATCATCAAAATGCCTCGGCTCAAACGGCAACCCCAAAGCCACCACCCCACTAAACACATACAACCCCAAACACACCCAAATGGGCACCGACGTCGCCGTATCCGCAAACGTAGCCACAAACGGCGACGCCAGAGACGCCAACCGACCGAACGCGACTGCCGTGCCGCATCCCGTGCCGCGGGAAGCAGTCGGCATGACTTCCGGTGTATATCTAGTCAAGACCCCGACGGGACATGATCAGCAACTCACAACCCACGCAACAGACCAAACAAAGACAGGGAGAAGAAGGGAGGGACAGCTCACGAGTACAAAATCGCATAATACCCATGCTGCCAGAAATTCACGAGGCTTGAGAACGCAATGTTCGCGCCCTCGCTCCGCACAGTCGTGAATGCCCCTGCGAACGCCCCCGCGCAGATCGCCGTCAGCGCCATGGATCGTCGGCGGCCCAGGAAGCGGACGTTCACGAGGAGGGTGGAGAGGATGGGCCCGAGGATACCGATGGATGAGGAGATGCAGTAGTCGCGGTAGGTTTGGAAGGTGGAGCCGGAGCCGAGGTTGGCGCCGTTGGTTTGCAGGTAGATTGGGAGGAAGAGAGTGTAGAGGGGGTACCTGGTGAGGGTTAGAGGAAGAGGTTGGGTTGGTTAGTGAGGAGGTGGATTTTGGGGGAAAATGCTGGAGATGTGGTGGTCTTACGCGATGCCGATAGCTGTCCAGAGAAGGATGACACCTGTAGTCGAGATCCCTAGCTTGCGGGTGACGAAGAGGGACCGGATATGTGATAGTTGGGTCTGGGCTTTCTGCGTCCGGGACTCTACTTGGGGAGTGTCGGCAATGGGATAGAAGTCCTGCGAGGAAATCGGGAGCTCCGAGTTGTTGGTCTCAGCTACTTTTCGGAGACTGTCGATGGCTTCTTCGAATCTTCCCTGGGAGACGAGCCACTTTGTTGACTCTTCCATTTTCATGAAGAAGACACGTATTACGGCGAGGACGAAACATAGTCCGCCGATGAGGATGTACTGGTATCGCCAACCCATATTCTCGGCGTTACTGCAAGTTGCAGGCGTAGCGTCGACGGGGCACGAGAAATAGATAATCAGGGGCCAGGCTAGAGGATTAGCGAGGAATGAGGACAGAAAGGGATAGTACTCACCCAGGAGTCCCCCGACAGCGTTCCCAACGCCAAACCACATCCCAAGCGCCGTAAGCATGTAGTCCTTGGAATTTGGCAGCCATTCGATGAATACCGTCAAGTCGAGGGCAACTGTTGTAAAGATTAGCCAGATAGACAGCAATCGGATAAGAAGCTTACTATTTCCACCCCCTCCCACCATCTGCAATCCAATGAAGGCCGCCAGCGCTGCAAAGTTCGGAGATGCGGCCGCAATCATCGTGAAGATGGTCACGACGAACAGAGAAATCTGCCAGACCAGCCTGCGTCCGATCATGTCTGCTGCATGACCACATCCCAGAGCGCCCACCAGAGACCCCGAATATAAAGCCGCGGTGAGCATGCTGGGGTATTTGGTGTCCCATTGCTTGGTGATTTGGGGGAGGACCAAGCCTACGGAGACAGCAAGCATCTGGTCCTGTCAGGATGGGTTTTATAGCTAACGTAACTGGTCTCACCTGGTCGACGAAGAAGCCAAAGCCGCAGGTAAAGAATAAGCGGATTTGGTATTTTCCAAAACCAATGCTTTCAATGGCATGGTTGATGAGAGCGATATTTCGAGCCGTAGCATCGAGAGTAATATCTTGCAATTGGCCTTCAGCGCTGGACAGAATCTCCGGATCCACATTGAGAGAATCTTTATCCATGGTGATAGATTGATTAGGTTGTTCTGATTTTCGATATGCTCCTGCAGCCGGTAGTCATTATATATATCATGATTAAGTAGCAGTGTAAAGGGGTTCCATGTGCTCACCGCGGAGAATCGGAGCAAGGGCTGCCACGCAGGGATGAGGTCACGTCTCGATGAGCGTTCTGCTATGCGGAGGGATCGCCGTGAATCCTGGCTACCAACGTAGGGGTTGAATAAATGAAGAGAAAGAACATGTTGCATTGACGAGAGGGGAAGACTACTCCTAAATACATGAAAGGAACGAGGAGGCGGCGGCCAGGGAGGAATGGATGGCCCATTGGTGTGGAAGTGTAAAGCGAGAATCGGTTTACAGTAGGATTCTATATTGTATGGGGTGGGTGGTGTAAACACAGAAGAACAAGAAAAAAGAACAAAAAAAGAACGGGATTTGAACCCGAGACCTCGCGATATCCGATTGGCGGGGATCAAAGTAGGTTTGTCCAGTTCAGATCGAATCGCCCACGTGAGCGGAAGACGGCATTCCGCGTTTTCTGGCGGTCTCTGATTGGCGGGGCAGGTTCACGTGAGCGGGTCTCCCATTCTCCGTCCCCTCCGCTCCGTTCTTTTCATACTCGTCATACTTGATAACGCATATGGAGAAAATATAGTTCGGCGCTGTCATGCTGTCTGGACGAGATGGATGACCGTGCATCACCCAATGAATCCCGTGCCCGCCATGCTTGCGAACCCTGTCGGTAAGTGATGCAGGATCTGCCTGGAAACTGCAGCTGACTCCATGCAGGAGAAAAAAGACCAAATGTCCCGGTGAAAAGCCGGCGTGCTCATTCTGCCGTAGATTGAATCAGCGGTGCACTTATAGTAGGGATGAAGGGTCTCGGGATTTCAAAGTAGGCTGATGCCATAACCAATTGTGTAGTTCCAGGTTCTTATCAATCCCAAAGTCTAGGCATGATGGCAAGGAGCGCCTGCGTCGGCTCGAATCTCAGATGGAACGGATGAATGATGTTCTGCAGTGAGCTATGCAAGAGACGTACTGGAGACTTGGCACGCTGATCGATGGTAGAACCCTTACGGAACGAAGTCCACTCGACGCAAGGGCGTCACAGCCACAAACTGTCGAGAGATCCCAGGAACCAACCGGTGAGACCATGGCTGCCTCGCTGTCATGCTTCAATGATTCCGACTGGTATGTAAGGCTTTTGTATCGAATAAGGGCGGATCGGCTAATTATCATCTAGTTCCCATCCTCCGCCGGATGTTCTCATGCACTATGTCGAGATTTACAAGGCCAGACTGCACTTGCAGCCACTGCCGCTTTTTAATATTGAGACGCTATCCACACAAGTGTTGCGATTCCCGCCGTATTTGTTGCACAGCTTCTTAGCGGTCACGATGCCTTTCTCGGAACATTCATTCTTTGGCAACGCAAAAGAAAAAGCAATAGATTCCTACGTTCGTTCGGCTCGAGAAACTGTGATACATGCGGCAACTGAAGGGGAATCGTCGGTGGAACTCCTGCAGTCTCTTTGCTTGCTGAGCTTGAATGACCTTGCCGGTAAGATCTCGTCCTGATCCTAAATATCTACAGCTAATAGCAGATAGCCGGTCGTCGATCTAGGATGTGGATGAATATAGGGGTTGCATCCCGACTTGTATCATCTCCTCAAAGTCATCAGCGATCACCGGTGGCGATTACGGCAACCACCGAGGATAAGACCCGATGCTTTTGGAGCGTGTTTGTACTTGAGAGGGCGTTTACACCAGGTCCAAATCTGCTCCAAAGCGACACTTTCCCTCTTGTTAATTCTACCTACCCTCCTAGCCCTCCACGGCCAGCTTCTGTCGCTGATTTAGGTAGCTCTAGTGCGCCTGGTTTCCCCGCGAGTAGTGCAACCAGTGACTTGGGCGTCAGCACATACTGCCTGCAGCTGACCTCCATATGGGGCGAGGTGGTGGCTTATTCAAGACGTCTGCGATCAGAACAAGTTGAAGACCCTTGGCTAGCGTCCTCTACTTACCATGTTCTGGTTGCAAAGTATTGCCAGTTTGAGGCAAGTCTTGCGCAAATTCATCGGTTCAGGAATGTTGGCTTCCAAAGCCTCTCAACAAACGAACTATCTGAAAACAAATACTACTGGATGGCCTGGCTCCAGCTTCAAATCAGCTTTCACGGAGGCCATGCACTGTTGCATCACCCAGTCTTCTACATCACCAATTCCCGCAAATTTAACACCAATTACCCACCACCATCCTTCCTCCAAAAGGCCGTCGACCAGGCCCTCCTTCACTCGGGCTGGATCGTACGCCTCTTCCGCACATGGGAGTTTCTTGGGTTCGAACTCAATGATCCCTTTTTGGGTCATTTTATTGTTGTCTCTGCAACCATCCATTGGATATTTCAGTTTGCCAACGACACGACCGTAGCAGACAGGGCACGCTCTGACTTTGGAGAATGTCAAAGACTTCTTCTCAACCTATCCAGCAGGTGGCCGCAATTTTCTTTGGTAGTAAGTTGAAGATCATCGCGGGATTGTTGTACTCAGGCTAATTATTCGACCAGGTGAACGGGCTAGAATTTCTACAAAGCCTTGCCCGGCAATTCCATGAAACAACGGGCAACCAAGGCATTCCTTCTTTCAAGCAATCTCTACTATGGGACCTGCTTGACTCCGACATCCCTAGTACGGGATTTGATGCTGCTTCTTATTCAGTGACACCCAGCGGGCAGCGTATAGAAACCCAGCATCTTGCTCCTCTCCACGAACCTTCTTCTGTACCCGATAGGGAATATCCCAATGATATGATTGGGTCCGCCGGATATCAAACACTCCAATCGCCAATATTCTTTCCAAGTTCAACTCTGAACAATGATTTGTTTAGCGATATCGATCTCTCCATCTTCTCGCGCCTAAAGGCCCAGTCTAATTTCAACTTGCATGGTGTATTATAGGTGCACGATATGCCACGTCAACCTGAAAATGATAAACATCACTGGGCCTAGGAGGGGAATACAGGCATATTGAAGTTTCCATTTCTCTATCATTCTAAAGTGTGTCGTCATTCGTCAACCGATCTTCCAACAAACCCGGTCCGGGTCCGTCCCCACCCGGAGCGAGGCACACAGCTGTCCGGGCCTCAATATAAGTAAGTTTGGTTATTTCCCTTGCATATGCTCCACCAATTGAATGTTTATCTTCTTCATGCATGATGTCTGACTACTCCAAGTCAACTTCCATTGTTATCATTGGGGCCGGCGTGTTCGGCCTCTCCACTGCCCTCGAACTCTCCAAGCGTGGCTATGCCAACATCACCGTTCTTGACCGTCGACTCCCTCCTGTTCCAGATGGTTCCAGCGTCGATGTCTCTCGCATCATTCGTCCTGACTACGCCGATGTGTTCTATGCTCGCATGGGATTGGATGCCGTGAAAGGATGGACTACCGATTATGCGCCGTTCTTTCATCGCAGCGGTCTCTTGTGCGTGCAATCGGAGGGCTCTACCCAGCATACATACCTTGAGCAGTCGAAGCAAAACCTGGAGAGCCTGGGAGCTAGTGTCACTATTCAGACCTTCCAAGGCAATGAGGCCACGAGCAGATACCCGGGTATCCATGGTGATCTTTCACGCACGCAAGGATACTGGAACACCGAGTGTGGATGGGCCGATGCTGAGGGCAGCATTACTCACCTGGCCCAGAAGTGCTCGAAGGCCGGTGTATCCTTCATGACAGGAAGAAATGGAACCGTCCAAAACCTCATCACTCGGGGTGATTCAAAGACGAGCAAGATAATAGGTGTGAAAACAGAAGCAGGGACGAGCGTTTACGCGGACACTGTCATCCTGGCCACGGGCGCCTGGACGCCACACCTGATTGATACGGGCGACCGGACGATTTCGACTGGTCAACCGGTCGCCTTTCTGCAGTTGACTCCCGAGGAAGCGAAGGAAATGCAGGAATGTCCTGTCATGATTGACTTGAGCACGGGATGGTTTGCCTTCCCTCCTACTCCTGGCACGAACCTGCTGAAAATGGCCCGACATGGCTATGGGTTTGAAACGACCACAACCGCGTCGAATCGACAGTCCAATTCCTCTTTCTCCGCCCCTAAGATGTCTTCTCAGTCACCTTTTCTACCGTCAGACGCAGAGAAATCTCTGAGAGAGGGGTTGGCTCTGTTCTTTCCGCGGTTCAAAGACCGACCTTTCGTCCAGCGCAGGCTGTGCTGGTACACCGATACTCCCAAGGGAAATTTCATTGTGGACTATCATCCGGAATATGAAGGACTGTTCCTGGCAACGGGCGGAAGTGGACAGTAAGTCTAATCTTTCAGTAGTATTGCGCAACATGCTAACGATTGAAGTGCTTTCAAATTTCTACCGGTCCTGGGTCGTTATGTGGCCGATAGTTTCGAACGGAAGGCATCGCAGGAGCAAAGGGAGATATGGGCGTGGACTGCAACTGCAAACCGTCTCTCGAAAGGAGATGGCAGTCGAGGGGGACCTCCCAGAAGAGTACTTCGACCTGAGGAGCAGGCTTGTCTATGAATATAACTTAACTATCTGTATGAATATGGGACAGTGCAGGCCATCAATCACCAGAAGCTGTGATAGAGGCACCTTCCCTTAAAGTGAAAAAAGGAAATATCCAGTTGTAGCTTATCTCGAAATCCGCTCGGTTCGATTTAAAAGAAACTCCGAGTTCTCGATATTCGAAGGGTTGCACAAACTGCTACGCCAGTTGCAGGTTGCACTCGTTTGTTGCTTTCCATCTACTCTCCCTCATCAACTTCCATCATCCACTTCGCTCTCAGTTTCCGTCACCTCACCTCCACCCATCACGGAGCGTTCAATTCCATCACCTCAGCCGAATATATAGGACCTTCGGCATATTTCGCAAAAGTAACTAGATCATTTTCTGTCGAATCTCTCCATCTTTAGTGCCAGATGATACCTGTACCTGCTAGACGCACTGATCGATTGCTTTGATCCCGTCAATATGCGATTCTCTCTTCTTTCCGTTCTTTCTCTCGTTTTGCTCTCCTCGATAGCATTCTCTCTCGAGCTTATCGAATCTCGAGCCCTCAGCCTGTGCTCAGACAGCTTGAGCCTGACCGCAGAGCATTTCAATGTCGTCTTCACGCCCCAGAACCAGTCGATGGCCTTGAGTCTGGATGGATCGTCGAAGATCACCGGATACGTGAAGGCAGAGCTGGTGCTGACGGTGTATGGATACACAGCGCTGCGGAAGGTATTGAATCCATGCGACATGAGTCTTAATGGCTTGTGTCCGGTCCGCGCAGGGCCGCTTCCGATGATGAGCACCAACATCAAGATCCCGGAGAATGTGGTCTCGCAGATCCCTCGTAAGACCTTTGACATTCCTTCTCACTCTCCTGGACATGCTGTGTGCTAGTTGTCGAAACTGACGAATCCAAACTTAGGTATCGCGTACTCCGTCCCCGACCTCGACGCTTCGGTCCGCGTTTATATCAACTCCACGGAAACCGGCGCGGAGATCACCTGTATCGAAGCAGCGCTCTCGAACGGAAAGTCAGTCTACCAGGCTGGGGTTGGATGGACAACGGCCATCATATCGGGGCTGGGATTGGCGGCGTCGGCGATAACGTCCAGTTTTGGGAATTCGAAGGCTGCCACGCATATTACGGCCAGCGTTGTCTCGTTGTTCGGTTTCATGCAGTCTCAGGCGATGTTTGGGATGACTTCCGTTCATATGCCGCCCATCGTACAGTCGTGGACCCAGAACTTCCAGTGGAGCATGGGTATTATACATATTGGGTTTCTGGAGAGGCTATGTACTTGGTATCAGCGTTCAACGGGAGGAAGCCCTTCCAAGATTCTGTCGAATCTCACGGTGACTTCGGTACATGTTATGAAAAGACGCTCTACTGAGATCCTTCAACATGCATCCGAGTTGATTCAAGGTGCGCGACAGAAGCGAAGTGTCACTGAGGGAGGCGCCATCGTGGTTCGAGGAATCCAGCGAGTGGGCTTTAGGGCTGGGATCGAAGTGACCAATATCTTCCTGACTGGCCTGATATTCTTTGTTGTCTTCGTGGTTCTGATGATGCTCATGGTTGCTGCTTTCAAGACCGCCTGCGATATTCGAGCCAGATCGAAGGGAGAGAACACACTGAGAGCATTGAGAAGAAGATGGAACCTCATTGCAAAGGGGGTTATGTTTCGATTAGTGTTGATCGGTTCTCCCCAGATGCTCATTCTTTGCCTGTGGGAGTTCACCCAGCATGATTCCCCAGCAGAAGTCTTGCTCGCTGTGTTCATGCTTCTTGGGATGGTTTCCAGCGTTGGCTTTGCGGCGTTTAGGGTTATCACGCTTGCACGGAAGTCTTTGGCCATCCATCAGAACCCAGCATATCTTCTTTACTCCAACGCCCCCTTTTTGAGTCGCTGGGGGTTCCTCTACGTGCACTACAAGGCCACGACCTACTATTTCATCGTCCCTGCGCTTGTCTACACGTTCCTCCGCGCCATCTTCATAAGTCTGAGCCAGAATGCACCCGTGGTCCAGACAGTGGCATTGCTTGTCATCCAGGCGGGTATGCTAGTTGCCGTCAGTGTATGCCGGCCATGGATGAACAAGAAGACCAACATATACAACATCTCGATCACTGCGCTCAACTTCATCAATACCATCTTTCTACTTTTCTTCGCTGACGTTTTCAACCAACCCGGCCTTGTGACCGGGGTGATGGGAGTCGTGTTCTTCGTCTTCAACACGGCGTTCATTCTCGTTCTCCTGATCCTGATCCTGATCGACTCGGTGTATGCAATCCTGTCGAAGAATCCGGACACGCGATACCAGCCCATGCAGGATGACCGCGAATCGTTCGTGCGATCCAACAGCCAGCTGGTGACGGCCGAGCTGCATGCGCTCGGGGCCACCGCTCGAGGCGACACCCCAACCTTGCTGTACAAGGCCTTGCAGAGAAGCGACGACGAGCCCCTAGTTGCGAGCAGCAGGGCGCGAGGCAACGGCCTCCACGGGGGAGACTCCAGTGGAGATGTCACGCTGCATGAACGACAGTCCCCTACGTCGGTGGTGGATCTCTCGGTGCCCCTATTCCCCAGCGGGGGGCGAGGTCAGGAGGATCGTAAGGTCCGACGACAGTCATCTTCGCCGATGTGAGTATGGATGCGTGTACAGTAAGGAGAGGGGGGACTTGCTTGAATTTACGGAGTAGCTTTGCTGTCTATGTGTCTCCAGAATTCCCGGGATTATGCTTCGTGGTATGTACGTATGTCGCTTGTCAGCGTCAACATCAGCAGACATCTCCGCTCCAGTCAACAACCGTTTGTCCGGCGTATGTATGTAGCCTACATAAACTCAGCTAAGCATCACCCACGACCCCATCTCCCCCTTTTCCCACCGATTTCAAATCAAGCCTTTTCCACATCCCCCTCGCTTCACGCATGTCCACCTTCCCCTCTCTCGCTGCACCAGGAAACATCTGACCCTATCGACCAGGCTGTACGGAGTAGTCCGCCAAGCCCACCGATGATCATTTTTCTTTTCTTTTTTTTCTAATAATTTATTTCGAAAACGAAACCCCTAACATCATGACGAAATGAAATCGTGAAAAAGAGGGTGTACGCCATCCATGACATCATCTCGTTGATTTACTGCGCAGGTAACAACCAGGTGGTGCGGGCCTCTTGCGCTCAGGTCTCTCTTCGGCGGATTAGGATCCCGATTAGGATGGATGCCTTCCCGTCCAGGTTACGGGGTGGAATGTGGATGAAGGGAGGAACACCATGTGTCATGCACAGAATATGGGCATGTCTCATCATGGCCTGGAAGGAAGAGGGAGTAGAAGATTCTAGTCCCGTCCGGTACTTTTGTCGTTGATGCCCAAGGGTATGCTTACGGGTAGTATAACTAGAAGTAATTAGTAGAGGGACAGTACGGTAGATCGTGCATTATTCTTATGGGTGTGGATAAATGACTGGCCAGGAGTAAGGCAGCCAACATTAGGTTCCTACACAGTAGTTCGGCCGCGGGGATCCTTCCGATTTTTTTGCTTTCTTTTTTTTCCGGGTGGAAATTTCTAGGCAGTGGAGGCTAAGACCACGACTAACTACTTGCTCACTTACGTGCAGACACCCAGTAATAATACCTCAGACCTCCTGCGTACTGTGTCGGTGCCTACTGTAGGAACGCCGACCAGCCGGACCAAGGAAGCCGTAAGCTAAGCATGTACGTCTGTCCCGAACGAGTAATCGGACTGGTCGACTGAGGTGGGTCTTTTTTTTTTTTTTTTTTTTTTTTTTTGTCTCTGAGTGCCTAAGGGAGTTAGTCGTTTGGAGTTGTTTCGTTCGTGGTGATCGCTCAATTCCTCTTTTCATTTTTCATTCGGATGATACGGAGTAGTTCTTTATTACGACCGGAATCACCCCGAAGGACTGCGTACAGGCAAGGCAGAGTAATCCGGTTTGGTGGGGAGGAAATCCAGTCGGCGATGCAGTTGAACTTTAAATCAGGTACCCCGCAAGTCGAGCGCTCAATTCCATTGTCCACGGCGCTATTGATCTCTCGTGGGAGTATTTCTTCCTTTCTCCAGAGTGTCTATCGGTGGTAACTACCATAGTGACTACCTGAGTTCCTACCTGGGTATTAACTCCTAGTTCTCTGTCAGACTCAGTGAAATAATCGCATTGATCTCCTTTCCCTCCACCCCAGTCAAGCGCCGTACTTTTGCATCACCCCAAACGGGATAGCTCCCACCATCGGCCGAGCCAACGCCCCCACCCATCGACTACGACGCACATCGCACTACTCCTGCGCCCAAAGAAGAGTCCAGAGTTAAGCGTCGACAGCGCTAGAGATCCTTTTACATACAGATTACAGAGTCCTACGCAGTAGGTAAGGTAGAAGACCCTCTCACTTATATCTACACAATTTACACACCTACACACATTCATAGCCTAGATAATTAAGATAGCCTAATCCCAACCAAAAGATCCATCCGTATCACACGTCGGGTTTTGATAGGTCCGTTCTCGGGCCACTTTCCTTGCGTGCGCGACACGAGGTCAGGTGGTCCCGCCCGGCGGCCATGCTTTCCCTTCGTATCGTCTTTCGTCTGTCCTCCCGTGCGACCCTCCAGCCATTTGCTCCGTTTGTGTACCCTGGTATGTCTGATGGTGTGGACGGTGTGGTTGATACATTCCGAATTGCTACTACCTACCTAGGTGGGTAAGTAGGGTAGGGAGTGGACATGTAACGGGTTTTCAGGAGAAAAAAAGAAAAGAAAAGACAGAATGCATCGAGGTATGATGGCAAAGCATATGCCAAGAGAAAACATCCCGCACGTATCAGATCTCCCTGTGGAATTCCTGTAGGAGGATGAAAATCAGAGAGGTTATAATACGGGGTAAAAAGCAACGAGACAAAGCAAAAAAGAAAAGAAAAAAAAATGAAGAGTCCAAAAGCATCGCTCAAAGTCAAACCCCCCCCCCTTCGAAGCAGGCATCCCCCTGTCATCTCCGCATTCCCACGCAAGGGAGGACACCCAAATGACTGACGGACACTGCAGCGGTCGAGATGTGATGTGAGAAGCAAGTTTAATTGCCGGCACACGGACTGCGCTTTACTGGACGGTGGTGTAGGCGTGGTCCTGAGGAACGGGGGGAGTGCAGCAGATCAATCGACAGAGTCCTTAGGGCGTTGATGAATTAATTAATCCATTTGATGGAGTGAAGTCTACTCCGTATGTATGTCGATTACATACCTAGCCACCGACCACTGACCAGTCAACAGGCTACTGCACCTCTTTCACAAGTGGTCAAGTAGGTAAAGAATTGCCTTGATCTGTGCTTGCGGCATATACTGCGTAAGTGCAGACGCAGCAGACGGGCGCGTTGCAAACCCTGGCGCTCCCATTGCGCAGCGCCTTGGTCTAAGCTCCTGATCTGAGCGATTTCACTCCCTCGATTCCTGGCCGGCAGCATGGGGCTCCACTGCGAACAATGGATGAGACGCCGGGAATACCCTCCCTCCCGGCTCCACTTGTCATTTCTACTGCCTCCATGTTTCTGAAAATGGCGAGTCATTACATCAGTGGCATATTACGCAGTAGTGCACTGACAAAATAGCAGGATTTGAAAATGAAATAGAACAAAATAGTAAAATAGAATAAACACGGAGTACACCGGCGATAAATCCATCCCGCATCTCACCCGAGTCATGTCCAGCCCATTGACCCTTAAGGTGATGCGGAGTGGGGCGGTTTCACCAACTTTTGTCTTTTCAAATCATGAATATCATGGCGATGCGTCTCCCGAAGGTCATCTGTTTGCAGTCTCCCAGTCGCCGTGCCTGTCCCCAGCCCTGTCTCCCTAACTCTGGTCTAGAATTTAGGGCAGTCGTTTAGGCTTTAATAATTCCTTGGTTAAGGCCCTAGCTGTGCCTCGGCGCCTACCTATCAAATTCAATTCCCGGCTTTTTACACTCTGACTGGATCCTTCGTTCTACTAGTAACCACTGTAGGTACTGTAGGTAACTACAGCGTCCAGCGTATACTCTGACCATCGCAGGATTCTCGTCAAGGCTTTGAAGCGGCTTTCCCCACCGGGCAAGCCGTGCTCATCTGATGCGCCTCGCGGAATTCAGAATCCATCATCGTATCGACCCTCGTACGGTCGCTCTGGCCGTGTTTCCTCCATCTTATTTTTCCTTTCTTTCCCTTTCTTTTCTTTTTTATTTTTATTTTATTTTATTTTTTTTTTTTGACTCGCTGCTTTCTTTTTCCCACCCCCAGACATGATCACCAACCTTAATCTGAGATTTTCCCCAGGCCGAAAAAGAAAAGTCCTCGGAGCGTAGGGGGCTGATGCTTGCCTTCATCGTCCAAGACGCCTAGCGCGATTTAACTTTCCACATCCCCTCCAGGGATGTCGTGAGGCTTTCTTTTGGGTTCTCTCCCGTCTGCTGCCTACTGCCTAGGTTGGAGAGGAGGCGATGAGATGAGACGGGATGAGGTTCGGTAGGGAGGGACCATTCCAAGGTATTTGGGTGAGGTCCGCACTCGGAGATATTCATGCCAATGACGGAATGTCGTGGTTGGATGGTCGGCATGTACGGGGTCAGGTGATGGGGTTGGTTAGTAGGGATGAGTTCGGGAGAAGGGGTTTGCTGAAAGGAAGAGAGAATGAAAGAAAGAGAGAACGAATGGCTTATATACATACTGTATACTGACTTCAAGATCAATTGAGCAGCATTCTGCAAACTGAAGCAAACGATCGCAATTCTGCAGTAACACGGAAGTCCGTGCTGGGGGCACAAAAGATGAGGCCCACTTTCCCCAGATTGTCATCCCTATGAGACATTTTTGTTTTTCCCCCTTTTGTTTCTTCGTGCAGTGCCGGAGCGTCGTTTGGAAGCATCGTGAATCGCGTCCCTCAGGAGTTAGAGGCCGCCGGGTTATACAGTTAGTCCCTCCCATTCAGCGAGCTTTTAGTTTTCCCTCCGGCAAAGTGGCCTCTGCGGTGTCACTGCTCGAGCATCGGCCCATCTCCGCTCTCTTAGTCGGTCTTAGAGGTGGGTTTAGTCGGTCTTAGTCGCGTGGAGTTATTTTATTTTATTTTTTTTTTTATTTGACTCTGATTTACTCGCTGAGGGTGCTAGAAACCATTTGAAAACAAATTTATTTATTCGGGTTTTCCTGTGGCGTCCAGCTGAGCCTGAGCCATGTCCATCCCGGAATGCAAGTAATCCATCCAGCAGGCCGAACGGGGGAAAAGGATCAACGCAGCTGTTGGACAAAGTGGGACTGCTTTATTATTATAAATTATTATTATTACTATTTTAATTACCCTTTTTTATCCTTTGATTAATTCGATTTATTATAATCGATTTGAATCTTCAGAATCTGAAGTGTCGCTTCGGCTCGATCTCGAGGAATGCGAGTGTCCTCCTGTAGGTGTGCCCACATACAGCTCGATTAGGTATGAATTCTTTCGAGCAGGTCGCAGAATTGAATTTCGACTCTGTAACCCGCCGTCTAGATCCATCCTTCTAGCCGCATGGGGATTCTCATCGTCGTCCAGACTCCACTGTCGAATGACGACGGCCCTGCGCCGGTCGGGGCCTTCGTCATCGGTCATCGGATGGGCGACAAATGCCAGGCAATTAGCCCGAATTTGCGGTGTTTCATGCGCAGTCAAAGGAATGGAATCATTAAATACAGACCGTACGGAGGGTTGGGATTGGGATAATTTGGGGACGATATCTGATCCTCCTCCAGAAGATTATTAATACTAGCGTGGTAACCTTCAGGTGGAAGCTGTCAACAAATCCTCCGCCGGCATCAGAAATCAGATAAGTCCTGCGTAGCCATGCCAATAGCACTGCAATAGCTCTCCTCCGCAGGTAAATGGCCTGCTCGTTACGCTGGAGAGTTACCTCAGTTCCAACGTTACCCGCAACTCGTAAGAGTCCTGGCGAGTGACTCCCAGTCGATCCCAAGGTTTGCCTAGTCTTAGGTAGGCAAGTATCGACCGGGTCGATGCTCACGGGTCCACCGACGGATTGTCACGATTCATTCCAATCAGCGAGTGTATCCGGCTTATTTCTGCGGCCGTAACTGCGCCGTATGGACTGGTAGACGGAGAGGATGGCAGGCGCTGTAATGTCCATTTCGTCTCTGCTCTGGTGGCCGTGCAACGGAAACTCTAAAGCCTACGCCTTCTTCCTGTCACTCCGTCTTAAATCCTCCAAATCCTAAATCCCTAAACCCTCTCTCCATCCACCATCCTCCATCCTCGCATCCTCTGCAATACGACAGCACTAGCTGGTCCGACCACCGAACCTCAGCCAAGTCTTTTGTCCACGGCTGCTCCCCACTTTCTCAGGGACCTCGTCGTCGCCTTGTCTCGCTCTCTCCCCCTCCATCCCGATTTAATTCCCACTGGCTTCCCAATCCGCGCAATCCTGCCGTCGCTGCCCCTCTTTTTTTTTTGTTCTGACTTATCCTTTTTATCCTTTTCGTTTCCTGACTTTTCTACCGGGGCTCGTTCTTGTTGATCCTCCTCGTTAATTAAAACCGCCGTCTCGCCCCGTCCCCTCCCGCGACTCTTTTCCCAAGCTTCTCCTCGCCGTCTACTCTTCCTTCCCGCCCTCACCAGCCTCTCTCTTCCGTGAGAGAGGTTTCTGCGTGGTCAATGTTGTCAATGCAGAAAAGCTCCGCCTTCGTCCTTTCGCCCTCCTCCTCCCTCAACGGCGACCAACATCGTCCGCAACAGCTGCATCCTCACCATCCACACCATCCGCACCACCCTCATCAGCAGCAGCAGCATGCCATCATCCCGTCCAACTCCACTCGCCCCGGCAGCATCTCAGAAATCCCCGCCTTCGACTACCCGCTGATGGACGACTCTTCCGTATCCCATCGGGCCAGCATCAGCACCGACGAAAATTCCAACGACTCGCCCGAATCCTGGGATGGCGAGGGTCCCTCCGACAGTTCTCCCGTCGCCGACGTCGAGGTGAAGATCCACGACATCACCCATCCGCTCGCCGTGGCCTCCGCCAAAGCCTTCCAGTTCAGTATGGTCGCTCCGCACGATTCGGACCTGTCGATGGGCGACGTCACGCCCAAGGTCGAGGAGGTGGACGATGCGGATGATTTACAAAGTATCAAACCTATGGGTGTGGATCCCATGGCCAATGCGGACTCTACCCATCCGGATTCCACGGCTCTTCCCGTCAACGTTCCACGGAAACGTGGGCGACCGCGCAAACATCCTCTCCCAGCGCCCGGAGGTCAGGTCAAAATCACCAAAGGTCGATCCAAGACCGGCTGTATAACGTGTCGCCGACGGAAGAAGAAATGTGACGAGACCAAGCCAGCGTAATTGACTCCCCTCCCCTTTTCCGTCAGATTCTGCCCTCCCGACCGTCGCCAAGACTAACGCCGCCTCATTCCGCAGGTGCTTGAATTGTCAGAAAAATGCCGTCGTCTGTGAAGGCTATCCTCCGAAGGAGATCTGGAAGAGTGGGAAACAGAAGCAGGAAGATGGTGAGTGCATCTTGATTTTGAGAACCTCTGCATTTTCCTGGTCGTGGCCTTGCTTTTCTCCCACGTCTATCTCCTACCCCTGATCCGGTGGGCTAATCCATCCTGAACAGCAGCTGCCCGATGCCAAACGATGATCTCCCGTGCCCTGCCATTCCTGATCGACGGGATCGAAAGCGATATCGATCGACGCTTTCTGGACCATTTCGTCTACGGCTTCAGTCGTGTCCTGACGCTGATCAACGACGACTCCAACCCGTTCAAGGAGATCCTCCTCCCCATGGCGACCCAACATCGCGGCTTGATGCATTCCCTCATGTGTCTGTCGGGGTCACACCTGTCCGGGCTAGAACCCGAGCCGCGAGTTATCGAGCGTAAATACCACCATTTCCATCGGGCGATCCGGGATCTGAAGAGTAATATCACGGCGTCGTCGAAAGGTGGGGAAGAGGAGCCGGAGTTGCTGGTGGAAGACCCGATCATTGCGTCGACGATCGCCCTGAGCCTCAATACGATCTGCGAGGGAGAGACCAATGGTGAATACCGGCCGCATATGGATGCTGCGAGATACTTGCTGGTGACGCAAAAACCCCGGAACGAGAAGTTCCGACAGTTCATCGTCGAGTTCTTTCAGTACCACGATGTGTCCAACTCCATCACTTCTTTGGACCGACGTCCCGCCCATCTCAACGGCGACCTGAGACTGCCCGACTTCGTTCCTCATGCACAGGCCGGGATGTTTCTGGGGGTGTTCGACGGTCTGTTCAACTATATTTCCGAGGTGACCAGACTGCGCGACCGTATCCGTCAGCGACACAACGAAGGGTACGAACCGGCCGTTGATTATCAGATCCTGAGCGAGGCCGTCTCGATCGACTCGGCCATCCGGGCCTGGGAAACATCCCATCCCCCCAACACCCCGAACTGGGCCCTGGCTCAGCTGTATCGGCAATCCACCTGGGTCTACCTATATCGCACGATCCGGCCCTCGCGACCGAGCGAGAAAATTGCCCGAGTGGTGGACGACGGTCTCTCCTTTCTGGATCAGCTGCCACGCGATGCTGGTGCCTACAGCATCGTGCTGATGCCGCTCTTCTTGCTGGGATGTTCTGCATTCGTGCCCGAGCAGCGGGAGCGGATCCAGAAGGGATTCGATTCGCTCAAGGCCTACTCCAACCTGCGCAATATTCAGCCGGCACTGACCGTGGTGGAAAAAGTGTGGGAGGTGATGGACAGCGACATTGAAGACAGCTGGGACTGGGAGAAAATCATCAAGTCCATGAACATGGATTTTCTCATCACTTGAGACGGGCTGTGGCAATTATCTACTGCGGACGTTGCATTTTACGTGATTGCATATTAACGAGGTGCTGGTTATGATTTGTTTTCTTTTTTTTTTCGATTCTTCTTTCTTCGTGATGAATCTTCGACGTGGACTGGTTTTCAACCAATCCTCTGCAGAGTCACCACCAGAAGGTGGTGACTTCGGCGTTGTGTCAATGCATGCATGTCATCATTTCTCTTCTCCTGTCTCTATTTATATGGGCCACCCTTTTTTCTTTTATTTCTGGATTGGATATGGCGATGGAACTGGGATTGGATGGAATTGGCAGTGAACAGGGCCAAAGGACGAGGGATCATATACTTCTACGCAGACCGGCGTCAGGCATGGAATTTGCAGTGCCTTTCTCGTATATTATTCTTGTCCAAAGCACCCACGGGAGTCATGACGGGGGAAATTGGGATTGTATTTCTAGGTGTATGTGTTAATGATTGGAAGTATATAACTCTTCGTCTCGTCTTACTCCCGTGACCGGCCTCTCACTAGCACGACTCGGCAATTGCCCCTCCGGCCAATAATCCTCAACGTTCAACGCTCGAGTCAACATCCCCACAACTGTTAGCTCGGATTTTTAATTTAGTGTCATCCCTGACAGGCTGACACCCGGGAAAGATGCTGTTTGACGGTTTGACACGAGGCTCTCGTTCTTCGCCTTCTTCTCACCCTTCTTCCCTTCCAGTTGCGCGATGACCGTCGTATGGTGACAATAGCCACGCGATGGAGAAAAAGGCCCATCCTCCCCACGTCAAAATCGACGAAGCCGCGCCGTCCAACCTCTCCCTGCGAGCGGTCAACCCCGTCGATGTGTCGGTCCAGGATCTGTCGCTGCAAATCGATACCACGCCGCCCATTTGGGAAACCCCACCGTCGCAGCTATGGAGCCGCCTGCGCAGAAAATCCCCGACCCGGACGCAGAAGACCGTGCTGGACGGGATTACCGCCGCCATGCCCCGTGGTAGTCTAACGGCCATCATTGGCAGCAGCGGGTCGGGGAAAACCTCGCTGCTGAACCTGATGGCCGGCCGGATGGGGATGGCCAAGGCGCAGGTCTCCGGCGCCACGACCTTCAACGGGCATTCGGACCTCGAGCGCGTCCGCTGCGCCTACCTCATGCAAGAGGACGTGTTGATTCCGACCCTGACGGTGCGCGAAACCCTGCGGTACTCGGCCGACCTGCGACTCCCGCCGCCGGCGACCCCCGACGAACGGCGCCAGATCGTCGAGCAGGTGATCCTGGAGCTGGGGTTGAAGGAGTGCGCGGACACGCGGATCGGGACGAACATCCACAAGGGCTGCAGCGGGGGCGAGAAGCGACGCACCAGCATCGGCGTGCAGATGCTGGCGAACCCGTCGGTGCTGTTCTGCGACGAGCCCACGACGGGCCTGGACGCGACCAGCGCCTTCCAGATCGTCCGCACGCTCAAGCGGCTGGCGCAGGACGGCCGCACGGTCATCGTGTCCATCCACTCGCCGCGCTCCGAGATCTGGAGCCTGTTCGACCGGGTGATCCTCCTGGCGCGGGGGTCGGTGCTGTACAGCGGTCCGGCGGACGAGTCGGCGGCGCATTTCGAGCGCTGCGGTCACCTCCTGCCTCCGTTTGTGAACCCCGCCGAGTTTCTAATCGACCTGGCGGCGATTGACAACCGCACCGAGGCATTGGAGGCAGCGTCCTATGCGCGAGTGGATTCGCTGAAGGCCGCATGGCGATCGCGAATCGCTGCGGACGAGGGAGGTAGGACGACGAATGTGGCAGAGGAGAGCACACTGGCGAGCTCGGACGGTCATCCCCCCGCGCGGGCTGTGTCGTTTAGGCAGCAGTTTCGTGTTCTGACGTCGCGGACGTTCAAGACGACGATCCGTGACCCCATGGGGATGGCTGGGACTCTGCTGGAGGCTGTGGGAATGGCTGTGATCGGCGGGTGGATCTTCCTGCAGCTGGACGAGAGTCAGGCGGGGATCCGTTCGCGGCAAGGGAGTCTGTATACTGCGAGTAGTCTGAACGGATACCTGATCCTGCTGTATGAGACGTATCGACTGACGATCGACATCCGGCTGTTCGACCGTGAAAGGAATGAAGGGGTGGTGGGGGTGCCGGCGTTTTTGCTGAGCAGGCGAGCAGCTCGCCTGCCCCTCGAGGACCTGCCGGTGCCCGTGATTTTCGCGGTCATTTTTTACTTCATGGTGGGATACCGTCTGACGGCCGCCCAGTTCTTTATCTTTTTGGCCATCACGATCCTCACGCACTACATTGCCGTCACTTTCGCCGCCGTCAGCATCAGCATTGCCCGAAGCTTCCCGGGCGCCAGTCTGGTGGCCAATCTGTCGTTCACGGTGCAGTCGTTCGCCTGCGGATTCTTTGTCCAGTCGAACCAGATCCCCGTGTACGTGCGATGGCTCAAATGGGTCGCGTACACCTTTTATATTTTCGGAGGGCTCTGCGCCAACGAGTTCATCGGTCCCAATGGCCCTCCGGGTGGGCAGTTCTACGCCTGCCCCTACTCTGACGACCCGGAGGACCCGGCCTGCACGCAGTACACGGGCCGATACATTATGGAGAATTTGGGGTTCCCGTCGGACTGGATTTGGCGGCCCATCGTGGTGATGGTGTCCTTCGTGCTAGGCCACTACCTTCTCGCCGCCGTCCTGTTGCAGTACAATACTTTTGCCGTCAACGTTGCTCAGGCGCGGGCCTCGGATTCGGACCTTTCGGCAGGAAAAGAGAAGATCGCCGTGCGAGAGGCCCAGGAAGCCCGCCGAGTGACCATCTCGCTGGAGAACTACGCCATGGACATCCGCAAGCGAGGGTTCTTGAACCGGCCCTCACGCACTCTTTCCATTCTCAAGCCAATCGTCACCGAATTCCATCCCGATCGGCTCAACGTTATCATGGGCCCTTCCGGCAGCGGAAAGACCTCGCTGCTCAATTCCATGGCGCGACGGCTGCACGGCTCCGTGGGTACCCAGTACCAGGTTCACGGTGACATGCTGTACAACGGGGCCGCGCCGTCAGAGAGCGTGATACGATCCGTCACGTCGTTCGTGGCGCAGGACGACGACGCGCTGATGCCGTCGCTGACGGTGCGGGAGAGTCTGCGCTTTGCCGCCGGTCTCCGTCTACCGCGCTGGATGTCGCGCAGCGAGAAGTACCAACGAGCCGAGGAGATCCTACTGAAGATGGGGCTGAAAGAGTGCGCCGACACTCTAGTAGGTGGTGAGCTGGTCAAGGGGATCAGCGGCGGCGAGAAACGGCGCGTGTCCATCGCCATTCAGATCCTGACCGACCCTAAGGTTCTGTTTCTTGACGAGCCGACGTCCGGCTTGGATGCGTTCACGGCGCAGTCTATCATCGAGGTTCTGCAGGGCCTCGCGGCAGAAGGGCGCACGCTCGTCATGACCATCCACCAGGCCCGGTCCGACCTTTTCCAGCACTTCTCCAGCGTGCTCCTCCTCGCTCGCGGCGGTTATCCGGTATACGCCGGGGAGGGCGCCCGCATGCTCCCTTACTTCAGCGGCCTAGGCTACACCTGCCCCGAGACCACCAACCCCGCCGACTTCGTCCTCGACCTGATAACCGTCGACCTGCAGGCTGCCGACCGCGAAGCGCTCACCCGCGAGCGAGTCCAATCGCTCATCGACAGCTGGAATGGCGGAGAGAAAGCACTATCGCTCGGTCAGGACACGCTTCGGCGTCCTTCGCAGATGGCCACGCCTGCGGAGCTGGGGGGTTTGAAACGGCAAATGCTGCCATTTCGCACGACCTATCCGCTCGTGCTGCGACGCGCGGCGATCAATTTCTGGAGACAGCCGGACCTGGTCATGGCCAGGTCGATGCAAGTCGTGGGGATTTCCATCATCATGGCGCTGTTCTTTGCGCCGCTGAAGAACGACTACGTGGCGGTGCAGTCGCGGATGGGTTTTATTCAGGAGTTTACGGCGTTGTACTTTGTTGGTATGTCAGACATATCCCAAGAACGTGCCTTCAGCTCAATCCCAGATTAACAAGCTAACTCGCCAGGTATGCTTCAAAACATCGCCATCTACCCGTCCGAACGCGACGTCTTCTACCGCGAGGCCCAGGACAGCTGCTACGCAACGACCACATTCCTGGTGCAATACACGACGCTCGAGATCCCCTTTGAGATCCTCTCGTCGCTCATCTTCGGCGTCCTCGCCGCCTACGCCGACAACCTCACGCGCACGCCGCAGATGTTCCTGATCGCGTCGTTCAACTGCTTCTGCATCATCAACTGCGGCGAGTCGCTCGGCATCATGTTCTGCACGCTGTTCTCGCACGTCGGTTTCGCCGTGAACATCACCTCCACTTTGCTCTCGATCGCCACCATCCTCGGCGGCGTGATGAGCCTCGACGTCAACGTCGTCCTGAAGGGCGCCAATTACCTGTCGCCGGTGAAGTACCTGGTCGCGAACGTCGCGGTGTACGGCATGCGGGACCAGCGGTTCCATTGCACCCCGGCGCAGTTGCTCGGGGACGGCAGCTGTCCGATCGAGACCGGGACGCAGGTCTTGCAGTTGTATGGGCTGGACGGGAACGGCGGGTTGAATGTGTTGGGGCTGGGAGTTTGTGTGTTGGTTTATCGGGCTATTGCGTGGGGGGTGGTGCGGGCAAGGATGTTTTTTCTTTCCGGTTGAGAAGTAGATTAGAGTATAGAATGCGTTGGTCTACAGTTCTGGCGTTTGTGGCATATGTTGAGCATGTTAAACTGATAGACATTAGTGCACAGAGCAAACCCTCTGAAGTCTATTTTATACATACACGCCCACTGGTGCTTATTCAGATAGCCTTCTACACAGCTCGTAGCTTGAACTCAAGAAAGTACACAAGACTCCATCAAACACCTGATAATAATTGATGTGTTGGTCGGTGTTGGCATCCAGCCCAATAATTGCTAGCTGCCCAGTTGCCTGAGCTTGAAGGCAGCCAGACAACCAGGCAACCACTGAAAACTCCGACTCGACAAACCAACCCTCAACACCGTTAACTTTACAATTACGGAGTAAATCCAGACTCTAGCTGGCTAACGAACGAACCAACATTCCCACCTCCAGCGTTATTCAGCACCGGAAATGCGGAAATGCTTGCTCATGATGTCATCCATCGGGTGAATCCACCGCCACTGCTCTAGACTGAGACCAAGGGTCAGACCGTCAAATAGAGTAATTCTCGCCCGATAAAAAAAAGAACGAAAAAAAAAAAAAAAAAAAGAGGCAACTGTCAGGTCGTGAAGGATTCCTTTCTCGTTGGGTTTTGGTATGAATTATTAATCCCGATTACAGAGTCTGATGATGGGTCGGTGAGTGAGTCAGAGTCAGTATACCGATCGAATCAGACAATGAACAATCCCTGTCTTGCACCTAGATCCCTCCAGTCCCTTCGACCATTATGTATGTATCTCTTTCTTTCTACGTAGTAAATCCCACCCTCCCACCAGAGCACAGAGTACAGGATACGGAGTAGGGTCATACTCAAACCAACCGACACAAAGAAGCTGACTAACCCAACCCAGCCCAACCTCAAACAAGACAATGAACCCTAAGCCTAACCGCAAATCCAAGCCTGGGAGTAAGCCAGAAGAAAGAAAGAAAGACGAATCTAGACTCGCCACGCCTCCCACCGGACGTACGCACAGAGCAGAGTCTAGACTCAAGAACACCAGCAGTCCGGATTGGCGCTCAAATGCCTCACTGACCATTGTTTTAGCGGCGCGCCAAGTTTCCGGATCGTCGCCAATCGGAGGGGGGTTGGATATACGTCAGGGGTCCACTGTTGGGTTTCTATCCTGTCCGTATTCCGGACTGCGTAGGAGAGTGGGAGGACTAGGAGGAGAGTAGGGTTCAGGGTTCTTACTCTTGGTGGGAGTGGATTCAGATTGGGAGTCTGGTGGAGAATAGATCGGTGGATGGATCCACTGTGGCCAGGCCTTCAGCCCTAGTTTGTTCATTCTGCGTGGTTCTGGTTCACTAGGCTAGGGCCCGTTGGGTTACTTTTACTGGGTTCTAGAAAGTTCAAGCGATGGAAAGATGGAAAAGAAAGAAAGTAAGTTTTGAAGAAAGATCAATTGAAGGTATCGTGAAGGAAAGTCGTCAAGAAGTATATCGCAGAAGATAAGAAAAAGGAAGGACAAGTCTATCTCAAAAGTCTTTTGCAAACAAAGGCCCACCCAACTAACTCCACAGTGATCTCAAATCACCAGGTAACCGATTTTCCGACCATTTTCCCATTCCATCCCATCCAAGTCTTGTCGTAGCATAAATTCATAAGTGAACTCAACCAGGAGTCATAATCGTCCTAGCATCCACCATCGTAAGGAGCCGCTCATCTAGAGCGCATCTTTTCACCCACCCCTATCAACCCGAGGAATGAAGAGGAAGAGGGGTTTAGTTCCCCAGACTCAACTGGAACGAGGTATCAATGGGGCAGCCATGCGTGGCATGGTCATCCTTGGGCTGGAGGTAGGCCTCGGCGCAGGACTCATCGCCCGCACCGCAGTTGACGCTGGGGCAGTTGTCGCCGGACTGGGAGGGCTGGACGGCGAAGCCGTACTTGGTGAAGGAGGAGCCGCTGCCCATGTCGATGCAGGACATGTCCCAGAAGATGGTGTCGCCGGACTGGGTGTACTCGAACTGCAGCACGTCGGACTGGTCCTCGGACAGCGACAGCTTGATGGAGATGCCGCCGCCGTTGTCGTTGCTCTGCCACGATTCCTGGTAGCTCCCGCCGCCCGCAGAGAGGGTGTGCATGTGACTGACTCTATCAGACACAGACCACGCGTAGACGGTGGAGTCCAGGTTGTTGACGATGTTGACGCCGCCGGAGCCGTCGCGACGAACGACGGTGCCGGAGGTGGTGGTGTTGGTGGGGATGGTGGTGTTGGTGAAGTAGGGGAGGGCCGTGGCGAGGGTGGCCATGAGAGGGAGAGACTTGAACATCATTTTGATTGATTGGTGTTGTTTCTTTTCTTTTGTAGAAAGAAGTAAAGGATTGAGATGTCTTGAAGACAAGTAGAGAGAGTAGATAGAATAAGTCAAGACTAGAGAATGAAGTCAAAGACAAAAGAAGGACGATTCGAATGAATCAAAAGAAAGACAGAACTATAGAGATAGACTGATCAAGAGAATGTTGTTGATGCAGCTCTCAATCCTCGACGAAGGACCGCATATTTATATCCCAGATGCGAATTGGCTTCGGTGCCTGTCCGCCACGAAACGCTGCGATTCCGAAGGCGCAGGGGCAACAAACTCTAACGGCCTTCTCCACCGCAAACCCTTTCCCTGACCCAGACTCGGCGGCTGTTTGGACGACAGTTGGAGTCTGGATCGGGTCCTGAACCTTTCCAGGGGGGGGGGATGAAACGTCGGAGAGATGGAGAGGTTGTGGTTGGTGGGTGTGCTTTGTGGCACATCCTCTGGTCTGAGAGGTATCTTCTATCGTGTCAGATCGTGAGATTGCACATTTGCAATCCACCGCAATCTAACCTGCATGCAGGCGATGTCATGTCTATCGGAGATTGGATGTTGCAATATGTACGTGTACACTGGACTCTATACTCTGTAGATTACTCTGTAAACTGCTGTGTAGACTATTCTGCAAATTGGCTGATCAATCATCCATATAACACTACTGACCATGACAACCTCAAAAATGGACAAAAGACAAGACACCAAGACGGTCTCGACTGATCGAACTGGCCATCCCTGCACCAACAAAGCCCAAGACATGCGACGGAATTCGACCGTGCAGTGGCCAGGCAAACTCTGTGTCCGTGGCAATAAGATCCCTCTAGTATAAACTCGTGTACATAAGAGTCTACCGCTGTACAAGTGCGTGCACAGACAGCCCTAGCCCTAGCGACCCACGGAACGCCGCCTTCTTTCGCTCTTCCTTTTCCTTTCTTTTCTTCCTTTCTTTCTCTTCTCCACTGCCATCTCCAACAAACGCCCCGCCGCTCCACCATCAATTGTTTTGCCATTGGCCGCATTTGCTGGGTCGGTGGAGCAGGATGACGCCGACTTTTATCTGGTTTTCGTCTTTCGTTTGTCTCTCTCCCTCTGGTTGTTCTTGCGGCGCACAGCGTCCGTTTTCCGCGGGTCGACCACCAACGAACTGGCTTTCTCCTGCCCGGGGAGAATCCTCGGTATTCAGTCTGGTATTCAGGTCTGGTTCCGTTCCCACGTTCTTCTATTCCCTTCCGTGCTACCCGTTGGAAATACCCAAACTGAGGACTTTCCTCGGGGTTCTGTCGTTCATTCTTGTTCTTGGGTTCCGCTGATCGTTAACCTTCCGACGGTCGTTTTAGCCGATCAATGCAGGTCCCAAGTAATGGGATCGGTATTTGCTGGTGTCAGATTCTGCCGATCGGTCCCTTTCGTCCCTTTCTTTGGTCTTTTTTTTCCTCTCGCCGTCGGTACCGTTGGGTGCATGCTTTGGTTCTACTAATAATGTGACTGCACTCTGTAGGTCTTGGTCTTGACACTGACAGAAGAGATGGATCTCGGCAGCCGAAGTGTCACCGAATTTACCGACGTCGATACTTGGCTTGATTCTCATTGGATTCGGTCGCCGTTTCTACGAGGAACTTTCCTGTTCCTGTCCTTTTTTCTTTTTTCTTTTTTCAGACCCTCTTCGCCATCGCGGATTGCATTACCTCGGCTCTGCTGATGGGTACTGCTACTGCATGGATGGCTCTGGGTCAGTGACTCCCTTCTTCTCTTCTAACCAGAAATTCCATCTGAGGGGAACAGAAGAAAAAAGCGACCATTGCTGACTTCCTACTTCCTACCAGACTAGTAACCTGACTACGGTCGGATCCAAAATATTGACACTTCCTTCCTTTCCGGGCCCAATAAGTCGACTCGAATGGTTCGCACTAAAATATAGAAAAGAGAAAGAAAGAGATCGAAAAAGAGAAAGCTAATAGGCTGTACCAATGGAAATTGAAACTCGTCTCTCACACTCCCCCCTCTCCCCGTCAACTCCTTGTCAATCACGACAGGAGACAAGAAATCTAGACTCCTATCTAGACCCCTACCAGTATGGCGCCCGTAGTCCGGCCAGACTGGTCAAGGACCCGTCGGCCGAGGCATCCTCGCGCTTGCGATGGCCCGCCAGCTCCAGGTTGATTTGTCGGTGGATGTGGACCAGCCAGTCCACGTAGCTCTGCGCCTCGTTGTTGCGGTCCTCCAGCAGTAACCGCGCGAACTCGTACTCCGCCCCGTCCAGCCCCTGCCGGGCCAGCTGGATCGTCACGGCCTTGGAGCCCCGGATCGTCGAGAAGTACTGCAGCAGGTTGCGCACCTGCGCGTTCAGGTGCGTCTCCAGCAGCGGGATCGACGACGTCTGCGGGTTCAGCGCCTGCAGCGCGTTGTGCCCTTCGCCGAACAGGTCCTCCAGCAGGTTCGGCGACACCTGCGCGTGCAGCCACAGCAGACACACCTGCCCGTTGTCCACCAGGTAGGCGCCTCCCTCCTCGATCTTGGAGTAGCTGGCCCGCAGCGCCGGCGGCACCTGTAACTGTCCCTGCTCGTTGGGGAACCCGTCCTCCGGCTGCATGTTGTGGATGGGGATGATCCGGGGGTACAGATACAGCGACAGCTCCGAGCAGCCTATCGACCGCAGCATGCGCATGTCGTGAATCCGTCGGTCTGAGGCTTCTTGTCCGCCTGTTTTGGTCAGCACCTTGTCGGGTAGTTTTGTAGTTTTGGAGTTTATATCTCACCCTTCAGCGCCCGCGACTTGAGCAAGCTCAACATGTACATGGAAAACTCCTTCAAGTTCTCCGGCAACACCAGCTGCCCCGGCGGATGCGAGCCCGAGAAGATCTTGCGATAGCCGCTGAAGATATCCACCGTCTTCTCCGTCACGCTGGCCCGGATGTCCTTGAGCGACTTGTCCACCGTCTTGGCCGCAGCTAAAAACAGTCAGCGAGTTAAACTTCCATCAGTGACATGCAATACTAACCCTCCTTGGCCATGATGCTGACGACCGCATCCTGATCGATGTACTTCATCGTCTCCAGCCCGCCCTCGTTGACCGCCGCCACCGTGTTGATGCAGCGCACCCGGCGCTGTCCGTTGGCCGACGTGTACAGCAGGGCCGCCTGGAAGTGGGCGTCCAGCTTGGGATCCAGCTTGCCGTCGTAGCTGAACAGCACGCCGATCGCCTTGTCCGCGTCGATGGCCCCGATCTCCAGGTCCGCCCCCAGCGCGTGCTGCACGAAGTTGCCGTGGTATCCCGACACCTGCAGCCCGTTCGAGCAACGCACCTTCATCAACGCCTGATATCCGGTCTCGCGCGTGGCCGCATGGGCGATCTCCCGCGATAGCTTCAGAAGATCGCGAGGCGCGTGGAAGTTGGGGTAGAAGAACGTCTCTCCGCCCGTCACCTCGGCGATGTGACCTGATCCAGTTAGCATCGAGCATACATCTCCTGAAAGCAATACATACCAACTGTCGCCACATCCACGTAGGTTCCGCCCGGAGCAGCCATGAACAAGTCCACGCCGATGCCCGCCTCCGCCAGCTTGCCGGCCGCATTTCGCCAGTCGGCATGCTCGGTCGTGAACAGCTTGCGTTCGGCTTCCGTCCCGTGTACCTTGGGATCCTCGCGCATGACCAACGCGCCGGGTCCCGAGTTGGGGAGACTCGACACGGCGGCGATGACCTTTCCACCGGTCGCATGCAGCGCAGACAGTGCTGCATTAAGCGCCGGCAGAAGAGCCACCTCCGGCGTCTTGACGTGGGAAAAGATGCTGGGGATTTTCTGCAGAAGAGACGTGATCACCTCCCTAGACGTAGGTTAGCATTAGCCGAAAAAATGTCAAAACGATTTCGTCACGTACTTGGACTCGTAAGGGTCGACAAACAGTCCCTCGCTCAAGGGAACAAACGGCTCCTGCAGATCGGTCATAACCATCATCTGTGCTTGGTCGAGTTGCGCCTGTTCAATGGGTCAGCTCCGCGATGATCTTCCCGCCATTCATGAAAAGCTTACACTCAGGTTGTAGAATTGCACCTCCCGGTCGAAAGTGACAATTCCAATCTTAGCGCCTTCGGGTATTCGTCGCGGCGACTCGCCCTCCTCGGTATTTTCCGTGTCATACAGCGCATTCAAGATGCCTCGGCAGACGCCCTTCAGGAACCCGCGGTTGATAGACTCCTGGCTCACGTCGATCATGAACAGCAGCTGCAGACCGACGGGCTCCTTATTCCAGTATTCCTTGGGCACCACAAACTCCACGGTTCCCATCATCAGCTCTGGACGCTGCATGCGGTCGACGCGCGACCCCGACGGGTCCACGGGGGCAAAGTATTCGGGCGGCACGTCGTTAGGGAAGGTACACATGTTGCAGACGAACTTGTTCCCGCCCGATCGGAAGCTCATGAAGGGATTGATATAGGTGCGGCATCGACGGCATCGCGGCGGTCCGGCGTCGCCAAAGTCCAACACGGGGACGGGCTGCTCGCCCGGGTCCTGGCGAGCCAATGGCTGCAGGATCATGCCCAGTGGCAGCGCGGTCGAGGTGAGGAAGTCGGAGGCGGAGGGGATGTTGTTGAGCGTCAGACGGGCGTATTTGGGAGACGAGTTGCCCTGGTCATGGGCCACGAACGGCACGGCGGCCGGCGGCGCGAGATGGCGTTCCATCGTGGGGTAGACATGGTTGAAGTAGTACTGGGCAGGGAGGTCGCGAGATCGAGGGATGCTGGGGATCTGCTCCGGATCAATCTTTCCTTGAGTCGGCACCGATCCCACTGCGCCCGTTCCTGGGAAGCCCGCCGGCTGCATGCCCATGGAGGGACTGACGCCCCCAACGGCCGGAGAGACCGACCGCGGTGCCTGGTTCAACCCCGTGTTCAAGAACTGCGAAGTCGGCTGCATGCTTTCGGGGGCGACCATGCCAGGCATTGGCGGCGCAACAGACCCCGACGAAGCCCCGCCGATGTCGTGGTGGGCATGACGATGCTTCTTCTTGGACGCGCGGGCCCCGCCCTCGCCCATGATTCCCAACCCACTCATCTGCGACGCCAATCCAGCCATCGAGGGGTCCACGGGAGGACTCATCGCAGCCTGGGGGTCTGCATTGTATCCGAATTGCGGGCTAGGATCGAGACCGCGCGCCGGCGGGGGTTGTTGTAGTTGCTGCGGGTGTTGTTGGTATGGTTGTTGTTGTTGCGGAGGGGCGCCGTAGGTCGACCATTGATTCGGAGGCGGAGCCCCGTAGGGAGCACCAGGCTGAGGAGAAGGACCGGGAGAGAAGCCGGCAGGAGGCGATTGCATTCGATTGGGATCGGAGGGATCTGCGATGGGTTGGCCGTAGGCGTTATATATAGGGGGATAGTCGGCCATGGTGGATCATAGTCAGGGGGTTCAGGGTGGAAGATTCGACAAGGACCGAAGGGGTATGGAACACAAAAGAAAGACGGACGAGAATGCAGAAAGCGAAGAAGGCCCAGCGAGAGGATCGCGGGTGAAGGAGAGACGCAGCGACCGAACGAAGATGAAGCTGCAGCGGCGTGAAGCAACGTAGACAAAAACAGCCCGGATTATCGTTGCGCCGCGCACGAGGTGTCGCTTGCCCTACTTTCTTCTACTGCGTATGTCCCTAGGTAGTATACTCGTACACTGTACGTCTTTCTCAACGGTCGGGGAATTGATTTGATGTTCCAAATTAATTAGATTATTCAATCCAATGGACTCGTTCTATTATCTCTCCCATTCCGGCATCTTCTCCCTTGCGTCCCCGAAATTCCCTGATAAGCCTGCCCATTCACTACCCCCAAACAGTCCATCTCCGGCCAGATGTGCATGGCTTCGCTGCAGGATAATCCGGAGATTGAAAAATGGACCAACTAGCAGCGTGGCTGGTCCTGTGTTTGCTGGTTTGACTGAGTGATCGACTTGGCGGGGCGCTTCTCACCGTCTCTTTAGTCGCGACTAGCATCATCCTGGTGGCGACGAATTCCATTCGTCTTCTTCGTTTATCTACTAGAGACTGCACCTTCATTCAAACTGAGATTGCGAAATAAATACAATGGCCACTATCTCCGATGATGACGAGCGCCTGCTGGCTCGAATCGGCTACAAACAAGTCCTCTCTCCCCTCATTCCCTTCCCTATCTTCCACTAACCTCACCCAGGAACTCCAACGAGAATTCTCCAAATGGTCCACCATCTCCTATGCCATCTCTATCCTCGGCATCTTGGGCTCAGTACCCGCGACGCTCGGCGCTCCCCTGGCCGCCGGGGGACCCGCCACCGCCGTCTGGTGCTGGGCCGTCGGCTCGTGCATGGCGCTGTGTATCGGCAGCTCCGTGGCAGAGCTGGTGTCGGCCTATCCCACGGCCGGGGGCATGTACTTCGTCACGAAACATGTCGTGCCGGAGGAGCATGTGCCGGTGTTCTCGTGGGTGCAGGGTTGGTGCAATTTGCTCGGGCAGACGGCCGGCGTGGCCAGCGTCACTTACACCGTCAGTCAGATGCTGTTGGCGGCGGTCAGTATGAATTCAGGGCTGTTGGGAGGAGGGATGTACCAATACTCTCCGTAATATATCTTCTCTATCCTCTTGTCGGCTCATGGCTGACTGCGTGGTTATATAGAACCGCCGTTGATACCGTCCTCCTGGCCATCGTCCTGCTCTGTATTCTGGGGGTGATTTGCTCGTTGACCACGAAGACGCTGCATCGCATCGTCTTCTGGTTTGCTCCGATCAACAGTACGTTTTATACCAGGTGTTCAAAACGCAGGACCATAGTTAACTGTCCAGTCACCGCCACCATCGTCATCTGCTGTGTCCTGCTCTCCTCGTCCGAGAAACAGTCCGCCAGCTGGGTCTTCACGCACTTCACCGACGGCTCAGGATGGGGATCCAAGCTCTTTTCCTTCCTCTTGGGCTTCATCTCCGTCGCCTGGACAATGACCGACTACGACGGAACCACCCAGTCTGCTCCCATCCCAATCACCATCCACAATCCAAGACCCTAACAGTGAAACAGCATGTCCGAAGAAACCCACGACGCCGCCTCCCTCGGTCCCCTGGCCATCCAATCCGCCGTCATCGTCTCCGGCCTGATGGGTTGGCTCCTTACCATCTGCCTGTGCCTCTGCATCACCGACCTCGACGCCATCCTCGACACCCCCACCGGCCTCCCCGCCGCCCAGATCTTCCTGAACGCCGGCGGCCAGACCGGCGGCACCATCATGTGGGGTTTCGCGATCCTCGTGCAGTTCTTCACCGGCTGCTCGGCCATGTTGGCCGACACGCGCATGGCGTATGCATTTGCAAGAGACGAAGCGGTGCCGTTCTCCAGGTACTCCCTCCCTCCGCCCCTTACCCCATCCAAGTAGAGCAAATACTCAAAAATAAACACACAGCACCCTCTCAAAGATAAACCCCAGGACCAAAACCCCCCTCAACGCCGTCTGGTCCGTCGTCGCCGCCAGCATCCTCCTGACCACCATCGCAATCGGCTCCACGCAGACCGCCACCGCCATCTTCAGCATCACCGCCCCGGCCCTCGACCTGTCCTACGTGTCTGTCATCCTGGCCCACCGGGTCTATCGGGACCGGGTGCCGTTCGTCGAGGGCCCGTTCTCGCTGGGTCGGTGGCGCGGAGTCATCAATTGGGTGTCGGTCGTCTGGGTGGTGTTTATTAGTGCGGTGTTGTTCTTTCCGCCAAAGGTGCCGGTTACGGTTGTTAATATGTATGGTTCTTTCTTCTCGGGATTTTTTTCTCTGGGGGATTGATTGGAGAGAGGACATGAGGCTGATCTGTCTTTATAGGAATTACGGTGTCGTTGTGGGTGCGTTCATCGGGGTGTTTGCCCTAGTGTGGTGGTGGATTGATGGGAAAGGGTGAGTATATAGTTTTTCTTGGTTCTATCTGGCTATCTCTTGTATGAGCTTGACATGCTGATCCGATGCTTGAAGAAAATATACCGGCCCTCGAACGAGCGACTACATCCAGCCAGTATCCACCGAAGACCTCATGGAGGAATATGGCACATTTCGTCGGCACTGATTGTGCAGTATGACATGGAATCCCTAAAACTGCCTACTAGGTTATACTTTTGGATGCTGGTTTTTTGCTATGTCACGTACTCCGTGACACTATCTTTTTATATATATTCAGCTTCTCTTTTTATCCGTTTATAGCTGAGTTTCCAAGGAAGGCAGAACGCGACAAGACAAGCACGCAATCTAAACTTAACATCAGCAGGGATTCGTATCCTCTTTTCTTTTCTAAACCTCAGTATTTTCAACACCAGATCTCCAGACCAGACCACTGAGCAACGTATGGTTTGGCTGTTGCGTCGGATTGGGTGAAGGGTTCGAACGGCCATTCAAGTCACGTCCTGCTAAGAAAGTGTTACCCCTTATGTTAAAAAGGGATGGTGAACCTTGACAGGTATTTAAATCACGAAACACTTAGCTTCTTCCGCGACAGTCCTTTCTTGATCCTGGCGTTGGACTGCAACCGGGATGGTCTGTTATCTCGATCTTCCAATCCTCCACGCAGATTAGCATAGTTGAGGCTATAGGACAGTGGTCATCCAGCGGGCGACCAGGAATCACGCAAGGCAGCAACAAGACAAAGGGAAGAAGAAAGAAAACGGAAAGCAAACAGGCAGCGAAGGACATGTCAACCAAGGGGATAAAATCAAAGTCTACAGACCCAAGGAGTCTGCTATGCGCGCAGTCGGCCGTTATGGCATCAGTCGTCCTCATCAGTATCAATCTTCCATTCCGGTGGGCACCGAGGATCGATCTGGCTTGTTGGGGCACGCACATAATATCCGCGAATGACTTTCAACAAAACTTCTTGTGCATGGTCAAACACATAGAATTGCCCTCCGGCTCCGTCCATACGCCACATCTCTTGAAAACAGAAATGACAAGCACGTCCATATTGACGCTCGTACGTCTCGCCAAATACTGCAGTAATCTCAGACTCTACGTCCCCCTGGCGAGGGTGGTTGCCTTCTGGCTCATCCCCGAACTTGTACTTCTGCCTAGCATAGCGGGTCACGTAAACATCAATATTCAAGAGATCACGCATGATTATCAAATCCTTCAGACGTCTTCGTGCGATTGACTGTAGTCGATGCTCCAGATCCTCGGGCTCTTGAATAAGCAGCCCCCACAATTGATAATAGCACCGTGTAAAACGGTGTCGCTCCGTGGGCAACAGATATCGCGGACGTACGCCATGCCCACCAAAGAACTCGATCACACATTGCTCCTCTGCACTGCGATGAGATAACGTCGAAATACCGGAGAAGAGGGTTATGATGACTGCACTTACCACGCATGTCAGGAGTGATGTGTGTATTAAAGAAACACATTGCCTGGTTGACAACCGCCAGGTTACGTGCCATGCGCCGGACATCCCAGACTGTCACCGAAGACTCAGGACCTGAGCCCCCTTGATCCGCAAGCAGATTGCGCGCATGACGATGGCATATTATCTCAATTGGCGCAATTCGTTTATATATAGCAGTGGTGTTTTCAGACCACACAGACTGAAGACGACGGCATGTTGCAGCCAACCGGTGTACAAAGAAAAACGACCCAAGGTCACAATATATCTCAACCAACACTTCTGTGGGCAGAGTTTGGAGGTAGTAATTGTCGCAAAGTGGAAAATCCTCATCGCTGAGAACCCACCAATCACTTGACTGAGGTGGGATGTGTTTCTCCATGTGAACATCTATATATGCAGTTAAACAGAGGAAATGTGAATGTTTTCACGAAAGAAAAGGAAAGGAGAAAGAGGAGATCGAGGGCGTTTTAAAGGCGCCTGGAAAGACAAAGAATGGGAATCAATCAATAACCACGCCCAACCTATCCCAAATGCGGTGCCCTTTTTTGTTCATACTCTCTCAATCGATCACTCTTTGTGTCGACAAACATGTGAGGGCTAGGCCCAGGCGGCACAACTACAGTGTTTGAAGATTTGATTGACCAGACGTAACCCCTGATTGCCAAAGCAATCAGAGCAACAACTACTAATGGTGCAGCATCCAGATATTAGACTGCCTAGCTGGCCACAGTGTAGCAATGTATCCCAAAAGGCTCTTTCTATGTCCCATCCTCATGCTGCAATTTTATCGATATCTCTTTTGCCTGGAATACCCTACCTGCATCCGATAGTCTGAAGTGACTTATTGAGGTATCCAGAATGTCAGCCAATACACAGCCAGTTCTAGATCCAAATTCCTCCTCCCATCCCACAAACCAACTCTTCACCCCGCTCCAAGGATCTGCTCCTGGAATCGGGGTAGAGTTCGAGACTGACGGCATTTCACTTCGAAGCAGTAACCCCTTCTGTACAGACCGTGATCTTACGAATGCCAAAGCAAAGGTGGTTGCAAACAGGAAGGGACGGCATTAAAAGTTAACAGGAGATGACACTCCTGGACATGATTCCCTTCATGCAGAATATATTGGGAATGAAGTCCTAGGAAGATAATAGAATTAAATAATCTCTCTATCTACATGAGGTAGACCATGGCTTATATTACAGCGCAGAGAAACTCAAATCAATTTAGAAGAATTCATTTGTTTTGAAATTACTTTCATTTATATTTTTTTCTTTTGCGTTTCCCACCCTATCGCTGCATCATAGATAGGGCTCACATCTGCTCCTATCCCCGGAGGATGCAAGCACCTAGGGTGGAATTGCCTCAGGTCAATTTGGGGTCCCCGGTGGTTCCATCCAGGGCTGAAGCATGGTATGGGATTTTGTCTATAGAACTTCTCGCAGGAATGACCTCGTTGTTATTTGTTGTACCGCAGCTTTCCCATTGTGATACTATTTTTGAAACAACCTTGATTTTCCTCCAGACATCACTTGATAGGTTCCGTGACAGGAATGACCACGATTCTTTTGAACAATATTTCCCTCCGTGCTACTATTTTAGGACGGTCATGCTTTCTCTTTAGGAAAACGCAGGTGAGCCTGCCTCATCTGATAGAATCCTTCCTGAGAAGGATCACGACTTTCCTGCTTCTAAAAAGACCACATGCGTATGGACTCGAACTGGTGCTTTTGCTTCAATTCACTAAAGAATGGCATTTGGTACTCAAACGGTAATTCTGGCCTATTAACTAATTGTAATGGGTAAAGGCGCGTCTCTACCCTTGGCTTTCTCTGCGGCCATTTTTTGGTTCTGAGATTCTGTCTCCTTGACAAATTCTTCCCAGCTCTCCAGTAATAGCTGACCACGCTCCTGTTTCTCTCTCTCTCTCTCTTCTCTTTCGTCTTGAATATCCTCTTCGGTCATGCCTTCGTAATCTTCCTCTTCATCATCCTGATCCACAGCATCGTTTGATGTCTGTTGCTGGTCGGTCTTTTCAATTTCAAACCGTGAGTCAAAATAATCGGTGCTACCTGGAGGCGTCTTTAAGACCCTTCTGACTGCCTCAAAGCCCTTCAAGCTTCCATCCTCATCAAAAATCGGGCGCTGGGATGTTTGGACGGGTCCAAGGGAGCATGCAACATCAAAGGAGTAGGCCTTAGTACATCTTATGAGTAAAACATATCGACTAACTAGGCTGGAAACACTTACCTCAGAGCTCCATAGTTTCGACAGTTTCCGCGGCTTGAACTTCAGTCCATGAAACGAAATAACCTGCCCCTTCGAGCCCTATTCGGAGAAGTCAGTGTCATGCTGGATGTTTCAATCAATTAATATCTCAAAGTATAGACTAACCGGGACAGCAGGGAATGTTGTATAGCTTCGGCTTTCGAGCTTTTTAAGAGATCCAGTTCCGCCGCCGAGCTTGCCAAAGCCAGTCGCTCCAATATCAGCCCCCACGTCAATGTCTTGGTTGCTGCCGGTATTCATTTTGATGGCGCATTCGTCAGTGAAGTAAACGCCCTTGATAACCCAAAGTCCATTGTCTTTGGCACATGATCCATGTACTTCCACAATTTTCTGTCCATTGCACTTGAGCCAGTCTTCGGCACTACCATTGAAAGGACCGGTAAATGATTCGTACTTGACCAAGCCACTGGTAATGAGGGCTGCCGACCCGGTGGTGGCTTTCTTGTATTTCACATCAACAGATCCCTCGATTGGAACCCCTCCAGCAGCACCTGAGGCTCCCGCATTGCCGCGGTAGCTACGTGCCGATTCGTTCTCAGAAGTCCGAATGCTCCATTCACGGGTTGCCTTCTTGTACCTCTCCGAGCCCAGCTGTTTGAATGCTTTGACGTATCCCTCGGATATGAAAGCCTCAGGGTTCGATAAGTCTGCAACCGGCGACCAGTCACCCGACTGAGGATCGAAATAGCCAACAACTCCAGGATGAAGATTTTCGAAAACAATCGGATTCAGGAGATATCTGCCTTCACCCTTGTTTTCAAAAAGTTCGGCGTATTTATCAGCTGCAGTCTTGGACGGCATTGTGTCTGTGGGACGAGATTCGAAGACAATTCAAAGGGGACAGACAGTATTGATCTGAACGAGACAAAACGAAGTTCTACTGGGGGGTTTGCTTGCTTAAGAACTGGAGGTGAGAAGCCTCGACCTGAACAGAGATGACGCAATGATTTACTGCGCAAATTACTGCATTTGGACGATATAGGAGAAGAACCCCTCTTCTACTCATAGCTCTTGGTGCTGAGAGCGGATTGGATTGGTTCGAGGGACACCAAACAGATGTGCGAACTACACGTAGCCCGCATGAATCTCGCTGCCGACCCACGGTGGCTGAGCTAGGTGGGTTAAGTCTGCGTATGTGGAGGAACTCTTCAGCTGAGACCAAGTCAAATGTACCCACAAGGCCCTCCGATTCGTGGCCTAAGGTGGCCAAATCTAGTCTCATCGGGACGGCTCCTCCGCCTCTACGGCGATCACCACTTGGTTCAATCATTTCCAATGCCAGAGCTGGACCCAAGTGCCGAAAAATGTTACCGAGCTTGATCATTTTGAAGCCTAAGTTCAAATTGGGTCTGCAATGTACTCAAGATGTCCAAGTCACCACCTTTTCAACTTTTGCTTGTTATTCATCCTCCTAGAGAACTCGTACGCTGCGCCCGCTCTCCCCAACCATTCCCAAATTACTACATTGCTTACGGAATGTCTCTTATAATAGCTGGAGATATGCGGCCTTAACTTTCCTGAATGCGTCGTCCAATTCATGATGCTAAGGGTACGCCCAGTTGGAAGCAGAAGGCCGAGCTTGTGATCACAATTTTAATTAAAGAAACCCACGAGTTAAATCATTATATTCACCCGGCTTGAAATCAAAGCTTGGGAAGGTAGATATAGTTGGTTATACTCGCTGTAGCTTAATAGTTCGTGGCGACAGAATACCTAGGGGCCTACGTTAGGTATAGTACGATCGGTGGGTGAATCATATAAGTGGGAGCAAGATCAGTGAGCCGATCTCAGCGGGAGCCGTGCTCAGTTCTACTCAGTGAGCAAAAGCGGCGACCCAGTGAGCACTAATCTGGGAAGGGTAGCCAAAATTCACCAGGAGAAATCCAGTACGTAGGTATACGGCTTTAAACGCTAGATCATCCTGCATACTGTCCCGTATCAGTTGCCAGGCAGACATCTGTTTTGGCCCAACCGGTCATGTGCTCAACCCACATCCAAATTAAACCCATGATTCTGACTTTCAAAGTTGGCATGCGCCTCTTTTGAAACCTCCAGAATCAAACCCACTGTTTCCCTCATAGACCTCGGCATGGAACTTCCACGGGTAGGCATTTTGGTTCCAGACCCGTGGAACAGGTAGACGAGTCCTACCCATTACCCATGACCCCCCTACCCACTACCCACTATAGGTATCCCGCGGAATGTTTGTAAACTACTTAAAAATATATAATTAACCTTTTTTAAATATATTAAGCTATATAAAATTACTTATTTTTTTAATTAAAATATTAATTGTTATATTTATTTTAGTTATTCTTTAATTTATAATATAATATAACTATATACTATAATTTTTATAGCCTTTAAACTTCCGCTCTAACTCCTTAATTGTAGGAAAGTTTGAAAGGTTAAATTTAAAAATATCTTATAGTCTATAATAGATTTAATCTTTAGAAGGGACTACCGCAGTGGTAGTAATTTAATTAGATAAAAAACTTATTTTAAGATGCTTAAGAAGAAATAAGGTGATATACAGCTAGAGATTACTAAAATAATAAAAGATTAAAAAAAAATAGAGGAAATTAAACAGCTTTAAAAAAGTAGAGGGCTTAAAACCTATTAAGAATAAAGTCCTAAGAAGATAATAAAATTAGATAATCTTTCTATCTATATAAGGTAGACTATAGCTTATATAGCCATGGTTATATAACCTGTATCGCGGAATGAGCCATGCAACTCCCGGAACCTGCCGCCAATGTAGTGGGAGGTTCCAACAGAATACATCTTAGATGGGAGACGCCTAAAGCTTGGTTCAGGAAAGGCTGCCCGAGCAGCACAAAGAGTTACAAATGACCTAGTACGTTCAAAAGAACCTATTGCGTTTGGTTTGATCTAACAAGGTGCAGGAGGACTGGAGCCCTGGCGCGAACGCACCGGACTTTGACAGATTCGTCTGGGTAGAGGGGGAGAAGGTTGGGCATTTGACCCCATTTACGATCACGAAGCCAACTAAAAGTCAAGATCTAAATAAGATCGATTGGGCTCGGCGGGTAACAGCGCCAATGCCCTTGCGCGTCATAAACAAATTAATGAGGCAGGGGATCCTTGACCCAGATGGGCCCCTATCGCCCGTGCTACCCAAATTCAAGGAGCGAATGGTATGGGTTGGGCTGGAGTATTTCCGGTCTAGGCCTCAGGGGATCGAGCTTAGGGACCTCACTGACGACGCCCTGAGATTTTTTGCCCTTGTCCTAAGCTATGCCAAGGCATCAGGTTCCTGTAGTGGCAGAAGCCCTAAGTTCTCTACCTCGATCATGCCACGCACAGATTTCGCTACCATGTTTCGTCTAGCCAATTTGGACAATATTTTGAGGGATAAGTCATTTTACGAAATAGTGAAAATAGCTTCGTGCTATGAGATTGACAAAACAGGGCACATCAAGTGAGTGAGATTATCTATGCTATTTCTAACAACGACTTACAGAAGAGTGATTAGCATCGACCCAAGGTACAGCAACGGTACCCTGGAAGAACCCCTGCCGAATAATAAGCTTGATACAGCCCAGTTCGTCATCGGGGAGGCCAAGATCAATGTGCGGGACTGGCTCGAAGGAATCCAGCATGGCACAGACATACTCAGTGAGTTTGACGCTGATCACGGCGATACCCAAATCGGCGCCCTTGGAATGCGCACGGAAAGGGTGTTTGGCAGACAGGAGCTGGCCCCAATCTTTGTGTTCAGGAACTTGGGCAGTTCAAAGAAGGAAGCATTCGCCCGTGACGTTCAGGAAGCCGAGGAATGCGTGATCAGGCTCCATATGGGATCTTAGCAGCTACACCTGGAGTATGGGGATATGTTGTCTCGCCTTGCTCGAACGCCCAAGCCCACGAACGGATGGTTCTCTCGATACCGAAACTCTACACCACCCTTTGGCTTCTCGCGCGCTCAAAAGCAACACCCTAAGGATGGATTCTGATCTGCAACTCCGCAGGTCGTGAACGGCGTCCCATGAATGACATATCTCTTCTCCAAACCCCGAAGTCTAGACAAACGCCAAAAGCTCCTCCCCTTGTTCCTCGACTCCTCTAGAGCATTGAACATATACGACAACCACTGTGCCATGTAGCCAGACAACGCGGCCAGACTCACTCTCACCCTTCTCACTACTTGAGCTTCGTCGTGTGGTCGAAGTCAGCGGAGAAAAGCCTGGGATTGCACCGAGCTGAATCCTCCTAGCCATATTCTTGATTTGAAAGATGATGTGAGGGTGAGATGGCTCATGCATTGTGTGGCAGGAGTTCCTGTTCAGAGACAACAGAGTGAGTGGTGGAAGAGGAAGAGAATTCCCGTATACTGCAGCATGTACATGTACACATGCGCAGGGGCGAGTTAGGGCAAGTCACGGGAAAGGTTTGCGAATGGCGGTAGTAGAGTAGCGCTCTTGTCATTTCCTGGAGCTACCGGTTGCAAATTCACACTAGAGATGAGCAGTCCCCTGACTACTTCTCCCCATAGCAGACACCTTATCTGGTAGGATCGGTACACATAGATACGTATATATTGCGTACAATCTCGAGTGAAGCATACAAGTACAAGATAAAGAAGGGCAAGGTAAATCAACAGACTGAGATATACTTGGATATCCTGTGAAATGCACTTTACTTAATGATATCACATCACATAACATATAAATACATCGTTAAACGCTCAATCTCACTCCAAGCCCTAAGCCCAACCCCAAACCAGAAAAATGGTAGTTAGCTGCCTGCAACCACCGCAAGACCCTCGTAGATCTTCCTCTTGACGGCCAGAAAACTGCCTGCGCCGCCACGTAGAGTCCCCGCGGTAGCTAGCTGCGCCGCCGCTTCAATCTCGATCCTCCCCGTGCCGGACTTGCGCACCGCGACCATCCCGTCGATCAGGAGCGTTCCCTCGCCGCGGAATTCAGCCTTGTGTCCGGCGCCCTGCATGATCTTGCGCAGATCGGCAAGTCGGAGATCGCCCACGTGCAAGGGGCGCGTCATGGACCGCGTCCCGGCCGCCATGTTGGCGGGGAGGGTGTCCAGCATCGGGTACACGTCTGTCTTGTCTGTTGTCGTCGTCATCGTCGTGGGTTTGGCCTCCTCCTCCGCTGAAGGAGCGGCCTCGGACTTGCCGTCCACGAGTTTGGGCTTTTTATTGGGCGAGTCTGTCGCGTCGTCGGCGTCTTGCTCGGGCTTTTCGGGTGCCCGCAATTGCCCCGTGAGGGTCACCACGCCGAGGCTGCGGACGTGCTGCCATTTCAGCCGGCGAACAAGGCTGTTGCTCAACTTGACCATCCAGGCATTGGTATCAACGCTGGCGTCGATCATCTCGCCGTTGGCAGGCGTGAAGATGACGGCCAGATCCTCATGGGACACGTCCATGCCCGCCTTCGCGACGAGGAGCTTCTTGCATTCGGTCGCCAGCGCCGTGGTCTCTTCCTTCATGCCGCCCACCAGGATCAGTTTGCGCGGTTGGATCAGCGGGATGAGCATCTCCAAGCTTCGTTTGTCATGCAGTCCGGTGAAGTCCACATACGCAAGTCGCGCGTTGATCGTGAGGGAGTTCTTCGCGTAGACGGCCTTCGCGGGGCCCTCGAAGGCTTGTTCGTCGACAGCATCAGGCTCGGCCGCGGCATCTGCGTCCTCCTTGTCTTCTTCGTCTTCATCACTACTAACACTGATGCCATCTGCCGTACCGGTGTCTCTCCGCAGATCCCCATCAGCCAGATGCGCCCGCTTGGGACCTCCGCTGGGTCCGGTTTCGTCCCACCGTCGCTTTTGGCCAAGCTTGGTCTGGGAGTCAGAGCGCCGTTGTTGCATGTCGGCCTCCTCGCGTTCTTCAGCACGCAGGTATTCCTCCGGCCGAATGAACTCTCCATACTCGTCTCCCTTCTTTCGCGGAGCTACGTATGGGAACATTCGCTCGCGACCCTTCTTGCCGCGAACGTCGTAATCGTACACATTTTTCCGCCGTAGCAGGACGTTGATGCCCAGATCTTCGTCGCTGAGTCCAAGCTTGTTGCGGTTGACGTGTGCCAAAGAGGTTGAGAAATTTAGCACTCGTCCCTGTTGCTCCTCTTCGGAATCCTCGGATGATGAGCTGGACCGGTCATCCAGGGCATCGGCCGCCGTCTCCAAGGCTTCCTGGCCCCGCGCCTGCGAGGTGTCTTGGAGTTGTCGTTGTGTCGCGAGATATTGTTGGTAGACCAGCTGCTCTCCGGCGTCTAGCGGCGCTCGCTGCACGTCGGTCCAGGATAGCTCTCGTCCGCCACTGTGAACCTGCTCGATTGTCTCGCCATCCGACGTCTTCTCCAGTGCAACTCCATCCTGCCTTTGCTCGTACCATTCCCAGATCATACTACCCAGGGTTTTCCGTTGAGACTCATCCTGGTCCACAGGAAGATTCTCCTTGTGGAGCGACTCTGTAAGCAGCAACAGGTTGTTCGGACCCTCCGCCACCACACGAAGGGCTTCCTTCGCGAAACCCCAGTCTAGGGAAGTATCCGACGCAAGAACGACTTTGGGCGTGGGGTCGCTCAGGATCTTCTCCAGTCGCTTCCTTCGCTCCACGATCTTCAAGTGTTTGAATGTGAACGGAGCTGCGCCTTTCTCTTCGCCCTTGCTATTTGCCTGCCCACCAGACCGGTGGCCATCCGCACCAGACCGAGACTGGCCCGTCGTCGCGTCGACACCTTCGGCGGCTTCGAACTCGCGCACGATGTTCTCATCCATCCATTCTATCATACTTCGCGCAAGCCTCATCGTCGTGTGAGCCTTTCTCCCTGCCAGATACAGCCCCGCACCCTTCAGCGGATCGGTTCCCTGCTCAGTTCCGGCAGCGTCGCGCCATGAATGCTCCAGCGCATACGCAAGTTCCAGGACACGGGCGCTGGTATCCGTCGGGATCAGAACAGTGCCCCCTTTGGCAAGAGAGCTCCGGATCATGTCCAACAAGAGATCATCGCGCTTCTTGCGGCCGCCCGGGAGTGCAAATTTATCGGCACCCCGGGTACTACAGACTAGGGCAGTCGGTTTCCGCAGCTGCTCGATGACTTCCGCCCCGCTGGCACCGGACCCTCCGAACCACGCCGCACCGGCCACCACGCTCTCTCGAGCCTGGTTCCAGTCGACTGCATACACAATCGACTCCATCCCATGTTGCACGTGCCATATCGTTCCACCCACAGTATGTCCAGCATTGTAGGCCGTCAACGTCAGGCCGTTCAGCGGCGGGGAGAAAGGGGAGGCAAGCGGTTCGTGGGGTTGAGAGTACTTCAATGGGTGAATAGAGGAGAAATATCGGGCAATATCTTCCGCGGTCGGGGGCTGAAGCAGAATCCGTCCGGAGTGACTTGCAGCGGTCGTAGCTCCGTCACTCTCCGCGACCGATGCCGCAGCTGTAGAAGCGCCAGGCTCGGAGACCGACGCTTTCGGTAGATATGTAGCTGCTCGGGGCGAGGACGCGTACAAGTCCTGGAGCATCGTGCGACCGAGGGCAATGACCGGACTGGTAGCGTACACGGGGATCTGGTTAAAAAGGGGAAACGCCTTGCAGCAGTGCGCAAAGGCACCGATATGGGCGGGGGTCGCATGGGTTAAGAGAACGAGGGACAGTGTAGGGATATGCCTGTTTCAAAATATTATTAGCGATCATCGCAACTCATCACAACGAGGGTCTCGAGGAACAAAGAGGAAGGAGAGCGCTCACTTTTCCAATTCCTGCAAGTCGAGTGGATCAAAGGTATCGCCCCAACCCACGTCAACAAGAATCTTGATTCCACCATCAAGCTCTAGAATCGACTGGGAAGCTTTGGAGGAGGAGGACTGTGCCCCCAATAAGGGCGTGAATGTGAACATGTTTGCTGCTCGCTGTTTAGAAGTTCAGCAATCGCGGAGTGCGCCGACCGCACGTTGGAACTGCTGTCAGGAAGGACTCTGTGGCGGAACAGTTTTACCGTGAGTCATCAGCCCACAGAAGGCCAATTTGAACACAGCAAGACAAGAGACCCCAGTTACTGTGGCATATTCGAGTGCATGGCAAAGCAATGGGTGAAACGAAGAGGATGCGATGATGAAAGAGACGCGGAAGAACAATGAGCTGGTTTATCGCGTTTGTCTGGTTTGCACGGTTTGGCAGCGCTGCCCAATTGGGGTTAGCGCTGGTCAGCCCTACTTTCTCATCGACGCTGTATACCTTCAATGCCTTCTATACTTCGGTGCTAAGATTTAGAATATGTAGTGGTGATAGTGATTGAACTAGTACGAAAAGAACTAGTAGGAATCATAACAGAGTAATCATAGAACAAGAACTCCATGATAGAAACCCTCCCCAACTTCCAACTCAGCAGGAAATAGTATCTCCCACGATGACCATACTCCTAAAAGACAACATTCGAAGCCCAATCCAGTCTTTGAACTCTATTCACTTCTCCGCTTGAAGATACGTCCAATCTTTTTCAGCGCCTTCCCAGTCTTCTTGAAGAAATTCCCAACTCTAAAACCGTCATGAGCCAAAGTATTCTAGGTAATCCACCCAACAAATTGCGGAGTGATCACTTTTTGACTGCACTTAGCTGTAAGTCACCAAAAGGTGCAAAGTCATGACGCACAACGTCGTCTGCCTCCTCCCCTGGTGGCAGGGGTGGATGTTCAATGCTGGCTCTCACTTCCTCGGGGTTGTACGTTTTGAACAGGGCGACCCAAAACAACGAACTTCGACTAGCCTGCTCATAGAGCCAGCGCTTTCGCATGTCAGGAATGCCGAGTTTCTTGCAGATTTGAGACGCCTCCACGTTCGAAACAGCAGTCTCATGCATCTCCTGCTTATTCTGCTTGGGGCCACCCCTCACACCGAGACGGTCCCTGAGTCTGATTTCTTCATCTACTTCCGCCGTATTACCACTAATCGGCATTGTTCCAACACTGGATATCGTACGACCATGGAGCTGTCGTTGGGGAGCATATTCTGCACCCTGAGAATGGGACAAGGGCATATCTTGTCGGTTGTGCCGGTCTCAAATACCTCTTAGCAAATTTTCCGACAGGCAGGATAGTTTGCTGTTGAGCGGACAATCGACTCCAGAGCTCAATCCGGAGTATTGAAGATGGGCAGCTTCTTACCATCGGGCGAGCTATCATCGGTTCCTATCCAGAAAAACGTTAGTCCATGACCATTCACGGGTGAGGAATGTGGCATGCAAGGGGGCGAGAGCAAGGAATGCAACCTTCTCCCGTGGGGTATTTCTTCTCGACCATCCTGGTTGGTCTGGTACAAAGAATGACTAAGTGCAATATTGGAGGGATAGATTTGGACAAGGGAATGACAGAGACGCAGAACGAGTAGTACTAGAGCAGATCACTAGATGATCTTAAAAGCGTACAGAAAAAGGCAGAGAAACATGCTCAAGACCAGCAGGACGACAATGCACCAAATCCATTTGTACTCACCGCTGGAAACAGACGGAGTGCGAGGCGCGCCTTCCTCGTCAGTGCCACCTCCACTTTCTTGATTCTCGGGATCGGGTGGTTCGACGACTAGTTCGATAAGTCAGTCAAACATGAATAAACGGCGGTTCTGATATACATACGACATCGCTTTGCCAGTGATGGACGTTCGTAGTTTGGGTAGTGGAGCAGTCTTTCATTAACACTGCCGGGAGTCAGACCCTCCCTCTGTTGAGTCACATCGAGGGTATTTGGCACAGACGGGAGTGGTGGTATAGGGTCTTCGATTGTCCAGTACTCATCATCGTCCCTAGCCCATATGTTGTTCCTGATGTGTTGTCTCTGGATCGGATCGTCCAAGGCGCTTTCAAGAGTCCGATACGCATACTCGCTCAACCAAGTGTCCTTTAAGGCAGTCAGATGCGTGTATGGTCCGACATCAAATACCCATTCTAGTTCAGCGACAGCCGAGGCTTGGGGAATAGACAGGCGCCTGGGTGTTGCTCTCGGCTCCAGTACCCAACGGGGAGCTGGCATGGTATGTCCGAATGAGATGTTGATAGTCATGTATTTCGGATCAAAAGGTATGCCATGGGACGGATCTGCCGTCGCCTTTGCATCAGAAGAGGTATTAGGAACCTCATGTGACTGTTGACTGTCTGATTGTCCAAAACTCCAGGTGAACCCGGGGAGGGCCGCACGCGGATCGGCAAGGATGTTGGTACGTCTAGTTATGCTCGAGGGACCGGCAGCTCTTGAGCTAAATGTTCCAAGATCATTCAATCCAATATCGGTTCTAGTTTCCGGGGCATGAGACACCTCTACATGCTCAGCATGGGGACTATCGGAATCAAAGGACTCCCGGTCCGGCCTGGGAGGGACAGAGTTCTGTCGGCTTGTAGGAGTACCAGTCATGATGGTTGAAGAAAATCCAATATATGTCGACAAGGAATATAAATGACAGATATTCAGCTGTGCTGAGGACCTGGAGTCTTGGATGTAGGTGGGCTTTATGGAAGAGGTGTTATCGCACTGCCACGAAAGAACGCCGGCGCTTCAGTCAAAACAACGGAATCTAGAGGAGGATCAGTACCACGCCGTGATAGTGCGCTCGCTGCAGTATTTGGTCTAGAGGGATACAAAGGGGAAGATACCACCGGTACTATATTTGAGACGTTACCTTGTCTTCCTTTCTGGTCTCCCTTTGGAACCCCTACCAACGGCAGTAAATATAACAAAGAAATAGATCTCAAAACCAGCTCTTTCACTGGAAGCAGAACTAAAGGCACGTAGACGCAGCGTGGCTCTAGAGCTTCTTTGTGTTGTTTCAGTAGGACAAAGGCCTCGACAAACCATAAGCCAGTTAGTACTGTGTGGGAAAAAGAACATCCCCAAAGAGCCGAAATGATAATAAGGAGCCCAACAGACTTTACCCCTGCCAAGTGAGTACATCGGGTTAATGAAAATGGCAAAGAGCCAGACAGTCACCGGTTGGACCCCGAGTTCTTTCAATGCAAGTTCCTAGGGCAGGGAAAAGATTGCAAAGCAACTCTGCCATGGTCAGGAATTTGGTAACCCGGAAAATAGACCAAGAGCTCTGCCGTGGACTGGAAAAGCCCCTTGGAGTCCAATAATAGCCTAATGGCCGCCCCTTATTTCGGGTCGAAGATTCCATTTGTCAATACTCAAGAAGCAGCAAATAGCCACTGTCATAATGAACTGGGGAAGTAGAAAGGCCTTTCCCTCTCCTCCAGTTTCTCCCCTTGTTACCGACAACGTGGTTGGAGCCATCCCCTGCTTCGTTGAGAAAAGAGGTTAGACTGGATCGACAAAGAAAGGCAAAGAGCATTCCTCGGAGGATGGACGCCGAATTAAATCCACGGATTCCAGCGATAGTGACCACGAGACCATGCCAGAACACGCCGCAAGACCAGCAGCTTTATTGTGCTTGCGCAGATCTTGGAGGGGATCTTTTCCCATGCCCTATGAAGCATAATTATGGGTCTCGGGACCTGGTTTTGCAGGGCACGTGGTGGCATACGAGAGATGATCCATTATAGTGTCACTTCCGGGCCAACGCGTGGGAATTGTCGAAGTACACGTCTAGTTCACTCTTACAAAGGTTATTCTCTTATGGCTGGCTTGGCCAATGATTATAGTTTCAGAATTAAATACATTCGACCAAAAGTCCTTCACAATTCATAACAACTGGTGCTTGCAATTAGCTATAAACAATACTGATATGCTCGCTCTTTGAACCTTGTACTCAACGTGATAACTAGGAACATAGAAATGCTGAATGCAGCGAGAAAATATCCATTTCCTCGCTTCGCGATGGCACGAGACCGGCATTTATTGCCAGTATCTTGGTTCGTCAAACACATGATAGCGGTGACCACGGACTCCTTGGCCGCGGAAAAGCGCAGGGAACTGTTGGCCCTGAGGCACCATTTCCTCCGGAATGCGCATCTCATTCTCGGGCTCAGGCTCTCCAACCACAAACTTTCCAACCTGATCAGATGAGAAGACGAATTAGTAAATAGGTCTAACAGTTAAGAGGTTCGAGCATACCTGAATTTCAGTGTCCGTGATGGAGTCACGGCTAACACGGGCATAGCCTGTTCTCTTCAGCTTCTTGTAGAGAATGTACTCGCACCAGCGGTCCCAGTCAGTAGGGTCAATATCCTTCATGCCGCTGAGGTCGCTGACGTAGGTGTTGTAGTTGCCCTCCAGCGGTTTGGTGACCAGGTAACTGAGCAGAATCAAGGGGCGAGGGGACTCGCCCATCAATTTGGACAGGTACTCAGTCTGGAGACGACGGTCTTCCGGGTCTTCTTCCTGACCAGAGTGGAAGACCACAACGTCAACCAGTTCGCCGTACATGTCCAGAGTGGCGTGGATGGCAGGGGCAAGTTCGCCGACAGGCGACGGGAGAAGGTGGTGAGTAGAGTTGACAATCGGGAACTTGGAGAGCAGGGCAGATCCCCACGTGTGCTTGTTGGGGCCGGGACCAAAGTCGGCATACATGCCCATGTCCTCAGCCAGAACCTGAGTGATATCACGGTTACCCATGATAATGCGTTGGTTATCAGACTCAAGCAGGCCAACCACATCAAGCTCAAGCTCCTCGATCACCTGGCGCATACGTTGTTCAGAAGACCACATGTCGTTGTCCAGGCCGAAATGGACGGTCCAGATACCGGCGGTGACAACCTTGTCGTCCTTGTGGTAGGGAACGTAATCGTTGGTGGGGAAGCGCAGATAGGCGATGGCGACGGAAAGAAGCTGCAGCGCCGCAAGGACGTAGATGTAGTAGGATCGCTGTCGGCGACCACTGGGGCTGATAGTCTTGCTCTGTCTGTTTGATGAGTTCGTCACGGCAGCCGAGAAAACGCCGGCTCCGATGGAGAGCATGGTGGTAATCATGACCCAGTCAGTGTGCTCTCGGACGAGGGGTCCCCCGGGAACGAAGGCGTAGGCCACAACCCAAACGTGGAAAAGAACCATGAACATGAAGAAAATGCCACCCACGCCGAAGGTTGTGACGGGGGAGTGGCGAACAGCCGAGGAGATCAAAACCGGGGTAACTGCCAAGGTGTAAAACGCAAGAACAAGGCCACCATAGAACCCGGTCCAGTGGCTGTAGCAAGTGAGCAAAGCGGCACCCAAGGAACCAATGCCAAATGCCGTCCAGCTTCCAGTCAGACCGGGATAGTAGAGACCAAAAACGAGACCCGCGCCCATTGCGAAGATCGTGACCGCTCCGTGGGGAACTGCGATAGGACCGCGCACGGGGTACCCTTCCCAAACCCAGGAGATCATAGTGCTGGAATCTGCCAGAAGGGAGTGCATGACAAAGGTAATGCCACCAAAACCAAGGCCAGCCAGAACCGAAGAGCCCTTCTTGGGATTCGGCGGCAGGTAGTCACCTCCACTAGTAGGGCCTCTGCGGTGGGCCCTGAGAACAGCAAGAACCGCAAGGAACAGGCCAAGTTTGTTCCAACCTCCGTTGCCGGCGTGCATCGTTGGCCAGACGGGATTGTTTGTCTTGAACGCAAACTTGGCAATGCTAGACAAGATCAAGCCCATTGCCCATGCGGTAATCCGAGACTCGAGTCTGGCATTGTTGGCCCTATCCGCATACAGCTGGCCAATGAATGACAGACCGCCACAGGAGACAGCAAATCCGGTCACAAACAGTCGGTTGGAAGGAGTCTGGACCTGATAGGCCAGCAAACCGGAAAGCGAAAGGAAATGAACAAGGCGAGGGTTCTTGGTGACAACAGTTTTCAATCCGGGGATGACAAAAAGAAGCGGCGAGGCGAAACAAACGATGGCAGCCTCGTATCCGGAGATACCCATGTGCCACAGAGGGAAGTCTACAAGCTATCAGAGCCATCCCGTGACAAAAGAAAGAAGTCAATGACACTTACACCATACCAGAAGTCCAAGAGCCGTCCATGTGGACCAGAAGACGAACTACGTCTTTTGTCAGTAACGGAATCTGCAGAGGACTGGGACATGGTTTACCCCGTTGTAAACATCTGCTGCTGCGTCGAAGATCTCGGTCCAGAAGAAACCTTCACCGAAGGTGTTGCCAACGGGCTTTCCCTTCCTGACTACGAGTTAATTGCCAAAATCGGGATTGCTGCGGAGATCAGATAATACACACTCTTTCTCAAGGACGGAGTCCGCCGTGGTTTTCAACTGCCTGAAGGATCAAACTTTTAGAGCCCATCTTTGGAAAACACCAACCGCTGAATTTTTTTTTTGAACAACTGTACATTTCTTCTCGCTCTGGTTTACTTCGGAAGCCACTGTACATACCCTCTGCTGATTCCTTTAACATCCCTCACCACAATCTCGAAGGCTTCAAAATCCAACGCGGTAACAGCGTCGAATCCGACATCAAACAAAATGAGGGACCACTCGAAAAAGGCGTACTTCGTGTAAGCTAGTCGGGGGTTGTTGTCAGTAACAGAGCGCTTATGGGCCATGGCATCACCATTCTTACCTCCAGGAACCTTGTGCACTTTGTGCTGGATGAAGAAATAGATCAATGGCACCAGAGTACCGAAGAACAGGCTGGCCAAGACCTTTCGGTACTTGACAGCACGACGGTTGTTGGGGCTCAGGGCCAGGCAGCCGAGGGTCCACGGAAGCGTCGCAACGAGATAGGAAATCATGAAAATGTCATGCCAGTCATGGTCATCCGTCGACGTGACGTAGGTCCAACCACCACACGTAAATGTGCGGAACAATCCAACACCAGCGACGATCTTGGGAAGCGACGAGTTGGGGCGCGAGGTCAGGATGTACCACAGAAAGACGAGGGCGAATCGAGGACCGGAGGTGATGGCAATGAAGACTTGGAAGAAGGAGCGCTCGGGGTATCGATCACCAATGGTGGCCGAAACGGAAGGGAACCATTCATCAGGATAGCCGTAATGTTCGTTCTGCACAATCTTCCGGAAATGCAGAGCCATTCCGACAATCAGAGCACTGAAGAAGGCCGTGTACGCGACGGCAGTATGAGCCCAGGAGATCCATTTTCCGTTCACCTGCGAGAAGGTCAGCCAAATTTCCGGATCCAATGCCATGCCATGCGGTCGCACTAACCGCTACAACGGCATCTCCATCCTTATATCGAGGTGCCATGGCAGCGCGGGAGACGCAGGGCCGGCCTCCAGACAGTGGACGTAGATTGAGGCCGAAGGGGGAAAATAAACAGTGCTCAATCTAAAGCAAGAGGACAAAAGAGCGTCAAGAAGAGAAAAATGGAAGAAAAAGAAAAGAAAGAGGGAACAGATGAACAAATGAAAAACACACAGCAAAGAGGTACCGGAAACCCCTGAGGCAGGCAAACGCAACGTAAGATGGAATGGAATGGGACGTGACAGTCGGACTTGAGGCTCGGCAACTCGCGGGCACACTAGAGCCAAACGGGCAAGCGGCCTGTGAAACTTTGGGGTGCGGGATGCCGACCACTTTTTTTTCCGTGATGATTTTCCAGAGGACTGCGAGACTGGACGAGAACTAGACCCCTGTCGCGACCACAGCCATCATGTCCGCCGCTACTGACAAGGCTCGGTTCTTTCTGGAGAAATCCATTCCAGAGCTCAAGGAATATGAGCGCAAAAAGCTCTTCAATAAAGTAAGATCCAAGTCTTTCAATATCCTCGCAACGCGATCATCAACTAACAAGGTCTCGTGTACCAGGATGAAATCTCCGCCATCATTAAGAAGAGATCGGACTTCGAACACAAGCTTAATGCTCGAGGAGCGCAGCCTGCGGACTTTGTACGATATGCGGAATACGAAATGAACCTGGATATCCTTCGGCGCAAAAGAGTGAAGCGACTAGGCATCAAGGCGGCGGGACACTCTGGACAACGACGGATCTTTTTCATTCTGGATCGGGCGACTCGCAAATTCCATGGTGACGTTGGGCTATGGGTTCAGTACATCGAGTATGCGAGGCAACAAAAGTCCTTCAAAAAACTTGCCACCATCTTCACCGACGCCCTTCGATTCCACCCAACCAACGCCGAATTATGGATATACGCGGCGCAATACAACGTCGAAGACCACGCAGACATGACGCAAGCGCGAAGCTTCATGCAGCGTGGATTGAGATTCTGCAAGAGCTCGAGGAAGCTCTGGGTCAATTACGCCAAGTTGGAATTGATCTACACAGCTAAGCTCGTTGCTCGTCAACGTATTTTGGGACTTGATCAAGAACTCGAACAGTCCGATCCCACACAGGATGCTTCCGTGGATGATCCCGATGCCGACATGATTGCACTACCCAAGATCACCGGCGAAGACATCAATCCTAGCGAAGGAGGAGCTGACGGAGTGGACCCGGTGGCTTTGGAAACCCTGAACTCGACACCCGCTCTTAGCGGTGCTATCCCTATGGCCGTTTTCGACACTGCGATGCGGAACTTTGATAACGACGACAAATTCGGCCACGAATTCTACGATATGGCCTTCGAGTTCGAAGATGTGCCATGCATTCCCAAGATTCTGGAACACGTCGTTGCGGCGATGCAAGAATCCAAGCCCAACAGTCACCACACGCAATTCTGCTATATCAAGCTGCCTACTGCTGGCTTCCGCGTCACTTCCCCCGAATTCCCGCGTGCTCTGGGTACATCCTTGACTCGCCTGAGGGACCACCGGGACCAGCCCAAGATTGCCAGAGAGGTCATCAACTGGCTGCAACCATTGGAGAAGACGGAAGACCTCGACCCGTCCTTGCGGATGGTCCTGGCTGCCACCATTCAGAAGGCGGAGCAGGTTCTTCAGCAGTAGGGCGGTTTACTAGGCATCTCATCAAAAAAGGGCGTTCATCGGGGGGGCACCATCTTATTATTAATGGACAGAAACAGAAGACTCCAAAGAGTCTTCGTGGGTATAGACCAAGAAAAGTTAGCATCTCAAATCATTCGTCATATTTACCACCACCCCGTCGGCTACTTTTTTTGCTGCTGTGCAGCTTTTTCGTCTTGATTCTTGCCTCATTTTCAGCCTTTTTTCTATATGTACATGGTCAGCTTCGAGTTCCGTAGCAAAGTGATTTACGTGTCGACGGTCGGAAATGAATGAAGGATATGACACCCGAACCAATCCGGACGAAACCTACAATTTATGCACGCGATCGCGTTGCTCCCGCGAAGTCTCCCCGGGAATCACCTCCTGGGCGGTACTTTTGAGCAGCAGGTGGAGCTTTTCATAGCAGGACTCCACGTTGGCGGTCTGTTTCCGCGACTCCTCGGATTGTATGACCAGGCTCTGGGTTCTCTCTGCGTGATAGCGGGATGACCGCAGTAGCGGATGCAAAATGGCCGGCACTAGCGGCAATAGCGATTGGAGCGGTACCTTGAGGGTCGCCTTGGAGTTCACCCTATGACAGCCACTTTAGCGATCACGCGTTCGGGGCGCATCCCAGGGAGGGGGGAACGGACTTGTTTACATTCTGGCCCCCGGGACCACCTGACCGACTGAACGAAATTTCGCCGATATGACGCGGGATGGTATTGTTATGGAAGGCGGCCAGCCATTCTCTGGCCGCCGTGAACTCCTCGTCGGACTGACTGGCCACCTGGTTATTTTCCTGGATGGCAGCACGTCTGGAAGCAAAGGTTCTTGCTGCGAAGGTGGGGCCCGAGGTCCAAGGCAAAAGAGGGGGAGACTGGGAAAAGAGCCGCCGGGAAAACTGGACCGCGGTCATGGTTTGTAATGGCGGGGGGGGGGGGGGGGTTGTTTTTTTGTTCTGTACTCCGGATGTCCCCAGGAAATTCGGTCAGATTAAAGAGCAGTCACCGATGTATGGTCGACATACGGAGTACATGCAGTAGTCCAGGTCCAAGCTGTCAGGCGTGCAATTGGGACATTGAATTAAGGATGCGATACTAGCCAGTAACAAGCACGGGGATCACCCAAGAAACCCGGACTAGTCGGAACCAGGGACCCGTACGGTCAGGTAAGGGATTCCTCCGTCGCTAATGCCTCTGCCAGGGTCAGTCCTTGGATATGTCGGCCGCCGTACAGGTTCTGCCTTTCTTATTTGGGTTTTGATTTTTTCTGATACGTGGGCCGGCCAAATCAGTCGGATGACAGCCGTCGAGCCACACTCATAGATATCGTTTAGGAAATAATAGTATTAAAATAATAATAATAAATCGACGGATCCCCTCCGTTGATTACACGTGTAGGTCCGACTGTCCTCTCATAGACGGGAAGTACGCCGACCTCCGACCTCGATGGAGTCTGGACCTGACCGAGTGAGGAATTTATTCTTAGCTCCGAGCTGGTTTGACTAATAATTGCATTTAGAGGTTCCAGCAGTTCCAGGAGAAAAATCCAGAGCACGCCTTGACCCGCCACTCAGAGGGTCCGGCTGGCCAGTCATCGTGCGGCGTCGACCACCTGGTTGCCCCGATGGGGGAAAGCGTGGAAAAAGCCGACGCTGACTTGCGCAAACTCTGATTTTTCCGTCGCAACCTTTCGCTTTGTCCTTTTTTTTTGCTTTTTTATTTTTCTTTTCCCGCCCTCCCTTCCTCCTCCCTCGCCATTTCTCCTCCCATCCCATCCAAAAAAAAAAATAAAATAAAAATAAAAAAGAATAAAACAAACTAACCGTTCAGCGCTAATTGTCCAGTCCACTCTTGGGAAAAGTTGAGTTCCCACTCAATAGGGCAGTCCCTACCTTAGGCTCCCTCTGCCATCGCGTGTGTGTGTTCAGTTGTACTGTACAAGTACAGGTACATGTAAAAAAAAAGAACCAAGGGGAAAAAAAAAAGAAGAAGAAGAAGAAAAGGACACTCTCCAACATCCTACCGACCCATTGATTATTATCTCCTCATTCCCATCCTTCTGTTCCTCATCAACCCTGCATCATCCGATGATCTGATTGACTGAGGATTCGTGACGAAGGTCCCGGTCTACTCGTTCCCGCCCGGCTACTAGATCTTTCGACGTCAATCCCCTTTCTTCCTGGGCTTGATCGGCCATAGCTTCGGGTTTTTTCTTTTTCTCCTTCCTTATTCTCCTCTCGTCGTCTCGGGCTCGACCTTTTTCTTTTCTCTCTTGTCCCCTGCTCACCGGGTTTCAGTTGGGATTCCTTCCCTCGTCTTCCCTTCTTCACCCCCTCTCGTTCTCTCGCCCTGGGACATCGGCTTCTTGTATTCCTCGCCTTCTCCTTTACCGCCCCGGTGCTCCAACGGTCCGGTTCTTTTTCCCAGATAGCCCCACCTTAGCTCTGTCGATTTTGAAATTCTCCATTTCTGTGGCTCGTTGCGTGTTTTTGTTTTTCTTTTCTTCTGTTTTGTAGATGAATCGATTTCACATCCTTGGTCTACATGACGCCGAGTTCCCCAGATGAAGCTCTTCACTTCCGTGGCAAGACTCTGACTCCCGAGAGCCCCCGTCCGCTACACATCGCGGAACCGGCCAATATCCCGGTGCTTCAGAATCAAATGGACCCCGTTTTCAACGATACGTCGACCTACGAGACGTCGGAATCCGCCGTTGGCAACGTCGCCCTGGTGCCTCGCTATGATGGAACTCCCCAGGCCCCTCATGCAGGGTCCGCGCATGCGATGGATAACGCGGCTGCCGTGAGGGGCTCGGAACGACCACCACAAACACAAGGTAGCTCTCACTCTGGCTCTTTTCCGACGAACATTGGGACGGGCTCCTTTCCCTCCTTTACGGCCTCATTTCCCCAGGCGTCACCTTCTGCAGACTACTCTGCTCCCTTCATGGCCACTGCGACTCCATCGGGTGTCCAGCCATCCGCAGCAAACTCTTCTCTAACGACTTCTCGTCCATCAGATCCCGCCACCCTAGCTCACCCCGTCCCCGATGTCCCTTCCTCTTCTTCCCACCCTCAGAGCACCCCTATTGCGAACGAGGTAGACCCTGTCGTCGCCAGCTGGACGGCTGCGCCGCAGCATCATCATCATCGCCTAGACCCCCAGAACAGACCCGCTGATAATACTGGTGAGGATGGTGTGGACTTCCAGAACCTCCTCGATAATCTCCCCCCTCCCTCTACTACCGCACCCCATGTCCCTGCGGTGATGGAGACGGCGCCCTCGTCTGCCAATGACGCCACTGCAGTCCCTCATGCAGCGTCTGACGAAGCCCTCCAGTCCTCCTTGGGCCTCCCTCCCCGCCCTCCACCCCAGGAGAAGCCCGCTATCCACCCCAACTACTATCCCAACGATGATATACGTTCCTATCATCAACTTCCCCCTAATACCCCCAATACTCCCTCCACATATCCCACTCAGCAAAGTAATTATCAGTCCGGTCTAGGAGCCCCGTCGTTGGCGGCTGCTGGAGCCCCTGGAACCTCTTCCGGGGCCAGCGCGTTACCCCCTCCTCCGGTCCCTAGCTTCCAGCAATCCCCTACCACCTCGACAGATTCCCAGGAGCCGTCTGCCACGGCGGCCAAGAATGCTCGTGCCGATGGCAAGCAGAGTCGGCCACCTAAAGGTACCGACGAAGATACTCCGTGGGGTCCGGAGGTGCAAAAGAAATACGACGAGTTCCTTCACAATGAGAGAATATACGTGACGGAAGGTCTCTGGGATCGGTTCCCGTCGGGTTCTAGGCTATTTGTTGGTCAGTACCCATCTCCCGCAGGCTCTTCCGCTGCTGGCATTGGGCGAGGGACTAATGGACCAGGCAGGCAACCTACCAACCGAGCGAGTAACGAAAAGGGATCTCTTCCATATATTCCACAAGTACGGAAAACTAGCCCAGATATCGATCAAGCAGGCCTACGGTTTCATCCAGTTCCTCGATTCCTCGGCCTGTAAAAAGGGACTGGATGCAGAACAAGGCGCCGTCATCCGAGGACGGAAAGTCCGTAAGTGTTTCGACTCCGTCACGTCCCAAGCGATATGGCAGTTTACTCATGGAATTCATCAGACCTTGAAATTTCGAAGCCGCAACGGAACACACGACCCGGGCCACCCGTGGCGGAATCATCCCGCGCTCCTCCCCCTCGACGCTCAAGGTCGCCAGAATTCAGCAGAAGCGGGCCTCCTCCTGCCAGTCGCAACCCGAGGCCGGCCGGGGACCGCTATGAAAGACCTTATGAGCCGGCGAGACTACCGTTCAGCGACTTTCGGGACGAGCCTACTCATCGCCGCCGCGATGATTACCGGCCTCCTCGGTCTCCCTCGCCTCGTGGTTTCCGGGGCCGTGACGGCTACCGGTCTCGCGATCGGACCCCAGAACGGTTCGATAGACGGGAGAGACGGCGTTCCCGGTCGCCATTCTCCAGAGATCGCAGATATCGCAGTCTCAGCCCTCGCGCGCGCGCTTACGATGGGGATGCGGACTTGCCCGTGCCTCGACGAGCCCCGAGAGATGTACCCGAAGTGCAGGTCCTGGTGCTGGAGGAAGTGGATCGGTTAGTTATCATTGGTCTGTAGGGGTTTTCTGATGCTAATCTGAGGTCTCTAGCAATTTTATCTTTCAGGTCGAAAATGCCTTCCGCAACCGCGGCCTACGGGTCGACATCCTGGTGCTCGGACCGCGAATCCCTCTCAACGCCGCGGTGCAGCGACAGATCTCAGAGGGTGTTCTCGCCGTGGTGAGGCTTTCGCGTCCTAATCAATTCTCGAGGAAAATTCCGCTGCAGGTGTTCGACCGAAGTGGAGGCCCCGAGAACGTCCGCTTCAATGGTAAGACTTGGATCTCTCATGTATAAAACATATCATGGTCGGTTCGCTCACATGCCCGCAGAATATCCTGATGTTGAACCAAGCATTGCCGCCGAGATTGTGTTCCACGCCCAGTCGGTGCAGCGTGGCGCTCCTCCAACACCCTTTCCTCCTAACCCGGCGGCTTTCGGGATACCACCAATGCCTCCTGCTCCGATCCCACAGGCCCCAATGCCCGCGCTCTCCAATCCTCCGAACATTGCAAACATGATCACCTCTTTGGACGGGCCCACTTTGCAATCTCTTCTGGGTGCGCTTCAGCAGCGACCACCGGCCGTGCCCGCGGCGCAACAACCGCCTTTCCCAGCGGCGACGACTCCTCAGACTCCGGCCGACCTGGCCAGTCTTCTCAGCGCTGCCACTCGCCAGCCTGTGCCGGCGAATCCGCAGCAACCCCTTCCTCCCCAACCATTCCCCATTCAACCGCCCAACCCACCGGTAGTGTCAGATCCCAATCTTCTCTCACTCCTCACCAAGGGCCTTGGGGGACAGCAAAACCAGAATCAGGCTGCCGTCGGGCCCCATGTACAAAACATCATGAATCAACTGGGCAAGTGGAAGCAATGATCTTGACGATTTTTCTTTTTCTTTCCGTTATCCCCTCTCTTTGTTACCCTTCTCAACTTCTGTGGATTCCAATCATTTGCACAATGTTGCGGTGTTGGGCGTTTGATTTATGGATCGAGTTCCCTCAAGGTATGGATTTGGGCCATCGGGAAATGGTATTGATGGCCATTTGGGTTTGTTGTACTTTTTTTTTTTTCTTGTCTATTTTTACTTTAACCATCGGTTGAGCGAGCGAGTATCTGCAACAGGGGTATCATGGTTTTTTCTTTCTCTATGATTCTTTGAGACACCTGCACAATAGATATTCAGGGGACTATGGCTTGCATTGCGGTATTTCTCTCCAGTCCTTTGCGATTCGTCAGGCGCATAATGGTGAGCGGAGCAAATGGCGAATACGATTTATTTGAATACCTGGTCCAGACCGTAGACTTGTATGAGCTTAGGGTAGCCTTTGATTTCATTATGAATGGAGCAGTGGTGATATTGTACAAGAACCTGTCCGGTCTATGGGCACAACAAGCCTCTTTTCATTTTCCTGTCCCTTCTCAGCTTTAGACGTCTGTTCATTTCGACGCCCGCCCCTGCTTCAAATCTTGGACTTTGGCCGCATCCTCTTGCTTGATCCGCTCGATCGTCTTGTCTCGGTTATATTCCATCACACGTTTCTCTTCGAAGTATTTGACCTATGTCACACCGTTGTCAACAGACGTATCTCATCGCGGACTGCAGAAATTCAAACCGCAGAGAAGGGGATAGATAACAAGCTAGAACCCCGCAGGGCCAGCTGTGCGAGGGGAGTTGCACATACCCATGTCCGCGAACAAGCCGTCTCGAACTCTGCAATCTCCTTGCCGCATTTGCGACGCGCTTCCTTATCATCCTTGATGGCGTCCAGAATATTGTTGTCGTCGAGACAGGAAAAGAAGAGGTCACGACCTTCCCAGCAGCGCTTTCGCGACGACCGATCCGGAGCTATGCGGCCGCCGTCGGAGGCCTTTGGGGCGTCGGGGGAATCGGAAGACCAGGGGAGCCAACCCATGATGAGCAATTTCAGCGGAGAGGAACGACGGAAGGGCGAGTAATCCGGTTGGGGAGGGCGAAGATGCGAGGCGGGAATAGCTGCAAGAGAAGCTCCGCGGCGTTCGGCGGTCATGCATTTTCTTGGCGGCGCTGCTTTTCCCGTGGCGCTAAACCACTCGACGTGCTTGGCCTTTCTCCATCGCCTGCGGTCTTGCCTTCGTCCATTCCGTCATTCTTCGAAAACATCTGCGTGCTCTTGGAACTCGCTACTCTACACTATCCCTCGTCTTTTTCGGTCTATACTTATTGTCCGACTTTAACCCTTCAGGGTGAACCCTCCCAAACTCCGCGGAGCTCGAAGCCCACTCACCACCGGGCTCTCTCTCTCTCTCCCTCCCCCCAGAGCACCGTAACCAAATCCCAAGTCCGATCCCACGCCGGGTCTATACAACAGTTCATGCCCCCGCGCCGACGTCCTCCTCCTGCGGGGGCCCGAACTGAGCTTCCGCCGCTGAAGATCGTGCGAAAGATCCTCTTACTCCAGCTCGCCTACTATGCTTCCGCAACTGCCTTGATCCTATTCACGACTTTGGTTTATGGTACGGCGTTTTCGCTCAATCTCGTTCTCAGCTGGGATGCGTTGCGAGGGGACACCACGCTCGGGTGGATGCTCGGGCTAGTATGGATGCTAAATAGTGGGATTGGGTGAGTTGTGTCCCGTTACGCTCCATCACGGTCAACTCTGCGGGTACAGACTAACACACAGACTTCGCGCAGGGCCATTTTCCTCCTCGTTCTCGTCGCACGGTCTAAACTTATCCCCGATTTCGCTCTGACCCTGCATTTTCTGCACCTCATCGCGACCACCCTCTACACGCACTCGCTCCCCGGCAACTGGCTTTGGTGGGGTCTCCAGTGCGCCAGCGCGGCCCTGATGACCTTTGTGGGCATGTGGGCTTGTCAGTGGCGGGAGCTCAGGCCCATTAGTTTCGGTGGAATTTCCGGGAAGGCCACCGGCAACGGCGCCTCCGAGTCTGCCGCCGCAGGGAGCTCGTCCCGAGGACGCCAGGATGGTGACGAATACGAAATGGCGGAGATGAAGGGTACAGGCGAGCAAGCCGTTTAGCTTTTTTCATTTGTGCCTTTTCCTTCTCTTCTTGCCGATGACACGCATCATTTCTTCGCTTTTGCCCGTTGTGGAGCCGCCCTCGGTCGACTTGCATGCGCATTGATTTGCATCAGCTTCATGTATACCCTAGCTATATTAGTCTTTGTATAGATGGCGTTCTTTTCTTCTCTTTCGTGATGATGTCTTCTTCTTTTGTTTCTTTTCTACTTTTTTTCTTGCTCCATTCTGGGAATGCTACCTCTTCTACTTGAATGTTTGTTTTTATTTTGATACACATGCGGGCACATGGACATTTATATTGATTACTGATGGATTTATTAGATATATTACGCCAATAAATACTAAATTTCAATCAATGTTTAACAGCCCTACCTGAGGAAACTTCTTACTGCTGATGGTTGGGCTCAATTTTCCGTCCGTGTCACCCACCAGACAAACATTATCCGTACCCAGAAGTCTTTCCATGGAAAAGTTTCTAGACTTACAATCTTACAGCCTAATTACATTCACCGTGTTTGATTCGGGTATCTTTCTTTGTGAATATCCAGCAAACCTGCCACAGTGGGTGAAAGAACTGCATTCACAGATCCAGGCTGGAGGGAGTATATATAGGTCTCCCTGGGACTCTCCACTTTCAGTTCTCTAAATATTTCTCATCTACGTTCCAGTCTTCTAAATATATGAAAGTTCATGTTTCATTCGATTTCTTTTGTATATATGGAGCAGAAGGGCTAAGCCTACAGCCTCGCTGGCTCATGTTATAGCAACACTGTATGCAAGGGACTGCATTGGACACATATCTCGGTATGAAACTCCCCCAAAGACTCACCGTGTCCTCCATGATCATCTGTTCCTCTGTTCTTGAGCAGGACAGCTTACTCTTCGGGCCTAGGTACACTCTCAATGTATGCCGTCAGTGTGGCCACCACAGCTCGATCATATATACTATACCCACAGCCAGCATTAGGATGCAGATGAACCATGTCGAGCAATATAGCTCGGCTAGCAGGCTCTGCCAGTTCCCAAGTGGAAGCAGCAAACCCTGTCATTCCAGAGATGAAAAACCTAGAAAACGAAGATACGCCGTTGGAGTGGACTTATTCTGTCGCCGCTCCCGTATTTCAGTCCAACATTGTTACTCTATGAAATGCGCAATAGCCATTCCGCCAATATCAGTACTATGCCGTTCCGGACAAGCACCTTCGACGAATCCTCTTCTCTCATCAGGCTCGCTGCGTGGATACCATAAACCCTCTGGAACCTGACGAACTGGGGAGTATCAGGAAGCTCTTTTGGTTGCCTCTTGATGCCGAACTCGAGAGAAGGGATACAAACAAGCGATAACGACAAACTAGCGACACAAGATGTAGCGCTCAACTGTTCGGCACTTCCGATCAAAGTTTGAATTGTTTTGCACCTCTTCGTTAGGGCTTCATCGGAGGTTGACCATTGTACCTCGCGAACGACTTGATATGGGATTTTATTACAAGCAATATGAAGATTGCCGTGATCAAAACGCTTCTTGGAATACACCTATGACCGCTGATATGACAGAATATGAGTCACAGTGGCCATGGCAATCGTGCTCTCGCGCCCGTCCTCGTGCTCCTCCGTTTGGCACGCCTGGCTCTCTCGATAGACCTATTATCGTGGATGACTCGACCTCTGCGGCAAGACAATGCCGTCCGATCGTTCGATCGGTGCTAGCAACAGGTTCTCGTAGAGCGAAGATGGCAGAAACACGTCGTCGGCTGAGAAAGATTAGGGCTGCCGCTGCAGCTTCTATGTGACAGGAAGGACGTCGAATGCTACGACTACATACAGGAGTGCATGGACAGAGACCCCTACTCGGAATGGACCATATCATCATGGCACCGACGTCTTTGAGGACGGGGATTCCTTCCTCCGCGGCAGCATGGACTTCGGTGGCGGGCAGACGGGAACGGTCTAGGTTGTGATGCTGCTGAAGATAAAGGCTCTCCTCGACCTAGAGACACAGGCGCCGCAGAGATTTGCTCAAAATTCTTCATCGAATGATCAGCCACTTCAAAACGGGAGTCGGATTATTCCAGGCAGAGTGACACAAACGTCGCTTCGCACGAATTGCTGGTCTATCCGCCGCGCCTATGCCGGTAGAGGCCCCATCTAAACTTCGATTCTAGTTTAAGAGGAACTCTAGCGCTATGGTGCCGCTCCTCAGCTGTCTCATGGTGCGTGTGGTGTCTGACGCTCGTCGGTTGTGATGCCATGCTCATTTCCCCCATACATCGCCCAGAACGAGACGCTGCTGCCGCTTCATAGTACCTTTATACAGGTTACCGACAACCTACCAAAGCAGACAGATGACATCGTGCGGGCCTGGAGACTTCCTTAAGTCTCGGGCCTATACTGCCTCGATGCGATCCGGGATGCCGTGAAGCGTCGTCGATGCCGTCTTCTTCAAGCCGCGATAAAGAAGAAGAGGTTCATTGCCAGTCCGCTACGTCGACTACGACTGGCGATGAACTTCCCAGAGCTTCTCCAGGTCGATGCCAATTCAGTATCTAGCAGCCAGGGCAGGTTGGCGCTAACAGGCAAGAATATGCGATCCTGCTATACAAGGCCGAACGCATGGTTCAGCGGCGACGAACTGGACAGACTGCTAGCGAACAACACAAAGTAGGCGGTAGTGTGTTACATCCTAGACTGGCGTAGCAGGCTAGAAAAGTTGCTACTGATAGCATGCAACCCGGCCACGGCGCTGATTCTGTACATGGTAAGCCGCGTCCAATTCCCGTCTGACCGCAGCAACTAACCGTCCTTGTCAGGCAATCATGGATCCACAGATACTTTCCCCCTTCATAATTTTCTCATGCACGTGGGAATGTTGAACCGACAGACGTGGGTGGACGCCTTCCAGAACCAGGAGACTGGGGACAAATGCGAAGGCATTGCATCATGATACGACAGGTCTTTAACTCACACATTCAACGATAGACCTAGCATCGTTGGCCAGGAATTGAACGACAAAAGAACCTTTGTATCCGCGAACGGAATATCGAGTCCATCAATTACCAATGAAACAGTCAAATGATCCAATATCTCTAGCTTGACGATTACTAGAAAATCCAACCGGTTGAAAGACGTCCCTCACGCCGAGATAAGACTCCCGTTCCGAGGAAAGTCCATCATCTGGGTAAGCTGGCCAGCAGAAAAGATCCATGTTGTCAGAGAAGTTAAATGCCTAATACAGCATGCTCGATGCGGCCAAGACCCTTGGGGATGCTCTCAAACAGACCAACTTTATCAGAAGACTGTCGAGATCGTAATTACTGGTGTCATACACAGTGGGACGTCGACTGCCCGGTGTCGGAGTCTCAGCGCGCGACGGTGCAGCTCCTAGCCGACGAGCTAGCGATGAAGAAGCGAGGACCGACGACTGGCAATGTACACCTCTTCTTCCGATCAGGACCTTGTCTTGACAAAAGATCTATCATTCTTGGGCTCAAAATGGGCAACGACGAAGGTCTTGGAATAGCCAGGGAAAACGCACAAATACCTGCACTAGAGACCAATCTCGAAGAGTTGGCGAGACGGCTCAAGAAGTCGGACGACAAGCGCAAGGAGATGATGACCTGTAGAGGATCCATCATAGAGCAGATTGGAAACATCTGACACAGGCGTTGATGACTTCGAACAATGACTCCCGCTCCCTTTGAATAACACTTTCTCTATTATCAAATATTATTGGGCCGAGTTCAAAGATTGCACGAACTGTGGCCTAATGGAAAAGGGCCATACAAGGAAGACCTTTCGAATATCTAATGCCTTTGTTGTGGTAAACACAGCCATAAAAGTGACAGTTTCCCCAGCATCAAGTGCAGATTGTCTGGTGGCCCTTCTCATCTGCCCGCCGGGCATCTCGACGCTTCAGCCAAGTGCCCGAGCCAGGATAAATACCCCATCCTCTGCGCCTGCGTACCTAACAGCCCGATGGCGCGCGTCAAGTAACGTTGGGTGGGCATGAACCTAGTGATCTGCCCGCCAAGTCTGATCGACACCTGGCAGGACATGCCAGAATCACTCAAAGTGATCGACAACTATACGGGGATGCAGCTGAGCAAGCTGTATCAAGAGATCAACGAGCGCTGTATGTCCGACATACGCCAAACATGCGACAAGAAGCATATGTAAATACGAGAGATGATGGCCAACAGATTTCCTATATTCATTTGTCAGAAAACTGATATCCACTTCTGTGGCAGTTCTCTTTTTCATGGTCAATGATATAGGTCTATTAGACTATTGGACTATTGGACCAAACAAAACCAAGATATCAATCCCAATTCAATGTGCTATGTCGACAAATGCTGAACAAAGACATCTTCTCAACGTCTGTCATGGAGAATGGTCGGCTTTCAAATCGAAATTCAGAGGTTATAGCCAAATCTAAGGGACCTGCATTCGTTGACGAGGCTTACATCTTGAAATTTGATACCTGAACGTGCTCATGTTGAGTCAACTCAATCGAAGTTACAACACTCTACCCAGGTGTCTATCTCAATCCCACAGCACGCGCGTGTATAGGTCTGTTTTCTGGAGATCTCTACTTTGCTGCTACAGGCTCCTTTACCACAAATCCCACCACGCTTATATCGAGCGGTATCCAGTATTCATTCTCAACGTTGAAATAATCGCGATGGCAGCCGAAAGCCACTTTAAGAAAACCGAACCAAACACTTGGCTGTATGCAGGGGATAACCGGGCAATTTCCCCTGTTTGACGGGGACTCTGGCACTTTAACCCCTCTGGCAGCCAACGTCCTCCCAGTAAACAGAACTATCCGACCACTGGGTAGTCCGCGTTATAACGAAAGGACAGGTTTCCCCCCTAGGGGACGTTTGAAAGACAAGGGCTCTTCGAGGCAGTCGTATCCTCAAAGTTCTCGAAACCTGCTTGATCATTTGGATATCACCTATCAAAACACAAGATTAGGTACAGCATTAAATCGACAAGCC